AATTCTTGGATATACTGTAGATATATAAGCTCTACTATTATTACAGTATTAAGAGTTTAGAGTATCATAAATCTTAGTCAGAGGAAACTGTTGTATTTTTTATATCAAATAGTACACAAATACACAAGTAATTGATACATTTAACATTGTATTTGTGTTATGAATGAGTTCCAACTAAATTTACATTAATTTTAAAGGAATAATGAAGAAATTTGGTTAAGAATTGAGTAAGATACAGAGGAAAGTGTGTGCTCACTGTATGAGACAGTGAGCTCAAGGTGTGGCAGGTGGGGAGGGCACAGTTGCCATATAGGGCACTCAGCATACTTATTTTATTTTATTTTATTTTGACTTAGAATTTTTTTTACTATTTAAGTCTAGTATTAAGTACAGTTAGGGAGAAAAGCTCAAAAGGTACCTAATTAGAGGGACTACAAGGGTCTTGTACACCCTCTAATTAGGCCCCTTACAGTATGTCCCTCAGGTGGTGTACCTGTACTGCGATCGCTGCATAATTAAAAAAAGGGAGGGAAAAAGGGATGGATCGAGATTTCCTGCAAGCGCCGGGGGCGATCGTCGTGTGAGGCGCCACCGTGCCAGGGCCACGTGCTGTCTGTCTGTCTGGGTCGCGAGCAACTGTGGCAGAGGCAGAATCATTGACTCTTCACGCTCACCCACTGGCATGCATGCTGACGACAATGTCGACGCCCCTTTCTCCATCGCCTGGGGCATCTCTATAGGTCTCATCGCATCCTGCGTACAGAGTCTCGGCCTCACAATCCAGAGGAAAAGCCACGTCCTCAACCAGCAACAACCCGAACACCTTCAACGCGCCGACTACCGAAGACCGTCTGTCACCCTTCGTTCTCGATCTCCGTTCCTGATTTTCTGATCCTTCTTTGTGCAGACTATGGCTCCTTGGCTTTGCCATATTCATCTCATCAAATATTCTTGGTTCAATATTCCAGATCGCTTCCCTTCCTGTCGTCATCCTAGCCCCGCTCGGTGCTGTCTCTCTCCTCTGGAATGCCTTCTTCGCTAGATTCCTCGTACGTCGTCATCCTATGCCCTTTCTTTCTCCCTTTCATTGATTTGTCACTAGCTCGGAGATGTCTTCTCGTGGTGGATGCTCCTCGGCACTGTTCTCATTGCTGGCGGCGCTGTCCTTATTGCGATATTCGGAATCGTTCCAGAACCGACACACTCGCTCGACGATCTACTTCACCTGTTCGGCCGCAGTGCATTTATTGCCTACTTCTCCTTACTAGGAGTTGCATTACTTGCTTGCTTAATTATCGTGAGTTGATCGCCTTCATGTTTCATCAACTTAGGTCACATTAATATGCGTAGACACACATCATTGAGTTCTCTTTGTCCCGTAATACATCTCCACCTCCGACTCCTACTTTTCATCCGGGGCCGCTAGAATCAGTCATTCCTCAACCGTTGCCCCCTCCGTCGTCCCAAGTCCTCTCAATCACCGAGAACACTCCCCTTTTGGATAGGAAGCCTCCGCCGACTCGATCATCCACACCAATTCCTTTCTTTGATGGCACTAAATCAAGAACACGACTCCTAATTGCTATTTCATATGCCTCAGCATCCGGTATACTAAGTGGGATGTGTCTGATATTCGCCAAAAGCGGGGTAGAACTCATCGTGCTCACAATCGGTGGGCGAAACCAGTTCTGGCGGTGGGAAGCATGGATGCTGGTTCTAGGGCTCATCGTCTTCGCGCTCTTACAGCTCTGGTACCTCCAAAAGAGTCTAGTTTTCGCAGATCCGACGATCGTCTGTCCTCGTAAGTGTATTAAATCATCCCACAGACTGAAACAATTCCTCATTAATCGCCGTTGCCATCCATTAGTCGCCTTCTGCTTCTACAATTTGTCTTCCATTGTAAACGGATTGGTGTATTTCGATCAAGTCGCGTTACTCTCAGTGCTCCAGTTAAGTCTTGTTTCCGTTGGGATGGTCGTTCTCCTTGGTGGCGTATGGCTTGTATCCTTCCACGCCGGAAGCGGAAGAGTTGATTTGGGTACGTGGCAAGAGGGCGATGATGATATAGAAGAGGAAGAAGAATCAGAAATAACCGTACAAGCTCCGTCAGACTATGCGTCACCAGTATTTTCACCAGTCTGGCTCGATTCAGCGCTCTCTGACTCGGGGACATTCCACCGCACCCCGCTCTCACCGCATACGATTGCATTTCCTACGTCACCCGAGTCAAGCGAGCAAGAGCACGAGCAATTGGCGCAGTCACTTACACTATCACCCTCAACATCCCGTGCGAGACATCAACAGCAGCGGCGGCGTCATCGCTTCTCCATTCTGCAGCCGTCTGAGGCGACTATGCCTGGTGGTAGCTTTAGTATCGGTCTTTCGCCTGCGAGCCCGGGATTCGCTATTGTACCGAAGAGGCGAATTGGAACCCGTCTGCGGAGTATTGTACGGCGTGCGGCAATGCGTAGAACGGTCAGCGAGAGCGACGCGGATCCGAGTAGGAGCACTGGTGTTCAACGAGACACTGTTGCTGGAGTCGTTGCAGGATCGAACGAGGTTGGGCAGCGTATCAGAGCCAATGCACGCTGGAAGTGGCTGCGCAGTGTCTTCAATGATGGGGACTCGTAGATCTTGTTATAGAACATCTTATCATCTGGTATGCATTATGTACACCTACATATTTAAGCAATTAGTATTGTTTTTCTTGACTTTATCATGCATGACTTAAATGATCGACGTTTGTCCAAATAAGGAGTACGCCTTTCCACTGAGGGATACTCAAAACGCACCGTGCAGCCAACGTCCACCGCGACGACTACAATGTTCAAGCTCAGCATCTCTAGATCCGCCGCCAGCGCACGGCGCGCCTTCGCGTCCACTTCTCGCAGTCTAGCCACTTCAAAGCCCCCAACACCAACTGTGCCCGCAGCCGAAGCAGAGGCGACAACGGGCACCGCGCTTCCTGCAACGAAGCAATCACCAAACTACGCGCAGCCATGGTCGACAAGCCAGTATCCGCGTGCGGCAGCCTATGCAGATGCGAGGTTTGAGCAGACGGCGTTGGAGTTGCAGCCGCAGCCTCTGAGTGCGATGGAGCTTATTGCGCAGGAGCCTGTGAGGATTGTACATGGACGGATTGCGGAGTGTGATGGTGGTGCGTTGATTTTCTTCTACGTTTTGGCCAGGTCTCGTCGTCGGCTTGGACTTGGGTTATTGATTTCTTCTTACTTCTTCTGCTTTTTTAAAACGATATGTTTCCTTATCACGTTGCTCTGTGATGCCTGCTGACATGATGCCTGCAATAGGCAAAGGACCTCTGGGTCATCCAAAGATCTTCATCAATCTCGTACGTCGTTTCTCATCATCCACCTCATTCACCCGCTTCTGAAGCAAGCTAACCCCGGTGGAACACGACAGGATCAACCAAAGCCAAAAGCGTGCGGGTACGTATACCATTTCATGCAGGCATGAACTCCTATTCCTTGTGACGCAAAGCTGACCGGGGGCCTTGCCTTCCTTTCCTTCTCTTACCATACTATTGCCTTTCCGTATGCCATACCTTACTACGCCGGACTTTTCCACCCTTACCGCACCACACCACGATACCTTCGTGATTTCATCTCGGCCAAACACTCCCGTCATCGTCATAAATACTCAAATTAACAAATGTCCAGATACTGGTAAGTAATCCTCACCTTCAAATCATCATCACCGAACTCCTATTTTCTTCTCCATTCTGATTGACATGTCGAACAAACTTGCTGATCGATTTGCTGATATGATATATTCTCTTTTCTCGCAGCGGTCTCCGATTCCAGCAAGCTCCGCACGACCATTAACGTCATATCAATTAGACTAAACTACCTAAACCCCTCGTTATCTGTGCATATCAATACATATCATGCATACATATACATATACATACATGCCGCATCAGCCATGCAGAATTGCAATCACGAGCGAAAAGAGCGAGTGAGAGTTCAAACAAAGTAACTAGTCTCAATCGGCTTTAGTCCTTTCGAAAACATCCCCGTCTGCATCTAACGTGTTCTACGTGTTGCGTTCCCATGACCTTGCGACTAATCAGTCCGACAAAGTATCGGTCCCGGTCCTCCTGGCAACTACATATATCCTCATGAGAAACAACCGTCTCACTTCGTTCTCACTCTAAAGTCCGGACCCTACTTCCACATATTCAAATCCCATTCAGATACACATTCTAACTTTACCATGCGAAAAGACCCGTCGCTTTCTTCCCTCTTGGCTGCATACATTCGCGCTTATTTGTCCGACCGATGCACAAAGAAGACCAAAGGAGAAAAATAGAAATACATTATATATGTCTACTACGTCCCGTTCTGGCTTTCCACACACAGAACCAGCAGCTTGAGTAACAAGATGAGTGACGGAAGCTAACAACAGTTACGGACGCTGAACGAAACTCTGAGTTGTAAAGTAAGAAAAAAACAGAAAAAAATTGTGCTTCGACAGATGAGATAATAATACTGCGGAATACGAGAAATCCGTGTGAAAGAGAAGAGAAGAGCCGGAGCGACAAGTGAGACAGGAAAAAAAAACGAAACGAATGGAATTTGTTTGGGGTCAGAAAAAGAAAACGAGTATGCGATTAAAGAATAGAAGAAAAACTTAGATGGTAAACAACGAAGATAAAAACGAGAGAAAGCTGTGACTATGCGCAGGAATGCAGAAGGCGAACAGAAATAGAACGAACGAGTGTTGTCATGAATCTTCAGTCCGAACTACTAAAGGTTGTAGAGGTTCAGCAATCGATTCCAATTGTGAGAATGGTGGTAATGGGCTGTGCGGCATGTTGATACCGTCTTCCGTGCGTGGAGGCAATGGTGGCTGAGAAGTCCGTGTTAGGTATCATGCATTGAAGCATTAGAGGTATAATCACTTACAACTTTGAACATGGGGTTTATTGCAGAGTGAGGCGCTATTGCCGGGCTGGGTGGCTGCGCCTGAATCTGCCCATATTGCCCATATTCATAAGGACTACTCGGGGTGGGTGCACGAAAGCTTTGATGCTGCATCGGAGGGAGAGGATTAGGCAACGTGATAAATGGCTGTCGGTTCAACAACTGTTGTTGCTGCTGCGGCCCAGAAAGTGACAGAGAGTGCATCGGCAAAGGCGAACTTGCTTCGGACATTGAAGACCGTGCGGCATCATATGACGACATGGAAGCCCTTGAGTCAAAATCGCTTACGAGTTGTTGCTCGAACGAAGGCGAATTGGATGAGTGAGCGGATATCGACAACTCATCGCCAAATGACGTTCGAAGGGAAGAAGCAGATTGCATGCGAGTGACGCCGAAGAGGCTTGGTCGATGCCGCAGCCTCGTGGAGATTGGGTCACTTTCAACCGTTGCAAAGGACATTACAGACAACCTGCCGATGCTTTGCAGATCAGACGAGGACATGGAATGATCATCATCAAGGTCGCGTCGCCTCGCTTTAGTCCGATGCTCGGCTTCACGGTGGTTCTCATAATCCATTGGATTAGTTGCCTCGTTTGAACCGCGGAATCGCCCACCAGCAGCATTGATAGTCGCAGACGAGGATGACGCCTGTGCGATGCCAGAGCGCTGTTTGGATTTTGGCTTCTGAACACCGAGTAATTGGGTCGCGTTAGCCGAGTCCCAGTCAAAGTCGGAGCCGTGTTTCTGCTTAATCATCTGGCTACGCTTTTGCATGACGGCCCTAGCTTGTTCCCGACTGCGTTTCTCAGCCAAAGCACGCCGAGCCTTCTCCGCTTCCAATGCGATACGCTCAGCCTCCTTCTTACGTGTCTTCGCGTCCATGGGAGGTGGTGGTTCGATAACTATTGGTTCACCAATAGAGGATATCTCTGATGCAGGATGACTGTCTGTGCTTGACGTTTGCGTGCGCTTCAACGATGGCGTAGACGAAGACGATGCAACATTGAGTTCGTCCACGGGAGGAAGCACGTGCTGCTGTCCTTTCTCCCCGTTTCCGAACATAAGCCTCCCTAATCTCGCTGGTCTCCTGAACAGGTGATTTAGCTTCGACCCGGTCGGTGACTGTTGTATAGATGGCACTGCCAGCGGTTGCTCCGTGCCGGGAAGGTGTTTGGGCAGCTCCTGTGAAGAGGGCGATACCTCCATAGGCTCGGGTACCTGCTGTGGAACATGTTGGGGCGAAGAGGGTGTGACGTCCATTGCATCTCCTTGCCCATTCTGGAGTTGCACAGTACCGTTTGTCCAGGTGCCTTGTATGTGATTCGCCCCTGTAAACATAGAACCCGGTAGTGCTGGATTATAAGACGTGATGCATTCGTCGGTCTGAATTTGCAAGGCTTCCAACAAATCTGGAGTCGGTGACATTGGTCCGGTAGCCTGAGAGAAGAATGGTTTCCGATGCGAGTTCGTGTTGACATTGAACGCCGGTTTAGCGTTGGACGGAGAGTTCGAATGGGACGGAGGCACCGTACGAGGCGACAAGGAGGTCATGCTCAAAGCTGGCTTGAGTGACGGGGTAACGCTGATTTGAATTGGCACCTGCGGACCGGGTGGGATGTTACCGGGCATTGTCTCCATAATGTATGAGTGATCCAGACATTGTCGACAAGTCAATCGTGCATCTGGATCGTATTTGAGAAGATCTGAAATGCACTGGATTAAGCTATGTGGGACATTGCGGTCAAAAAGGGAATGCATGGGCACTGGCTTGAGCTAATAAATTGAGAAGAGTATGAGCAAGGAATGTCCCGGATGTGCTAAAAACCGTCATTACCTTAGGGAATTGATAGCCTACTGCGCGTGCCATCTTTATCCCTCTCAGCCATTTGCCGCCCCCATTAGAAACTCCACGTGCATCTACGCCATACTCATCCGACGGATCTCCTAGGATTTCGCAAATCCGAGCAACCTGGTCGATCTCCGTTCCTCCAGGAAAAAGAGGCTTCAAATTAATAAGCTCTGCCATGATTGTGCCAAGTGCCCAAGTGTCAACTGGGTTCGAATAATCTCGACTACGCAACAACACTTCTGGAGCACGATACCAACGCGTGGAGACGTACTCCGTGTATGGCGGCTTACTCTTTGTTTCCCGTGCCAGACCAAAATCGGCAAGTTTCACGATGACGACAACGTCTTTTTCCGGTGGGGCAGAAGGTGCGGCTAACGGCGATACATTGCGATAATCGAATAGACCGGTCGTTGTCACCAAGAGGTTTTCGGGCTTCATGTCCCGGTGGAAGTAGCCGTTCGCATGGATGTGATGAAGTCCCGATACGACCTGCCGAAAGATACAGGAGACGAGACCGCCTGCCAATGGACGTCCTTTCCTCGACTTAATCAGCTGATACAGGTTGCCTTCCATGGGTTCAAACACGAAGTAAAGTTCCTTGGTGGACGGGAGCAGGAAGAAATCGTACAGTGGAATAATGTTGGGGTGAAATGGTATGGCTCGTAATGACTTGAGAAATTTCAAACAGTCCACTGGTCAATCATCGACGGTGTATGGAATGCAAAATGGACACGCACCTGAAGTTCCTTCAGTTTTCTGCACTCGTCCCATCCCCCTTCCCATCTTTTCTTCATACGCTTCAATGCGACCAAACGTTTCCCAGCCCACTCCGGTCTCGCACCGGCGCCACATTGCATGGGGGATAGAGGTGTATTCGGCGGGAGCGTCGAGTGCCAATCAACGAGCCAGACGGTGCCAAAGGAGCCATCTCCCACAACCTTAATCGGTGTGTAGGAACGTTCGGAGCCTTGAAGTGAAAAGAAGTCGGCTAGTCAGTCGGCTATGCATAAGTGGAAACATGTGGGCAATACTGACTACTCTGGGCGTCGCCATGGATGAGTCGACTGCCATCGACGACAATAGAGGGGATTGCTTGGACACGGATGGGCTCCTTCGGCGCCGCAGCGGCGGAGGGCCGATGGTTGGGTGTCGGATGGGGATGGTGATTCCCATTTGGTTGTAGGTGGGTGTGGTGGGTGTGGGTATGGCCGTTTGGAATATGTGGATTGTACTGCTGCTGGACATGGGTTGAGGATGCGTACATGATACTACTGGATCGGCGAGCATTGCCCTAAGACTGGGAGAGGATACGTGACAGGTGCGGGGTGGCGGAGGGAGGATGAGAACTAATCGGACATGAAAAGGAGAGATAAAATATTAAGTTAGGACAATGTACGGCAGAAGGAAGGAGTGGGAGAGCACGGCTGCGTCGAAGGCGTCTGTGTGGGCGAAGACGAAGGAGGAGAGCGACGGCGAATGCCACGGACGGGACGAGTGTTGACGAGACGGCTCAGGTGTCGGGTCGGGGGTCAACACAGGTGGCCGGGGTCGGCCCGGGCGTTGCTCAAGACACTCAAATACAAGTCGCGCGCAGCTGGCGGTGAGCGGTGACGACGGCGGGGCGAGAGGAGTTGCTCGCTATTGCCGACGAGCGCAGGGGACGTTGAGGAGGGAGGAAGGAGAGAGTCGCTGGCGATACCTACTTGGAATGGAAGGATAGAAACAGGAAAAAACACAAGTAAATGGGAAGAACTGCATCAAAATCATTTTCCGGACGACACTTCTTAGCGTGACAATCGCGCCGATCCGAGCGCTCCAAACCCAATTCTCAATTCATTCCCGGTGCGGACCCGCGACACCCCCGGCTACGGTTTTTCTCGGGCCTACGCTTTGCCGCACATTGCCATTTTTTTTGGGTTTTATTCCGTAGTGCTTACGAGTAGTACATGTCTACATACAGCAAAGTCTGCGTCAAGGGATCAAAACGGCACTTCATCGAAGAGCTTCGAGACGCTCTCGCCATAATGGCTCCGTCGGATAACTTCCGCAAGCACTATGCCGATGTCAATCACCTCCACCTTTGAACACGCCGCCTGATGGGTCTCTTGCGGGATCGTGTTCGTCACAATCAGCTTCTCCAACGTGCTCTCTTCCAAGCTATTCAGCGCATTTCCACTCAAAATCCCATGCGTCACGATCGCGACAACTTTCGTCGCACCAGCTTCCGTGAGCTGCTTTGCCGCAAGCACGAGCGTCCCACACGTGTCCGCCATGTCGTCCACCAAGATCGCCGTCTTCCCTTTTACATGTCCTACGAGTACCATCCGCGAGACTTCATTCGCTTTCTTCCTTTCCTTATGGAACAGTGCAAAGTCCACGCCTAGACGATCGGCAATCGAAGTCGCTCTAAAACAGTCCAAAAATAAGCAACCGCTGCGAGCAGAACTCGGAGTGAAACAAGTCTAGAACTTCACCGTTTTGCACCGCCCGCGTCCGGGCTGACGATTACGATATCGTTCACATCATAATTGGTTGTGATGTGCAAAATGGCAGACGGCTCTGCATATAACTTCGATAACGCCGCAGGCAGACATGCGTGTGAAATTCAGCTAGAACGCATATAACCTGACAGCACTCACGCTGGTAATAGGACTCAATGTCAGCTCCCCACTCTACCACTTCTCTACAAATGTTACTTACTTGTCCACGGGAACATCAAAGAATCCCTGAATCTGCGATGCGTGCAGGTCCATCGTCTATTCACAGACACACACGGGAAACCCGATAAGTTCGGCGTGTAGAGAAACAGGACGTGTGGAGACGTACAACGACATGGTCGCACCCGCTCTTCTGTAACATATTCGCGACGAGCTTAGCTGTAATGGGCGCCCGACTTTTGTCTTTCTTGTCCTGACGCGCATACGGGAATAGAGGAAGCACGGCCGTGATACGTTTTGCGCTCGCGATTTTGCAAGCATGGATCATGATGCACATCTCCATGAGTGATCTGTTCACTTCGCCATGTCCAGTGTTCACGATGTACACGTCGTGCTCACGCACCGACTCCCCGATGCGTACGGAGGTCTCCCCGACACCATTGCAAGTTACTTCTGCGTTCGAGACAGGAATGCCAAGTCTGAAGTAATGGTTGTATGCAGAGTAGAATGAGACCTCTGACGAAATATAGCTGAGACATATATGACCCACCGGCGTGCTATGATCTCTGCGAGCTCAGGATGGCTTGTCCCTGTAACGTTTTGCGTGAATGAATGCAGTGGACACAAGCGTTGGCGTCAATGTACCAGAGAAAATTTTGAGTCCACCAGCAGACAGCATCTTGTGGCAACGAGCAAACTCGTCTTTGTGTAGCAAGAAAAAAGAGAATGAGTGCGAAATAGAAGGTCGTGAAGCGACACAAGAAGCTGACTAGTAGGCGTCAATAGTCGTCCATTAAGAGTGAATAAAAAGAAGGAAAATGAAGGAAACAGAGAAACGACTCCAGTACGCGGTACCTTCATTACGTCATCAAACTCATAACGCACGTTCCTTCACACCGTGTTTCGACAATGGCACAAATCTGAATTCTTCATTTGCCGCGGGGAAAACTTTAACGACAGGACTTCTGCTACAAAAACTATGGTACTGGTACAGATGCAAACCTGATGGAGAAGGATCGATTCAATTCAGAACAAGGAATGACAGGATGAAATGAAATATCATTTCGGAGGCGAATGTGAAGTTGACACTTGGGTTGATAAGTAGCACTGGAACGAACGAGGAAAGCTATGAAGGAAGCCGAGATATAGAGCTGTGGTGTAAGAGAATATAAAAGTAAGTCAAGAAAAGAAGCGTCAAGAATAGCACAGAGACAGGGATGCTACAAGGAATCATAATTATTAGTGGATTCCGTCGCGCCACAATAGCCAAAACAGAAGACGTGCAGAGAAAATATGCCTGAATGAGAGACCAATAAACAATTCATCTATGTACATTGCAAACTTAATCATAAGCGGGGAGGGGCCGCAGAGTTGCCTGTGGAAAAATTAGGGCGTGTGGCGTCCGATACTAACGTATGAGCTGAGTTCGGGTTGAGAATTGAAAGCAATTGAGCCGCATTAGGCTGCATAGGCTTGTATGAATTTACTGGCATGTTTGGCCCATGTTGGATAAAGGGAGGTTGTGGCTGCGCAGAAGGGGGTGGCAGCGGCGCAGTGAGAGGTCCTGAGTTGAGATGGACTGGTCCAGTCGGAGGCGGCATTACCCGCAGTGGCTGGGGCACTAGAGTACGCGTCCGTGTAGGCGGCATAAACGGGCTCGGTTGTACCGATCCAGCACCGAATGGTACAGGTGCTTGGATAGGAGCGGCACCGAAAGGTTGTGTATGATAAAACGGAACTTGTCCATTTGCAGGTTGACCATTTGATCCTCTCAGTATGGAAAGCAAAGAATCTTGTTGCATAGACATGTTTGGCCCATGACGGCGCATGGAAGGTGGGGGTGGAAATAGCGCTTGACTTGTCACGGGACGAATCGCAAACGGATCGATCGGAATCGATGTGACAGGTCGACCATTTACATTAGGCCTCATCCCAACATTATGTATCACAGGCCCTGCAGGAAGGAGTGCAGCACCATCCAGACCAAAAGGCATGGGTGGAACAGATTGTGGTGGACCAGGATGAGGAAACTGAGGAGCTGCGCCAACTGGCGTCGAAATTGCAGCCTCCTGAGCAACAGACTCGAGGAGAGCCAAGTGCTTTAGGTGACGATCAGAAGCTGTGTTTGGAAAGGCCGGACCTGAGGGTAACGCCTGCGCACTCTGAGGTCGAATAGTCACGATTGAACTATCTGACCTAGAAGAGTCAACCGGAGACTTTGTACCGAGCAGAGAAAGAGAATTTGCAGTAACAATTGGCGGGATGGGGTCCGCATTCCTAACTTCATTGTCCAAGGCACCCATGGGCCTTGAACAATTCTTTTCTTTCTCGGTAGCAGACGCAAGACTACTTTTCGCTGAAGTTGGGGTAACGGAAGTAGATCGTAATTCGGTTTCCTTGTTGAGCTCGGGTTTACTGGCAGAAAGAGTGAGGCTACTCAGCAACCGCGCAAAATGTGGATCCAATGGAGCATCAGAGTTGCTCTCCGTATCAACTTCCGCAGCGACAGGCATTGCCTCCGTTGACTGAGGCGAAGGAGTCTGAGGCTCGCCATTATCGACAGACGATGAGCTGTAGCCATGCACATCGCGTTCAAGGCTGACGGCTCTAATTGATGTCTGTTGACGATGCTCAATATCAGCATCACCATTGAGATTCGTTTGGATCGAGAGGTCCACGCTTGGATCGTCAACGTTCTTTCGCCGATTTTGACGACGGCGAGTGGGCTTATTAACTCTAATGAACTCCTTTAAGGCACTATACATCCATGTGAGACACGAAGACACGGTATGTGCGTGACAAACTCACTGGACAAAAGGAGAAATCAAATAAAACTTCCCAGGAACTTGTTTATTACGCTTCCAAGAAGGGAGGTCCGAAAGCTTAAACCAATCAATTTTCTGCAGATGTAGGCGGATGAGACAACTGTCTAAACGATACAGTCATTATACGCACGCTGATCTCCTTTCTAGTACGAGTATGGAAGGGATAGTCCTCGGGGATCCCTCCTACGATGAAAAGCGTCACCCGTTGCTCTCTTATCGTCATTTCAATGCAGTCCTTTGGGCGAATATATTCAGAGATGTTGAAACCGGTTTCTTCTGCGACCTATGGAAAACATTTATTAGAATATGCGAAGACAGTATGCTGCGAATACTACCTCGCGTGCTGCACACTCGTGTGCTGGCTCATTCTGGTTGATCTTTCCCTTAGGAAAGCTCCAGCCTGCGGACGACTTCCAGCCCTTCACAAGTATACACTGTACGCAGTAACTTTAGTCGAAGACTATGAGGAAGATGTGCGAACTGTGCACCTTATCCCATTTGTCGTTGAGCATGATCGCGCCACACACGGGAACGCGAACCTTGTACTGCATAAAGGTGTTGAAGTATTGCTCGTGTTCGGCGCTCCATTGACGAAGAAGGGGACATGAGTTAAAAAAGATGGAAGAAAATCTCTTGAGCGTCAAGCTTGGAAGCTTTGGATTCGCTTCGCGCATAAAATCCTCGTAGTACCAGTGCCTAAAAGGAAGCGATGCAATGAAGTGAGGAGCGGCAAGGGTCAGGATGACTCGTGGCTCACGCTTGTTCGACTTGGAAGCACATCCGCTCAACGGATTCCAACTCTTGATCCGGAAGATTCATGATAAATCGACTGTGTATGAAGACAGAATTGGACATCGGAATTGTACACTGGCTAAACGACGCAGGCGAGCTTACGTGGATAATTCCTCGAGCACCTCGTCGAGCGAGGCATCTGAGAAGAAGGAAGGGTCAAAGGTCGGGGCCGAGTGTGATATTTCTGGAGAAGATGATGAAGAGGACGAAGCCATGATTGCATAAGATGGAGGAGAGAAGAGAAAGGAGGGCAGTAAGTCGAGTCGCTGTACAGATGTTGATTCGTTGTGGCCGCCTACGTGCAGTGCCCCTAGCCTGAGCTCACCGTAACAAATTGTCACATCCCGTGACTACTAGCGACAATAGACTTCCCCAAAATGGACCATGTTGTTATCTCGCGCGCACAATTTACATAAGCTAGAACATCAACGTAGTGACGTAGTCAAATCAAACAGAAGCTCTCATGCTCCTGGCCGTTGCATGAGTGTGCATGAAAGGTCCCATATTGTAGTCATTCACTGCTGCTATCCAACTAGCCAAGAATAACAGTTTACTGAAAATTGGTAAACCCTTCTCCCTGGGCTCTAGTGAACAGCCCTGGAAGGCCTGATACACGTCCCAACCAGTTACCCCTGGAATGGACAAAATACCACCCCGGTGTAAGTTGCAAGCGCTCCTCCACAAATGCTTCTCCTTGGTTCTAAGCTTCCTACCGTCGGAGACTCGGAGGTACCGATTGTAACACTACTGTTAGTCGCTTCTTGGATGTTTCATAGTATTATTCATGTATATTCTGGACTGCCCGACGTGCTAATCGTATACTTTAACTAGAATTCATTCGGAATAAGTGTACTCCTGTTCTTTAATCTTGCTTTTCTTTCTTTCTTTAGAGAACGGATGCGTGACCCGAAAAATAGCCTGTATCGGGATGTCACGCCCGATTGTTCAAAGGTACTTCCAAAAGAGGTAAATTCGTTCTCGAGACTTCTTGCCCGTTCTACGCCGATCTCGACGACGTCAGTGTCCCGAATGTTCTCTGCTGAATCAGTTTGCGCATATAAAGAGCTCGTCGGATGCTAAACAGGCAGTCTCAGCTTATCTCCTATTAGAGTCCTAAATGTCTAGCTTCAACTTCACTGACCGTGCGCAGCAGTCAGTCGCTGCTGCACTCCAACTTGCCAAAGACTATGCTAACGCCCAAGTATACCCCGTCCACTTGGCCTTCGTCCTTCTCAACGAAGGTTCTGGCGGCGCCGAATCAAAGCAACATTCTCTTTTTTCTTCCGTTATCCAGAAAGCCGGTGGCGAACCAGTAAGTTTATTGCACTTCTCAGCCGTACTTGCTTGCGCCCATGCTAACGTGGTCTTTTAGCAACTCATGAATCGTGCTCTACAAAAGCAGATCGTTCGCCTGCCGACGCAAGAGCCTGCACCAGAAGATATCTCGATTTCCTCTGCTGCCATGAAAGTCCTCAACGAGGCGCAGTCCGTACAAAAGAACATGCACGACAGCTACATAGCCCAAGACCATCTCCTCCTCGCTCTCATTAAGGACTCAACTATCGCCACCGCACTCAAAGAATGTTCCCTTACCGAGGCTTCCCTCAAGACCGCCATTCAGCAAACACGAGGGGACCGACGCGTCGACAGTAAACAAGCTGAAGAGGGCTTCGATGCTCTGCAGAAGTACGCCGTTGATCTGACAGCCCTCGCTGAAGAAGGGAAAATCGATCCAGTCATCGGGAGAGACAACGAAATTCGACGCGTAATCCGTATCCTCTGTCGAAGGTATGCATTTACTTTTTTATGATTTTTTTAAAGAATTTAATTTCGATTTCAGAACAAAGAATAACCCAGTTCTAATCGGAGAGCCTGGTGTAGGAAAGACAGCTATCGCTGAAGGCCTAGCTCAACGCATCGTGAAACGCGATGTTCCAGCTTCACTATTTTGCCGTCTCTTCAGCCTGGATATGGGTGCACTAATGGCGGGTGCAAAGTACAAAGGCGAATACGAGGAGCGGGTAAAGGCTGTCCTAAATGAAGTCGAGAAGGCTGTAGAGGAAGGCACTGGAGTGATTCTCTTCATCGATGAACTCCATCTCATCATGGCAGGAAGTGGTAGTGAAGGAGGTGGAATGGATGCAGGTAAGTTACCTTGATTTCACTAACTTGATAATATTTGCTGAGCGTTTGTACAGCGAACCTCTTCAAACCTCTCTTGGCGCGCGGGAAGTTGCGATGTATCGGCGCGACGACCCTCGCCGAATATAGAAAATACATCGAAAAGGACGCCGCCCTCGAACGCCGATTCGCTCAAGTAATCGTCAACGAGCCTTCCGTCCCCGAAACGATCTCGATCCTTCGAGGTATTCGGGAGAAGTACGAGGTGCACCATGGTGTGAGGATCCACGATGGCGCTCTCATTAGCGCCGCACAACTCGCACATCGCTACCTCACGGCGAGAAGACTTCCGGACGCCGCCATCGATCTGGTCGACGAAGCGTGTGCAAGGTAAGTCACACATTTTGGATTTTCTTCTTGAAATAGTTGTTGATCATACTGTCTGATAGTGTTCGTGTCACCCGCGAGACCGCTCCTGAGGAGATCGACAAGCTCGAGAGGCGCAAGCTTGAGCTTGAAGTCGAAATCCATGCGCTTGAACGCGAAAAGGACGAAGCGAGCAAAGAGCGTCTTAGCGTCGCTCGCAAAGCTATCGCGGATGTCGAGGACAAACTTGCTCCTCTTAAGGCCGCGTACGAGAATGAAAAGAAGCGTGGAGATGAGATCACTAATCTGCGTCGACGGATTGATGAGCTGAAGGCGAAAGCAGATGAAGCCGAGAGAAGGTATGTTATCTTAAGCTTATTTTACTCCTCTGTAGATCAGATAATTGACCTGTGGTATTGTGCAGATACGATCTTGCAACCGCATCGGATCTTCGTTACTACGCTCTCCCTGATCTGACCCAGCGAGTCGCCCAGCTTGAGGCAAAGAAGGCGGAGGAAGATGCTGCCGCAGGTGGTGGAACCGATACCGTAACGTCTGAACAGATTGCTGAAATTGTTGCCCGATGGACATCTATTCCGGTCACGCGACTTTTGTCAACGGAGAAGGAGAAACTTCTGAGGGTAAGTACCGAGATGTGCTTGAAGATAGCAAAATATACTGACTGACATTTCTACCTAGATGGAGAAGATCCTGTCCGAAGAAGTTGTTGGACAACCAGAAGCAGTCAAGGCTGTTGCAAATGCTATTCGTCTTACGAGGAGTGGACTAGCAAACGCACAACGTCCGATTGCGAGCTTCCTTTTTGCTGGACCGTCTGGAACTGGAAAGACATTGCTTAGCAAGACTCTCGCCTCTATCCTCTTTGACTCAAAGGAAGCAATGATTCGTATCGATGCGTCGGAGTATTCAGAAAAGCATGCTATATCTCGTCTAATTGGCGCTCCTCCAGGCTATGTTGGTCATGACTCTGGAGGACAGCTCACTGAATACATCCGTCGCAAACCGTATTCAATCGTTCTCATCGACGAAATCGAAAAAGCCTCGCGAGAGTTTGTCACGTTATTCTTACAAGTACTCGATGACGGCCGGCTCACTGACGGGCAAGGTCGCGTTGTCGACTTCCGCAACACAGTGATTATCATGACGTCCAACCTCGGTGCTGCATATCTTAACGAAATGGGTGATGGACCCGTTAGGCCGGAGACTCGCGCACTCGTCATGAGCGCAATCCAAGGACACTTTCCACCCGAGTTCATCAACCGTATTGACGAAGTTGTAATCTTCCGCTCGCTTTCACGCAGAAACATAACGAAGATTGTCGATATACGTCTCAAAGAAGTACAGGAGCGGCTTAGCGACCGGAAGATGGCCCTCAATGTCTCTCCCGAAGCGAAAGAATACCTGGCATCCGTTGGATATTCGCCTGTCTACGGCGCCAGACCGCTCAATCGTGCAGTCCAGTCTGAGCTCCTCAACCCTCTCTCAATTCTCATCCTTGAAAATGCCGTACGCGACGGCGAGATGATTAACGTGCAATTTGATGGACCGCATAACCGACTGTACATCGTGCCCAATCACGAGGCAACAGCGAAGATGGACGTAGATTGGGATGATGATGACATTGAAATCGAAGAGATGGATTGAAATGATCGCAATTTTTTCTTAATTTGACCACTCAATACTTACTCGTTTTGCTATCTTCAAATATCTTGTATATTTTACTGTGCAAGCTGTATTAATAGACATGCAACCAATGTAAACTAGATCAGTACAATAAACTTGTTTCTTGAAGGTTAAAATTCTTTGGCCATAAGCAAGATGCGTCAAGGTAATGTACATAAATCATGGATACAGGGAGGACACCTTTTTTTAATCAGCGGCTAAAATATTCAATGCAAACAAAAAAACAACGTGGTTCAATGTTGCAGCGAATCAGAAATCGTGTTATAATCAGGTTCTGGCTCATGAAGATAAGAAAATGCCGGCTCGTGGTTTCTGGGCTTGACCCATTCAAACTTTTTAAGCTGCCAGCCAGAATGGTCAGAAATACAATCACGGACAGATAAATTCTGACACTTACACCAAAGTATTCCGGTTTATTCTGCCTTGGCCCATTCAACTCAACGAACTGGTACCGTGGCTTGCCTGTGACATCTCTACCAATATACGTAGCTGCGATATGCTTGATCCCAGCCCTCTCTAAGTGCTCGTAGAAATGATGTTCAACGATATCATTGAATAGCTCGACGGCTCTTTCATTCGAAGGATCCCAACGTTGACCCTGAAGGAACCTCCGATAGTCTTCTGTCATCCACGCGAAGTTCTTCTCGTATGCATCTCGAAGAAGGATGCTATAGTCGCAATCAGCGACGGGACAGTACCACTCCGACGATCCTGCGGGAAAGACTGGCGGACCGTATGCCAATTCCTTCGGTACGGCGGCTAGGACGTCGGGCTTCGTGTACAGTCTCGGTTTTCGCTCGTCCGGACCCGTGAAATGGCCGTCGGGAGAGGGCTCACGACTTCTCCGTGGTCTACCTACTTGGCGGTACTTTGTGGATCAGAAGAACTTGTCAGTAATACTCAGTGCTATAAAAATTGCGTTTAGCTCACAGTATGCTGATAATTGCGTTCAACCACGGTATCTCCGTCGGTGTCCATTGGGATCTCTGGAGCAGGTTCATTCTCTAATATGAGCTCGTCTTCTTCAGGCCACAACCCATCTATTTCATCACAATCACCGGGATTTCTTTCTTGTCCCAGTTGCCGAGGACTATTCCAGCGCGAATTCACCTCTTTAATGAACCTTATCCATGAGGTTTTGTCAAGCAGTTTACCCTTAGTTATCCTCTGTAGAAGCCAATGAGAGTGTCTACCAAACATGGTATAGACTTCTGACCGATGGACGTGTCGCGGCGACAGGGAAGGATTCGTATTATTCGCACGAAAGTGTTTCAAGTTTTCTTCAAGATATTTGGACACGAGCCACCTTGGAGTGCGTTCTCGGAGAGGCGTATGTTCATTTTGCTTAACTACGTTTGCTATTGCCCTATAACAGCTCCATTTCGATAAAAAGACTCTTGAAAGAGCGTAGGACTGCACGTGCAGAGATCGAATTATGAACTCATGTTCGACCTTTGATCTAGAAGACTTATCAGTAAGCGAAGCCTCGCAGTTCTCTTCAATTACTAACGCGTCTCGAGAGACAATACTGAAGACAGTAGAAGCTGTCCAATTAATTCGTCAGTCACAGATGCAAAAGTTAATATAAGAATGCAGAAACTGACTGTCTAATCCCCTCGGTTCGAATAGGAGTGTCCCACATACTTTGACTTTAATTTTGAAGTGAGGACTGAAAAAATACTGTTTCTCCAATGTTCTCTCCATCTTCTGGCACAGATCGGCACGCAATCTTCCAGTGCCCTCGTCAGATAGATAGGATTTGTTTGCCGCTGTCAGTGTTAACACGCCCATGAATTTGACTGGCCCTTTATCTCTATATTTTTTGTTGTCGACATAGTCAAGACTATGGAAACATTCAGTTTAAGCAATCAGTTGCTACAGCAAAGTTGCCTGCCACATAAACCAACATACCCAATGATTTCATTTTTTTGTCTAAACAATACTGAATTTAGACTCAGGCTCTTCCTTGAGCCTAGCCGGGGATTAAGCAAATCTGCAACATCATATGGTCCAAAGTGTTCAGCTTGTAGTCTCTCAGGAAGTGGGAGCATAGGTAGTGTACAAGAAAGTAGTTGCTTCCAAGTTGGAGGCGTAGCCCAAAAGTCAAGACGTTGACGGAAAGTTGGTCGTTGTCTTTTGTGATTAGTCATCAGACGCATATTTTTAGAAACACAAAGTCGCCATGAAGCTGAAAGCACTGGTCATGCAGAAATTTTTATTTCAATAAAACTCGATGACAAGACGGTATCACCAGTGATAATATACACTTCTAGAAATCTACAACAACTATATATGTAAGGAAATACTACCAAGTCCCCAAACAACCACCCTCCCAACCCAAATCACGAACGCGCCCCAATGCAGCTTCCACCTCGTCTACCCATGAATGTATCTGTTCGCCGGAATTGGTTCGTGTTGACGTGTGTGGCAATTTTGACACCTCCAAAATATAAACGTCATGGAACGGGGTGCACTGAATAGAAGGCCTTCTGTTTATATGTCGAACGACCAAGTTAAGTTCTGTTATCACAGGCGCGAGACCTATAGCCTTCTCAGAATCTGAGGATATTCGTAAGAGAGCGCGGGATTCTTCGGACTCTACATCTGGAACCAGAGACGAGGAGTCGGCTGTTATCCAGAATTTCGTGAAATTATCTGCTGCACTTTTAGCAACAGAAATCTGGTCTACTTGACTGAAAAGCTGCGTACTCTTTTCACTCTGGATTCCTTTCTCTAATAGCTCGAGGCCCGGGTACACAACCGTGCACACTTCCGAGCATATCGCAGCGGCAACCTGTCTCAAGGGTTCCGTAAGAATCGCCTCTGCCGCTGCTGCTGTCGACGGCGTTTTCGTTACCACAGCTTCCGGCAAATGCTCCTTTAGATATGAGTTGCATTGGCCTAATGCCTGAGAACAACGATCAATACTTTGTTGAAACATGACTAAACTAAGGGAGGTCAAAAATAATACAGACTTGTTCATGACTGAGAACCTGTTTGACATCGCCTAGCTTCGTTCCTTGAGCAACCAGAAGGCAGTGTTGAACTTGTAGAGTTACTTCTCCCCGAATGAACTTGGTTTTTCCTACTTCTGGTAGTCGAAGAAGATCGAGTGATTCAATAACGGCTCCGAATATAGAATTTTCAGCAGGAATTACGGCAATTGAAGCCTCTGAAGGAACTGCATGGAATGCATCTAGTCAAAAAAATGTTTTAGTGAAACATCTGGAAAGGCAAACGAAGAATATAATCATGCCTGATATAGTTTCCTTCTGAACATATTCAACATCATGGCCGAAGTGGTTGAATGCAATCTAGTGTTCCGCAAATTGTCAGTGCATGCCACACCTCGTTCCCGCACGAAGCTGTCTCACCTGATGAGAATAAGTACCCCTTGGGCCCAGAAAAGCGACCCTCATCGGTGTCTCGCTAGTCGTGCGTTTAAACCGAGACGATGCACCAGTGTCTTGAATAAACGGCATTCGTCGTCAACAACTTGCAAAAACGTGACAAGCGATATCGCAGTCCAAAACCCGAAATGTCCGGCAAACTCAGTATAGAAGATAGCGGCAGATGTGCAAGCCTCAAGACACGGACGTGATATAGAGATGTGTTCATGGCGGCCGCAGTTTGAGGAAGGAGCGACGATCAGCAGTCATGAAGCGTTCCTATCGGCGAAAGTTGATTATTCACACCGAGTAAACAATATAACATCGACAATTCTCAATCGCCCCAAGTACAGGAACGGGAAGTCTAGTAGTAGTAGTACATACAAGAGACAAAATACCGATAGCACTGGACAAAAAGCACTCGAACCCGATTAGACCTAAATATAGTCTACAAGTTAAATTGAAGAAATCAAAATGTATCAGTTATTCGTATATCTCGGGCGGAATACCAATCCCCATGAGAAAATCAAGACCGTTCGCGCCGCCATTCGGTACCGAAATTGTCGAATAACCAGGACTCATTGGGAATGCTGGATTTTGGAAGTTGGGTAGCATGACATCATCTAGTATTCCAGCGGTTTGCAAAATAATATCATCGAGCATCTTTGCATATCGATCTAACAAGTGCCAAGTAAGGGCAATATGCTGGAACGAAATAAGATCCGGAATACGCACATGCCAATGGAATACGTGTTCCGATCTTAGCTAGAGCAATGCTACCGTGAATCAAACGTATGAATGTTAGCACATGTCGGCACAAACTCGAAGAGCAGCTATACCGAATATATTCAAGTTCGGTTCGCACCGTCTGCGACTGAACCTGATCTCCCCTCTGCTTTGCTTCATGAAGGATGCGCGACAGGACTCTACCGGCCATGAAGAAAGCAAACTGATTAAGACAAGCATGTGTGAGATGAGTAACCCAACATGTATAAATGGCCTTACGCAGCAGAAATTGTCCAGCAGAGTTAGGTCGAAACTAGTTGCCCATATTGCATACAGTTGGTCAAGAATTGCACGAGCGGCCTCTAGGATCCTCTGAGCGGAAACGCATCCTTTCCTTTTCAAGTCGACATGCGGGTCATGCAGTAGAATTTTTGCACTGGCCAGATTTTTAACACGAATTAGCACCCAGAAAAGTAAATATAGTAGGTGTGAAGACTGACACGCTTGGGGCGAGATGAGCGATAAGCAGATGCATGTCGACGACTCCATCCTGCGTGGCATCTCTGAATCCTTTGGGAAAACTCGATGTAAAAGCTGACACCAAATGGTCCATTTTCTTGAAGCCTGAGGTCTGTCGTGGGTCGATGTATTGTGCATTTGCACAGTAATCTTCGCTGAGCAGCGAACCTAGGGAGTTAACCATGTCTGGTTCTCCTGCAAAGTTCTTCGCACGAAACCGTAAATTAAAGTTCTTTACACGAGATAAAACCTGCAGTAAAAATGAATGGATGACAAGTAGATTAACAAAAGAGACCTCGTACGATTGATGATTTTATATACAAGACGAATGAGTCGGTTTGCTCTGGGGGATGCGTGAGGAGCATGTCAGGGCTATGAGCCCATTGTCGGTCCTTTGGTGGCACGAGAATCTGATACCGTTAGGTGTCAGTGACAGCACTTCTTGACGAGACAAGGAAAGAAACATACGCCTTGCTCAAATTGATCAGCTCGAACAGGGAGTAACTGTGAAATATCCTGATCATCTAAGCTCATGGCCCATCCATTTCCCGAGGAATAAAACCTCTCTGTTGCATAGGTCAGCCAAAATGTGTTCCGCCGCGTTTCGTCATCTATTACGGTCTTTGCGGGAGCGATAATGGATGGCGCCCGAAGGCATTTGGAAATGGAATGAAACGGTGGGCACATATTCAAGCCCAAAGGGATCAGGTATCTATTTTGCAGGAGGACATATAAGATGCGACATGTAATGTGAGCGGAGGAGAAATACCTCATTGCACGACCGCTTGTCAAAAATACCTAATATCGAAGCGTGAATAATGTCTTAAATAGATAAACTGCATCTTAATTACGTCTGCCCATCTACCCTAAACGTAAGTATCATAAATCATCGACCAGAGGGATTGACTCACTTTGCATGCGTGTGATAAAACCAACAAAGTGCGGTGGTTGCTATTTGTGACAGAATATTAGACATGACCAATAAGAATGATTCGAGGAAAAGGATAAAACCTTGCTGGCACTCGAAGAGGCGTTCACCAACTGTCGTGCTTTCGTCAATTGCAGCAGCAGCAAACTTCGCGTGTATTTCGCCGAAAGAGTCAGGTAAGGCTTTCCGTCGTTTATATGCGCTTTGGAAGAGGTCATCTGTGGGGCATTGAGATATACACTGGCAACCGACATATCTGACTAGAGGGCAAACCTGCTGGGGTCTCTGCAAAGTTCGGTAGGGGAGGGGGATCGACGGCGCTAGTGTAAAAGCTTCCAACCGCACATATCGCGTGTAAAATGGCTGAGTGAAAGTGAGCAAGGCCTTTTTCCAGTTCACTGCAAGACATACCAGTATGGGGAAAGTTAGAATGGGTCGACGGCAAAGTTAATGAGGCCAGAAAAGTCGGTCCATGAAACAGTCGGCCAGCATGAGGATGAAAAGCAAAGAAGACTTCCACGCTATCGCAGCGTTCAGCAACGCATTAAGTCATAATGGACGACATTTGTCTTACAGATGCTGTAAGAGGGGAAAAGCAGGCAGATTGTGGGGCCAGTTTGGCCAAAGTACTTGTGTAGCTTGATTAGTACCATTTTGCAAATCGCTTCCACTGTCGGTCGCGAAGTTTAGCGGAGGAGTGGAAATAGGAGAAATATGCGCCGGTATTAGAGGTGAAAACGGCTTCTGAATGTAGGGTAACGTGTTAATATACTCTTGGTTTGAGGAGTCTGAAAAGCTGTTTATAGGCTGTCCTGTAAGAGATAGGATTGCGGGTGCGGAGGTATTGGTAGATATTGACGGCCGTGGATGCTCCTCCTCCTCTTCTTTCTGGCGCAGAAGTGCTTCAAGCTCATCTGAACGAGTTCAAATGACAAATTTCACCCAGATGGAGATTACAGGACGTACTTATTCGATTCTCGAGCCTCTCGTATCTATTCTTTGGCGCGGAATGGGGCTGAGCGCCGTTCTCCTGGACTTCGTCAAATGTACATTCAAGGGGCGGCACCTCTGCACCTGGAGGAGCATGGGAGACAGTGTTCTTGTGTGACCGAACACAGGTTGAGCAAGGTCGCCGTGCGTCACTTTAGCCAGTGGGTTAATAACAGCAGGCTCGGGCATCGGTCTTGGACTGACCATTTCTGCCGAACGAAAGTTAGGCTGATGAGACTCGGCTAGCACACAGTAAATGGATATAAAGAGATGCTTACAAGCTTCCTTCGTCTGCATTGGTGACATGCCTACGGAGGTATCACGCTCGATGTTAGAGTCCAGACTCAAGCGACACAGCATGGACCTGCCTGATTGCGTTTGAGGATGGGAGCCGGGGTCGGTTCGCCTGTGTGGTCGGTGAATGTCCCGCTAGGTATCTTAGGCATGCCCAGCCTGCTCGGATGCTCTACGCGACTCGAACCGAGTTCAACAGGTACTGTGTTGGGGATGCTCTGGGATAGTGCTCGCTGACTGACCAAATTGACGGCGGGCTTAAGGTGCTGACATAAGACATGTCTAATTGACGTACTTGCATTGAATCTTGATGTCCGACCGAGTACGGACGGGATCAACAAAAAAATATGTAAAACAAAGGTTCAAATGTAAAAAAAGTTAGACATGGTACTGCCATGTTCATCCAAGCAGTCGACCGCCTTGTTACTATGACACACTGGCAGACAGACATCTCCTGCATCGTACACTACTACCCCCCTAATATATCACTTGCAAAACTCTACTGACCAAAGCTGAACCCTCCTTGAGGCGCAGAAACATCTGAATGAAACTAAATATGTATGCCATGCATAAGTGTATAGGCGGCTGCAGAAAACATTATTACTCACAGCAAACTGACCCGAGGCATCAACAGCGGGGGCTGCAATATTTGTATCCTCCTCTTCATCTGCAAAGTATTTGTCCATTATATTGAATGCCTTCTTATAGATTTCCAGATTATCATGCTGTTGAAGGTTATGAATCATATGCATGCCGCCACACTCTTCCACGTAACGCGCATATTGGCTCGTCGCACCAGGACCAGCCGCCTGTTTGTCCATCTCTCCAACCTTCAGAATATTATCCAGCCCGTCCAGCGCGACCTGTATAATCTTGTTGTCCATTGTCTGTAGCAGGTCGCAAAGCGGCTTTATGCATCCCTGACTGACGAGATAACGAATTTGCGAGGGTTCTTGAAGACCGCCTGAAGTCGCATTCGAGATAGCCCAGCATGCTTCCTTCCTCGTTTTGAAGTCAGCATTCTGAAGAATATTAATGAGGGGCGGAACAATATTGGCATCAATAACCGCTTGGATCTGGTGTGGAGAACCAGCTGTGATGTTCGAGATAGTCCAGCATGCTTCTTTACGGATGCCGTCTTTCGGAGAGGAAAGAAGCGACAACAAGGCCGGAAGTGCACCTGAGGCAATTACCACCTGAGTCTGCAAGTCATCACCAGTTACGATATTCCCGACAGAACGCAAGGCGGGGGTCTGCACAGATGTCGAGCTGTGCATGAGAAGATCGACGAGCCTCCGGCAGACACCTGATTCAATCACAGCTTGGATCTTATCGTTTGACCCATCCGACAAGTATGAAATAGCCCAACAGGCATCAATTAGCACCTCATCATCCAGTGAGTAGATTAGCTTCGTGAGAACCGTGAGGGCGGGTGAGATCTGTGGCGATAGAAGTCGATAACATACCATGCACGAAAGCATTAAAAATAGCTTACCAGTTCCCATTCGGGTTGAGGATTCTTACCCCTGCAGAAGTTGCTTAGGGTCCATGTCGCGTTCCGCAGCATACTGATTTTGTGATTTTCACTCAGAAGGGCGAGGAGAGGCCGAAGCGCCCCCTGTTGGAGTACATAGTCCCTACACTGAGGGCTGTCACCCGCAATGTTGCCCAATGCCCAAACAGCTTGTTCCCGAACGTCTAAAACCGGAGAAGACAATAAATTTATGAATTCTGGGACTGCGCCAGCCTTGATGACGACCTGCGTATGATCCGCAGTACCAGACGCGATGTTCGTCAAGGCCCATGCAGCTTCGAACTAATGGTAAAGCGTAAGTGACTTGTTCAAATCCTGAGAGGAGGTGCGTACCTGAAGCATAGAGTGATTACCGCGGAGGAACTCAACAAATCGCGGCACGACATTGCATTCAATGACCTTTTCGATTGGTGGGTTTTTCTCCTTTGAAAGGAGCTTGCGGAATTTCGTCGTAGCATCAAGTTGGCGATCAGGGTCATCCGAAAACACACCAGCAACAAGCTCTTCTGCCAGCTGAACAGATCAAGTTGAAGGTGAGGAATCGAACGCATATATGAATAAAGCCATGTTACTCACGGGAGCTTCCCAATTGCTGGAACCTACTTCGTCGTCGGAATCTGGTGCAGCAGAAGGGAGGAAGTTTCGCCTTTTCGTGATGTTCTCCTCTCTCTTTTGACGTCTAATCTCAACCTGCTGCTCCTCTCGACGGCGACGAAGATCGTCCTGCTTGAAGCCGCCCTTGTTCTTGAAATCTTATAGATACGCGTCCGAAAAAGATGGGGGAACAATTAGAACGGTACAGTACATGATTACTGATGAAAAACGGACTGGCTCTACGATGGTCCATGTTTCGTGACTCCATGATGCAGGTGCGAATACGTGGAGGTGATAGGACAAGTGAAGCAGGCGCGTCTAAGGTGATGATGGAACGAAGGAACTGGGCAAGGGGGTGAGAAAACGTGACTTTTCTAGTCACATCCCGTTCTTTCATTCAGCCACTCGTCAGCTTTTACAATTACAATAGTAGCTACTTGGCTATGGCCTCACAAGTGCTGCCACTTGGCGAGTACGCTTTCTTGTTTGTTACATGCACATTACCGCTTATAGTTTGTGGAAACAGAATTGATTGATACCTGCATCGGTTCTCGCATATGGGTCATCATGAAGAATGATCGCGAATTTACTGGCACTTTGCTGGGATTCGATGACTTCGTTAGTACGTAGAACCAACCATTCTCTGGCCGTTCTTAGCTCATTTTCCTTATGCAGATATGGTATTAGATGATGTCACAGAATAGTAAGCAAGTGATCCGGGTCACCTTTTAACAACAATCTTAAGTAAATTATTCTTCAGTCAATATTTACCTGAAGGTCGCAAAGTGACCATGTTAAGGCAGACATTACTGAACGGAAACAACATCTGCATGGTATGCTACTTCTACCACACTACAGCATTCCGTTTGCTAATTGACATCCAGTTGATCCCAGGGAGCTCAGGACCTGAGAGCTCTTAATCATCCGTACATGATTCGCATTTCTTTACGTTCAACGCTGTTGTATCCCCTTGTCATTTTTTATCCTAATCCTAATTTTCACTTGCAAAGGCCACGGACCAAACGGTTGGAAGTTATGTACTTATCAACCCCGAATCGATTAAACTATAAAACATGGGCCTCAGGATTGCTTGATAGAATTCTGTACAAACAAAAGCATTCGTCTTTGAAGCAGTTTTTGAAAATCATACATATACTTCCTTGGTGCACGATTGATTTTGTACATTGCTTCCTTCTGAAACTACAGCTGCGTAGTCAGAGAGGTACACAGGAATCGTCTTTGATGCCAGAAAGTAAACAAGAAGGTAGAAAGGTGGATAAACTTCTTTTCTGCGGAGTTCCAAACCAACCGAAACGCAAGAAGTCACGTCACGTCACGGGACCGGATACACTTCTTCACATTTCTTGGCTTGGTTTCAGCTTTCGAAATTCGGGCATACCAATTGCTTCAGCTCGTATAGCTCGCTCTAACCATGGTCGTCCGTATACGTTTTTCCATGCACGGCCCAACAAACAACAAATTCTTCCGCATCGTCGCTATAAATGGCAAACAACGAAGAGATGCGAAGCCTATCGAGACACTCGGTGTTTATCGACATACCATTGACCCAGCGAAAGACCGGACAGAAAAGTCGGTGGAATGGAGTGTGGCTCGAATAAAGTATTGGTTGAACGTTGGTGCACAGCCGAGCAAGTCGGCAGTCAAGCTTTTTACACAGGTGCGAATCGCACTCCTGCAGAGTGTGCAAACTGTGCTGATTATCTGTATTTAGGGCGGCATCTTACCACCAGATTCGAAGTACCATCCGGTACCAAAACGGCGGGACGCTTTGTCAGATCCAAAACAGCTCGGAAATAGTGGGAAATAAAGCTGAGGAAGGAGCTATTAAGACCGATTCGAGGTCATAAACGTACCAGGGATCGAACGACGTAGTGGGAGGCATGGCGGCCGCCAACCGGACATCGAAACTCAGCGCACTTCCGCTAGCCTTACGGTTTCTTGCTTGGTAGAAGGGGAGGATGATTATTGCGGGGCGAGATCTTTCTATTATGTATCTTTACTACCTAATCAACTGCTAGATTGCATTCGCAGACTATTTCTGATCCTTCCGGCTATCCAAGAAAATAACTTCTGTCTACTAGACAATGGATATTGCGTATGTACAAACTAAATTCACTTGGTCCGTGAGTAGTTTTCCAGCATCGTGGCTATATCCTCATGATTAGCTTCTCGAGCAAGATCAAGTGCAGTTAACTCGTCACTGTCCTATACAAACACTCAGACCGGTCTAAACCCGCCATGGGACATTGTAAACGCACCGTTAGACTCGCATCGGCTCCTTTCCGCAATAGTAATTCGACAATTGCTGCGTTCCCTCTATCACATGCAAGATGTAAAGCAGTAAAGCCCTGGTATTGAATACAGTCAACTGAGTAGTATGCATAGAAACAAACCTGACACCCACGTAATCGTCTACAGTATTTACGTCTATGTCCGGATATGATTCCAAATATGCTTCTAGCTTCTGAACATCCCCGTCAATTGCGATGCTATGTAGAGATTGTTCTTCGTCTTCTTCATCCCTTTTCATTACACTAACGCATGGGCCCATTCCATTTCCAATCCCGCTGGATACATTAGCTTCATCTGAGTCCTCGGCCAAAAGCTCCTCTGCCGTCTTTTCGACAGGAGCTTCAGGAGCAGGACCAGCCTCAACACCAGGTGTCCATCCTAAACTTTGTGCAATTTCTATGTATCGTGCCTCCGCTTCAGGTTCCCTCCCTTGCCAAGTCATCCCAGAAGATTTCCATGCGTCGTATTTGGCACGGTCAACTTGGAAGAATATCGATGGCCTCGATCCTTCAGGTTCTGCGGACACCGTGAGTAGTTTGTATAATCCGTAGAGCTATAAAGAAAGATGTAATCAGGATTCCTAGTCTGGGGTGGCGTTACGAAGTTCATCAACCTCAAGCTTTAAGTCATTCGAAATCTTGGGTAGGCCTGACGTATTTGGAGGATTTGAAAGGAACGATGCAGCCTCGTTGAAAGCCTCGGACGGCATGTTAAGAAAGAAATGACAGTAACAGAGGAGAAAGTATGTACATAAATCAGTTTCAAGCACAAAGTACTGGGCTATTTAGATCACGTGCACTTTGCAACCTCGATGACAAGTGCGATTCATGAAAAGAGCGGTCTATGATCTATGCTAATTGCAATAAGCAGAGGCATTATACAATCAATAAATATAACATTTCAAGCTAAGCCAGCGTCTTGCATTGCCTAAAAAGAGGATTAGAATAATAAATAAAGCATTTCCGTACAAGCAAATGCTTACCTTCAGCATAGTGGGGCCAATCTTGGCTGGGCTGTCAGTGACGATAACGCCGGCCCTCTCCAGAGCAGCGACTTTATCAGAGGCTTTCCCTGGTGACAAGTTAACAAGACTTCCTAATAATACTACACCCTAGACTCACCCTTGCCACCAGCGATAATCGCACCCGCATGTCCCATACGCCTTCCAGGTGGCGCCGTGCGCCCAGCTACGAATGCCACAACAGGCTTGGGGTTCTTACGAGTCTTGTTGTATTTCTCCAAGTACTCCGCAGCCTCTTCCTCCATGGTTCCACCAATTTCACCGATGAGGACAATACCTTTTATATCGCCAGTTCGTCAGAATGTTGTCAACAGCATATTTTTCGTGGGCTTACCTTCAGTCTCTGGATGGTCGAGGAAGATCTTTACAACATCAATGTGTTGTGTTCCTGGGAAGGGATCACCGCCAATTCCAACACACAGAGACTGTCCAAGACCAACATCCGTAGTTTGGGCAACGGCTTCATATGTAAGAGTTCCGGACCTCGATACAATGCCTATAAAATGTCTTAATGAATGTTGTTTCGAGCAGAATCCACGAACTCACCAATCTTTCCAGGTTTGTGGATGTGACCGGGCTGGATTCCCATCTTGCAACCCAAGGGATTGATGATACCAGGACAATTAGGACCTACGAGCCTAGATTTTGACTGGCTTTTCAGAGCAGACATGACCTGCATTAGAAGTAAAATGTCAACTCGCGCTGTCCTAAGCCAAAATAGCGCATCACGAACTCGAATTTCATCTGCCTGTGGGATGCCCTCTGTAATGCACACAATGAGGCCGATTTCATTTTCAATAGCCTCGATAATGGCATCGGCGGCGGTAGGTGGAGGAACGTAGAGAATGGACGCATCGGGTTTCGTTTCTCTGACAGCCTGGTGGCACATTGTTCGTCAGAACGACGCAAACCCGAGACGCTTTCATTAACTCACCTCTTTGACTGTCCCAAATACAGGAAGACCGAGATGCGTTTGTCCAGCTTTCTTGGGTGAGACACCACCGACCATATTAGTGCCATATGCAAGTGCCTCCCTGACGTGGAAAGTTCCCTTAACACAAGCATCAGAACACTGCCTCAAACGACCGCGAACCATATAACATGCTAACAGTCTTTCCAGTGAATCCCTGGCATAGAACCTTGGTGTCCTTGTGAATTAATAGGTTGCGTGCAGTGTCCGTGTACGAAGACCGAGCTACAGAATGCGAGAAAGTCCTCGCAGAGCCTGCGATTACCTGTTAGCGTCACACATCCTTTTCATACGGGTTTAAAATAGGCGCATAACTACTGACCTGCCCTTGCAACAGACTGAGCTGCGCGCCGATACATTTTGTTCTACGGGAGCAGGAAAGGAGAGGACAGGTAGAAGAGTCGTGATGTGAGTTTGAGGCGGTGTCTGCGGTTTTTGACGCGTTGCCGCTTCGGTAATAGCCGAGCAGTAAGCTTCGACGTGTTGAGGTCTTCTCTTGCCTCCGAGTCCCTCCTGTCGGAGTCCCGCACGAATAACATGCGCAGCTAGTGCGCTGTGGAGTTTGTCGGAATAGTGAGAATGTGACTTTCATCCCTACCTGCCTACGAAGTACATGCACTCTATATCTACTTCATTTCCTACACTCGGGAACTACGTTCTTAACCTTCCTTCAATCACGACCAATCAGGTTGGCGCGACGCCTGTCCTTGGTCCTCATCGCAAACCGATGGAAGTTGTTAATCGCCTTTTTCACCTTGTCAAACTCGCTGCTGGTAATGGCACTGAGGTTGGAAGGATTAACAGACGGAGTTTGAGAGGACTGGAGAAATGCTCTTACCTAGTCACTTCATTCAGTAACTGCTCTTTCGCTGGGCCGAAAGATGCCGGCATCGGAGTGCTATTCACAGCCGCGGGAAACCAGCTGAGAAGCTGCTCGGGCCATAAAACGGCCAGCATACGAAAAATTGTCACAACCATTGCCACGGTCTCCTCCGGGAAGTCATTCACTAAACCACTGAGGAGTCTCGCGGTCAGCTGTGTCCCCTCAGCATTAACGACCTGTCGGATGGATGCGGCATATCCTGGGAATTTTGGAGGGGGATTTTTGAGTGAAGGATCTAACGAATCATGCCCGATAATGCCGCGCAGGAGGTCCAAAGAAGCAAAAATGATATCACTGTGGATAAGTGCAAGGGATGCCACCGCGATTCGGAAAGCAGTCGGAAAGGCTGGTGACTCGATAAAGACGTCGGGTCTCTTCTCGAACAGATACAACAGCAAATGCACATAATCCTCGATGACTGAGTGCACTAGTTTAGATCTCAACATCAGACAGTAGGTTCATGAGTCTTACCATCAGGGATCTCGCTAATGCCCTTCTGTTGCAGTAAAGAGACTACTTTCGAGGTTGAACGCGCGAACACGTCTCTGATGGCAATGAGCATATCAGGTCTGTCTTCTTCGCCGAACAGCGAAATCGCCTTTCCAGCTATCCAAGCATAGCTTGCAAACCCGGTTGCTTCAAATGCAATGGACATTCGGGACAGAACTGAGGGCGCAACAGGCAGGGCTGCTGGACCAAAGAACCTCATTCCGCCACGAAGCACACGTGTTGACCTCTCTGTGATGTCGTACTGCATCCCGTATTTGGACAGAAGAGTATCAATGATAGACCACGATTGCTGACAGGTATCCATGCATGCGGCAGGCAACTCCTCTCCGAAAGTATCCACCACCGATAACATTGACTCAAGGTTCTCAAGGTTATCTGGAGTATTAGTCAGACGTTGGTCTATTCAAGAGCTAGATTAGGTATTAAGGAATACTTACCTGCGATGAATTGAAGCTCTTGTTTCGTAGGTCCAGAAGCCTTGGAAAGCAAGGTATGAATCTTGCTTAGAATATCCACCGAGAATGTCTTGAGAGACTGAGCAGCTTGTTCCATGGGCATGGCCGAAATTACATGGGCAACGGCCTCATACAGACGTAGTCGGTCATCCTGAACCAATTTGCTGTCTAGAGAAGTCAGGAAGGAATGCAATTGGGGAAGGAACGGAATCATGTCCTTCATAAGACAAATGCTGTCAGTTTTTCTCATATACGCTGAAATTAAAATCCTACCCGTTTACAATCAAGACAGAGATAAACCATGGCTTGGCTTGCCGCAGCAGATGCTTCACTGTCGACATCCTGGAATCCACTTGAGACGAACTGCAGCTGGAACGGGATATAACTCGGGTGTCGGCTTGTCCATTCAGTATATCTTGATATCACCATGATTGCAGCATATCGCACCCGAGGGTGATCTGGAAGCGAAGGCATTAAATCCATGATTTTTGGAATGACACGGTCGTCCGAAGGATCTATCTCGGCACCCATAGAACGCAAAGAGAACAGAGGTGCTTCAATCTCTTGCCACGACACTGGTCTCCCGGCGCGTGCTTCCTCTAATGCCTGTGTTAAGGTGGTCAGGACCTCCGTAAGACAATTCTCGGTGCCCAGAACGAAGCAGCAGTCCTTGAGAGTGTCTCCCATGACATGCCTGAAAGATCTGAAATCGTCCGCCTCCTGAGGTGTCATTTTACTAGGATCTTCAGGAAAGTAAAGGTGTTTAATCATGACACGCATCAACGACCTGTATGCATCGAGGAATAGTGGCGAGACGGAGGGCCGTTTTCCTATGCTCAATGCGAGCCGCATCCAGAACTGGAAAGTGATCGGAACGATGTCAAGGTCATGGTACGCGGAACATTCTCCAATTGCCTCGACGATGGGAAAGAAAGTGTCGGGATGTTGAAGAATTAGCATTCGATAGACTTCACCAGCTTCGCTATAGATTTTTGCCAGGCCCTTCATTTTGTCCGGGTCATCCTTCGCAAGGAGAAGCTTTGGTTTCAACTCTACTAGCTTCGGGACAATAGCTTCAATGACAGCCATATTCTCATCGACTTCCTGCGTCTCGTGTATGACTTCGCATAGCACGTCGACTGCAGCATCGAAAAGATCGTCGGATTCCAAAGCATCAAACGCGAATCCCAATAGTGGAGTTTCGGCAACCGTTGACGGAATAATCTCTCCTGCAATGACCCAGCTTCGTAGGCAGTAGAAGATCTGGCTTTGTAGAGCAGTCGTGACCCCTACACATAAAGTGAGAATAAGGCTTGAGAGGAGACAGCTAACATATATACCTGGAGCTGTTATGTACATAGTCAAAAGGCTGGCAATAGCTCCTGCGTTATTTGTGAGAAGCCTCGTCGAACCATCTTTATACTCATCAGGCTGGTATATCGCGAGATTGATGAGGATGTGATCAGAAGGATATATGCATCACTTACGGTCACAGGTATTTTCGAATTGCTACTAATCTCCTCCGGTAGAACCGTCAAGAACTCTAGCAATGTTGAAACTGTTGCCGGATTTTGACCGAATCTGTCGATAACAGACTGGACCGCGGTATCTTGCCAATCGGGAAATTGAAGGGCGAGCCCAGCAAGCGCGAGACTTAGCTGGATAATGATCGTCTTTGGACTTCCGGTTAATGACTCCATTGCAGTTAGAAGAGTATCTCGGAGAGACGGGATGAACGAAGGGTCCAACTGGTGGAGATCATATGTGACCTTTTACACAGAGTAAGATCTTAATGACGACTAGGACATAAAATGCTGATCACGCACCTTGGCTCGAAACGTCTGAGCAGCAAATATCTTAGCAATCAAAGGCATTTCTGGGCTAAGCAGAAGCGTATTGCAAGTCGCCCATGCCTCATTCTGATGGCGATCGAATTAGCCGTTGTTCGTGGACACGACCAGGGGGGCGAAAGTAATTACGGAATGCTGGAAATCTTGAAGCCAATTATTTGCAGTTGTAAACGACGTCTTGTCCGTCGTAGGCTGGCTTAAAGCCTCGAGGGCGGATAGTACTGCCTGCATATCCGCCATCTGGTTTTGAGAAAGGGGGTAGGAAGAAGAGAAAGGAATCAGATCGGGAGGACAGGGCGTTGAAGATGGAGGAGAGTGTATAAGGGCGTCTACGCCACCGTCTGGATGGATAAAGGTCACGAGACTGGACCTTACTATTTAGAGTCCTGCATCTCTCTGTCATTCTACTTGTACTCGTTGCTAGAAACCACGACAATGCAAGACCCCTTAGCTGGTGCATCTGCTTTGAAAGACATTATTCGACCTCAATTCCATCAGGTCAACCTTAGTGCTGAAAACTTCGTTAAGAATACCATTGGTATAAAACTCGATAAAGGTTAGTAATTCCTATCCCCTACGAACTTCTCATCGTCCCAACGACTCACCCGTGGCTTTAGATGATCAGATTTGTCGACTGGCACTTACTCCTGCAGGATGTCCCCTAGGGCCTTTACATTGTCCGCTGCGCCATACAAATCCGTCACCACAGAATTTCCAACCACCAAAGCAGGTATCTATGCATCCGCGAGACCGTGAACGACTCGCTACGGTTTGTAAGCACTGGCTTCGTGGGTTATGCAAGAAGGGTGATGCCTGCGAGTTTTTGCACGAGTATAACTTGAGACGGATGCCTGAGTGTTGGTGGTACGCAAAGTTTGGTTACTGTCAAGCAGGTGACGAATGCCTCTATGCCCATCCAAAGGAGAAGAAGATAGAATGCCCGGACTACAAGAGAGGTTTCTGCAAGCTTGGTACGTGTAGCTTCTTTAATGTAAATATAATACTAAACTCTTTCAGGACCTCATTGCCCCCGAAAACACGTCAGACGGGTTGCATGCCAAAATTATTTGACCGGATACTGTCCTTTGGGGCCAGAGTGCACTCGTGGACAGTAAGTGCAACTGGCCCATTCATAGACGTAATTCTGATTGTCTTCTCCAGCCCGAAACCCGACCTTCCAACCCCGAAGGACTATGAGCCTCCTGAGGCTCCCTCACAAAGAGACTTAGGCCCACCCCCTCCAGGCTATGGAAGGTACACTGATTTTGATCGGAACGCAAATCTCCAACCGGTCCCGGTTCAACAAAGCTTTCAAGGCGGGTTCGTCGGTGGACCAAGACGAAACCTTGACGATGTTATGTGTTTCAAAGTACGTGCATCACACCGCATATCCGTCTAGTTCCGGTTGTAACTATGTAATACAGTGTGGAGAAAGGGGTCATTACGCAAATCATTGTCGAAACCGGAACGTGCCAGGGTTCCGAGGCGGGGTTGAGCGGAGACGACTTGGTGGCAATGAGGATTGATTCCTGTTTAGCTCGCTGGCGTCTCATCTGCTTTGTCATTGGCTCCGTATTTTCTTTGCATGCTTAAAGTGCGCGCTCCAAGGACTCCACTCATCCCAAGGCCACGGCGCCATACTGTTGTTGTTCCGTTAAGGGCTTTTTTCCCAACAAGCGAAGGTCATACTGTTATGAACCAATCGCACTTCAAGTCGGGCTCAAGCCCTAGTCTGTTGGGTTTCTTGCGCGAGTTCAACATTCTAAATCATTTTCGTCTTGTAGATTGTAATAAGTTCGAAGTTCAGGACAGTAGTGGATTGCACAGTTATCCATCCAAAATTCTAGAGTTGCATTTAATGTCCGTAGTTAGAATGACGAAGAGCGATTGCTACAATATACAGAAATCACGATAGTACTACACCGATTGAATCAAAGGGAAGAAAAACCGAAAGCAAGGTGAAAGACATTCATTCTACAGGAGTAAGAAAGAACGAAACAGTCCGATCAGCAGATTCAGGCCATAAAAGGGCTTGTTGAGGAAAGAGAGGGCGGTGATTGAGATTGAGACATGTCAGAACGGTTTCCAAGCCATGGTTGTTGGATGCCATGATGATTGGCTTGTGTCTGTATCTGTGCGTGAACACCGGACATCCCGAGCGGAGATGGCTCGACCGAACCGAAATGCTCGACCGGTGGTGAGGTGGGTAGCGGTGCTCCAGCATCATTCACATGCGCAAACGCAGTCTTAGCAGAATGTGGATATAATCGCGACCCAGTCCCACTGATCTCGTAACCACCAATCTCGAGAGGTTTATCTTGAGACGTAGATCGTACAATCTCGGACATCAGGGTGCTAAGAAGTCTCTCTTGACGTGCTGTCAATTGAATTGTACATGAGTATCATACAGAACAACAGTGCGGAAAGAACGCACTTCCGATGGGTGATATTGTTCCAAAGTCCAGCATTGCATGTCTGAGCAAAACGTTAGACACAGTTTGCAAGCCGAGGAAAACTCAGTCTACCTCATGGCGTTTATCTCGCCCCAGACACCAATTTCTTCAGTTGACTGATTACTGTCAATCATGTGCTTGCATACTTGAATTTTAACAACTGCGGCCAAGTACCAACAGATCTATCGAGACAATTATTATGACGCAAATTAAGAGTGTGTAAAATCTGCTTACCGTGACGAAAGGGTGTAACTTTAATATTGGAGGGTAGACAGAAAAAGGTGTAGTAAAGGCAGTAGCTTTGCTGAAAGCGTAATAAGCTTCCAGGATTGCATTAGCCGCTGTTATGCAACGACTGGTCGATAAAGAAAGAGGATCGTTAAAGTCTAAGTATGGATTATGCAATGTAATCGTCGCGCTAAGGTATTTTTTTAAATTTTATTAGCGGATGATGAAGGGTGTGAAAGTATTGCTCACGCATGCGGGACCAAGTGAACCATGAATAAGTCAGTATCAATGCAGGATCCTGACATGTTATTTAAGTAGTTCTTGTACTCGAGCGGCAGGTTCTCGAGGAAATCAATGGCAACAAGTTTGTCAAGATTGTGGAAGGCAGGATCTCTGTCATAAATGCAATCAGACACTAACTTTCGAGAAAATACCAAATAGATATGAGTCACCTCAGCTGTGAGAACGGGTCAGTCTTGCTATCTTGAGCTTTCAACTGAAATTCAGTGTTCAAATCCGTGACCAGACCGAAAAGCATGACCGCTTTAATGAATAACAGGAAGGAGTCTGTATAGTCTGGCGGATGCGAGATGTAAAAGTTTGCTGTGTGCAAATTTTGCGGGTTGCTTGCAAACGGCATCTGTAGAAGAACGTTAGCGCCGAGTTGAGCTACTGTCGCCGAAGACGTACATCAGACTCAAAATCGACACGCCGAAGAGGAAGCTCCGTTGCTATGTGCTTGTACTCAACGCCATGGAGCCAGCCACCAACAGAGACTACGCGATCGAGCACGACGGTCATCCACCATGTTCTCCTTCGCATCTCCAAGTCCATCTGGTCCTTTGGCGGTGGTAGATAGGCACCTGGAGAGCCAGCACCATGCGTCGAAAATGTGCCCCTGTGATTGAGGCGCAAAGGAACAGCGACACGAGTCTGAAAACCAGCGAAGATCCAAACTTCAACCCATCGGCCCTCAGCGTAGAAGTACCAAGACAGAATTATGCAAGCCTGCAGCACGTGAAATATGTCCGCACCACTAGCCATAGTCCGGTCAATGTACTGCCTAGTTTTTCCAGCATGATAATCTGACACGGAAGGGGTAAATCAGTTAGCAAATAATCATAACATCAAAGAGAGCACATAACGAACCCGCAAACGGATCCCGACGAATTCCATCGGGCGTCATGTAAGATTTGTTCGATGTCCATCGTGAAGCGGATGCACACTGCCGAGATACTAAGAAATTTGTCTGCAACGGATTGCAAATAATGACTCACTATAGCATGAAGAATTGCTGAATGTGGAAAACGAGGATCTTTTGGACTTAAATTCATTGACATCATGAAAGTCGGCATGTGTAGAATCCGTGAACCGCACGCATCATTCGCAAAGAACACCTCAATTCTGGAGATTACAATCTAATCAGTAAAATTGCTATTTGTCATTTTCCGGAAGAATACTAACAATCGCCGCATCTCTGCTGGATCAGGTAAATCGGGGTTCCAACCAAAAGCAAACAAGCTCAGAAGAGACTCCGCTCCCTGGCCGTTCATGTCCGGAGAAGAGGTCGAACTGCGGGGTAAGGAAGCGGGACTGGTTTCCCGAATTGATCTGGCAACATCTAAGCCAGCTCTCGGAAGAGATATGTCTGGTCGACGATATGACATCTCCGGAGAGGCTGTGACAGTATACTGCGGAGGCGCAAGTGATGAAAGCCGTCTTTCGGCAGGAGAGGAGTGTACTCCATTAGAGAACTCGGAAGGTGAAGGAGAGCTTGCTATGCCTGCATCTTGAAGTTTGCGCTTCAGCTCAGCTGCAGAGAAAGGATCGATGAGAATGCGACATGAAGATGTATTTTGAGGTGTGCTTGAGTACCGATTTGCTCTTCCAACTGTCTGATTTTCTCTCCTGGATTTACTGAGTCGGCGAGTGTAAGACCTTCTATTGGGTCGTACGAACACTGCGGCTCTTCAGGATGACTGCGTGATGGGATATATTAGGTATGCACGCGTGAAGTATGGGAACAAAGAACGCACGCATATCCTTCGGGCGCTGGGACAGAAATGATACCTTTCCAGTGCTTCACACACTGGCCGCAATGCGGGCGTGCTGCATCACATTTCTGGTGGGACAATGCTTGAGCGCAAGCTGCCACAAAAAGGATAGAAGATACACAGAGAACGGACCAGCTTTTTCTTCCGGCAAGTCCGACACGCCTGTGAATTGAATGGTCAGAAGACCTAGTCCATGACCATGAGAAGAGCATTGATAAACGCGAAGGACAATACCTGATTTCTGCGAAGGGTAGGGGTAGAGCTAGAGGATGCACGAGGCATTTCTTGAGACAGTGGGAGGGGGAGACGAGCGCACAGAGTTGGTTACACAGGTGATGAGCGGTACGCTATGGCTAGTAAATAAGAATACCGGCCGGAGTGACCCTGAGACGGACTCACGAAGAGAGGGCTTGACAACGCGTGGCAAATCGTACCTCATTAGGCAGATCCGGCTCTAGCCGGTTCCAGCATCCGTTATTTCGAATACACTACCCAGGCAGACTCTGACTCTGAGATCTTCTCCACCTCTCCTCTCATCATACCTTATGCACAGCTGTTCCATCTGAAACGAATCTCATTCTCCTCATGGCCCTCCGCGATCAGCTCTTGTGGGATTTGCTTCACCTCCAGCATCTTGAAGCCCAGCCTATATGCACCACCAAGAATGCATGTACAACGTCTGACGAAGCACCGTCTTGTCCAGGCGTTTGATATCACCCCCCAAACATACTACATATACAAGAATATCTGCTGCGCATGGCTTCAACATCACAGAACAAATTTCATCAAAATGAAAAAGAAGCTTCGGAGAACGAACCATCTATTCATCTCTTGACTAAAAATATACCGTGCAAACCAAACATACTTCTTGGGACGTCTGATGTCAACATCTCGTGCTTTAGACAAGCATGTAGCTTAGCGTATCTCATATATTCCTGGTTACATGTATACGACAGTCATTATGAGCGGCAAGCCGAGATGCCCGACAGAAGAAAAGCACCGACATCGCAACCGTAGGTGTTAGCCACTTAGAAAACATTGAGACAAGGGCAGGGTGCACAGAAGGAGATTTTGTGTTACTAGTAGTGATGTCGATAATGAAAATGCGAATATCCCAATGGCCTCAGGATCTATTTGTAAACGCGGGTAAACGTTTCACTAAACCTCCGAAAAATGGATACATGAACTTACAAAATTGTGGCAACAACCCGACGAACGTGAGCCAAGTTTCGGAACTCGGTGAGGTAAATGCCTACAGCATTGCGCGTATAGCGGATAGTTCACATATGATATTACCAATTCCTCACTAACCTTGCCATGTTCCGAGATTTAGACGACCATCAGTTATGGGAATTTGTACAGAGGTGCCAACGAGGGCCGTTTTCGTGTGCGATGCCCTAACAAAAATAAAATATTGGTTAACCGGCAGGCAATATCCCTGCTGCTGGCAAACTACAGGAAGTGAACGCACGAATCGCTTTAAAATGCATCAGTACATAAAATACAAGGTTCTCATATTGGAATTGCTTACTCTGAGCCTTCAGCCAGATGTTGCCAATTCAAATCCTGCGGAACAATATTATCGAGAGCCATATCCATGTCTTTTGATGCTATATTAATTATCTTCACCAAGCGACAATTGGCACATCCACTCACCCTGGCGGACGTCTGTCGTTTATGCGCCGAACATGAAGTATTTTATTGTTATTAGCCAATTATTTGCTCACCGGGATCAAAGTTCTCGTTTACTGTAATGCCACAAGATGTATGCTGTCTGTATAAGGAATGGCTAAAGGATTGAACTTGCGATGAGGACAAAAGCATGCCCACGCACATAAAGAGATAAAGTATCCCGATCTACACATGTCGATTGGTGAATTTCATTGGCAGTGAGTTTCTGAATACACCCATTCAAACTGATTGTAAGCAGTGAAATACCTTAACATCGTGCAGGCCTGGTCGTATATGATTGATAATCTCGTCGGTGATGAGATGACAACCCTTTGAACGCTTCGAAAGACTAAACTCTTTTTGCCATGCCATTGCTAGGTAGCAGGTTAGTTAGCTGGAAGGAAGATGCGTTCAAACGTTGCGTCAGTGTTCTCTTAAAGTACTGATGTCAAGGATCCGGGTCCGGCTTGTCCCGATCAATGGATCAATCGGAACCGATTTTGAATCACATACCATATATGTACAAGTGGTAATTGCACATCGACTACGAACCACAGGCTAATTCTAGTAGAACTCACGAAGGTATCACTGCACAATGTGGGGCGTCAGGATGGCGATGATCTTCGGACAAGGGACATTGATAGTATGGAAGTACCGTTATTCTTTCTTACCACCGTTGCCACTGTCACTACGCAACGGAGAAAACGGAACGTGATGCGGGACAAGGAGCTTTCGATGTCCCGCTTACGATACAGCCAGTGGGTGATTATAAAATGCCTCTTCCGTATCATTAACATGTTTATTATGGAATCCTTTACCCTCGTAGTTTCACGTCTAAACATTGTCGCAGTGCGCAACCGCCCTCAGTTTCATTACTAGAGGCCATGACGACCATATCTCCTCCACTGAAGAATGGATGAATGCAAGTCTTCGCTATGAGATCGAAAAGATCCTCGAGGATCCACCGTAACCTAGCGCCTGTCATCTCGATCGCCGGTTCTGAATTAAACTCTAGCAATTTCACTTGGAATCTTCCGCTTGTTCCGTCGGAAGGACCGTGGCTCACTAGGAGATCTACCCCGTACAATTCAAATGCATTCGGAAGCGGCTACGGAATCAAAGATGATGATAAATAAGGCATCTATTGTAAACTGGTGTGCGGGACGATTCCTACCTGGAAATGCACTGGCATCTGTAACGCAGCTTTGAAAGTTTCGGAAAGAGCATCTGCAACCTGGTTCGTAATCGATGCTATGTCGTGTTCAGTGATGCATTCCCGATCATCGGGGTCGTCTTCAGATAATATTCTGTATCCAACGAGTTCGTCCAAGAGACGGACATTTGTCTCTCCAGCTTTCCCTTGCAAGCATGTATTCGTTAGGTGGGGACGAAGATCGATATCGTTCAGTGTTTTGAAAGCGCTAGAAGGCTGCACATACGCTTCCGAAGAGAATAATGCCAGTATTCGAGGGTAGAGATAGACTGAAAGTGCACCGGATGCTACACAATAAGCTCGAAGATGGAACTACGAAATGTGTCTCGTTTCAAGAATAATTTCAGTAGACAGAGATACGAACCTTACGTCCCTCGTCGAGTTGCCTTAACGAAGGTAGCGCCTCTCCGGGATTGGTAGCCGACTGCCTCGGATCCAGGAGCACCGGATTGGAAACGTACTCCTAAGTGATTCCTCAGTCAATCCACTTTACACCAGTCACCGGGAATTATAACCTGAATGACAAAGTGGCGCAGTTGAGACGTCGCAACATTGGTGTCATCGTTAGCATTTTCATTGCCGCTTTCATCGTCCTCGTCCTCAGTCGCTTCAAATTCTTCGAATATACGTTGCAGTGTATCTTTAGAGTTGAATAGACGTATCCCCATCCCACGGTCAGACATTCCAGGTTTCAGAATCCACCATTTTTCAGAGCCGCTATCAAGCTCCTCAGCTAAGTCCCAGAGCTCATCACTCCATAACTCGTCAAGTTCATCAGCAAATGATATTTCGATATCCCAAGTTCTCGGAACGTATTGGAGTAGACGTGACTCCGGATATTTGGTTGTATATGCGAGGATGCACCGATGGAGAAAGTGCTTTCTTATAAGAGCTTTTCGTATGGTAAATGAAGAGGAAAGGATTAGAGAAGGCCTTGAAAGCGTAAGGTCATGATCGAGACAATCGTATGTCGCCCATTGCAGTAGTGGTTTGTCGGAGGACGAGGGAGCAGATACCGGAACCGGATGAAGTGTTAGCCGATTCAGCGCCCTGAGAACAAGTGCCTCTGTTAAGGGTGCGCCTGGCCATTTTATGAAGGCTTCGAGTTCCATTGCGAGATCCAAAGACAAGACAAAGAAATACCGTGAAACTACTGAGTTGGTACTGGACAAAGGAAACTTTTTCGATGATCGACGCATGAAACGGTGCTTCCCGTTACGTTACGTCGCGTGCCGCGGCGACAGATCGGCGACGCGTACTACGCCTAGGACTTGCACTCATGACGACCCAATAGGCGCCGCAGAGCAACGGAAAACAAGGTCTCTAGCTCACCATCATTGCTGTGGCAGCAAGGATGGGCACAAACTACATCTTCTCGTTGACACCAACATTCACCCAGGGTCTCGTGCTCGGACAGCTCTCCATTCTCGGTCTCCTCACGCTTATACTGAAGTATCTTTTCCTGGATTCTGGGCCTTCTAGAGCTGCGTCTCCGTTGTCCTACTCGACATCCTCTTTCGATGGGGAACGTACAACAAAGTCTAGGATGCACGTTCCCATTGAGATCGAGTCTGAGGATGGGACGGACCCTGCAGCTTGGTTCAACCTGATCTTAAGACAGGTTGGATGGCTTTTCTGGTTTTAGTTTGGCTGCATGTCCCTTACGCTCGGATTTTTTTATTTGTAGGTTGTCGAGACATACAGGTCAAAGTTACGAAATGATCTTCCCGGACCTGAGGGGGACGAAATAGCGCGTCGGAGGATCGAGCGGTATGCTAATACTATCCGTCCGGCGAGCTTCGTTGTGAGTCCTCAGATGCGAATAGTTGTCACTTTTAATAATGTCATTTCTCTTAAGGACCCAATATGTATTCTCTCCGTAGACCTGGGATCATCTGCACCACGAATTTCAAATGCCAGAATTAAGGATCGTAATGTACGACTAAAAGAGCCTGATGTACGTTGCAGATGCTTTGTGGAAGCAGAGGCATGTTCTGACGTCACTCACTTAGCAAGCTGTGTTTGATATGACTTATGTCGATACGTTGTCGGTATCACTTTCCACCTCAGTTTTGTTCCACTACCCAATACCCTACTTCGTCCGACTACCGATTACACTGAACGTTGCATTATCATTATTCTCCTCATCTGTGAGACAAGTTACTCCTCGTCTTGCGCGTATCCTTCTGACACCAGAACATGGTTCCAGGTTACGATAACTCCACCGGACCCTCTTTCAACGAATCCGACTTTAACCGTTTCTCTACCGTCTAATTTTACTTTGGAACTTAACACGACGTCACTTATGGGAAGTCGTGCAAAACTCGCAGACGTTCCGAAACTTCACGAGATGATCCAGGCCCAGGTTCGACGAATACTTAGTGAACGAGGGACTTGGAAGATAGTTATGCCTTGGCTGACGACCGTTAAGGAGAATTATCTTAGATGAGTCGTGACTGTTGGGCTGTTATTCGAAGAACCGATTCACTGAATGTAGAATGGGTTAAGAGATGCGTCACGTGGTGTTTTTTTAATTACAGCGTTTCCGGAAAACTATGAGAGTCGCGTTGTTCTTTTTTTCCCCCTTGCCACCTGCCTTATTTGGCAGGTGACTTGCCAAGCAACATACACATAGCTTGCCATACAACAATAAAGTACTGTAGTTGCCTTCATAAGAATTTTCAGACACTCCCTAGTATCATAAGACTAAAATAGCAAATATATTAGGTTAACAGGACTGTCTTAGAGGATGCTAGCTTCTTAACAAGAGTGGTACAATCATTCAAACATGTAACAACAAAAAAGAGGTAATTCTGTCAATATTATAGAGGGAAATTGTAATTGAAAAGGTTCAACATATGTTTTAATGTATAAAAAGGTGTATATTAAGTGGAAAAACAGTACAGAGGTTTTGTATGTGTCTAAACAAAAAGGTGGTTGAAGTCACCTGCCTCATTTGGCAGGTGGCAAGGTGGAAAAAAAAACGACGCGACTCTCATAGTTTTCCGGAAACGCTGTAATGCGATGTACAGTACAAGAACAAGCAACATTGCGCATAGAATTCTAATAGTCATCAACTGAACTCATAACTGAATCTTCCTTCACTAGTTCTTCCTGAACTTTAGAAAAAATCGCTGTTAGAGCGCAGTAAAATGGCTGCGACATCGTCAAATATCGTATTTGATGACTTATTCACGATTAATGCGATTGACAAGGACGGTAAGAAGTTCGATAGAGGTACGCTTCCTAACTCGTGTACAGGCGTAACTTCAGCTCATGCTCATATTTTTAGTCTCCCGTCTATTTGCGCATTCTTCAAACTACGATATGGACCTCACGCTTGATTACAACACTGAGCTCTACCCGCTAAAGAGTGGGGAAAGCTTTTCACTCGTTCTAGCCTCTTCACTCGTACGTGCTGTCGAAGGAGGAGCGATAAATGGTACAGATGGAACCGAGGAGGAGAAAGACACGCATATTTGGAGGCCAGATGGGAAAGGGAGGCGAGGATTGGAAGAGGATTACGAGTATGTAATGTATGGGAGGGTAAGTTGGGTCTCCAGCCACTGTACTGGTCGCGTGGCTTACGACTTACATAGGTGTATAAATTTGACGGAGGAACGGCGGAAATCGTGTACGTCTGATCAACTCATCTGTCAAGTATTGCCACTAATTCACGGTCATATAGAACTGCATATCTATCATTTGGCGGTTTACTTATGAGTTTGACTGGTTCATATCGACACATGACGGGAATTGTCCTCGGCGAACCTGTGTACCTACTCATGCGAAGATAATGAATGCAAACGTCTTGCATGTCACTTGAAAATAGTACAAAACATGTGATTTTTGCTGACGCGAACGCAGCATTTGAACATTAGTGGTCAGAGTACAACTACGAATGAATCTTATGGTCTTTTCGCATATGCTACTCATGGACGGATTTCACTTGATTTAGATAGCATCGTGCTCCTCGAGAGCGTCACGCGCTCTCTCTTTCGCCTGGTCAGATACGCGAGGATTATGCAGCGCCGCCTAACGTATGTTATCGTGAGTGATGTAACTCAGCCGTCTGTTATCTAGGCTTACTTTGTACCCGGCCAACTCACGCTTTTCGTCCTTCTCGGGGATCCATTTTTCAGGGTCAAAGTCGGTGGTCAGGACTTCACGTGCGTGCTCTTTAGCACTCTCCGACGTCCTCGGGTTCTTCAAAGTAGCCTTGTACAGCATGATTAGTTTCGCGCTGTCTAACACCGACGGGCGTTGGGCAGACCTTATAACCCCTTGCGACATTATCTGGAACTTTCTCTTCCGAGTATCGCTCCGTGTTAATAGTTGCCTCCTCGGTGTCCCCGAGCTCGTCCAAAACTTGCTGAGCGTGTTCCTTGGCTTCTTCAGATACGCGAGGGTTCTGCAAGGCCGCCTCTGAGAAGTGTCAGCAAGACCACTGAATGTAACGACGTTGAACGAACTGTGGCCAGCAATCACCTAGAAAGAATGTCAGCACGCTGAAGACAAACATAGATTTGTGCACGCACGCGGGATGTTTGCGACATTCTAATTATCAGTACGTAACATGCAGGGAGTTCAAAATCAATCGAAGATATCACTCGATAAATAGGCAAGGAACGCGACTTGATATAGCCTCAAGGAAATCAGTCACACAAGTCTCTATGTCATCTATGAATCTTCGGCTACAGGTACATGGAGCGGGATATAGTTGCAGCGCAAACCACCTTAACGTCATGTACTACATCATCCCAGAAAATATGGCTGCAGGTCGCCGCCGCCGCCGCCGAGTCTTCTAATACGCGCTTCAGCAATGCAGCATTGCAACCGATCTGTAAAATGTAATCATCTAGATATCCGGCTATCGGTGAGAAATTTGTCTAGATGGGACTAGGTCTACCATTTTTGATGACTTAAATGCTCCGTCGATTTAGGACATATCCTAACCTGACACCGCGTATGAAGCGAACAGCTTATTCCATAACTCAAAACTATCCAGTGCAGAACACAATATAACTGATCATGCAGAATAATGTAAGCACTACTGCAAGGAGGGACCTCGCAAGGAACGGAACGCATAGCAAGATTACTGTATTTGTCACAAATGCACAAGACTACAATTCCTAACTAAAGTACACGACGCTGCGAGTCATTCCAATGTTTAAAGAGCCTGGTTGTCCTCGAGTACAGCGCGGGAGTGTTCTTTCGCTTCCTCGGAGACTCTGGGATTAGCAAGAGTAGCCTATAACGCGAACACTTAGATAACGAAATAGGTATTTTCACCATGAAAGTGTTTACCTTGTGACCTCCAATGACGTTCCCTGTGTTCTTGCCAGCTTCCATGTCGGGCTGCTGAAGCTCGCCGCTGTCCCCCATTTCCTCAAGGGCTTGTTGCGAGCGCTCCTTAGCTTCCTCGGAAACGTTCGGATTCTTCAAAGCTGCCTCTGAAAATGGGAGGTAAGTACACAAAGCGTATGCCTCTACTTGGAACTAACTGTAGCCACCGGCAACCTAGAAATGTGTTTGTTTAGCCTCAAAAAAAAAAAAAAATAACGGGAGAAAACATACGTTTCCAGTGTTCTTGCTGGTCTGCATTGACGACATGATTGAAATTTGAAAGGTTGTGGGCAAACAGGTATGTATGCCAGTGAAAGTTGTTGATTGAGTGTAAACGTGATGAGGGGAGAAGATGCAAGACATCCGTCCTTATATACTCTGCGAATGTCGCTTAGCTGCAGACGTCGTCATTATCTGTCGTCATTTTTCTCGTCAGTATTTGCATCATTTAGGAGGGGCGGACATCGAGGAGGCGCTGTATCGGGTCGGAGTTCGCATCCAACCACAACGGTGCTTCTGGACCACTTCGAAAAAGGTAATAGCGCTTCTCTGAATGTCTTGACTCGCTTACTTCTCCGTGTCCAGTCGATCTCGAATACTCCTTGCGCACCCGCATTGCGTCAGTACGTCAATGCATTTGTCTCACTCTGCACAACTTTGAGCCTAGTCTATTATGTCGTATTTTCTATCTGGATATTCCACTCCACTACTCTGAGTTGAGGATTCTGTCGGTTATGTCGCGGATAAGGCTTCTAAGCGCTGGCGCCATGTTTAAAGAGCATAACAAAAATGTGGCGTAAAGAAAGCTGTCATAGCTTCTCAGAATCTTGTTAAGACATGACGACCATTGCTCCCTGTGCAAATTTCGCGTGTAGTGATAAGATCATTACCTGCAGCAGCAACAACTCGTACGCAGTATTTGGCGCATTTGGATCACAAGGAAAACCTCTCTCTGCAACCAAACATACCATATGTAATGCATAATATTATAATGCGTGAATCCTATGATGCATAGTGTTTTCTCAATCTCAAAGACTATTCTCTGCAGGAATATAATGTTGTAATGTATAACTCCTACAATTTATTGATAATTGACTTGTCCTTGTATCATACATTTAACACATAAAATTTACTGTAATTGATGTAACACCGAACCATTTTACCGGACCAGCAGGGAAGACCGTGACTCATTTGGAATTTTGGAGAGACAGGAGTATGAAAGCAACACCAACTACCAAAATAAACAAGCATATTTTTGACTCTAATTCGGATACGGGGAATCGAACCCCGAGCTGCCGCGTGAGAGGCGGCAATGTTAGCCGTTACACCATATCCGACACAATTGCTTTTGCAAGCTAGTAATAAGACGCACTAGTTAATATTCGTACATCTGCAATCACGTGATACGCGACGCGTTCCAACGCGCCTGTGTTGGCCTCAGTGGTTTATCATACCTTCCCCTTGTTCCCCGACTCAGCTTCTTGGATCTCGATAGCAGATATGACTATAAATCGGTCAGGAATCACGGCCTGGGTCTCTACTATACGGACAACTATGGCAAATGACCCAGGTCGCCAGCTCCTCGAAGACCAGATACAGACCAGTGGTTTCTTGTTTCTTGAAGACTATCTAGAGAATATCTTGGCTAGACCCAGACACGAGTATTACCCCCCAATATCATGTTTTTTTGCGTAATGCTCATTGCCTTATGCCAGTGCTATATTTGAATTTGTCAAAACGCCTGCACGCAGGAAAGACGTGTCCAAGAGAGCGAAGACTGCCACCACTGCTCCATCTAAGGCAAAGTCTATTATCACCATGGACTTGGATGTACGTCTGCAGTCTATAGTCGTAAATTTCTCAAATAATTTGGCCACCATAGGATGAGGATTCCGATAAGGAAAATGCTCCTGCCGTCAAACCAGCGACTAGCAATGCGTTCCATAAGGCTCTCTTGCAAGCCAAAGGCGCGAACTCGACTAAATTGCAAGAGCAATCGTCAAGAAATGCATCAGCAAAAGCTGACTGTGTATATCCAGTGAAGCCGACTTCGTCGAAGAAGGAATCTGGCAAGAAGACCACAGTCGTGCCTGTCCTCAGCGCTCCTCTAGCGGATGTACTAACTGACGAGGAAGAGGAAAAGGAAGGAGAGATTACAGAGGAAGGAGTGACTTCTCATTCTGCGATACCTTCCTCGCAGGCCCATGAATCGAGTTCAGCGGCATCCATTATGCCTGTAGATTCAGCCGATCAACAGGAACCACCAGACGAGCGGATAACGCAGCTTTCTGTTATTGCGGAAGACGATGAGCCGCCAGTGCATACGACTAGTTCTACCGATAAACCTTCTGCCGATGCTTCAGCGGCTGCCAACCATTCTTCAAGCAAGAACGAAAGAAGCTCAAAGCCACGACTAAAGCGGTCACCACCCAAGATCGACATGACCGCCGTCATGGATATCGACGATATCACGCAAACAACTAACTTCACTATGACATCGGCGTCCACACAGTCGTTACAAACAGCTCCGCTTGACCCTTTGGCGCCAGCGCCGCCGTCGATTTCAGAACCGTTTTCTCAAATGCAGGTATCTGACGCGGCCAGTGTGCAACCCGACTCTCTCAATGCACAATCCTCTACTTCACAAGATCGTGAACACACATCAGCTCCGTTACCAATAAATGAGACGGGATCCGAGGCTCTCCAACAGAGTCAGCCAACGGAAGCGAGCGCAGTCCAAATGGCGAACGTTTCGGAATTTCCAACTATTGGACCCCCCTCTCCACTGCGCAAATCGATGCGAGCGCCCAGAGAGCCATTGACGGCCAAGGCGCATGTTCCACCTACCACGAAATCAGCAGGTACCCGTTCATCCTGGCTGGTGAAGGCCAGGGAGGCCAAAGCGCAAGAGGACAACGCGAAAAAGTTGAACCCACTACCAATCTTTTCTCATCAACCTGCAACGGGTAGCAAGCGAAAAAGTGGGGAGATGCTTGACAATGAGCCAGGCGGTATTTTGGAGCATGGTGACGCAGGCCATACGCAGAAGCTAACAAAGATCATTGAGACGTCCCCTGTCTTATCCATGCTCAAGAACAAAGGAAAGCACCCATTTGGCTCACTGCAGGATGAAGCAGATGCCGTTGCCAATAACGAAGCACATGAGGTTGAGGGTTCTGACGGCATGATCAACAAGCTTAAAAAGACTGTGGCTGGCTTCAGCGCGAGAGCTGGTAAAAGCATGGGCAAGTCACTCGGCGGTGCGGCAGCCACGGCACTTGCAGAAGCAAGAGCAGCTGCTGAGGCTAAGATTGCTGAGCGACACGCTGCTGAAGGCCGAACTTTCCCAATACCTCCTACGGCAGCTTCCCATGAGCCAGATGGATCGACATCAACAGCCCCAGCTCTTGCACCCGCTGCTGACGAGCAGGCGTCTTTGAATCAGATGGAGACGGCGCAGACGCACCCGTCAAATGAGAAAGATCGTCGACTGAGTGTCTCCGACCTTGTCACCAAACAAGATTCGAAGAGAGTCGAACATGCGCGTGTCTTTAAACCGCCTGCGAAACAGCCCCTTGAAGCAGCGGCCACTTCGGGTAAGAATAAGGTTGAGGCTGACACCAGTACGTCAACCACTCCTCCAAACTCACCGCCTAAAGTACGGGTACCAGCATTTACGGTGCCAGACAAACCGAAGTTGCCACCGCTACCAGCGTTTTTCCCTCCTCCCCCAAATCAAGTATTTACTCGACTTGAACCAGAACCTTTTGCTCCTCGCATTGCGCAGCCTCTGTCTAGTCAATCGACACTGTTTTCTACACAGTCTGTATTTGCCGACCCCATATTTGATCACGAAATACCTCCATGGGTACCGTCAACGCAGGATACAGACTTCTGTGATCATCTGCCATCCCAGAATGCGGCAACCAAGGACGATCACTGTGAGGTGACAGAACCAGAGACGGACATTGAAGCAGACGAAAGCTGGCATCTAGATGAAAAATTCGGGGAGACTTGGACACCCGTCGCGATTCGCATGAACGACAGTGTAACCTGGAGTACCGCACCGAGTCGAAGCACTCGCAGCGCCGATACTGGGCCTTTGGATGCCTCAACTGCTCCTTCACGTCTCCAGTCTAGCTCTACACAGGATTTTCAGGAAGGGAACAACCGGGTGTTTGATGCCATACCATCGGACAACCCGCCCGCAACTACCACGGATGAAATTGAAGAAGACGACATGGACGTCGAGCCTGATGAAGACATCGCGAGCATTCGGCTCGTAACTCCGATTACGCAACCCAGCACTGGCTCATCCTCTGTGAGTTGTTCAAACCGCATTCTCTTATTATCATGTTCATGGTGACCGTTCTTTAGGCCCTTCCAGGCACTGCGTTATCCCAAAATAATCAGGCGGGGACGAACAGTACCGGTGGATTTTTCAGTTCGGCTTCAAGGTTGGTGTCAAGTGTGTTGGGTGGAAGTAAGAAAGGGAAGGAGCCTGTAAAAAGCCTTCAACTTGCTGCGGCTGCTGCTAAGAAGGTGTGCCCCTCGTAATGGATTAAGATGCTATTAACTAACATGTTTATTTCTTTTCAGCAGCAAGAGGAAGCAGAGAGGAAGGCTAATAGGCTCAAGGAGATGGAAGCACGTCGTCAGCAGGTGCTACAGAAGAAGGCTGAAGAGGACAGGGCTCGCGAGGTGAAGAAAGCAAGGGACGAGACAGAAAGGTGGAAGCGTGAGCGCGAGAAGGAAGAAACGACAGAAAAGAAAATATTCAAACAACTGGGTAAAAAGGTTGGTTGTTCGTTGGCATTTTCATAGCAAAACTGTTGACAGTGGTTCCATTGGTGCAGTTTGAAGATGAAGCGGCGAAGAAACGGAAGGTCGCGGAGACCGACAAGAAAACTGAACCGAAGCCTCCCAAGGACAAGAAGGATGGTCCTATGTCTAAACTCAGCAAATTCGTTCCTGCCAGTTCGCAGTCTGGTCCCAATGTGTCGGGCGTAACGCCAGGTGCAGCACCAAAGCCAGTGAAGCAGGGTACATCGGTTGCCATGCAGGGATCCACAGTTAAAGCACCGGGTGCTCCGAACGACACAAAGCTTCCATTAGCAAGCAAGGCCAAAGAGAAGAGCAAAGAACTGGACGTGAGACAGCCCTCACAGACCGCGCAGTCTCATCAGATGAAGACTCAAACGCGTCTCCAAGCCTATCCTGAGGACTCGCGAAGAACGGAGTCTCCACCGCCCCAGGTCCCTACAGAGTCGATTGAACTCCCTGACATCAACAGTGAATACTCTAATTCTGACGATGAGAACCGAGTACGGACGTTTGACCCGCCAGAATGGGCTCAGTCCCCTGAATTACGCGAAGCATTACAGTCCCAGAGTACTGTTAATCCGGATGATATATTTGGCGCAATCAGGCCACTGAAGATGGAGGAACTTTTCAAGAATAGGACAAGCCGTTTCCGAGCGAGGACCAGTTCAGCTAACTGGGCTGGGCCGGATGGGTTAACTATCCAGGAAGAAAGGGAATACGCAAGGCGGATGGGTTACAAAAAGTAGCTGGTTGCCTGTAGCGAACACACAATCAGATACCTAGAGCGTTGTATTTTTTTGGTTTGCATTTTCTATTCTCTTCACTTGACAGACATTCCCATATAGTCCTCTCACTTTGTCCACACACTCATGTACTGCATGTTTCACTCACTTCTTCAGTATCATTATTATCACTCAGACATGTTGAGATGAGATTTTTATCTCAACGTAGCGCAACCTAACCGAAAGTAAATGAATTCAGAAACCGACAACGATGTACGTTCGTTGTTGGTGCACAGGTACCAGGGATCAACGGCAGAGATATCTCAATATTGACAGTGTATGTCCAACGTAAAGCACGTCGCTGATGCGTACAGATAAAGGCAGCTAGAGTAAAAACATCCCAAGCAACGAAAAGCAAAAAGCGCCTGATTATAACTCGTTCTTACATGAACATTGAAGCTTGCATAATGCGCGAGCAGACCTACTTTCCATTCAACCGCAGTGGTATACATACTGTACGAGTACCTAGACACGATCAGACGCTAACTAATAGGGCCGCACTGGTAAAATTTTGCTTTACAAAGTAGTGAGGCGCATACAATTACTCGGGGGCACGGCAAAGATGTCTGTGGCGAGTGACCCAGTCCCTCCTTTGGCATGCCTTAGAGCAGTAGTAAGCGCACTGCACAATGATGATAAGCACTGACGGTGGCGTTATAGGTGGAAACAAACCTTGCATTGCTTGCACTGGGAAAGTGCACTTCTGGAGAGTATTGCTTGTGGGCACTGCCGTACTAATAGAGAATTTAGACTACATATCTCTCGTAACTGTAACGGAAACAACTTGCCTTGAAATTGCTGCAGACCATTGCAGAAGGAGCCCCAGAAAGCCTGATGCGTTTAGCTTCAGTTAGATTACCCTTTGCTTCGTAAACTTGAGCCAAGTTCTCGCGAGACACAGCAGCATCTGCGCTTTCAAACAGACTTTCATTCCGGATTCGTACGGCAATCTTGAGGTTGTTCTCTGCTTCTTCAAGCTTCCCCATTAAGAGCTGGACCTCCCCGAGGGCATTCCTCGTCAAGGCAACCTGTATTGAGTCTTTCCCAAATGCTTCTTCCTTGATGGCTAATGCCTGCAAATGCAGCCGTTCGGCACCTTCTTGATCTCCCGCATTACTCAAGGCTTGCGCTTGATTATTCAATTGAAAGGCACCAAAACCCATGGTGGTGCTGGGTGGAGGATTAATGTATGCATTGAGTACGGACATCGTGTGTGGCGAATAGCAAATGTCTCAGATGCACACTCAACCTATTTATGTGGGTGGCCCTTACCAATGAAGCGCCCAGTAAACCCGCTAAACCTAAATTCGCAATCGTCAATGTGCATAAGGAAAGTCGCCAGTGCTAAATCATTAACATCCCGTCATTCCTAGGCACAAGACAGAGAAAAAGGCTCCATAGTATGACTAATAAGATGGTCACATAGAAAGAGAAAGAAATAGGTATCAAGGGACAAAAACCACGGTCAAAATGTTCGATACGGAGAAGGATAATGAACAATAAGGAGCGGACGACTTCCTAAGTCAACGAGAGATGTACCAATGACGCACGGTAAACGACCAGGCGACAAGGAGGATAAAGAAACAGAGCAAAACCGACGCATACGAGATAGGAAGAAAGCAAGGAAAAGAAAGAAATAACTGACGTTCGCCACACGACTTGGGTACCTAACGCAGGAACCGGTTCCTGGTCTTCGTCTTCAAGGATAATGTCAATACTAATCAAAAGGAAAGGTAAATGAATAAATACCTTGTTTTCGGGAGTAAGCGGTCGGCCGCTTTCGATGCGCTTCTTCTTCTCTTCCAGCTCCAGCCTCTGCCTCTCCAAGGCTTCCTTCATCTCTCTGTGCCTGGCATACAGTTCCTCCTCCGATTGCTTTAGCTTGGCCTCTTTCTCGGCGACCTTCTGCTGGAAGACTAAGTTCATCTCGGCCTCCATCTTCGCAAGCTTGGCCTCGTGTAGAGTACGCTCTTCTTGCATCTTAATGGCAGGGCTGACACAAGAAAGCGTGAATACCAAGATTGAACGAGACATAGTATGCGACGTACTTGATCTCTTTAAAGACACTGGAATCTTGAGCAACACCCATACCAAGGAGCTTCTCGCTTCGATAGGCTTCATACAAGTACAAGTTGGTGCGTTCGCGCAATTCTTCCATGTATGTCCGGATAAGCATTTGGCGGAGTTTAACGAAGTCACAGTGCTCTTCATTATCCACTTCGATGACACCCCATGGATAAGCACGACCACGAACTTGACGACCATCAGGGGTTTGCACCAATTGATTTGATCCAACGATAGCGAAGGGGATCTTGCTCTGTGAAAACAAGTGAGTTTGTGCCTAACAAATCTCGACAAAAACTACGTACAGCAATCTCCTCCTGCTCAGCCTGTGTCTCCTCGTCCTCATTCTCGTACGTTGGAGCATCAAAGATGTGGATCTTGTGATATGCAATATCGTTCAGGACCTACATGTATATATCGATATTCAATACTGATAAGATCTTCTCACGCGGTGAACGTGGTACTTACCCTCGCCTTGAAGTTCTGGATCTCCTCATCCGTCATGGTATCTGCCTTTGCGATAATGGGAATGAGATTGACCTTGGTGTGAAGTCGGCGCATGAATTCAATATCAATCGGCTTCAACCTGTTCCAAACTTGGTTACATCAGCCAGAAAAGGGCAAGCGGCTCGAATCTTACGAGTGACCAGTAGGCTGGATGAAGTACAAGCAAGCATGTACACGATTGTCCACAATTTTCTGCCGGTTGACACGGTTCTCCTGCTCCAAATAAGCATCGAAGCGTGATTCGATGTTTTCAACAATCGGCTTCCAGCTAATAAGACTATTAATATCGCGGCGCAGTTTATCGCACGATACTGATAAAACGTACCTGTCCTCATTGTTGACGAAATCCCCAAAGCCGGGGGTGTCTACAACGGTAAGGCGGAGTCGGACACCATTTTCCTCAATGTCTGGATGGTTTTCAACGTCAGCATGTTCTCGAAAAAGCCTGCATGAAAAAAGGCGCATTTACCGGCACTGATGCTCTCAATAGCGACGGTTTTGGGCCTCTCCGCGCTCGGAGGCAGTACTTCTTTCGGCGGGTAGAGAGTGGTGTTAAACAAAGTGTTTATGAGTGTGGACTTTCCCAAGCCAGATTCACCTGGAAAACCATGGCAGGCGAATAGCAGGATTGTGAGTAGCCGAAACTTTAAAATGGGCCAGCAGCGCAAAGGACTGACCAACGACCATAGCAGTGAACTGGAAACCCTTCCTGACACTCTTTCTGTGGACCTGGTTGGGGAGGTTGGCGAAACCAACGTAGCCCATCAGTTTTTTGCGGACGATGGGAGGAAAACCAGCGTTGGATGGCACTGAGCCCGAGCCATGGGCAGAGCCATTGAGAGAGGCGGCGACGTCGCCGTTGGGTGCCGCAGAATACACGTCAGTCATCTGGCGGTGGAGAAAAAAAGTGACAATAAGCTAGAAAAACGTCGTGAGTAAGGAGCGGAGGGGGAGACTGTACGTTGTCGTTGGCGACTGCGACGAACGGAAGGAATATCGTCGCTCAAGCGAGAAGCACGCGTCCTTTTCGTTGACACCTGTTTGCATGTGCGAATGACTTTCCCCATATGGCTCAACCGCATAAGTAACTCCAAGTCCAAGAGATATCTCAAAAGCGAGAAGTATGCAACCGGACATGAGTGTATGTCGGGGAAAGTAGAACAGCAACGGTACACTAGAAGTTGATTACTATACAACACTCTGTTCTCGTATTCTATCGTCCGTGATGTAGAGAAAGAGAAAGAAAAAAGGTCTATTTATGCTGGGTATCAATATGTGTTGTGCGAAACGTGAGCGTATGATCAGACATATTCAAAGTACGTGTACTTCGCGAACATTTCTCGCACTATCTCCTCTTCTTCCACTTCAGTGGACTCTGTCCTGTGACAGCTCACGCCTTCCTCCGTCTCGTTCCACCAATCGTAAGCGGGAGATTCGTGGGAAGAGATATGCGCTCCGACGCCCGAATAATCACCTAAGTGAAGTGTCGCGGATGTTGAGGGCACATGGCGATCCGCAGAGATTATCGGTATTCGAGGAGACGCGTGGGTTTCTTGCAGTGGAGTTCCAGGTCCATTGGAAGATGCGCTGCTGACGCTACGTGCTGGCGAATACGATTTCGAGGGAGCGGCCGTTCTTGTTTCCTGTCGACTATTGCTCGCTTCTGCTCGCTTCGATTGCGAAGAACGAGTTTCGTGGATACAATATGGGTTTGAGTCCTTGTGCTTGCGACTTTTTGTATGGCGAATTGCGCTTGCGCTTTTGCCTCTCCCAACTTCCCTCGTCTCCGCCTCCTTCCGACGTCGCATGCGTTCGATTGAGGCCAGGAATGCGGCTTGTGCGTCTGAGGGTTCCCCGCTTCCGTGCATTGCGCTAACAAATCGGCGCAACTATGGTTGATCGTGAAGAATGAATCGATTTTGTATGATGGATGAGTAGTACACACGATTAACACTTGGGAGGACGCTGGAAGCAGGAGTGTGGATGAACGAGGACAAGGGCCTTAGCATACACTGAGGCTGGATGAGACATTTTATAGAGACCTCTGTATGCTAGTACTTTGCTTTCCTGGAGACGGTGGTGTCTTGTATTCATTCGTGGCCGTTGGCGCCTAACCTTCCTGAATACAACAATTGTGGCTTCACAAGTCGGAGAAGACCGATATGGTCTCGCTGACCATATTAGGTAATAGAATGCTCATTTCGATTCTGAACGCACAATTATTTAAAAATAACGGGCCAGACTCATTTCCACTTCATGTATATATAATACATTCACTATATTTCCTCTTGCCTAGTCAATCTTGAATTTATGTATGGATTGCACCAAGTACTCTTATTACCAAGCTTCTAGTCGCAGTATTTCAGCTCCTATTTCCTGCAATTCATCGTAGTGCAATAAGTACATCGTTGACGCTACGCAGATGATGGCACATTCGCATGGAATTGGAAAACTGCTGAAGCCTATCAGTAACCATACAGTTCGAAATGTTGATTAGACATCTTACCATCGGGTCGTGCATAGTGTCCAACCACATCCAAATCAAACTTTCCCCGAATAATTTCATTTAGATTAAGATCAGCAATGAGGACACCTTCTTGGTCTAGCAGTGGCCCTGCGAGTACTTCTCCAAGAGGATTTACGATGACGCTACCGCCTGCGATCATTACATTTTCTGGGTTTCGGTTGCTGGAATCGGCCACAGCGTGGTCTGGTGGATAATCCTTCTCCTTGCTAAACTGACACGCGGCTAGGACAAAGCAGCGTCCCTCTAAAGCAATGTGGCGCATCGTGTGCTGCCAGACTGGCCGCGAATCGACGGTAGGCGCACAATATATCTCCGTACCTTTCGAATAATAAAACGTCCGCACTGTGGAACATAGATGAAATGCGTCTTCCAGGCCATACTATTAACGCGCATATACTCACATAGTGGCATGTAATTTTCCCTGATGTCTTTTATCAAAGGTATGAAATCGATAAAAGGCCTTGTGCACGCTTACCAACAGATAGTGGCTGACAATTTTGCTGAGATTTCCGATCCTTGACTTTCATTCTTGAAGGCCTTCTTGACGACAGGAAGGGTTGAGCCATCTCCCATTCCCCATATCAGCCTTTCACATGCGGTGGGTACTAGCTTCCTGTGTTTCGCCACTAGGCCTTCCAGTGGGTCAACGAAGATGGCCGTGCAGTAAAGCGTGCCGCCGTCCTTCTCAATGATACCAACCACAAGGAAGATGTCCAAAGTTTTACTGATAGACTCAATAGTTGTGATTGCCTCAGAGGGTATCGCTATCGCAGATGAATAATATCTGAGAAATTCGTCTCGTCCTTCTTTAGTACGATGGCCAACCAGTGTGCCGAAAGTGGACATCTTTGGGTAGCCACCGATACTAAAGTTAAAAAGAAAAAGGTGTTCAGATTGTGTATGTCCGCACTATATGATACTAGACTCACAAGGCCTCGGGAAATACGGCCAACTGAGCGCCTTTCTCTTTGGCCTCTTTAGCCATACGCTCTAGTTTCTGATAATCACATTGATAGAGGTTGAACAAAGGACATAGAGATCGTAAGAATAGCTTAAGATACCTCCAGAGTATCCGGCAGAGAAAATGCTGCAGTACAGGCCTGCACGACGGCGGCGCGAATAGTTCTTTCTCCAGACATGTCAGTTACTGAGAAAGCGCTCCAGTGAGTAAATCGAAGTTCTCATAGACTTGTACTATGCGACGGCCAGTCACGGGGCGCTTTCGGGCCTTTCGGGTTGTGCTGCTCCTATTTTACTAATACTTCGCCATTTCCCACTTCCATATACTTCTTGGCAGCTACGATTTTTTCCAGAAGGAGAGAGCGAGTATAAGAGAAGTGCCAAAACTATAGCCATGCCTTTGTGATGAGCGTCAAAAGTCGAAGGCTAATAAGGTTTGAAAGGCGGGACTAAAATGATGAATGAACTTCCATATTCGGTTTAAAACTCGCACATTACTGTAGTCTCTCGTTTCGCTCCTCTGTGCTTGTCATACACTCCGGTGCAACTGAAATTAATTTAGCATATAAATAAGGATGGTCGTAAGTAGATAATCTCCTCATTCAATTCAATAGGATTCTCGATAACTGTAAACGATTGACGACATCTGAACCTTATTGCCTAGAAACTCCAACTTTCGATTAAAGCTGATCTCGAGAATGTAACTGATCTCGAGCCTGCAGCGGACGATTTCGAGTTCTTCTTTAAGGTATTATTATTCCGAAAAGTTGCTGATCTATTGAACAGTGACGAGTACTGATTGATGCCGGAATGCGATCTATAGGTGAAGTGTACAAGCTGCAATGAAGAACATCCCAAGGAGGTGACTCTGAATCGTGTGGCGAGTTACCTAAAACGTTAGATATTAAATAACGTCTGGATAACCATGATATTTTGTCTTAGGAAGAGCACGAAATGAGCTTCGGAAAGGGGAATACGGCTCATTTCGTATGGCGATGTTCATTATGCAAGGTAATGCGAGGCTGCATACTGCCTCTTCCTATGCGTGTTGTAACTTGGGAAACGATAGAGAGAAAGCTCTGCGAGGTTTGAGCCCCAACCTCTGAAACCATATAGTGCGGAATCTAGTGGAAGCCTTACGCCATTCCTCACTCTAGACTGCAGGGGTCTAGAGTTTATCGGCTTTAATCCAATGGTACGAAGCACTTTCTACGTGCTTCGAGGTAGCTAATCGCCCTTTAGGGTATTTGGAAATGCAAAGGAACAGAATCAGGTACTATATTTTCCGAAGTCGACTTAACTGAGGGAGAATGGACAGACTATGATGAAAAAGTCCGTGAACATTCTCGACAGATAGCTATTTTTGACGATTCTCATTTGCTTTTAGGCATCTCAACCTGTCAGCATTATGGAAATCGAAAGCGAGTGGTCAAGAGTATGATCTGATATTAGGCCGTATATTCCAAGAAGCTCCAAAATGGCGTAGGTATTCATGAAGCAGATGCTACGTAATACAATGAAACGATGTACAACCAGCTTCCACAATGGTATATCCTAATAACTCAGCAAAAATCATACAAAGATACCTGATATTTCGACACATCTCCTAGTCGGCTGCTCCTCGCTCCTCTTCCTGCGGACCATCATTTGGATTGCCCTCGTCACATGAAGTCGTGGGCACCTTGGCGTTCTCTGCATCACACTTCCTTGACGGTGGTCTCTTCCTACCCGTTAGGATGTCCATTCTCCACTGCGACTCGTCGTTTGAAACTCCCTTCCTTTCTGTAATAGATGTCAGGTCATCAATCACTGACTTAACTTGCTCCTTTCCTTTCTTCTTTACTTCACCCTTTTTCTTCTCGAACTTCTTAATATGCTCAATACTAAGCAGGGACATAAGCCGGCTGAAAGGGACGAATAGATTAACGGCTTACCCCCACAAAGCGAATTCTGCTCTGCTGATCTCCGCACGGCGCATATCCACTCCTCTATCTTCGAGTCCTTTGACGAAATGTCTGAAGTTCTTAATGATTCGTTTTAATGTTTTGTAAAGAGTGAAAATAGACGATAGCATACATTAATTTTGGTCCTGTAGAACCGGAATCAGCGAAGTCCTATTATCGTGGTAAAAGAGCTTTACCTGTAATGTCCGGAGAGTGGTGACAACTTGTGGATAAGGCCATTGTGCACAGAAATTAGGCCTGCAGAGGTAACGAGGCCACCAGCCAAGAATGATGAATGCTGGAAAGTGCCAGTATCTAATTGAATCAAATAAATATTTATCCTCTTCGGCGGCTGCAAACCCAACGCACCTTTTATACCAATGTATAGGTTAACTAAAAGACGAGAGAAAATAGGTTGATATATGTGCATAGTAGAAAATGAAGATGAACTCAACACGAACAATGCCGGTCAGCAACATAGATCCAAGTATTTCTTCGTACAGTCTTCCTAAGAAGTAGCTCAGTCCAGCCCTTGACGGTGAGATGCCTTGTTATCCAGCGTTGGACGGGGTTGCGCTTTTTACTTGTCTCAACATAATGAGTCACATTTCGACTATCCTGACTTCCAGCCGAAACGTTAGATGATGACGAGCTGGATCGAAGCGGACTAATCTCGAAGCTTGTACGCCGCACGACGGCAGGCTCTTCTCCAGTTGCCGTATCGTACGGAATGACCCCTGACCCATCTGCAGAATCTTGCCACCTACCAGCGGTTGTATCTACGAGTTCGTTATTCCGTTCCCATCGTAAGAGGCCCTTATCATCGATTTTTACTTTATAATTCATACCTGCAAGAAAGATATGTTTAGTAAACCATCTTACGTCCGTTTAAAACTAGTACGAACGCTGCTCGGGCGAAAGGTATCTAGAAGCGTAAGAAGTCATAAGGGATGGCATCATTCTAGGTAATATGCTTCGCGTACAGTATTCTCTAGCAAAACCGGTTACGAAAGAAACATATGCAGTAGGTTATGCGTACTTACTTCCTTCTCAAGTTGCTCGCGCGGACAATCCGGGAGAGATAGGTCTTTTCCACCACCGCGATCAAGCCTGGAGTAAACCTTAAGCTTCAGGATTCGTTTCGATCCGTCATGCATATGGATCACTTACCACTTGAAGAAGTTATCCTCTGTATCTTCCTCAAGCCATCGTCTGTGGTAGTACTACACAGATTAAGCTTCAAAAAAACAGACGTTTGAGGTATGTGATCCCCTACCTTCACTTACATGAGAAGGCCATGATCAGTTAAGGAAATAAAGGACATAATGCTGCGGAACTAACGATTGGATCCATAGCGATGCTTGCTGAGAAGACAGCGGTCTATCATTATCAACCCGAACATAAATACATGCAACACCGTACCTGTCCGTTAGTTCAAGCCAATGTTGAGTCTCAAGTATCTTCACGTCTTTGTCATTCCCACTTTCTTCCAGTTCACGTTTGGACGGGATGTTGTTCGCCTGCAATCTACTTGCCAGGAAGGCAGCACGTCTCCACCGATTAGCAGGGTCATTCTTTCCTTCTTCAGCGGCATCTCTCAGCGTCTTAGGGGGAAGCTGTCAAACAAGATACCTGATTATCTTTGGAAGAATTAAAGTACCTGGAGTTTCGCATGGATGGCGGCGTCCTGCCAACGTTCGTCCGTAGAAAACCTACGGGTATTGCTGGACCTGTTTCTCCACGCTCGTTGGAGGGTGACTGCAGCACGGTCTCGTTCATCAACTTGCTGAGGTACAGTGGATTCAGAAGGCATATTCGTGTTACACTGTTAGAGCCAGACCAGTCATGTTGTCGGTTTTGGTCTTGCCGCGGATCCCACATATTAGTTTATGTCTATGACGTCAACGCGGATCATCTTGCCGCATTCGTCCTCACCCTCAAGGGCTACAAAATAATACTCCTCATTTTGAGAATAAAAAGCCCTCCGAAGGCGCTCAGTACGTATACAGTATACCTATGTAACTAAAAGTGTTGCTACAAGACGACGGTTTGAAAGAAACTAGTGCGACAGACAATGCATGAATGGCCAACCACGCTAACACTAAACGCGAAGCACGAAAGAACAGACCAAACAAGAGGAAAATCAAGATGGTTCACAATGTAACACGATCATCTCTCAACTCAACTACTTAAATCCGGTAAAGGTCCAGCCTGGCTGCAAATTCAAGTACGGGTGCTGGCGCAATTCCGACGCCGAGGGCCGTTCATCTGGCTTGATTGCGAAGCACTTCCTTCTGAAATCATCCGCATCTGGCCCGAGTACGACATCGGGTGGAACGGGAGGCGCCCCTTGCTTCGTGATAAGCTGCATGAACAAGTCAGTCTAAGTTTCCTAATCCCATGCCTTAACCCTTACCTCGTATATGACAGCGATCGCGTCTGCATCCTGCCACGGCCGACGCCCAGCCCACATCTCGAGCACAACACACCCTAGACTCCAAATATCCACTTTCCCATTGTATCCATGTTTTTCACCTTTCCTCGCAGCCTGAACAACTTCTGGAGCCATCCAAAAGACGGATCCTTGCATCGATGTATGGACACCATTCTCGTTAATGTCATCTGTCCGCTTGGAGATACCGAAGTCGGAAATTTTACAGATCCCGGAAGGATCAACGAGAATATTGTCCGCTTTCAGGTCCTTTATGGCAATGATAAGTACAGGCTCTCCTTTAGGTAACAATGACATACCCTGTGAATAATACCATTGTTGTGCAGATACTCCAATCCAGCAATAATCTGCCCAGTAAACGACCGAGAAACTTGATCATCGAACTTGCCGTGTTTCCGTAAGCACCCCGCAACGGAACCACCAGGCACATATTCAAGAAAGCTAGACAAGGAATAAATAAAATTAAACAAACACCAAACTTCGCGTAAATGGTACTCACATGCTCAAGAAATCGGGCGTCTGTTCAAATCCCAGATATTGTACGATGTTAGGATGATCTAAATCCTTCAACGTCTCACTCTCCAACTTCAGTGCTTCAACTACGCTAACTTGTCGCTTGTCATCCCGATCAGCATCGGTCTGAGGGATTTCGACTTGTTTCACCGCGATCATTTCGCCAGTTGTCGCATTCAGAGCCAAGTAAACTCGCCCATAAGTACCCTTGCCAATGAGCTCGCCTCGTACCCATTTGAAGATAGCTATAAAAACACTGTGAGTGTGAAGCCAATATATAATCGTGATGAATTTAACGTACGCTTTGGATTGAGAGTAGTGGGTGATTCAGGAACAGGAGGAACGGAAGGAACCTGTGAAGCTGTGACTTCCTCAAGTTTACCTCCCCAGAGCTTCGTGTTTCTTCGCCGCAAGTTGCTCGAGAGTGCAGAGGCGTCTGCCCTGAGCGTGCTGTCGATTTTCTTCTTCGCCTCCGATGCCACAAGTCTGATAGACTTCTTATGCCTCGATTTCTTGTCTTTGTCTGCAGCTGAGGACTGGAACCCTCTTCCAGAGGGCTCGGCGGCAGTCGGCGACGAGCCACCAGAAGTAGAATCAATGAGCGGTTTATCCACGTCGTGGTCGGGGAAATATGCCTCCAGATGATCGGTAATCTCTTCGGGGCGCGGCCTGTTCATTGCACTGTTTTGACTTGCTTTTATGAACTGGCTTTCTCGGTTCGACCGTGGTCCCTTCTCGCCAGTCTTTCCGTTCGTCCTGCGACGACGCACGGCTGGGGGAGGGGGTGGAGGGAAGTCAGGCGGAGGGAAAGGAATACCTTTCTGTTGTGCCGGCGTAAGATGGGGACTGCTGCGAGAAATGATCCCCATTCCAGACATCGAGGATGCTTTCCCGCTTTCCGTGTCAACAGACAACGTCGGTCGCTTCGGCTCCGTATGCTTGGCGGGTTGCCATAAACTACCCACATCATCGTCGTCATCAGACTCACAACCACCTTCATCGGTAGCAGTCGTGCTACGAGTTGTGCTAATAGAGGAAGACGAAATCTCTTTCGACAGGCGAAACGGAGCTGCTCCGAGACCGGGCACTGCATCGGCATACTGCTTGTCCTGTCCACGTGAAGACCTATCCGAAACTTTGACAGTTCCCTCACTTGAAGAAGTGCTAGCCAAGTAAGTTGAAATCCAATCATGTTCACCACGTTTGAGCGTTAAGCTAGACGATTCATTATCACCATCATATACTGGCGAGTCCTGAGTCATCGAAACGAATGACTTCGGCGTGTCCGAGCTTTCCTGGGAAGCCCCGTCAATCTTATCCACGGGTGTACGACGAGGACTATCGGGGCTCAGAAGTATACCCAGACCACGCGTGTTTTGGCCGCTAGACGGATCCCCAATGACGGTTTGAGTGTCTGAGGGTGAAGTCGAATCCGTAAGGGTTGAACTGGACGCCTTTCCACTAGTCTGACTCAAGGAAGTTGAAGGCAAGGAGCGCAAGCTTTGAGACGTTGGAGCAGCGTAGGGATGATGAGGAGAAGCAACGCGTGGAGATCGGGAATCGTCTGGGTCCAGAGCTGCTTCTAGTTCAAGCATATAATTCGACGGACCTCCTGTCGTTGGCAGAGGACGGAATGGCCGTGGAGGCGCTGGTGAAGCTCCAATGTCATCAAGAGCAGAACGTGGGCGCGGATAAAGGTCTTCGGGAGATTGTCGCGATGCACTGTATTGAGAAGGGGTATTTAGGTAGTTCAACCCAGAACCCATATATTGACCCTGTACGGGAAGTGGTCGATAGTGAGACTGCGGAGACTGACCAAAGTCACCCTGCGTTTGCGAAGGATGCATTGGAGAAGAACGAGATGGGACGTAGGTTGTCGGCGAAAGATTGTTCCTCGAATCATACGACTTGGGAAGACCCGCGGACTGCGGATCTCTTCGAGACGGAGAGGGATCCATATTCATGAATGAGGCAGAGGAATTGCTTGTGGTGTCCCTCAAGCCATTCACGGACGGACGCGTCAGGTTCTGGCCAGTCTTTCTTGACGAGGCATTGCTAGATGGCGAAGACAAATTATTTATGCGGAGGTTATCCATACTCTTCGCTCCCAAAAGTCGGGACTGCTTGGCCTGTAGAGAACGCTGATCGGTCTTGTCCCCGACCCACTTTATTGCCCAGTTCGGTGGCACTGGTTGGCCAGGAGGTCGCTGATGCCTGGCACCTTCGTTGGATGAAGGAACTGGTGGTGGAGGACCACGAGGGGGACCAGGGACCTGCGGTAAGTTACCACGCGAAGAGGAGTACAAACCCTGCGTGTAGGGTTGATATCTTCCGCCAGGATCCAAATTATGAGTCGCAGGGTAAGGTGTTGTTGAAGCATGCTGGCCAGTTCTAGGTATATTTGATGTAGAACGCGCCGCAGCTTCAGACGTAGAGGGTCGTTCGTTCTTTCCAGTCGCAGGAAATGGAACCAAAACCCACGGCTCCTGCGTCCGCTTTGATGACCCGTCGGGATAGTCTGTAGCTTTTGGCCTTCGTTTACCTTGATCCTGCTTCCTTTCGTCTCTGCGACCTTGCCTTGCTTCTCGTTCCGCCTGCTGCTGCCTCTCGTTCATTTCCAAGAGACGTTCACGATCAGCAGCAGCATCTGATGCGCTATGCGTGTGCTTCTTTCGAATCGAGGGCGACAGGATCGTGTTATCATCAAAATACGTCACGCTCGGCGAGAACGTCAAAGGGGGAGTCGGTGTTGTGATTCCAATCCTACTGCGATCCGGTAGGAATGTAGCAGCGGACGAGGACGTACCCAAACCAACTTCGATTCTAATTGGAGACATAGGTCTACGAGAACCGGCGGGAGAATCCTCTCTAATATTCGCCGACCCAAGACGACGTGGTGACGCAGGCACAGAGGATCCGAAATATTGAGAATGCAATGCCTGTTGTGGAGATGGGCGGATCGTATTCCTGTTTCTTTCACGCTCATGCTGATCAAGATCATCGGAAACAGATCCCTCATTTCCAGGCATTTGATCAACAACAAATGGCTCGCTTGTCGAAGACATCGTTTCGTGGTTTGATTTCGTCGACTGTGCTCTCCGGCTTGGCGATCTGAAACCACTCTCTTGATAGTTGGGAAGAACAGGAGGAACGTGGTTTGCGACCAGGGAGCGCGGTGGGGGTGGCGGTAGATGAACAGTGGCGGATGAGTGCTGTACTAAAAATTTCACAGTACCCTTCGAATCACCCTCCATCCTGCAGATTTCAAGGAGACGCTCGTCCGACAGAGCTTCGCCTATAGCAAATTGCCCAATCTCAGTCCGATAAATGGAGAAAAAGGGCTGCTGATCATCCGATATTTGTAGCTGTACACACATCTCAGTAAGAATCGAACATACAGAGAACCATTAGGACATACCTTTGAAAACATCTTTTCTCGGATCATCGCTGCATCGCGCGCACCAGTAACATCAAGATAAGTGAAGTTATCACAATCAGCAGTGACGGTAAGCAAAACTTTGCTCGATATCGGCTCGCGCGTCGGAGATGCATGAGGGGCCCCGCCTGTTACGATAGGAGTCTGAGATGGCATAGGACAATGAGCATTGTTAGATCGATTCATAAAATCGGAAGATTGAACGTACAGGTGCTTGGCGAGATTGGACTTTACTATGTAGGACGTGCGGAAACGATTTGAGCCTGTCCATCACACTCATCCGACCAACATTATGCTGACGAATGTCTGGTCTCTCGTCCGGAACAGGGTAACAGGGTCTTTCCGTACTGGCACTCCCATCATCCGGGGGAACAGTTTGGCCCGGTGTACTCGGGGGAGGCGTGGACTCGACAGCAGGTGAGCTAGAGCCAGAAGGCGACGATAGGGATGGATTGGACTGTCCGGCATTAGGCAACTCCGTCGCAACGTTATTGAGCGGGACATGACTCGATGGGAGGTATGAGGTAGATGGTAAGGATGACTGTTCAGAATGCGGCGAATGGGAAACGGGGCTCGGTAGCGGAGGAATCTTGTACTGGGGTGTCGTGTAGCGTTCCTGCTGCTGAGTATCATCGTCGGAATCGTTGTCCGGGTTTGTCACGATGAAAGGCGTGCGCCTCGATGGGTTTCTCTTCCGGCCCACCATGGTGGAGAGAGTATCGTCCATCTCGTTCGAGGACCACTGGGAGGGGAGATTGGCCAGTGCCCTCTGAAGACCGCTTGTCGATCAAGCGGGGACAGCGTATCACAGCTCCAGACAGGGATGGGAACCAGACCCCAGACCAGCGGGCGATTGTCGCCTCGAGCGACTGTAGCGGGTGAGCTAGATGAGGCTGGATGCGGAGGAGGAGGGAAGGAAAGACGGGAGGAGGAGGAGGAAGACGAGGACGCTCGTAAGATGTGAGCAGCAAAGTAGATGTGTGACAGCCTGGTAGAAGCAGTCGTCGAATCGAAGCGCAGCCTGCCTAAAGGAGTATCCCCTAGTGGCGTGGACTTATTCCTAGGAGACCAATTTACACCAAGAATTAAATTCCTCTGCCAATTCAGACAGGAAGGGGCACAACAGGAGGCCCCTGGTCGACGCGCCGAGAGCGCGTGTAGGGTGCAGGAGGACGACTCGGCTAGAGCGGGAGTGCGAGACACGCAGAGTATATGTACCTACTAACGCGCGAGAGAGCGATGATTCCCTACCCTACTTGCCTATCACGGCACTGGCAACAGCAACGTGACTACCAACCAACAGTTCTATTCACCTCGACATTTATGGCTATGTCGGTACATTACTGGTATACATATTTTTCTATTTTACAACAGGCCCTAGCAGAGCGACACAGGTCCACAAGAGCAGCGTATATAACTTGTCTACCGCGGCCCTTCCGAATACAATCCATCGCGAAGATCGACCTGGGGCAGTAAGTCAGCGTGGTTCTCGGACAAGTGCAAGAAGCGCCCCTACCTTCGGGAATTCGGCCTTCTCCTCGAGCGCCGCCTCGCCCCAGCATAGAAGCTTTATTAATGCAACAAGCTTCGCCTCCTTCCCGTGACTAAAGTTCTCCAGTATTGCCGCATTCAGCTCACCGGCCGTCTTCAACCGTTGCGCCGGCGATAACAGTTCTGCGATAGCGGGCGGTACAGACGGCGTCGACTCAAATGCAAGCAACGCCATCGTGCGCTCTAGCTCTAGTAAGAATTCTGGCCTCTCTTGGCCTCGCGGCGCAAGTTCCTCCTGGGCAAACTGCAGCGCCTCGGTCGTGCGGCCTTGGCGGATATACTCGATCAATCTCTGCTGCTGAAGGCGGAACCACAGTGAGGGGTGCGTGTCTAGAATCTGTGCGAGGTCAGGAGTAAAAAAAATCAGAACTTTTGTCAAACCCGAGACTACAAGTTTGAAGCGAAAAAAAAAATCATATTGAAGACTGAAGTTTGGTGTTTGTTTATCCTCAGAGGCTTATCAGCCTCAGAATGGTGCATGAACGTTATAATCCTTTGTCCTTGTCCTGGCAAGGGTAAATCAAATGAAAACTAACGAACCTCTGGATCTAGTTCATTGACTCGCATGATTGCCTCTTCAACGTCGCCGCGCTGCAGCGCCTCTCGAATGACCGTTCGGTCTTCAATTGTCCGGAAGTCAACATCAGGAGACACCTCTGCCTCCTTACTGAATTCCTCGGCCGCGGATTTGTAGCCCTCGACGACAAGGTAATCCATTACAAGCCGGTTTAAATCACTGGTTACACGTCATGAGCAACACTTCTCAGTCTCAGGAGATAGGTAGAATGATAGAAGAGGTCAGATAATACATGCAATTTTTTTGGATCATCAAAAGATATCAGAGAGATTCCCAATTGTGTTATTCATCTCATTATGTGCCAGACGATGGTCCCGTGGTAGGGACCATGTTGAGCCTTCGAGTCGTTGAGATGAAGACACTCACTGTTTCGAAATCTGGACCTCATGCAGCCGCTTATCCCACTCTTCCTTGCGAACAATTACTTTTTGTTGCACCGGTGGCTACAAACATGCCTAAGAGGTGAGTGGATGAGGCGGAGTTGAAGGATGATGAGGGACGGACCATGGAGGTGAATATAAAACTTTCGATTTTCTTCAGGGCCGGTGACTTGCGCTACTTATGGTTTTTGACTTGACGACAACAGACGCTCGTGGCGTGCAATGGCCCTCATTTATATTCACACATTGCTTATTTATCAGCTTGATATTTATCCTCGGCCACAACATGTACATAGTGACATGTATTCAGCACGCATATATACTGTATGATGTCAGAAAGACATGTTATTGACAGTATTACCAAATAGTAATTCCATCAAGTATTGGATACCACACCGCCCGCCTTAATCATTTGGAGAAATGCGTCTTGGTTTAAAGCTTCATAGGATTAAAGCGCAGTCAGCATAAATGCTTCACAATCACACTTGGAAACGTACCTTTCTCGGGCCTCTGCATGCTAGTACTTTTCTTTTTCATCTTAGCATCCAGAGCAGGTGTTGGCAGCGAAGGTTTACCCGATCCTCGTGCAGCCTTAACCTCCTCTTGAGCGGCCACTGCTGCAGCCTGAGTTTGCTGAATGGCGTTGAACAACTTTACCACTGTTCGTGTAGTATATCAGGCATTAGGCGACGGAAAAGTGCTGAAGACGACAAACCTCCCCTCTGTGCGACCTTCCTAAGGGACCTTTCGCGCTCAGCTCCCCAACCTCCGATCACGTCTTGTATATGATTTTTCTCCTCTCTCTCCTTCTTTTCACCTTCTAGAAGCTTTTTGGCCTTGCCTTCTAGTATTTCGTCCGTTCGTCGTTTCGCGACCGATGGTTTTAATGCGAGAGGCTGGTTTGTCGGTGCATCCGTTTTTAAGAGCGCCTGCAGAGTGGAACCAAATCGAGAGGGCGAAGTAGCACGTCGTTTTCGTTTCTGCGTCTTCTGTGATTTGATGGGTCTCTGTGCCTCTGCAATTTCTTCTTCCGTAGACAAGCTTTCGGCGTCGGTTTCAGCTTCGCTTTCAGAACTATGCGCGTCTGGACGTGCGTTCGCGAAGTTTTGTTCATTTGAAGATGCACCGTCCGAGAGTTCTGCGTCACGGTCCTCCTCTGCTGAAAGCCTTCGTCGCTTCGTAGGGCTCATTGCGCGGATTGTTGAATTTGGGCAATTTTGAGAGAGTATGAAGAGGTTGGCGACAGAGATGTCAAAATAAGTAGGCAACGCGCAACGACGGAATCATTTGGCGCGACGATCTGACTGACTGACTTTCCTGTGCAACCCATGCTCATTTCACACCAGGTACCCCTTACTCACCCTGCAGCAGTCTCTGCAACGTCTAGACAGTTCTAGTATTCTCAGTCTACCCTACCGAATTGGCATTCGCAGGATTTCGGACCCGACTGGGTGTATTATTCAAGTCGTCTGACCCAGTGCAGCGTCTGGGTGCTGACGCTGCCCAAGAACATAGGCAACGTTTCTCCGTACATCTTTGGCCCGTCTGTGTCAACCAGATCCCAACTATTATCATAACAGACTATAGCGACAAGATGTCTGTGTCGTCTCAGCCGCCGGAGTTCATGCCAGAGCCGGACCTCCACCCACTCTATCCTGTGCCGTCTGAAGTAGCACGTCTGCTAGCCGCCGGTACTGGTTTAAGCCCTGAACAGAAGTCCACGCTCATTCAGCATTGCATGACGCGTGCGTGCGTCTTTGGCGACTTAACCTTCTTTCAATATATCCTACACGACCGGCAAGCACACCCATTCTTAGACCTTAATCACCAAGATGAAGATGGTATGGTCTATGTCAGCGTAATTATAGAAGGTTTTGGATCGGAATCGGAGAGAGATGTCGAGCGTGAAGAATGTGTCCGTTTGCTCATAGCTGAAGGGGCAGACGTGAATATTCCTGATAAAGGTGTGTCTATAGATTCGCCCTTATATAATTCTGTGTTGACATGTTGGTAGCGGGTTGGACACCACTTCACCATGCTGCTTTACTGGCTCCGCCAACTCTGATATCCTACTTGCTCACGCACGGATGCTCTCCATTTGCGACCACTTCACGAGGTATTACTGCACTGGACATAGTGACCGCGTATGCCGTTATTCCAGGGCGAGAAGATGTTGCTTTGTTCCTCGAGGAAGCCATGAAAGGAGAAGGGTGGCAGGGTAGCCAACTGAACATCAAACGGCACTCATTCGACAAAAGGTTGAAAGAGTACGAAAAGCGGCACTCGGAGCGACAAGCGATTGCAAAAATCTTGGATCTGAGTGTCAACGAATACTGGTGGAGGGATAGCAGCATATTGCAGCACCTTCCAGAAGCCTATTCTGACGACGAAGACGACGGTGACGAAGAGGATAGAGAGCTTTATGTGCGTTGCTGTTATTAATTGCTTACACTGTACCTAAATTGACCAGAATCCGATAGACCCCTCCTCCGGATTATTCATCTATGCTAGTTTTTTCGCCGGCATCGTTACCTGGAATACTGGATTCCTTAATAATAAATTTCCGACCTTCAATGCGTAATTCAATACCCGCAAATTCATTATATATGCTGGCTCGGTTTGCTTGCCTTACATGTGACCATACATGGTTTGAAGAACTCATAATGGGTGCGACAGACGCCATCGAGGATGCTGCATTCGTAAGTCCTAGATCCTCAATTTCAAGTTTTGCTGAATGACCTAACGCAATTTAGAATCACCCTGATGACCTCACATATACGATCTTTTGGCTGTACAACTGCACCACTTGGCTTCATCTCATGGGATGCGATTCAACTACTAACGAAACTTGCGAACTCCTCGGTTCCTTCGATCTAATAGAAGAGGTCATCAACACTGTTTACGGTCAATCTTCCTGTCCTACATTTATATCGCTTTCGCTGAGCCTTTTATCCTCTAGTTCTTATTATTCGCGTCGCAGAACGTCGTATAGACACGCTTATTGATACCGCGTTGTTGGACTACTCTCCTGCAGAGGCGGAGCTGGATCAGATACAGTTCGAGTCGGAGTGGTCCCTATTCCGGTCCCCATTTACGAGCAAGAAGAGAATACCCTCTCAGACAGTCACACCTTCTTCGACGTCGGCCTCTTTAAATGCTGCACGCCCAACGTCTCCCGCGTCAGGTACATCACGGACGACGTCTCCGATACCACAATACTCTAGCTTCTTGCCACTAACTCCGAAGGGCCTTTCTTTAGGTGGCACAATGACTCGTGCACGGGTGGCTTCTACAGCTTCTTTGCAATCGTTTCTTACTGAAGGACCTCCCCCGTCGCATACACCGCAAGAGTTGACCATGTACTTGTCTGCATTGCATTCGTTACTTCTGGATTCTGGAATCAATCCCGCGATCATTACTCAATTGTGGTCGCAGATCATGTACTGGACATCATGTGCGTAGCTGCAAGGTCACTGAAGATTCAGAAGAAATTGCTGACACGTATGCAGGCGAGGCGTTCAATAGGATCTTAACGCGGAAGCGTTACCTTTGTCGGTAAGAATGAACATTATTCGAATTGGTTTCTCATTTGAACAAGATTTTCAGGTCTCGTGCATTACAAATTGGCATGAACTTAAGTATCGTGGAGGAATGGCTATCGGATGTTGGCTTGCCCCGTAGCGTTGCATCTCATTTCAATCCAGTCCGGGAATTGCTCCTTTGGCTGCAGGTTTGCTTTGTTCCTGACTATTTTCGGAACGTATTTTCCTTACGCTACTCACTTCCTAGTGTTTGTCATCGATGGATGACTTCTCAAACCTTATTGCGACGATACAAACCCTGAAGAATTTGAACCCGTTGCAAGTAAGTCTTATTTGGCTTTAGCTCTACTCAAACTAAATGATCGGTCCGTGAACAGATGCGTCGGGCGGTCCGTGATTACAAGTAAGCGGCCGTAACTCTCGTCTGATCTTATCTCTTACTTTGTTGTTGTTCAGGTACGAAGTGAACGAGTTACGGATGAGCGACGATTGCAGTCAATACTTGGTGCAACTGCAGAAGGACTGGGAACGGCAACGGGTGAAGCTTGGGGTCGAGGCATTGAGAAAAGAGGTAGGCAATTATTGACCTTCACTACTTCTGCAGCTAACGCTGCGTAATACAGATCAACGATCGCGACGAATATGACGAAGACGATAGCTTTTCCTCGGAGAACGCAGAAGCGAATACATCGTCGAGCCTCGACAAGTCAAACTCTACGAGTCCCACTGAATCACAGGCCACTAGTCAGAGTAGTGTTGACCTCCTTTTCGAGAAATCTCCGAGCGAAAAATCCGAATGGACACCTCAACGACCACCTGAAGTCCTTGGAGAACTGTTAGAGTCAAGGTACATGTTGCCGCTCACCTTACCGTCGGATCGACGTATGCTATCTGCCGTAGCCTGGAAAAGGCCTGATCATGAGCACGCACTGAATACTAATAGCAATGGCATCAAACGAGGATCTCTGTTACAAGACGGAGTGCGTAGTCTTAGTCGCACACGACCGAGCCGTCGACGCTGTCTTGACTGGACAACAAGGGCGAGGCGAATGAGGCGCGTCGGAGTCGAGCTGCTGGACTGCATTGATGGCCCGGCGTGGTCGGGTCGTTGGGCTCGGCACGCAGAAGCCAATGGACAGGATGACGAGATGACGGAGGGCAATAAATCTCGTCGAGGTTCCTTAGATGGTACCGTAGATGAGGATGGTGAACAACTAAATCACCTCCATCTGACGAGAATGGCCAGAGCAACTTCATCTAGGAGCAGGCAAGGTCGAAGTTCTACCGGCTAGATTTACATCATTTAATTCATGGACTATAATGATTGTTTACCTTCGAATTTCTGCCGTGTCGGGGATCCTCGTGATGTTGCCAATGTCATTAATTTGTGTGTCGGAATTTTCCTTTATGTGTCGTAGTGCATAATTAGCGTATCTCTCTTCATTATACTGCAAACAGAACTTCTTTTGCATGCATGATGAAAGAGAAAGAATGAGGTCATCCAGCAGATCGGCGTGATCGGCGTTCCTCCTGAAGTGCGTCTGTGGTGAAGATTCTGAAGGCTAATTTGTTCATGTCACCACTATCTATTTTCTGGCCCGTTGATGTCAAAAACGCTGGATACATGCTCGGTTGGAGAACAAGGGACGTCATAGTCGTCGCGGGAACGTTACCACTCGCTGATGTTCGTATGCTAAGAAATTGCTGCTGTTCTAAATATGCTGATTGACTTCTCCAGGTGAAAGACGCAACGCCTTTATTGTCGCGTATAGGAAATGAGACTTCAGCTCCACTTGAAGTACTTGGGACATGCTTTGCAAAAGGTCCTATTTCTGTCCGACAAGTAGTCTGGCTGGATGACTCTGTCTCTTCTGAACAGTGCGTCGTCTGGTTCGTTTACGATTTTATACAAAGTCCAATGCCTGTATAGGTCATGTATTGTATGCTATGAAAGACCAAAACATAGATCCTGGCGCCACTACAGCCTTGTTGACATCAATCTTGACCTACTTCTGGCGATTCAGCCTTCCGAGAAGGGGACATCCCTGAAGACTCGACAGAACGATTATCTGTCATTGCAGAATAGCTTTGTGAAGGGCACAAGCGCCCTCGCACAAGGTATTGACCATTATTCTGTGCAGCAGGTACATATACTTTTTGCACGTAGACTATCTGCGTATTAATATCTTTGTAGATGAATGCTGCGCATCGAGTAATGGCCGTTGTCGGGGATATGATGAAGTCCAGTCCCTCCGCCAGTGCGGACGAACGATCCACTCTCGCAAAACGCACGTCTCACTCATTGACCCGACTCTGCGACTCTCTGGTTGGCCCACTTTGTCGTTCGCGAGACCACTTCCTCCATCTTTTCGGCCTTGGTCCATGGGTACATTCGAGTATCTCGATTGGTTAGTCAGAAATGAATTCGTTTCGACTTGACCACCTGACGTCCCTCCTAGCTCAACAGCTTGATCTTCGATGCGAACAGTTTACTTTTATTCTCAGACAAGCCTGGCTTCTTCAAGTCACAGATACTGGGAACAACGAACTCTCGACGAATTACATTAGGTTACTGTTTTCTTTGTCAGGGATGGATTATGGTCCGACGCTGAAACGACTTATAGCACACAGAACTGTATTTGGCTGATCTTGAACGATATTATTATCGGTACCGCCGTGGGCACGACCCTCGTCGAAAACAAGGCTTATTTGGCGAGACTTGTCCTCAAACTCGCCATGGTAGGCGCCCTATTCTTTAACTTCTAACTACCTAGATTGTAACCTGTGCCAAATTTAGCATCTCACCGTCGACTCAATGCGGGAATCAATCAGCTGGCTTGACAATTGGCCTGCTGGGCTCAAGCTCAACACGGAGCTGAGTCGGTTCTTTTTCCTTATATTTAACGCACTACTAGAATTTTGGAGCGGTACGTACAGGCCTCGCATGGTATCGATAAATCTAAAGATCCATCCACCCTACTTGCAGTCGTCCTGATTTATATCAGCTATGCGCTTCCAACTATTATTGAACTCATCGGCATCTCAGGAGTCCTTGGGATGACCATGATTCTGGCGTGCACATCCGATTTGGTCAGCCTCCTGACAGCACATTTGTTCATGGCCTATACGGTTGTCAGAGTCGCTTTCAGAACGCAACTTTTAACGACAAATTCGCTGTACAATCTGTTCCGAGGTTCGTTTCATTCTTTCATCGGGAGATGCAAGTTAACATTCGTGCATAGGGAAGCGCTATAATGTGTTGAGACGTCGATTGGACTCTTGGTATTACGACCTAGACCAACTATTACTGGGTGCAATGCTCTTTACCCTGAGCAGTTTTCTCTTTCCGACCGTACTTGTCTATTACGTACTTTTCGCGCTTGTGAGGGGACTTTCCGACTTGCTAACTCCAAGTAGCTGACTTGTCTTCAGACTAGATTAGCACTGCAATCCCTACAAGCTGGGCTCAAAGTTGCTTTGGCACTCTTGAATCACTTCCCGCTTTTTGCCTTAACACTTCGCATAAAGGATCCATGGCGTCTACCTGGTTAGCAAATGCCACTACGCCAGTCTCTCTCTCTCTCTCGGGTATGGCTGATGTATCACAGGAGGTGTCACTCTTCGTCCGCGCGAGGACCGACAAGGCTTCATCATTAAGGTAATTCAAGTCAATGTGCGTCTAGATCTATTCACAGACTAGCCACGCAGAACTCCCCGATAGCACTGTCAAAGATCTTTGATCAATACTGTACGTCCTTGCCATTTGATATTGGCCCGATACTAATACCTTTCTGCAAAGTTGTGCTCGGGTCAAGGCTTGCGTCACATTATAATCCGATGCGCTTGATAATAGCCTTTGTGAAAGGCAACCGCCTAGACTCCATTCCGCATAAATTAATCCGCTATACGTATCGTACACAAGGCCCACAATTACACATGCACAACTAGCAAACGCCCAGTAGGTTGTATTATAACTTCGGCTCTTTCTCTTTGCGTCTAACATACCGACCACCCTGCTTCCTGCATCTTTAATTTCAGAAATTGGAACAAGAATCGTATAATAATGAACCTACCCCGCCTCTTCCTCTACGCGTCGACGTTTTTGCGCATGCATATCTGCCGCTCGCCGGTTTATGTCCGCCGCCTCTTGTGTGGTAGGGAAGCCGATGTTCCAATAGTCTGGAGGTGTCTTGGCGGGTGACCACTGATGGCGATGCCGGGAAATCTGTTGTCTATGATGCATTGCTACCTCGGGCGATGAATGTCGGTGATGACGATGCAATAAGTTGGGCTCATCGGCTGGTGGAAGGGATTCCCATAATGGAAGACCTGGTCGACTCGGGAGTGGCTCGAGACATTCATAATACTACAGGATGTGTTCATTAGCGAAATAGAGATGTGCTTTTGCTGTAGCTACCTCTCTGCAGCAATCACAGTCCCCTGCTTCTAACTGATGTCGTTGCTTTCGCCCCCGGACAACCTCGTCGAATTGGAACGGCAAGCCGTTATTACGTGAAGTGTCAATCTCGAAGAGGGCATTTAATGCCTCCCTAAGAGAAATAGTAAATAATTTTCATAGTGAGGAGCGGTATTTTACCCACTCAACGTCTGCCACATCCGAATACCGGCCTCTCTTCTTTGTAGAACTGCCGAGAACGTCGCGGCTCGACAGGCTCTCTTCCTTAATCCTAGAGGAGCCTTCAACGGATTCTGTCTTTGCTGGAATCTCCGATCCGGGACTTTGGGCCTTTCTTTTTCCGTCAGCCTTCAAAGTGTAAGATTCTGGTCGAGCAACGCGACCGACACAATTATCAAGTCGCTCATCCTCGGCTTTGACTGGCTTTGACCTGTTCACCAACACAATACCAAACCAACCATTGATTTAGTCAATACAACGCACGAAGTGGCTCGAAATAAAGGGTTAAAAAAAACATGCCGTGCGCGGCCCAGTGTTCTACTAGATGACGTCGGTGATGGTCGTCGACCATAGTCGTCTCCTGTAACCTCGAAGATTCAGTTTAAATAAAGATTCAAATGTCAACTGCATTTACCTTGCATTGACCGCGGCAATGATGCAAGCCCCGAACTGGAAGCGAAAGGCGCATATTGATTACTAGAATTTTCACGTTCATGCAAGTCGTCTGCAAAATCCAATTTCTCCTCTGCGATCTGGGCCCTCAAAGCCTTGGCATGTTTCGACTTATTGAGAAGCCAAGACTTGAAGGACTTCCACCGTCTGTAATCGTCTTTGTATTTCTTCTCCGCTGCTTTCTTTGCTACGACTAAGGCATCGTATTTGCGGGATAGTACTCGCAGCTCGGTACGCAGGTCACGCTCATCTGTGGGACTAGAATTCCCAACTGACTTCAATGGCGATAAAGGAACACGCCTTGGTTTGCTCGCGTCTGGCGATTCTCTAAGAGAGATAACGTTAGGGGTACATCTCGTTGAGCTCGGTGCGGTGGTTTACATTACTAGTGTATCCGGAACTTTAGGATTCGAGCGATGCTGCAATTGCATAACTTGACGTTTTAGCACCTCGAGCTCATCTCTGAATGTCCCGAGAGCAGAAGATTCTTGTTGAATAGGAGTTCGCTGCTGAGAATTCCCCCCATTTTTTACTGCCGACTTATCCTTAATCGCTTCCGCATTCCAGACGGCTGGCTCATTGATTACGGCCCCCTCTAGTTCCTCAAAGGTGTGAAATCCGATCTTCTCCGCAACGTTTATCGTTCTGTTATTGAGAGTGAATAGCTGTTGAGAAAGCTTGTCGTTTGAGAGCCGTGTCTTTCGTATCTACATCAATATTTGCAGATGAGCGAGGGTCAATCCACTTTGTTCTTAAAAGCAGTAAGTGCAATATAACCCACTGTTTCTTCCAGCTTGAGGAGTGAAGACTGATATAGCCTCCCCACGCTTTCTTCCGCAGCTTTCCTGATGGCCTCTTCCATTCGGTGGATGAGTGAAGGCTGGATGATACCAAAGGAAGTACTTGCACTTCGCGAGGCAGATCTCAATTGCGTGAGCGCGTCGGGTGTGACGTTACGTGACCAAACGCGTTCAAACCACGTGAGCTATCCTGCCGCGCTTTACCGTGTTGCCTCGCGTTTCTTGTTCGTCGATGGCAGAGAGCGAACGCAACGGAGCCAGAGACGAATTGCCTCGCGTCTCTGTGGACTCAATCCAAGACTGGTTCCGCATTAAAGAAAACCTGAACTCTGCTGCTATTGCTATTCTCGATTCAAAACTTTCGGAACGTGGTTCAGAAAACCAGCGAAATCTCCTCCTGCCCCATGTGATACAGGTCTGTATGCGCATTCGGGCTCTATTAATCGTAGAAATCGATAAAACTAAAATATTGATGCAGTTCTTAGAAAGGACATATCGGCTTGCAAAACCGAATTTGCGAATAAATGGGCGTAACTTTGACGAATATGATGGTGATGAACAAGGTGCACCATCTCATGCCATACCTCTGCTGTTCGGCACCTTATAATTTCTTCAGAAATGGACCAGTTCGACGAGTCTTTGGACAGGCGAGTCTGGTCTCTTTCTGACCAGCGCCTGAAATGGGATCTTGAAATTGCTACGAAGCGGCGAAACGTCCCGCGGGAAGTGGAGAACCTAATGCTCGACCTTTTCAATAAACAAAGGGAGCATGATGATCGGCAGTTAGGGCAACAGGATACTGAAATGGAAGTTGACAATGATGTAGCTGGGGGTATGTTGTGTTCAGTCCTTGTAGCATTTCTCGCACTTCCACCCTTCTGTCTCCAGGTGAGGAGGGTTTGTCCGACGCGAATGTCAAGTTAACTGAGATCGCGGAAGAACTTCAACAGGTGTGTCCTTGTCATTATTCCAATCTGGAATGCGAGTATAAACATTACTTTGCAGAATGTCCCCGAGCAGCTTGAAAGGGCTCAGCGAGTTAAACAGGTGGATGAGGAGATTCGCAATCTACGCACGTGATTATTTGTTATTTGTACCGGAAGATCTATGAATAATTGGTTGTACGTTTGATTATCTTCGCTTCTGTAACACTGTAACTCGGTACTGTCAATCCCATCCTATATAACAGGTTTTCATTAATTATGAAGTCAGATAAGGTTCTGGTGTCCAGCGCACAGACATAACGTTCTTTGTAAGCTATGTGAAGGTTCTGACCTCTTAGATGGTGTCTCGCGCTACGCGCGGCAATTTGCACATATGCTCTTACCTCTCATCACCAATTATCCCGCCAAGCTTTTCGGTATATATAGAGAGCTTAGCACTTCCAGCGTTAGTCTGACCTTCGAACAACGTTGATTGCCGGGCCTTGCAAAGTGTCTGATATGTCTCACTTCGAGCTCAAGAATAAAGTCTCGTCTGTTCTTCGCCCGACTGCAGTGATTCTGTTAGCACAAGAAGTTATTCCAGGCTGGTGCGAACAGGTATGCTGTGCGATACATGCGTTGACACAACTGCTGATTTGCCTTATTTTGAGCAAAGTATGCTCAGGAGGGATATGATGTCTACCAGCTCTGCTTCCCGATACAAGAAATTACCTTGCATGAGATCGCCCTTAATCTTAGTCAAGCGAAGACGGATTTCGCTATTATCTCTTATGGACTTACTGGAGAAGATGCTGGCTCGTATCGCAGGTCCATGCGAAACGTCATTGACCTCAAACTGAAAGCCTGTATTCATTACTCGCCCGCCCTAGAGGATGGCGTATCACTGCTCGTTACGGATATGGAGGGTAAATTCGTGTCGTAAGCTTAGTAGTTCCGGAATTTGAGTTACATTGACCTACCGGGCTTTGGAAGAACGACGTTCCATCTCGCAGCAGCACAGGAGAAGCTTCAAGCATCTCTGCTATCCTTAACGGATACCAGGGGCCTTTCATACAGTCTGAAGCCGACTCAGTTTCCTCCAGTATTGGTCTATACTTATCCATTAGTTCCGGTTACCCCTGCGTTCCCCTTATTGACGACAGCACCAGCTGCTGTTGTACCAGGACAGAATACAGCAGTGGACCCTCATGTGTTGTCCGCGACAAATATCGCTTACACAAGGTCACTTGAACTTTTAAGAAGGGAGATAGGACCTAGGTTCGATCTTGAAAAGGTTTGGAACGACCACATATATTACGTATGTGTCGAGTACTTGGCCAATACAAGTCATTGAATTTGCCACACAGGAATTTGCAGAAAGGGATCACGCCAGTGAGTTTTCTTGATTTCCGTACCGGAAAAACTTTGTAGCTAAACTAGAGACATAAGAAACTATGGCGACTATGGTAGGTTATAGGTGCCAAAGCCTTGAAGGGGTATCGGTAAATGCTAGTCCACAGGTCAAAGTTCCCTATGTCAACCACATCCCGACAATGGTGGGTATGTGAGCATGGAACAGGAGCATCTTATGACGAAATATGTTTGCAGACAGGCGGTGTTGGCTATGAAGAACTCGCTCGCTTTTACAAGTACCATTTCACCGCGAATTCGGTGAATACCCTCGTATCATAACTTGTTATTCATTCGGCTAACGAGCTTGTTAACAGATTACGCCTCCAGATACGGAGATGATCACGGTATCACGAACAGGTTAGAAAAAGTTGCATACCTTCTGGTACTACGGATTTGATTTTTGATTGAGGCTCTGCAGTTGGCGCTGATCGAATCATCGACGAGATGATTTTCAAATGTACTCACACAACGGTGAAGTTTCTTGTGCCTTGTGGGATGCAGATGTTCATACCTAGAGTACCTCAGATGATTGACTATCTGTTACCTGGCATTGAGGTACAGTATGCATGCAAACCTTAAGTAGGTATGGGCTCTAGAACACTTTTCAGCCGACCGGGAAAAGGCTGGAGATAGCGCTTGTTGGTGTCATAGCGTTCAGAGGGGATAAACTCTGTTTCGAGTGCGTACCTCGATATCTTTCCTGACCTGCATTGACCGTCCAAAAATTGCTGCTGGGCATAGGCATATGTGAGTGCATTTTTCCGTGCCCGGCCGCCTGTTACTGACTTGTATGACAACAGATATTGGGACCAGGCTTCTGCACTCGTACAGGTACGGACATTCTGGCCGTGTTAAGACAACCAGTGCATTAAGAACGTCCGTAGCTTGGTCTTCTGGATGCAACGCGCCTCCCGGTGGCCGGGATAGATGTTGCGCAGAAGGTACTGGATCCATTTGGTAAGCCAAGCAACACGTTGATGGCACGATGGAAAGAAAGCGAGGGATTGGGTATTGAGTGAGAGCTGCGGAATGTTGTTGATGCAGGCATTACCGTGGCACAATAACTCGTATTCAGAAAGGCTATGCTGTAAATTGTTATTAAGTTGTATGTATGTACGAAAATGAGTGTAGGAAACAGAATTTCTTGGCGTAAAAGACGGGCTGTGTGAAACACAAAGCGGGAAGTGCAAAGGAGGCTCGCTTGTGTTACCCGAGCGGGATGGCAGCACAGCCTTTACTGCGGACAGTCTCGTTCATAAACACGCCTTTATCCATCCACCTTCGCAACCTCTTCTCGATACCTCATCCCGTCCTGGAAATGGCCTTGCCACACCAGAAGCAGGTTAATTTCGCCGACTTCGACGATGGGTACTCGTCCTATACGCCACAAAAATACGACCCATACGAGTCGCATTTCCAGTCAAGAGGTGATGCAACATCCATTGCACCCTCTCACGCGACATCTGGCTTCCTTGCCCACGACAGTCCCAGGAGGGCAAACACTCTCGGCGAAACAGAAGCGCAGGAGCTGGCTAATTCATACCAGACGAGAGCTTCGCAGAATTCGACGTCGACAACGCTCAATGAGGGGCTGGATAGGCGGCCATCAGGAGCCAGCAAGCTCCACTCGACTTATGGGCCTTCTGGAAAGGATCCACTGGTCGACGACGAATATACTCCCTACTCAGATCATCCCAAAGGCTTCCGGACGAGTGATGATGACCCTCTCGTCCACAATGCAGCTGACATGGGCAAGGCAGACGGATCGCGAGGCATGGGTGACCTTGGTGCGTCAGCCTCGAATCACTTCTTGTCTTCGTTGATGCTCATTCTTTGCGTTTATTAGAATACCAAGACCCCTACAGTAAAGATGGTACTCTGGGACCTCAACCTGCTAAAGAATCTGCTATTTCACGCTTCCTTGGGTATGGCTTCTCAAGTCATTTTGGTGTTGAACGCTGGTCTCATGTATAACGTAATTATCAGTGGAAAGTATCCCTTGGAGCAGCGCATAGAGAACAAGCGCCGCGGTATTGGGCGCCAGCGTTACCCTTTCCTTGGTATGTTGGATTTTCTGTTTGTCTACAGTAGGCTTACTTATAGTGACAGTCTGGATTCTGACCATCATTATGTGTGCCGTCTTCATCTACGAGCTTGCCAAGAACGGTCAAGAGCAAGGGACTCCGGTGTCGTTCAAGGTCAGCCAAACAAACGATCTTGCTTTTGGTGTTTCGTACTGACACGCACATTGCTTTGCCAAGCCTGTTGTCAACTATATGCTTGGTCCCTCGGAGTCAGCTTTGATTTTTGTCGGCGCCCGGTTTCCACCTTGCATGAAGAATGTCCCTGATGTCCCGGTGTCACTTACACTTCCCTGTGCGTTCCATTTGTACAGTTCTTCCTGATAGCATGTATGCTAAGGCAAATGAATCGTAGGTATGAATGACACTGCCAACCCACCGGATCGTTCTTGTCCCATCTCCGAACTCTGTGGCTTTGGAGGCATTCCTTCTGGCGAGACGCCAAACCAATGGTTCCGGTTAGTCAATGTTTCGTGCTGTCAAGTGTACCTTGTTAATATTCCTTTAGATTCATCACGCCAATTTTCCTGCATGCTGGGTTCATTCACATCATTCTCAACATGCTGGCACAATTGTACGTGTCGGCACAACTAGAGCGTGAAATGGGTACTGGTGGTTTCTTCCTTGTTTATTTTGCTGCTGGAATTTTCGGGTTAGCATTGTTTATTCGGTATTTGAGCTTTCAAATTGAAATGCCATGTGCAGGAACATCCTTGGCGGTAACTTCTCGCTCGTTGGCGTGCCTTCCGTTGGAGCTAGTGGGGCTATTTTTGGGACAGTCGCGGTTCGTCCTGCTATTTGTTTATCACTGAAATTCGCAACTAACGATTTTGATATTCGCTAGGTCAGCTGGGTAGATTTATTTGCCCACTGGAAATATCACTATCGGCCGTCGACTAGGGTACGTTTTACGCCACCTTGATTGTTGTGTCTCATTTATCAGAACTCTCTTGCTTCCAGCTTATCTATATGATAATTGAACTGATCCTCGGCATTGGCATGGGTTTCATTCCCTACGTTGATAACTTTGCACATCTAGGAGGATTCTTGATGGGCCTGCTAGTTGGCATGATATTCTATCCCGTAATCAGTGAAACTAGGCGACATAATATGATCACTTGGGGATTCCGCATTGCTGCCGTTCCGCTCGTCATTGTCTTGTTTGTCGTGCTGACCCGGAACTTCTATACGACTGATCCGTCTGCATGTGCGTATTGTCTAGCTGTCACTGGAAGTCTGATTTACTAATAGTATTCTCTTTAGCTTGCGGCTGGTGTCGATGTATGTGACAGTACCTTGGTGTGAAATTGTCATTTCTGACGTTCTTCTTTAGACCTTTCGTGCATCCCAACAAATGCAAACAACCATTGCAAAGGGTACGTTTTGAACTTATTTCTTGTAACTTGCATCGTCCTTATTTGTTGGTGCAGCACTGGTATTACGACGACGACCACAACGACGACGACAGGTTCCAGCTCGTTGCGCATGCTGTTATTGTAATCACTCCTTCATCTTTTTTTTTTTCAAATTTCAAAGGACTTTCCTTCCTTGGACTTAATACACCACTTCGCTGCACCTTTGTTACTGTTACTGCTATGCTACATATTCATGGAGAACGGACTTTAACTAACAACTATTGTGTTCCATTCATTACATACATTTCTTTTTTGTATTTGTTCCATTGTTTAGTTTGACATGCATATCTCATTACGTCTGAGGGTACTAGATGAGCGTTAACGCCACTGGTTCTCTGTTGTTAATAATATATTTTTATTGGGCCATATAGGCATCATTTCCTGTTACTTGCCCATAAGCCCCCACACACACAGCGCGTCTGCCAAGTCCTTTCCCATGCTGTCCATCGACGTAAATAATCCAGGGTTATCTTGTTACCTACTTTAGCTTTCTCTTCATCAATTTCCGACTTTCCACCGCATCGCAGACAGCGGAGCTGTCGGCCTTGACCAGTCAAATAGCCCTTTGTAATAATGTTCCGTTCGTGCACCTTTCCGGACTGGCTTACTGACAGCCCAACCATTCCGTCCACGAGATCCGCAGGCTTGATGAACAGCTGTAGCTTGTCGACTACATGTGCTTGCATTAACTTTTGAACGATCTTTCGCAGTAGTGGAATGTGCTGTGGTGTAGGCTTCAATAATGCTAAACCTCGCCTCGCGATTTCCGGGGATTGTTCTGGGATTCTAGTGTTACAATGCCTTCAACTTTGTCAGAATAGCACACTTACCTTTAAACACGTGTACCTCTGGCTTGACCTCTCCCAGAACTCTGTCAAGTGCCTCAAGGTCGACAGGAGACGAGTCCACAGAGTCGAAGAGAATCTCCCTCGCCACTTGATGCTTCTCTTCTCCCTTCGTGCTTCTATTCGAGTCTAGAAATCCACGAAAACGTCGGACATGCACGACGAATGAACGAAGTGCGTCCAGTGCATACGGATGGACAAGATGAAGTAATGAGCTGGCCAAATGGAGGGAATCTGAGCATTGTGCGATTAATGAAGATCCAGTGTCCAACGCTATAACGTTCTACCTACCAAGTGATGTGTCTTCTTTATTGCCATCGGCAGAGGATCCGAAATTTTCTGTTGAGGAAATCTCGCTTGCAAATTGAACACATTCCTTAAGCAGATTCTCTAAGAACTCCTCTACGAAGTATCCACAGAGGGAAATTAGGTCCCAGATGGAAGCTGTAAAGTATGAGATGCAAAACTTGTGATCTAGGAAGGAATAGCATACCTGGGTCGTACACCCCATGGTCAAAGGAATCTTCCCAGATAATGTTACATGCTGCCAGAGACAGAATTTCCAGGCCGGTTTGGTAACGAGATCTAAGGTCTTCTGTATCGGCATCCGGTTCTGCTAAACTGCTCCTTCTCCTGTTGATTGATCCCTAGTCTGAAAAATGGCCCAATGTTCACAGCACATAAACTCACCGATAGATATCAATAGCCATGCCAACTATTTCGTTCACAGACATCCTCGTCATTCCGGTGTTGTTGGCGTCAAATCCATGGAGGACGGTTATCACAGCGTCTTCAACGCTCGAGATTGGCGTATTCGGATTACATAGACTGTGAATGATGTCACCGGGAAAGAATCGTCTCTGCAAGGCAATCTCAATGGAGGCAGCTACTAGCCTCTTTGCACCATGAGGACCTTATTAAGATAGTAAAGATGTTAGAAATTCTCCAATTTATTACGAGACTCGATATTACCGGTGTCGTGATTAGATTGCAATATTCTAAGCGGATGCTGATGTATGAATGTTGATGCCTTTGCACTCAAGGACATCTCAGCGGAAATGGGTATTGCACAGACGAGAGTGCGGCTTGGCGAAGCAGCAAAGCTAAAAGGTACTGCAAATCGATTAGACATTCCAAATACTTATCGCTAACTCCGATTAGCGTACGTTCAACACCGGTAGATCCGATGGGACAAATGATGTCGACGGTCTCCCAATTGTCATCAATCTGAAGCTCTGGTCTTCATACGTTGTTTGATCAGCAAAGACCAAAGTTTGAAAAGAGCGCGATGATTCCTACAATCGCAAAATCTGCATCTTGCCTGCAGCCAGTAGATGTTCAGCCTTCCGCTTTCTCAATTGTCCCTGGTGGGACAATGTCCCGATCAATACACTGGCGGTCATAGGCGTAATCGTTGGCTGATACGATGATGAATGAACGACGACACAACCCGGCAGACTTGTCTGATTAATTCGTTTGAAATACTATGTCTTCATCAGAAGCTGCTATCTATTGAGCTGAACCAGAAGTAAGACCCTACCCATGTCTGCATATCGGCTGGGTTTTTTCGTAAAAAGTACAGTATCACATCGGAGGTAGGTGTCGAAGTATCTGACCCAACAAGTAAGTGACATAATAGCTTTTATCTAATTATGGTGTCCTTACATTGACCGACTTCAAGAGTTGTGCAGAGCAGATATAAAGGGCCGGAAGGCTTTCCCTTGGCCCTGTCAGGGATCGGTTTTGGTGCTGGACCTTTAGCGGGCGACCTGAGAATGGTACGACCAGGAGATTGCGAAACATGTGTAGGAACTGTCGCAGGAGATGATTGCGGTGTCACTCGCCGATGTGTTTGCGTCGGAGTTGCGGGCAAGCCGAGCTGACTGTTTGGCGAGGGTAGGCAAGGGACGAACGTCATGTTCGTCAGTGAACGTCCCGACTGGAAGAAATCACGAATTGAAGGCAAGGGTGTTGTAACAAGACCTGCAGTTTGTTAGCAGTTAGTTGGGCGTGTACTCCGATAGTGCAAAAGTTGTGTTTACATACTCAAATGGAACCCTTTGACAGAAATATTTACTTCACACAAATCAATGATGTCTTCATCTCTCCACGTTTCCCAGTTGGGAAGTAGAGCTGGTTCTTCGAGCATTGGCACATCGAGAGACAAATTTACATCTGCCGAGCCCTGTGGCCGTGGTTCGGATGGTACGAAGGCCGAATATGTTGAAATCAGCACGGATGACTCTTAAGAGAACAGGTTGAATGGATTCAAACAAGAAAATAGGAGAAAGAGACAAACCATCATAGCTAAGGCCGATTGCTGCATGAACACATCGTCCTAGACCCCGAGGACCATCGACAACTTCGCCGTCTGGCCTCTCTTGACCATTTCTCGAGAAAGAACGACGAGATAACGAGGCGCTGAGCATATGGACTCGTTCGGTTTGTAGGATCAAGTAGAAAATATTGCAAAGATGAGCCTCAGTCACAGTGAGTAGGACAGGATATAGTGAAGGAATGAAAGGCCCTAGTGCCGGTAGGCGAGTTGGTGTTCCAGCTTCAGAGGTGGACCACTATAATTCAAGAACTATGAGTGAAACCAGACATAGCATTTTGAGTACAGGTTGTGTAACTGTACCTCTCTATCTGAATTCAACCATTGGGCAGCAACGACACCGTCTCCTCGCGCAAACGTTCTCCATTCCTTGATAATCCAATCGTCTACAAGTCGCGTTTTGTTCCAGAAACACCCTATGCCATCAATATCAATCCCAGGAAAATATGCAAAAATCCAATCGTCCCGGGAAGAGGCAGATATGATTGTTGGAGGTTCGTAAGAAGTCGGGGAATTAGTCAAAGGGGGAGGATCGGGTAATGTGAAGTGAACATTCGAAGGAAAGTGCAGGCATGTCACTCGAGGCTCTGAAGGGTGGGCTGTGACGATCAGAGACGAGCTAGTCCATTGGACTGGCCTAGATCGATTATCACAGCATGATAAACATATTCAAGAGCGAGAAAGGGACAGCCACTCACGGTCGACGTTGCTCGAGGAGAGGGGTATAGTCCCACCAGCCAAAGTGGAAGTCATCGGATTCTCGTTGCTTTCCCTTGCCATGAGTGCCGTGGAGCCTGAGATCAGACGTGCCAAGGACATAGGGAGCTACATGTGAATGCGGGTAGTGAACAGGGCGCTTGGGTGTCTCGAGTCTGTCGACAGCCATGGTGGTAGATTCTAGCAGACGCGCGTTTGTGGTCGCGTCAATCCCGTCACTCAACACAAAATCGCGACGCGTCGTGCGTGCAGTCTGCGACAAATACAGTTACTGAGTAGCTGACGGCCACTCACACCTTCAATTGCGATGAATCTAAGCACGTCTAAAGTCTTGGATGGTGTCGAGACAGACGTTGCCATAAACTACTACGCCGACAGAGTTCTCATCCTGGTCACACAGCTCGGCAAAGTGGGCAGTCTGGTCCGTGCTTCGCTCTCACGAAAAATTGGAAAAAAAAGAGAAGACGACTGAGCGACGCTCTTATTATCTAGATTCAAGCATCTATTCCGGCGACTGTCCCATTACTCGCACCGTCATCGACAGTCGACGGGATGCCCCTCATCGAGCCTCCAGCGGCTGTCGAGCTCACAACACTTTTTGGCAGTGCGCCATCAGGTCGCATCGCTACGCTACACTCGTTGTATGCAACTCACATCGCGACCCTTGTGTGGACGATGAACAGCACAGACAAGGCCGCGGATAACGGTGATCGGCGAAACATCATAGTGGGCCTGGCACTGAAAAAACAAGTGGACGATCGAGGGGACAGTGCAGTGCTAAGCGAGCGCGAGCAAGCAATATTCAGAGGAGTGATAAAAACGATCGTCGAACTCGTGCAAGGTACAGACACCAGGCCTACATAGACACGTATGCATGCACGAATCGCCCTGTATTATCAACGCAGACACATGCGCATCTATCCTATCTGTTTGTACATTTCTGGTCAATGGCTGCTAACACGTGCTACTTGTCCATCCCACTGCTGACATCGATACCATGCATTTGTCTGGATCTGCGACGAGAAAATCATTAGCACTGGATACAATCGAGCAAAGGGCAGCGAAAGATAAGGACTAGTCAGTATTAGCATGGTATGCTCATCAACACCCGTCCTTGAGACGAGTATCAGGGCTTGACTTCTATTTTGTTCATCACTATCCTGACACGGAACGCCATTGCGCCACATGGTGGGAAAACTGAGTACTTACTCTACCACGCCACTGTTGAGAGAAAGAGAAATAATCAAATTGTCAGCAAAGGAACACAAGGCAGGAGGCTGAAGAAAATATATGATAGATGGAGATCTCAGCAATTTGGGTATATGAAAAAAAGGTCATGAGCCAATGGCTTCGAAGTAGCGATTCCTTATTTTGTCTCGTCACTGCTGGGGAACAAAGGACAAGAATACTCACTTGGCTTCAAGGCCAAAAACGGCCACAATAATGGCATAGAGGAGCAAAGCAAAGAAAGAAAATGGCTGTGGTCAAAGTCGAATTTTAACGAGAGTGGTTAGGGCCGGTCTGTGGATAGCCGGTGCGGCGCGTTAACCGCGACCTCTCTCTTTGAAGCGAGCATTCGTCACTCTCAGTCTCTAGCAGTCACGACAGCCTTGTCTCCTCTCTCGAGCCTTGCAATGGCGGGTATAATCACTCCGCATTTTGGTTTCCATCCCGCAGCCGTTGACCATTCGCCATCTCCTCTCGGCTTTGCTTTTGGGCTCTCCTCAGCCGCATCCGTTCCCGGTTGGCAGCCTCCAGGCATGCAGACACCGCCGTTCGTGCCTTCCGCCTCGACTTTCAGTGGCTCCCAGAAGGCGGCTCAGAAGCGGAGACATGATGATTCTGATCACGATGAGGCTATGGACCGCAGTCCGACTCCGGAGCGGAGACCCGTCCGTCCCATGAAGCAGATGCGTGTGCGACCAGCAGAAAGCCGATCGCAAGAGGGTGCAGCAGATCACGGTAAAGCGAGCAAGGAAAACAGATCTGCCCGCTCCGATTCGGGAGATGATGTGGACGTTGGTATGCTGCTTGGTGTGTCTGTTCAATATTCCCCGCGAGCCAAACTGCCGTCTAATTTTCCTCTTCCAGCCAGTCTTCCTCCACAATCCCTACTGCCAATTTTGACTTCCTTGCTTTCGACAAATCCGTCATTAAAGCCAACAGTCCTTTCCCTGATACCCCGTCCGACGCTGGATACCGCTCTTAATGCGCTAAATCAAGCCGCCAAAAAGCTGGTGGAGGAATACCCATATTCTGCCTCATCACAGTCCTTCACTCGTCAATCCCCCTCAATTTCGTTCGGATTCGGAAGTGGCACATTTGCCACCAATCGTACGAGTTCCAGTACAGCATCAAGCTCCACTTCGAGCTTCGGTCGTTCGACATCGCCGGGTGTGAATCACGCAGGCATGCGTGACGATTATGTTTTATCACGTCTTCGTCCTGCTATATCCGACTTCGTCTCGACTGTCTTCTCGTACATGCCGTATTTTTCTTTCATGTCTGACGCGTCGGACCTACAGCCGGCGGCCACAGGGAAGGAGAAGATCTATCCCCATCCATCGGAGACATTCGCATATTTGTCTGCTGTGACCAACCACCTCATTAATCAACCTCCGCTCTGTCAGTCGTCTCTAGCACCTCTTCTCCTCCCGCGGCTGTTACAGGAGTGGATGGCGTGGGTAAATAGAGTTAATGAGGTCCTAAAGCAGGGCGGAATGATCGGGTCGGGCATAGCGGAGAGCTGGATTGAAGCACTGGACAGATACGCGGAGGTCAAGATTGAAGGAGTCAACGATAATATGAAATATGGATTAAGCGACGTCCGGAATAGATGGATTTCTGTAGCCGGATGGCTAGTGGGCCGAAACGTGCCATTTGTCTGACGTTAAGCAACACGATAGTATGTCACACGGGATGCGGGTTCTTCACTGATTTCTGAATGACTGCTCATTGGACTCATTGTGTTCACACATTGCATTTCCTCAGCGCATTTTAGACACGAGCTATTATCAAAGAGTCTCTTCATTATGTCCTCACTTTGTTACTTAACCATCTGTATACCACCATGCAACACATTTTCTTGAATATACTATATATGTAGGCATGTATTTTGACATAGTAAACCCAAATGATTAGATCATGAGCTTCTCGATAGCAGACTTGATAGTTCGAATCTGACTATTTAACTCGTTTGATTCGTTTGTCGTTACACTTGCGGCGATAACAGGCCTCGTTACATTGCAGGCACGGCCCAACGCGGCCTTCGAGGGCACATACACATATGGGACATTCTAACCTCAAACAGTCAGATTGCAACTTCAGGGCAAATCAGAACTCGATTCATACCTTGTCCTCACATAGAAGGGGCAAGTGCAATAGAATCTCGATGGGTTCTGTGTCTGCAGTCAACACGATGAACTCGGCGATACCACGGTTCAAAGTCTTCGTAGCTGGTAAATATATGAGCAAAAATAATAATGGATGTGATAGTCCAATACGCACCTTCATTTGCACCTTTCTTGAGCTGCTTGTACTGAGAAGCTTGTTGAACGAGGTCAAGAATCTGCAAGTTTGTCCAGACATGCCACAAACGAAGGACCAAATTCAACATAAGAAACAGAAAAACAAGGGAAAATCAAAATAGATCTGCTAACCTGGTTCGTAAGCGTTGCATCTGCCAGTGGCCATGCTTTGCTCTTTTGCTCATCAGCCATCGTTGTGTATTGACCTCACAATGCTTGGGTTGCTAGATCCTTGGTCGACGAGTGAAGTGGGTGTTACTCGGCAAATCTCAAAATGACTAGTAGGAAAAGTCCATCATTTCACGCGTATATGGAATTGATTTCTCACGGTCACGGGACAAACACATGCCTATTTCGTCGTATTGGCCTCGCATTTTTCCCTGTACACGCCAGCACGGTGTTGGTCTAGTCAAGTGTACCAACCAGCTCGTACTGTTCAGCCCCATGAATGCTTCAACATGTCCTTCGCATCGGAGTGCGAAGGAAATCAAGTGCACCTTTTCGCGTGCTCCGTGCGCTGAACACGCCAGATACGCAAGATGCGTTGAACCAAACTACTATAGTAGAGGATCAGGACGCGAACGGCAATCGCGACAATTATGATCCTTTCGAGCCAAAAGATGGACCTGGCCGTTTCGCTGATTCTAAACGGTGGGTAGTTACGGTGTTGATTTTTTGGCTTGTAGCTTAAAGCGCGTGCAGTCGTGCAGAAATAGTCCTGGGAGCATCAGATACTCGAGCTGTTTTCACTCCTCCGTCCCAGGCAAACTCTCCCCTTTCATCGCGGGAGAAGGCGATTATTGGCAATAGTGGTGACGACGCCCACAAACATAGACAGCCATCTCGTCGCGTACGTAACAGCACGATGGCGCCGACCTTGTACTCCGTTTTCTTAGACGTCGACACATTGACGGCCCACGAAATGGACGCGTCAAATGGAGAGAAAGGAACGGAAAGTATATGGATTCCGGACGACGAACTACGAGGGATACTTAAGACAGTATCGACTAGACCATCCAAGAGGACACATAATAGTTTACTGCATCCAGTGACCGCTCAAGAACTAGAACTCAGATTACATCAAGCCATGACTTTCAACCCGCTACCCTCGCTAAATCGGCTCATTGCTTATCATGATACCTATCCTGCACTGCACTCCGAGGCATCATACAATTTCCTGGCTCAGCTAGCAATACGCCATACATCATATGTTAAAGCAATCCGACTTCTACGACGTATGGAAGAGTCAGGAATCAAGCCTAGCGAATCCAGTAGGGTACTATACGTCAGATCACTGGTGAAGATTGGCCGTTGGGAACAAGCTTGGACTTTTCTCCGACAGCAGCTTACGTCTGGCGATGAAAAAACACATTTACCATTGATGCTCGAGCTGCTTGGGCACTGTAACCCAATCGAATTTCGAAATAGACAACCGAGTCCCGATGCGCTGCACCAAAATCGGCAGAATATCATTCTCTCTGCTATTCCTGACCATCTTCCATCGACCGGCGCCCCTCCTGTCCATTTTATCTTGACAGTCGTGCGTTATCTGCTTCGGATTTCTCGTACGGAGACCGCACAAGCTGCAACCCTGGAGTGGATCTCCAATTTGCCAAAGCGGTTAACCCTCCCACGTAAACGCCATTGTTTGCGTCTCCTGCATTTGCATCTTAGTTTTTCTGATAAGACGTTCGCCGCTCACCTCGTTAGCCGAAAGTTTGTCAATATATTTTTTGAACGGAGACCCGATCTGCAGCCCGATTCATCGACGTTATTTCTACTCCTGCGCAGTTTGACACAAACTAGGGGGAAACAAACTTTTCGTGCGCTTCGGGTTGTACATGCATTTTGCAAAAAATGGGGACCTGACGTGATCGACAGACGAGTACGGCGACGTGTTGCCTCCATTGCTCTCCGTGAGGGTCGTCTTAATGTGGCGCGCATGTGGTTGGAAGCTGAGGATCAGGCGTCGCTCCCGAGAAAGATAACGTCTCTCCAACGTGAAGCTGTTGGCGAGCAAGCTATCAAGCCACCCCAAAGGGTCCGACGACAGCTTTTCCGAAAACTAATGCCCGGAAATTATAAGGAGGATCGGAAATGGAGATGGGTGAGGAGACGATTTTGGAAGTTGGAGCAAACCCAATTGTCAAATCAATCTCAATACCAAGCGACCATTGTGGACGGTGAGAAAGAGGCAGTAGTACAACCTTCTCCAGAGGAATAGGTCTTCCTCCGAAGCAACCGGGTTACCATGTACGCAAGTGAGAAAGAAGTATCCCTGGCCGCTAGCGGCTTGCATAGCTTTCGGCTAGATTACGTCGGTACTATGCGGGGGGGACGGAGGCACGGTGTTCCTGATGCATTAGGAGGGAAGTTTTCTCTCAGACTGGATGCTAACAATGACTGTACTTCGAGCGAACCTTGTATGTAAAGTAAGCTTAAAAGTCTAACTAATCGTTGTACGGAGTCAATAAGGTTGGATGTACTGCACGGTTGGATCCGTGTACCGCTTTTGTGCTTCTACAAGGGTTAGAGGCGCCAGACGAGGAGAGACGAGATAATACAATTACGGAGACTTCTTAATAACCAGAACACGTCATGCAAGCCTAGGTTTCCATTCAGATTTTTAGGGGTTCATTTTAATCGAACCAATTAATATAGAACGGGCTAGTTGAAGCATGAGACGGACACGTCAGTAATGAACATCAAGCCAAAAAACGAATGAACGTTCTACCACTCTTACTTTCATTGAGACAGTCGAAAGAAACGACATGAACGGGAGAATTGACACGCGGTGGTTTGCTAAGCTCGTAAGTCAATGTGCAATCTTCGAGTCGGACGAATAGCAAATTCCTTTAGCCACAGCCAGAGGTCACCTTGCTTCTAGCCTATCAGCGCTGATAGATCTCGACAACGCTTCCGACGCGAAACCAATAACATTAATGACCTTACGCTGCCTCCGTCGACAGCCGGCACGCGTGCTCGAGTGTGTTCGCCATGTCCTTGGTCGGAAGGATAGAGAAGAGACCGTGCTGCATGGAAGAGTTTTAGTATTTGCGCGCAATAAAAGAAAGTTAGTCACGAAATAGGATTAGTCGGTGCGGTTATACGTCGTCTAGCTTGTCCCCCAGTTTGTGGGTTCTGAGGTGACGCGACCAAGCACAATATCTTTTTGATTTCAGTGGCTGCTTCCAGTTACTTTACGGATGCAATGATCTTTTTCAGTGCAGCAAAATATATAGGAGATAAGCCACCAGGAACAGTCTATACTTTGTCAGGGCAAGAAACGAGGCACGTCTCCACTTCGCTGGAGGGGGAGGGTACAAACAGCAGGAGTCTACTCAGTGGGGCATAGTTCAAAGGCTACAAGACCATAAACGTCAGAGAAGCGAACCCCTTTTTCGAAGAAATGTGTGCTGAAGATACGAAATATATTACGGCTTTCCGAGTCACAAAATTGATTTGAAACTGCACTGAGCAAGGAAGACCAAACTACTTACTAGGAAGAGTTCTATCTTGGGAATTCCGAGTCAAGCATTCTATTGGACGTTGACACGATGCCGAAAAGCCCGAGGACGAAAGAATTCAGTAGAAGAGGCCCGAGTGGCGACAGCTTCTGTACGACTCAATTTTAATGGACTTATGCTCAGAAAATAGACGTTGTGAATGTATTGTTTGGTCCTGATGGCACGTCCGCCTAGACGCCGATCCAAGCCTTTACCAAACTAGGAAATCACACCTTTTGACAGGCGCTGGTCTTGGGTAACATTCAGTTTTTCTTTGATTCTGCTACCATCATCAACGCTCAGTCATGCAGCTTTCTCACTTGGGGATCCCCCGATGTCTTGACTGAAACAGTTATGAACATCAGCTTTACTATTCATTTACTTACATCACATGCCGAACAATTTACTGCCTTCCAGTGACAACTTTTTGACTTGTACATCCTTGGATTCCTCTCTTGCTGTGGTGGCGCTTTCAGTTCTCTGACAGCTACTCGTCAAACACTGTGGATTGCTTTTGCCTCTTTCCAGTAATCTGTCCAGATCCTGACTTCCAGTGCTTAAATCAGCCAATTTCCCGGCATCTTCGGCCATCTTCATCTCGACATTCTGCTTCATTTGCCCCGCATCCTAGGCTACGCGACGGCGACTCATCCATCGACGACTCCTGCCGTGCCGCCTTCGTTCGGCCAGCTTAGCATGTAAAAACATTCTTTCATGATCATCTCGTCTGTTCACTTCCCACGGCAGTGCCGATACCATCGATAGGAACTCATAGGCTGCGGGCACCGAGGCCTGGAATGCCTTTAATGGATCCTCGACATTTAGAGTGGAAATTTTCGCATCACTTCACTGGAGATCCTATAAGGCAAAACTACCTGGATATCACCCATGCCTAGCTCCGCCAATTTGATTCTCACCCGCGGCCTTTTGACCCCCTGATCTCCCTAATTACGGTGTCGTGAGGATCTTCAACTGGTCAACTGGGCGACTGGATAAATCTAGAGAAAATAGAGAATATTCAGGACCTCGGCGTGTCCCTCCTCCTTACGCGTGTGATGCCCCTTTCTAAGCTGGTTCTCTTGAAATTTGTTATTGTCTCTGCTCTGGGGCCTAATTCTTAACTATGGAGCTCTGTTGCAGATCCCTGGTCACTTCCACGAGGTCCGTTCATACAGTTGCAATCCCACCATACCTTATCGGTTTTAAATGATTCCAATAGTGAAAACTGCGTTGCATCCGTCTAGCCTTTTGCAATGCCATGTCGAGCTCTCAAGGGCTGTCAATGTCGCTCGCTGGTCATCGGATTCGGCGACTTTTCTTGTCGTAAACATCACGGTCACGGGCGCCCTTGAGGTGGCCCATCGCGATGCCTGTCCAACGTCTAACGGAGTAGATATGCAAACAAGTTGGTTTGCTGAGGAGAAATTTGACGCTCAAGGGAAAGAGAAAAGTACAAAAACCGACGAAGATGCAAATCTGTGGTTCCTCAGCAGTCTCATTCTGTCCCACCTATTACCTCTTCAGACTTTACTTCCGGCATCTGAATCCAATCTGCGTTGCAATGAGTCAGAACCCCGACAAGTTCGTACTCCGGATGGCCTTGCTTCGCCCAAGTCTAATCTAAGTTATTCTCCAGCACGTTCCTTGCCCTTTCCACTATTTGCTGCGGAGTGGGCCCTGGCGGGTCCACTTCTATGGTTGCGTCAGTTTCAAAGAAACAAAGACCCGTAATCTCTGTTGCTGACTAACTACGGCATCCCAACCAGGAAGGTCTCCCTCGTTGACTATCGAGGAAGTACTGTTCTTGATGTATATGTGCGTCCGACAATGCCGGTGACCGACTACAGAACGACCACCACCGGAATTGAGCAGAAGCACCTGAACTCAGGTATGCCTAATTTTAGCTCGTGTAAAGCCAAGGCTTCATTTATTTATCTTTTCCTAGACTCGGCAATGCCATTTAACACCGTTCAATCTATGATTGGTCAGTCCCTCACTTGTTTAATATAATTCAATTGGCTTATTCTTAACACTGGATCGTATGATTAGCCGAGCGTATTAAGGGTAAGGTTCTCGTGGGTCATTCACTTTGGCAGGATTTATCAGGTACGATATCACGATTCCGGAGAGTTTGAATTTCTAAAGAGAAGCATTGCTTGAAGTTCTCGGCATCCCGCATCCGGCTGTCGGTGAGTCCTCCCTCGATCAGCTTCCGTGATTTGAATTGAAGAATCCGTTGACTAACCCACATTTGAAAATTTAACTTGTCCAATCTCAGCAACAAGGGATGTAGCATTATACATGCCATTCAGAAATGCAGTGCAGTCCCCTAACCAGATAGTTGGCCTGTCCACTTTGGTGTGGAATCTAATGCGCAGACGCATTCAATATGGGAAGCTAGATTCCGTAAGTAATATTCTATGTTTCCGTTGTTGGTGCCTTCCAACTTATCTGATTTCTATTCAAAGATTGAGAATGCGAGAGCTGCCCTCGACTTGTATCGTTCTGACGCCACAGATTGGGAAGCTTGCATAGCAAATTCCAAATGGCCGTGTGCTCTACCACCCAGCACCTTCTCGAGATGCTATCTGTGACTCTAGGACGTCCTTACTAGCTAGAGAGGCACTCTGAACGCTGCATGCAACTTTTCCCACAGTAATAGAAGTAGTACGCGACAGCACCTTCTTGACATCCGAAGCATACACGAACTATGGATGTGTATATATTATCATTCTGTTAAGGCCAAACACCGCATATTTAGATTCATTGTTGCAATAATTTTATGTACATATTTTCCCCCGATCCCCAACCAGCTTGTTGTGCCCATTTTCTTGGCCAATCCACTTGATTCCATAGATGCCGACCAATAGAATCTCAATCTATATTCTGTGCGCTGGCGCTTGCGCTTACGAATAAATGCGCGATCGGCGGTTGTAAATAGCACCTTTTACATGACACGGAGTCACCCTAGATTAGAGTCGATGATCGTTGTCCAATAAATCAAGTGCACGAGTGAAATTGATGCAACATGACAGTTCAGGAGTTCCGTTGAAACGTGTCGACGCCGGTGTTTAAGCTCGAGTCTGGTTCCGGGACAGCTTTCAATACACACGGACGTCCGATGGTGGAGTGGGTACCCTCACCTTCTCTGCTCCCATCAGCTTCATGAGACCTTCGTACACAAAAAGTGCACTGGCATTCACTGGGAATGCGCGTAAGAGAATAGGCGTAAGGCCTCGGACAAAGCCTCTAATACCACTTTCACGAAGTATCTCCTTCGCCACAGTGATAGCGGACCGTCGTTTCGAACCAAGGGACGCAGCCATCATCCGACTAAGTCGGGAACCGGAGCAACGTAATTAGCCAAGAAGAAGCACTGCAACATATGAAATAATGAAATCGCGATCACACTTTTTCACATTATCAGCCGGGATGGCCATGAACCAGAAACCAAAGGAAGCGAGGCCGCCGGACATGAAGGTGGACAACCCATCGCTTATCTTGTTCGGAATGAATTGTGGGTCACGAGGTATCAGATCCGTCCTTGTGCGTGTCAAATGAAAGCACACACCTCAAATTGCGTTCCCTCTAGCCGCCCGAAGCCCCGCATTAAAACCTTGCAAGAAGTCGAATCAGCGATGAAGGACAATGTAATCGTGATCTATTTACCTCATAACTCATAAACATCCAAAAGAAGTTGCTTCGGAACAACAAGCTTCCCGTCAGGCCTGTCCAAAGGCCAGACAAACCCTGTGTCTGGACAATACGCCGAACACAATGGACGGGATTCTTAAATTCGCGATCATTAGCATGCCGTTGTCGCTGCATTTGGAGCTTGACTAAAATCAGGTCAGACGAGTAAGATTCGGCTAGCGTGCTTTGGAAGGACCTTTTACGAGCTCGATAGGAGTGGCTACGATAGCACTAAAGTGATCATCAGGGATATGTCTTTATTACATAAAATGACAGGCTGTTCACCTGTTCCATCCTGCAAAGAGGGCAGCAATGCCATGTGCAGGGAGGGTGAGTCTTTTCACGTCTGATCCAGGCTTGCGTTCTGTCATTCCATGACGAATCAAGAAAAGACGATAATTGTGCAAGGATCCGAGAAGGACAGAGTCAATTGCGGTCCATCCGAGGGCCGGTGGTGTAGCTCCCTTGTACAGAGCGCGGATGCCCTTCAAATATCGGTGTTAACAAGTTTCCGTATAACGTGAAGGCGTGAAGGGTGTTCTTTCACCTCGTTCCGAACAGTCTTCGTCAAACAGTCTAGTGCTCCTTTGTACGTCCCGGGAGGGCTACATTGCAAGCGCGTTTTTATGGTATCAAATCTTGGTCGCCTTAATCAGTTGTTTGTTGGCTATATAAGTTTCAACCGAAGTGACTTGCTGTATACAAGTATGAGCGTACCAGAAGAGACAAGCCAATGATGATCACACCCTTGACCGACTGCAACCTGTGAGATGGGTGATTATTAGTTGATCTGGTTGAGCGAGCCATACAGTGTGACCTTTGTTATTCCTGTGAGCAAATCATTCAAAGAAGTCCTTTAGGCTTTGGCAGAGCCGGCCCGCATGAAGCAGAGAAGTAAACTACAAGACGTACCACTGCCCATTCCTGCCACAAGGCCAACCAGTCTTATGTGATTTCCATCGTTCAATTCCTGGCCCATGCGAAAAGACTGTTACAGAACACAGAAGTATCGAGAATCGATTCTGCTGCAGCACGCGAAATGGCTCCGAAAAGGTACGGTTTTCAGGTCTATAATTAGGTCCCGCATGTCACATGACCGGAACTTTCGCACAAGCGTGTCCTCCTGAGGTGAGCCTCAAGACTCGGTCTTTAGCTTTTCCTGCTTGTACTCAGTATCTCAATCTTTTGCAAAGAAAGTTAACGATACTACTAGTGCAAAGTGATACTGGCAATAGGTCTTCTACACTAGCTATTGCGTCTGGCCAATCTTGGTCCTAGGAGTCAGTCCACGTCTTTGATCAGCCTGCCTCTGCAGACATCATGAACAACGAGACTGAAGAAAAGGACGAACGACAATGCAGAATATGCTTCGATGGTCCAGAAAGTGGTCGGCTCATTCGCCCTTGTCACTGCAGAGGCTCTATAGCAGTATGTTTTCATTCATCATTTTGGACTTCATTAAGCTGGCACTTACTCACCGTTACAGTACATTCACGTTGAATGCCTGCAACGTTGGCGTAGGGAGTCTCAGTCAGCTTATTATCGTTGTCCACAATGCCACTATAAGGTACTTTTCATACTACCTCCATGGTATTACCTGTCTCACACTGAAGCAGTACAGGACTTCTCGTACGAGGTAAAGTGATATAATCAATTTCACCTAGCGACCGCAACTGATTATATTCCAGCGTACTTGGAATGGCAGAAAATCCAGGTGATTCGCGGCTTGTTATAAACCATGAGATACATCTACTAACATTCTTTCATGACAGTCATCATTGCCTCACTGTCACTATTCCTGTTCACTTGCCTCGCTTACATTGCATCGTTCACCGTAACCTTCTTCATGAGCGATGATTATACCCCGAGACATAGTTTTTTCTTCTTTGGTTGGAATTGGGTATCTCCTGACGAGGTTGCATATAATCTTATGCGGGTAGTACTTCGCATTTTGCGCGAGGAAGATATTATCGACGACAACAAGCCTTTCAGCGCTCCTTTGCGAGCGCCACCGGTCCGGTCTTCTCCACCACGACAACTTGGCGCCTTCGCCACCGTACTCCGGAGGGTTATCATTGGTGTGCCTGTATTGGGGGTTGCATCGCTGGTCCAGTTGTTCTGGTCCATGTCATTTTTGGGTCCGGTCAATTTACTTGCCAGACGACTGGGCTCAGGACGAAACAGACGAGAAAACAGTAGGGATATCGCTACATTGATCATTCTAGGAGCTATCATACTTGGTGCTCTTCGGTATGATTTTAGTTATCTTAAGGTGCAACACTGTTCTGATGCATTTTCCAGGGCTTTGCGAGGTGTCTATCGACTGACTGAGAGAGCAGTAAGATGGGGACTGTCAAAGACGGAAGACTTCATACTTGAAGTTTGATTGGATACCTCATTTGCATGTTGGTTTCACATATCTTCCTTAATATTCCTATGGTCTTTTCAAATCTTACATTATCACCAAATTGTACTCTACAAGGGTTTGGCACATCAGAATGACCAAGGTCATTTCTGTGTGCGCATTATGATTTGAGTATGAAGAAAGCAGGAAAATGATATATTTGCAAAGTTAAGACAGCATCATCAACAAATGGATCCTGAATCAAGCCCGATAAAGTAATACACCGAATCGTACTACCAGTATCGGTGCAATTGTCGTTTTACATCTTCAAACACAGCTTTTGTCTCCTTCCTGTCCGGAGCAAGTTCCTCGATATACTTTGTAATAGATCGATCTATTAAGTCGACTGGAAGGTCACCTCTCGATAATGAGGATTGCGGTCTGCGAGCATCTTCGACCCAGTCTTTGAGCACGATAGCAATGTCCGAAGAGACTGCCTGGATGTTTTGCTGGTTACTGAACGGCGGAACCTAGAGAGAATATTAAAAAGTGACGAATTTAAGAGATACGCCGTCGTCCTTACCTGAGATTCATACATCTCATGTAGTATATCCCAAATCTCAGAATATGGTACTCCACATTCTTTGAGCACCCTAGGTGCCCAGCCAGGTGGTCTCACGTCGATATTGCTAAGCGTGAACTTGACGAGTAGTGTTGCAGCATAGCCTATGCCACTATTAGCTCGAGTAATAAGGAACTGCATTCATCTACTTACGGAGTGGGAAAGCACACTCCGAAGGATAAAATCTTCGTCCGTGCGTTACGATGATAGATGATAGCCTATCAGCCTGTTCGTCAGGCGTTCCAGTGGAAGTTACTGTGTTAAAAAAAGAAGTCCGATGAGTAAGTCTGCAAGGTAAAGCCGGAGTATAACAAGTACAAACCCTCGTCAAAGATTGCATTCCAAATCGGCTTCACGATAGCCTCATCACGGTGCTCCGAGACATGTAGAATCAGTAGTTTTATTGACGAAAGGTCGAAAGGCTCAGCATAGAGTTGGTATAACTAAGCATGCGGGTAAACATAAACTCGTCATTCCTTCACATCGTGAGACGTACCTCCGTAACGTTGAAAAGGCGTTTTTGTAAAAGCTGTATCTGTTCGCCTACTTCGCCTGGTTCGTCGATACGCGGCAGCAAAGTATAGAACAATTCCATCTGAACCTGAGCCACCTCCAACTGGTCCCCTAGCTCCGAAAGGAAAGCTATTGCCGCCTCATGCTTCCCATTCACAGAAACTGGGTGAGACTTGGCATTGCTAACGGCAAGAGTGAGGAATTCAAGTCGAGCTTGCAACGGCAGATCAAATCTAATGAAAGGCTAAGCAAGAAAACACGGAGTCGCGGCGAACTTCGACGTACTCAAAGGATCGTGCTAGAGCTGCTAGAACCTCGGCGGCCTTTAGATACTGGCCATTCTTGACGTACAATTGCCACAGCAGCTGGTACTTATCCGCTGAAGCTGGTTCTCGAAGCAAGTGAGCTTCTAAGAAGAACGGACGTAACTAGAACCAATGAGTTGGTACTGTGTCCCGAATTAACGTAAACTCGAGCTTACTTCTAATAGCCTGTCCGTCATTCCTTGCTTCACCATCCACTCGTACAGATGTGAATGGAAGACGGGGTCTTCAGATGACAGCGAAAGCTCATACGCAAGGCTCCGAACCTCCTCGAAGTCTTGCCTCGCGGGATTCTTCGCGCACTGCTCGTCGAACACCAACAAAGAATGGATAATCAACTCATAGCATTTCCTTCGCTTCTCTAAGAGATCAGACCGAGGGTCATTTGCAGGTGAACCGGATAGCCAGTAATTCAGGCCAACATTGTCCTCGTCCGCGACCGCAGCGCATTGTAGCGGCAATTCAATAGCACCTATGGATTATCAGTACCGTAATCAGGTAGGAAGATCGTCACTCACCTTTAACATAGTTTAGATGCTGATAATCACCGCAGATTTCGCGAAGCTTTTCGAATTCTATCACCCGTGCGGCTCGCGTGAATAATCTGATGGAATCAGATAAGGCGAACGTAATATCTCAGAAAACACGAACCTCAGAGACTCGCCCAAAACCACTTGCTTCTCGTTTGGATCTCGGAGATCAACAGCTTTACGAACGTTCTCTTGTGCCTGTATGCTAATCAACGGGGAAGGCGGTCTTAACATGTGTACAATACAAACCTTATACAACATCACATCATCGGCACTGCAGAATGACCCACACCTCTGCTGCAGGATCTCACTAACCGTGTCAATCTAAGAAATATTAAGGAGGTTCAATGCAATTAATTGATCCGAACTGGAGGAAACATACTCACACTGATCTGTTGACCGATCTGACTATTTATGATCACATTCACTAACATCCTTGAGACGTGTAGTCCGCTTTCAGCCGCGATGAGTTCTTCATACGTTAGTGAGGAAATCAGTGTCTGCGTGTCTTTGTCGCATTGTGCGACCAAATCGCCGAGGTGATAATCTATCAGCAGTAGGACAAATGCGATGGCTTCCGCCGTCCTTCCAATTAATGCGTGCAAATGAGAGACTGAAGCGGCTTCGACCTTCCAAGCATCGTGTTCGGCATGCTGCCGACCGCCGGCACCGACTTGGTCACTTGGGGTAGAGCTGAAGAGTTGTGGATTGCTATCCAGCATATTCTTCAAGGCATAGAGGTTCCTTTGGACAGCGACCAAAGTTCTATCATCAAAGTTTGAAGACTGTCCCGATGGCCTGTAAGAATCAGTAAGTAACAAGTTAAGCTAATGGAGAAGCAGAGTCTTTCGCATACCCTGTCTTCGTGATCCTGGCTCGCCACAACGGTCTGACAAGACGTGCAAAATATAATGCAAGGCCTTCCCTTCGCCCACTGAAGATGACGTTGCCTTGACCATCCCCGCCATATCCTCGATCAACCCAAATCGGTCGATCTGCTAAGTCGTAGAACGCTTGTTTTGCTAGGGCAGCCATCTCTGAACCAACCGTCCCTACGTCGTCATACAGCGAGTGTCTATTCTTCTCGGTTGCTAAAAAAGTGTTGCCACTCGCCAGAGCAAGTAGCATGGCACACGTCTGATCGCGTCCAAAACTATCTCGGAAGTCAATGATTGGTTGTAGGTTTCCTTCTGAGAGGGCCTCCTCAATAGCATCTCGTAGATAATCCAGCGTTCGTCGTTTGACAAGATGACTGATACCGACATTAGTGACGATTATGAACTCGTGCTGTGGATGGGAGAATTGGGTCGCCAAGTCGTTTGTAGTGACCGGCTGCGGAGAAGTTGATGCAATGGCGGGAGCAGGACCATTAGTCTCCGATGATGCGATTGCCCATATTGTTCCTTCAACATAAAGTAGAGTCGCCTGCTCTGTTAAAGGAGGTCGCGAGGTGGTCGGGGGAGGTAAATATCCACCCGTTGCAGCAGGATGATAGTAACTTGGTGCCGGTGCTTGAGGTGCGGAAGGCGGTTGGGCCTGTCCTAACGATCCAATCCTGGAAAGATCAGGAGAAATACCCAAGATGAAATCCTTCCCATCTACATCGCTTGGTTGAGCAGCGACCAATAGACCGTCAACATAGGCGGCCGCAGTCAGGTCTTTCACGATCCAGGGCGAGGAGCCAGGAACCGTTTGAGGCATCGTGCCGTACACTGGTGCAGCATGAGGACGAAGTTGTTCATCTGGATGAACAAGATTCATTGGAGGTAATCGGACATGTATTAGATGAAGCTGTTTCGGTTCTACAGGGCCGTATTGAACCCCATAGCCATAACCACCGTAGCTTGCTGGTGCCGATGAGAAGTAAAGCCTGACGCCGTTTTGTGATAGAGCCACCAGCTGGATACCAGACTTTGATTCGCGCTGCTCGATAACGTGCAATGAAAGTAACCGGAGACCTTGTAAGAGAGCTGGCGCGCCGGGTGCTTTATCCTGTGCCTGCTTCTGAAGGTTAGATAAAGTCTGGACTTTGCGCAATACTTTATTTGGTTCGGGTTTCCAGACTGAAATCCAGTTATGTTCGCTGAGGGTGTAGATATAATTTCGCGCCTGATCAAAGACGACGGAGATTACACGTTCTGCCAAAACATCCCTTAATAAGGCACGACTTGCTGATGCATTTGATAACGCACCTTCGTTATGTGCCGTCCTGAACAAAGGAATGAAACTCGGTATGGCACCTGCCGAGTGATTCACTAGGTGAAATCGCTTTCCAAACCACACTTCCTTCTCCTGGTAATGCAGTTCATAAACACAGCCGTCGCCTACTCCACACATAAATATCCTGCCATCTTCTGTACCCGTTACTGAAGTCATCTCAACACCATCTGTTGAGACCGACATGTCGGTCGCATAGAGCTTGATTTCTTTATGTTTCCGGTAATCTGGACCCGCACTTGCTTGTGACGATAATCCAAGAAGAACGACAGAAACTTGAGTGCAGATGACAAGTAGGGAAGTGATTTCGTCGACGAAGACGTTCGGCTTGGGTTTGACCAGTGCAACATGAGTGATCACGTCTGGTTGTTCCACAAAGGAACTTAGTTCCTGCCTGGTTAAAAAGTTAAGCACCTTCTTTATAGACTAGTGAGGCAAAGCTTCTCACCCTTCAATATAGTCCCATAGAAAAAGTTTGTGATCCAAAGCGATCCACGCCCTTTCTATCTCTGCCATAATACCCATATGACATATAAATTTTGATGCTAAACCACGGATGATCATTATAAGACTTTGAATGGACTACGACACATATCATACTTTGAAAATGTTCCCACAAAGCCGGAGGTATGCCAACATGTTTACGTTTTTGATACGGGACGCGATAATCACCAGGGAAGATCGTGTAAGACGCGGACGACTGGCCTGGAGCTGTATTGAAAACGGTAAGTTCTAGTTGGAAAGAATGAGGACAGACTCGACATACTCATGGAAAGCATATCTCCAAGATCTGGAACTATTTGGGCATCCTTGATGAATTGTTCCTGGATGAGACGACTCGCCTCTTGTAAAGCAGGTAGGTCTAGAGAGGGTCGAGGAGGTGGAGGTTTGGCTCGAGAACTGGAAGCATAGCTTTCTGCAACAGGTGCATCGTGTAAGCCTGAAAAGGGGCGCGAACTTGCAAACGAGCCTGCGAAGGCCATCTCAAGGCCGTTTTGACTTTCTGTGCCGTTCGTTCGTTCGTCTCGTTAGGTTGTACAAGTTGTACAACTTACTCCCAGTCACAGTAGATGGAGGAACAAGAAAAGCGGTCACGTGTACACACGTGGCTGTTGAAACGCGTCGCGTCTTTCAGTGAAAGTTTCACTCTTTTGTCTGGTGTAAAATTCAAGTTCCGCTCATATACAAGTCTATACTTCATTCTCGCCTTACTCTTTGACTTCTCAACTCTTTCAGTGAACAAGCCGACCTTATTACTCTCTTGTCTACCTTTTTGCTTGTTCACTAAGCTTGTCGTTCCATACCGTTCTTGAAAGATATCGGCAATGGCCACGAAACAGGCGCCGACGCGACAAGCCATTACGCTGAAAGGCTCAACAGTCATAGTTACTGACTTCTTCAAGTTTGCTGTCAATACGTTCGTTTCATAGGCTGTCAAAACTTCTGTACGCTTAAATATGCTGAATTCAGGATATTGTACCAGCGAGGGGTGTATCCAGCAGATGACTTTCATCTTGTAAAGAAATATGGCCAGGTGGTCATGTTGACCCAGGATCTGGCTCTGGAAAATTACTTGGACAAGTAAATTTATTCAAACTGCGTTGCCGAATCCTCAACTGATATTTATACCGTGTGAAGAATTTTGCAACAGGTACAAAGTTAGTTGTCTTTGACATCATAGTGGGAGCCATGCCACAGTGCTAACATCAAACAAATGATAGAGTGGCTACTTACGGGGAGTGTTACTCAGCTGGTCCTCGCAATCATATCGAAAGACAGTAGAACAACGCTTGAACGATGGGTGTTTGATGTGCATCTGCAAAATCCACCTACATCTACTGATGACCCAGCACCGTACGTTTCGTTGCTATGGATCAGTAATAGATTGCCGCTTAACATGTTAGCGTTTGAATGTGACTGTTTCTGCAGGGCAAGTACAAAGCCGGAATCGCAAATTCAGGCCGAAATACGCGACATCTTGAAACAGATCGTTTCGACAGTGACGTTTCTACCAACGATGGATGAACCGACGGTGTTCAACATCTTAGCCTACACATCAGAGTCGGCTGATGTTCCCGCGGGCGAGTGGGTGGACACGGACCCGTTGGCGATTGAGGCCAGCAAAAGCCAACAGGTGAGGCTGCGGAGCTTCAGCACTGACGTCCACCGGGTGGAGGCGATGGTGGCGTATCGCTACGAGGGGTAGACAGATAGGCAGTGCATAGAATGATACAACATGGGATATGCCCGTGAGTAAATGTGGCCCAGACTGGGAGTGCAGTTGTAATTATAAGGAGGGAGCCGAAGTGGTTGCCTGATAATGATGAAGTCGTTGATGCGTGAGTGATGCGTGAGATTGTTACTGCTACTAATACTACTGTGCCAGTCCTAAGGGAAGGTGACTGATGTGCGCAGAAGGACTTGGCAGGTGCGCTCCCAGGCAGTCTCTGGATGACCGTACGTGACGGCTCATCGGTTGCTGGGTCAGCCCGGGTTGCCCATAGAAGGCGATAAAATATCTGTTCGGGACCCATGCGCTCGGGGCTAATTACTCCGTGGACGGCGACAATTGTCGAACTAATTATGGCAGCCAATGGGATGTCACCGATGGACATGCCCGGGCGGGTCGTCGCCGACCAGAGGCGTGGGATGCTGATCCTGACAACGAGGCCCTGAGGCAACCGTCACTCGGCCGCGCCTCTCCCTCCTCCCTCTTAGACCACCTCGCTCCCTTCCTTACGCCCCGTTGATTCGGTTGGCCCTCCTTTCTTTCCTCGTCTTTCCTTGTCTCATCCATTCTCTCTGTGCTCTTCGTCGTCCGGCCGGTCCTCGACAGCGCTTTCGTCTTCTCTCTCACTTTATCTTATTTGTTTTCGTTCTTTACAGTCTGTGACTGACACGTCTCACCTACACTTACAATCATGGGAGTAGTCGATTGGTTCAAGCGGGAGTTTATGGTCCCGAGGAGGCTCACATTCAACGTTCTGTTCTATGGCTTACATCTCTTCTTCTTCATTTATGGCTGGTACAGTCAGGTGAGCACTCAAAGTTTTTTGTTCTGTCTTGTAACTCAACTGATGGTGGCTTCTAGGCGACGAACGCTAAACTGGCTGGCCTCAACACACTCAAGTGGTCCGTCTGGATCTCTCGAGGTGCAGGTCTTGTGCTTGCCTTCGATGGCGGTCTCATCCTTCTGCCGATGTTGCGCAATATTATTAGGGTCATTAGGCCAAGGTTGACATGGGCCTTCCCTGCCGACGAGAATATTTGGTTCCATCGTCAGGTTGCCTACCAGATGTTCTTCTGGGCTGTGGTGCACACGACCGCTCACTACGTGAACTTCATCAACGTCGAGCGCACTCGTGCGTGTGATTTTCTGATTCGTCTCATTCTCGTCTGACAATTACCTCAGAAATCCGAAAGGAAACTGCACAGGACATCCACTACCACCAGGCCGGAGGCATCACGGGCCACTTCATGCTGCTCATCATGGTGCTCATTTACACCACTGCGCATAGGAAGATCCGTAACCAATGCTTTGAAGCATTCTGGTACACACACCACCTTGCATTCTTCTTTATGATTGGCTTGTACTCGCATGCTACTGGCTGCTTTGTCCGCAACAGTACTGATCCTAACTACATTCCGACGTTCCCATTCTATTCGACCCAGCACTGTCTCGGATACGAGAGCTGGAGATTCATCATTTGGCCTGGAATTCTTTACTTTGGTGAACGGATGTACAGGGAGTTCAGGGCAAGGCGTGCAACTCGACTAGACAAGATCATTGTGCATCCCAGTGGTGCAATGGAACTGCGTATTATCAAACCGAGCTTCAAGTACACTGCTGGGCAATGGCTGTTCATTCAGGTCCCGGAGGTGTCGAGATTCCAATGGCATCCTGTACGCGTTGTTCATTCCCATGGTTTTATTTGTTTGTCTGATTGTAATATCTATTTCGCTAGTTCACAATCACGTCGGCTCCGGAAGACAAATACCTGTCAATCCATATTCGTCAAGTCGGAGACTGGACTCACGCTCTCGGGGATCTTGTTGGAGCAGGCCCGGCCGTAGTTGCGGAATTGACGAAGCAGGCTATGAAAGGACAAGAGAAGGACGAAAAAGAAACGGGTTTCCGTGGGGACTATCTTGAGATCAACACAAACTCCGGTCGGTTGCCCTCAGTACGGGTTGATGGTCCGTTTGGCGCTCCCGCTGAAGATGTCTTCAATGCCGAAGTTGCCGTCCTTGTCGGTGCCGGTATCGGTGTTACACCGTTTGCTTCTATCCTCAAGCACATATGGTACCGTCAGAAGAGGGGCAACCTTGGTGCTCTGACGCGAGTTGAGTTCTTCTGGGTTTGCCGAGATGCTCCGTCCTTTGGATGGTTCCAGACGCTGCTCCAGGAAGTTGAAGCCGCTCAGATGGATCGTGAGTATTTACTCTAACTATGCAACAGACTGCGTGTCAGGGTTCTGATCTACCATACTAGCGAACTTCTTGCGCATCAACATCTACCTCACCCAGAAGATTGGTGAGGACATGCTCTGGAACATTGCAATTAATGATGCCGGTGCGGAATATGATCCGTTGACTTTGTTGCGTACTCGCACGATGTTCGGTCGACCGGATTGGAGGACCATCTATCAGAGAATCAGGTCGGCCATTGAATCCGGCCAATACCTTCCAGGCAGCAAGTCCCAACTTAAGACGACCGTCGGCACCTACTTCTGTGGTGTAAGTTATATTGAATTGCGTCTCTTTTTTGCACTGCTGAAAGTCTATTCTTCTAGCCGTCTGTCCTCGGTAATGCCGTGAGAGACGCCGCGATGCAAGCACGTTGCTCTACTGTCGACTTTACTTTTGCCAAAGAGCACTTCTAGAGGAGTCAATAAAGACTCCTCGAAGAGCGCGTTAGAGCGATCCATATACTTCTTGTTTCATCCAGTCTTGCTTCTTATGAGTTGAGTCTTCATTAACTTCTCAAACAGAGGGTCAGGAAGGAATGTGTATCTCGTGTATCTGGCCCTGACTCCGCTTTTCTTATGATTATGTCCCGTCGAAATTTCTTGTGTATAGTGTAGCTAGATGCTAACAAGTGCTGCGTGTATTGTTTTATAAGTCCATTCATTGATGTGGCTTTATGAATGAATACTTGAGCACGTGATCGATACAACCACTGAAAGGTCAAACCAATACGCGCTGTCTACAACTCATACTGCATCGTGTGTCTCTTTCAAACTGAAAGAAATGTCGGCAGCAACGCCTGCTCCCTCCAATCCGCCTTCAGAATCGTCTCCACCACCTGCTGCCGCAACTCAGGACGCTGCAGCCCAGAATGAATCCGCCAATGTCGACCAGATGGTGCTTGACTTCCTGCGCCAACGAGGACATGCTGATGCGGAACGTGCTCTTCGAGAAGCATTGGGACTACCTAGTCCCCCTACCGACAGTGATGCCAACGCTTCCCCTGAACCAGCTCAACCGACGGTGTCAGATGCAGAGCTGCGAAAACATCTCGTTCCGTTTTGGCAGAAGAACGACAAACCTGGTGAGAATGCCCTCGCTGACGCCAAGGTGACGATGCAGAGCCTCAAGAGCGGTGGGGTGACAACACCGAGTGTCTCTCAACTATTGGAAACGATCAAGCCTGGTGGAGCAGATGAAATCCTTTCACTCGATCCAACAGACAAACATGAGGGATTCAGAGATTTGGAGACGTGGGTGGATGGTTCTCTGGACATGTATCGTGTATGTATCTGTTCTGTTTGCTTCCCGCTGTGGCTTATTTAATCATGCAAATCTACAGCCTGAATTCAGACCTATTCTATTCCCCATTTTCTGTCAATTCTATCTAGACTTAATTCAGCTCGGGTTTCGCGATGCTAGTATGTTCAATCAAACAACTCTACTTCTTTCTCCATATTGAGGATCTTATTTCCTAGGTCTGGAGTTCTTCAAGAAGTTCTCTCCATCTCTGGCTCCTTGGCATAGCAAAACATTGCACCGACTTTCCACCCTTCTACTTCCATCGCATGTACAACAAGATGAATTGGCCCAAAGGTTTCGCAACGAAAAATATGTATTGCGCATGAGTCGATCTGGCTTCAACCTACTGGTTGGCTGGTTGACAGAAGGAGTTGGTGGAGAAGGTACTGGTGTAGGTGAAGGATTTACTGGTGAAAGGGGGAAGCGTGGTCGCGCAGCAATAATGAGAGTCGTAAACAATCACCTGCAGTTCGACGGTTGGTCTTTCTTACTGTGGTTATCTTTGTGTTGCTCATTCTTCATCAGTTACCTCATCCAGTACGACAGTAGTTCCTTCATATGCTTGGGAAGAGTCTACGGGATTGCTGTCCTCGGTAGTTCCTCAATCAGCGGGGGCAACCGATAAACGAGCCTTAGTAGACGCAGCTGCCTACAATGCATCAAAGGGCGATGTGAAGCTTGGTCCCCCTCCTATTGACGAGGGTCTCCAGAGCGAAGTAGAGCGTTTTTATCGAGAGCAAGTGTTGGCTGGTTCGGAACGTGAATTGACAGCTCAAGACCTTCGTCCTTCGACTTCCTCTGATCTCATTTCTCCGCAACCATCTGATATGCCACCTTTACCACCAAGTTTCAAGACTATGGATGTAAAGCGGGAAGTAGAGCGTATCCGCGACGCCCGAAAAAAGATAAAGCTCGAGCCATCTGCATTAACCCTTGAAAAGGATAGCAGTAGTCCTCAAGCTGCTGCAGCACGAGCAAGGGCTCTGCCCAGCATTTGTTGCTATACTATGACTGATGTTGGAGATGGGTGAGTTCCAGCATTTACAGAGTAGATAACTGAGCTGACACCGTGGGTACAGCGTTCCATGCTCAACATTTTCCCAAGATTCCTCCCTAATGGCCGTTGGATTTGCGGAAAGCTACATTCGTCTTTGGAACTTAAAGCAAGAGAAGCTGAGAGGCATGCGCAGTGACTTTGACCCTAATGCCATTCGTGAGCGTACGTTTTCAGTATGACTGACTATTCCACGTATTATTGGTCTAATTGCAGATATTTCAGCTTCGCACTTGAGAAAGACCCGTGAAAGGGAAGCAGGGACGACACGCAAGCTAATAGGACATAGTGGCCCTGTGTATTCTCTCTCATTTGATCCACTCAGTGGCTCCGCAGCGCCTCCGCAATACTTACTATCTTCGTCGGCTGACTGCACGGTCCGATTATGGTCTATGGAGGACATGAGCAACGTAGTTGCGTATCGCGGTCACCAAAGTCCTGTGTGGGATGTACAGTGGAGCCCCTTGGGTGTCTACTTCGCGACGGGGAGTCGAGATAAAACTGCGAGGCTCTGGTCATCGGACCGAATATCTGCATTGCGAATTTATGCAGGACACTTAAGTGATGTTGATGTGAGTATTTTCTGTTTTCAGGGAGCCAACTTGGTACAAAGCTGAACATCATAATCAGTGCGTGAAATTTCATCCAAACTCGCTGTATCTTGCAACGGGTTCAAGCGACTGGACTTGCCGGCTGTGGGACGTTCAAAAGGGTACAGCTATGCGTGTCTTTATTGGACACCAGGGACCAATAACTTCGCTTGCAATGAGCCCAGATGGCCGCTATCTGGCGAGTGCAGGGGAGGACTTGGCCATCAACCTTTGGGACCTGGGTTCTGGCCGTCGAGTGAAGAAAATGACAGGACACACAGCATCTGTGTATTCCATGGCATTCAGCAGTGAATCCTCACTCCTTGTCTCTGGTGGTGCAGATTGGACTGTGCGCTGCTGGGACGTGAAGGGATCTGGAGGTTCCACGAGCCGAACGGGTCCTCGAGAAAATGGTATCGTCAATGGTGTGGACGGTGCTTTAAGCAGGAAAGACCATGCTGAGGAGGATGGGATGGAAACGTACGTTCTTCTAATTCGAGAATTGTTATATACTCATAGGTACTGATATTGCTTTCCAGGTCTGACCTACTCGCCACGTTCCCGACAAAACGGACTCCGATTATTAATGTACAATTTACACCGCGTAACTTATGCCTTGTATCAGGACCTTCCTTGCCATGATAGTGTTATCATTCGTCACACGTTCCTGTATATCCCTTTCTAAATGTATTTACTCGCCCTGTCGGAGTTATAGCAATAGTATTGTTCGCATTTAGTTAAAGTACTGGGAAGTCAATTATGCCGATCGTGGCCTCTGCGTGTGACGAGCGCGTTCCGTCACCTTTATTGCGATTACGAGCGCACTTGTTCAACATCAACTCTCATCACATCTCATCTCATTAGACTCGCAACGACATTCTCTCTACCTCACACCTTCCTGCATTCTGCTGACTTCTACCTCTAACAACACGCTTGTATTATTGATATACTTCTGGAAAGATGGATGTAGACCCGAGCATTACTTCCGCGGAAGACTCTGTTCAACTTCAAGAACCTGGGCCTTCTGCGCCTCCCCAGTCGAGTGCACTCCCTCCGGAATTGTTCCAACCTGTACCAGAAATACCAGACTTTCAATGTATGTACTGTGCAACTCGTTAGGTTGCATTCTACAAACTAACTCATCTGCCTCGACAGCTCCGCCACAAAAGGATCCCATCCGTGAACTATGTGTCAAGGTACACATTCGCAGGTCGGGTAAAGACTCATGGACCTATCTTGGGAGGGCATTCGTAACTCAGGAATTCATTGGGCAATCATCTCGTGTTGGTAAGGGCAACAGTTTTGAGGTCGCGTGCCTTCGTTGGTACTGACGAGTCATGCTACTTAGTTGTTCGCTCAGCTGCGTCTGGGAAGATTATGGTGCAATTTTCTGAGGTATTTTCAAGTTCAAGCTCCTTACAAGAGACTTGCTAACTAGAGTTGGGTGTGTCGTTAGGGTTCGGACCTACAAGCGGAAAAACGAGGCAACTTCGTGGTAATCTCGTGTGTTGAAGGCGCAAGCGTTGTATCGTGGTCGTTAAATGTACGTCATCCTATCCCTACCGATTGATTGTATATCTAAGACGTTGTTCGTAGACGATGAATAGCGCTGATACACTGAGGCTGCTTGCCAGTATCGAACTTGCGTGTTATCGCTGCCGCCAAGCACTCTCCGATCCGAAGCTTCATACCAAGGTGCGCCGGCGAATAGAGCGAGTCATCAAAGACGACCGTCGTAGGAGACATCGCAGGAGGCGTGACGAGGACGCCATGGTCGAAGCATTTGGCAAAACGCAACTCGACTGAAACTTTTGGGATATGCTGTTGCCGATATGCATATAGACGCATCTTGCTGTTTATTATTCCGTGGAGTCGCTCTTTCTACCGTTTTCTTGCAGTGATTTTCACATTTGCTTTCCAATGTTGCTATTTGATTTCCTTTTCCTCTTTCTAATTCCCACCATGATCTAATTTTGTCGTCGTTTGTTGAGTTGTAGTCTCTCAAAGCCCCAATCCTTGTATTTCTACTCGCTCTCGAGTGTTTAGTTTGATAATCATCGTACTGACCTCAAGTGCTTAAACTCACTATCTAAATGGAAGACTATATAAGACATGTAGGACTACAAACCGCTCAGTTCAATAGTAAAACAACAGCTGAAAGGAAAGGAAAATCAATGGATGAACAATAGATAACAGACTAGCATGAAGGATGTCAGGATTCAAGGAATGGTCCACTCGGAATAAGTACAACAATACGGGTATGTGATAAATCGCAATAAGTGTCACCAAAAGAGTATAGTCACTTAGGTGAGCGATCAGATCCTTTGACGCGATCGTCCAACATTGCATTTATGTTGCTTCGGTCCGTATATTGTGGAGGAAGCTCGACTACGTTGGCCTGTTCTCCTGAGCTGCCCACATCTTCTGCATCCGTGTGCTGGACAACGCGAGGCGTTATCCGATGTGCTTGTCTAGTTGATGCCTTCGGCGAAGTGACACCAGGAGACGCAGGAGGGCTTGTCGAATATGGAACAGATGGGCTCCTGGCATGGGCAAAGGAGTAAGGATTAGAGAGCCTGGAGCCTGGACTTAAGAAGCCGTCGGTTTCTGACTGTGATTGCGATCGGCTATGTGACTGAGCGTAGCCCATAGCATCACGAGTCGGAGGATGCGATATAGAGTGAGGCTGCGTCCACGGGTAAGATTCGGAGTATCGTCCAGAGTGCCTGTAAATAGCTTCAGCGTCAGAAAGAATGATATGCGGGTTCGGTATGTAATCGTCCTCAGCAGCGGGCAGCATCGATTGATGGAGAGGCGGATTATGCATGGATGAATCGCGCATTGCAGCTGGCGGAACAAGGTCGACTGAGGAATGTGTGCGCCGTGCACGACCGCTGGCAGGAATGAGCGCGCGGATGCGTGATGACTGATTGTCTATGAAAGCGATTGGTGGTCGATATTGGCCTGCAAAATCATCCGTTACCTGCTTTCGTCGTCGTAGACAGCAAAACGATAGGAGAAGTGCGAGGAAGACAACAGCAAGCCCGCCTACAATCGCACCAACTATAATGCCAATATTCGGACCCGAGTGCGTATCGACGGTCTGCCTCGCCTGAGTTCCACTTGGTGACGCTGACGATAATGTTGACGATAATGCCGACGGCGTTTGTGCTATTCACAGAAAATGCGTTCGCAAGACAGTTCTAGTGATACAGGAAAATCATTTACCGGTCGAATGAGGCGATGAGGCACTAATGCACGCGGAGTCAGCGCTTATGCCAACCGTCTTTAAAAATACGGTCATCAGTGAAATTTCTTGGCATATTGCGAATGTTTAAAAATACCCTGAAGTCAGAACTTCCCCCCTGTCTACCCAAGGCATCAGTCAGGATGAATGTGACGGTAGTTCCCGTAGAAACATCAACTATCCAGTCGAAAGTCGACGGCCCTTGTGGAGGAAGAAGTTCAAACGATTGCCCAGAAGGAATCAATCCCTGGTGAAGAATTATTGTTAGCAGCGAAATATAATGACGTCGGACATGACTGATATACCAGAATTGTAACAGGCTGTGTCGCATTATCGTATCCGCTAAAAGTGGACGTCCTGAGAATATTAATGAGCAAGTTTGACGATGGGACGTAACTGCGAAGCATCTCACCGGCACTGCTGCAAAGCCGAGTTCAGATCGAAGAAAAAATCTGGTGTGGCATCAACCAATGGACAGTTTGTGCCGCTAATGGACGAGCCAACTGGTGTCGGAAAGTAAGTCTCGACAGTACAGAATACACAATGAGAGAGGCACCGACCAGTCAAGATATCGGACGTCCCTCCCGCCTCAAAGCCCGTTGAATCAGACATTGTGAGAAGGAACTTGCGCCCTGGAGGGAGCTTGAGCTGCACTGAGAAGCTACCATTGCCTGAGCTCGGATCGAATGCCGAATCTGGAATGGAAATGTTCTGGGGAACATAGAAACCCTAGGTGACAAGGAGAGGATATAAATGGAGCAGTTAGTTTCGACGTGTAGCGCATGCTAACCGGTGTGATAAGTAGTGAGAAAGGCCTCGTCCCACCTGAGTTGCGGAAGCGATGGGTCAAATAGAGCGGCGAGTCTGAGAAGACAGACGTACCTGACCACACGATATCGAGATTGTCGCAGGAACTAGGTGGGGTGAACGAGAAGTTAAAGCCGAAAGCTGTGAAGGAGAGAAGCGAGAGCACCAGATTTTTGAAGAGCAGTCGATCTAAGCAGTGCATGTTCAAGACCAAATCAAGACTGAGGGCGACGAGTGTGAGGAGAGGTAGGCACCGAGAACAACGAAGGACGGGCTCAACGCATGAACAGAACGGCCGAGAGAACACAGAGAAGGCATTGTTAAATATCTCCTTTAATTTCATTTTCACGGTCTGGCCCCATTTGTCTCGAGAACTGTCCAAACGCGAGGCAGTGAGGTGACATGCAATGCACCTTCTCGTTGACAGATAGTCGCCGATGGTGTCACTACGAGGGATCGGCAGTTGGAATCTGTTGAATTCGATGAATTAGCAGAGAGCGGACAGGATACGTGGGACAAACGCTTCGCTCGCGTGCCTCGACAGCCGACACCAGACGGAGGTGTGTATCATTAGTCTCTATCACCACACACGGGTCAGCAAGCTCTTTGGTAGGGGGTTGGAGATGAAAATACCCCCAAAAAAGTGACCATAATCTTTCCAGACACAGCTGAGCAAACAACTAATATGACTCGTCAGATAGAACGAAGACACACAACCTCAGAACCATTGCCTTAACACGAGATGACTGTCCGAGAAACTCCTGGGTTACGAATGCCCTCCTAATATAGGTCCATGAGTCTTTACCCAACTTGTGAATGTGTACCTTGACACATAGGTCACAGATGGGAATCTTCTGGCGGAGCTATCGAAGGAAGGAGAGTGTTTGCTTGTTGAACGCAACGTAACCAGTTGCAAGGCACATACATTGAAAATATGATATTTCTGGTACTAGTTGCAACAATTCTGGTGAAGCGCACTCGCCCGCCCAAAGGTTGATGGCCAAATCTTCTTCCGCACTTGCTAGATAGTGGCCATGTGTGCCCATTGCGAGCGCATGATTGGACCTTAATGTCCAATGAAAACATGCATAACTATGCCTTTTGGATATCCTTGGGCATCCCAAAATCGACAAGTCCAGTCGCTCTGAACCCGTCGCTTGATAATATGATATAGCGAGTTAGGATGGAATTTAATGCACTATTCGGATTATCAGCGTTTGAAATGAATGATGACTTGCGAGAAAGAGAAGGACTCACATCAACGTTGCTTAAATGCTCTGCATAGATTTGCAGATATTTGGTCGGATGACCAGAGCCTCGCATTGTTCTCAACTCCCCACTGCAAAGTAGACGCCTAACGGGCTCAATTCGATACAAAATACAGGACTCTAATGACTGCAATATGCAACTACGTTGCCATACACCATAATCGGACAGTGCAGTCAGCCGATGAATATTGAAGATAGTGAGTATTGCGGAGACGTTGCAGAGCCACTCAGTGGATCAAATGAGAAAATGCCAGTACAGCATCTGGTGCGTTTGCAGCTCGCTTATCCCTGCTATGGTCGCGCGCGCTGCACACACTCTCCATTCATCCTTCTTCCGCCAACTGAAATGCACGAATCATCCATGCAGATCTCTTCATCAATGATGCTGCCCGTTTCTGAAGACGATTACATAGTGAATAGTGCTGAAATGCTGAGACTGCTGGCCAGTTATCGAACTTACATGTTATGCAGCTAACTTATGCTCTGCCTAGCGCTCTCCGATCCGTCGAACAAAGACGAGCGTCGTAGGAGAGTCGGAGGCATCGCGGGAGGCGCAACGAAGACGCCATGGTCGAGGCATTTGGCAAAACGCAGCTCGACTGAAGTTTTTAGGATATACTGTTGTGCTGATATGCATATAGATGCATCTTGCTGTTTATTATTCCGTGGAGTCGCTCTTTCTACCATTTTTTTTTGCAGTTTGCTTTCCAATGTTGCTATTTGCTTTCCTTTTTCTCTCCTTCTAACTCTCCCACTCATTCATCTATTTTTGATGCCACCTGTTGAGTTGTAGTCTCTCAAAGCCCCGATCCTTGTATTTCTACTCGCTCTCGAGCGTTTAGTTTGATAATCACCATACTGACCTCGAGTGTTTAACCTTACAAACAATCTAAAAGGAAAATTTTGAAAGACACGTGGGACTATATACCACTGAGTCCAATAATAAAACAACAGCTGAAATGAAAGGAAGAATCAATGAATGAATGGTAAAATACAGACTGGCATGCAGGACGGCTAGATCTAAATGAACGGTACACACGGAATACATATGGCAAGGCGTGTATGTGATAAATCGCGATAAGGATTACAAAAAGAGTACAAAGTCAGATAAAACTGTCGGTTACTCAGCTGGGTGAGCGATCGGATCTCTTGACGTGGTCATCCAGCTTCGTATTGGATTCTCTTCGGTCCGTATATTGCGGAGGAAGCTCGACTACATCGGCCTCTTCTCCTTCTGAATTGCCCATATCCTCTGCATCCGTGTGCAGGATGAAGCGAGGCGTTAGGCGATGGGGACTTCTTACTGATCCCTTCGGTGAAGTGACACCAGGAGACGTAGGGGAACTTGGAACGGAAGGACTCCTCATATGGGCTTGGGAGTAAGGACTGGAGAATGGGGAGCTTGGACTTAAATGACCATCACTTTCTGAACGGGAATGCGATCGGCTATGTGACTGAGCGTAACCTATAGCACCACCAATCGGAGAATGTGGTACTGAGCGAGGCGGAGCCCGCGGGTAAGACTCGGAGTATCGTCCAGAGTGACCATCAACAGCTTCAGTATCAGATGGAAGGATATACGGGCTTAGTATGTAATCATCCTCGGCAACAGGTAATACCGATTGATGAAGAGGCGAATTACGCATGGACGACTCGTGCATTGCAGCTGGTGGGAGAAGGTCAAATGAAGAGTGTGCGCGTCGTGCGCGACCGCCAGACGGAATGAGCGAGCTACGAACACGCGAGATGCGTGATGACCGGCTACCAATGAAAGCAATCGGTGGTCGATGAGGGCCCGGAAGGTCATCCTTCGCTTGTTTTCGTCGTCGTAGACAGCAAAACGACACGAGAAGCGCGAGGGAGACAACTGCAAGCCCGCCTACAGTCGCACCAGCGATGGTGCCAGTATTGGAACCCGAGTGCGTATCGACAGCTTGCGTCGGTTGCGCTCCACCTGATAACGTTGACGACGCTTGTGCTGTTCACAGAAAAGTAGCGCTCACAAGACTGTTCTAGTGATACAGGAAAATCATTTACCAGTCGAATGAGGCGATGAGGCACTAATGCACGAGGAATCATCGCTTATGCCAACCGTCTTTAAATATACGGTAGTCAGTCAAGTTCATGGCATATGGCAAGCAAATTTTTTGAAATACCCTGAGGTCAGAACTTCCTCCTTGCCTACCCAAGGCATCAGTCATAATGAACGTGATGGTAGTTCCGTTTGAAACATCGGCTATCCAGTCAAAGGTCGACGGTCCTCGTGGAGGATGAAGTCTGAACGATTGCCCAAGAGGAATCAAACCCTGATGAAGAATTATTGTTAGCAGCAAAATACCATGACGTCGCACATGATTGATATACCAGAATTGTAACAGGCTGTGTCGCATTATCGTATCCGCTAAATGTGAATGTCCTGAGAACATAGATTATGAGCCTCGAACAAGAGTTCGATAGGAAATAACTGTGCGAAGTATCTCACCGGCACTGCTGCAGAGCCGAATTCAGCTCGAAGAAAAAATCCGGCGTGGCATCAGCCAAGGTACAATTTGTGCCGCTAACGGACGAGCCAACTGGTATAGGAAAGTAAGTCTCGACAATGTAGAATACACAATGAGAGAGGCACCGACCAGTCAAGATATCGGACGTCCCCCCTGCCTCAAAGCCCGTTGAATCAGACATTGTGAGAAGAACCTGGCGTCCTGGAGGGAGCTTGAGCTGCACTGAGAAGAGACCATTGCCTGAGCTCGGATCGAATGCTGAATCTGGAATGGATATGTTCTGAGGAACATAGAAAGCCTAGACGACATGGAGAGTATATAAATAGAGTAGCTAGTTACGACGCATAGCGCATGCTTACCGGCGTGATAAGTAGCGAGAAGGGTCCCGTCCCACCTGAGTTGCGGGAACGATGGGTCAAAAGGAGCAGCAAGCCTGAGAAGACTGACGTACCTGACCATGAGATGTTGAGGTTGTCGCAGGAAGTAGGTGAAGTGAACGAGAAGTCAAAGCCGAGAGCTGTGAGGGAGAGAAGCAAGAGTACCAGACCCTTGAAGAGCAGTCCACCCGAGCAGCGCATGTTCGAGACCAAGGACCGAGGGTGACGAGAGAAAGGAGGGGTAGGCGTCGAGAACGATGAGGAACGGACTCAACGCATGAGCGGAATGGCCAAGGGAAGACCGAAAATAAATAAGAAAGTCAAAGAGACACGGACTCCACGAGCCAACGTCATGCATCTTCCGACCTGCGCGCGTGAAGGCAACGATAAATAATAAATATCTTCTTTGATTTTATTTTCGCGGTCTGGCCGTGCCCGTCTCGAGATCTGCCCGAAATGTAAGGCCCCGAGGTGACATACGACGTGTCTTTCGTTGGCAGATGGTCGCCGACGGTGTCATTTGCATCGGATTTGCAGTTGAATTCGATGAATCGACGGAGAGTAGACAAGAGGTGTGGGACAAACGCGTCGGTCGCGGGCCGCAACGGCCAAGCACGGCCGGAGGTGAATATTATTAATCTCTATCGCCACCATCGCGTACACTCACATCTCAGACCTCGTCCACTGCCACGTCCTCAATCTTCGCCGCTAAATTTTATAGTGCACAATGTCCGGAGCAGTGTAAGTCGTTCTGCATGCAAGTTCATCTAATATGTTTTCAATACCGCTTGCTGTCTGCAGTGGCGACATCGGTCTCATCGGCCTCGCTGTCATGGTGCGTCATCCCTTCATCACCGTGTCCCGACGCGACGACGACGAGCGTTGTCCTGACATGCGCATATACAGGGTCAAAACCTCATTCTTAACATGAATGACAAGGGATTCACCGTTGTTGCCTTCAACCGCACAACCAGCAAAGTCCAGCACTTCCTGGATAACGAAGCAAAAGGTGCAGTGATTCAGCACTCCTTATATGCGCGTCATCCTTCTTACAAATCATCCTGCCTTTCACTCTTTCTTCAGGAACAAAGGTTGTCGGCGCATTCTCCATCGAGGAGCTTGTTGCAAAGCTCAAGAAACCAAGGAAAATCATCTTGCTCGTCAAGGCTGGCAGCGCCGTTGACGACTTTATTAATGCGCTTGTCCCGCATCTTGAACAAGGTGACATCATAATTGACGGAGGTAACTCTCACTACCCTGACTCCGACCGACGCACAAAGTACCTCGCATCGAAGGGTCTTCAGTTTATCGGCTGTGGCGTTTCTGGCGGTGAGGAGGGAGCTCGTCATGGACCTTCCCTCATGCCCGGTGGTTCGCCTGAAGCATGGCCAGCAATCAAGCCCATTTTCCAGGCCGCCGCCGCTCAAGTTGAAGGCGTGCCCTGTTGCGACTGGATGGGGGAAAGCGGTTCCGGGCACTTTGTTAAGATGGTCCACAACGGTAAATATACATTTCTATCGTGTACCATCTCATTCTAATTAGACATTATAGGTATCGAATATGGAGACATGCAACTCATTGCAGAGGCGTATGATATACTGAAGCGTGGGCTAGGACTTCACGAAGACGAAATTGCATCAATCTTTGAAAATTGGAACAAGGGTGTTCTGGATTCTTTCTTGATTGAAATCACCACAAATATTCTTCGCTTCAAGGATGATGATGGCGAGCCCCTCGTAACCAAGATTCTTGACAAGGCCGGGCAAAAGGGGACGGGAAAATGGACTGCCATATCTGCCCTTGATTATGGTACTCCAGGTATGTGACACTTAATGTTTGGTTCCTTCCTCATGGCGCTTAATAATGTTCTAGTAACTCTCATTGGCGAGGCTGTCTTTGCCCGCTGTCTCTCCGCAATTAAAGATGAACGTGCTCGCGCAAGCAAGATCATTTCTGGTCCTCAGAAAGAAACATTCCGTGGTGACAAACAGCAGTTCATTGATGACCTTGAGCAAGCACTATACGCCTCTAAGATCATTTCATATGCTCAGGGCTTCATGCTCATGAGGGAAGCTGCGAAAGAGGTACGGTTCTACGTGAATAATTAATGACCCGACTAATTTTGGGGAGCCTGCTTTCAGCTCAAATGGAATCTGAACTATGCCGGTATTGCTCGGATTTGGCGAGGAGGGTGCATTATTAAAGTACGCAGAACTTCGCTACTGATGTGATGTGATGATCTTCACAACGGCGTTAGTCTGTGTTCCTAAACGATATCACTCGGGCATATGAGAAAACTCCTAATCTGGAATCTCTCTTGTTCGATGATTTCTTCAACAAAGGTATGTGCCTCCACTGAAAGGCATTTTTTGTGTGAATATGGTTGGCTGAATATTTTGATAGCTGCTCACAAGGCTCAGCCTGGTTGGAGACGTGTGATCGCACAGGCTGTCCTTTGGGGCGTACCGACCCCGGCCTTCAGCACTGCTCTTGCATTCTTCGATGGTTATAGAAGTGACATTGTACCTGCTAACATTCTGCAGGCTCAGGTTAGTACAGCTGAATTATTGACGTAGTCCGTTACTAACTGTTGGTATCAGCGTGATTACTTTGGTGCTCATACTTTCAAGGTTCTTCCTGGCAAGGAGAACGCGAAGTTGAAGGCTGGAGAAGACATCCGTAAGCCAATTCTCTGCCATAGACTTTCCATCATTTACTGATTAGTGATTGCCAGACGTCAACTGGACGGGCCGTGGTGGCAATGTTTCTTCATCGAGTTACAATGCTTAATTTCTCCGATAAATAAATTTTCTTTGCGCTCGTTATTAGAGTTATATAGAGCGCGGAGATGGGTTAGCTGGTCATTCGTGTGTATAGGTAAAAGTAGATCGAACGAAAACAATGTACACTGTTCGCAAATTTAAAGTGGATATTCAGTTCGTGAAACTATTGATTAGGCAAACGCCGACCGAGTAATGACCTTCCTATTCGAGCCCCCATTTACTTGTCTTTATCCACCATGTGTGGAATTTTACTGGCAGTCAATCGTCAGACATGTACAACAGACTTCGAGTCTATGTGGGAATCAATCAGAATAGCAAACTCTGCTCGCGGTAAGTGAGCTTAAAATAAAGAGAATCGAACCTAGCGGTCATGTTATTCACGATAATTTAGGTCCAGATGCACAAGACACCATTCAATTCGCAATGTACTCGGACAAGGAGATTCGGCTTGACATCCGTTTCTTTGCTAGCGAACTGAGGCTTCGGGGTGACGAGCTGGTCACTCAACCGCATCAAAACCAAGGAAATGTATTCTGCTGGAACGGTGAAGTTTGTATCCTGGATATGACCAACAACCGCGAGTCATCAGCAGGCTGACATTCTATCCAGGTCTTCGAAGGCTTGGAGGTTAGCCACGTTCCAGACTGAGATACCTGGACTTCTAACCCACCCAAACTCGATCTTCAGGTGGATCCTTCTGAGAATGACGGCATCAAACTGTTTCAGAAAATTGAAGCCCTTCAAATCCCTGAAGCAGAGTTATCGAGCGTCCTACAATCTATCGAGGGACCGTAAGTAATTTGTTATATCCAGGAGTCTACACTTTGACGTGTACATGTAGATACGCATTCTCTTACTACCACGTTAGCTCCCTGTTCGTCTGAAGTCCGATTCACAGTTCTCAATGCGGAAAATTGCAGAAAACGACTGACACAATATTCTTCGGGCGAGATCCGCTTGGTCGCAGGTCCCTTCTCATTCACAGGCCGACGACTCAAAATCCTGTTCTTCTGGTTGCATCAGTATCTGCAGGATCGAATACACCGTATCCTCTGGAAGAAGTGGGGACCGAAGAATTGTACTGCGTAGATATTAGAAATTGGCACGCAGCTGAGGTATATCTTCGTATATTCGATCGCGAGTGCATAATGAACAGTATTAACTATTATTTCCTTAGAGCGGGGATGCTAGCCGAGTCATTCGGACGATTCCTCGAAGAGCGCATGCAAGCAATGTTGTCGACTTTGTGAGATTATTGGAATATTACGAATTTGGATTACATGCTAATCTACCTGTGAAGAGCGCACCCGTAGAAGTCAACAAATCCATCTCTGAAGCTTCCCCGCTCGTAGATTCGCTCACGGAAATTCCACCCGTTTTAACGGACGACGTCGAGAACCTATTAAATGAGCTCAGCCGTAGTGTCCGATTCATGGTACAACATATCCCATTTCACGTGTGAGTGCATTTAGTCCCAGATACTAAATAACTTGATCACGGTTCTTCCGAATTCAAGAGAAAAAGGCAACGCAAGAGTTGCAGTACTGTTTTCCGGCGGCATAGATTCCACCATTCTAGCATATTTAGCTGACTCGTAAGCGAGCACCACTTTATTATTGTACGGTGATGACAATGCCCTTTTCCAGTTACATACCCAAAGACGAACCCATAGATCTACTTAACGTTGCATTCGAGAACCCTCGTAAAATCCAACTCAGGAGCGAAAGTAGCGAAAATATCAAAACACGGCGAAAACAGCCACAAAATCACGGCGTTTCAGACGCACGAGTGAACGGACAGAAAAACGGGACGTTCGAGTCGTATCTCGTGCCGGACCGTATTACTGGACTGGAAGAACTGGCAGAGCTGCGAGCACTCTGTCCTCATCGGCAGTGGAATTTCGTGAGTGTAGCAGTTCATTCACGTTAAAGTATATTAAATATTTACTGATAGAGTTAAGGTGGAAGTGGACGTGACCTTCGAGGTGATTATCCTACTAGAATTCGAGAATTCCACAACTAATTAAGGGATTCAGGAAACCTCACAATATCGGACGGTCGTCGAAAATCTAATGTATCCATGTAGAACAGTGATGGACCTGGTAAGCACTTCCATTCTGTTGTCTCCGGTCATAGAACTGATGTTAGCTAAGAGTTTGGCTCTTGCCCTTTACTTTGCGTCTCGAGGGATTGGCTATGTTCGCACCGAACTCAATGGAGAGAGGGTTCCATATACGAGTACAGCTCGCGTTCTTGTACGTAGATATTTACTCATGATCTCTACGGTATATTAACTTCCGATCAGATTAATGGACTTGGATCGGATGAGCTTCTTGGAGGGTACGGGAGACATCGGACTGCATACACATCGGGTGGCTGGCGGGCAGTCATTGAAGAGGTTAGGTCAATCAATATACGTGTGATACCTAACTCACAACATCATGTTAAAGCTCCAACTCGAGATAGATCGCATCCCAAAGCGAAATCTCGGGAGAGACGATCGCATTATATCATCGCATGGCAAGGAAGCAAGGCACCCCTTTCTCTCACTCTCGGTCGTCAACTTCCTCGCAAAGCTTCCAGTACATCACAAAGTAGACCCACGATTGCCGCTTGGACTCGGGGATAAAATGCTTCTTCGGCTTGCTTCTCGAAAGGTCGGACTTGAATTGGCCAGTGGCCGGAAGAAAAGGGCAATGCAGTTCGGCAGCCATTCCGCTCGTATGGAGGCCGGACAGTCGGAGAGGAGGGGCGACTTACTTCTGAGTTGATCTTCTTGACTTAGAACGCAATCTGAATAAACAAGGGGGGGCGGGGGTTGTGTTCAAAAAGTCTCAATTACTCGCATGCGGTTAACTGAGGCCACTCTATCAGAAGCCGTTGGATTCGATTGTGCGTTCAAGTGTGGTCTGATGTAACCAATACCTCAATCTTTCATCTTCAATTTACTTCAAATCAGGGTTCCAGTAACTTATGGGATATCCACGATATTATGACCTTTATTCGGTTAGTTCTCTGGATTCAAGAATTTTCAATTACTATGCTAAGATCCAGGATTGGCCACACTGGTATACCAACCGGACAGGTAACACTGGCATCCTTGAGAGTATTCACACTCGTTATCTGCAACGCAGCTGTGCGGGATCACGTCCACTACTTCTTGGGAATGATTGTTGCACCCAACGTCCGAAACTGACTGTACTTCAAAGAACAGACACTGTATAGTAGAACACTTGTACTGCATTTTTAAAAGTAATCATTTATTGGCTTCCGTGAAATACTGAGGAGATGAAATAAGGAAACTTGAAAATAACTTAGATATTATTACTATGCCTCCAGGTCTTTGATTGATCCAAACAAAGCACGTTAATGACATATTGAAAGTATTCCGGACATGGGAAGTCCGGAGTTCTTTGTTCCCTTGATTTATATTCCCATACTTTTAGACTGGCAAGATAGGTTTTTTGCATCCAACACGAAGGAAAATGACCTAAGATATGCCTCATGACACTTTGAAAGAGAACGCCAATCATTGGCTCTACATCCTCGGCCGATCGGCAAACGCGTCAAAGTCTAAATTTCACCGCGTATCTTTCCTGTGGTTTACTGCACCGTCTCGTCATTGCAGCAATGTCGCCCCCGCTGGCTCATGCGGCACGGCGCATTGTTGCTCGTGATGTTCAAAAGAGGGCACTAGCTACGCATGCTGCCCTTCCAGAGAAGGATTGCTCGACAATTACCCCTCCTTACGCTCGTTTGGCCGAAAATCTCAACCGTGTCCGTGCTATTCTAAATAGCAGGCCTCTTACGCTGGCCGAGAAGATTCTTTACAGTCATATCCATGACCCAGAAAAGACTCTATCGGGAAAGAGAAACATCCGGGGGGAGTATCTACAGCTGCGTCCTCAACGTGTAGCTATGCAAGATGCATCTGCTCAGTAAGTCGTGTATTCTTAGTGGAATGACTCTATTGGAAGTTGAGGATTTTTGGCATCACAGAATGGCAATGTAAGATGACCTCTACTGTCTTCTATGTTGGCTGAATCCTTACAAATGGATCATCATCTTAGCCTGCAATTTATGAGCGCTGGACTACCGTCCTGTGCCGTTCCTACGAGCATTCACTGCGATCATCTTATTCAAGCATCAGAAGGTGCAGAAGCCGATCTAAAGGTCTGGAAAACGCATCTCTCATGAGGAGGGAGACATCTGACATGGTGCATCGTGTTCAAGCGCTCGAAGGTAACGAACAAGGAGGTTTTCGATTTCTTAGAGAGTGCTGCTAAAAAATATGGTACGTCCTGACATTTCCGCTATATTAATGGTGATATAGCATGCTTTCAGGTATCGAGTTCTGGGGTCCTGGCTCTGGTATCATCCATCAGATAGTTTTGGAAAATTATGCTGCTCCAGGAATGCTCATGTATGTCTAAACACCCTTGTCGGTTTAAATCGCTTATAACAAAATTGCAAGGCTGGGGACAGGTACTTTGCTCGTCTTTATTTCATCAGCAAGTCAAGCTAGCACTGACACACTTCCTCTCTGTATAGATTCTCATACACCCAATGCTGGCGGCCTCGGTATGATTGCAATCGGCGTCGGGGGAGCAGACGCAGTTGATGCAATGACCGGAACACCTTGGGAACTCAAAGCTCCGCAGATAGTTGGTGAGTAAGATGACGATGCAGATACACCTTTGGTTGACGTCCCCCTAGGCATACATCTAACAGGACAAATGAACGGTTGGGCAACGACGAAAGATCTAATATTGAATATCGCTGGTCGATTAACCGTTCGAGTAAGGCTCGGATGCTCTTTCTTCATCAGAACCCGAGTTTATATTTGCAATTCAGGGCGGAACAGGTCGCATTTTGGAATATTTCGGCCCTGGCGTCTTCAACCAATCTTGTACTGGTAAGCTTAGTTAATTGGTAACGCATTGACAGAATTATTATATATATGTTTACCAAATTAATTCGTGATAGGTCTTGCAACCATCGCAAACATGGGTGCGGAAGGTATGTGGGACTTTCTCCATGAAGGCATCTCTTCTATGACCGTATACATGTAGTCGGCGCAACGTCGTCAACGTTCCCTTATACTCCCAACATGCGATCATACTTGCGTGCGACTGGCAGATCAGCCGTCGCAACCGCAGCAGATGAAGCAGCATCTCAAGGTTTCCTATGTGCTGATGAAGGCGCTGAATACGATGAAGTAATTGAGATTGTGGGTTTTCTTATTCCAGTGCCAGTGTTCATCGTGCTCAAGCAAGCCCAAACAGAACCTCTCTGAACTCGAGCCAACAGTAAATGGCCCTTTCACACCTGATTTGGCGACTCGTCTTTCGAAGTTCGGTAGTTTTGTTAAATCATCGGGTTGGAGGGACGAGATATCAGCTAGCCTCATCGGATCGTGCACGAATAGTTCCTATGAAGACATGGTGCGGATGCGTTGCTTCGCTACAATATACCAAGTATCGCATATTCACTGATGCCTTCAAGACGCGCGTAGCCGACCTCGCACACCAGGCGAAGGATGCAGGCTTAACAGTAAAGGTATCTAGAGTTCAAGGAGAAATAACTAAAACGCCTGATTATTTTATGACAAGGTACCATTCCTCTGCACACCAGGATCGGAACAAATTCGCGCAACCATGGAAAGGGACGAAATAACGTCTTCGCTCGAGAAAGTTGGTGCCACGGTATTGGCCAACGCTTGCGGACCTTGTATCGGCCAGTGGAAACGGGACGACAAGAAGGGCGAGGAAAACGGTACGTTGAGCCCCATCAATCTTATCTTCTGTACACTCACTATTTTGTAGCAATCCTCACGTCGTTCAACAGGAACTTCCGTTCTCGCAACGACGGCAACAAGGATACCATGAATTTCCTCGCTTCTCCGACTATCGTGACTGCTATGGCATTTTCTGGACGATTGTCGTTCAACCCAATGACGGACTCGATTGATTTACCTTCTGGAGATTCCTTCAAGTTCAAACCGCCTCATGGTCAAGATCTACCTTCACAAGGATTCGCTGCTGGTGATTTGTCCCTGTATCCACAAGCAAATCCGAAACCTCAGCCGCACACTGAAATCGTGATTTCACCTACGTCCACAAGACTGGAGATCCTGAAGCCTTTTGAAAGTCATTTTGGTCCTAACAACCTGAGAGGTCTTGAGCTGCCATCACTGAAAGTGCTTATGAGAGTGCGGGGTAAATGCACGACGGACCATATCTCAGCTGCTGTAGGTTTGCGCTGTCACAATTGATTTTGCGGTACTGATATCTTCTTAAGGGACCTTGGCTTAAATACAAGGGTCACTTGTCTAATATCTCTGAAAACTTGCGTGAGTGAATTACCCCTCATAGAATTTGATGTTTGTTGAATTATGTCTTTGAAGTCATCACGGTATGTTTTGCTTGTATATGCAGACGACGTCATCCTTACCCTAGGAATTAAAAAGGCCGTAAACGACGAAGGCGGTGAAGTAAACATCGCCTTCGATCATAACCATGCACCGAGCGAGACAGCAACCGACACGATCCCGAACGTCGCGAAGCGACTTAAATCTCGTAACCAGCCCTGGGCTCTAGTCGTCGACGAGAACTACGGCGAAGGTAGTGCTCGTGAGCACGCAGCATTGCAACCTCGATTCTATGGTGTGTTTCCCCGTGTACCTTTCCTTCCAATGTGCTCATGAAACTGCAGGCTGCGCACTCATTGTCGCCCGGTCATTTGCTCGAATCCATGAAACCAATTTGAAGGTCAATATCTAACTTATATGATATACTGGAATATCTAATTTCGCAATTACACAGAAACAAGGTGTTCTCCCACTTTGGTTTACGGACAGCAGCGACTATTCGCGTATCGGCTCTGGCGACATCCTTGAAACAATTGGGCTGGAGAGTCTGCTGAACGGGGAGCCGCAAGCTACTATTCGTTTGAAAGTGACCAAGCGAGATGGACAGACCTTTGAGATTCCGACTAGACATACCATGTCTAGCGATCAGCTCAAGTGGTTGCGAGCTGGCTCTGCCTTGAATTATATCCGTTCACAACTAGGATGATAGTAGGCGGATGATATTTTTCTTGATGATCTATTTTGATTAGACGCAATTGCTGTGTAGTGTGCTACTTTTCTTGTTTGATACATGCTAATAGAGGACGAAAGAAGATGTGGAGTAAAATTACGCGTGGAATGAGCATAAAATCATTTGCAAAGTCGGATGTTACTCGTTCGCGACCTGTGTCTCGCCTTTTCCTTCTGCTTGTACTGTTTGTTCGTTCCCAAGTTTTTTGCGTTTCCTCACCCTCTTTCGCATTCGCCGTACTGGTGATTCGTTCCTAGTATCCTCGCTCTTTTCATCGCTGTTGTCTCGATCTGCCTCATCGTCTTCAGACCGTTTCCTCTTTTCGCCGGCAGCTTCTGTCCTTTCAAAGGCATTTTCGTTCGTTTTCGTGGCTTTCGGACGTCTATCGCCATCCTTTGACTTTTTCTTTTTCACGCTCAGAGGGTTAGGCTCTTTGGGTCCTCGCCGCTTCTTCATTGGTGGTTCAACTACTCCATTATCGGGCTTGCTACCCTCTACCGTAGACGAAATTGCCAGGGTTGAGGCGATCGTGCTTGCCTCTGCTTTGGTAGGTCGCATACGGTCGGTTTCCATCTGTTAGAAAATTTAAACGTGTCAAGTACAATAACAATAGCAGCTATGGCACGAGACGTACCAATAACTTCGCTTTTTCTGTAGCATCGCTAGCTGGCTCAAGGACCATGACACTTCGTTTGACGTGAACTAATGGTGTACCAGGTACTTGACGGATATTCTGTCTTAATGAAGATGACTGCGCAGCCAGAACGTAGCGATGCTTATTTATCGGGCCTGATGTAAAGGGAAGGTCAACACCGTAACAAAAATCAGAACAAGTATAACATGAATGATTTAGAGTTCCATACCTATGACCTCCCTCAAACAATCCTCTTCTGGTATCGCTTCCCTGTGATTACACCTTCGTCGCTCAAATGTTTTCGCCAGATCAACAACAGGTTGCTTAGACCGTCCATAAATATATAACGAGTGTATGCTGCACTGGGTTATCACTGCAAATTGCAATTAGCGTCTTCCAAGCATCGGAGTGAAGATCTATACCCACTAGGCTTCACAGTTCCCTGTAGTACAACCGCCAGTTGTTTCGCGAGGTCAATCTTGGATGATACAGCTTCCGCACACATTTCAGAGTCCACTAAACATGCAACAGTTGGACAGAAGAATGACCGTCCATGGAACGAATAAGGCAGGGTAAGTCAATGTGACTTGCCGAGCAGAACACAATAGAGAACATACCCAATACTTGATATGGTTGCCTGAATCCGAAGCTCATGCAGTAGACATGCATGAGCTTGCGATATGCCTTTGCTCTTTTCTGACGCATTTTCCGAGGACGAAAATGGCGGAAGTGTCAAGGAAATGTCTGCAGGAGAAAATTAAATGGACTGGCAGACATAGAAGGATGATCGACGTGACCTCATTATATCCTCCCGATCATCAAACATTGTACAACACTGGTTCTTTTTTTTAGGTTGTGAACGTACAAGACAAGTATGACGATCACGCAATCCACAGTGCATTGTAAAATACCTTCTGTACCATACTCGAGGAAACAACGGCGTTAGGATGATGAAATTAATCATTGACATGTTCGTCATGTAAGAAGCACTATAGGGCATAATACACTCATGTCTCAGAAGTTACATGAACACATTATTCTCCCCAGCTAATACAGCTCATTGAATGTGAATTGTAGTTCATTGAGCCAAATTTCTGGGTGGGAGTTAAACGAAAAGTACTAAAGTCAAAGGAGAACAATTCGAAGCAACTTCACTAAGTCATCTATTAGCCTCCACTTATCTATAAATGAATATGCAGAGACGTATACTATCTGGCATTCAATAAATAATTGGCATTGCAGAGTCCAATTGAAATAATGTATGTCAGTGACTGAACATGAGTCCTGCGCTGGAATGTCAAGTGATCCAGGCAGAGGAAGTGGGCGTCGCGATGGGTCAATCTACCCAGGGAATGAGACTCGAGCGACGTAGGCAAAGGGTCGTCAAGTCAATTTATCTGGGAAACATGAGCGTCATGGGACCGCCATCGTGAACTGCGAAGTGGCCTTGGGCACGTGCGTATCGCTGAATGATAGTCAAGATAAGTGTGATTAGATCCGGGTGAAATCTAGAACGTCCCTCCATCCAGAAAGTAAGATACAAGCAAAGTTGACCAGAAATCATGAATGTCTACATAAATTGTTGCTGAACATCATTCGGTGCATGCAGACTTGCGAGTTGGCGACCAACGTTCTGGAGAGCGGATGTCACGGATGGATCTTCAGACGGCCGATTATGCAGTTTGATCGAAGATAGTGCCTTTTCTGCAACATTGATTGCAAGTTCAGGCATACCAGCAAGTCGTGCAACCTTCAAGCCATGAGAATCGCGATTCACGCCACGCCTCATGCGGTGCGTGTATGAGAAATGACCGTCCTACGCAAGAATTAATGATCAATATTTCGATATCCATACTTCTTTCACTCACTTCAGTCTCATCTATGTCTGTACAGTAAAACTCGAGATTGGGAAATAGAGTACTTTGCTGTGAAACGTCTGAATAGCCAAGCATATCCACAAGCTCATGAAAATGAGTCGCGAATAAAGACCTGCTTTTGTTAACGAGACAAAGATGATGTATAGTGGCGAAGGCTATAGCAAGACCATCTTGAACTGTTGTGCCGCGACCGACCTCGTCCATGATGACCTAGGGCGAATAATGAGGTAATGGCGTTTTTATCATTATACTGGCACTGACCAGGCTCTTCTCAGTAGCATTCTTCAGAATCTCAGCACTCTCAAGCATTTCGACCATGAAAGTACTTCGATCTCGGAAGAGATCATCCTTTGCACCAATCCGCGAGAAGGCTTTGTCGACAAGACCGATATGAGCGCTGTCAGCGGGGACAAAGGAACCCGTCTGCGCGAGGATCGCGATGAGTGCAATTTGACGAAGGTAAGTGGACTTTCCGGCCATATTTGGTCCCGTGACAACGTGTAATCGCGAGGAATCCGACATAGAGACCGTGTTAGGTGTGAACATCCTTCCTGACTGAAGGAGACCAAGCTCGACAGATGGATGCCTCCCGTTTTCGATGTAGAAAGAGGAGCTAGACATATGTCAATACGAATAGTTGCATTCCATGGATTAGCACGTTACCTATCGCTAATTGTCGGCCGAACGAAATTCATCTCCGCAGCGAGGGTGGCAAATGCAGACGTGACATCCAGTTCTTCGAGGATGCGAGCATTCCTCCGTATCGCTGTTGCCTCAGTGTTTGTCTAGAAATTCGCATTAGAATAGATTACTATTATAAGGGATTCAACGAGAACGAACTTCATTTCTGAGAGTTAAGAACGCCTCTTTCTCCGCACTGTAGATGCTCATTACTGTTTCCAAGATCGCGTTTCCCAGAGCAAACCACTCCTATACTCGCAACTATATGAGAAACAGGCAAAACTATATACAAACTTGGATGTACCTGATTGAAGTAAGTCTTCGTCGACTTGCTTTCCGCGAGGGGCATGAAATATCGTGATTTCTCCAAGCGTTCAGCGTCTTTGCGTGGCTTTGCAATATGGACATGTAAGCCATGACTTGGGCTGTGACGGAGGGTCAGTGAGGGCGCGACTAAAGTTTTACATTGAGTGATAGTGCAAGTAATCATGGGGTTTTGTGCGCACCATATTGTTCTCGATATCTCAGTTCCAACGTTTCCTTTTCGTTTTGCAGCTGCCTAAATCGTTCATGAAGTAACTCCAGTTCGACTGAAAATCTGGAGTAACGAGCATTAATAGACAGCATAAACGCATCATGATCGACTCAACTGAGGTTTGATCGTCCATTTAGCATCAACACCAGGCAACGAAAGAAACTTGGAAACCTCTGGGGCGGCAGCCTGATCTTGCTCAAGCGGTACATTACTCTCACTCTCTTCCGTGATGGTTTCATTCTGCTGATCACTTTTCACGTCTATCGCTAACTCGATGCGCTGTGCAAGACCAGAAAGGTTTGCCATCTTGTTCATGAGTTGATCCAGAGCTTGCCAATCTTCTGCCATAAACTTTTCACCACTTTCTCTTCTTTCGAAGTCCTTCTCGAGAGAAATTCTATTCCGGAGAGCTGTCCATATGGCAATTGTGCTACGGATGGAGACTAGGTCGTCAACACTGCCCTTTCCTAGAAGGAACTTCTGTGAGATCCGCATTGCGTCTTCTGCGCCTTTCAAAAGTTCGATTAGGTCCGCTCGGAGGGCTGGTCGTGTACGGAACAAATTCACTAATGATTGACGGGCCAGTATTTCGTCTACTGACGTGCTGGGAGAACCTGAATTTAGAATCAAAGAGGTCAGAACAGACGGATCTATCGGAATAAGACAGTAGAATGAGAGCCTCACATAGCCATCGTGCTAGTAACCTTGTCCCACTGCTCGTAACTGTTCGCTTGATTGAGCTCATTAAACTTCCGCTGGTTCCACCTTCGCGAATGCTTTCACGGATTTCAAGAGCTTTCAGTGTATGTGCATCTATTTGCATGCGTTTGGATTTCTCTTCACGGAGTGGACGCAGAGTCTGCGGAGCATGCTCAAGCAAGTTCGATTGGAGGAAAGTATTAAGGACACCAATGGCCGAAGTCTCGGCAGGTGAAAAGACAGTTGAGGCGTCAGCCGTCGAGTCGACGATATCATCAATGAGTTCATCTGCGCCGGAGATGTTCGCCTTTAGATCCCCAGTCGTCCTTCCTGCAAAAGATATAGGGCAGGACGATTCCAACAGAGCATCTCGAATGGGATGCTCCTGAAGAGACTGAAAGCATTCGTCAAGAACGACCTCGCGGGGTGAAATACGTGCCACATGATCTCTGAGGGATCCCAAGGGCGTGGTCCTCGTAAAGAACTCTCCCGTTGACACGTCGATCCAAGCCATTCCGACTAAGCCAGGGTCTGCATCGTCCTCCGCGACGGAGAGAAGGAAATTATTCTCGTACGGATTGAGGAAAGGTTCATCAATCAACGTTCCTGGTGTCAAAATTCGGACTACACGTCTTTCGAAGGTTGGCTTTGAAGTGAGATCTTCGTCAGCATCTCGTGGTCTGCGAAATTCCTCGCACATGGCGACGGAACGGTTATGCTGCTGAACCAGTACTTTCAAGTATTTGTCAAGGTGCATTAGCGGGAACCCGCACATCCAGATGCGTTGATCATCCCAAGTTCGTTTCGTTAGCTTTATTGAAAGTAGTCGCGAAACTTCTTGTGCTTGATCAAAATAGGACTAACAAGCTCAATCTCAATTGAGGTTCATCTACAAATTTAAAGGAGCATACCTCGTAGAAATTACCAACACGTGTTAGTAGGATACAGTGAGGAAACTTGGCAAGGTTCTCTAGTATTTCTTTCGCAAGCGGGTTTCGTGGTGGGCGACGATTAGCTGAAGAATGACTGTGAGCTCGAATAAAAGTTTATTAAACTGATTTATCTTACCCAGCGTATTAATGAAGGATGTATCACTTTTCTCCTGTGAGCTGACTGTCGCACTTACATCTGACTCTGCTGAGGAACGCTTCTTGCGGGTTCGCTTTTTACGCGTGGTCGAGCTTTTCTCGTGCTCTACATTTTCTTCTGCGTACAGAAGATGCGGCGAATTATCTTCAGCATTACTAGCTACAGTTCATTAGGACTTATGTCGAGACAACATTGCAATTCCAATACTCACCCGACGCATCTTGCAGGACATCGGGTAAATGGCTCTGTAACCCACCATCCCAAGGCGGAAGAGGACTTGCTGCTGAGCCGTTTGCAGAGACTAGTCTTTCTGGTAGAGAAGTATACTTCTTGACAGTCTTTGACGAACGGGATCGCCTTTTCGGCTTGCGCTGTTCTTCTGGTTGTAAGTCCGTGTTGAGACTCGAGTATGATCTTGTTAGGTATCCAACCTTCCCAGGGGAGAAAAGGGATGCATCTTTTGCGAGGACGACGCGTAGAATGTTTCTACGAGATATACTAATCATGAGATGACATGTCTGGTGCGCCACAAAGCAAGGTGAAAGAAATGGGAAAAAGCAAGAAAGTAGACGTAAGAATAGAGTTTGGCTTTTGTCGCGCCTTGCGAGGCGTGAGCTCTAACTTCCTAATGCGGCTACGGTAACTGGGAACGATGCGAACAGCAAGCGAGTCTTTGCGCGTCGTGCGTTTCCTTCTTGCCTCACTTCAGCCGCCTCCATCTCGCCATCCCCAGTCCGTTCATTGAAAATCTTCATCATGTCGTACGCAAGGCGCAGAGGAAACAAGGTCAAGAAGGGTGTCCAGTTCACCGTCATGGTCGTCGGTTGGTCTTTCATCACCCACGAATAATCCTCGCCTTTCCCTGATTTTTTCTTGCTTCTGGCGACGCGTTTCTAGGTGCATCTGGCACTGGACGTACTACCTTCGTCAATACACTCTGCGAGTCGGAGGTCCTGGCACACAAGATTGCCGACAACCCAGAGACTGCGCACATTGAGGAGGGCATACGTATCAAGCCAGTCAACGTTGGTTAGTGTTATTCGGTTGAAGTCCCAAGGTAACCGACGATTTCCTGGAAGCTTAAGACGAAAGATAGTTTCAACGAGGGTGGAGAAGAAGAATAGTGAGCTACATACGCAAACTCGTTGTCAATGTTGTCACCGAAGCCAGGTGTATCGACGATCGTCAAAGCAATGCGAACACCATCTTCTTCGAGTTCTACGGCCATTCTGCGCATTAGCACCGTGTGCGGTAACGTCAATATGACGATATTCTCGCAGAGGAGTCCAGGATCAAGCGTAATCCGCGATTCAGGGACAACCGTGTTCACGCTCTTTTGTACTTTATTCCACCCACTGGTCATTCGTGAGTTGTTTTTTATACGTTATATTCGAAGTATATCTGAAGCTTTTTGTCGCGAAAGTCTCCGCGAGATGGATATCGAACTCATGCGCCGTCTCTCGCCACGCGTCAATGTGATCCCAGTTATTGGGAAGGCTGATTCATTCACTCCGAGTGAGCTGCGAGGCTTCAAGAAAAGGGTCTGTGTCCTTTTTTGCTTCAATCAAATCTATCAGTAATGTTGACTACCAACTTAAGATTATGGAGGATATCGAGTATTATGATATTCCTATCTATAACTTCCCATACGATGTTGAAGAAGATGATGAGGAGACTATTGAGGATAACTCCGAACTTCGGTCACTCCTTCCTTTTGCCATCATTGGCTCCGAGGTTGAGACTGGCGACAGCGGGATTCGCGCCCGTGTCTACCCGTGGGGAGTGGCGGAAGTGGACAACCAGAAGCATTCTGACTTCAGCAAGCTCCGCAGTGCACTACTCAAGTAAGACGCTTTCATTAATCGCGAATCTCGGTGAACTAACGATCGGCGTTCATAGTACGCACCTAACGGATCTCAAATCTTTGACCCATGATGTTCTTTATGTATGCGCATTCATTTGTTTAATGATATGTAGATGATAATCATGGAATATTGCTAGGAAACATACCGTACCGAGAAGCTTTCTCGCACTGTCCATGCAGACTCGCAGTAAGTAGAACTCACATGATAAATGTACCAGTCTAATGCTATCGATTTTGCTAGTGACTCTTCCATTCTTCCTGAAGACCTAGCGTCGCAGAGCGTCAAGCTGAAGGAAGAACAGCTCCGCAGGGAGGAAGAGAAGGTCGGTATTTTACTTGAGAATTTCTCCGGTACCTGTTTAATCTGACACGTGTGATAGCTGCGCGAGATTGAAATGAAGGTTCAGCGTGAAATCAATGAGAAGCGACAGGAGCTGCTTGCCAAAGAGGAGTCTCTGAGGTACTCCTATTCCTCGGTTACCGAGAGAACGGTTACTAATCACGTTTTTTCTTGCATTTGTGCAGGAACCTCGAGAGTCGTCTTGCCGCACAAGGGTCGCAGGGGGAGTTCTGAAGGTTATTTTCCTGAAAAGGACGCTCTTTGTTTCGAGCGTTTACATTACACGTGGGATTGTGCCCACGCTAGCCATGCAGAAAACCGCTCGTTTCTATTGCTCCGTGATTGTGAACACTTGCTTCCTACCTACACAGTTGTGCATATTCTTCGGTAGTATCGCGTATACCCAGGCGATACCCAAGTTTTAGTTTTAGTTCTAGTTTGCTTTTCCTCTTGGCGCACAATTTGCACGGGTCCACTATTTTTAATGTTGAAACCGACTTCTCGTCGCTCGTTTATGCGTTTTCTTTAGTCTTGTCTTTGTTTGTCCGTGAATGCTGAATGGAGTGCTCTTTGCCCGATGGCTTTTTGTGTACGGAAGATGGGGACGCAGCTAGCGACGTCGCAACGTGGGGTCGTGGTATTTTTTTATCTTTGCTTGAGTGAAGGAAGGACGGATAAAATAGATGCTAGTCTATTCTGTTGCGAAGTTCTTTTCACATCAGAGACATGTTCGAATTCAGCAATTCGAAAGAAAGGAAAGGTGAATGACCTTCCCGATTGAGACAGTCGGCCGTCGCACCACGCTCCCTCTACGTATACACTAGCACTGCCAGGCCAGGCCAGTCAATCTCTTGCCTCTGCTGGGCTGTCCCTCCCTCGTCCCTGCACCTCCCGCGTGCCAGTCCCTCCTCTCCGTCACCCACACAGCTTCCGCTGCAATTTCTCCTCCTTTTCTCGTGTACTCGCCAGGTCCATTCCGAGCGCAGTCTGCCGGCGAAAGTGTGACATTGTTTGGTTGTCAATCACTCACCTGTCTGCGACAACTCTGCCCAGTCAGTCCGCGTCCGCCATTCACCCATTCTTCCCCGACAGTTGACGGTCTTTTCCTGCTATTTAGTTCCGCTGCGTCCTCCCCCGAGCTCAGACCCGCAGTTCTGCCAGCTCGAGGCCTTGCGTGAAAAGGGACGCCTGCCACTCTCGACGCGTTACAACGCCCAGCAGCTCGCCTGAGAAACATACTTTTACTTGTCCCCTGAAGCCCAGCGTGCATGACAGACTTTGAGACGCGTCCGCTGTCCGTGTATCGTAGCACAGAGTGGCATACTATGAACGGCCGTTCTTCCGAACCTGGTCCGTCGTCAAATCGCGCCGGACGCTCCAGCATCACAGGCAATTCGCTGAACTCCCGACGACGTTCTTCAGCTGCTTCCGCTCCTCCTGCTGGTCCCCCGCCCAATCTCCCTATTCCGAGTTTACCAGCTCTATCGGAAAGCAGGCTGCCGGAATTTGAAGAGGACGAATATGGTGCAGCTCACGAGCCGGACGATGCCTATGCCTCATTTGCTACCTCCGATGCACCTGTCTTTGACCTCAATCCATTTCAAAGACCTACTGCATCTTCTCAACTGGCTGCCGTTGTTCAAGGCGCACAAGCTCGACTAGCAACTGCTTCCATTCCGCCACATGCTCCTGCCCCTGCTAACTTATCAGACTCGCCTCCTCGTTCTGTACTTCCTCGGACCGCACCTTCCCAACCACCTCCGCCACCCCCATCTCATCCACCTCCCCAACCCCCATCGAGAGAGATCGTTCCAGATCGTCTTTTACTATCTCCTCCAGAACCTAGGGATAATAATGCGCCGAGTAGACCGTCGTCGCGACGCGCACTTACAAGAGCACTTGAGCTCGCGAGGGAGGCTGTCAGATTGGACTCGACGAATGATGACCCCCATGGAGCGATTAGGGCATATGGTGAAAGTGTAGCATTGTTGAACGAAGTAATGGAACGGGTTATGAGGGGTGAAGACAGCACAGAACGACGTAGAAATGGACGACGAAGGAGTGTCGTTGCTCAAGAAGAGGAGGTCCGACGGTTGAGGTCAATAGTACGTACAGTGGCCGTTTACTTTGCATTCCGGGAGGCACTGACATATTTCACGCAGCACGATACTTACGCAGACCGGATGAATATTCTGAGCTTAATCTACAGCATACCTACAAACGACCGACCTGCTGCGATCCTTGGGCGCTCTCGGCCTGAATCCCCTTCCTCAGAAACGTCGAGAGACTCTCAGCCAACTGTGGTTGATGACGCCGGTGACCATGACCGTCGTCTAGGCGGACGCGCGTACGGTTCTTCCCATCAGCCCGTTTCCTCCAGTGGTTCTCCACCTATGCCATCTTCCGTTCCTTTGGCATCATCCCACGGTGACAATGCTGAGAAGATCAATGGTTTACCAGTGGCGAATAATACATCAAACCGAGCGAGCGTATTGCATTCGTCGAAGCAGTCGCAAAATTTGTCGCGTTTGAGGTCGTCATCAAATCTACCTCCTCGGCCCCCCGTACCTTCGAATTCACCCCCGTCTACACCCTCTGCCACAGAATCGCGTTTCGGAAGTTCAGCTACCCCTCCTTCACCACGCCTAGCCCCACCGGTAACCGAGGGTGGAAGGTCTCGTGGAGGTTCTGTCAGCCACAGAAAAACTGGCTCCGGGAGTCGATTAGAAGTGCTCAAAGAGGAAGCTGCATCAACAAGTCAAAGATCACAGCAACTCTCTTACGATCATGATACCGACACCCGGCGGAGTCATACAAATGGTAGGCATCCAGAATCACCGCCTCTACCTGCATTGCCCTCTCCGTCCACCTCGGAACTTGGTTCCTCGGTGACGCCGCGCGGGACAGTAACTGCCGCCACCATCTATCATCAGAGTTCCGATAGCGGACCACCGACGTCCTATGCTTCTTCCTCACGTCCCCGAAATGGAAGCAGTATATCGGATTCGACAGGGTCCAGGTCGACACAGAGGTTAATAAACGAGACACCTGGAATGGGTACCATTTCGCAGAGGAGGGAAAAGAATAAATCGACATCTATTATTGGGGATATTTTGCCTGATGGTCGTAATCGGTCTTCTTCTTTCCCTGTCCGCCCTTTTGTACCTATATCAGGGCTACCTGTAGAGTCAGGAGTGAGGACTCCGTACCAAACTCCTGCACAAACTGCGAATCCACAACCTCGTAAGACCTCGTTACGGTTAAGTCCGCAGCCGTCGAGAATATCGCAGCACCCTTCCTTACCCACATCGACGTTCAACAACCATGGTCTTACACTTACTCTGGTTCCTCCGGCTCCAGTGTTACCTGGAACGTTACCGACAACGCCATCTTCACCTTTACCTCCAATGCCACCGAACGATGCTCTGAGACGACCTTATCACCTTATGAACCTGCTAGGACATACGATGACGTCGAAGTCCGGTGGGTATATCACTCGCAAATTACATGTACCATACGATGTATGGTCCCAAGGCGGTGCGAAGCTCGCGAATCTTCCGGAGAAGATTCGTGTTGTTGAAGTTTTATGCGACGCACTAATTGAGTTGCAAAATGCGAGTGCGGAATTTGCTGGGCCGATGAGCGTGGCGAGTGGCATGGGGATGGGTATTGGGAGTATTACCAGGAAGGATGGAGAGTTGTGGGCGCTTAAGCTTGAGGAGTTTTCTGTTGTGTGTGATAATGTTGTATCGAGTTTTGGGAAGAAGTTGAGTGTTGGAGAGGGGTTCGTAGTGAAGAAGAGTTCTGGGGTAAGTTCGCTTGTTTCCTCCGTCTTCTATATTCCGATATTGAATTAGATAAAATAGGTTGGTTCTTGGGGAGGCAAACTGACCCGTCAACTAGATAAGTTGACAAACGGGAAGAAGTAAGTTTATGCACCTTCTCACTGCCTGCAATCTTGACCGACTAAATGTTTTCTTTAATGCAGCCTCGACTCTCCGAACCTCTATGTTCAGGGTCTACAGAAGTTATTCACACTAACACAGCTTCTCGACGAACATACCATGGCACTTGATTCACAACCCATGGCTCCCGTCTACGCGGCACTCCCTCCCGACATACGAATAACGCTCGAATCAAAGTTGAAGCGATCGTCTGAGTTCTTTGCTGGTGTCGTGCTTACCTTCGTCATCCGGGATCTTTCACAGCTTCTTGATAAATACGCCAAGAAGGGTGAAAAGTGGCTAGCTGAATGAGTTGGTCCTCAGTTAGCTATCGTGCAGCCCCCGGCCCACGGAAGTGCAAATTCAATGTGACTCGAGCCCGTGGATATCTTCTTTGTTTGCTTCTTTGTCTTTATTGTACATTTGTTATTGACTTACGTAGGAGAAAACTTGTAGTACTACTATACCTCTTGGGCTAGCTAGAGAGAAAGCTTATCTGCATTTGAATTGTGGTTCTTTTCTGTTTTACTTTCTCTATTTCCCTTTCTCTCTCTTCTTTATTCCCCTTTTCTCTTTGTCTGTCTCTGTCTTCCCTATCTCTCTCATCACTCATGTTGCGTATACGTATTTCTCTTTTGTCTCATCACACCACAGTTTTATTTGTTTCATTTTTCTATTTTTCATTTCAAATTTTTCTTATTTGAGGATCTCTGGTATATGATTTAACAACAACTGTCATGAAGTAGTGTCCCAACCAAAAAAGTTAATCGAGAAGTAAGGAAGTAACGACATGGTATTGGTATTTTGGTATTAACACCGAGAACCACAAGAAACGGAAGAAATGGGTAAGTAGCATGAATGTCAGTCAACGTAAATGACAGGAGGACAGGTAGTGACACAATCCTAAAAAAAAACAAGGTGAAAAGCACACGCACATATACAACAACAGTCCAGAGGGATTTAAAGGTTAAGAATAACGAAAAAACATGAATCAATGGACCATTCAATTAAAAGGTGTCATTTCAATTAAGTTGTCAAGTCGCAGCTCGGTGTCGAGAAGAAGATCGTCGTCGGGGATTAACAACATCGTCATGAGATCGAACGTCTATAGTGGTCCGTAAGCCGTGGTATCGTGATAGGTCGTATGCTTCCGAGCGAGCAATGCCTGCGGAGTCATTTGGCAGCCATATTGTCGGTGCGGGAGCGATTAACTCGGAGGCGTAGAGAATCCCTGCCATCTCTTCGGCGTGGTCTGCGAAGGGAAGTGGAGGGAGGTGAGGTGGGGCGTCTGGGTGCGTGCGAGCTGCACGGTCGGTTGCGGTTAGGTCATCAAGTGATTCCGTTTCTGCTCCGTAATAAGACGTTTAGTTAACATTTAGAACGTTTCCCCCTTTAATAATGAGCAGAGACTTACCGATCGGAACAGCACCGCGGGCTTGATGTGGTGTAGGCATTACTGCCAAAGTCAAAGACATCATCTCAAGCACGGAAGCCAAAGATCCTCGGCTCCGCATTCGCGGAGCATTGACAAGAGCATTACTGCCTTCAGTTTCCGAAACGCTCTGCTTCCCAGCAGGTCTCGCTTGTCCCGCGAAGCGTTCAAGCGAATTCAGCGTTTTATCAGTCAACGACTTCCTGCCCGGCAGTCTCGTCTTCCAATAAGCATAAACTTCAACCGTCGCCATAGCTGCTACACCAACACCAATTAAAATTCCACCTTCTACAAACAACCGCCTCGTCAAAAATATGAGACCGAGGAGAATCGGTTGGAATGACGTGATAGACGCAAATCGCTTTAATAACCAGATCTGAAGAAGTCCTCCGGTCTGGGCATCTGTGCGACCATATACGTATCCGACCAAGAAGCGGTGTGCTGCCAATTATAGGATAAAATTAGGACCTAGCAACCAAAGCGGAGGCGAAATAATTGTCCTTACCGACGATCGTTAGCAGTAGCAACAGCACTACAGCTGGGCCGATGAAGGGGAAGATGAGTGCGAATGTCGAGGCGAGGATGATCGCAAGGATACAGCACGCTGTTGCGTATGTCGGATCATACGGTCTTGGATAAAGAGCTGCGGTACATCAGCAAGGGCGTTTGGTATATGTGATTATTGACTTACCTCGGAACCTCTGGCGAGGAGTAATGGCTTGCCGTTCTCTCCAGAGGACATTTTTCAACCTGAAAGGTTGAAGAAGCAGAAGTCCAGGTGCAACTATAGCGAAGTTGACGACCAGAGCAAGGAAGAAGGCGCTCATATAAATAGATCCGCTCGCAACGCTGCTCGGACGTGCGGACGAAGTCGCGAAGGCCCGCATAGCAAAAACGACCGCACCAACTGCAGTAAGCCACATAACTCCGATCACGCACAGAATGAAGAAGGTCGCTTTGTAGGTTGTCAGTCTTGCGGATGTTACGGAAATATCACCGCTGTACTGCGAAGCACCTGTTGTAGAGTAAGCCTGATGTAATCATCGAATTGTTGATGTCTTACGTTTAACTGCTTTAATTGCTGTGAAAAAGAACAAGGTTGCGAGGATCGCTGGAACGAGCGTAATCGCGATACCTGGGCCTATCTTCTCGCTAGCATTAATAAAGGGGCCGAAGAAAGGAAGATAATGCGCGACATTGGGCGCTGTAGAAACGGCGAGACCGGCCACACCAACCACTGGAGAAGAACCGGAAAATTATTGTGAGTTTATTTACATGTTTAGAAGAAAAAACACACTCACATCCCGCTCCTAACAAAACAGTCACCATCACCACGAATGACCAAAATGAAATCCTCTTCTCTGTCCGGCCCTCGTGTTGTAGTTCGTCCCATAAGATGTCGTCTTTTGAACGTCCTTCAATAAGCTCAATACCCGGCAAAAACCGCACCCCACGGCCAGTGATCAACCATCCTTTGATTCGTGCGCCGTCAGCGATGTCGTTGTAACAGTCGTTTTGAACTTCAGAGATCTCGGCATTGATCTGCTTCAACCTCGTGCGCAACTCACGAACATCCGAGTAAACCGCGCCGAGGAAATCGTGATCCAGGCCAGAGAGTGGACGGACAAAAGGTCCTTGAGATTGTAGACGTAGGTGAAGCGGCACTTGTCCTTCATTTTGCACCTCATTACCTGGAGTTCGCATTGCAAATGTCTCTCGCCGTTCTACGGGATATTTTGGTGGCACATGGCGAGCCCTTGAGGGAGTGACATCTTCGGCACCCGAGTCAGGTCCTGGGGAAGAGTCGTAGTGCATCACGGAATCGACAAGGACTGTGGAAGGAGAGCCATTGTCTGCTCTTGACACCCCACGCGACGTCTCGGGGCCTGCTGAATCGGTTAAAGGGACAGTTTCAACGTCTGCTTCGTTCCCCGACGATGGATCCATTCCATGTCTCGGTCCGTACGCATCCACTTGCTCTTGGGTCATGGGTTCGAGTTCACCCTGGTTCAGAGTGACACGACTACCAATAGGCAAAGGTTCTCCGCCATGTTCACTGCTGAATTCTTGGAACCGACTACCGACGATACGTGAACGGACACTATCACCGAACGAGGGTCCTTCGGTAAAGCTGTCATCTCCTGACTGAGAGTAGATGCGTCCTCCACTGATTCCGCGGATATTGCGAAGTTTGTAGTATTGAGAAGGGGCAACGAATGACGTCGGAGCGGTAGAAGATCCACTAGCCTTCCGGCGTCCTCGACGACTACGTGACCGCTTAAACCAGATCTGTCAGATCTATTCATCGTTGTGGAAAAATTATTACTCACCTGATAACCTGCAAGGGCCTTCGGTCTGCTAATACGTAACTTCGTGTTATTTTCGTCATCTGGAGGTAGTGGTAGTTCTGCCGACGATGGATCAGGGGTCATGAGCTTGAAGGACGCGATATAACGGGCTTCGGCCATCTCAAGCTGATCAAGAATTCGGTCGCGCTCTTGAATCAATGACGGAAGTATACCGGTGTCCCTAAACTTGAGTCTCAGCAAGGCCAAGAAAACAAGACAAAACCAAAAAAAAGTCTCAACTCACCCAACAGAAAACAAACTACGGATGTCAACCTCGAGTTCCTGCTTCTCGTCATCGTTCGAAGGTCTGTCGTTGCGTTCCCGGTTCCTCTGGCTGGTAGTTCGAGCTCGATACCCCGAACCGATTCCGACCATGTTTCCGCTCGCGCTTATTCCTCCACCGTTTTTATCGAGTGAAGAGCTGAGGCCTTCCTTCGTGATAAAATCCTTTATACGCTTTTCGCCCCAACCGACGAAACCCGGTGCCTTCTGAGCACTAAGCCAACCCATCTCTAAGCCCTCGCAGCGGACATCAAGCCAGTGCCTCCGATAATTGGCAAGCTTCGTAAACTCCTTCATGAGTTTTATCAACGCCGGAAGCATGGCAAGAACCAGCACGAAAACAGTCAGGATAATTAGACGGGTCCTGATGTTCGGATTAACGTCGACGCCGTTTACGAGCGCCCTAGACACAGCTCTACTTGAGGTAGAGATGTCATTATTCTCGAGAAGCTGTAACAAACGAAGGACACTAAGGTCCTGGAGCGTGGAATATAGTCCACCAAATGGTGTTTGAGGAAATGATTGTTCCAAACACGGAGTAGTCACGAGATATAGCGGAAGTGCACCCAACAGACCAAGAAGAGACCACCCAAGGGCAATAAGAAAACATATCCATAGTACACGCTGGCTAAGCTGGCCGTCAGATGGTAATTCTGCACCAGCGCCTGCTTTGGAAAGCTCGGATTTATCTGGAATAGAAGGTACAAAGGGTACATGTGGAAACAAAAATGCCCAGAGAGTATCTCTCAAGGGCTGTGATCGAAGCCTGTGTTAGAATGGGGTTGACGGAGATTAGTGAGTTCTTTGGGGGGGAGGGGGGGAAGGCGGGGAACTTGAGCTTGCTCACTCTTGCGGGGGAAACCACTCTCGGACGGCATACACCTGTCGGAAATGCGGTCGTAGAAGCGCAAAAATAAGCTGAAGGTATTGTGTCCGATAAGAACGCGGCAAGCAAAGTCCAGTGCTAATAAACACTCACCCAAATAATTAATCCTATTACACTTGGTAATACAAGAGTTGAGAGCAGCCCGACGGCCTGTATGTCCACGCCATCTCCAATACAGACAGGCTGACCTGCTACTACAGCAGACCCCGCATCTCCAACGGCAGTCTGCGAAACGAGGATTCCCGTGGAAGTCGTTATAGTCGTAGGAACGTTAGTCGTAATTGTAGTAGACGGAGACGTAATAGTAGAGGGTATAGATGTTATAATGGTGGTAGAAATAAACGAAGAAGAACCAGAAAGTCCAGTAATGAAGGACGTGGATGTCGCAGGTATAGTACCTGCGCCGGAGCTCGAGCCTGAGCCTGAGCCGGGTATCTGGGAGTCGGTGGTTAATCCTGACGAAGTCGACGGTTGTGAATCTGTGCCGGCATCCGTCGATGAGCGCGAAGACAAATGAGAAGACGAGGTAGCGCCATGTGTTTGAGATTGTGTGGGAAGTAAGGTTGAGCCATCACTGGTGGTCCACCATAGTCCATTAGTGCTAGTGTCGATGTCGCGTTGCGCATATTCGAGTGCTGCGAGGCTGTCCGGCATGTTGTGCCCGCTGCGTAGCCTTCGCACGGGCGGTCTGTGAGCGCTTGTTGTACAGATTGTCGAGATGGACGATGGCTGAGAAATCGAACAAGAAAGGTGGCCCAATACGCCGAGGCCAGTGTCGAAGCGTGAGGAAAATCGCCAATAAATTTATTGGATACTGGTTCCACCCACGTGTTAGTGTGACGTCTGCAATTGAGTCTATATTTGCGGGTATACGCGCTGCGATTCGATGGCAACCAGGCCAGCCCGTCGCGGGAGATCGTCAGTTTAGCATTAGTGAGAGTGAGAAAAGAGAGAGAGGGAAGGACGACGAGAACGACTAAGCACGAGTTATTAGTTGATGTAGGCGAGCAGCATCTGCTGCCGTCCCTGCACAGCACAGCATGTCAGTAGCGATCGACGCTTCAAACGAAGCAATGCATTGGATCGACGTCTCCAGATGACACATCTCCGTATTAAAATCATTACGCATTACGCTAGTCACATACTGTAGGAAGGGTACATTCAAAATACGAAATAAATGAACAACATAATGTGTAAGTAGCGTGATAATGCAGGCGTGAATAACATGTACTTGATACAAGGCAAGTCGTGCTGAAATTAAAAGCGACAAAAACACAGGCGTGATGAAACAAAACGTGAATGCAAAGAGAATGAGTGAATCGAAAGCGACTCTGCTACTCTCGCTCTACCGCTCACCAAGTACTGCTAGCGCTGCGTGCAACTCCTTGCGAGCCTGCTCGGCGTCTTCATACTCAAGCGCTGAAATCGCATAGCGACAATGTTTCTGCGCTTTAGCAATCAACGCAGGACTCAATTCAACAGGCGGGGACGGGTCTGGGGCGGGAGCCGTGTAACGAGTCGGGGGAGAAGGTGCTTTCTGCGTGTAGTTTGCAGTAACATAAGGGCTGGCCATCGTTTGTCCTGAAGTGACTGGTGGGAGTCCGGACACCGGAGCTCGAACTGGCGAGCCATTAGTCCTGCCGGTTCCGAGGGCAGCCGGGGAAGAGTATGTCGAAGTAGGTGTGTGATTAACCGCATTCGGCGGTTGAGGGTACGAAGGATACGTATGAGGACCGTTCGTGCTAGGTGGGGAAGTTCGGTTTGAAATACTGGATCGTCTATCCCTTCCATGACTATATGGTGATGGAGCTACTGGTGGTGGTGGAGGGGCTGAAGACTGCAACGAAAGTCGCCTGGAGCTAGGCGGCGAGCCACGGTTTGCTCCACCCGCACCTGGCGGGGAGCTTCCCGGCTTCACCAACGAGTTCACAGGCGGTGAGGAGCCTGATCGTGGTCTCCCAACAGGCGTATAGGCACCTTGAGGCGGTGACCCCTCGAGACTTGCACGAGATGACCCAGATGGAGATGAATCAGGCAAAGGCGCCATTGCGGGATCTATTCCCCTAAAACCAAAGCCACTTTGAGCCTGCGCTGCAGGCACGTAATCAGTCCGAGGAGGAACATTTATCGGAACATTTTGATTGAAGGTAGGCGAAGGAGGGGGTGAACCGTCCGTCGAGGACAGGCCACCGACTACAGAAGGAGAAAAATGAACCTTTCTGGAAAGTGTATCAGTAGGAGCTGTATCACGCCCTTGATTGCCTATATTTCCTTGGCTATTTGGTGGAAACGAAGTAGTCGATGTATCCACGTCAGCCTGGCCTTTCCACCTGTTGAGAGCACTCGTAAACGCCAGTCTAGTTGCCGATGACGGACCGACGGCTTCCGATCCAGGCGTTGCCACAGTACTCCAGGATCCAGAGCTCGAAATTTCAGCGCGTGGAACGTCAACGGGGCCAGGGAACTTGTTCAATGTGGGAGGTGTTTGTGGTGGAGGCACAATCTGCGAAGCGCTATCCGGTGATAGTGCAGCAGCCGGGGCGCCAACAGGAGAGCGATCTGCAGGAGTTCTGATACTTGGTGTATCAGCATTGGAAGAATTGCCGTCCAAAATGACCTCTGATTCATGCCCTGCGGGTCCGGGAGTAGGCTTACGACCCTCTCGGAAGGCTTTCGCAATGTCTGACGCCTTCCATTTTGCGTATCGTATCTTCTCATTATTCTGATTGGCAGTTAAGATTAGTGATCTGATATCAAGAAATTCCAAAGTGAAGACTGACGACTTCAGCGTTGTTAGTTTTTTCAAATACCCGCAAAAGCTCTAAGAAGTTGGCCGCGGCAAGGAATTTCTTTGCTGTTGAGCTTTGAGACAACATTAATGTAACTCACAGGAAATAGACGTCGTTTCAAGGCTTACCGAGACGCATCCCCTCTTCGATCTTCATTATCCGCTAAAGCAAAGACTTTGAGAGCAAAGTTCTCCACGTAAGCGGCACCAGCAGCTTCATGCTCAATAGCGTCATTTGCACCAAGGTCTTTCTTCATCTAGAAGAATAGTGAATGAACTTGATGAGCAGTACGACGAGAAACAACTCCACGTACCTCTTCGAGAAAGGTGATCAACGCAAACAAGTAATCTCGGGCACCAGTCTCGTGCGACTTCAGGTCCAGGCCGAGCTGAGCTGCATAGTATGTGCCTGTTACAGCGTTCTAGTTGTCAGCGGTACAAATCTGAGCTTCGACCAATGATGCACATACACCAATAGGCCATTACTGGATCCTTCGTCCTCAGCTCTTCTGCGCGTTGGATGTAAGATGAGATTGATCTGAGGCTTGCTGGAAGTGGTGGTAGCATATTCGATAGCTTAATTGAAGCCATCTCGTAGGGTGAAGGTAATAGTGGATTTGTTCCAAGTTGAACAGACGAACTGTGGCCGCAGTGTTTAGAATTTAGACGCGTTCGATGAGTAATGCTTACCTACGCGACGTGTACGAAAAGGGAAGAAAATCGATTGAAATAAAATAAGGAATGACTTCCAATAAAGGACGGGAGGACTGGAGAAACGTGCGGCTGGCGCACCCTTCTAAGGCTCTACGACTTTCGACAACACCAACGAGAGGTCTTTATAGTCCTCGGGCTAATTGAATAGCCCCACAAGAATCTATGTGAAGACTGCCACCTGTTCACTAGTTCTCTTTCTTTGCCATTCCGACCCACTCCTCGTTCTCGGCGGACATGCCTCCTACACGTGCATCCAATTTATAAACTGTTTATTGCATTCTTGAATAACGCAGAAAGAACAACGCAGCAGGTATGCTATCAGATCCGGTCAGTAACGCTGCGGAAATGGCACAAATCGTTCTGAATCTTGCACAGGTCGTCCTCATTATTTTGTATCCATGCCCGTTTCCGAGTGTTTCTCGAAAGCTCCGGCCGCGCTTATCCGCATCGATCGTGAGCACCACCCATATACTGATGAACAGATAAGCGTCTGATTTCAGCTTCCGTAGAGTTTCATCCTCAAAAAATCATCCTGACGCGTCGATGGTCCGTTGCTTTTGTGTAGTAAGAAGACCATGCGAATCAAGCTCGTTTGTCCTTTCGGAACAAAGGCTGATTAGCGCTGCCATTATGCATAGCCTTTTTTTTCTTCAGATGCCTCATGGAAGCAATGAAAAGTAACGATGTGAACTGCCCAGCAGGCGTTTATTCAATTCTAACAAATGGACCTTCAAGCAAGGACAATAAATATTGTGTTAAGATCTACAATGGAATCGGTAGCACAGGGTATGTGGAAACATAGGGGATGGCAGGTAAATATCTATAGCTACAAGCAGAGAATAGCAGATCCAGTGTAGCCGGCTATTGGAGGGCATAGGGGTTTGCCAGTGAACATATAACAGTTGTCACCATCCTTCCTCCGTGCAAAGGACCTTGGACATCGACTGAGCGTTGTAAATAATTATACGTGGACGGACGCGGTGCGAGAAAGGCAGGGCCTACGAAGTGTAGACCAAGACGGCGGTGGAAGCCGGTGGCGGCTGGAACAAGGTCGGTTCCAATGACATGCAATGGTTGTAAGGTTGTAAGGTAAGGAAGCCAACGTACGCATGGTTGCCAAATTCCGTAGCAGCAGCATAACGTCGCAGATCACTTTGATCTCTTCTCTGAATTCCTCATCGAAGACCGTTCCGCTTTGGCACGCGCTTGTGCCTGTTGCTCGACCTTCCGGCGTGACTCCGTCCAGAGACGCAGCGTATACTCGTGCAACGATCGTGAGTAGTCCGCGAGTGACTTATTTATGCTGGCTTCGCTGTGGACACCCGGCGAGTCGACCATAGTGGAATGGAGCATAGGGTAATGACGGACACAAGCTTAAGCGGACAGGAGGGCTTCAGGAAACAGAGCAAGCGGCAGAAGGGCCTGAAATAGGGCGCGATGACTAGTAGTATGGGTCACAGCTGACGAAGTGGGGTTGTACCCGAGTATGTGTCTGCGAGAATTTAAGAGATGAAAAATGTGCCGACAGGGCGGCGCCACTTGTGCACGTTCGGCTGACACTCCTGATGGCGGCACCTGGCACGGAGCATGTTTGGAGGTCAGAACCGACTGTTACCCCATTATCCTGTTTACTATATGACTTGCATATCTCTCTCGCCAAGGAAAAGAAAAATCTTCCCTTTAAGTACGCAAACGTGCATGATACGTAGATATCTACTCGATCTCCTCTCTTACTTATGAAAATGCGCGATGTCAGGAAATTTGAAAAGAGGGTACAAGTATTAATCATACCATGGTCGATAAATACGGCACATGATACTTCTTTTCCATTTAGCCTCTTGTTCATTTGTCAAAAGGAAGAGCTCGCACAGAATATTCGATCCTGTGCGAGGGAGGACGCATGAACAGAATGAATTGCTCAGGTGGTGCAAGCTCCACACCTCATCTCTACCCCAGTTTGAAAACCAGAGAGATCGGAAATGAATAATCGGAGCGGAAACCGTTTTTGTCTCCTATTCGACTTGAAGGCTTCTGACTTCTTACGGAATTGTGCTAAGATCGCCCATGCCGCAATTGAATTTTAAGGCCTCGGAGTGACGTAACTGAATAGTTATGGATCAATCATCTGTTATAAACCCTCGCAAGTATAGTCCCTAACAGAGAGAAAATACATATAACTCTATGTTCTCGATTTACCTAACTCCTCGAGCACCTTGACAAACGAGCCAGGATCAAGCAATTCGGTCCCGCCATATGTTACTCGCTTCCCACTACGATCCGCCCATTCCTCCAGGTTTCCATATTCCACGTAGCCGGCCCCACCCACAATAAATACAATACCCTCGTTGAGCTGCATTCGCCTGCTGCGACCGCTCGCTCCACCTGCTCCTCCTAGTCCATCAGTTGCGCCCCCAGCTCCAGATAACCCGAGGCCAGCATGTCGCGATGTTCGTGGATCGAGGAAGAGATAATCATCTGTTTCTTGCAAAGACTGAGTGGATGCGGAGGATGGATCCATGAGTGCTTCTGTTAGCCTGGTAATCGGGAGAAGCTTGTTCGCAGGGAGGAAATTTTTCACGCCAGATATCAGATTCTCAAGGCCCCCTTCCTTTAGTCTGTCGGTAAGCTATCGATTAGAGAAGGGTGGATCTGTTAGTCACGAGGTGCTAAGTTGCTCCTCAAGAAACCCACTTTATTGCCCAATGCACTGAACCCTCGGAACAGCTCCCCTGCTGGCTGACCACCAACAACGGGTGTCGCCGAACCGCCTAAAGCCCCCGGAACTGACATACGAGATATCTCCCGCGTGCGTCGCACGTATTCAAACGCAGAGACATCAGCTCCTGCAGCTTTCAGCTCTTTCTCTAGCTCTGCTGTATCTTCCTTCGAGATCGCATTGTCAGGTGCAGAAAGATAGAACACGATCACAAGGCGGAGTTTGTCTGCTGGTGTAGGTTTCCCTTCAGATTTAGGATGGCGAAGGAGCTCAAGGATAGCCTGTGTCGTCTGTAAGATGGAGATAAGCCATGCCAAATCCTACACACTAACGAAACATTCACCTGTTTCGTAATGGCTTCTTCTGTGCTGAATAGTTCGTCTAACCCGCGGTCTTTGATATGTTCCAACAAGGCGGTCGCAATGTTCATGTGTGTATCCAAGGTCGCTTTCCTGGCTGTGAGCTCAGGAAGCGCCGTGATCGCGGTCTTGAGATGCGTCGTATTTGCAGCTGGATCCCTGGATGAAAATCAGACCCGTGCTTCAGATATATTTCAACCACTCGTACAGTTGAGAAATATCATTCATATCAGTTACGCCGGTCGCTCGGGTAAGGTCTGCTGCATCTTGCTTGTAACGAGAGAGCTCTGCGTCAATATCCTCGGCAACCTGTGGGAATGGGCTGGCTGCATTTTTAGCCCAGAAGAAGTCTTTAGCATCCAAGTCATATGCCCTCTTCTGAGTTTGTGATTTTGTCGGCTCAATTGTGACTCGGTTGAGTTTCATATCTAAACAATCAGATACTAGGGCTTGATATGTCCAACCGTGCGAGACCATGGAGACAAGGTCCACATTCCTATCAAGTATTAGAAGAACTATAAACAGGATGTTAACGGAAGCTATATCGTGTAGCCTGATCACAGACTTACGAGGACGTTGAAGGGTAGATAATCCAGATGAGTCCTGGGAGAATAGTGATGTACCAGGCGTCGCAGAGTGGGAACGAGATGCAGTCAGTATTGCATCGCGGATCTTTGTCTCCAGCTTGCGAGCTATCATTTCTGCAGCATTCCCTTTTGGACACCGGATGTACGGAATGTGTCCTGTTCAGCATGTAGAGTACAATGAATGAAATGCACATGCCAGTATCATCTATCCTTACCTGCAGTAGCCACGACACTGAATAGCCCGTTAGCTATTCGCTCTGTTTCATCTTCGATTTCCTGATCCGACGACGACGGCGAGTTAAGCAGCAAGTATGAGGGTGATGCAGGCGAAGCGGCCGGGGTAGGAGTAGAGCTAGCAGGTTGTGCAGGCGAAATAGATGGAGGGAGCAAGGAGAATAAATTTGGAGAAGGGGAGATGAAAGAAAGGTATTGGTCTATGACCTAGAAGCGAATCAGATCTTCGCATGCTAGTTGCGCGCCATTAACATGATACAGACCTGGTCCACCAGTTCATTCGTACCATCCTTCGCAACAGCAGCTGCCAGCTCCTCAAGTAGCGCTCTCGGGAGAGGTTCAACGAAGTTCAAATGAAACGATTCGTACAGATTATTTTCCAGGTCTTCGGCGATGCGGCGCACATTAGCCAGTGTAGGAGAAATGAAATAGACAGCTGGTACATCTGGCAGAGCTGGGCGAGCAGAGTGAAGCTGCCTGTTGCAAAAGAAGATTCAGTATTGATTCGGTACTGGATGCCGATACAACACTTACACATGCAACGTCACTCCTACGTCGCGAAGGTCTTGGACCCGTAGAACGGTAGCAAGCACGTCTTTCGTCCTCTGGTCTAGGACAAGGACTTTCCAAACAGGTGGTCCGGTGGCAGCTGGGATTTTTATTTGTGAACTTGATTTGCCTGAACCTAATGCCGGTGACGCATCCGCCGAGCTCTCAGTCGGTTTGTTGAGATTTAGCAACTGTAATATGGCATCAGTCTGAGTCTGCTGCAGTGTCGGTGATGACGACGACTGTGGATGCATCTTTCTGTTAGTATTATATGTGAGTAGAGTCAAAATGCATGTGACGAACGTGTTTGAGTGCGGAAGACATAAGGACGGAGTCTATTCGACGCGTGGACGTGTCGTTTCGGTGTCCAGAACGTGGACTTCGACGCGTCTAACTCGCTATGAAATGCTGTGCTTCAGACCTTCTCAACGTTGAGCCCTCTGGCTCCTAAGTAACTTGACTAATCTCTTCACCCGTTTTATCATAGAACATTTCTCCTATAGATCTACCTCCTAATTTATTCATTGATTTGCAAGCTCCTACGAATACTGAGCGTACCAGTCTTGGACATTTCAATCCCCGTAGCGGCATATTTACAGTTATCGAGGATGTTGCAAAACCCGAAGGAAGCGCTTGCTGATTCCGCTCTCACCTTGAATGCTCCTGCCCAACCCATGGCTTCTAGTCCTCGTGCGCCTTACGCCAATGTGTTATGTGAAGGCTGGCTGCTCAAGAAGCGTAGAAAGAAGTTGCAAGGTTAGTTTCGCCACTCCGATATTTCATACCCTCTCATTGTCTATTCGTTCTTAGGATATGCCAGACGATACTTTGTCTTGAGTTCAAGTGGCGTTCTTAGCTATTCTTTCGAACCAGGTTCCATTACCCGGGACCAAATATCCGTTCCCAGCGCAGCCATTTCCTCCAGCCCTAGGAGAAGAGACATTCATGTCGACTCTTCTAGAGTAACATTCCACATGAAATGTCTAAACAAAGACGACTTTGACTTGTGGATGGGAGCACTTAGGTAGGAGTTTTGGTGCTATCCAAATTTATATGTCTGACACTTTAGCTACCATAGAAAATTCACTCCCACTGGCAGCGAGATGGAAAAGGTCCTGACGAGGCGGTCATTATCCAGGGGGATCAGCCTCGGGCATCAGACTGGAAAGTTCCAGCATGCAACTATTGTCCTAGATGAAATGGGCAGAGTGAGCTTTTCTTCAGAGTATGTCTGATGATTATTACTGACTGTCTTCCTTTTCAGACTATTGACGATATATCGAGGAAATGTTATCCAACTGAAGAAGATGAACAAGGGAGCGTGAAGAGCTCGGACAAGGGTCGAACATCGAATGTCAGACCTAAGGAAGACAAAGCCCATCCGCTCCTATCGATATTCAAGAAGCGTACGTATCGCAATACCTACTCAAAATCCGATGCTAACGATAGACTATATAAATAGCTGGGAACTCATCTACAGGAAGCCGTAGTAAACCAAGTTCTGCTAGGGATGGACTGCCAAGTAGTGTGTCGAGCACGCATATTCCGGAGGAACTAGCACCCCTCTTATCGAGACTGCGCGAGCAGCACGGCGTCCTTTCGGATCTGTTGCAGGGCATGTCACCTGTTCTAGTACACCGTAGGATGCCGTTCCAAGAGACTATAAACGAGGAAGGTGCACCGACTCCTGGGGCAAGGAATGCATCGTCCTGGTCCTCATATAGGTCATCTATGTCCACAGTGACCGACAGTGGCAGCGTTTTCTTTGATGCACTAGACGCTGATGAATTTGGCGCGGAGGAATACGTAGTACAAGAGGACCAAGTGGAAGAGGAGCGAGACAGTGCAAAGGGGGCCCCGTCAATGGACACAAAGAGTTCAGTACAGGAATATGAAGACGAGTGTACTGACGTGCAGGCTGAAGACGACACACCATATGAATCGCCCGGCTTGCTGATTGACAGGAGAACAAGGTTACCCGCGAGACCGCCTACCGACGAAGGGAGCTTGTTCACTATTCTCAAGAAGAATGTGGGACAGGTCCGGACGTTCATGTTCCCTTTATTACGCACCCTTATTAACTATGGTTGACAGGATCTCTCGAATATAAGCTTCCCCTGCTCCTTCAATGAACCTCTTACCCTGCTCGAGCGGACTGCAGAAGAGCTTGAATATTACGAGTTATTGAATAACGCCGCTTCGACTTCAGATTGGGTCGAGCGTATTTGTTATGTTGCGGCATTTGCTGTCTCTGGATATGCATGTACCCGGTTCAGATCAGGTCGCAAAGGATTGTCAGTACCAGGAAACCCTGTTCTATTCTTTACTAATGACATGTGAACCAGTACACCACTTCTCGGTGAGACCTTCGAGGAGGCAAGGTTCAATTTCGTGTAAGGTTCCTGTGATTAAGTTGGCTCGCGATGCTGATATTGAACGTCCCCATCAGCGCGGAAAAAGTTGTGCACAAACCCCTGGTCATCGCCTATCATGCGGACGGGCAGGGATGGGAGTTAAATGCTACGTCGTCTGGGAAAACTAAGTTTTGGGGTATGCTACCACCATATCTAGTATTTACTCTGTATGAACTTGCTGGCATTTTAGGGAAAAGCTTCGAGATTATACCCACCGGTATCACTAAACTGCGGATTGGAGCAGATACCTTTGAATGGTCAGTGATAAGACTGGTCGCGTGATAAGTCATACTAATGAATGGGCCAGGAACAAGCCATCCTCATTCACTCGAAATCTAATGATGGGTACTAAGTATCTTGAACACTGTGGGGAGATGATCATCAAGAACACCACTACAGGCGCGCAATGCAAACTTGATTTCAAAGAAACAGGCTATTGGGCTTCCACTCCAAATGTCGTGACAGGCATCGTATACTCACCAGATGGTAAAAGTGTGAGTAGGCTTGAAGGAAAATGGGATGAACAGCTTGCCCAAAAGCTCGATTCTCAGCATCTGAAAGTGCTATGGCGCGTGACACCTTTTCCCAGGGATGCGACGGTGTACTATGGATTCACATATTTCGGCATTTCTCTCAACGAAATAACTCCTGACATCAAGGACAAGCTCCCCTGCACAGACTCACGCTTCCGACCAGACGTAAGATCTCTGGAGGAAGGAGACATAGATGGCGCCGAGCGGGAGAAGAGCAGAGTTGAACAGCTGCAGCGCGAGCGCAGGCAAAGAGGACAGGATCCGAAGCCCCGCTGGTTCCGGCAGATTGACGGCTCCGAAGAATGGGTTTATGGTGGCGGTTATTGGGAAGCGCGTCGTGCCGGATGGAAAGACATGGATATAAAGCCACTTTGGTGATAATGACGTGGTAAGAAATAGAAAATAGCTATCGAAGGACATGGATCGTCGCAGTGCTATAAATGGCAAAAGAACATAGAAACACTCTTTGCATCACTAACCACCCATACATTTGCGTTTTAGACTGTGCGAAGTGCACCATCTAGGAACACGTTGATTCTAAAATTGATCAAGTTAAAACACTCCAATTGACATCTGCTCTGCGTGTTTTTAGTGCCACTCGTTGTTTGCAAGCCATACACCATGTTTCATGCCTGTCGCATGTCTGGACCAATTTCGACTAATGGAATATTTACCTTATCAGGCTGTACCTTGCACTGACAATCCCACGCGTGTATAACTCCGTCTTCTCGTCGTTTCATCTCCCAGCGAGTGCTCCTTATTTGATCTTCATTTATCGGCAAGATACGTAGTCCGTCTCAAAAGAGATATCTCTGTCTTGGTCTGTTTCTTCTGATCCGATATGCCCGTTGTCTTCATCGTAGAAACTTGCGCACTTGTGGCTGAGTCTGTCGACAATGCTTCTTTAACGGCTACTTTTTCCTCGTGATATACACGACACCATATGCATAAATGTCCAAGCAGGCCGGACCCGAATTGCAAGCTTGGACTTTTTTCCCTTCCTCCTCGTCCTTTTCTCTGCGATGAGAGCTGCCACTCTTTTATCCCTTGTCTCCTGCATACCGTTCGTTTATACACAAGGTCAGAGGTGCATGAAGCATGAAGCTGTTCGGGTGCTCACGCACCTGCAGGTTCTTCATCAGGAGTTTCCTCAACGGCATCCACTGCAATCGCGCAACCAAGTGAGAGCCTGTCCCAAGAGTCGGTTACCCTTGCAGAATCTATGATATTTACACTGTCTGGATGACTTCAGCTGCGAACATTTCCCCCGACTGGCTTGCAGCCATCTCCAAGGCGAAGAATGCTGTCAAGAATCTGACACTCTCGGACAAAGTCAACCTTGGGACTGGTCAGTCTAGATAGTTTTTTATGTCCTGATTTCTCCTGACATGCATGGAAGGCGTTGGTCTGCTTAAGGGTGATACAACATGTGGCATTCATCTGTGGAAGTTTCTTAGAAGTGCATATAGGTCCGTGCATTGGAAACACGCCGGCTATCTCGAAGATAGATTATCCGGGACTTTGCCTCGAGGGTAAATTATTCGGATTACTTCTCTAAGACGGCAAATTCAATAAGCTCTGATGCACAGACTCTCCACTTGGTGTGCGCTCTACGGACAAGGTATCTGCATTTCCAGCGTGAGTGTCCAATGTCTCTGGAGGTTCAGAAAAGGCTGGAGTACATTTTAGAGGAATAAATGCAGCAGCAACGTAAGTACCTGTATTGTTTATAATTGGCTACGGGACTGACCTATAACTACGTGCCACAATAGCTTCAATAGAGACCTAATATACAAGCGTGGTGCAGCAATTGGAGCGGAGCATAAGGGCAAAGGTGTCAATGTTGCTCTTGGACCAATGATGTGAGTACACGCACGTCACAATTACGACTAGTAATTGATGTAAAAACAAGGAACATCATGCGTGCACCTGTAAGCGGAAGCATTCTAGGCATAACTACACAAACAAACTAAGAACCTTATCAAGGCTGCGGGAAGGAACTGGGAAGGCTTCGGAGGAGATCCTTATCTTTCCGGTGAAGCTGCTTATGAAACAATCCGAGGCACCCAATCTATCGGCGTACAAGCTTGTGCGAAGCACTTTATTAACAAGTATGGCTTTCTTTGTCTGTGTCTCGTGCACAAAGAGATAATGCTTCTACGTATATAGCGAACAAGAGCATTCTCGAGAACAGGCTTCTTCCAATGTTGACGACAGGTACGCACGAGATAGCTTTCTATAGTTTTGGACTTTGACCCAACCTGATTTCTTGTCAGAACGGTAAGGCTTTCATCGGATTGAGCTCATGTTGTGCCTTAAGGCTTATGCGATGCTCATTGTGTTAAGCAACATGAGATTTATGGACTTCCGGTAAGACGGAATTCTAGTACATGTATTGTAAACCTTCGCCTAATGACATTCCTAGTTCCTTCGAAGTGTACAAGCTGGTGTAGCATCATTCATGTGTAGCTACAGTAAGAGTGATTCTCCGCTTCAAGAGGGCCAAAATACTAATTTGAAATCAATCATCGGACCTGACAGACAGAAGTGGGTTCTTAATTTGGGTCAAGTGTTTTCTTATGTTAATCGTAGGATAATACAGTTAATGGTACATACGCATGCGAGAATGACAAAATGCTCAATGGTGTCTTGAAAGGCGAATTTGGTTTCCCTGGATGTAGGTAAACGTATTGATCTGTCATGACTCGTAAACTGATACGGTTATTTTCTTAAAGATGTTATGTCAGGTGAACTGGAATGTCTATCGAAGAGGGCTCACACTTTATTGAAATGTTGAAATACAGACTGGTTAGCGACCCATTCGACTTTATCTGTAAATGCAGGTTTGGACGTTAGTAAAAATTCATGCTCTGCTCCTCAATTCAACTGCTAATGTATCTCCATAGATGACTATGCCGGGAGATATCATCCCGGTCTTGGGAGGAAGGTTCGTAGTTCGCGATAACATTCACCCTACAGACTGTTGACGAAGTTAATACCGTAGTTATTTCGGCCTTGCGTTAGAAATTGCCGTTCAGTTGGGTCAAGTATCGGAAGAACGAATCGATGTAAGTAGACATTTCGGCGAACTTTGTATCCTGCTCAAATTTTATCTACTCCAGGATCTTGCAACCCGTGTCCTTGCAGGATGGTACTTACTTGGCCAAGATTCGCCTGACTATCCTGCGGTTAACTTCAATGCATGGATTCGCTTCCTTGGACAAGAAATAGACGTCCAAGATGGGCATGGAAGGTAAGAGCATTCGACCGGATATAAACTTAGGCTGTGTCTAATGTCTAGCAGTCTCATTCGTGAGATTGGGGGTGCTTCCACTGTCTTGCTGAAGAATAATGGGAAAGTACTGCCTTTGCATTCACCTTCCACCATTGCGGTTATTGGAAGCGGTGCAGGTAATTCCTCTAAAGGGCCTAACGGGTGAGTGTATTGGAAACTACATGTGAATTGGCAGGGTGCTAATGCTTGAGTTTCTTGATAGTTACAGCGACCGAGGTGGAAATGATGGAGTACTGGCAATGGGCTGGGGCAGCGGGTCAGCTCGAATTTGCATTGTGTCATTCTATATTCTTACTTTATTGTAGGACCTGCGATTTCCCGTATCTCGTGGCGGTGTGTCCAATCCTTCTGAAGTACAGAATCTTGACTGAAATAAAGTTTTGTAGCCCCTGGATGCAATCACTGGTCGTGCTTCAGCGGACGGAACAACGATTTCCTCGTCTTTATCTGATACCGATACAGATAAGGCGAAAAGTGTGGCGTCGGGAAAGGACGTCGCATTCGTCTTCATTACCGCAGACAGTGGAGAGGCCTATATCACTGTCGAAGGTAATTTCTGATATTTTGGTATAAATTCAGCGTCGACTAACGTCGTTTGAAAACACAAGGAAATGAGGGAGATCGGAATGATTTATTCGCTTGGCATGAAGGAGTACGTAGAAATAGTAATAGGAGACAATTCGGTTTGCTGACTAGCATACATTCATTCAGGACGCTCTAGTCCAAGCAGTCTCTTCCGTCAACAACAACACCATTGTTGTCGTCAATAGTGTTGGTCCGATTATCACAGAGGCCTGGGTTACCAACGAGAATGGTGTGAATCAATATCACTTAGTAGTTTCAAGCTTCTAACCTTGCACGCTTTCAAAGTTACTGCCATAGTAAGCAATACGCTGAGTATTCATCTTAATGATGTTTATATTTTTCGCCTCTTAGGTATGGGCTGGACTTCCTGGGCAAGAAGCAGGTAAGTGTATTACCTTGAATTCAGCTCAGGCCTAAACTCATGAGGTTCAATTAGGCAATGCTCTTGTAGATGTTCTTTATGGAGCAGTAAACCCGAGCGGCAGACTTCCATACACTATTGCAAAGAATGCTAGTGACTACTCTGCTCAAGTGATCTACAAGGACAACACCGAAATTCAAATCGACTACTCGGAAGGCATATTCGTTGACTATCGGCATTTTGATCAGGTAAGCGCGACTTTTTACTTCGATTTGGACACGCTGAGACTGTTGCAAAGGCTGGCATTGAGCCTCGCTTTGAGTTTGGTTACGGGCTATCGTATACGACTTTTGACTACTCGAACCTGAAGATTAGTGGATCTACTGCCGGTGGAAGTCGACAGCCCAATGGCAATGGTCAGTCTCTAGATCCCTGGTAAGTCAATAAACCTTGCGGTCGTCTATCATCACTCAACCAAGGTAAAGGCTACATGAGAAGGTGATCAACGTATCATTCGCCATTAAGAACAATGGTAGCGTGGACGGTACAGAGGTAGTTCCGTCTCTTTGTTCATGCGAGGCTCTGCTGACTACTTCCGACAGATACCCCAACTGTACACCTCACCACCAGCCTCAGCCAAGTCTGCACCAATGAACCTAAAGGGATTTGACAACGTTCAGCTTGCTGCAGGTGAATCGAAGACAATTACATTGCAACTTTCCCGCTTCGATCTGTCCGTGTGGAATGTCGAAACGCAGCGTTATGAGCTACACGAAGGCGAAACGGGCATTTCAGTGGGGGCGAGCAGCAGGGACATCCGGCTGCGCGGCTCTATCAATGTTTGATCAACACGGTCGAAGAGGCGTCATCACTTTAATAGCAATTCAAAAAATTATTGAGGCAAACTTTCCTTACTTACAACATTTGGACTCTCATTTTTGTCTCCGCCTTACGCTCTTTCTGTCGTTACGTTCTTTTTGCTATTTTCATGTACATAGTTAGTTCTTGCTGCCGCCACAGCGATTCGTATGTTTTCTCAGTGAAGAATTCGATTTGAATCAGTTTTAAAAATATTTAGCACGTTTTCGTTTTTGCGTGCTTCACTGCTTGTTCAAGTTGTTCAGTTGAGATCCCGAAAAAAGTCAGTGATCGACGCATGATCGGCGCTTCATTGGTCTCAGTCGCGTTTCTCTTGCACTACAGCAAGCACTTCACGTCATGGCCCTCCCAAACGCGCTATCAAGGCTCATAGGTACGCAAGGCTCCGGAATCGTTGAAATGATAACTGAGAAGTTTCTATAAAGTACCTGTCGTCGCGGGTGCGATTGTTTTGCAGTCAAGTATTTACGATGTTCCAGGAGGCTACCGTGCTGTCATGTTCGACCGTTTCGCTGGTGTGAAACCTCAAGTGAGTGCAAATTGCGTAGATATTAAAAAGCCTTTCTAATCTGATTTACTCGAGGCGTCATCTGAGGGGACACATTTCCTGGTTCCTGGGCTCCAGCGGGCCATTCTTTATGACGTGAGGATTAAGCCTCGGGTACGTTGCTTCATAGCTAATTGGCGAGACGAAGCTGATTTCATTTTTTATTGCTGCCATATACAGAATATCTCTACGACTACTGGCTCAAAAGACCTGCAAATGGTTACCTTGACTCTGCGAGTGCTGTCAAGACCGGACGTAGACCACCTATCGAAGATCTACCAGAGCCTTGGCTTGGACTATGACGAACGTGTGCTGCCCTCCATCGGAAACGAAGTGCTAAAGAGTATTGTCGCACAGTTTGATGCTGCGGAACTGATTACACAGCGAGAAGTTGTGTCGTCGCGAATCCGGGAGGACCTGCTTGCGCGGGCAAAGGAATTCAATATCAAGCTGGAAGACGTGTCAATCACGCACTTGACGTTCGGAAAGGAGTTCACACAGGCTGTGGAGGCGAAGCAGATTGCACAACAGGATGCTGAGCGTGCGAAGTTCATTGTCGAGAAGGCAGAACAAGAACGTCAGGCTGCGGTCATCCGTGCGGAAGGCGAAGCGGAGGGCGCTGCGGTGATTTCTCAGGCACTGAACAAGGTTGGGGAGGCCTTTGTTGCGTTCAAAAAGATTGAGACGTCAAAGGCGATTGCGACTGCGCTTGTGCAGAACCCGAATGTGACGTATATTCCGTCTGGGGGAGGAAATATTCTGCTGAATGTGCCAACGCGAAAGTAGACTGCGCGATAATTATGTGGTAGTTAGTCATAAGAGCGCATTACATAATTTTGTCGTGGGAATGTTGATAAGTCCCTCCACGGCGTATCGCCCGGTGTTCAGAGCGAGCGTCAGTCAGTCAGTCAGTCGAGTTACAGGTTCAGTGCCCCGTTTCTCCAATCTCTCTCCGTCTGAATCGTCTCTTCTTTTCTCTTTGTTTCTCTCCTCTCCTCTCTCTGGACTTTTTCTCTCACTCTCCGCTCCAGGTCTCCTCTCTCCGCTCTCTCTGTCTCTTGTAATCGCACTCATCATCTCTCCTGCAATTTTCATCGGCTCACGGCATCTTCTCCAGCTCTCGTCTTCTGTCCACGCTAAATCATGAATACCTTAATGGCTGGTCCGGGCACTGCTGAGGCTCCGGTGCGTCATCCTTGCCTCCCCTCCGAGGGCCTTCCAGGTCAATTACGAGTATCGCTTGCTAACCGACACGTTTGCTTTTCTAGAGACGTGCTCATCTTTACGTCGGAAACCTCAGCCCCCGTGTCACGGAGTATATGCTCACGGAAATCTTTGCTGTCGCTGGCCCTGTTCAGCACGTAAAAATCATCCCCGACCGTAACTATCAGCATGGTGGTCTCAACTATGGCTTTGTCGAGTACATGGACATGCGTGCCGCCGAGACTGCCCTCCAGACGCTCAACGGCAGAAAAATATTCGACACCGAAATCAGAGTCAACTGGGCTTATCAGGGCTCGACGGCCAAGGAGGACACCTCCGGCCACTTCCACGTCTTCGTTGGCGACCTCTCCCCAGAGGTCAATGATGCCGTCCTCGCCAAGGCATTTTCCGCCTTCGGCACCCTTTCCGATGCTAGAGTCATGTGGGATATGAACTCTGGCAAGTCCCGCGGCTATGGTTTCCTTGCCTTCCGCGATAAAACGGACGCTGAGCAGGCCATCGCGACGATGAATGGCGAATGGCTAGGCTCGCGCGCCATCCGTGTCAACTGGGCGAACCAGAAGACTCAGGGTGCCCCTGCTCCGCGCCCTACCGGAGCTGGCGGTGCCCCAGCGCCCATTAACTTCCAGGGTGGTCCCCTTTCGTACGAGACAGTCGTCCAACAGACTCCGGCCTACAACACGACGGTCTACGTCGGGAATCTCGTACCTTATTGCACGCAGGCCGACTTGATTCCACTCTTCCAATCCATCGGCTATCTGTCAGAGATCCGCATGCAGGCAGACCGCGGTTTCGCTTTTGTCAAGCTAGATACGCACGAAAATGCTGCCATGGCCATTGTTCAGTTGCAGGGCCAAATGGTGCACGGACGACCGATCAAGTGCAGCTGGGGTAAAGATCGTGCCGACGGTGGAACCGTACAGCCTGCAGCCGCTATCAGCCCGAACCCCGCAGCGGCTCCTTATGGCAACGTGGTGAGTCTCCTTGTAGATTTCTAATAATGTTCAGTCAGAGTAATGTGTCTCCAAGGACATGCAGTCTGCTCCTTATGGTATGCCTCAAGCGAATACCTATGGTCAATATGGCTTCCCCGGATATCCTGGCTTTGGTGCCGCGGGTGCTACAGGCGCAGCGCCAGGTATGCCTTCTCCAGCAGCTGGTGCCGCTGCTGGCACTGCTGCAGGGGCTACCGCTGCTCCAGGAACTGATGCCAACGCTGCTGCACAAGGAGCGCAAGCGCAGTGGGGTAGCAACCCTAGTCAGTACTACAACTATTGGGGTGGTTCGTCGAGACGTTCTTACCTGTTTTAAGATTCATCACTGACTTACACTGCAGGTTACTATGGACAACCTGCTGCGGCTGGCCAAGCTGACACTAACCAGGCTTCCTGAATTGATTTGTTATTTTTGATTGTAGCATTCATCAACCCACAATCATTTTCTGCTGAAATTCCCGACAAGATGTAGTCCTGAGAATTGTTCTGTCTTTGTCTCAAAAATTTCTTTTCTTTTTTCCCTCGCTTTATTCCTTATTTTCCTTCAACACATTGGCTCCCAAAGTTATCGAGCACATCAGTCTGTATTGGTGTCAGCCATAAAGTACCATGAGTCTATACTCTTTGACGTTTACTTTTTCTTCTATTATTTTTCCCTCGTCTTTTCAACTTCATAAGTATTACTCCGTCTTCATGCTTCTCCCCTCCATTATGTCTTCCTTTATCAAGAAGGATGTTCCAATAAAAGTGATGTAGTTCTTGCATTGGACAGGACAACAATGAATTAAAGCCACTTAAGTATTACTCCGAAAGCCCTTACTGCAAAGAAACCTATATCTACATGGAACGAAAGGATAACGAATTATAGAACGGCGATCAGGATATATATATATGAACTATAATAAGGGTATAACGAGAAGAGCCGGCCGAAACGCATTCTACTCGCCTGGCAGACTCTTCTCATCCCCAATCTCTAGCCATTCGGACTCAGACTCGTTGCGGGATTCGATGGAGACTTGGTCCCATTCTTCGTCTGCACCGATTTCCTGTCGCCGTTCGCAGCCCCGTTTCCCGACTCGCCGTAATCGTCACCACTTACAGAGCTCGTTGGAGCCGAGTTCTTTTCTCGCCAGTTGAGCACGTTTTGATGTCGCGAACGCATATCCTCATAGAAGTCGTTGGCTTCGTTCATCTTGTTTACTTCTGTTTGCTTTGCGTCTAGCCACCGTTGGAGGAGCTTCGCGTTGTCTCGCGATAATATGCCGTTGCGTTCTTCAATCTGTCCGAGCTCAAGCTGCAGGGTGCTGATCTCGTCATGTAATATCTAGGATGTACGTGCATAATCAGAATGGATATTCGAAATAAAATGTATCTAAAGATAATACTTGCCTGTGCGGTCCTATCCTTCTCGGCCATCAACTCGTTATGTTGCTCGACTTTTCTTCGTAGCACGGAGATTTCTTCCCTAGCTCGTCGTAAGTTCTCTGACTCGCCACGAGCCTGTTCCTCCTTTTCCCGAAGGGTCTCTGTCATCGCGAGTAATCGCTGAGCATTCTGGCCTTGTGTCTTGTACACTGTCGCCAGTTCATCCCGTAACGTAGATATCTGTTGCTCTAGCGATGTAACATACGCTGCGCGTACAGGATTACTGTGAAGAGTTTAAATTTCGAAAAAAAGTCGACATGAGCAAAAAGAAGCTCCTGAATATGCTTCTCTGGTCACGTACTCGTCTGCACCTGGGACAAATACAGTCGAGGAATTGGGATTCGAGCGAACGGAACCGACTGCTTTAAGCAGAGACGCGTTACGCTCCTTTAGCAGCTTCGTCTGCTGTGCCAATCGGCGGTCTAGGAAGGTGAGGATAAGCAACGTGTTTCGCGTGTGACGAGGAGAGGGCTGAAATTGACATACACTGTTCGATAATAGGCGCATATGCAGCGTCTTTGTTGTTCCGCTCGACTAGTCGCTGTCGGAGGATTTCTTGCCATGAAGCTTCTACCATCGCACGCGTCGTCGCGATCGCGGTAGAAATGAGAAATGACAGAGTAGGGCGTTGTGGAAGAGAGCGTGCGACAGACAGACAACTGGGCCAGATAGACTGGATGGTGGACTGCCAAATTGGGGAGGAATACGTAAGCTGATTGTCCACTCTTGGAAGGCACTCGTCACTCGCGCTGGTCTAGCACCTCCTCTCTACCGTAACGTTGCTCTCTCCCGTCCCTCTGCTGTCTCTGCTGTCCTCACTCGCCCCAGCTGCTTCCTGCCCATTCCACGTATACCTCTAATATTAAGCAATAATGGGCCGCGTTCTCCTCAAAGTCTGCTTTCCTGCTTTTGTCTTGCATTGCTAAGCACTGATACCTCTTCGTCTCTAGGTCATCATTCTGGGTGACAGTGGGTGAGTGACTCATGCCATCTCATCTTCTTTGATTCTCAATCCTAACGTATGTTTATGACAGGGTCGGTAAGACGTCACTCATGAACCAGTATGTGAACAAGCGGTTTAGCAACCAGTATAAGGCTACTATCGGCGCAGACTTGTAAGTTACCGGATTTGCCTTCAACCGAGGTCGTCCCGCTCATGATTATGTGTCACACCAGCCTAACAAAGGAGGTGATGGTCGACGACCGACTAGTAACAATGCAGGTTAATACTACCTCTTCTATAAAACATGGTTTCTTTGATGTTAACTGAAACCGTTACCAACTTAGTTGTGGGATACCGCAGGACAAGAGCGTTTCCAGTCACTCGGTGTCGCATTCTACCGAGGCGCAGACTGCTGTGTACTCGTGTATGACGTGAACAGCTCCAAGTCTTTCGAGACGCTCGACAGCTGGCGGGATGAGTTCCTCATTCAGGCGAGCCCTCATGACCCAGAGAACTTCCCCTTTGTCGTGCTTGGGAATAAGATTGATGTGGAGGAGAACAAGCGCCAGGTCTGTGTGCTACCTAGTTAACGTTAAAATGACATATAATTGAGACATTATTTAGGTGACGCAAAAGCGTGCAATGACGTGGTGCCAGTCAAAGGGCAATATCCCTTATTTCGAGACGTCGGCAAAGGAGGCTATCAACGTCGAGCAGGCCTTCCAGACTGTGGCGAAGAATGCCTTACAGCAGGAGGCTGAGGTTGAGTTGTACGTATTCATCTTCATTCAATATGACCCTCGCATTAAGCTTGTGTATTCAGGTATGCCGACTACCCTGACCCAATCAAGATCGACTCGGAGACATCGCAGAACTACGGATGCAACTGCTGATTCTCTATACCATTTTGATAGTCGCTGTTGTCGTCTTCGTACATCTTGTCTCTCTTTATCAAGCGAACTCGCCTTGTTCACGCCGTATACACACTGTTACGTCCCACGTTGTTTATATCGTCACGTCCTTCACCCACTTTCCACGTCATTTTTCCACATTTCGTCCTGTGCCCATGCTTTATAATTACGAGTTGCATTAAGTTACTCATGACGTTTGTGCTCTCATTATATTCAGTTAGCGTACATGCTGTTGAGAGAGTACAGATATGTTAAATAGCCAGTCAGCAACGCATCTACGGTAAGAAGTAATCAAGAACGTCAGTAAAATCCATCCTAAGATTCCGATACCACAACACTCCAATCACTCGGGATAGTTCCAAGCTGTCTTCCAACAAGTTCCTTCCAAATAACGCGAGAAACAGGACCCATGCCATCGGGTCCAGTAGGGATGTTAACATCCTCTCCTAAATATCCAATTCTATCTACAGTGGAGATGATAGCAGCCGTACCAGCGCCGAAGAGCTCGACGAGTTGGCCCTTCTGCGAGGCTGCTTTGACTTCGCCCATTGTGACTGAGCGTTCGTTGACGATGAGGTTGGAGGGGAGACCGGAGAGTTTGGTCTTTCCTGAGACGTGGTCTCGGGCGAGGGTGAGTACGGAGTCGCGTGTTACGCCTGGGAGGATCATCCCGTCTAGTGGTGGGGTGACGAGTTCAAGGGCTGCAAAGAGAAAATTACATCAATGCACTGTTTCAGGAGAAAACCTGGGATTATCCATTCTTACCTCCATCATCTTTCTTGAAGACCACAAACATGTTCATTGTCCCAACCTTGTCAATTATTACCAATATAATCAGAGTCCGCTAAAAATATCTCTGTAATTGAGCTCACCTCCGTCAAGTAATGCTCCGGCCCATGAAGCCACAAATTCTGTGCGTATCCCTTATGGGCCGCCTCTTTCTGGGGTACGACACCCGGTGCATAGTTCGCTCCGAGTTTATAACCTCCGGTACCTTCAAGTTCAACGCATCCCCACATCAATACATCAACACATCTAAAGGTAAACGGAAGAAGGGAGAAAGGGGGAGACGTACCACCGGGAGCGGCACGAATGTACTCTGTCGTTCCGTACAAGGCGATAGGTTTGAATCCCTGTGGGTAGTATGGACCTACGGGGCTGCAGATTACGAAGAGAAGTGCTTCGTTTGGTGGGCCGACGCCGATGGCTTTCTGTGTTCCAACTATAGTAGTGAAGACAATATATATTTAATAAGAGGACAAAGTACAAAAATGGTGTAGAGAGCGCACTGAGTGTGGGTCGGACGTATAGACTGTATCCCGGTTCACGTGGGATCCAGTGCTTGTCGGCGCGAATAAGCTCCTTGATGAGTTCGAGCAGTGCATCGCCATTGAAAGTCTACAGGAATTAAATAATAACAATAGTCTTGCTAATTCCATGACAAAAAGTAAGGAATACGTACTGGTAACGCTATACGTTTAGCACTAGTATTCATACGCTTCATATTCATGTCTGGTCGGAAGAGCGTGACTTTGCCATTCTCGTCCCGATATGCTTTCATCCCTTCGAATAATGTTTGTGCATAGTGAAATACAGTGCAACTCGGATCTAGCTGTAAAGACGAGTCTGTTATTTGGCAATAACCTCGTGTCAACTTTTACGTCCGGAACAAAAATTATGTTCCGCTCACACGGCTGTATCTTAGGTGCATCCCAACCACTATTTGCGGACCATGGGATGGTGAGCATATGATCCGTCTACATTCACAAGATAGTTAATCAACCAGTTTGGGCGACATGAAGATGACGAACAGACATACGAAGATTTGGCCGAAAACGAGACTGGAAGAAGGCGGCGGCGGGCGCGGTTCCGTGTTCTTGATAAACTTTAATCGAGCAGGCTAGCATAACAATTCTTAGACTTAGTCGTCCTTTCTTCCAGGAAAAAGTGCGGTATTGGAAGCACCTCAATGTCGGGGAGGGACGTGAGCTCGCCCGTCATAGGATCCAGCGTAACATTAGAGTTGCGAAGAACAGCAGAAACGCTCAATAACCGTCGTCGATAGAGAGAAGACGAGAGAGACGGTAAGCATGACGCGCGACGCGTTGCTCGGAGGATCGTGAACGCCATATTGACCGCTAGCAAGAATAGATGAAAGAGGTGAGTTGAGGGTGGAGGAAATTGTAGCGTGTAAATGCTGGTGACTCGGCCGATAAATATTTCAATATTTGCTAAATGATCGGCGTCGCGTACGGCCCGGTTTGTCATGGACAAACAATGAGTGGCGGTTTATTACAGTAACTACAGATATTATTGCAAAGAGCAGTGCAGACAGAAACCTGAAATGATGATAGTAACACGAAAGAGCTCCAATTGCAATAATTACGTGCATTACTTGGTTGTTCAGGTGATGACGGAAAGACGAGGCGATCAGACAGATGAGGTCATCCGCGTGCGACACTATCAGTCGTTCTTGAGGCCACCATCCGACGTCTCATTCTTCCCTCCCCTTTCCTGCCACCACAGTATTCACCGACTCAGTTTCCAGTAGTCATGGTATTTGGACCTCCATTAGATCCCATACTGTACTCTTTTCCGTCGAGCGACGCGCTCGTCGAATCGCTTGCCCAGTTCGTCATCAAGACCCAGAAGGACGCCATTGAGAAGAAAGGAAGGTTCACTCTTGCCATCTCTGGCGGTTCCCTGCCAAAGCAACTTAACGGTCTCATTGGGAAACCTGGAGTTAAATGGGATCTATGGTCTGTATCTTCCTGTTTTATGCTAATCAGTGCTCATGTTGACTGATACATGATTGTATGCACTTGTTCATTACAGGCACGTATACTACGCTGACGAACGCGCAGTCGCTCTCGAGGACCCGGATTCAAACCACAAACTCTGTATGGACGAGCTCTTCTCAAAGGTACCCATTCCAGAGGAGAACATCCACCCAATTGATACATCCTTACTCGATGACCTCGACGAGCTATCGGATGCTTACGAGCAGGAACTCATCCGTGAATTCGCCATGAAAGACTCCGCACGTTACCCAGTCTTCGATCTTATCCTCCTTGGCATGGGTCCCGATGGTCATACTGCGTCACTCTTCCCGGGACATGAGCTCCTTTCCGAAGAGGACCGCTGGGTCGCATGGATTGAAGATTCTCCGAAGCCACCTCCAAGGCGTATCACGCTGACGTTCCTCGTTATCAACCACGCCGCACGCGTCGTGTTCGTCGCTGCAGGCGAAGGAAAAGCTGAAATCCTTCACACCGCCCTCGATAAACCTGAAGAAGGTCTCCCGGCATCTCGCGTCCGTCCTGCCGCCCCTGGTCAGTTGTACTGGTTCGTCGACGACGCAGCTAGTGCAAAGGTGGAGTTCCAGCGATCGGAATTCAAACTTTGAAAGAAAGCAAAATTAAAACAGAAAAATGGAAGAAAGTTGCTTTGGGCGATCTTATGATACTTCGTTCATCTGTTTATCTTCTTGTTCTCTTTCTTTGCTCTAATCTTAGACGGTTTTTTGTAAATAAACAATCTCTGGGGATGGTGTACGATAGCCGTTCAGAGTAGCAATGCCGAGTCAAATTTATTTGTTTTTTATGCTCGCTTGTCTTTGCTTGTATGCATTGGTATTTCACTCAATAGCTTTAAAAATGTCCATTTCCGTGGTGTCTATGCAACTGACGAGATATAAACCTATGCAAATGATACATTCTTCCAATCAACGCAGATCCTCTAAGTCCGACAGATACCTACAGTCATAGAGCTAATACGCTTGTGCTGATATTGACTCCTGTGTACTCGACTCAACAATACTCGGCGTAACGGACTGCGCTAAGCTCTCGCTATTCGAAAGTGCCGTCTTATCTGTAATCGTGGAACCACTCTCTAACCAACGGAGTTTGCAGTTCCCTGTTATCGAATCGGACAACGCGAGTACCGGTGAGGGGTGAGAAGATGATGGCCGTGAGTTGGGATTCGAGTTTGGGCTTGAGTTTGGGCTGTAGTATATGGATGGTACGCGCGGGACTGGAGGGATCTGCGACATATCAAGTGAGGGCTTCTGCCGGAGGGAGCTTGAGCGAGAGGAGATGGAGGACGAGCGTCTGGATGTGTTAAGATAGGGATTTGTGAGGTTTGTGTTGTTTGTTGTGATACTTGATATTGACGAGACGGATTGTCGGTACGGACGAGGTCGAGGAGCTAAAATTAATATCAAATAAGTAACAGTGCACTGTATATTCCAAATTATTTGAATCTACGAACCTGTTTGCGCTTCGGCGCTAAGGTATCTAGGCCTTGACCTCTCCCTACTACTCGACTGACGAGAAGCTAAATTTGTCGACGTATTTTCTCGACCGATCCTTAACCAAGGATCACAAACGCTCTGCCGATTGCTTCCAGCCGTGTCATAACCCCCTTCATTCATCTCACGTAAGTAATACGGGTGGGTGTGCGGTGCAAGAGGCGCAGGAAGAACAATATCCACACGACTATACGGTCTATGAGGTGGACCACGGACAGTCGACATAGAGCGGGTACTGCGCATGCTTCGCGTTGTTTGCATAGATGTTACCGAGGCGGCCACGGATAGACGACGCGACCTTGAAATGGACGTTCGAGGGGAGGAATTAGGTGTCGGGAGGTTCATAACGGAAGGATAATTTGGCCGAGATGAAGTTGATTCGTCCGAAGATCCAGCGATAGGGAAAGCTATTGCGCTCTGGGACCGCTGCGGCGGGTACGAGAAACCATCGGATTCGTCGGTGGCAGAATATAGCGAGAGTTGTATGGATGACCGATCACCCTTATTCTCTTGCGAAACAAAGAACGACGGTTGAGGGGGGATGAGTTGTGCATCGGCGACAGGTGAGGTAACCGGAGTGACAGGGCTGGGAGGCTGGCGCAAAGGCATCTCCTCTGTAACGTTCAATGTCGACTGACTGTATTGCCTGTATACGCTTCCGTTAAAGGACTTATTCTGCGCTATGAGCAGGTCGGGATGGTATGCAGTTGGAGATAATGATGGAGAGGATAGGTTCACTTTGCTTGCGCTTGCGTTCGCGTTCCATGGCAACGTGTGTATCGCGCTAAGAGGGCGCGCTGGCGGGAGTGGAACAGGCTTGAATTTGCGCCGTCGGTGGATGCACATCCCAATACGGACCACTAGGAAGATAAAAATGATGCATCCGACGGCTGCACAAGCAGCAATAGCTGGGATGGGTAGCGAGGAATCATCGTCGTCGGATACTGGGGCCATCTCGTGATGCCGGTTTGTTTCTGCACTGCTGATAAATAATAATAAAAGAGTGTGAGTGAAAAAGAATGTGGGCGCTGTGCGCGCGGGGTGAGCCTGAGATGGGGGAGGGTATACGATGAGTGCGAGGCGAAAAAGGGAGTGGAGAGGAATGATCTTTATGAAGATGGATGGTGAGGCAGGCACCTCGACCAGCCATAATTAGCAACTTGTCGATCACAGCGGATCGACACCATCAAAGCATGTTCAATCAACCTGAGTTGCGTTCAGTTCAGAGGAGTCGCAGACAGCATCCGTGCTGCCCGTCGCGGACAACGACGCTAGCAATGCACGGCTCGGTTTAATGCCGGTTTAACAGTAGAGCTCGCTATGTCAAGCTTGCATTCCAAGTCCTCAACCAAGGCGGCGGGCGTACCCCTCTACCGCCGCCTCCTGTTCCCCGACCTCTCTCCCACAGTGGCCCCTCCGCCCATTCTTCCCCGTGCGTCACCCGAACTCAACGCAGAGCTCTACGACTTTATTGCTCTTGCACTCCGTGCATACATAACACCGTGGTGGTCCAAGATTACCCGCTACGATAGCGAGTTCATTCCACATGTCGCGTCGGTCATTGTCGAGGTCATTCGTGTGCTTGTATCCCGCCTCGAAGCAGCTGGCATCGCTCAACTCGTATATGGCGCAGTACCGACAGTAGTTGAGCAGCATTATGCAGACTATCGTGCCGCCGCATCAAAAGTCGGTTCTGCATACGCGTCAGGCGGGTCCGCGCCGCTCGAGTCGTTATTCCACCAGCATCAGAGTCATATGGGCATTGATGCCGATGGGAACATCGACGCATCATATATTCGACATCTGTTAGACCTCATTCTGCAGGCTTGCCTGCCCATGGAAGACCAGGAATCCGACGCCGAGCGGACAATAATCCGAGAAGTGATCGCCAAGGTGATTCTCAAGGATGTTGTCCCGATGCTCAGCCAGCCGTGGTTCATACACAAGCAGATGTTGGACCAGCTGCGTTCTGGTCATAAGGATGCGGTTGCCAGCTTGACAAAGGTGCGACCCTTCTAAAAATAAATGTCTCGTGCTTCGTCCTAGATGCAGTAACTGTGCATTCAAATCAGGAAGCCGAACAACCTCAAAAGCGCTCGTCTAATTTATCATTCCACTCTGCGGTCATATTCGTTCTCTCAACGGTTCAGTACTTATCCGGTCTGTGCTTGGCACTAATCAATTGGTACAAGCAAGCCCTAGGTGTAGTAAAGCACGTCCATGCGGCGCCGAAACTGCCGAAAACAAAGCACCCTCACGAGTTCTCATTCAATCTTGTGAGATGCGTGTCCGAGATCCTCAATGTGAGGACTCGCGCGACTGCTACTGCCGTATTCAACATTGTTGAATCTATCTTGAAGAATATTGAAGATTTTGCGGACAAGTAAGCAAACGCGTCGGTGCTCGTTCAGTACAATTAACACCCTTTGGTAACTTACAGATTCTTGGTTTATATGCTACACGCACATGTCATGACAGAGCAGCGAGTCATTACGATAGTAAAGTTATCTAAGCAAAACCTTTTCCCTAACGGTTACCCGGGTCCTCCTCCAGTTTTTCCACCTCTGGAGGAACAGGCCGTCATAAAGGAAGAGCTTATTCGCCAGATCGAGGTAAAAATTCCCTGTAGGTTCAACTTTATCAGTTAGTAAGGACATACGCTAACCTATAGCGACAGCCTTTATCTCGAGCATTGTCTTGGGTCCGGGTCAAGCGAGCCGAACGACAATTGAGGATGCCCTCGAACCGCTTTCGTCTGCAGCATGCAACGTGCATCTTATCCTGTTCCTACTCGAGCTGATCGTCCTAACGCTCTTTCCCGAATTCGGTGTGCAAGCGTCCGCGGAGGACGAGGTCAGTTCGAGCAAGGAAGGCTCGAGAACGACGTCTTCGCCCGAGCCGGAAGGAGAAGTGCGAGGCTTGTCATCGCGGACGACTTCCTCAACGGAAGGCAGAGATCCGGAACGCTAAGCGGAGGCAGATGACGAATGTCGCTATTGCTGCGCTTAGCTCCTACGCGCTGCGGACCTTTGCAGGAGAGAGGGACGAAGTTCAGAATTGAAGAGAAGAGGACGGGGCGTTTTTCCGCACACGTCATGCACCGCGCATGTCGCAATATCAAACTTTGTTCCCACTCGGCATGGGGGATTGCAGCGACGAAGCAGATTGAGGTGGTTCGTAATGGCATATGCCGCATGTCTACGGCGGTGAATCGTCATAGGAAGAGTCTGTTGTTCCTTCCGGCTTCGCTAAACGTCAGCAGCGTGTGTGTCGCAGTAATTAACTACGGCAAGGAATATATACGGCACTCTTTCGCGAAGGATATTTACTCCCGATATGACGTTCGCAGTTTACGTTAGAATGATACTCCGGTTTATTCTGTGGATATACTGGGACAAACAGAAGAAGTTTTCTCAGAGAACACGATCTTTAACAGTGATTTTACCTAGCAGTATTTAAAAGCTGGAGCATCTAACCGTCGTTACTTCAATCCCTTTGCAAGTGGCTATTGCAACAGCGGAAGCATTTGCTCTTATACTGTGTTTCAACGAGAGGCTGGAAGATTCAAATCGTCACTGTCCACCGTGTGCAGGTCAACATAGGTTCTGTTGTCTCCAATCTGGAGGTAGGTCGTTGCTTCGACTTTGCGAGCTTTATTATATTGTTGTTAGTGCAATAACTAGTTGTTTATCTTAACCACCAGTCGCCTTTTGTACACTAGTAGCCTGGAAGGAGTGCATTAGGTTAGGGGGGACTAATAAGCAACTCTAATGGGAGCTAAAGTAAATGTGCAGGTTTGTTCTGTAAAAGAATTTCGACGAGCCAGCTTGGAAAAGGGCTGTGAATTGGATATCTGTCTAAAAAACTGATATGTGGTGCTGAGTCTGCTGACGGTGTCCATTGTGAGGCTATATCCTATGTTACCGATGTTCAAATGCTCTGTTTTTGCGGAAGTTATTCCTGCTGCGGGATGTGGTAATAGTATCATTTCGATGATGACGAAAGGACTAATCATGAGTGCATTGAATAGCGTCAGGGCAAGGCAAATTTGGGGAAGGCGGCGAACAATACTAGTTTTCTATACTAACCGCAAAGTATAGAATAGAATAGGAATAAGTTAGAGGCGGTTTACACATGATGTGGGTTGAGACACACAATACAAAAATGTATTCAAAGCCAAATGAAGGACATCACGTTAACGTTTCTCCCGTTTAGCTTCCTCTTCGGTTTAATTTGCTTATTCCGTCGACTTCCGTTCTCATGCCACTCCCGTCATCCGTCATCAACCAGCGTCATCGTCATCGCAGCTGCACATGGGGCACGCGAAGCTGTACACAACGTGCCTCGTGTTCATATTGCGATCTTTTTCTGCGCCTCCTGCCCCTCGGATATTCTGACCCCCGGACTTGCATTCGGAAATACTGTTCAGAGACAGCCAGCTCGATTCGGTCGATCAAGTGGGTATCGCGAGTCATCTGCCTCGATGTGTTGCGTGTCGAGGTGGAGTGGAGAGGGCACCGAGGTCACGCCATGGGGACCTCTGATTTCAATTGCATCCATCTCCATTCGCAGGTTATCAAACTCTTTTCTTTTCATTAAATAAATTGCGCTATCTATCGTCGGCTCTCCGGCTGAGTCTGGATCTGGTCTGTTCGCGTGTTTTTTATCACTGGGGTGGGGACTGGGGAGACGAAGCACGAGTTGTATAATTTGTATTGCATATGGTGCACGGATAAAGGTCACAGTTAATGCAGATGCTCATGTGTATGAATACGGCCTGCTTATCGCGCACACGCAAGAGTCGAGACCGTGTCGTAAGCAACCATTGCGGGATGCCCCTCTGGAAGAGATCGCATTTCGTCGGCCGTGAACAAGGCTGTCTCGACCCAGGCTTATCGAGGGGCGGGCGGCTATCTTGAATCTGGATACGCACACTTTTCGTCATCACATCAGCTCCGCGGGTTCAATCTACGATTCTTCGCGAACCCGTTTCGCAAGTGCGTCACTTCCAGTCATCTGACCCCTAAGCCATCCCCACGCCCGTAGCATATATGGCATAGCGTCGCTGCTCCAATGTTAATTTTTTCCCTCGTTACTTTTTCTGTACAACGGAGACGTCCCGGAGGGTGTGGTGCAAGTTTCTCCTTGTGAATTTACAGCATGCGATATACGATGTAGGGTTCGAAGCAATGGCGGGTCGGAACAAATGTAAATAGATGCACGTATGATATCCGAAGTGGCGCTCCATATCTGAATAGTCTACCCATCAGCTTGGCGGCGAAATGAATCAATAATACTGCTGCTACTATCCCAGAGAGTTCACTGTATGACTCGAATCGAAGCTTTTTTTTGGGAGGTCCGGCAGGTCAGCCAGTCATGGGTGGGGAATGAGAGCAAAGAGCAAAAGAAAAGGAAGAACGCAGAACAAAAGAGACAAACGAGAACGGAGAATATGATAAGTAAAATAATACAAGGGATTTTGATGGTCCAGAAGGGAAGATGAGGCAATGTCAAGATGACAGCGTCGAAAGCGGGAAGCATTTGAGTGTTGATGATGCGAGTCGGTGTCGGTTGGAGGTGTCGATGCTGGGTGGTGGTACAGACGAGAACAAATAAGTACATTTACATGACCGGCATGAGCGTTCGTCTGTTGTTCGGCCTGCATAAGCTGGAGGATCAGACGGAGCGTCCGTACAAATCAACATCGCGGAGGCGATATTGTCAAATTTGAAGGCGAGCGGGCGTAGAGGCGGTCACGTTCACGTCGCTCATGTTCGCGTGCCTCTAGTCGGGAAGAAAGGGACGCATCTTCAAGCGCGTCCTGCTCACGCAGTAACTTGCGTAGCCGTCTATTCTCCATCTGCACCTCGTCAAGCACAAGTCGTGTCTCCCGCAACTCGTCCTCAAGTCGGGATGCGGCCCGTGCAGCGCGGGCGTCATGTTCTTCTAGTCGGTCACGCAGCCGCTCATTCTCAACGCGTTGCAGATCAAGCGTCACTTCTGCTGCTTCGACGCTCTCCCGTAGACCGGCGTTCGCATCACGCAACGTACGTGCTGAAGTAGCCTCCGCGTCGCGTGCGGCAGTCATGTCGGCGAGCTCGCGAGCTGCACGGGCTCTTTCTGTCTCGAGCTGGTGCAGCGCGTCGGCGAGACGACGCGCATGTGAATCTACAGAATGGAGAGCATGTGACAGTTCATGCTTGAGGTGCGACTCGGAGTCCAGCGCGTCGGTGAGATCGCCGTTGAGGTCCTCGGACCAACGCTCGAGCTCGAGGATTCGCTCCTCCATGCGCCGAATTGTGTCCTGGTAGAGCTGTGGGTGCGCATGGGGTAGGTCGCGGTCAGCAGACGTCGCCGCCATAGTGCGGGGACGCTTGGTGCGAGGTGGGGGATCGAGGTCAGAGCCGAAGCCCAGATCACGACGGAGGTCCGGATCGATTGGGTGTGTTCCGGAGGCAGAGGTGGGGATCGGCGCTCCTGCTACAGAGGCAGCTGCATGTGCAGGGGCATTGATACCGTCGAGCTGGGCAACAAGCTGGGACTTCTCCTGCTGGAGCTCAAGGACCTGTTGTTCGAGCTGGCTCATGCGCTCGTTCCTGCGAAGACGGTGCTTCTGGGCTGCAAGCCTGTTACGCTCACGGCGGCGCTCCTTTGTTGTCTGCTCGCGGCTGTCATCACCGCCGTCGAGGGAGCGGGTAGGGGAGGAGGAGGCGTCGGAGGTCGGGGAAGACATGATGAGGTACGGGGAGGACTGGAAGACGAAATAATAAGGGATATATAGCGTTATAGATGGATGGGAAGGGTTTATGAGGGGGGATGACTGGGCTGCGATAGTTGACGTCAGCAGGGCAGTCTAGACACTCAGATGCGCGCTACCTCTCTCCACCATATCGCTCACGCGGTCCAATTCAATTCAAAACACAAAATATTCCTCATCTAGACGTCCACGGTACACGTTCCGTGCTGCCAACCCCACTAACTAATCCGACCACGCCCTCGCCCGGCAACAGGGCTCGTCCGCCAGCGCATGTCCCCGTCCCCCGTCCTCGTCCCGCGTCGCTGGCCTCTGTTGCGTCATCGCCCGAGCACACTCGCCGATTGGCATGGCAATGTCAGTTGTGCGCGGCCCGACGGGGTGAGCCCGCCGTCCGTCAGGGCGCAGTATAGCCGAAAAGACTGGGAATGCGTCATCAAACGAGAAGAGTAAGTCTTCCCGCCAAAAGCACGTTTACAACCTACGTCTATCTCTGTGCTTCTCTGCCTCGAACCTCTTCCACCTCGCACGCGGTATGCACACTAATCGTCATCACTTCTTTTCGGGACACGCTGATGACCGCGGTCTCGATCCTTTCGCACGCACAATAATATCGTGATTACGATATCGCGACACAGTCAGCACTGTCTAGGGTCTCATTCGGACTCTGTCCAATCGCAAAATGCCGACTCGCACAAATAGCTCATAACACTCCTACCCCGTTATAAGGCATGCCTCTCAGGTCATACTTTCGCATATTTGTCTCGTCCGCTCTCTCTGCACCTCCTGTCTCCTGCCGTCACCTCCTCGACATACCCTCGCTTTTCTCCTCACCTCATATACTTTTTGTTTATCCATTCATGACGGTACTGCGGTGACTTGACTCTCCCTGTCTTGCAGCTGTCTTCGTTTTTGTCCTGCCTTCAATGCGCGATGTCTTGAGGCGCCTGTTCATCAACTTCGCAGACAAATTCTGCCCCTTCCTATCGCCCTTCATTCGTACAGCCCGTTTACCTCGCCTCTTGTAGCCCATTCTTGAACTTCGACGCCAGTTTCAGGTTGGTTCTACTTTTCAATCCCACCCGTCTATGCACCCCCCGTATATTCAGTATGACGGCTTCATGAGTCTCACTTCAAGAATCAGTAAGTGTTATATCCTCGCGTCTGGCTCACCTCGCTCCGACTTTCAAGCCTTTTCATCGTCTTGGTCTCTACTCCTCTCTACCTTGGAGATGTATCGTCTCCACTGGCTGGAACTCATGATCACCAGCGAGTGCAATGCGCCCCTTGCGCACTGCCCTCCCACCTCTCCTCCCCATCCATCTCTCTCCATCGCCTCCTCTGCCAGCAAGCATCAAAGCTGTTGCCATTCCCACGCCATTCCGATATCGGACTTCTCGGCCCTCGCCATCACCATCGCTGCGAACTATTGGCGGATGTCATCCCCATCTGACAACCCACATGTGCCCCATTCTCCGAGTCAGGGCTTCTCTTATTGATATCGGAACGTTTCGCTGGCAAACGCCCTGGCTCGGGGATGTGTCCGTGCTTGCAATTGGACACAGGACAAGAGCGGAGTGGTCTGACTTTTTGTGCGGCTGTTATGGCATGATGCCCCTGGAACTCAGTTACAACGAGGGTGGTCTCGACGTGAAATAATTGTCGCCCTGTCGGAGACGGTGCAGGTCTCTTGGTCCAAATTTCGCATGTGAACAGGCGGTTGGATATTCTGGTGTTTGGGCAATCTGGTTTGTCAAATTGATTGCAACGGAATTCTTGCAAAGAGCTTACTCTATGTAGCCTGCTACATCCCTTGAGCAACTCGTCACTGGTTCTCTTGCGCATTATGAGCACCTTTGGATGGTGGCATAGTGTCAGATTTTTATACTGTTTATCTTATCAATTCAAAAATAATTTTAAAAAGATGCATTTTTATTTGAAAATTCGCGTGAACTGAAGCAAACAGGCACTGGAACTTTTCGATTCAATGCACAAAACGACAGAGCTACAGACCGCTAATCAGTAACTGAAGAAGATGCCAGCGAAAATTCAATGAGGTTCCGTCCCATGCAACGCAATGTCACCAATGTCGTTTGTGTTGAGGTCAATCAATGCCTCGGCTTTCCATATACGGTCAGTTCACAGAACTTCAACCAGACGAATCCAAATTCTTCCGAGCAATTCATGGAAGTACATATGTTTAACGTCGACCACGCATCTTCTGAAAGTTCTGCCAGTTCCCACGAGATTGTGCGGTTGCTGCCTCATCGAATGTTGACTTCTGCTTGTGCCTCGATTTCGAACTTGTACTGCTTGGTTGAAGCGGAGATTGAGTGTGCGAAGGCGGGAGCGGCGGTGGAGGATTAGTTGAGTCTGTTGGAGGTATGACGTCCCATTTGCCTGAGCCTGGAATAGACGGTTGGCTATGAGAGGGGTTAGGCAATGACGGTGCTTCTGACTTGGTTGGGTTTGAAGGTAGTAGTGGAGGGAATGATTGAGGCGGCGGGGGCGGGGGTAGATTAGAAGGCGGGGGCGGGGGAGGACCTGAAGGAGCTGCTGGTATAGGAGCAGACAGAGCCGGAGTTGCACTCATGCTGGTCCATCCGCCATTGTTCACACTAGATGGAATCTCTACGGAGGACGTCGCCAATGTTGACCAACCACCAGACCGGAAGCCATTATTTGGCGCAGCTGATAGTGGTGATGGGGCGGGACCCGACGAAGGTGGGGGCGGGGGCGGCGGATTCTCAGGAGGAGCAAGAGGTGCGCCTGACGCTCGTGCCCAACCACCCGATGGAGTAGTTGCAGGGACTGAAGTATCGCCAACGCTTGCCCAACCGCTTTTCTTGAATCCCTTAGGCTCGGCCTTATTTTCTGCAGCAATGGATGTGCCTGCAACTGGAGGAGCACTAATCTTTATCCCAGCAGCCTTTGCAAGTTTACGAAGCTCCTTCTCCTCACGCTTACGTTCCTTCTCCTTTCGTCGTTCGGCTTCTTCGCGCCCGCCCGCCTTTACTGGATGGTTTGCGTTCATGTCACGCGCCCGGGCACGATGGTGGTGCGCATACGAATTCGTATGCTCGTCGTACTGTGCGACGTTCTTGAACTTGCAAGGGGATTTGTTTGACGAGTAAAAGCAGGAGTAGGACGTTGATCTTACCTGTTTGTCACATAGCTCACAGTAGAATGGGCGCAAAACATTTGAAAGTTCAGACTGAACGGCTGCTTTTTGTGCAACCGCCGCCTATTTATCGGATAGAATAGGAAAACACGCCAAACGATGAATAAAATAATATCACGAAGACTTTGCCACAGACTTGCCTCGCGTTCTTGCCGTTGCTCGGCTGTTTCAGATCGCATGCGTTCAGAATCAAGATTTCTCCGCTGAGAGACTGTCGTCTCGATCATCCGGAAATCTTGAGTGACTTTTCCTAGACCAGTAGAATCCTGTTTAACCGAGAAAGGGACTGGATCTATGCGACCTACATCAACAAAAAGTTCCGGTTAGCTTGGTCGGAATAATGTAAACAAACATCTGAGTAGCATACCATCACCGGAAATGCCTAGTGGAGTGCCTTCTGTCCAGCCCATTTTCGCAAGCATGGCGAAACCCTTGTTCGTATTCTTAATTCTTGTCTCAACAGTTATAACCTCTCGTGCCACGCCAGGGACATGTTCATCATAAGAATACACATCCTTCATCTCCACATCTCCATCAGGTTGCGGAGAAGGTGAACGTGAGACGAGGGAGACATTGTCCTCTGAACTATCGTCTTCATCGACTGACCTGGATCGCTGCGAGAGCGGAGTGCGTGTGGTAGTTACGCGGAACGGGCGTCAGAGAAATGATCGGAGAATACCTTGTGAGAGGGAGCGGGCTCAGGCTCCCTTGACATTGAAATTGCGTTCCAGCGAGCAATCGTGCTGGCAGACATCGTGGTACTATTAGTTGAGTTTCAAGGGAAGGGAGAAATGAGCAAGTCGGGCGTTCGTTAATGCAGGTGTCACACACACACGTGACCACGCGTCTTGATTTTGGATCGCCGCCCAGGACAGGAGACGCGTCTAGGTAATGGGCTCAGAGTCGCACTGGTTACCCATGTCCTTCATTCACTTTAGCTGAGCTTCGTAGTCAACAATGTCTGACAGCTTCGATATAGACGATGACGAATTTGCGGACTTTGCTTTCCTCCAGGAATTGGATGCGATAGAAGCCGCAAGCCAACAGCCAGTGTCGAAACCAGCTCGACCAGCTCCTGTTGCGAATGCAACTTCGAATGCAACTTCAAATGTACCTGTGCCGTCTGCTGGTCCTAGATTTAAACCAGCACTTCGAAATCATCCATCTTCTGATGAATTCGATGGCTCGTTTGATGTTGATGCAGAAGAACTCGACAGACTTGATGCCTTCATTGCGGATTCTTATGCAGGCAAGGCACAGCCCGTAGCTGGGCCTAGCCGTACGCGTCAAACGACACTGGATGGGCGAACGCTTCCTAATTCTCCTATTGAGAAGTCACAGCCGAAGAGGTCGTTCTCGAGGACGAAGTCGGCAGGAAACGGCGAGCAGAAAGCTAAAACTTGGGATCGTACTGGCTTTTCGGAGACAGGCTTCCGTTCAACCAAGAAGAAAGGGAAGGGGAAGGGGAAGGGGAAGGGGAAGGAGAAGGAGAAAGAAAAGAGTGTTCCTGGCGGTGAAAATATTGACGATGACTTTAATGGCGAAGAAATGGAGTTTGAGCAATTCCCTTCGCCTTACGTTGATGGTGAGCCGCTTTGCTGTACGTCTTACGTCGACTGATCCATATTCATAGTTGGGTACGTATATTCGTTTCAACTGCGTACTTTGGCTATGGCTACTCGACTAAACAAAACATGCCCTTTCCTGAACTCGCTAGTCCAGTGAGTACCGTGTTACAAGTCAGACGCCATTTCTCAGATATCTTCTATTAGCCGCCTCCGATGAAACTTAAACCAGACTTGTTGAACGCTAAAGACTGGGTGTTTCCGTTGAATCGGCCGCGAAGAGACTACCAATTCAATATTGCAAAGAAGTGTCTCTTCCAGAACACCTTGGTGGCCTTACCAACTGGGTTAGGGAAGACGTTCATAGCTGGGGTTGTGATGCTCAACTGTGAGGATGCATTTATCTTTGTTAGATGACTCTACAAATTTTGCAATCTAGATTACAGGTGGTTTCCTGACGGTAAAATCGTCTTCGTAGCCCCCACAAAACCTCTTGTTGCACAACAAGTAACTGCCTGTCATGATGTTTGCGGAATACCGGGTAGCGACGCTGCCTTGTTGACCGGAGAAGTGCAGAAGCATAAGAGGAGTTATGCTGTACGTACATATATTTTTCTCCTCGGCTTACTTTTTGTAGAGCTTTAATACCTTTTGTTATGACCCTAGTGGGCACAGAAACGTGTGATATACATGACTCCTCAGACTCTGGTAAATGACTTGGTTTCAGGCCTTGCAGATCCTCTTGACATCGTACTATTGGTGATAGGTATGCAGTTCGCGATTTGCAGCCAACCCACGTTCCCTCAGACTATTGCATTTTAGACGAGGCTCACAGGGGAACTGGTGATTACGCATATGCTCAAGTCGTGCGGTACATGATGGCCAAGAATCCACACTTTCGTATTCTCGCGCTTACTGCGACGCCAGGCAATAATCCCGAAGCTGTGCAAGCAATTGTTGATTCGCTGCATATAAGTCACATTGAGATTAGGAATGAATCAAGCTTCGACCTTCAGCGATACATCTTCAAAAAGGTGGGGGACATGTTGGGACTTGCCATTACTGTGACTAATTATCTAATGTTTTCATAGGAAATTCAAGTACGTGTGATAAAGATGGGCGAATCGGTTCTTACGATTCAGCGACTGTTGTGCAAAATCACTGATGTAAGCAATCATCGTCTCTTTTCTAAGAATTTGACCCATAACTGTTGATCAGCCACTCCTAGACAGAGCTCGAAAAGCAGGCATTGTATATGCCAGAAATGCCATGTCGCTCCACCCTTATTCGTGCGTGGCGGGCTCGCAGAAGCTTGCAACTAGCAAGTCAGCCAAAGCCAGGTGGATGTTTTCCTACCTTCGCGTACTCGGTAGCCTAGCGAGGGCGATGGGGAACTTGGTAAGGGTTTCACATATCTACTTTTGCTTCGTCTAACTAATGTACCTTTAGATGGAATCAAGCGTTTCTGTTTGCTATCGTTCGCTGAAGGACCTTAAGGAGAACTTGAAGAGTGGCGAGAAAAACGATGACAAGGAAGTGAATCTCCTCAGAAATCCGGACTTCATCAAGCTCATGGAGGAATGCGAGCGCCAACAAGCATTGGGTTTTGCACCTCATCCGAAAATGAAGGCTCTAGTTGAAATTATCATGGATCACTTCAATACTCCACCGAGTAACCCAGAAACGCCTGCACCTGGAGAGAGCACTGAGGCTGCGTCTTCGAGCACGAAAGTCATGATCTTCGTCGGGCTGAGGGAGGTTATCGATGAAGTGGTCGATGTATTGGATCAGTACAAACCTATGCTTCGGGCGACGCGTTTTGTTGGGCAAGGGATAGACAAGAAGGGCAAAAAGGGATTGGCACAGGCGAAGCAACTTGAGGTCAGGATTCTTCATTACTTGAGGAGCTCATATACTCATTTCTGCTGCAGACAATACAAAAGTTCAAGGATGGAGAATATAACATCCTTGTTTCGACTTCTGTTGGCGAAGAGGGCTTGGATATTGGGGAGATCGATAGGATCATTTGCTACGATTCCTCAAAGAGTTCTATCCAAATGGTAAGTATTAACTTGTATTATACTAGCATCAATATTCAACATTTCCTTCCTAGCTGCAACGTGTAGGTCGAACAGGGCGCAAGAGAACTGGATATGTTGACGTCTTGCTCGCCGAAGAGAGAGAAGAAAGGAACTGGGACAAGTCCAAGGAGAATTATGCAGACGTGCAAGACACAATCATCAGCGGCAACCAGCTCGAGCTTTATACAGATGCAGAGCGACTCTTACCAGATAATATCGAACCATCTTGTTTACAGATCACTATGCCGATCGAAAAGTACATGCCAGACACGAAGGATTCACCAGCGCGTGGAAAGGGAGCCACTGTAAAGAAGAGGAAACGGAACGACGACATAAATCGGAATATTCCTCTCGGTGCGTCCATGGGTTTCGTATCCGCGTCCAAGCTTCGACCGAAGGCGAAGAAGGGGAAGAAAACGAAGGATATGGACGATTCAGACCTCGAGGACGACAGCGATGACGAAGAAATCGCAAATGGATTGCACGCCCGTGCCTCCAAGTCCAAAAAGAAATCCAAAAAGTCCAATGACACAAAACGCAAGCCCAGCCAACGCAACCTGGTGGATATGCTGAAGGCCCCAATACCTGATCGTCTTGATGACGACTCAGATGACTTGGACATCCAGAAAGGGCTTAAAAGCGAAAGCGAGTCAACAAGTAGTAGTGAACCATCAGTACCAAAAAGACCCAAGAAACGGAAAGCAATAGTCTCCTCTTCATCTTCGGACGACGAGCCCAAAAGATCCAGTGCCGAATCAGGACCGAGTTCGTCAGGAGCGACGATAGCATCTGCGAAAACAGGGCACGAGCGAAGGACGTCTGGATGGTTGCTGGAAAGCGGCTCCGAAGCAGAGACTTCTCGGCATCTGGTTTCCGAGAAACTCAAGCCTGCCAGTGGAGGTGTGCATTTCCGAAGTGCAAAGTCGTTAGGCGTGATCGAGACCGTTAGCTCGCCAGAACCGCTTGCGGAGCAAATTCCTGGCCCGAGCTCACCTGTACTTGCAACAAACAAAAAGGTAGACGATGGTTCTCAAGCCAGCCCCGAGCCGACATTCGCCTTCCGTAGACCCACCAAAAGAAAACTAGCAGCTCCCCCCTCCTCACCAACCGTCGAGCAAAACGAAGCACCACGCCGTCTCGTCCGACGCCGTTCACCATCACCACCACCATCTGCACCATTAGCACCAGGAACACCAATGGGTCCTCCTCCTGTCCCTCAACCTCAAGACATCCGCAACAACAACCAACCCAAGAAGAAAAAACCCAAACTCAAAATGTCAGACAACCCTGCCCTCTTCGACGTTGAAGCCGAACATTCCGGCTCAGAAGTCAGCTCAGGAGGGGAGAACGACGACGCCTCTTCAATCCTCGACATGCTCGAATCCTCATCCGACCGTCGTTTCCTCGAAGAACTCCCCGAAACTCAAGCCTCTCCCTCATACAACCAAACAGCTGCATACCGCATGAGCTTAATGACACAAGCACCTACTATAGACAACGACGGTAACGGTACTGGTGGTTCTACTGGCCCACAATTCAAGACTAGGCCCAAGAGAGTTGGGGCATTTGCGGGAGGGAGGACGCAGGTCCTTCCTAAACCTGCTGATTGGAATTCTTCTTCACCTGTGAGAGGGAGTGAGCCTGATGAGTATCAGATGGGGAGTTTTGTGGTCAATGATGATGATGATGCGATTCTTTATGAGCAGTCTAGTGAAGTGTAGATTTCGTGTTATGTTATGTTTAGACTGTCCTGTTAGCTTTCCTGTGTTGTTGTTTTGTTGCTCTCGCTTATAATTACACGCAATTATAAAAAATTCTCATCTGCACTGCAAGTTCCAGAATAAATACTAAACAACGGACGTATCAACAGTCCGAAGCCAGCAAAATAATTTCTTTATGCATTTATGCACTGTACAAGAGTAGAGTCAACAAGATGGACACAATTAGGACTGCCGACAGCTTTAATAAGATATTGTATGTATGATCCTAGCAGCATGCGCAAGGGGGCTCTTTATAAAGATACATTTAAGCTCGCAACAAAAAAAAGCAATACGGCGGACTGGATCAAAACATGCCGCCCATGCCCATCCCGTCGTCATCCTCATTGCCCCAACCAACTTCTTCCAATGTAGGTTCTTCAGGTCGAGGTGAAGGCGGTCGATCCTCAGTTGTCGCTGCCGATTTTTTATCTTGTGTACCTTGTTGAGTACCCGTGACTGGTTTTGGACCTGTTGTTTCGGTGTGCCAGCTAAGTTTAACATTGCCAGCGGAGGGGATGTTGGGTCCTTTTGCTAGAGCCTGCAGAACCATGAGCACACAATAGTATATGATGATGACAAGGAGAATACTCACCTGTTCCGCAGCAGCTCGTGAATAGAAACGAGCAATAAGGGACTCATCGTCATGCACATCAAGTGATGCTAATTGTCCTCCAGTCTGTCAAACACAATCAGTTTATGACAAAAGAACTACCTGCACAGTGATCTTACCTCATACCAAGAACGTACTGCCTGCACGACTTCCGGATCCTGAGTTGCAACACCCTTCACGAGTAAAGCCTTCGGGCGGTTATCAAGTTTCATACTCCCACGTGGCGGTCCACCTCGCATGGCACCACGGAAACTTGGGAAACTTGCACGTCCTCGTCCCCTCCCGCGGAAACCCCCACGATACGAAGAATAGATTGGCTGAGACGAAGTATCGCTAAGGCCCAACGCACTTGCCTCAGCACGTAATTTCTCGAGCTTCTCCTGTAAACTTTCGCGGGTCTCCTCTCCTCCCACTGGTGAGTTTTCCTCGCCTGTTTTTGCGTGCGCTTCCAATTCCATGTCAAGCAGCTCCTTCGCTTTCCGCTCCTTATCTACGGGAACCTCCGATGTAGTCCTTGAACGTGGTGGTCGTGGTGGTTGTGCTGTTTTATCCTCCGAAGGGGTCTTCATCTCGGCAGCTAATTTTCGTAAACGCGCCATAATGTCTTTCTTTTCTTCTGCAGAAGCGCTACCAAGTTTGCCCATCAGCTCCTTTTGTTCTGCTATCTGTTTATCCAATAATTGTTGCTTTTCTTGTAAAGCTGTCAGCTTCGAGGACGCGGGTGTAGGTGCTTTGTTAGCAGGCGGTGCCGTGGGTTTAGGGACCTCGGCAGGTGCAACCGTAGCAGGAGCGTTCTCCTGTGCAGCCATGTTTGCAACTATCGACGCCGACGCCTCCAGTGCACGCGCACCAGCCGTACCTTGGCCTTCCATCGGACGATGCCAGAATATCTTGACGAATCTATTATTAAACACCGCCTCCTCCGCAGACCAAGCGGCGCGTGCCTCCTCATGTGAAGAGAAGCTCACTAAAGCCTTCTTCCCCGGTGCATCTACAGCGACATTGGTAACGGTACCATAACGTTTGAACCAATTGTTGACTTCCCCAAGCGACAGCTTGTCGTCTGGGATTTTCTCGACAACAATAGTCTTACTATTACGGCCTTGCTCGTTCCCGCCGAAGGCTTGATGCTCTCCAGTGAAGGTCCCTCCTCGACCCCCACGACCGCGTCGGTACCCTCTTTGTGGCCTTCCATTAGTTTGCGTCGGTCCTTGTGTTGCAGCAGCACCATTTGGCCCCGAATTGAAGGCTTGTAGTGAAGAAAGGGAGGTGGGATCTGGAGGTACGTTGGAATCTGCACTTGTCGAAGGAGCATTTGTATTTTGCGTTGGTGTAACGTCCATCGCGGTTGGTTCTTCTCTCGGTCCGGCTGGAGTGAGGTCCTGGACAACAGGCAGTTCACCATGTCCAGGGAACGCCTGACCATTATCATTTTCTCGATTTTGATGACCTCGAGGCATCGTCGGAATGGGGCGCTGATACGGAGCTCTAGGTCGCATATCCATGACCGAGTCATTCGGATCGTATGCCAGAGGTGGCACCGGTGCACCAGGGAAAGGCATCCCACCATACATATTCATGAAAGGCATGACTCCTCCATTTAATGGCATAGACATATTTGGTGAAAAAGCGCCTTCGTCATGACTGTACTTGCATCTGACTCCTCGCGAGCAATAGCCTTTCACTGATAAACGAAGTCAGTTAAAAATGACAAAAGAGAATGCAGGGCTCAACACACGGTGATAGTCACGACACACGCCCTTCGGAAGCATAACCTTCGGTCCTTGCGGTGGAAAACCATTCGGCATACCGCCATCCATTGGACCTCGTTGCCAGTCCTGCCCATGCCCATTCGCATCCGAGTGTCTAGCAAAATAAGCCTCATTGCTTAGTCGAGGGCCCTTCGGTGGACCACGCGTTTCACGGTCATCGCCGTCGTGACTCCTTTTTGTACCCCGGTCTGTAGGTGAGGTCGATGAAGGCGAAATCAGAGCATCGAGTGGTATAGGAATCCCAGCATCCCGAGCCTTTTCTGTCGAAGCGGGGAATGAACCAGGGCTAGTGGTGTACGGCACATACGACTTGGAGCGGAGCGCAGCAAAGAGTGTATCGACAAAACCAGATGCACCTAATAGTAAAGTCAGTAAATGAATACAACTTGAATACATGACAGACGGACCGTCTTCAAAGAACTCGTCTAGTTGTTTGATAACTTCCTGTCGTAGGTCATGTTCCGGAACATCATGCTTGAGAAGTGCAATGATGTAGGTAGCGAGAGCGTCAGGTTCGGCATCGCATCTAGGAGAGGATAAGTAAGTGAGCGCTATATTAGTTGGTTGGAGTAGTAAGGGGAACGATTCGTACATTGGCTCAAGGGTCTTGACGAGCCAAGCCTGAAGCGCCGGGCTGGTTGACGGGTCATAAAGCATGGTATCGAGAGAGGAGCAGGACAATGCGGATAGGGAGACAAGAGGGAAGGATGATGACGGACGAAGGAAAGGGCCGCTTTCTATGCTATTACTATGCAGGCAGACAGACAGACGAAGAGACGGTAAAGGCGCTGTTGCCACAAATGGACACATCACTCAGGTCATCATCACGTGCACTCCAGACATCATCAAAAGGAAATCGAATATTTTCATAAAGTACTAAAACTAATTTGCTACAGTGGTGACAGTAAATTGGCTTTCGACGTAGTATAAGCACACAGTTGCGGTTGCAAGACACAATAAAAGGCAAGACGTATACGAAAAATTGCGAATGAAAAGACGGCCTAAAAATGCGGCACGATGACAATCAATAAGGAAGAATGAGGCAGAAATCATTAATGATGCAATCGGCATCGCGGAGGGTAAGCGTCCGGGGAGAAAATCGAAAAATCAACACAGGCCTTCATTCGGAGTCGCTGCCCGAGCTGTCCGAAGAACTGTCATCGGAGGAATGCTCGCTGTCGTTCTCGTGTTTTACACCAGAACTGACAACTGCATTTTTGTCGAACATCTTCATCCTCTCCTCCAGCTGCCGAATCTTCTCGGCCTCGACGTCTTCATCCATACTTTTCCGCTTCAAACCGCCAGTCCCCGTCCCCGTCCCTGTTCGGGACCGCTTGCTATTGTTCGCCTTCAACGGCCGGATTACAAAATTGTACAGCTTAAGCAGTACTGGTGCAGGAAGTTGGTCAATGTCGAGCTCGATCTCTTCAGAACTCTGTAAAACTGATAAGCATTCATCAGAGTACGGGAAGCCAATGTACATACATCGCGAATTTCTGGAACACCTTCGTGAATGATATTAATCACTCGTTCCAACTTTTCGCCTTCAAGATTTTGAATGGTCTCGCTCAGATCCTTTTTCTGGTCAAAGGACAACACATCGTCGTCGGGGATTTGGGCCTTCTTTGAACTCTTCTTCTTGGGCACCGGCTTGGCTGGCCGATTGTTTGGCTTGGAAGTCGACGCGACGGGTGGTGAAGCGCGCTTCGGAGGCCGCTTCTCCTTCTTTACTTTCTTCTTCGCTTGATTCTTTAGTGCTGCCAAATTCCCTCTCATCGTCTCAATCCGAGCCTCCAGGTCGGCAATAGCACCTAAAGAGCGGATTTAAAAGACTGCAAGACATTGGACAAACAATCAGACACTCACGAATGCGATCGTCATCGCTGTCTTCGTCCTCATCCTCGTCTTCGTCTTCGCTTGGTACTTTCAGAGGCGGGAGATGGGACCATTTCTCTTCAAAGACACGCTGGATTTCAACCCCAGCATCATGTACGGCTGTGCCAACCGGATTGAACGCCATGCAGTTTCTAATCATGAGAGCGAAATCTTCTTTAAACTTGGCTGCATTCGGATATTCCCGGTTATCGAGCTTCTTCCTCATGGTGCCCAGATCCATCGGCCTTTTCACGATTTTGGGATAATGGGGAATCCCGAGTTTGACAGCATCTGCATTGTGTCAGAATTCTGACGCGGTTCATTTACTGAATCACTCACCAACCGGCTCATAGAACGGACTGGCAATGGTAAACAGTGACTTTTTGTGTAAATCCGTGAGGATCTTGCCGCAATATCTTAACTGTTCCTCTGTCCCGTCATCCGTCTTCGCTTTCCTCACTGACCGCATCTTCTTCGACGGCTCAGCATAAGGCAAATCCTTCGGAGGTGGAGGGTGTATTTCACGCTTTGGTCTAGCTGTCTCCGTGGTATCAGACCTGCGAATTGTAGGAAGAGAAGTGGAAGGTCGCCGAGCAGCAGGAGCCTTTTTCGCGGGGGGCGGTGGAGGAGGGGGAGTCGCAGCCTTCTTCGGTGCCTGAGGCTTCGGCTACGAATAAGACACCATTAGACTAGGGCTCAAGAAAAGGATGGGCCATACGTAAAAATCATTACCTCTTCTGCGGGTGGTGGTAATTGCTTGATCTGCTTGTCGAATATAGCTTCAACACGCTTCCCCATTTGAGTGACAACGTGTTCTGGCCCGTTGAAGGTGTAAGCATTCGAGAACATTAACCGCACGTCGGCAATGAACTCGTCCGCAGTAAGGTACCGAGGGTTCGCCGGATTACTATCAGGCTTCACAGGATTAGAAGCAACGAGTTTGCGATCAATGGTCGCAAAGTCCATGGGATGTTTTACAATACTCAGATAATGGGGGATGTTAAGGGCCACCGGATCAACGGGATTAAGAAAGGGTGTCGCGTCCTTAAGCTTCCGTAAATTGCGTACTGTCGACACACAAAATCTGTATTGTGCCTGACTCAGAGTCGCCTTCCGATCCTGTGAAGGTGACGGCGTGGCAGAGCGGTCTTCGGTAGCGGTAGAAAGAACAGTAGTCGGCGGGGGTGGAGCAGGAGACTTCAAATTCTGGCATGTCAGCACAAAAGTACATGGCACTACGTAGACGATATCTGCTTACATGAGCGAGAGACGCTTGATCGGCATCCGAAAGCTTCCTCGCTCGTTTTGCGGGCGGCGGTTGACTGGCATCGTCCAATACCGCATCGTGCGCGTCGGGCTGTCGCGACGACGGAGGAACGGGTGTATCTACATTCATATCATCCGCAGACGAAGGAGCAGCGTGGCCGTTGACACCATTCTTCTCCTCATGCTTCACACCATTCATACCACTACTCCCATTCGCCTCTGCAACGGGTGACTCGCCTGATAGTGCTGGAGTTGCTTGCTCAGCCATTCGAACATCCTCCAGTAGTTGCCCGGCTGGCGGAGGCGGAGTGCCCTTGGGTGGTGCTATAGGTATCGACGCTAGAAATGAAATGCAACCGCGTCAACCAAAGATGAAAAAAATGCAAGAGTATATAGGCTTACCAGGATCGGCAGGTGTGTCAAGCTGCGCCTGGACAGAGACATCGTCTGTCTTACCGAGCGACAACGTGAGGGGCTCATGGCGGGCATCAGACTCGCGTTGCGCGTAGTCGATATCTATTTTGACTGCAGGCGAGACAGCGTCGGTGGGAGGAGAAAGAACAACGGGAGAGTCGGGAGCACTGCTGAGCGCACCGTTGTCGATGTTATCCGAGGAAGGCTGTGCCCCGTTCGTGTTGGTGGAGATGCCCAGGGGTGGATGGATGCCGTTGACGCTGGTCGCAGCGTGGACGGCAAGGGCGTCGGACATGCTATATTCTGCTTATGTAATTTGTCACAGAGGAGGGGAATCTAAAAAGTGTGGGGGCTCGGGCAGCGGATTTGAGGGAAACGCATGCGCGCGTCGTCCGACCTAGGTTTTATGGGCCCAACGTATTGCAATTCAAGCGGAGTTTCAATTCTAGCTCTTTCAGATCACTCATGTAAGCTCTCCTCGGGCCACGTGATTCTTCCTTTCTCCCCGCTATTCCACAGTATATCCCTACCTATTAGCTACAGACAAACAGCAGCACAGTGCCCTATTGTTCCTTTTCTCCCTCCTCCTCTTCCTCGGCCTCTGCAAACACCGGCTTGGGCTGGTTTTGTCTCCAGGCTGCATTACAGAACACAGGCACGTGGTCCACCGCGACAAAATTTCGACACAGCCACAAGTTTCCAAAAGTAGACTCAGTCAACAACCACGCCAACTGGGGGAAACGGAAAAGCGCAGAACCGCACGCACCTGATGTCCATTGAGGATCCTTCTCCGCGACGTCTGCGTACTTCAGCAATGCCTCCCGGGGCTAAATGAAGTGTGCACCTTTGGTCAGCACTCATGCTCAAGAAATAGGGGAATCCGACGACAGTGCCATCGCCATCGGAAGGGAAACCGGCTGCGACCACGTCATCAAAAATATCATGCAGGTTACCGCACGCGGTGTCTCATGAAAAAGGCTGAAACGACCGCGCCAGAAAACGCGAAATTGAAAGTGTCTCCGCACAGCACAAACCCCATCAGAAAGCCATCAGAAGGATAAAGACGCTTACATCTTGATCGCGAGTAGTGTCCCTGAATAGGTTCTGGACGACATGTTGAGTCGCACTTGCGCCGACGCGTCCACCCTTCCCAGGTCCTGTGACGGGCAACTCTGGTCGCTTGCTCTTCCGAGGATCCAATCGCTCTTTTTCTCTCTTCCTCTTGACACTCCTCCCCTCCTCGCCATCGCGAAACATCGGCAGTGCGTGTGGAGTGATAATCTGTGGTTGCAGCTCTGCAGACGCCATGGACTCCACTGTCGGCCTTCTGACAGCTGATTTGTTGGCCAGTAGTTTTGCACCGTTCAGCGAATGTTCTGGCGAATAAAGGCAAGACACTTGGCCGTTTGCCTGCCCCACCAAAATCTGTAATTTCATAAATTATTCGTACATGAAATATGATGCGTAATGCGCCCAAACCTGGTTGATTTTGGGATGCCAAAGGACTTTGACTGGCGTGCTATCCATCTCCAGTTCTCTGACAGGCTCCAAAGATTCCTTCCGTAAAAATAATAATTTGCCTTTCCCTCCCTTGCTTGTAGCGCCCGACCCAGTGATGATATATTTCTCGTCCGGACTGAAGACAGCATTTGTAGTGGGATAAAGAGTGGTGATGTTGGTCTTCGTCGCCAACGGTTTGCGGAAGGAGCGGAGGTCCCACACTTTCAGATGTCTATCAGCAACGGTCGATAAGATAGCAGATGCCTGCTTACGCTTCACCGTATCATCCCCACCTCTGGTCATTACTGTTCTGCCATCCACCGAAAAGACAAAGGAACCGGTTTCTGTGCCTTTCGTATGTGCTCCCTCAATACTCATGTCTGGACGCACGAAATTCGAGTTCGTCTTCCACATATGAAGTGCACCATCAACGCAGGCGCCACCAATGTACTTGGCATCATGTGAATACGCGCATGCAGTGACCTTCGTCCGTGCGCCTCGCTCCTTCGACTTGACAACAATCACAGTCTTCTGCCTGCGCTTGTCGTCAGCATCCCATATTCTGTTGCAACCTGTTAGCTTATGACCTTCGCAACTTTGGAGTTGTTTTGCTCACCGAATTGTTGAGTCAGCTGAGCAAGTTATGAAAGTACTCGAGTCTTTCGGGTGCCAAGATGAACAGAGGACTTCTCCAACATGTCCTCTGAAACTATTATTAGTACATCGTATGTGGTGATAATAAATTAAACATACGCAGTATGCTTCATGTCCCGAATGTACACATCACCCTTAACATACGTCGCTCTAAAAACGCGGTGAGTTAATCCAGAGAATACGGAAGAAATGATCTACACACAATTCTTCGCCGTCTCGGCTGAATAATTTGGGCTGGATGGTACCCGAAATGACAAGAAACTTGGTGCCATCAGGTGAAAACTTCAAATCGTGGACCTGTGTTCTTCGTCAAGTCAGGCCAGGATAATCACGCTCAAATGAAAACATACATAGTACGTGCCTGCCGGTTCCCATGTCTTAAATGGCTTGGGTGTCGCTCCCATCCCACCAAAATCCCATAACTTACAGTCGTAGTCATGAGAACCCGAAACGAACCGTGCGCCTGACGGGTCAATGGCAAGAGCAGAAATGACCTTTGTATGATCTTTCATTGGCAGTTCGTGCGATATAGGAAAGTCGGCCTCGGCATCGAGTTCGTCTGGGTCATATTCAGGCTCAGCATCGTCAATGTCATCATTCACTGACGCTGGTGCTGGTAATGGACCTGGTTCCGGCGATTCAGATGAAGTCGTACTCCTGCCCGCGTCGGCTAGCACCTCTGAGCTAGTCGGTTGAACAGACACTTCATTGGATTCAGCGCTGCCATTCTTCTCCATGGATTCGGCCTTGGGAGAGGGGGCCTATAGAAAACAAAGGACGTCAATAATGAGAGTATTTCATGAAAGATTCGCAGTTGTTATTCACCCTTTTGTTTCTTGAGAACGAAGATGGGTCCACTGTTGGTTTCTTCTTTTGTGTCTTTCCGAAACCTGAAATACCCATAGCGGCGAAAACGTCCATATCCGCCATTGTGACTTGTGAATGCGCAACTGTTTAAAAGGGCAAATGAGGATTTGGGACTCTGGGAGAGTATCGAAGACGAGGACGCGAGTCACTTGATCACAGACTGAATCACGCGCATGACGAATACCCCGACGCGTCTACTCAAACGCAAGCGCAACCTCACCATCCACCACAAGCCTCTTTACCCACTACTTCATCTCTCTAGTTATCTCCCTTGTGATCCATCTCCTTTGCAACATGTTAAAGCGGCAGAGGACTTCAACGCCACCCCCTACGTCGGAGAGCGTGCCCGAACTGGCCAATGGAGACCTGAACACGTTCGGTCATACCACGAAACGCCGTCGGATCGCGTCACCTATTCTTGACGGGCGGGAGAGGGGCATGGAAATAGAAGTCGATAACGACGAACTCGACTATGAATCTAATACCGATGTGGCTGCTGCCACGGATGCCTTAAGCCGTGAACAGAAGCCAGGCCACTACACGCTTATCAACAAACTGCTTGGTAGTCTTCATGTAGAGCATCGGCTTCGACGTCGAGCTCCTTCCTCTGAATCATCGACATGTACCGCTGGATCGACGCCACCTGCGCCCCGGCATCTTCAAACGCCTCCTAAGGATGCGCATTTAGGGACTCCACAGCGACCGCAGGAGGCACGGTCGGCCAGCTCGGATGAGAATACGATCTATAAACGCTTTAATGAGTACGTTGCTCATTCTTAACTGACGGCTTGCGCTAATGGGAACAGAATTTTGGGTTCACTTGTACGCATGCGAAAGCAAGGTCGCAGCTCCGATCAAGCTTGAGCGCGCTCTCCCCTGTATCCGAGGTTCGTACTTATTGAACACTTCTTCGTTTATTTCTAATTCACTGTAGGAATTGTTCTTAGATGATCTTTACTCCATGCACTGAGTTGAAATCGGAATATTGATACCACCCCTGTATGCTGACTGTTCCTTTACTTACACCATGGCACCTTCTATATTCTTTAGTACTTCTACCCATTGAATCGTAATTTCTCATGAATTCATGCAAGCAATACTTTCGTTATTCTGTAGCATTATTCTAGAGCGGGGATCATTCGGCATTAGTAAAGCAAATTTTTAATCGCTAATATGCATAGATAGATAATGTTTTCGAACCAATGAACCATTCCCATAGTTTTTCGTCATACAACTTTGGAAGAAATTTCGTCTAGACCAAGCTTGACATCTCTACCGAAAGCTTTGCTCAACTCCTCATCCAGTAACTCTTCTATTGAGCGGCCGTCTCGCGAGTAGTACCATCCATCCTTGTCCGCAACATAATCATACCGTTTAGGCCCACTGGTTTCAATTTAATATGACACAGAAAATGCAAGGGCGGGATGGGATTGCGTACCTAAAAGGAGAGGACAACCAGATCTGCTTGTTCGGTGGCTGCTTGTTGATAACATACGTTCCCTTATCCGCCAGATTCAAAGTGAGAACGCCGCTCTATGCCCGGCATGAGTAGAAACATATATTGCGGAATGGAAGAAAACACGTGAACATACCGAATATTCGACTTCACAGGCTGCATCGCCAACTTCGTCAAGAAGCGTTTCTAATGACTCCAATAACGTGTCCATCGTTACATCTGATAGTTCATGATATCTCTGCATTGAGATATCACTTCACGGTGTCCTATCGCCGGTCAGCTTCTGACGGCAGGGAGTTAGAGGACTAACCTGTGTTTGACCATTGGAGGAGGCGTAGCCATCACTGGACGGCTCACATGCAAGAACCTCTGTGCGTCCGGGCGTCGCAAGACATGAGACCTATGTGAGCGGAAAGCATTTGTAGCACATAATCGGCAGAGTGACCTAGAGAGTCCTCTTCGTAGCATTGCAAAAGGATTTGAGAAAGCGGAAGACGCGACGAATAAGCTCAATTGCGAATCTCAGAGACCCCGAGTTAGGCACGTGATGAAGAGTGTCAGTCACATGAATCAGCATTTTATCTTATCTAATCAGGTTGACACTATAAATAGCACACAAAAAAACAGGCGCATGTTGACCACAATCTATTGCTTTGTTTTAATTAATTCTTGTAACGTCAGCTATAAGTAGTCGGTGCACTGGAAGTTATTTTCCTTGAAGACGTATTCATGTACATTTTCAGTCATCAGGAATTTCTTGATCTTCAGCTTGACGCCAATTTTGTTGGTCAAATCAGACATTATTGTCTGTTAGCAATCTGGGGTTTATTCAATCAGTCTTCCGCATGACTCATATTTCAGTCGAAAATTTATGTTGCATATGAATTCATTCTTTCATTATAATAAATACAAGACAAAGAACAGTCCAAACATACTCATGATCCATCTGCTTTCCCATTCTGCACGGACCAAATCATTTTGTCACAATATTCAGTACGCAGTTGGAAATATATACTCCCGCCATGGAAAATAAATCATGCAAGCTTAAAGAAGAGCCAGCAGCATGGCTGCGAAAAGACCGAGAAGCCCGCTTCCTTCGCCGGACAGCAAGAGGGCTGCATTGGTTGTTGTAGTTGGCTGAGCTCCTGTAGTCGACGTTGAATTCGATGCAGTAGTAGTGGAGTTTGAAACAAGGTTTGTGCAGTTCACCCCGGATGGCATGGTAGCATTTCTCGACAAAGTCAGGTCCGCACACTATTCGGAAGAAAAAACACAATAATTCGTATTAGTCAATTTCGACCATGCGACTTCAAGTTATCAAACATGAAGAATACACCGACCTGGAAAAGGTTGCCGTCTCCACCGTCGAACTGCACCTGGATAGTGACATTTGAGCCATCTTTGACGCCGGTAATATTGAGGTTTGCAATGTCAATCGCGATGCAAGCAGGCCCTTCACCAGTGGCTTTGAAGAACGGAACGGCAGAGGGAAGCTGCACTCCAGTCGACGAGGTGTTGAAATTGGAGAAACTAGTCGGATCTTGATCAATTGAGATAAGTATTTGGGCTAGGGCATTGTAATAGTCAGCGCTTCACCAAACAAGACACCGGGAATTCATGAAGGCTTACCGGACCAGCTCGGATGTTCGCTGTTAATGGTGACAAATCCCTGGTCGAGAGGAAAAGTCGTCCGATTGGAGACTGCATTCTGGTATCCATCTGTGTTATACATTAGGAAACGAAGAATACAACTTCTACCGGGGTAAGAGCGCGGCTCGCTACATACCACAGAAGTTGACCTCCTGGTTCTCGACAAAGACACCGCGAGGTTCAGGGAACTGCATTTGGAAATGCGCACTTACTGTCGAAGCGACAGCGAGAATGCCAGAGAAAATGAAAAAGTCTTTCGTGAGCATCATTGATGAGGAATTCCTTTAGCGTGGAAGAGAACAAGTGTCCAGCTACCAGAGGGAGGTCAACGGGAAGTCATTTTATACTGTAAGCAATTATTCTCACGAAATAATCCGGATAGGGATATCGAGTAAAACTTTTTCACTGTCCTCATTCCAATCAATCGTCGTTTCAACGTACCTTCAAGGTCTGCGATCCGACTTACTGATAGCATAGCCTACTGCTGCCAAAGCAACTCGTCGATACAGCTAAACTGCCCCGTAACTACAGCCCACTTCCCTAAACTTCACACATCTATCACACTATTATTTCCCCTTGGATGAGTGGAAGTGGAAAGCTCCTGGCAACATAACATTTGTCATTTACATAAAGACACTGTTGAAGATAGAAGGGACACTAGAAATCCGTGAACGCATAGCAAGTAGTTATGAGCAGCATCTAACAGCTAGTGACTATGAAGGCTAAGCTGAGCAGAAAGACGTCCAAACAACACTTCCCCGACCCCCAGTCCTATGATGATCGCAATGATATACGCAGCCTGGAAAGTCCTACAAATTGAACGATACCATAAGATCAATAAGAGCAGCAAGTGTGCGCGGTCCGCTTGATGTATACTTACATGACGGCCAACATGATCGCGAAGTGTATGAAGGACTGCAACGCGTGCATAGCGCCTCGGCTGACGTCTTGCGAGAGGACAAACGGCGGGATGACCCGCTTCTTCGTCACTGAAGGCAAGGACGGCTGGCTCAGGCCAGCATCATGACATTTCTCTGTCAAGAGTACGTGATGCTCTACTAGGGCCTTCGCTCTAATCAGAATGTTAGAAACACCCATTAATGATAACTAGGTAGCAAATAACCTTTGTTTCCAACGGTTTTCCATGACGGCACGCATCGCAACGACGACCCTCTCAAAAATAGCGAGGAAAAAGAGAAAGATAGCGGCACCAGCGATTGCGCCGTTCGAGCTAGGAGTTATGGATTTGAAGAAGAGGAAATCGCCGCCGGTGAAATGGAGGTACGGGGTCATCGTCATCATCAATTCTGTTGAGTTGCTTGAGGAGCCCATGTCCATATCCATTGTGGTTGCAATTACAGAGGTGGAAAAGGCGACGAGTTGGGTGAGGGATAATAAGAGTGAGGGGAGGTATCCAAGCCGAAGGAAGCGGGTAGTTGTGGTGGGAGAATGCTACTGTCACAATGACCAAAACAAGTCGCTAGGTTTAGCGGTCCATGGACCAGGCTGGGTCTGAGACCACGGTCCATTTGATTATATAATCCAAAGTTGAGCCCGCAACGATGAAGACGTGGCTTGAAAGTCCTTCCCGTCCCAGTTCCTTCAGTGTCAGTAAACAAAATTTCGTCACAAGAGAAAACATCATTTACTCGATGCATAGGATAAATAACTCTGATGTGGGAAGAGAAACCACCCACCAACAAACAGAAGTGGTATTTCTCTGGTGAGAACGGACAAGCTTACAATGCGGTAACTGTGCGCGGTTCAAGTGAAGCACGCAGCAGAAAAGCCAGATCTTCCAGTGTACCCAAACAGGTCGGTTGGGACATCCTAGACGACAGAATTTGAGAGTTGGCTTCCTGAGGCTCCGCTCACACCAACTCTCCTGACACATGACTAACAGCTCTCTTGCAACGTCCTTGCGTGTAATAGAAGTACAAGTAATATGCCATAGAACCTATCTTAGCAAGCAAGAAATGATGTATGCGGAAGAGACTATGCTGAGTGTGACGGAAAGACACCGACGATGGCCGAGCTTCGTGAGGACAACGCTCTCACTCGACCACCAGGAGAAACCGCAGAACGAGAGCGCCTATAAAGACAGATAGCAAACCGCGTGCGAGAACGACAAGACCGCGAGAGCAAAGGGTGAGTGGGAACCAGGGAATGAGACAGAGGACTGTTGGTGATGGTTGAGAGGAAGGACTCGGGGAGAGCGATGGTGGGTGAGCCATTTCCGCTAAAATGGCTCGTGCTTGAGGACCCCGGAAGTCCACCCCACAATTCGTGTGAGAAACTGAATTTCTATTTCAAGGTGCATGACTTATTAGTCATATTTTCTAACTGTCGAAACTGTAACGCATTACAGACCTAGGATTATATCTTTCCGTCATGTTCAGGATTGCAGTTGCGAGGACTCGTATTGCTGCAAGTGCAAGGCCCATCAGGGTCTTACCCAGAGCACCCAGAGCACCCGTGTCACTCGTGTCCGTTCGCTTCAACTCGAATGATCCGTCCAAACTCGGTTTCTGGGATGCGCCGAAGCTCTCGTACGAGCAAGTAAAGCCCAGAACTGAGCAACCTAGTCCTGTACGTATATGTTTCGTAACATGCCGCAATGATTCTGATTCGTCCGCCGGCTCGCTAGAATGCCTACCTCATCGACGTTCGAGAGCCTGATGAAGTTATCCTCGGCTCAATCCCATCTTCTGTCAATGTTCCTCTCACCGGTTTCGCTGAGTCTCTACACCTGAATCCTGTGGCTTTCAAGGAGAAGTTTGGTTTTGAGAAACCAAAGCGCAACCAAGAAATTGTGTTCTACTGTCGAAGTGGGAAAAGGAGTGCGACAGCTGCCGATATGGCAAAGAAACATGGTTACACCAAGTACGTCTGTGGTCATGCTTGTTTTCTTTCGAAAGCAATAACTGAATACATCGAATCGTACAGGGTGTTTAACTACGAAGGTTCATGGCTTGACTGGACCGCTCGAGAGCAGGGCAAGAGCAGCTAAATGTTATATTGTCTTTGTGACCACAACAATACATGTATATTGATGACAATGGCAGCACAACATTGTTACCTATCCTTAGACGAGGTCAATCCGTGTCCCGTCATGTCTCACACGAGCCGTCCTAGCGGCAATTGATTCAGATGAAATGCACATAACGTCACTGTTGTAACAAATCTCCGACTGTGCACCAGAGTTCCTCCTATTTGACGATAAGCTTAATTTCGGATTCATGTTCTAATGTCTCTACAGCTAGCTGTCACTCGAATATTGGGGTCCCTCAGTCGTCTAAGGTGGTCCATCGCCAAGCCGTCTCGCTGGTCCATCAAGCACGCCATCAGTCACGGACAGCAGGCCAAGTTTCTTGAACCTGCATGCCAAGCGGTTTTATCGATTGGGCCAAGACGTTCCAAGTCCCCTCGCAAATACGAACCAAACTCTGGTGAAAAAATTTTACTGCTTCGCCATAAACTTGCATGTGCCTACCCAGAAAGGTTTGCTTTCAATGGACCTTAAAAGCTGGTAATTTCCACTGTGGTTTGAGCGGAGGTCCTTCTTGATCTATCCTCTCGAACTCCTCCCTTCTTACTGCTATGGCATTCAAGACGCTCCTCTCGCTTGTCTCCCTGGTGACATTTGCCAGTGCGCACTTTTCGATATCTTACCCAGAGCCGCGAGGTGTTTTCGTTAGTGCCGATGAAGTGAAGTTTTGTGGTAAGCATTTTACCTACTTCACAAGTCACTTACAGATGGACACAACTAGCTCATTGGCTCGAATTGTAGACGGATATACCAATGCTGCAAACAACCGCAGCGACTTCCCACTTTCAAATGGCTTCATAAAGTTGGATAACCATCATTCTGAGTGGACAGGTAACTAACTGCATGTATAAAATCCATGCCTTGGACAATCATTAACTTTTATCGCCTGAATAGCGTCCGTGCTCATTTCCATCGACCAAAATCCTACAGACTTTGCAGCGTTCAACACCTCTTCAAGTGGAGTACAGTTGCCACTCGCCGTTAACTTTTTCTCGTCTCGTGGTGCTGGCGAAATCTGCATCCCCGTCGATGTCGCTTCACTCAGTATTCCCGGCGTTAGTGACGGTTCGAACGTTACTCTTCAAGCTATGTTCGCAGGTGCCGATGGAAATCTCTTCCAAGTAAATGTTTTGACCTTGTCTTTGGAATTGTTTTAACTCTACAATGACTTGATTTTAGTGTGTCGACGTTACGCTGCGAGCAAACGCGAGTATTCCCTCGGATGTCACTTGTACTCGTACGGTGAATGGTACGGTGGACACAGCACCATCATCTACGTCAACGTCAGCTACGTCCACAGACACGAGCGGTGCACAGCAGTTGGTTCCAGGTGTAACTGGATTATTGGGTTTCATAGCAGCCTTGTTATTTGTTTGATCTTTAAAAGATGACATCGCATTCGTTTATTCTCATGTCCGAACTATTTACTTAGGTTTGGTGATGATTAGCTACTATCATCATGTGTCTGTCGTGTTCGTGAGTCGCTTTAGTGACAAGTCAAATTAAAGCAGTAAACTAGGTATGCATATAATACATTGCGACTAGCAAGAAAACAAGGGGAATGAATCAAGCGTATGAGTAACATCAACAAAATCTAAGTCATCCACAGGTGCACCGATCAGACTCCTAACCCCAAGCAAGGTCCCAACCGGATACAGTCATGTTCTGCGCGAAAAGTCGGTATTCGCGAAATTCAACTGTTATCGACTCGATCCAATTTCTTCCTCGTGTCCTTGAGTTTACCGCCTACGCGATCCACTTCGCCTGTTAAGTCGTCCAGCATCTCATTCTGCTCTGATATTTCTTGGTTAATCGCAAGACCGAGCTGATGCTGACGAGCAAGAATCGTCGTCAACTGTGACAATTGCGAGTCTTGTTCTTCCATCTTCGTCTGCTGTAGTTGGAGAACGCCATGATCGTCGAGCGGCCGAGTCTGTTCTGTCTCCTGCGGCGGCTCAGTTGCTCCAAATACTCGGGCAAACGGTCTGTTCGTAGAGGCTTGCGCCGGACCTAGCAAGTCCGAGCGATCGGCCTCCGACGCCGGGTTCTGATTCGCAGGTACACTGGAAGCAAATGCTCGCGAACCGCTTCGAGAAGCAATCATCATCGTACTAAGTTTCTCGCAGTCATCCTGCAAACGAGCAGCCAATGGTGTGCGCCGCTGAATTTCGCCTTCGCTCAAGCCCGCAGCAGCAAGGGCCTCGAGCCCTCTCGTAAGGTTTCCGAGTCTGTTTAGGACACCCGCGAGCTTCTTCTTCGCTTGGACGTTTACTGAGTGGGCTGTCACGACGTCTCCGCGGTCGGCGAGCGCGTCACGTTTGTTGACGTCGGTCCGGATGTCTTGTACGCGGCTCTTAAGGTCCATGTATTCGTCTATCCATGAAGACGACGTGAATTCGGAAGGGGCGCCGCCTTCGACACCGTCCTTCTTGGTCGTAGGGATGCCTAGAAACTCCTTAAATATAAACGTTTCTCGCCAGCGCTCATCCTTTGAGCTGACGATGGCTCTGAGGTAGGCTTCCAGGCCCTCTATTCGTTCTTGTAGAATCTGGGGACTGTCCTTTGACCGGAATATAGAGAAAGTATGTTTGGGAGGCAAGGGATGCGGAGGAGGATCCCCGACTGATCTCGAGAGTTCCGTGTGCAGATCATCGAATTCAGAGTAACGCCTCCACATTAACCAGGAGCGAACAGAGGCTTGCACTTCTATCTTGTATACGACATGGGTCTTTGGAGATGAGCGTTCTTCGTGGCCGAGGATGCGCACGGAATGGATGGCGGCCATGTCTGTCGCCGCCAACACTGGCTCGGAAGCAGTGAGTTTGAAGATGACGCGCGCGAACAACGATGCTGCTCACTGCTCAGCCCGAGAGGTACGCGTGGCAGTGCTTAGACCGAAATAATCATCACGAGCTCACTTCAGGTTGGTGCTCATCTATTGCTAGCGAGCTTCCGTCGCTCTCACCAACCTGCTTCTCGCCGTGAACATCTCACTCGCCGCAGGTGTCGTGTACAGCGGCGCTCTCGAGGCGCTGTGAACTGAGGCTGTCCGTCGACTTGCTTCCGAATTGTATCAACACCCATCCCGTCTAGCTCTGTCTGCCACCGTTGACTTGCCCTCGACCCCTAAAAATGTCTTACACAACGCTGTATAAAGCTGCTTTCAAGCTGCTCGGCCTCGGTATACTCTGTACTGTATGCCGCGGCCAGTCATTGTCTATTATCAGTAACAATCCAATGTCAAGTCCTGATACTTCGACCCATTTCACACCCAATGGCCCGTCCTCTTCATTTGATTCGTTAGGGACTGGCACGTCAACATCGCATACTACAACAATTATTGGATTGTATGTAGCCATTTCTTCTTTTCATAATGCTAAGCTTACAATTGATTTTGTTCATCCATAAACTCGGCCGATCATATAATTTGCCCTGTTAACCCTTTTTGCCTTTCAGGTCTGAGCCGACGTTTGCTCCAACGATTACAACTTGCTTTATTCCCCCCACAGGCACTGTACCAACTACGCAGGTATTAAAGTGCGTATCTGCTCTAAAGCCTGCAATCCTTGCCAATATGCGGAGCTAAACGATTATCTGAATTAGTCCAAGTGAATCGATTCAACCTGCTGGTGCAGAATGCCTCGAGATTATCCGCGCATCTGGTCACATAATCGAAGTGGGGCTGTGAGTAGATATTCTCTCAGATTTAATCTTGCGGAATTAAGCCTATGACCGGCATTTTTCTATGATAGGTTCACTGTTGCCGCAGACGGTCAGACTCTCCCTGTTAGCGCCGTCGCACCGGTACCTGCGCAGACTTCCTCGTCCTCGTCCTCTTCCTCATCCTCTGGCTCCGGCATTGGTACTGGTGCGATAGTAGGTGCGGTTATAGGATCCGTTTTTGGAGCACTTCTTATCGTGGCCGTAAGCAATTGTTCCGCGTGCTACCGAAAAGTAATTTTAGCTCACTATATGTCATTGAACAGACGATCTTCTGGATGCGCAAGCAGCGTCGGTCAAGTAAACCTGTTGGTACTTGGCTCAACCGTCCAGCAGGTTGGGTTCGAGACGAGAAACAATCGGCCAACATCATAGGTATTGATCGACCATCAAAGAATTATACACACGTACTCATTGTACTTTCCAGAAATGAGCCGCCGGAATGCTGTCTAATCCAAGATTCGAATCCAAAAGGAGGAATCGCCTGTCCACGCAGGACTGTCCGATGTGATCCTACATTGTACAATTTCTCTTTCACTCTCACGATCCCGTATCATCTTCATTCGTAAGTTATTTTGGATTTGTCGTGTACTTCTACGCTTCGTTTGCTGTTAGAGGATGGTTTGTAAGCTTAAGTGTTTGTTGTACTGCTCAGTCCTGTTGTTACCATAGTTTGTTGAAATATCATTTTGGGTTGAACCCTGTCCGCTACCGTTGTGGTATTTGATAAGGATCTTTCTAAGTCTGGTCCGCAGCAGTACTCGTGCTTCAAAGACCGTTTGACGAGTCTCCCACATGTACAAAGTTTTTCCGGTGAAGACTCTGGATTGGCTTTGGGCTCTACCTGGACGTCATTCTGCCGCTAGTCTCTTCCATTCTCAGACTGAAGGCAATTGCTTCATCTCCTAATTCAAGATGATTGCCAGAACTTCTGCGACGCGTCGGGTCATTCCTGGGCTTCTGTGGGAGCGCTGTATGCCACGCTGTGGGCCTCGTTGAGCTTCACGGCTTATTCATAGCAGCAGGCGACTGGTACGTGCCGATACACCACACTGTTTTATGTATTGATACTTGGGGGAGAATGATGCCCGTGATCAAAGGACAATTTAACTTTCTCGGCAGGCTGCCAAATGCATGGTCTGGATGTTCTGTGCCGAGATAATCGATCCCGCGGGAATGCAAAGGGATAATATTTAGCATATGTCGCGTACGACAAACACTGTTAGCTTCCGTTGAGATGGAGCTAGTGGCCGATTGAAACTCTATTCACGAAGACTCGGGCTCGCCGAGCTTGATTCCGCGAATCCGGCGAGGAAAGCATGCCGGCATCTGATGTGTGTTTTTTTGACATTACGCTAAATGCGATTAGAGCGCATCTTCCTCGTGCTTCGGATGCGACGATGCCGAGAGTGGTACTGTGCAGGTTGCTTGAATGCCTGCGTCTAGATTTTAAAGCTCTAGGAAGACGCTGCTATGCATTGTGCGTCTGCAACTCAGCTGTTGCCAACAGCCCGATATGACGCCAAAGAACAGGAGTAGAAGCTCGACAGAAGCGGAAATTCGACGAGATTGGACATGAGCCAATCCAGAGGTAGAGATCGCCTTAGCAATACGGCAGAAGAATTTGCGTTGGTGATACTGGGTCAAGTATGTTGATGGACTTGTTGATCATGATACAGACGCCCCAAACGGCATCTCGGTGCGTCGCTATAATAATAGAATCGGCATGACCCATGCCGGTGCACAGCGGGGACAGTAGTGGCAGGCGGAAGACGATGTATAAACGAAATGCTTATAGTGCAGAATGTTTCGCCCGACTTCGAATTCTCGTCTTCGTCCCATACCTACTTTACTTGGGTTCGGTCCAGTCTTCCCCCCACCCTCTTCCCCTCGACGAGACGCATGCCTGCTGCAGCTCCAGCGTCCTCCTCGGCCTCGTCTTGCTATCCGTAGTTTCCAGTATCCAGTTTACTTTCTTCTACAGCTATTCAGACAACCATGCAGAAGCCCAATAATAACGAGATTCGAGAAATAGCAGTCACTGCCTCCGGATCCGTTCCATCCACTTCAGCGCCAAAGGTAAAGCCGGGCGCAGCGTGGAAAGCAAACGAACAGCATGTGCTGCCAGAAAACCGTTTAATGATTGTGTTTCCTGGATTAATGTTATGCGTCTTCCTTGCTGCTCTTGGTGGGTGTTGTTAAAGTGTGTTTTATACCGATCACATTGTTGACAGTCTGATAGATCAGGTGACTTACTCAAACCGTCCTGCACCATCTGAGTTAAGCTAATAAATACTATTACTTTCACACATTTGCTCTCTAAATCCCGCTTTCTCTCCCTTTCCTCACCTCTTCATTATGCGTATTAGACGATTGTAGCCACCGCACTCCCGACAATCGTCTCCCAGGTTATTAGCTAAATTTTGGCTCTAAGCACTAAGCTCTTGCTGATTTCTTCTGCTAGCTACATGGAGGGAAGAGCTACAGCTGGGTTGGCTCGTAAGCTTATCTCAAATAAATTCTTCTCAATGAATACGTACATTTACTCACGCACGATTTCTCGCCCTTCAGGGCATATCTTCTTGGTGCAGCTACTCTCTGCCCTCTGTATGGCAAGCTTGCAGATGTTTTTGGCAGGAAGCCAGTCCTGTTTGGAGTCATCGCCATCTTTCTGGTCTCGTCCGCCTTATGTGGCGCCGCGCAGAGCATGACATGGCTTATAGTCTGCCGAGCGATCCAGGGAATCGGCGGTGGTGGCATCTTACAACTGGTTCAAATTACCGTCTCTGATATAGTCAGTCTGGAAGAGTAAGTATATCCCCGTTTAGCCCATACTACCCTCTTCCTTTACGCCCAAGCTGTGGTCGTTTTATCTTCCGTGGGCATTTCCTTTCCCGAAGCAGTCGGCGAAAAGCTTTCCCCTTCATTTACGGCCTTAATATCGAAGTACTTCTGTCTCTGATCTCACATATTCTTCCTTAGGCGAGGGAAATATGGGGGATTCATAGGCTCGACCTGGGGAATTGCCAGTGTAGTCGGGCCGCTCGTGGGAGGGGTATGGGAAATTTCCCCCTTAATTAAATAGATGTATTGACGCGTCTTAGGCATTCACGGATCATGTCACTTGGAGATGGTAAGTTTAGCGTTTATTCCGAGGCGCGTAGCCCCCTGAGATGATTTTCTTGTAGGTGTTTCTTTGTAAATCTCCCCACAGGTGGAATTGCCGCAGTCATCCTTTTCTTTTTCCTTAATCTTAACCCTCACCATGGCCGGCCGCTCAAGGAACATCTCGCTGAGCTTGACTTCCTTGGTCTCATCCTTATCGTTGGTGGGGTTGTTTGCCTACTCCTCGGTTTTGATTTCAGCGAGACGGGCTGTAAGAGCAAATCTTCCTTCTTGTAACAATCTAGATATTTGCTGACAAACCTACTTGTAGGGTCGGCCCCCCAGACTATCGCTTTGATAGCGAGTGGTGCGGCTTTACTCGTTGCTGGAGGGGTGAACGAGGCGTTCACCAAACGCTCTGCAATCGTACCGCCGCGGCTATTCAGGGTACGTAAACTGTGCATCTGCTTCCAGGCAAAGATGGCACATATGCACCATTCCAGACTCGTACAACGACCATTATTCTCGTGACATGCTTCTTCCATGCTTTCGGGTTTTTCGCCACAACGTACTACCTCCCACTCTTCTTCCAAGTCTTGGGTTCAAGTGCAACTGGTGCCGGCATACGGTAAGACGTTTGATAAAGAGATTCCCGCTCTGCTATGCCTCCCCCCCTTCTTACGTGGATTTACTGACTTGCCACACTAATTGACAGGATGATTCCTTACTCGCTTGGATCTTCCGCGATATCAGCAACTTCTGGGCAGTTCATTGCACACTTGGGTTATCGGCCCATCATCTGGACTGGTTACACAATTATGACGCTTGGATACGGGTTGATGATCATGCTGGATGACAAGTCCAATGGGTATGGCCTAGCCTTGCAATCGGCACGAACTCAACGGACCGCTGATCTATTTTCGCTTCTCAAAACAGTGCTGAACGGGCACTCTATCCCCTGATTGCCGCCGTCGGCACTGGATGCCAGTTCCAGATACCACTAATCGCTTTGCAAGCTGCGATGCCGTTGAAAGATATGGCGACGAGTACGGCAACGTTTGTCTTCGTACGGCAGCTCGGCGGCACCATTGGCGTAACTATCGGCCAGGCAATATGGTCATCGGTTGGTGCCGATATTCACCCTTCAAATAAGAATAATCCATCGAATTATGTCTCTCCCACAGGAACTCCTTAAAAAGGCCAGAGCCTTAAAAGGCGTATCCATCGATACTTCACCAGGAGCATTGATCCAGAGCGTCCGGTCTTTACGGAGCTTATATCCAGACGCAACGCAACGTCGGATAGTTATCCACGCCTATACGGACTCTATCAGGGTAATATGGCTCACCGTAACACCGATGGCTGGCATCTGTCTGCTCCTCTCGCTCTTCATGCGCAAGTATACGCTGAAACGCACGACAATTCGCGGAGGAAAGGGCCGCGCAGATAACAAGTCAGAAGCTGATCCAAATGAGTTTGACGACGTTGAGGCTGGGTTTGATGGGAGGGACGATCCAGGGGATGAGGTCGACGAAAAGAAGGCGGCCCGCGAAAGGGGGGTTATTGAGGCACGCGAACCTGACGACGGTGCTGCCGAGGTCCGAAAGATTGAGCGAGAAACTTCACCTACGAACACTGTAGTTGATTCGCACGAACATTTTCAAAGAGTTTGATGATACTGATGAAATCGCTGTCTTCCACTTTCTCTCTACAATTTTCTCTACCATAGATGACTGTCTTGCCTAGCCTGTCTGATTTGTAGCCATACAAGGCTCCTGCTTGTATTAGAAATGAATCTCACCAATTTCATACTTGTCTAAATGAATTTCTAGCTCCTTGACTCTTTACGTTTACGCGGGCTTTGGCTAGATGCTGTCAAACCATGAGTTCGCGGTAAGCAGGTCCGGAGGAACATATTGGATCAGCACAGCAGTACGGAGCAAACAACCATGTGTAAAAAGCACGACAACAACAAAGAAAATAAATTAAAGAACGGTCATGACAGACGTCAGTATAGTCCCTAGACAGACGCTTATTAGCTGCAGCAACTCAATGAGAGTGACTGTAAGAGACGAACTAAGTATGTTCCCCCGAACGTTTTTGCTTGCTCTCAAGCTTTACAGTCAGCCGGTCCATAAGTTCACGATGTGATCTGTGCAACAACGTGAGTTTTACGACCATGACAACAACTGTCTCTTACTTTCTGATATTTCCAACAATGAACGGCATTAGGAAGAACGGAGCCTGTGAAATTCAGCCAGGGTAAGCAGTTGCAGTGAAACGGAAGACTTCTACAGAAATCCTGCTGACTAACCTCGACATGACTCTCTTCAACAACCTCAGTCGTATCCGGTTGTTCATCGCGTCTCTTCGACGTCCAGTGATTCGTCGACGTCATCCCGCCACTAGCTTTTACATGGAACGTCGTCCTGTTCTCCCCAAACTCCACTCTCGCCGTATACGTCGTCTTCGTCGTGAAGAACGGCATTTTGATCGTATCTGTGATGACGTATGTACTTGGATCTTCTGGCTTGACTTCATAATAGGCGACAAGAGGGTTGAGAGTTATAACGGTCGGTGGGTCCTTCAGGACGTTCAGGACTTCCTCTTGCGGAACTTTTAAAAAGTTAGGTATTTTAGCTATTTTTGTCCTAACCGATGAGCAATGTATTTCTGACCTTTGATGACGCCTCTCGTAATGACAATTCGCTTGAGGAAAAGAGGCCAAGGACCCATGCTGGTCCGATGGACAAAGTGAAGTAACGTCGATCACATGTACGGTAACATGACATACTAACTAATATTGGACCCACATTCAGTCGATCAATCAACAAACATCGCGTGCCATAAAAAAGATAGCATCGAATAAAGCAAGGGAACGAAAAAAGGATTACAACTAAAACACAGAATGAGTCTACCAATACAAGTACACTGATACATCTAGTACAGATATCCGAGCCCGCAGTAAACAGAAAAGCGATATCAATGGGCAGCGAGCGACAGCATTGCGGTCATCAGAGCTCGTTGGGTGCGTAATAAATTCGTATCTCCTCTATGACTCAAAGCGCAATTCCTCTGCCTCACCCTCCTCGCTTGCTTCTCCGATCCCTACTTCACCGACAATGTACTTAAGCACGTCGCTGTGCGTAATGATACCCAGCAACCGTCCTTTCTTTCCGCCTTGTTTCTCTTCAGCCTAGCCAACTGTCAATTTAAAACATGCTGCGGAATGCTCAGGAAACTTACCTCGCCCTCCACCACTACGAGACGATGGAACCGTCTCTTCTTTATGAGCTGCAGCATGGTTGCAAGCGAGTCTGAAGCATTGCAAATAACGACCCCAGGAAAATCAGGCGAGCGCTGGGTTAATGCTTCTGCGATGGTTAGATCCAGCGATTGGTACGCTCCCAGCCGTACAAGAGTCTTGAAGTCATGCCTCAGACTAGCTTTACACGAAGGAGATCAAAAGATGACTCACGATAACGTCAACCGTCTCATACAAGTTCACAACGACGCCGTTCTCATCGATGATCGGGACAGCGGAAATGCCGCGCTCAGAAAACATGTGGACGACGTCGAAGACACGAGTGCTCATCGTAGCAGTTGCAATGGGGTAGTACGGATTTTCTGGAGGCTTCTCAGGTTCACCCTCTTCTGGTACCTGAGCGGGCGTATTTGGCGAGGCATTAACGTATGTACCGATCTTGAGCTTTCGCAGAGGCATATGGAGCTGCTGCACGTCTTTGGCGCACTATTAGAGGTATTAGCGGTGAAGAATAAGAATATTTGAATAGTAAACTCACGTTTATCGCGACATATTTGAGAAGTCTATACTGCGTTAAAACAGAGACAATCACTTCGTGTCCCGTTTCAGTGTCTACGTCGAGGAGCGGCAATCGACGAGCGTGAGTCTCAATCAACCGCTTGGCGGCAGCAAACAAGGTGCTCGAAGGATGCTCGCGAATGAGAGGAACGGGAGCTACACCGAGGTGAGTCTCGATTTCTGTACGAAAGTAAATGCCGGATTAGCACGGAGACTACAGCACAGAGGGTACACCCACGTCGCAAATTCTCTAAGCGCAAGTTCTCAACATCGGCGACCGCTGACTCGTATGTTGCGGTGTGGTAGTAATATTGTATTAGATGGATGATGTCTGACACAGTCAGCATTCCAGCGAAGCGACTCTTCTCGCTGTTCCACAGCGGGGCCGAAACGACGCCTGAAATGCGTTATGAGACAACTTATGCGCTGCACCAGTCAAAACGTACGCACCATTATACAGCAAACATTGCAATGCCTTCCTTACTTCTAGCTTTGTATCAAGAACGATGATGCGGTAACTGACTGGGAAGGAATCGTAGTTCGTCCGACTCCTCAAGTGCGCTCGGATCGACTTGAGTGCAGCTTCATGCGTTTCAAGTGATGGTGCCGGAGGCAGCTGAGAACCTGCTCGCCGACGCCCAGATGGTTGACGTCGTACTCTTGGACTGGTAGGTGGCGGGGACAGAGTCGCACTGTGTTCAGAGGACATGGCTGTCGACTACACAGGTAAGTGCGCGCGACACAGCAGAGGAACAGAAGTGGACGAGTTCACATTTGGGCGTCAGGCCCTTACGTAAACTAACGAATAATTAAATTCCGAAAAAAAAAAATACATGATTTGCACAATACGAAAAATATGTTGACTGTGTACAGATGGTTGAGTTTAAAAGATACATGCCATCTCATCTCCGTCTTTCTCTTCTGCTTCTGTGTCGGTCGCCCTGTCCCATACCAACCGCACTTTCCGGAATGCTCTCGCGATTCAGCGCCGCAGCGATGACCTCAGCGGGAAGATCAACCTCGACACCCTCCGGGTATCGGAGCGCATCCAACGGGGAATACGCCGGCGGTGGGCGCGCCGTACCGTCGTCCGGGCCAGCTCTCGTCTGTCCGCCTGCACCTGTCTGTGAAGACATAGGAGTCAATGCTCTGAGATGAATATCCGCTGCCCCACTAGGCGAAGACGGCTCGGGGAAATTCATAGGTGATTCTGGGGGAGGTTGCAAACGCATTACCATTTCAGCAGCGGAAGCGTTGCGGCTGTGTCCTGGAGACCGCACGGTAAACCGCGAGACTGGAGACATCGACCGCGAACGGGAAGGAGAGGCGGTCGCTGACGATTGCTCAGAATCATCTGCGTCGCTTTGACCTGGAGGCGAAGCTGGTAGATTTGTAGAAGCAGGAGTGTGGAAAGGCGTATCTGTAGGAGAAATGTACCGACCAGAGGATGGGCCTCCTCCAGGCCCCTCTTCCTCGATGGGCGTAATCGGTGGTGGAGGGGTCTGAGGTGCTTGCACAGGTAGTGAACTGTTTCGGAGTGGCGACGACTGAGGAAGAGATGAAGGTCTTGGTCTTCGAGAGCGGTGACCTCGCCTCGAGGAAGATGGAGAGGCCATATTTGGTGCAGGAGACGCTGCACTGTCATCCACGGGCCTAATTCCGCCTCCTGCTTCCAAAAGGATACTTCCTCGCTCGCTTCCGTATGCGGGCGGAGGAGCCAGCGTACCGACACTAGGAGCTAGTCCCCATTTCTTGACATTTGCTTCAATGAAGACAAAGCCAGATTGTCCGAGGTTCACGTGCAAGCTGCATGGTCCATCCGCTCCCACAGTGGGAAACAGATTCCAACGTGTCAAGCCGATATACGCGTCGTCCATTTTCCGGCCGTTTCGAGTGAAAAAGACAGTACCTGTGCGCGGTCGATATCCGACGCCAAGCACGTCACCTTCTTTGAGGGGACTACCATAGGACTGAGCAGTAAACGGATAATTATGAGATTTGTCACCATTTGAGTGGTATGCAACCGAGAAACGGTTATATCCAGGAAGTCGGAATACGGGATACGGTTTTGTAGCGAGTCCAATGGCGACTGAGGTCGTCTCTGGCAGATCAAACAACTTGACTTCCCAGTAGTACACCTCATTAAGTTTTGGCAGCGGTAAATTCGATTGCACACAAGACGAAGAAAATGGATCCGGCAAAAACGTGAGTTCCGTACGTGAGTGCACAAGAATTGATGCGTTCGATTCGTAGTCCGGTTCAAATGACCACGCAGAAACACCCTTCTCCTGAATAGACAAAAATTGCGATAGAGTGATATCCGTTGGAAGTGAATTTGGAGGATATTGTGTCTGATAATCTTTTGCCGTATGGTCTGATGAGATACGAAACAGAAATAATGCAAAGTAACACACCTTTGGCCCGACGGTAAGCTCTCTGTGTTTCGTCGTCGACGGTCTCCAACCATCGTTCTTCGACACCTTCGAAGCCACCTTCGCCGTCAATGAGCTCCTCCCTATTCATGTCAATTGGGCCATCATTATCACCGAGAGAGATGCCTCGACGCCGCCGTAAAAATATGACGCAAACTAAGAAGAGTAATAGGAGAAAGAGGAGAGAGGAGAGTATGATAAGGAGGGGGAGGAGAACGAGCAAAGCATCACGATTAACAGGAGCAGTTGGCTTGGGGTTATCTACTATGTCTCTGGAGTCCATCACATCGTTTGAGAAACTGAACGAATTGAGGAGCACCCGACGAGCATCGGAAACGGACTGGCGGGGCTCGGCGTCTGACGCAGGAGGATAAGGAATGGGACCCGGCACATCTGCGGCCAGGCCAATAGCCATTGTGTATATTGTCGTCAGTAGAAAGAGGGGGAATGAAGAGAGCAAAGAGAGTGTTGGAGGTAGAGGGAACAAAGTGGATGGAGATTTAGATGGTCGTCGTGACGAGAGTCGTGGTGTTGAAGCTGGGGCTGACGAGATGGGACGTCCTTATATGGCAACTTGGCTCACAGCTTTGCGTCCACTGCGTATCAGCGCAAACTCAACTCCGAGACGGTCCGTCCAGTGTTTTTAAATTTCTTGGGAATTTCTTACACGATTATAGTGGAACAATGCTCATATCATCATGCTCAGGTAAACACTACGGACTCTGACGGCCATCGAATCTTGTGAGGTGAGGATTATGATGGCCGGAACTGTGCGCCACGTGACGTTACCAGACGAGCACCGCTGCGCGTACTCGCCGCGTTTCCAGATCGTACTGAGACTACTAACACTCGTGTCGCCACACTACAATGAGCGCATCCGTTCCGTTACTGCAAACTATTGAGCCAGATGATACTTCTGCTCCAGAGAACCATGTGCCCTCTGGGAATATTGGATCGGGAAATGGTCCCGCATCAAAGCCATCTGTGGTCTTAACACCTACCAATCGCTCTGCAATGGCTTCGAATCCTTCCGACGCTGAAGCTGGTAAGGACATTGGTGCTGTTTCTTTACCCAGTGTTCTCACCGCTCTACTGTAACATAGGAATTGCGGGTATTTTTCGACAAGTCCGCAGCTCTATTTACTTTAGAAAACGTATTCTAATGCTAATTCGTAATTTACTTAAAGTCATCACACCCTCTCATTCTCTTCTTTCTTTATGTCTTTCGGATACTTGCACTTGCAGTGTATATATTATGCGAGGTGTTCACCGACAACTATGTCTTGGCTGTGAGTGCTTCTTGATGCACCCACTATGTATCATTTTCCTTACTGACATAACACCATTCATATAGAGTGTAATGGTTGTAGTCTTGTTGGCCATGGACTTCTGGAACTGCAGGGTGTGTATTATATCCCGGCTAGTCGTCTTTAACTAATTACTTGACTTTTAGAATGTTGCTGGCCGGACCTTGGTAGGGCTACGATATTGGAATCAAGTATGTCAAATTAATATAATATTTCTACTCTTGCATTATTTAATTCACATTGGTACATAGGTGGACGATGATGGGGAGAGCTACTGGGTCTTCGAGAGTCGCGACGTAAGCTCCCACATGTTCTTCAACATTGCACAACGCACGTTTTAATCGTGTTTTCCACTCAGCCATCTCGCCCTGCCAACCCTATTGATGCTCGGTAAGTCCGTCCTCCCGGTCCCGTTTCACAACAACTCGTTTTGATGTATGAATCCACGACAGGATGTTCTGGGTATGCTTTCTTACCTTTCCATAGCTCTAGACCAGGACTCACCACCATCTGTCTATTGTGTATGTCCAGGTGGCCATTTACGCCTTCCCAGTACTCTGGCTAGTACTGCTCTTTGTCGCGTTAATCAAGTTAGACAGGTATGTGGGCTCATTGTGCTACCATCGTTGTTCTGTACTATACCCTGTACTAAGCGCGGGGACTTGCCGCTATCTCCGTTGTCTTCTTCCCCTCTTCCCTAGATTCCTACCCATTGTCGCGTTGGCGCTCGTGTTTAACGTCACGAATGCCATAGGGTTCACCTACGCGTGCGTCGTGTTTTCTTTCTCTCCGTTCCTTAGATACGATATCGGAACTGACATGCTCTTTCCACCATGCGTATACGTATTTGTGCCTTGCGTGTTTAGCGATCGCGATGCGAAACAGAGATGGGCTAATAACATGGTTGCATCAGGCTGGAACATGGGCTTTGGTGGTATCGGTGGCAAGCTCCTCGGAAGCGCTGTCAAGAACAGCGTTGGCCGTGTATTTTCATCTTAGCAGAATGTTCCTTCACGATAATCTAGATACCTTCATACCCTCGCACAACAACCGAGCTCCTGATTTCTCTGATTTCAGATGCAGAAACATACAATTTTGTATGTGTTTTTGGCATTCTTTGTTTCTACCAGCAATTCCGCTCTGCGGAGCGGACAGAACAAACAACAAATAAACAGAAACGAAATAAACTTGAACAGCGAACAGCAAAGTGCAGACAAACTTAAAGAAGGGTGAATTGTTGAATTTTGAGAGCGAAAGCAAAGCGAAGTGAAAAGAAAAGAAAAGAAAAAAAGTTTGAATAATGGTATAAATATTAACATGTTAAAAAAATTGCGAAAGTGCAGGACGTGGAAAGTCGAATAAAATGCAGACAACGCGGGGGGAGGGCTACATAATACAAAGCTGCGTGGGTTCTGTGTGGAATCTGGCAGTTGTGCAGAAAATTAAGAAATGTATGAAGTGTCCGATGCTCGGTCCATAAGTGCTATGGATGAGAATGAAGGGGAAAAAAATTGGAATAATAGACAGAGGAATGCAAGAATAAACATGCAGGGGCGAAAAGGTTGCTGAATGAAAAACGCAGTAACGAAAAAAAAACCTACTGGCATGTAGAGCATAACCATGTTAAAAAGAAACATGCAGAAGAGCGTATATAACTTATTTGCAGCATATTATGCACTGAAAAGTGACGCCAATGCTATTTGGCGTCGCGCGGACCCAGCCCCACCCATCCACGAGCATCCACACGAGAACACGCGGTGGTCGGAGTAGGAGGCACCGACAATCCAATGAAGGATTTCCTGCGACCTTCAGTCTTAAACGTCGACACACGCGGGGTTGGCGCACCCGCAAACGGCAACGGACTGTTTAGGCTTGACGTTACAGTGACCATATGCGGTGTAAAGTGCGCCTTAAGCGTTGGTGATGGCGGGAAGACGAATAGCGTCTGAGAGGGTGTCGTCACAGACAGTTGCGACAGCTGCGACTGACTGCTTGAGCGCGATGACGAACGGGTAGCAACAGAGCGGTTATTAGGCTGAAGAACAGGTAGCGCTGGACGATGGTTCCTAAGATCTGATACTCGCGAAGAAATAGCGGGCTCGCTCAGACGCAAAGGAGGTGGTGCAGGGCGACGACGTGGCTTCTCTGCTTTAGGGAGAGACTCAACCGGAGGAGGAACTTCGGGGGAACCAAGCACATCAGGGGAAGACGGGACGGGAGGTAGAAATTTCAGAGGCGGTGGTCTCAGTTTAGGCCTGGGTTTGAAAGGAAGCCGCGCAGGAAAACCGAATGACGTCTTAGTGACAGGTGCGGATGGTGGTGGCTTGTCCGGAAGAGAGCTAGTAGACCGTTGTAAAGCCAGAAATATCGGCTTCGCAGTGGAAGGCGTGCAAACCTGTGGAAAAGACATGGAATTGTCTCTCTTAGAGTCCGGGGACGCGTTGACCTCCTCTTCCGTCGTCTCCCCACTGTGACTCCGGGAGGAGATGCTTGGGGCATCAAAACCGCCACCAATACCCAAAAGGGCCTCCTTTTCGTCTTCCTCGACAAGATCTTCTGATATGATGCTGGCGTTTGTAAAATTGCTAGCAATAGAGCCCGTGCGCTTGCGGTTGCCGTACCGGGCCTTCCATGCTGGACCCATGCCAATACCTGAAGATGAGCCCAGAGATGATCCAGAAGCCTTACGAGCAACTATCCTCTCTTCCATAGCTCTGTCCAAAGCATACGCTTCCTGTATTACCTCAACGCTTTCACGATCAGCTTCAGGTTCAGCGGGTTCTTCATCAAGCATGCGTCTGCGCCGACTCCATTCTTCTTCATCCTCCCCAATTACAGAGGAATGCTCTGAGCCGGATGGCGATTTGTTGACACCATTGAGAACATGCTGGTAATCCTGAAGTTGGTATATAAGTCTGGACGAGTCAATCGTGTTAATACCGTAATATAATTTATCTGCGAAACAGGCTTACAGCATATTTGGCCCGATGCAACTACTCTTCTCTTTGACAAAATCGTAGGCACCAGCGAAACCTGTGCCCTTCAGCGCCCGTACTTCAGACGAGGCGGAAGGTAGTGATTGAGCCGCAGCACGCATCACTAAAGCTATGACTACTGTAGCGGATCGCGAAACTCCGCACTGGCAGCTGTGTGGAAATATACCCATGAGTGAAATCGATAAACGGGAGAAGGGCTAGGACTTACTGAATCAACACGCCGTCACCACGTTCCAAGGCCGAGTCGATGAATGCCATAGCAGTAACAAACCCATCCTTGACTAAATCAGGCTGTCCATGGGACCAGGAAAGCTTTAGATAGTGCATGGAAGGTCGAGTGCCGTGAGCTGGATAGAAGGTGTCACCCGCTTCGTTGGGAGCCGTAACGCTTCGCGAAAGGGCGGCAGAATCAAAGGGTGAGATGACCTCCCTAGCCACGTTCAATATTGCGCGAATGCCTCGGTCTGCCAGGCTCTTCCAGTTGGTAGCATTTTCCTCGTTGCCCAACCACACTCCGGGAAGAATTTGCACTGGACCATCGGCGTATGGGGACAAAGTCGACTCGTCCTCGTCCTTGCGATGCATCCTTGAGGCTAGTGGTACGTTTTGAATAGAGGCTAGAGACGCTCGCCGTTTCGGCTCGATGATGGCAAGTGACTGGGTGCCTTCATCGGTCGCATGTCCGCTGTCAGCATCGGAAAATATTGAGAGCGAATTTGCAGAACGATTGGAGTGCGCAGAAGGGAGTGTAAGAGAGAGTTTTTTGGTATTGCGCATCGATCTTTGCCTGTGGGGGGGACAGTCCGGAAGGGGTGGAGAAAAGTCGGATTCGGAATTGGCGGAGGAAAGGGATGAAGATGCGGAAGCGGAGTCGGCCAGAGCGAGGGCAATTGCAGGCTTATGAACCGGAGTGTCTATGCGCAGGGACGGAGGAGGCCCCTTCCTGCGTGGCTGGACTGGGAGTTGCTGGCGAGGGGTCTGGTCATAGTCATGGCCAGGAGCGAGCATGGCCTGCCGAGGGACTGGATTTGCGGAGAGATAATCGGAGACACGACCAGCGTGGAGAGAGAGAGAAACGAGATGAAGAGATGAAAATGATAGTAAAACAGAAGAGAAGAAAGGCGAGGTGGGCGTCAAACGGAGTGTGGTGGGCGACGCCTTGGGGCAGCCTCGCGGATGGTTGTGTCAAGAAGATGGACACTAGACAGCCGCCTCGTTCAACCAGCAAGTGTATGTGCACTTATTTGTCTATCTCAGGGTCCTTCCCCACTCGGCCGTTTCCCTCAAGCGGATCCCAACTTCGTTGCTCTTTTGTATCTTTATCTATTCGGCGGCGGAATTCAGTCGAATGGCAATATAGCAATGTTACCAGTGTTTATATTTGGCCGCGCTCCCGCAAAGGTCGCTCTCCGCCCTCCAGCAGGCAGAGCAAAACTCAGCAGCCGCCTCGGACAGTCGAGTGGGCTGAAAGGGAGTGGTGATGAGTCAGGGAAGACGAGTGGAAAAGACTGATGGAATATCCGTTGCGAGCGTCGAGGTCGGAAGAGATGGGGCCGTTGCTCCGGTCTCACATGCGCGACTTTGCTCCTTTCCACGCCCGTGTCTTCTCAGGGAGGGGAACAGCGTCCTTACACCACTCCCTTTCATTCAATAGGTAACGATCCGTGATAGTCGCTCATTTTCAGTTGTGTTCTTCACATTACGCATGCGCATATAGTCACACCACTGTGAGACAGAACCCGGAACATGCCGGGAGACGGCTTAGCAAGGCTATACTTAGTCATCTATGTCACGTGACAGACAAGGGTGACGAAAGGTGTGCCGTTCCCGGCTGTCAGATGCTGGCGAATCCAAGTCTTGCTCGACGGCACTAACGCTGCTTTCACTCGTCGTCGACCATGATTTCTCGGTCAATTCGTGCTTCACGCCTCGTCTCTCGTCGCGTTCTTCCTCCCATCTCACGAGTGCAATGGCGGAGACATTTTGCAGCACCTTCCGAACCCCCAAAGAATGACGACAAACGACTGGATGATAAAGGGAAGCAACGTGAGGACCTCGACCGAAAGGACGATCAGAAAGGATTCCCCCCTCCTCTCGAGGGTTTCTTTCAGCAGCTCAAGAAGCAGATGAAGGAAATTGAGGAGGAACGGAACAAATACAACAAGGAGAACGAATCCGACCGCGGAGACGGCCAGAAAAAATCCCCTCCTCCACCGAATAACAACAATACTCAGCAGCTGATTTTGCTGACGAGTATAGTTGCACTTTTATGGGCTATGTCAAATACCGGTTCTTCTACGTCGAGAGAGATTACCTGGCAAGAATTCCGCACCGCCTTCCTTGACAAGGGCCTTGTTGAAAGACTCGCCGTTGTAAACCGTAACAAGGTCCGCATAAAGTTACGTCCCACTGCAGCTGGCAATATGCTTCCTGGTGCGGTTGCACCGGGTGAGTACTACTTCTCAATTGGAAGTGTTGACGCTTTTGAGCGCAAGCTCGACGAGGCTCAAAACGAGCTGAGCATTCCGAGCCATGAGCGTATCCCTGTCGCATATCACGATGAGATATCAGCATTTAGCACACTATTGCATTTTGCTCCCACGATGTTACTCGTGGGCGTGATTTATTGGATGTCAAGACGTGCAGGCGGCGCAGGAGGTGGTTCGGGAGGTATTTTTGGTATGGGGCGAAGTCGTGCTAAACTATTCAACAAGGAGACAGAAGTCAAGGTCAAATTCGCTGACGTTGCTGGCATGGATGAGGCGAAGGAGGAAGTCATGGAATTTGTGCAGTTCCTCAAGGAGCCCGCCCGCTACGAAAAGCTCGGTGCGAAGATCCCCCGCGGTGCGATTTTATCAGGTCCTCCTGGTACCGGTAAAACGCTCTTGGCAAAGGCGACTGCCGGAGAAGCAAACGTGCCTTTCCTGTCTGTCTCTGGATCCGAGTTTGTCGAGATGTTCGTTGGTGTAGGTCCTTCCCGTGTCCGCGACCTGTTCTCATCGGCCAAGAAACATGCGCCCTGTATCATCTTCGTTGATGAAATCGATGCTATTGGCAAGAAGCGAGGAAAGGGCGGAAACTTTGGTGGAAACGACGAGCGCGAGTCTACTCTTAATCAGCTACTTGTCGAGATGGATGGATTCGGGACTCGCGAGCATGTGGTTGTCCTTGCGGGTACGAATAGGCCAGACGTTCTTGACCCGGCGCTATTGCGTCCAGGACGGTTTGACCGCCATATTGCCATCGACCGTCCTGACGTATCTGGTCGCAAGGGTATCTTCATGGTTCATCTCCGGCCTCTCCGCCTTTCTAGCGACCTTCCTACCCTCGAAGATCTCGCACAAAAGTTGGCTGTCCTCACCCCTGGGTTCTCTGGTGCCGATATTGCAAATGTTTCTAATGAAGCTGCTTTGCATGCAGCGCGCAAGAACCATGAGTCTGTTGAAGAGTCGGACTTTGAGAGCGCGATTGAGCGCGTCATTGCTGGTCTGGAACGCAAGAGCCGTGTGCTGAGCAAGGAGGAAAAGAAGACAGTCGCGTACCACGAAGCTGGTCATGCTGTTTGTGGCTGGTTCCTGGAACATGCCGATCCTCTGCTTAAAGTCAGTATCATCCCTCGCGGAGTTGGTGCATTAGGTTATGCACAGGTACGTGTTTTTGTTTTAGACTTCACGCACATTACACGGAGAAATTAATTAATGAATCGTTAGTACCTGCCCCCTGACCGCTACTTGCTTTCCACGCCGCAAATGATGGACCGGATATGCATGACCCTTGGTGGCCGTGTCTCGGAAGAGATATTCTTTGGCGCAGAGAACATCACGACTGGCGCACAAGATGACCTGCAAAAGATCACTCGCATGGCATTTGAGGCGTGTGCAAACTACGGCATGAACGACGTTATTGGCCCAGTCAGCTACGGTGGGACCGAAAGTAGGAAAGAGAGCTGGCAGAAACCATTCAGCGAGAAGACTGGCGAGATGCTTGATTCCGAAGTCCGCAAGATGATCATGTATGTCGCGTTTCTTTATTCTCCCCGCTTGTTTGAGCTTTTACTGACCCTTTGGTAGGACGGCGTACGACCGTACGCGGGAACTGCTAAGAAAGCACCGCGAGGACGTCGAGAAAGTTGCTCAACTGCTTCTTACCAAGGAGGTTATCACGCGCGAGGACATGCGGGATCTTCTCGGTAAACGACCTTTCGATGGGCGTTCCGACGACATGGACAAATGGTTAGACGAACACGGGTCGAAGAAGAAGGGAGAAGTGAGTGCACCTCCGCCGATGGAAGAGTCACCTGAACCTGCACCGTTGCCAACCCCCATGTCGAAATTAGAGGTAGACAGGAGATGATTCCGGAACTTCGTTTTCCTTTTCTCTCCTTGTATTACAGGGTACGCTATCATCAAGTAAAAGTAAATACTTTGCATAATGAAACGCATACAGAGGCATCCCACTCCCTTCAATATAAATTGCATAGAACATCTAATTAGCTTAAAGATGAAGTCAAAGAAATTTGACTGTTAATGTTCATACGGATAAAACTCTGGCTACGGAAATGAACGGACTTAAGAAATTGCTGCGCAGCGTGTATCTGAAACTGTTTCAGCCCTCATCCTTTGTCTTAGCCTCGATGCTGCCATACGAGTACAAGCTATACATTATCACGCCCTCATGCACAGTTAGGCCCATCATGCACAGTTCACATGTTCTTGGTCAGTGAAACCTTCCGAATCCGTCCTTGCAACCGTCCTGTGTGTTGTAGAATACCCAAGATCCGAACTTAAGTACTGACAGAAGTGGTGTGGTACTCGGTCAAGTTACAGTGGATCTCGGTCAAATTGGAGAATCTCAGGATTATTTGATGCATAGGTGAGCTAGAATGGGAATGGAACAAGTCGGCACATTGAAGCAACATTCTGTAACTGAGAGTATTATCAGACACCTCGACCGTTTGCATTATGATTGTGAATCAACTCCAGGAGACAGTAAGTAGGCAAGCTGCGGAACAAGAAGTCTTCCATCTTAACTGAGTGCCAACCTCAGCTCGCAAGGTATACGGGCACCACGTGGATCTCGAATTGACCAGCCTAGCCCTGTGTACCGAGGATTCGCCAAGAAGTTGATCCCTGCATTGTGTCTTTATTACAGGGAGACTATGTTCATCTTGCGTCCTTGCAGCTTGATTGCATCCCGTTGCTGTAGTTCCCTCAAGTGCACGTCCCCGACGGGTCCTGGAAGGGGTGTTGCGCGAGCTTCGCAGGGGTCAAGTCGTAATAGGTCATTATACAGAAACATGGTGCAACGATACAGTACTTTTCCCAGGCGGCTTCGAAAAATTCAGCAGACGTTGCATTGCCGTCACGTCAAAAAAGTGTATCCTGAAACGTAGTTCGTTAACATGCATTGACGTCATCAAAAGTTCCGTTCTTTCACGTACCTCATCGCGAAGATATTCACCAACGTCACTGCCAAGATGTCAGTAACGTTGCGTGATAAATATCAACTAGCAACACTCACGCTTGGTGAAAAACGAGAATAGCAGTCGGGTCTAATTGTCGCACGTCTGCTGTTGACCGAGCGGTAACACCGAAGCCCTTATCCGAGAAATGTTAACAGTAGTCAATGAGAATTGTGCTTTATGACGTACTAGAGGCGTATCGTTCATGCTGTAGACCACCACGCCCTGATGCTCCGGCGTGTCCTCTGTTATCCTCCCTAAATGTGCCTTTACGACGTGATTCCCATACAGGAATGGCATCTCGCCGTTTGGCTTAATCCAAACCTGAACAATCATATTCAGAAAGGTTTATGTCCAACAATAAATCATCACATACTTTATATTTTGCGTATTGCGCCAGGAAGTCGAGACTTGTAATGTGCAGCTTGAACTTGCCGCTCTTGCTAAATTTACCGAAGCACGTCCCTAAACTAACGAGGTTCAGTCGAGCAACGGAGATAGCTAGTTTCATCGTCGATTCGGAGACATAGAACACACGGTCCTTGTGTAGTCGAAAGCAGTACGGCTCATCTGGTCTGTCTATAAGATGGACAAGATTCTTTCCCTGTAAGTTTTCAACAAAGTTAACAAGACAGCATAGGATAAAACGAATTTTGACACAGACGATGTAGTTAGCAAGCTTAGTAAATACTAGCTTGCTCTCGTCTTCAGTGAGTGGCCTCATTGGGAGTAAGGGTAGAGGCACGAAATGCCGAAGCGGGCTCAAATTGCAAGCACGAGGTCGGAAAAGTATTCGGTGCCGATGATCGACGTTCCTCTGTCTCTCAATGAGGCGCTTTGCGAGCCGAGTGTTCGTCAACATCCTTCAAATCTAGCAACGCGTTGAGCCTCCAAAGATCCGAAAGGACTCATTCACCATTCTCCGTTATGTCAGCTCCTTCGTTCTCGTCCTTCCCTCCTGTCTTCGATTCTTTCCCGGATCTAGAATCTAGCTCAAGCACTCAACAACCTACTGAGGGACACGCGCACACAAAGCATGACAGAAACAGAGAAAAGAAACGCAAAGATGACAGAGAGAATAAAGCAGACAAGGGCAAGGAAAGAAGGCACGAACAAGATAAACGCGACAGGAAGGAAAAGAAAGGGCATAGTCGTAGCACCATGCCGGACAATCTCGATGAGCTTGACCGTAAATCCTCGCGCCGGAGGAAGCGAAGTACATCTGTCGATGAAGACCGCGAGCGTACTGCAAAGGTCATGGCAGCTCCAGAGAGCTACAATCGTGTCTTCTTCATAGACCGGAAAGGGGATGAGCTTAATGTCAGGTACGGTTCTCTGTATGCCGGGGACGTCCCAAAGTATTGGCATGTTGGTCGTGAGTCTCTCGCTTCATTGTTATCTAATTACTCATGAAAATATAAGGTGGAAAGAAGGTACTTGGACTAGCACCTCATCTTGGTGTCCTGTATAGAGGAAGTAAGGGAGTTGAAATCGGAGAACTGGGTTGGTACAATAAGGTAAGTTGAATGCATTAGCGTCATTTTCCCCACTAAACAGTAGTTTTGCAGTCTCCTCAGTTGACCGACTCTCGCGCTCGTGCACTACTTAAATCAGGACGAACTCGAAGACTGACAACGTCATCTAAAACAACACACAAGTATAACGAAATAGACGGGTTCATCAAACTCCCATCCAGAAAGGGAAAGGAAAAGGAACAGGCGTACCGGTCAATTGCCATTGGTAGTAAAGATGGATCGGACTCAGAGTCATCTTCAGTACGCAGTGGAAGCGAGGCGTCCGACTCCGACTCTGATACATCGCCTTTATCTGCTCGCGAAGAGTCCCTTCGAAGTCTCGAGCAACGTCTAGCAAAGGATCCGACATCTGAACAAACATGGCTTCTGTTGCTACAACACTCGGTCGGTGGCACAGAGCCTTCAAATAAGAATGCAGAGAAGGCGCGTGCCGAGATCTCTGTCTCTATTCTAGAACGTGCATTGTCCGCACATCCTTCCAACGCTACTTCTCCTCTCCTCCGTCTCAAGTACTTGAAGGCAGGCGAAATGATTTGGGATACTGCAAGAACAAAAGCAGAATGGGATAAGACATTGAAGACTATCACCTCTGCCGATATCCTAGTCGAATGGCTCGATTGGATAATTCGTACTACCCCTAATTTCAATGCCGCGGTCGAGTCTGCGATGAAGGCAATCGAAATTGCTAGCAATGACAAGGATGACTACGCGAGGCTCCGAATATTTTGGCGAATCGCGACCTTTCTCAGACAAGCCGGTAAGTTGTACATACTCAGCGCCTTGAATTCTAATTATCCTATAATTCACTTGCTTTCTTCAGGTTACGTCGAACGCGGATTCGCACTATTTCAAGCACAAGCTGAATTGTAAGCCAACCGATCTTCAACGATCCTATATTGCTTCGCTCACAAGTGTCACTTTAGAACGTTTAATGAACCAGAAGAGAACGTGACTGCATCGCTCGAGCAGCGACTTGACTCATTAGAAGAGTTCTGGGAGTCCGAAGCTCCTCGAATGGGGGAAGCAGGAGCAAAGGGCTGGAAGACTTGGATTGCGGACAAGCAAGGAGACGCTGGCAGAAAACCGCGTCGAGTTGACGAACTTGCGAATCATGACCCGTACACAATTTGGCATTTCGGGGAGGTAGAGTCGGATAGGCGTCTGATTTTTCCAGTTCGGATGTCAAACCAGGAGGATGACAATACAGAAGAAGATGACGTCGAGGCAGAAGATGAAGACCCTTACGCTACTATCTTATTCTCGGACATTCGGCCCTTCCTGATTGACCTAAGAACGCCCAAGGCTCGAGAGATATTCCGACTTGTATGGCTGTCGTACTTAGGTCTACACATTCCTGGTCTTTCTGGCGCACTATCATCAACAAATTTGGCCTCTGACGATAGATGGGCGGATACTGCGCTCTTGCAACCTTGGTTTGTGCAGTCACTCCTCCCGCACTCCAATGATCTGCGTATGATCACGGCTGACTCTGTCAGTGGAGTTATGGTTGGGAGAGAGAAAAGATACTCAAAGGGCTTTGACGCTGTTAAATCGTGGAGTTTGGGGGTACTTGAACCTTTGGATGGTTTGACAGTCAGCGGTGAATATAGGATGTGGCCTAGAGACTGCCTGGCAGGTCTCGATCCAGACGTAATAGACGTTATGAGGTATTTTTCGCCTTTATGGATACTATGAATTGTTCATTGCTGAAGAAGATTGGATTCTCCAGACGCATCATTAGAGAGCATAAGCATGACAGTGAACTTCCAGGTTGGAACTTATCGGAACTGGCATTTGAAGCGTCAATGGGTCAGGGTGAAACGTGAGTCTTCCAATTATCGGTCTCCTCACGCTGCTTAATCTTATTTTTTCTCGTTACATCGCAGCGCCCTGAAGCTTTCTCAGGCAATGCTAGCAGAGAATAGCTCATCAGCGGAACTCCTTGCTACCCACGCACACTTAGAACGTATCCGACATAAATACGACAAGGCACGCAAAGTGTATAGAGTCGGGCTTCAATCTCTAGCACGGAGCGGAAAGGAAGATGTTGTTTGTCTTTGGTGGGGTTCTGCGGAACTAGAATGGTTGCTCTCAAAGGACGATGCCGCTTTAGAAGTTGTCCTGAGATCCGCAGGTCAGGAAGGAGGGAGAACGGGTGTACATATTCTACGGGCGAAGAGACGGCTTGAAGAACTTTGTCAACCAGACTCGACCTCTGAATGGAGATTCCGCCTAAGGTGGATGAAGTTGAGAATCTTACTTGAACTGCTGGTTGGAACGCTCGACTCCGCAGTTGCAGTCGTGACGCAGTTCCTTGCCTACCAGGCAAATGGGAGCTTGCAACACGAATCGCTTACAGTAGCGAGATTATTAATGCTGTATCACCACACGGTGACATTACATAACCCTGCACCTCCAGCTATACTTCGAGACCGCGTTCAGGAAGCTCTTGGTGTCTATCCGAGCAACAGTATCGTGGTTGGTCTTTTCCTAGAATGCGAGAAGGGGGAAGGAGTATGGGGACGAGTGAGAGGGCTACTAAGCGAAAGTGTGCCAGGAACATTACAAGAAAAGTCAGTGGGTAGGCGGCTTATTGAAGTCTGGATTGCAAAATGGGAGGAAGGACGTTGGTTAGGCGAGGTTGAGCGAACGAGAGCAGGGCTTGAAGCTGCTATTAAGTCCGACAGGTACGTAGTATGAAATCGCTGTCATTCAAGCTTTGGCTGATAACATCTATAGAACCAAGGGAAGTGCTATTCTCTGGAAAGTCTATGTGAAATTCGAGATCGCAGCAGGCAACTTGAAGCGGGCAAAAGCGGTGCTATTCAGGGCACTCAAAGAATGTCCTCTCGTAAAAGGTATGTAATCTCATATTATACACGAAAACAGTAAGCTAAATTAAAGATAGAGTTGTATCTACTCGCATTTGAGGAGGATTTACGGCAAGCGTATACCCGACGGGAGTTAATGGACCTTTCAGACACAATGGCCGAACGGGGTATTAGGCTTCGGCGGTCGTTAGGAGAGGTGTTGGAGATGCATGCTGATGATGCTGATGATAAAGCAGCGTCCGGATCAGAAGACAGTGTGGGGGAGGACGAGGATGAACAGGAGTACGAAAGCAGGGAATTGAGGCGACTAATGCCATATTAGCGTTAGCGTAGTGTAGCCGAGACCCAAGTAAAGAACGAAAATTGTATGTGCATGGTTATGACCGTGAGAAACAATGAGATGTACAAACAAAGATGTTGTGCCAAACAAGACCACCATCACCCGCGTCCACTCCGCTACCTCAAGGCAGTCATAGTTGCAGCAACAAACATCTCCTGTTTGTTCTGCCTGCTCTTTGTCCAGGATTTTCCAATCTTTTTCTATCTCTATAATTCTTAGCTTGTCTCTCTTTACTCCTATGCACTGCCGTACTTCCCCTCTGGCGCTCTAATTCCCGTTTGTCGCCATCCCCGCCTGGTTCCGACAACCTCCTATTCCGTCACACCCCTATTGTTGTGTCCACCGCCCACACTTAGATATCCCCGAGAAACTCTTTAAGCAGGTCCGGACCCTGCCTGGTTATTTCATTCACTACGACAACAACAACGGCTCCAACGACAATGGTCACAATCCCTGCACCCACGCATGCAAGTGAGGAATGGCTCGATGCGGACTTTGACATCCCCGAAGGCGCTGACATTACTCCACCACCGGTTGGCGACGATGACGAGGATTGGGATGTGGAGATGGATTTAGGCAAGACGGGAGGAGCGAAGGCAATACCACTCGCCCAAAACGCGTCCATACATCGGAGTCCTCTTGGCAAGGGCACGATGGTCTCTATCCGGCCTTCGCTCAGTACGACTTCAGAGGCAACCTCTCCCACTGAAGGAGATGATGATGAAGGCATTTCGACGATAAAAATATCTGCTTTACCGATGACACTACTCAAGTCGACGGAGATTGGGACGTCATTAGACGAGGACATGGAGGCAGATTTTGCCCTTCCATCCGACCTTACGCAGCTTTCGCTACGGCCCTTGTCTCTTCATCACAGAGGCTCGAAGGCTTCGCTAGAATGGGGTGACCGTGACCATACATCCTCGTCTGCATCGTCGTCGGATGCTTATTCATCTCTCGGCTTCAATCCATCCAACAACTCGACGGTCATCTCATTGCCTGACACCGATGTAGACTGCAATGAAGATGGGGATACTGATTTGGATGGCTTGGTAATTCCAACAGGACTTTTTGAGAGCGATCAGGGGCGTAAGCATTTGACAAAAATACTGGATCTGAAGAAGAAAGTGCCGAAGATCGAGGAACAAGTCAATGTAGCATCTCCAGATCCTGAGGACGATTTCGAGATTGGTCTAGTAATCAATGGGGACGAAGATATTAGTCCGACGAAATTTATTCAGACACAGGAGACGAAACGTGGAGCGATGTCTTCTGCAAGAAGTAACAGCATGCCCGCGCGTACAGCAACTTCAACGTCCGCCAGACCGCCGTCGCGTCTTAAGAGTGATCGTCCTAAAATGCCGGGTGAACAATTTGGGTCGATGAGTCGTGCGACGTCTCGTATATCAACGTCGCCACCACTACTTCGACCGACTTTAAGCCGACGCACTCAAACTCTTCAGCCCTTGCCTTCTGCTCAGGCTTCTCAAGCGCCATCGTCATTTATCGCCCCGAAGCAAGGACAAAGTAAAATACGTAACCAGAAATCTCACGGAGTGTTAAAGTCGCATTCCCCGACGACTTCTCGAAAACTCAGTCGGAAGGCGTCTCTTTCATCATTGCTAGAGACAAGTAACGCACAAGATTCGTCTGCGCCAGAGTCACCCGCCCCGCAGACTGGTCCTAATTATTCTGCAACGACAGCGGCTTCGCGGGCTCGAATGCACACTAATTCCACCAGTCGGATGCATACTGGTCATGTACCACCGACAAGGCCCTCGACGCCAGCGGATAATCCTGCTGCTTTACGACTGACAATGCCCACTTCCCTAAATCGTATAAAGTCACGGCCCTCAATTTCCGGTATTTTCCCTCCATCTACCCCTCCTCCTTTACCACCTACACCAACCAATATACCGGCACAATATCGTCCTGCTTCAAGGACAAGTACTTCCGCATCAGCTCCTGTTAAACCTGCTCGTCGCCTTAAACGTCGAGATTTCGGTGACGGGACTGAGCTGGACGAGATCGAAGATCTGCCAACTGATCGGGACAAGGAAGCTAAGTTCAGGGTTCAGCCAAAGCCTCCGCCTAGTCGTGTTCCTAGTGGTAGCAGTCAAAGCAGTCAACCCAAAGTTGAGGAAAAACCGGCGAAAGGAACGCTTCGCAGGAAGAAGGACACGATAGGTATAGTCTACTTTTATTATGTATTATCGATTTGTGGCTTGAAGGCTCATTGGTCCGTGATAAATTAGAAAACGCGCCGCGTCCTGCCGCATCAATGCTTTCTTTAAAACACAAGCAAAGTCGTATTGAGGGCTTATCGAAAAACGAGAATCCTCAGAAAAGAAAGCCTTCTTCGAGTGCGACTCGGCGGAAACCGACGCTTATTCGAAACTTGGGTGGCGCGGGAGCACCAAAAGGTTTGTCTTTAATGAAAAAATTCCTCGGGGTAGATATTGACCAACGTAACAGTTGTTGGTGAGATGCGGTGGAATCCTCAGACACTTCGTTGGGAAGGGAATGATCAGGCGTTGCGAGATTTTGATTCGGCATCCGCCCGACCAGCACTTATCACCCATCTCACTGGGTCTTCTGTGAGCGGCTCTCCTGGAGGAAACTTCGGTCCGACCGCTCGAGTAGTGGGTAACATGGTGTTCGATCCGGTCCGAATGTGCTGGATGTCGACTTTGCCTCCAGACGAAGAGGAACCAGATGTCTTTGCTGACCTTGCGGATGACGAGAAGGACGATGATTGGGAAGCCAAGGGTGGTACCATTCGTGCTACAGTTTCTCTTCGTCCGAGTACTTCGACAGATACTGGCTCTCATTCCGACGCATCGCGGAAAACGCCTAGTCCAATACCGAGCGTACGCTCTCGCGCACAGTCGTTATCCCAGTCTCAGCAGTCTCAGTCGGATAGCGACCATGGATCACGAGCGTCCTTAGTGTTTGACCTGGAAGACAACTTCATCGAATTATGTCGCGCGGCTGAGGCTCGGCATCGTGTTGAGATGAAGGGCTGGACGTTGGGACGAAGTGATTCTGTTTCGTCGTTCGCAGAACCCGATCGATCATGCCTCTATGAAATTCGTACCCTTGCAACTCGACAATATTGATGGCGGCTATGTTCAGTTCATATTTCCCATTTTGTTTCTTTTCTTCTCGTTTTTGTCATTTTTCTGCATGCCTCAATCTCGTTGCCTCTCACGACACGCCCTTGCCACGGTTTCCTTTTGATTCTACTTTCCCGCCTCTTTTTTGGTCCTATTTCAGACTCTAATATCTCTCCTCTCCCCTCTTTTGATATCATGGAACACGAACGAACACAATGTAGCATACGCAGGCGTTTTCACTTGCCGCTTATTAATTTACAAGTCCGAAATTTTTCGTTAATTCTATTAGTTCTTGTTTTTTGTTTCTTGTAGATACTTTTTTTGTATGCATCTCTGACTCAGACCAATGTCACAGAAACATATCCTCAATCCACGCGCACATTATTTCGTGTGCGAAAACAATAACACTATTATTGCATGTCAAAAGCAAAAAAGTAAAACAGGTAATCAAGATGGGGAGTATCTGGAAGATCATAATGGTATGTTACAACAACAACAGCAACACTAAATCCCATAGATGTGAAAGTAGAAATCAGCATTCATAGTTAGGTGAGTCGTTTGAGAGGAGTGGTGGGGTGGATAGAGCGAGGCGAAATCGATTATTCGCTCTTGTTATTCTCTTTCTCTTTTTCCTTACCCTCTTTCGCTTTCTTGGCTTTCTCAGCTAGGAGACGCGCTTTCTTGACGCGTATTGTGAAGTATGTCTACGAAGTGCGATGAGTCAGGTGGATGGGGAGAGTGGTGGATGGAGAATAAGCGTACCCCCATTGAGAAACCGACGAGGTTGAAGAAGGGTACCCATAGCTAGTCGAACAGTCAGTTCATACCGCACAATCATTGGATGTTAGTTAAATATCGTACCTCCTGAGGAAGGAACTTCTGTGCAATAACCATTGCAAGCGGCGACGTGATCCAGGTCATCTACCAAACAACGGTTATTTTGACATACATTCCAAGGTAGAAAATGCCAAGAACGTGAGGGGAAAAAATGGTGGGGAACGTACCCGCATGACGGACATGAACCCAGACTTGACTGTACGGACGACATCGTCTATTGACTTTGCGCCATTAATGATCGCCATCGACGCAAGGTACACTGTAAAAACAACACAAAATTAATCAATAAATTTAAAGTAAAATGATGAGATAATAAGAAGCGTTTAGAAATAAAACGCTAACTCACCGACCGACTGAATCGGCGCAACGAGCAAATTACTCGCAAGTATCTGCGCAACACGCGCACGCGCACCCGTACGTCCCGCAAACACCTTCTGAAGCAATCCAACGAGGACGTGTCCCAGAGGTGCCGACACGAAGAACCCATACACCGCCATCTTGAACGCCTTCACATCTACCTTTGCGATAGCCAGCGCATGTGCGACGCGCGGAGAAACTTTGGGCGGCCGCTGGACGGGCGAGTTGGCGACGTGTGAAGCGAGCACTTCTTGTATGAAGCAGAGTGCACCTATATGTGAGATGTAGCGCAGGACACGCGGCCGCGCCTAGTCAGTATTACGGCCTCATTATAAGTCGAAGTCTGGGAACAGACCTGCGGTGATGGCTTTGGTGCGCAAGGGATGCGTTGCAAGCTGCGCGACGTATGCCGCTAGCAGCGGATTCGGGCCTTTCTTTGCTACAGTGCTCATTGTCGTTGCGGTGAGTAAATGAGTGAGTGCTTGCAAGTCGGCTAACGAGAACGAGCGTTGTGCCTAAGTAGAAGCGGAATGCTCCGAATGTCGATCACGCGAGCATTTCTGATCTTCTCCCGCTTTCACAGCCGTGTCAAAATATATTTGTATGTAATTTTTAAGAAAAATAATAGACGTCTAGAATACTGTCTAACAACAACGAAAGAATGACGAAAGGTGAACGAAGCAGTCGTGCAGAGTCCCAGTCTCAGCAGCTTTACTGCCTTCCTTTGACCCTACAGCCAATCAGTCAGTACAACCGTGTTACCAGAACCCGGACTGACGGAACATACCAAGCCTTGACATAATCAGCGAAGGAAACCATGCAGATAGTTTGCCAGATACCAAGCCCAATACGAGGTGTCACTCCTCGGTACAGGCCCTTCAACCCGTTCTCCTTGTAGATGAACCCGAGAGTGTTGAAGATAGTCAGCTTAGCAGGCCGATTGGCAGACATATTCTTGGACATGGATTGCATCTTATCACAAGTTAGCACGCGTCGACTTCCCAAGATTGAAAGTAGTGTATCACCTCAACACGGACGACCTCGATCGGCTGGTTCCACGTTGCGAGAGCGCCACCTATCGACGAAGCCAGGATCTTGTCAAGAGCACCGAGCTTGTCATTCTCAGTCTTTCCACGGATTTTCCGGATGGTAGCCTCTGCAAGACGGGCAAAGCCCATACTAACGGTGTGCTACATCAAAATCGTAATTCTCGGCCGCATCAGATCAAACTCACCGTGAGCCCCAGTTCGTGCACTGGCGGACTGCCACCGCATTAACGCCCTTGTTAATACCAGCAATACCTTCTCTGCGGTAGATGTCCGCGAAGACAGCCCACGTCGACGGCGGCTTGATGCCCGCAGCGGCCTGCTTGTGTCGTGTGATTTCAGCTGTTTTCATGCATGTGCAGAAACCTGAACGACAGCCGGTCAGGCACAGTTTGCCAACAAGGCGTAGTTGTGTGTAACATACCCATCGTCGCATAGGCTTGTGCAATGCCACCGCCCATTCCCCCCAGAAGTCCGGCAGCTGCGGGACTTACACCGAAGCTCGTAACACCGGATTCGATCTCCGACGCGGTGAACAGCAATACACCGCCCTTCGTCGACGCCTCTATCCAAGCCTAGTATAGTCTTGAGTGCCACATCCGTGGCATACGGAATCAAAGCTGAAAAGTTGCGTACCCATGGAATGAGCCCCTGGTAGAACCCACTGATGCCACCGCGACTCCAGACAGTCCGAAGTGCCTGTAACATCGTCTCACTTCGGTTGGCCGCCATCTGGGTCTTTATGACCTCTAAAGGTTGACCCAACGTCGTAACCTAGTTGTAAACACCTTTCTATGAGATTTTGCCAGAGAACTATGATATTTAGAGCCAGCTCACCTCCTGTAAGAAAAGAAGTTAGTGATCCGCTTTCGTAGCACAGTAAAATCAAAACTTTGAACTCACAAACTGTCATTTTCGTGTCAAAACGAATGTTTAGTTAGTTCAAAGCCAATTACACGAGAATGTTTCTTACCATGTTCATAATCGCGCCTGAATACCGTTCCGTTAGCATCCCGAAACGCGGAGATGGTAAGGTTGGGGACACAACTCACCGACAGCAATATTTGACCAGTTTACGCCCTTCTGGCCTGGTTCCCTTGCCATTGGTGCCATGTCTAGAGACGTCGACGCGAAGAAATGGGTACGACTTTTGAAGTTGTGGGAAGGGAGGAGGAAAGGAAGAGAGGAGTTAAAAGAGCGGAGGATTGAGCGGGACGCCGCTTCAAAAGTTCTAAAAGTGATTGGGGAAATCAGTCCCACGCAGATCCGCTACGCGTCCGACTATGCAAAAAATCGTCCCATTTTCTTTACTTCCGTTCTCATTGGACCCCAGTTGTTTCACGCAGCCAATTAGACCTCTAGTTGCATCGCCGCTCCTCTGGAATCGTTGCAGTACAGTACATACAGTATAACTTTACATCTATGAAGCCTTGCTATTTGTTTCCGAAAAGATCCAATTATGTCATACGCATAAAGGTTAAAAGACGCGTCTGGCATATTCAATTTCGAATCGAGTTTTATCGCGGCAGAATACCAAACCTCAAATCGCATTCAGCGTATCAATCTCGGGCCAGAATAAGCACACCACATCTCAATCCAATCAAGGAGTAGATTTCCAAAACAAACAAATGACTGATAAGATTAAATGGGCCTGTACGCTACCTGCCAAACGGCAACACCAAGAACAAGAAAAAAAGATGTGCTACATAGAGGGTATACGTACGTACACGCGTGAGGTAACGAAGAAGGATGAATCGATGTCGGTGATCGTGAACGGTGAATATTCTCGTTGAAAAAAGCAGTGTAAAACGTTGGTCTCCACTCCGGATATGAATTGAACGATGAACAGTTGAATGAATCGAACACGACGAAACAATGAGGTTAGATGCGAGGACGAGCATGGAGGTGATCGTGAAGGGCATGCATGGACGAAACGTTTGGTTCGGACGGTGCGAAGCGACGCCGAAACGGGAGAGATTCTCCATTGAAAGCTATACTTCGACCAGGTTAGGCGGTGGCCTGACCCAGTTTGTATTTCTCTAGTTGTTCCGTAAGTTGACCGATGTCTTCCTTCAACCTAGATGAAGTAAATGAGCCATGTGAAATCAATATCGCTTGCACACGATGAAAGAGTTATGAAGCAGAATAACGTGCAGAATAACGCGCAGAATAACGTGTAAATTTATCAAAAATGAAGATGCGGGTGAGTAAACAGAAAATGGCGCATATTTATGCATGAGAAATACATGTGAGAAGAGAGAAAACATATTGAAGACAGCAAGAGGACAAGAAACATATGCGAACAATACAGGTGGCATGCGAGAATCCGGTTACAACAAGTTTGGAAGTGAATAATTTAGAGTAAAGTAACAAGTAGTCCGTGTATCAAACACGGAAAAGAAAACGGAGCTTTGGAACTTTGACTTGAATAAACGCTTTTAGAAGCTTTACGTACCGCGTAATGACATCGTCCTTCTCCTCCATGTCCGATTCGAGGTAATTAATCTCCATCGATTTACGGTCGACTTCACCCTGCAGTTCCTCGGTCCTGGCGACCGTCTTGCCCAAGTCATCACGTAACGTGGAAACGTCTCGCTCGTGTTGTGCTTCGAGGTCGCGAACCTTCAAGTTATGCGCCTCGTGTAACTTCTGTAGATCCTCCTTAGACACGGCAGCCGACTCTGTTGGAAGGACACCGTTGCCTTTGCTCGCAGCAGGAGCTGAAGCCTGAGCAGCAACAGTTGCTTGCAGTGTCGTAAGTTCACCCTCCAGATCTGAGACGCGGGCGGACAGCTCGGAGTTTTCCTTCTGCAGAGATGAAATTCCCGCCTCGTATTCAGTACGCAGCTTGGTGGCTTCCTCAGCGCGTGTCTTAGCAGCACTTTCTAACTCTTTCGCGTGGTTGTTTGACATCTCACTGATTGAATCCTTCTGCGCAGATAGCACTTCTTTCAGCGCAGTGGCTTCATCATGCGCAGATGATAACTCTCTCGTTAGGCGAAGCACTTCTGCTGCGTGCTCAGATGCAGACGACTCAGCAACAGTGGCCGAAGCCTTCTCTGCCTCTTCCAATTGCTTCTTGAGCGCCTCGATCTCTTGTATAGAGGACGTGAGTGATGCCTTTGCCTTTGCCAAGTCATCCTGAGTCGCCTTGAGCTCAAGGGTCTGGTTGTTGATCGTCTTGTCGAGTGACTTGACTTTGGCTTCTAAAGCCGCCTCGTGTTCCGCCTTGAGGTCCTCGATGAATGATTTATGTGCGGCATTCAGCTGATCGATCATTTGCTGCGATTGGGTGCGCAGTGCATGTAGATCTTGGGCGTGAGCATCCCCAGCCTCCGTCTGAGCAATGACATTGAGTGAAGCTGCAAAAAAAGAATCACTGCAAGGACTAACCTTGGCCTTTTGAAAAGCCTCCTGCAACAGCTGGTCGTGTTCCTCTTTAACTGCGTCGACCTTAGCGGCGTATTGCGCTTCTTGGCCCTGCAAAGTGATATTGTCAGATATCATCTCCTACGTAAGGGAAAACAAGACTTACAGCCAGTTCATTCGCAAGGCGTGAGATCTCCGTCGACAATTCAGCCGCCTTCTCGGTGTAAAGTTTCTCGAGCTCATTCAGTTTTACTCCGTGAGCGTCTTCAGCAGCCTTAGTGTCAGCAAGAGCCTGCTCGTAACGCGCAGCAGCGCCCGCCAGCTGCTCTTCAAGCTCCTTCAGTTTCGCAGATAGCTTGTCTTGTTCACCGCCTGCGATCTTTAACGATTCTTCATGCTGCTGCTTGATCTCGACCAAAGCGCGTTCATGCTCTCGTCCTTTTTCTTCGCTTCGATGAGCGCCTGCTCCGAATGCGCAGTGAGGCCTGCAATCTGCTCTTCCAAGGCTTTGATACGAGCAAAAGCCTGCTTCTCCTTGTCTTCTGCCGCGTCTGCCGCGTCCCTAAGTTCCAGGATCTCGACCTCAAGTTCCGAAAGCTTGTTCGCGTTCTCCTCCTTCTCAGTGTTGAGAGTCTCAACCTGTGCAGCAAGTTCCTCAGCACGAGCTGCAGCACTCTGCAATTCGCATATCTTCGCTTCAGCTTCCTGCTGCGCAGCTCCGTGGGCAGCGGCAAGTGCACTGGTTTCAGCCTTGATTGCCTCTAGGTCGGCTTGAGCCTTGAGTAGAGCCTCGTGTTCCACAGCAGCAGCGGCTGACGCTGATGCAGCTTCAGTAGATGAAGCCGTCAAGGCCTCAATCTCCTGCTTGGCGGCCTCATTCTCATCCGTGAGAGATTTGAGCTGACTCTCTAGCACCTGTATCTGTTCAACCTTTGATACAGTCTCATGCTGCGCTGACTCGAGCTATAAATGAATAGACGGAAATTTCAGCTTGGCTAGTAGTACAAGGAACGCGATGTCACCGACCTTGGAGTGGATTTCATTGAGTTCATTCCTAACTCCATCGATCTCAGAACGAAGTCTCTCCACTGCCGCTTTCTCGGCATCCAACTGCGCTTCGACCGTACCCTTGGTTAGATTCAACTCGTCTACTGCTGCCTGTTTCGAACGGGCTTCGGCGATGGCAGTATCTAACTGCTCGCGAGCTGACTTCAGATCATTTCGAAGAGACTCCGTCTGTTCTGTTTGAGCCTTCAAGGACGCCTCTGCATCTTGGAGCTAAAAGAATATCTCAGTAACCCGAATTATGTGTTATTTGTAAAATCCAACAGACCTTCTTCTGCAGATGGTCAAGGACAGTGGTGTCCTCCTTTATCTCTCTCAGCGACGAAATAGACCCTCCGGCGGTAGTCCGCCTCGCGGCAAGAGGGGGCTTTGGACCCAGGGAAGAGCGCCTTGCCGTCGAGGGAATGCCATCTGAGATAGCAGCACGAGGCCTGTTCGCTGAGGCAGGGTTACCCACAGAGCCAGAAGGAGAAATGACAGTGCGAGTAGTTGTCCTGGATTGATCTGGCTTAGGAGCTGGGGACGAAGGTCGCCTCCCAGTCGAGCCCACTAAAGACGGCTTGGGCGGGAGAGATGGCCTACGTGTCGCAGTGGTTTGGGAAGATGCCAAGGAAGACGACGCTCCTTGCCTAGTAGACATAGCAGCTTTGATTGTCGTTGCAGGAGCCTTTGTGGTAGGAGCTTTCGATGGTGAAGCAGGTGTCCTAGATGCCGGAACGTTCGCTGTACTCGTAGACTTTCTCAAACCAGCGGCAACGGCGGGCTTTGCAGTCGCAGAAGAAGCACTCGCGGCTTTTGATACGACAGGAGAGGCGGCTTTGGTGGATCCGGCACCAGTAGAGCCCGAGTTGATAACCTAGGCCAAGCGCACAGAATAATCTTAATATAATTATGAAGTAAATGTGCAAGAGCATGTCCAACGCACCTTCTTCACGAGTGGAGCAGACCCGGTTGACGGCCTGCTTACTTTGGTGGGTGATGCCTTCACAGCTGCAGGCGTTGTCTTCTTCACTACCTTGTCAGTGTCGCCTGCAGGTTTCTTTGGCTTGACTGTGCTATTCTCTTCACCATTCTCCTTGGGCACGCCTGATGCATCCCCAGTGCCGGCAGCCGCAGCACCGTTTTCATGAACTGGTTCAGGTGTCTTATCCCGAGTACTGCCCTCGGCTCCATTGCCTTCAACCGCATGGACTTCATCTTCGTCATGCGTGGTGGACGTGTCGATATCGCTCGCCTGGACCGGGTTACCAGAGTCTTCGGACGTCACAGCAGCAACGTCTTGATGTTCCTGCTCTGCTTCGACATCGCCAACATTTGCAGGGGGAGCGACCTCGACGTCTGACATGTCTGACGGGAGCCGACCAAGGAGAGTGAACGAGGTCGAGGGACGCGCGCCAGTATGTGCTGGACTAAAAGTCGCGCGTGTCACGACATCTTGCTCGAATCAGCACTAACAATAGTAGCCGGACAGCCTATTCCCTTTCTCAAGCCTCAAGCCTCGTGTTCCTCGTTGCTCGCTCGTCGTCATGAGCGTCAAAACTCCTCTTAATGTCGGGAATGTTGCGGGCTCGGGACGGATTGGTCTTACTCTGCACGGTCGCCAGGCAGTCTTCACAGAACTATCATATCGCTACCCTCTGAAATTACTCTCGCCTCGTGTCACCGAGCCTACCGTCGCTATCGCGTATGTCTTGACGTATGGAGGTGGCCTTGTCAGCGGAGATCGAACTCATCTGCATGTCGACGTCGGCTTGGGCGCATCGCTTCTGCTTCTTACTCAAGTGCGCACGAGCTTTCCTTGCAACTGGAACGTGTGCACTTTATTCATGTTGCAAATTCTTCAAGGGCTCTACCAAGGTCTTCAAGCATAGGCCTGGTGCTAGGCTCGCTAAAGCTGCAGAGGAAATATCGGACACCTTTGGTGCTTCCACTGTCCAACGACTAGAAGTTCATGTACAGACGGACGGGCTGCTTCTCCTCTTGCCTGACCCAATAACGTGCTTCTCTGCTGCCTCATACAACCAAGTCCAGACTTTTCACCTTGAAGACGGTGCTTCAGTAGTTGTGCTGGACTGGATCACTTCAGGACGAATGTCAAGAGGCGAAGAATGGCAGTTTTCACGTTATTATAGCGTCAACGAGATTTGGGCATGCAAGAAAAGGGCAGCTAGGGACGTTCTATTATTGGAGGGTTGCGAAGACAATGCCAGGCCACTAAAGGAACGGATGGGGATATACTCCTGCTATGCAACGCTTTTCCTATGCGGTCCGAAGTTGCGAACAGTCGTCGGGGCATTATCAGCGGACTACCATGAGATATGCGTTTACCAACAATCTTCTCCCTCGGACTTGCTTTGGTCAATGAGTTGCATAGAACAAGGATGTGTTGTGCGAGTAGCCGGGATGACAACAGAGTCGGTAAGACAGTGGATACGGACGTCTTTGAATAGGCTTGAAGAGCATGTAGGAGCTGACGTACTCGGAAAAGCATTCCTGTAGATTCAGAATAGGAGTGTAAGAAGATAGATAGATTATTTTAATACTGCTGGAGCAGCTGGACTGGACTGGATATATGCTGTGCATCTATTTCAAGCGACTAAACACGTGGGACCACGGGAGCGTGATGAATTGAATGGTCAAGACGTGTCCGACGCGCCTCACCTCATACTGCTCACTGCTCACTGCTCATGGCAGAACACGACCTGGTTAAACGCTGGCTTTCTCTACGTGATGACCAAATCACTGAAGACCTCATCCAAGAGCTCTTATCCCCAATTCAGGATGACCTCTGGGTAACTGCTGCTTGCACGGACCGAATACTCGATGACGTTGACGCACAGCGCGCCCTCATAGACCTCGGCATCCAACGCACAGACTCGGCTATTATTTGTGCTAGGGAGATCCTTTCGACATCACAGGCTGACACTGACAGTTCAAAAGCGTCGCAGAAAGCTCTTGTTGAATATTTCGCTGGACATGTCACCGACGCACATCTATGTCGAATTCGGTCGGAGTTGCTGAGCCGTCGCGATCGTTTACGGACGTTTGACGAAGTCAAAGATAACGCAAAGCCTACACTGCTGGAAAGCTCGGAAAGTGACTCAGGTACCAGCGAAGAAGGCTGGGAGGATGATCCATGGGCAGATGGTGACGCCGAGGCAGGCCCTTCGTCCAGACCCATGAAGCCGTCAGCTCCTCCAATACCGCTGTCCGTTTTCCTCACGGAGGAACTATCTATCTTGTGCTTGGCATTAGCATCCCAAGCGCAGTTCCCCTCCCTCAAGGCCCTAATTAACCGTTACCCCGCCGATGTGTTTCCACTTCGATTCGAAATAATCTCTCGGATACCCCTTTTCATTGATCCCTCCAATTACCGCGATCTTTTACCAGCACTGAATTCTGAAACTAGGAAAGAGTCTATACCCAAAGGAGCGCCATGGAGAACTGACTTAGATCTCTCTGAGACTGTCGACGTCAGACATGCCCTCTCACAAGTCGATGATTCTGACGAAGCTTCTCTCAAAAGTCTGGACAATGAACAGGCGTTTAACCTACAACCCGAGCCTCTATCTGTCGAAGAGTTACTATCATGGTACAGACGACGTGTCGAGACCATAATTGCATCGACCTGCATGGTGGACATAGCACTTAGCCTTGTCCAACACGGCGTATCACAGGGTGTTATTGGTTTGGATGAACTCGGCGAAGACCTTACATTGATTTCCCGCCTTGTATATGACGCTCCTGGGTCTACCGTCTCCACAAGCGAAACAATCACACTTTCAGAATGGACCTCACTCGAACCTCGTGATATCGTTCGTCGATACCTCACTCGCAGCTCCCCAGACACGATTGTCAGCGACGTTCGGAGGCTTGTCATGCCCTATCTTTTCGTCTTAGAGTCACGATGTGAACGAGCAGGAACACCGGATCCAGAGTTGGTGAAACGACATTTATACGACTACGTCTTAACAGCAAGCCTTAACATGGTCGTACCGATATTCGAAGCCTCAAAACCGACCCAACCTACTTCGCAAAGGCTAATATCGAATGATGATGACCTTGCGCGCCTAGCACTGGCTTGTCTGTATGGCAGCGACAGTCTCACAGACTGGACGAGTATGAGCCGAATATTTGAATGTCTTCCAGCATGGAACTTCGCAGCTGAGGAAGATGAGGCAGACACGACAGTAGCCTCCCTCAGTGCCTTCCTCGTCCCGTCTACGGCTCGTCCCCAAACATCACCATCCGACCTCCTTATGTTTTTCAAGCCTCTACCGTCACGTTCCCTCTCACGAGCTCTAGACATACTCGACGTGCACCTCGAGTCCGGTGAGATCCTGTCGAGATGGGGCGTACCCGTGCCGTTGCGCTGGTTCCTCCAAAGTGCGCATGATGAAGCACAGCAACGTGCTTGTGCAATGAAGATGGCGAGACAGACGGACGCTCCCGTCGGAGACCTTGACAGCGAGGACATCTGGTTGTCTCTGTTGGAGGATATGCTCAAGATAGCTCGGCCTGAAGAATCGAAAACAGATACCAACTCTGCGTTTGGCACGCTATCTGGAGACGCTATCCGGCAAATCTTCTTTAGAGGACTCTTGAGTACCAGCAGTAGGTGTTGAGATAATTTACATTACGTCTAGTTGACTAAAGTTATGTTCTGTCGCAGGATTTGCAATTGCAAAACAAATAATCAAACCGCGACACGGCGAACGATTGTTGGATGCTGAGACGATCGAAAAGTTATGTCTGGACTGTTCGCGTGAATTCTACGATAACGCAAGTTCGGGTAATTACAACTTCGGGGACATGAAGCTTGCTTATGACTGGTAAGCCCTTCATACTACATCACCTCATGATATATACAATACTAAGCAATTCAACCCAGTCTATCTGTCGCCCCTCAAACATACATCATCCAAAAAGAACGCGAGTTCATAGAAGCAACCAGCCGAATCTCCTCTTTCAACGTCACCTCTCGTCCAGGTGTACCCATCCTACCCATCGAGATCCGCCTAACAAAGGACAAACTCAGCCTCGTCTCGCGCGTTCTATCAAGCAACGAAAGTGCTTACAAGCACGTCGAAGTTCTCCTCGAGTTGGTGCGAAAACTCGGCTTCCGGGACGACCCACTAGCAGAAGTGAAGACACTCGCGATGGTTGCTGATACAGCACTCCAAGCGGAAGACTTCACGCGTGCGTTCGAAGCTAGTGAACGTATGATCAACGCTGTGCTACGGCTCCGGCAGAACGCGCCGCTCGGTGCAGATAGCGAGCAGGTACGAGAGGCGGTTGAAGTTTGCTGGGTTGCTTGTTATCAACTTGGTAGACAACCTGAAGCGAAGGATGTCGAGAGGAAGATATCACTCCTAGGACGTGCACTTGAGTTATGCCCACCGGATAAAATTGTTGACATCCTCACATCGTGGCGGAAACTCGAAGCAGAAGAAATCGAACGACGAAAAGAGAAGACAACCCTTCGGCAATCTCAGAACGGAGGTGACAAAAAAAACACTGACCGAATGAGAGGCAGGACTTCAACATCAACACTATCGGCAAGGTTGCAGAACTCACTGCACATGCCATCTCCAACACTTCCCAGTGCCTCTGCACTAGCATCAAACACCTTCAGTCGCGTAGCAGCTGCATTTCCTTTCGCAATACACGGCCGATCGAGCGAAGAAAGGAGTCGGAGCCGCGAAGCTAGCCCAGACATGCAATCCCAGGCACGCCATGCTCTTCGCAAAGGTGTTGGATGGCTTATCGGAGCAGAAGACGACGAATTATGAAGAACTGTTAATAGTATTGCATGCATAGTAGTAGTAATCTCATCCGCTAGTAATTAAATGGGATTTTTGGAATACAAAAGAAGGGATGCTAGCTGGCTAGTCGGATAGTCAGAGAAAAACAAGTGTAACCAATAAGCAAAGATAGAAGAAAAATAGAAGTCGTAATTAAACAGGTACAAGATCCAATCCACGACAAACGCCATAATGATAATGAAGAAGAAGCATGTCTAGAAATACTAGTATGAATGGCAACAGAATATGCGCTAAAAATAATGAGTGTCGGGAGCAAATGGGTATAAAATTAATAAATCTAATAATAAAAAATGGCCTTGCGCGGTGGAAAGAAGGGAATGCAGGAGTTGAATAAATAGATATTGACAAGAAACAAGGTAGTGGGTGCCTCAGCCGTCATTGCCACTAGCAAATCTGGCGCCATGACCCGTCTTGGCTCTCGGACGGTGAATAACTCCAGCGTTGATGTCTCTCCTCTCTCGCGTCACAGGCCCTCCTCTACCGCAAGTCTCGCAGATATCACCGGTCCTTATATCGTCAATCTCAGCCCTAAGATCACGGATCTGCCCTTCCAGTTCCCATATCTGCCGCTGCCACGCTTTCCGAGACGTTCGTATCTGCTCTTTTAGAGCAGTAATAACTGCTGATGGATTCTCAGTCTCTTCAGAAGAGTCATCAAAGCCGGGCCCACTAAATCCCGCATTCACAGGCGACGGAATCAAATCACTCGATGCAATCGTCGTCGGGGAAATCAGTGACGAAACATCCGCATGCCTTGGGCTTTCTGGCCTGGGCTCTTCTGTCAACAGGTGATCCGCAAAGTTCTTCGAGAAGAAGGTTGATACAGGTCTCAGCTTAAGAACTTGAAATTGCGTTACGTCTGCTGGTGCACTGCTCGGCATCTTCGGCATCGCTGAAGGATGCAGAGACTTAGGAGAATCAGATCTTCTTGAAGAAATATCCTGTCCTGGGAAGTTCACCCTCGATGGAGTGGAGACCTTGATGGACAAGGTAGGCGCGGACTTTTTCATGCGTGTGTCATCCTTGTTCTCAGCAGACTGGGGGGAAAGCGATACTGCGGGGACAGGGACCCGGTGCGTACTTATTTTGGGCTGACGAGCTGAGGCAGGAGGGTGCAAGTTGTCGGCCGACTGGGAGAACATTCGTGTCTCCGGGGTTGGTAGAGGAGGTGGCAAGCCATGCGTTTTGTCTTTCTCCTTGCTGTTGAATAACTTCATAAATCCACTCCTCTTCGAACGGAGCGCCTTTCCCGGTGGCAGTCCACCGGAGCTGAATTGCCTAGGGCCAATGGGAGAAATAGGTACGGATAGCCCTTCACCACCAATCTTATGGCTGTCCGTGGGGAGGGGCATCGCATACATCGCCTTGCTTGCTGCACTACTGGACCTAGTTCTTTGAGCAAGGTCATTCTGCATCTTCTCATCACGACTCGCAGCCGCAAAAGGTGCAGTGCCGGTGGTCGCACTTCTGCTTCGTTCTTTCGCACGAGCCTGCGCCTGTTCGAGACTGATAAGGTTATACGGAGTGGCAGCCGCGAAGTCGTTGTTTCCGACCGGTGTTGGCGCACTGATCGGTCCTAACTTGGTCTCCCTCTTTGATCGTTTCTGATTCTTGTATTTTTCCGGCTCAAAGGTAACGTCTTCAGACTTCGACAAGTCAACTCTAGACGTGGACGATCCTAATGAAAATTCAGACGTAGGAGATGTAGATGTTTCCAGTCCAAAAGTGGAGGCCAATGATGCGGATGCCGTCGAGGACGAATGAGTAAGCATGACCGTCTCTTCGGAGACTGCAAGCGTAGCTACTGAATCACTTGGCGTAAGTTGTGCCCGTCCGCGGTCCGATTCTCGTGCGTCATGATCGGATAATGTCCTAGCAGGCTCACGAAGGTAAGCGGGGAGAAGCGCCGGGTTTGCATAAGGATGTGTGTAGACGCTATCATTATCCGCAGTAGGTATAGGAGATGGAGAACGGGTCCGATGCATTGAAGCCGCAAACTCTGACCGAATAGGGCTAATTGAATTACGTCGACCAATTGAAGGAGAACCGTGTACCGAGGGCCGTTCAGTGTAGACGCGGGAATGAGGACTGGGGTGAATGGAGTATGGCGAAATCGCCCCAGATGCACTAGCAGGTCCAGATGCTGATCTGTCACGACTGACGGTGAGGTGTCCTACAGACAGCTTGTGTGGTAGACGATTAGTTGAGGAGACTGGTGCGACGGCCAATGATGTCGATGACATGGAAGCTTGAGCGAGGGCTCTGATGGAATGAATGTGCATTGATAAGCCGAACAAATTCCGAGACCATACAAAATCGACTTACAGGACCGCACTCCGCGATGAGCCACTAGCGGCTACGCTCGAAGTGGTATCAAATGATCGTTTATCTTTGTTCGGGAAGCTGGAATCAAAACTCGGCCTCGGAGCGGGAGATCTGGAGCCAAAGCCGAGACCACGCATGACTGCAAGACCAGGTTTTTTGGTGCCAAAGATGGACCCATTATCGTTGCCACCGTCGTCAAATTCTTCGTCCGAGAGGCTGTCTTCACCCTCCTCCCAGGGCGCACGACTATGCACGCGCATCTTGGGACCCATGAGGCTAAGTCTGGTCTCCGGATCCTCGTCTTCTTCTGGATTTAGATTGGGGTCTTCCTCTTGATCAGCAGTGCGAGAGGCGGACTCGAAGTATGCGTCAGTGTCCTCTGAGAGGTCGAGCGAGGACGCATTGGGATCTTGTAGGCGCTCCTTGGGGGAAAGTGGAGGGTATATATCGTGTCTGTCATCATAAGTGTCGTTGTCGTGAAAGCGGGGGAAGCGGGGGACGGGGGCTGTGGGTGTTGTACGGTAGATGTTGTTTTCAAAGTGGCTATATAGTGAAGGAGAGTCTGAACGGTCCGAGAAGATAGAGTAGCGTGTGTGGGGCGAGGGCACGTCTGCACGTTGTGCGCGCTGGTCGAGGAGAGCGCGGACGTGTTCTGTGTCACCTCTTGCGCCCGGCATGGCGATTGGGAGTCGGACTGTGAGGGGGGAAGATGGAGAGGGGCAAAAAACTGGCTCTAATCTAAATGCAATTGACTGCAAGTAGCACCGAGCGAGTTAGGGATCGGCCAGCTCCGACGATCAGAACGTGCTGATCGCTATCACGTAATATTATAATTATCACCGTTTTCCTCCCGCGACACTACTGCATGCCCGTCTCGTCCACCTCCGCACAGCAACACATAACCGCTAGTCGTGACATGGACTCTGCTGAGGCTCTTCCGCTCGCCCCGTCGGCGGGAGGAAGACAGTCGGGCAAGAGCTGGAAGACGCAAAAGGCTGCGTCACGGTTAGCTCTATCACTTCTTTCTCTCACACCTAACTCCGTCTGATTGGCCTCTCCGTAGCCGTACACATCTTCCAGATGGCGTGAAAACTAAGAAGTGGGAGGAAAGGATGCAGAAAACAACGCGGGCAACCGCAGTCAAGAAGCTCGAGTCAGAGTTGAAGGCAGAAAAGCAGGCCGAAATCCAGCGGCGGAGAGAGATCACCCTAGAAAGGAAAAAGGCGGCTGAAGAGCGCCAGCGACTTGAGGAGGACAAGGCAAAGGTGCCGATTCTATTCACTGACTTGCGCTTCTGTGTTTTACTCACTCTGCATGCAGATGGGCGCTCGCAAGGCCGCGCGGTTAAGACGCAAAGCAGGAAGAACGAAGAAAATAAACCAGTGATGTTTGAATGAGCAATAATTTACATGAACTGCAACGAAACATCGGTGACAACAACCTCAAATCTGCCATGAATCATCGTCTTCGCCCTCCTTAATGAATGGCTTGTCCAGGCCAGCAACAACTCCCTCGCACAGCGGGCACGAACCGGCCAAAAGCTCGTCCAATTCCTCTCGTGCCTTCTCAGCCTTCCGTGCTATGTCGTTCTTTTCTCCCTTCTCTCCTGCGCTCCATATGCGGTCCAATCCTATTCTGTCCAATCCTGTTGACCACATTCCCGCGGTGATCACACTCGCCAATGATTCTGGGACAATAAGATCCCGCAGCTTATCTCCCGCCGAAAGTATATTCCGGCCCAATGAGTTGGCGGCCCTGGCACCGTTCTGTACAGGTGCAGCGAAGCTGGCAGATAAGAGTGTCCGTTGAGCGGAGATACGGGTTGTTGGGTTGGTCGGTAGTCCTGGGACTGGAGATGTAATAGAAGCTCGATCTGTTGGAAGCTGCTGGGCAGTCTTCAACAGTTCGTTCTGCAATGCAATCATTCGGCGTAGAGATGCTGCGGGAAGATATTCTTTGGCCTGTGATTGTGATGTTAGTTTCGCGTTTGCGCCAACACGAGTAAAATTAAAGTTACTGACCAGGCTGATGAGACAGTCGACATGGAATGTATGCTGGCATGGAAACACATAGAACTGACGTGCCAGTAATGAGAATTGGCATTCCGTGCATCGGTCTGCAGCGTCAATAACGACGAAGCGGTTCCGTAAAGCAGTTATGTCTGCCTTAATCGCTTCCGCATTCTTAGTCGTTTCATCCATTTCCGCCTTAAGAGCGTCGATATGTGCAGAATAACCTTCTAGAGCGGTACATATTTCCTCTTTGAAATCATCAATAACAACGAAATCAGGGAAGAACGGAAGGATGTCTTCGATCTTCAGTAGGTCGGTGCTGTCAAGGAATGCCATCGCGCTGTGAAGATTGCATCAGCAGAGTTCGCCCACGTAGTCAGTGGCGGACCGTACCTCTTGATGTCCTTCTTATCTTGGACAACGTACTTAGCGATCTTCAGCCACAATTTCTTCCTCAGCTGCTGATCATCTTCCGGCATCTCAGCATTGATCTTTGCCAGCTCTAGATCTCCCTTTTCGAGTGCAAGATCTACACTGTTCTCGTAAAGACCCATCTTTGAATAAATGTGTACGCATGATCGCGTTTTACCTGCCCGAAGACACAGGCGCAATGCATAATCGAGATCGTAGTACGGCTTGTCGGTAATCGGATCGACCGGTGCGGTAGAAAGAAATCGTAAGAGTAGGACTTCATCATCGTTCCCTGACGGTGGACATGATACGTGCAGCGTGATCAGGAGGTTGTGAATTGTCGATGCTGTGTTGCCTTGTGAGAACACGACGTGATTTAAATATCGGACAGCATGGTTCGGCTGAAGTGGATCGCGCGGAGCGTCTGAAGACAGTGATTGTGTTCGCAGCAACGCTGGTACGAGTCGGAGAGGATCAAGTGCTGGTTGGCGAAGCCAAGATTCAACTGTCTCACGGGGCACTTGCCGCATGAGAACAGGGGCAAAACGGTAGTATAACTCGAGATTGGACTGGCGACTGATCACGTCAATCGCCTTTGCCCACTGCTCTTCAAGGACCCAGTGCTCAGCAACACGTTCCAGATCACCGACAAGCGTCGCATAGTGAAGGTATATGTCAGTTCGTCCGTGACTTTGAATGAGGTCGTATACTGTGTTAGTGTCCAGGTCAGATTTGTATGTTTCAAGAAAGTGGCGCATTTCCTCTTCGACAAGGGTGAGAGCAGTCCTGAGATCTTCTACATCGTGCGACACAGATTCCGAAGCGGCCACGTCCTCGAGCTCATTGCATCTGGATAGGTAAAGCTCAATTAGCCATGTCGCAAGCATCATTCGTTGTGTAAGGTCCTAAGTCATGACTCAATGAATGTCCAATCCTTTCGATACGACAATTATACGTACATTTTTTCTTGTCCGCTCCAGTCTCGATATCAGATAGTAGCGTAACGCCTCTCGTTCCCCTGCATCAATGAGACTCAATGTTACTTCTTCGAAGCTAGCCGAGCTCTGAGCGTAGCATTGAGCAGATTGTATGTAGCGACCATCCTTAAAGAAGCGTTCCGCCTGAGCAATAAGGACTTGATCCCGTTGAGTAGCCATCTATCATGCAGCTTAATTAACAAACATTGTTATGAGCGCGTTAACCATTACCTTCGAGTATCGGAGCGCGATGTCGAATTGGCCCTTCTCAAGATATACCCGCCAGATATCGCGAGCCTCGTTTGCAATGTTTAGTTCAAACAACGACGAGTCTGTGTATACCCAATACGTTTTCCGAACAGGGTCTGCAGTGATACCCCGCACTTCCTCGTTAGGTTTCTACTTTGACACATTGAGAGTCGTTAGAGGTTGAAGTGAATAGCTACGTACCAGAGGGATTGTTTCCTCATATGCTAACGCATCATTCAGGGTACAGACACCGACTACGCGGTCCTTGTACAGCAGAACGAAGTGGAACTCCGTAAGACTCATAGCTAGTGGTTGCAGGACAGAGGACGAGCTATTCTTTGGACTCTGCGATGGCGAGCTGAGGTCCGGGAACGGGAGAAGTTGTGCAGAATCGACGAAGTCATCGGAATTAGCGGAGAGATTCATCGACCCGTGATAAATACCTTGGGCTTTAATGGCTTCAGTGCATCATTCCAGAAACAGTGAGTAAATTCGCAAACCTGTCATCCAAGCCATGGTCTTAGGTAATGACTGCGCTTGGTCCGAGTTAGGAGTAAAGAAATGCAGTTCGGAGTTCTGCGTCTCTCCAGGAAGTTCAAGGATTTCTTTTACGATTATGAGGAAATCACAAATTAACTAAGGAGGTGATTTTCTTACTTGGTGCGGTATCGCGATACTTGGCAAACAGCGGAGCAAAAAGCCTGTTACTGTCTTCCGATCGCCTGTCCAAACTTCCTGCAAGCTGATATATCCGTGATGGTGTCGTTATCACCACAGTGGCGTATTTTGGTTCCAAGGGAGGTAAGAGTTGGAATTGAATACCAGTAATTGGTGGTCGTTCTGGTAATGAGAATACGGGCGACACATAACGTTCCTGTGATTTGAAGAAATCCTCTTCAGCATCCAAGAGCGCTTCATGCACCGTTCCATTTCTTGCTCCTATCAGGAATTCCCGTGACGAGGTTGCGTTGGACGCAGAAAGTAAACCAGCCTTGTTCCAAGCAATGCTCTCGATGACCATCTTGAAGTTCTTGAGCTGCTTAAATTTCTTCCAACCCCGAAACAGGTACCAATTCTCCCCTTGTGCCGAAGTGACGATAAGATGCCTGCCTGACGGATCGAGGAATACTTTGTACAGCGTCATTTCGTTCGGTTTACGCTGAATTGGAATCTTCACAACTTGTTCGGGTCGGGACAGCTCAATAATAATGACGAGGTTGTTGGAGAGACCCATCACGAGAAGATCAGAGGAAACGGCAAGAGAGACCAAAGGTGCCGGTGGAGAGTACTGCACTCTGCCGAGCTCAAATATCGGACCAGACGATACAGGAACGTTTGGATATTGGCCGCCATCAATCTATAGACAAAGTTAGTACGCGTCTTGTATGACTGAAATTCAGGACTCACAGGGCTAACAAGGCTGTCTTCACGTTCGTCCGTGTCATCGTATGGAGAGGGCTCGAACCCTTGGTAATCTAGCCTTGGAAGGTTGTGTGCAGCATGGGAGAGATGATTGGACGGCCCTGTAGCATGTTCGACAACTACATTCAAGAATTAAGTTAGCTGTTTTGATGTGAACGGGACCGACAGAACACGTACATTCGTCAAACATTGCTATTGAGCGAGTTGTGAAGTATTGAAGACGAGTGCGGCGTGTCTACGGAGTACGGACTACGTATAGTGCACGCGTGTCACGGGACTGACGAGCCGCGAATCTTTCCTCAGGCTCGCCGTTTGCTGACCGGTTCATCGGATCCCGGCTCTTTATAAATACACCCTGGGTCATCCTCGACCTCAGACGTCGCCCTCGTCCCAATTTCACTTTAGCATCCATCGGACAATTGTCGCTCGACATTATCGACCATGTCTGATTCAAGGCCCATGCCCCGACTTCTCGTCATTAGACACGGAGAAACCGAATGGACTCTCAACGGGCAAGTTGGCGTATTACTTCTGTCTGAAGCATTGACTATTTACACGTTGCCCTTGGTCCAGGCGTCATGTCAGTCCGTCCTTCTACAATATATAATATTCTAACATGTTTTCTCAAGACTGGAAGAAGTGACATTCCGCTTACTGCTAACGGGGAAAATATCATCAAGGAACGTGCCCCAGACCTCGTCGGCGACGACAGTGAGTATATGCACCACATTCTTTGCATTCTGTACTTGACCATTGTTTTCTGCGTAGAACTACTTGATCCCGAGTATATATGCTGTGCTTTCGTCTCACCTCGAATTCGCGCTTCGCGCACTTTTGAGGTAAACTGTCCTAAAAGAGATGTTTGATTTCTGAATTTAACGCGACAACACAGCTCCTATTTGCCAACGTCCCGAATCCACCACCGCATGCCATAACTGAGGACGTTCGCGAATGGGATTACGGTGATTACGAGGGCCTAACACCTGCACAGATCAAAGAAAAAGACAAGTATTGGTCCATTTGGAGAACAGGCTGTCCCGGAGGGGAGAGCGCTGACCAGATGACTAAACGCGTAGATAAAGTCATTGAGAAGGTTCAGGAGATCCATAAGCAGTTCCTTCAAGATGGCACAGGCCGACGCGATGTTCTTATTGTCTCGCATGGTCATTTCAGCCGAGTCTTGATATCTCGCTGGGTCCAATTCCCGATGAGCCTTGGTAATTTCCAAACTAGTTGTCATTGTGAACCGCGAAATGAATTGAGATCATTTTTACAGGTACACATTTCCATTTCGAACCTGCTGGAGTAAGTATATAATTTTCTTTTACCGAAGGCCTTACTCATATGATACATTCTTGGGATCAGATCGCTGTTCTCAGCTACAACCACCGTAGCCTCGATGAGCCCGCTCTATGCGCCCTGAACTTGAACGCTGATTATAGATCGTTATGATTCGGAAGGCATTAGATAACAACGTTTAAAGAGGCAATAAGTTGTAGAGCATGAAAGAAAGCATCATTCGATAAAGCTACAGAAGTTTGCGATGAATGCAGTAACAACATGTACAAGAATGAAAATATAAAGGCCGATTAATCATTTTCTTCCCTCGAGATACGTCTGAGACGACGGCGCACATCTGATTCTGGCGAAGATTGTACGTGAGGCGAAAGTTCCTCATCGCTCTCTTCTTTGACACGCTGTTGGCAAACATTGAGCTATAAAAACATTGCTTTGGGAGTCAAACTTACCGAAGACCTGCGTTGCATGCGCGTCACGGTACTTGGACCCTCAACAGGGGATAAATCACCTACTGTAGCATTAAAGACAAGTTCAATCATCCAGGGTGGACTCTTCATACCTTTTTCTTCCTCCTTTACCATAGTGTCCGCCTTGCCTCGCACTATCGATGGAAGAAGGCATCCGGCAAGAATAAGTGACGCCACAGTGAAAAAGGTTATGGCCGCTGTAGTGGCAAGGGTAATGGGGAAAGCTGCCACGATACGTCTATAGAGTGGAGAAGCTCAGTAAAAGACGCTTCAGATTTCTTCACATTACATGCCTTAAACCTCGAGGGCGCACAGCGCCAAGTAAGGCAGCATCGTAAACGCTCAGTTCACGTCCTTCACCGTTTCCCAGTGTTTTCCACCCGTCCCTGCGTCCAAGCTCGATATGGGCTCTTACGCTGGACGCACTAGTAATTAAAGACGTGGCAAATGGTACTGTTAACTTCAAGAGACGTGGTGCACGGGATAACCGTAGAAAACTGGACGCCGGGGGCATAACAAGGACCTCCGAGAAGTTAGCCTTGTAGTGTACCACGAAATGAGATGGACCCACTGGTTTCCGAATGTCTACTATTGTGGCATTCGCGTTTGTACTGACTCTCAACGAGGCCATAAAATTTCCGAGAGCGTAATTCGCCTCGATGGCTGGGACAGTAAGCTGAAGTGTAACTTCGTATGGCTGACTTGTCGAGAGAGAAGAAATTTCGACGTCTCCGTAGGGAATGGTGCCATCTCTAGCAGGATTATGAGCTCTGAGACACGCTAGCACTGCACGAACACAGAACGTACCCAAACTGAAGATAGACAGGGAGTGACCAGCCGTGTGGAACGCTAGACCAGACTATCCATCCCGCAACGAAGGAGAAGAGGAGAAGGACTGGTAATGCAACTAGGCAAATGAAGACTGGCACGAGCTGCGGCGACCACGACCTAAGGTGAGTCAACGCATTACTAGATAGGGAGGTAAGCAGTTCGATTAAGCGGTTGTTCGGAGCAGCCTGGATGCGTCGCGGACTGTCCGTAGAAGCCATAATAAAAGATGCAACACTTTTGGAGATGTAGACGAGACGAGACGAAGCGGCGGAGGCGTATGACGCGCCTTGCGTATAAACACGTGTTCTCTCTCGTCAATGACGGATCACGGATGCAAATTACAATTTCCTTCATGCTCATACATTACAGTAACGAGTATGACCTCAGTCTCCGATCCGCGTTCACTTCTGGGTCTTTCTCCCTTCGTGGCACCCTTGCTGGAGTATCTTGAGCAACTAACACGATTGGCGAAAGCCGATCAAGTACCTGCGCCAGAGGTCAAATCTTATTCTGATGCCCTCTATCATAACTATTATACTTTGGGCATAAGTTTAATGTTTGTGGCCAACGACGGCTCGAAATCCATCAAGAACATCGATGCACGAAGCGAGAAACTAGCGCTCGATAGTATAGACATCTACAATCCTGAGATAGACGACGAGAAGAAAGATTCTAAAATGCCGAGCACGGGTTTGAGTGCCCAGACCTACTCAATATATCCTGGCTTGCCCCTCGTACTTTCGCTTCCACCATCGACGGACGAGCAGAAGGCGAGGCAGGAGGAGATCACACTATCCGCATTGTCGACCGGAAAGGATATCGTGGGTGCTCTGGGTGAACCTGACAGAAAGGGAGGCGGAGCAGGCCCGTCATCCGGATCGATTGGCATCTGGTGCGAGTGGGCGAAGGATGGAATTATGGTCGAGTTCGGAGGACCAAATGCTACAGGACCGCAGGCTTGGGAACGAGGGAAAGAGGCGAAATGGAAGGTTTTGACATTATTCTGGAGGAAAACATAGCGAGACTAAGAATCACAAGCGTGTTCGAAGAAAAACATGTGTACTGTTACCGGGTAGTCTTGCAATATTCACATTGAATACCTGTGACGACAGTTCTGATACCTGGGCATTTGGAAATCTGATAAAGTTGAGTTGGCAGACGGACATAGAGTCAGACTGCATATATGCACGTGAAATCTCGATTTAGACCTGCGGGCGCTGCTATAAGTGGGCTCGCCCGTCTCCACAATGAAATACTCGGTACTCCTCCTAACTCTTCCACCATGGCGGCGCCTCCTGAAGTCAACACTCTCGATCTTTCTGGCATGTTTATTATGGTACGTGGTACTGCTGCCAGAGTGTAAACGTTCTTGTCCTAATTCGCGGTGAAGAACAAAACACTGAGCGATGGTTCGTCTCTTCTCTCACCGTCGCGAGAATTAATCACAAATATCTCTCTTCTCTCTTCTACTGTAGATCCGGATGAGATTCTCCGCTTACAGGGCGTTAGCTGGTTCAAACGCAAAATCATTAGCACTATCACTATAACACTCTACGTTAGCCATTATAAGGACGACGAAGGAAAGGAACATATTGATATCAGGCAAATTGGATCAGGAGGCTTCGAGGGCAATTTCGAGCGACGCATCGTTGATTGGACCCTACGCAGCACCGAAGATCCATTGTTTGGGGCAGTCGGTTAGTTCCATCTGTTATCTTTCGATGACGCAAGTTGAAGAAGTAACTCCATAGTTGGAAGGTCACGAAGAATCAAGGTCGACGACTTAGAATACGAATGGCACAAGGAAAATTGGTCCGCCGACACAATTGAGAATTGTGCTATTGAATCATATGTGGAGAGTGATACCCCAAAGAGCGGAACAACCTGGGTTGCTGATCAGGTACGAGAATTAGTGGGAGCAAGCCTCTGAGTATGCGAACTAACTATCCTTCACAGGTATGGGGATTCTCGGAAATCAATAGCGAAAGAAGGTACGTTAGGAGAATACACTTTACTGGCCCAGACGGCGAAGATCTTCATCGTGTCCTGGTGTATGACTACCGTAAGTCCATTTCTCTTTGACCATTTGTGCGCTCATTCACTATTGCCCGTTATTATTAGAGGGACCAAACACTCGTTCTAATGACGCCTAGCCCGCTGTCACCCACATCACTGTAGAATTGTAATGCGACAACCCAGATATAAATTGATAATATGATATGCATTGTCAATACTAGGATACGTTGTTTAAAATCGGATGACATAAGCAGACTTTGGGCATCATCGCCTTGCCAAGGTAACTAATCGCTCACACGACATACCAAGATGCCTGCAACAAATTGAGTTCTCATCGTCCCTGCTTCCGACTCTCATCCCAGTTACATGAGTGCTCTGGAATCCAGGTCAGACTCTGCAACTACAAGGGTGAGCTACGATGGCCGAGAATCGACGTCGCGTAAGCTCGATGATGAAGAGCGTGCTCTTGGTAGCAGCGCGACACCCGCCAACGCCTCTCGGCCTAGCTCACCTTCTCAATCTGCTCTAACTACACCGAGGTCTCTCGGTGAGCGTCTGCTTGTTCGGACGCAGTCGCAATTTCCTCGGCTGTATGTCTACGCCAGGAAAGCCGCCCTTTACATACGTGGACCTCGCCCAAAGGTGGACCTACCAGGTCTGTATGCATGACCAAGTATCGGGACATTGGGAGCGTTCTTACTCTTTCACCCATAGATCCAACGCCTGTCCTTAACAGATCGTACAAAATACGAGGCCGTACCGTAACTCTCGGCCTTGAACAACCTGTCTTGCGATGGACGCGTCCCTTAACCTCGAAATGGCTTCTGGCATGCCTGGTGGTCGCGTATATTATTGCACTGTCCTTCCTCACGAGGACTGGGTATTTTCTGGTTCCTTCTGATTCGTGGGTGGGATGTACGGCGACATACTGGCTGGCAAACGATGGATGTGGCCTGAATGGTGATACCTGCGGACCATTTGATAACTCGACATTCGATTTCCGCTGCCCAGCACAGTGCACCTCTACAGTACTTGCAAACCCGAGGACAATAGGTAATATACAAATCGATAATGTTCCCGTCATCGTCGGCGGAGGAGACGACAACCGTACTTACCGTGGAGACTCCTTCATATGTGCTGCTGCGGTTCACGCGTACGTGTTTGCCTCATGCGGTACTTCACAGTTAATAATAACGGAAATTTTCTCAGAGGCTTGTTTGAGGACTCTCATGGGGGATGCGGCACCCTGCAATTAACGGGGAACTTCACGAACTTTTTGGCACTCGCTGCGCACGGCTTGATGTCGGCGCCCTTCCCAACTATTTTCCCGTTATCGTACCGCTTTAGCCAGAATACGTCCCTTTCGCATTGCTTGGACCTCAGAAACCACGTGCTGGCCTTCAATATAATCGTCACTGCTCTCTTATTCCTCGTCTTCAGACCGAAGCCAATAATCTTATATTGGTCCCTTGTTTGCATTGGCTTTTGGCATATTTCACTATATTCGCAGCCTCAGGGATTTCCTCCGCCGCTGGATACTGCATTTGGAATATTTCTTCCAACACTCTTTTTCGCATATGCATTCTGGCGTCTCGCTTTCCGCTTCGTTCTCCCAGCCTTTTCTAATGCACCGCTTGAGAGGGCAGTGTGGTACCTTGCTGCCTTCTGGCCTGGCGTCCTCCTGAACATCGTCACAGACAAGATTCCAGTTGATCGTTTGGTTGCTAGCGATATAGACAAAAGGCCTGGGGCATTGATAGCCATCATCATCATTGCCATCGTCGTCTTTGTTATCGTTGTCAACCAGATTCGGGTGATTCGCAAAACCGGGTGGTTGCCGAAGTATCTCGCCTGGTACATCGCTGGTGGATTGGTGGCACTGGTCCTGTCACAACTGCCGAATCTGACATTGCGGTTGCATCATTACATCTTCGCGATGGTGATGATACCTGGAACAGCCTTTCCAACACGGTTATCCGCTATTTACCAGGCATTCCTACTAGGAATGTTTCTCAATGGTGTCGCTGCATTTGGATATGATTCAATCTTACAGACGGCAGCGGATGTGAGTCGCTCAATAGGTATTGCAGTAAACATATGCTTAAATCTGTTTCAGCTGCAAAGAGATGCTCCCCAGGGATCAGCACTTCCGACCTTCCTTACAAACTCCACAACTTACAATTCATCGATTCCTCTTTTAAATCAGACAATATCTTGGGCACCAATTCCGGACGACGGAAATGGGTTTGACGGTTTTGCGTTACTGATTGATGACGTTGAGCGTTTCACGGGTACTGCACTTAATTTCTCGCTCGCATCACTGCAAGAGGGCATCCCTCACTTTTTCCGCCTTGCTGTACGTCAGGAACATGCGTTCTGCCAGATCCACTTGCTGATTTTTGTATACAGTTCCAAAAGGCCGGAGTGAGCGGTGACTTCACTAAAGCTGCAACGTTATGGCCGAACGGCTCGTGGGTAAATCCTCTTCCGGGACCCTCTTAGTTAATTTAATACACTTTATTATTTTGTTTCGGACTGCGGGTTGCATTTGGTTGGAATGTATTGTTACCGTATTTGGATGAATATGCCTCATCTGCAATTTCACATTATATAATCCGTGGATTAGAGTTGTCGCTTGCGGAATTGCCACACAGTCACAGACCACATTGGCCTCCACCGGCCAGGCCAGGTCAAAACTTACTTATGAACCCCATGTTGAGCCGAAACGTCTTGGTCCCCACCACCATCTGCTAGTCAGATATTCTCTTTCATAACACCATCTGCCTCGGACCGATCTACCTTTAGGAATGTGCTCTACACCTCGGAAACCTAGGTTCGCTGAGCCGCGACGTAAGGCCTTTCACTCCGTTTAAGCAGACACATGCTGATGTGGCTTAAAAACTGGCCAGATTTTGAATACCACCGCGAGTTGAAAAGATGGAGTTGTACCATGTGCACGCCGAGCCTAGTGGACGCGGAGAATAACAGCATGACTGTTCAAGAAGCTCTAAAACACGAGAAGACACTCAAACACAAAGAGAACGTGCATGCTCGGGAGGTATGGAACGAGCCACCCGAAGTTAATGACTGGATAAATGGAGATGGGGAACTCGTTGAGGGCCGGGTGACGGGGTCGACGCAGTATGTCGACCACCAAGGCGACTTCATTCCGTTCTGGCAAAAATCAATTGAAGCCGCTGAACATGGCGTAACACTACGATTTGAGAAATACTTCAGCATGCTTAAGGAGAAAAGAGAAGAGGAGAACTGTTGGAACGTCGAGCTCCCGTCTTGGGCTGTAGAGCCCCTGGAACGGGTGGACGATAAAGATCGTTCATTCGCGTCGGATCGTCGACGTTCGTCGATATCTGACCATGGACTTAATCCCGACGAATTAATTAAAGAAGTTGCGGAGAGCTATCGTTTGAGCTCTGAGCGAAAGGATCGCTTGTGCGCTTTTTGTAAAGTAAGTGCTATCTGCAATGTCCTTCATCCTGTGTTGCATTAACTGTGACGTTAAGATGCCTACGAATGAAAAGGTGAGGCATATTAACGAGCTTATTGATGCACTACGCGGATCGCACGTTTCTGCGCCGATTCAACGCGGAAGAGGGGGGTTGGCTATTTAAATCTTCATCCGTTGATGGACTTCTTAACACAAAGCCAATGCGTCTCCTTTGTAACGACTTGTTCATGTGTATGATTCCAACGAATTCTTTTGTTAGTATAATATCTGAGGTTTGAAAGAGATGCTGTGCCGCTGGTAAGACATACGCAATGAGTCAGCAGCACATATTTTTAGTGCATAGTACGTACTTAGTAATGGAGTCCTTCCAGATTGAGTCAGGCGGTGTAGAGATCAGTTTGCTGCGCTCACGCAATCCAATCTTTCCCACTTACCACAACCTACTCACCCGTAGCATACATCTATTCACAACATGGAGGAAGAACCACCTCTCCCGTACGGATGGATTAAGGACTTCGACGAGAACTACCAGCAGTTCTACTTTGTCAGTGATGATTATATGCATTAATCAGCCAATCGCATCTTCTGATATACTGTTTGCAGGTCGACACAAAGGCGCAGCCTCCGCGAAGCATTTGGGTCCACCCATACAAAGATCCTCAGTACCTGGAGGAGCATCCCGAGATTCGCGAGAAAATCAGCCCTCGTTACGAACGCCCACCTGGTCCGCCGCCGCCAGGATATGGTGTCGAATCGTCCTCTAGCCTGCCTGCCGCTAGTTCTTCCGCTTCTAGCCCACCTCCGCTTGCTCAAGACCAAGAAAGGAGGGGTTTCTTTGGGAAATTAAGGGATAAGACAATGGGAACTAAGGAAGAGCGAGAAGCACGTCGGCGTGAAGACGAGCGCATAGCCGAAGAACGCAGACGAATGCAGCAACAAGCTTATGGTAATCAATATTCACAGCAGAGGCTTGGACAACCAGGATTTGGAGGAGGATATGGTGGACCAGGGTATGGCGGACCAGGATACGGCCAAGGCGGTTTTGGTGGTTATGGCGGTGCTCCTCCTGGTGCCCCGCCTGCTGGGTACTATCCACCACAGCAACAAGCGGCGCCAAAACGCAGTGGAATGGGCGGTATGGGTGTGAGTCCTTCCTGTTTTTGAGATCCTATCAATTATCGAGATCTGATATTTGCCTCCAATGATTTAGATGCCAATCCTTGGAGGGCTTGCTGGTGTAAGACATCATTTGATTGAGGTGCTATTAACTTATCTGATTTGCATGTTCATGACAGGGTCTGCTCCTTGGAGAAGCACTCGATGGATTTGGAGGCGATGGAGGCGATGGAGGCGACTTTGGTGGTGATGGCGGTGACTTTGGTGGGGGTGACTTTGGTGGAGATTTCTAATCATCTTGAATATGCTTGTGTCTCTTGAATACTATATAACCTGACTTGTTCAGCTAGGCTGTTATTTATGCCTGTCCTTGTATATGTCCTATATCTTGATTAGCTATGAATTTCCATACACGTATAAATTTATGGTAGCGGTGTTGTTCGACCTATACCTAGTTATCAAATCGTGTCCGTAAGTAGGCAATTCATTATGATGTCGGTGTTGAGTAATTTGTGGACGCGCGCCGTGCCAGTGCCCGTGTCGCGTCTGTTTGACGCCGACGGCATTGGCGACTTCTCAAATGCCTCCTCCTCTGCCGTATTCCTTGAGCCCGCATATTTGCACCCTAGCATCGCCGGACCTACAAGAGTTACTGTCAGCATCATCGCTTCCACCATTACAAGATGTCCTCGAGTCATTCTCGCCTTTGCCAAACAGTGAGCTCTGCCTCACCACGTGTTTAGATGCATATGTCCTAGACCTAATGTCCTTTAATAGTTACAACACGGACGACGGCATTAACTACTGTTCAACATGCAAAGTTCACGTTGCGCTTCTCGGACTTAGCAGAAATAGAAACCGCTTGCAAAGAGGACGAAGAGCAACGGGCAGGCCGATTCATAGACTGGATCAGTTCGCGTGTCACTGCAAAATGCTCGCGATGGGTCGAGGAAACGGAACGTTGGGAAGCTGAAGCGTCCGAGTCGAACCGGGACAGGCTAGCAGAAGCTCCAGAACCGTGGTGGGAGGAGATGAAGCGTTGCGCGGAAGGGGACCACGTACCATCTAGAGCTGAGGGCTGGAACCATCCAACTTCTAGTGAGCAAAACAGACAAACAACTCCTTCAAGGTTTTCTAACTATCTATTCAAGTTCTATACGCTATCTCGACAAATACTCCAAATCCGTTGAATGCTCTAGCAGTCCTGTACGCTCGTCAAGTGGGCTTGCCCACCTGGGTAGACAGTGTGCATCTCCGGTACATCATAATCGTTCATTCAGAAGGATCCATTCTCAACGATGACGAGTACGCCAACCATCCGCCGCTTTGTCCTTCTCTACACTAACAGCTTCATTTAGGGCAAATGCATTATTCAATGCCATTAGGAAACAGTATGGATTGAATACATATCTGCTTCAACTTTCCCTCCCATCGCCCCCTCCTCCTCCTGTTTCTACTGTTATCCTTCACCCCAGGCTTCCAGTCTCTGCTGAGCAGGATGGATCTCCGACTAGATACCAAGGTGCATCGCAACAGAATTCCCGTAAAGAAGGCAATGTCATCGAATCTGGTAACTTAATACGCATGTGTGATTCGGACATACAAGCAACGGCACAATTTGTGCGCGAATTTGTAACAACAGGTCTCATACCGTGGATGGAGAAATGCGTCATCGACTGGAACGAAACTGTAAGCCATGATTATGTTTGACTAATATCAGAGCTGAAGGTATTTAATCTAGTACGCCTCTAATCGTCGTTTACCTTCCCGACTCTTTTCAACTACTCGTCGCTTTTTCGGATCGTCCTATTCTGCGTCACCATCGCCATCATCCTCTCCATCTTCTCCGACGGGTGCAGGGCATGCGTATTCAAATTCAGCGAGTTCGACAAGTAACGGCTCAATGATACCTATGCAGCAACGTCGACTTGCAGAATTCGCCACGATGCTAGGAGACTTCAAACTTGCAGTCAGCGTTTGGGAGAGCTTAAGGAAGGACACGAGGGGCACCGTTGGTTCTGTGCGTAACTATCTGGTTAGAAGTCATGACTACCTAACCGTCCGACAGGACATTCTCCCTCTACTTCTTTCTCCATCTGAAGCATTGCAACTTCACGCTATGAACGCGATCTCATTACAATCCATGGGAAGTAAAGAGGCATCTGCAAGAGCCCAGGTTCGGAGTATGGCTTATGCAGTACGTTGGGAGCTTGGGATCGGCATGAGCGACTTTCTCAGTGATATTCTCGATGGAGACCGATGGCTAGTGTGGGCTGCAGGAAATGTAAGTATTTGTAGTCCACTACGCTGCATGTGCAGACTGTTTACATTTGGGACACTGCGAATAGGCAGAGGAAACGCCTTCGGCATTGCTACTCGCCCATGCAGCTCTGTTAAGTTTTCGTAAAAGCTGCATACGGAGGTCAGCAATGTTGTACGTCGTAGCCGCGAGGCGCTTAGAGAAGATCGGAATTGTAAGTGTCTTTCTTTGCGGAAGAATATTTCTAATCGATACGTTATTCTTAGAGACCTCTTACGCTCTACTTCCTGCGGAAAGCGCATACCTACTTTACACATCCTCCAGAAAAGTTCCTGTCCCCCTTGTTTGACGATGCAGAGAATCGGCTTCTAGGGCAAGAGCCTTTCTTTGACGCTGTGGTGCCCAGTATCGAACACTCCATCGGTAGGAGCATTTCATAAGTGCGAACTATTAAATGTCTAATACGATGCATAGGTCGTCTGATGTATACAGTTGGTGAAACCGAGACGGCCGTTAGGTTGTTCCTAGGTCTTTTACGAGGTTCTCCTACTTCCTCCGTGTCGTACGACATGAGTATAGCAGACCATGTCCCTTTGCAAGAGGACACAGGTGTTGACAAAGCATTCTTAGAAGACTTTCGACTCTCATTTGAAGTGGGTTCTCGGAACATACATTCCGTTATCTCTATATCGAATAGTAACATTTGTCATAGCATTTCATTGCGACAAGTGGAAAAGACGCGATTCCGAAAGACTTGAAGTTACCTTTCAAGTTTTCGAGACCGAAGTCTGTCAAGGTACGTCTTCCAGACGAGCATCTTCCACAGGACGCGTCTACTTGGGAGGAAAGAGAGTCCCAATGGCGGAGCTTCTGGAAGGACAAGGGGAATCATGAGCTAAAGGCAGGTGGAACTGCGTTCGTCGGAGGTGAGCCAGATAGTGACTTTCGTCTGTGTTACTGCTCATTGATGTATTCTAGAGCTAATATGGGTCGATGTTACACTTTGCAATCCGCTGAATGTCGCGGTAACATTGACCAACGTCACGCTGTGCGTGGATAGCGACGAGAACGAAGAGGCCTCAAATAATGGTCCTGAAGTAGAGGTAGTTGATGAAATATACCTCAATGCAAAAGAGCGCAGAACGGTTGGTGGACCTCCGCCCCCATTTGATCTGCCAATTGATTCTCCCTGTTGTCCAGGTCTCAATAGCAATCAAAAGCCATAGCCCCTGCAACCTAACGATAACTAAGGTATCATACGCGTTTCTAGGTCTCCTACTAGCATCAGAATCACTTGCCGTTCGAGGAAGGCGTCTGCAAGAAACGGCGTTGCAACGTCAAAATAAGATGTACGCTCCTGACGTGCTGCCAAATGTGCAAGTCGAGGGACGAGAACAGCGTCTCGCGGCCACCTATACGGATAAGCAATCTGCCATCCTCGCAAGTGGCGAGATGATTCGCATATCGTTACGACTGGAGAATGTTGGAACAAAGACGATAGGTGAAATCTGGCTTGTACACGGCTCTTCCAATGAACTCTGGTTGGATAGCGAAGAGGGTGAATCTGGTACGCTTTATTTGGCATGATTCCAAAGCCTAGATTGACGACTATGAAGCACCAGGGAGCTCGAACGAACTTCTGACGTCGACGAATTCCATTCGTCCCCCGACGCCTTTGAACATTCCGCTGCAGGCCCTCCTTAGTAGCGATAATCTTCAGCCAGGAGAATCAGTCGACATCCCTTTGGTTTTGCACGCTCCCGAAGTGCGTCGCTTGGACTTGTTTTGCATGTTGGCTTTTCGCGAGGTCGGTGTATTAAACTTCGTAATGCCACACAAAAAGCTAACACGAACATTATTAGACGGAGAGCGATGGTTTCCGTAGCATGTGCTTAAAGAGGTCATTCGATGTCAAGCCCTTCCTCGATGTTTCCGTATCCTCCGCTCCCAGCGCCCATTTGGGATATCTGTTTTCTGTCAATATGCAAGTACAAAATCTGAGTACTTCTGCGGAAGTAAACATCTCAGGCGTAACAACTCTGAGTCCTACGTGGGAGTGCGAGCTCCTAGGTGAAACACCATGGTAAGCGAATTGTTTTTCTTTGACTTCTCCCGTCAGGAAACTGAATGTTTCATAAAGTGGACTCCTGCCGCCTAGCCAGACAAAACAGGCGGTCTTTGGCGCAAATCGACAAGACGTTGATCCATCATCTTCCTCAGCGACCCAAAGCTTCGTGATATCCAAACTCGTCGAAGTTATGGATGGTCAGGCCGTATCTCCGTCAGATCCCCCTCCAATAGACTTGCAATGCTGTAATTTTCACGAGGTACGACTTCTATACGTGACAACTTGCTTATCCACGACTAACTGTTGAGTAGCCTGACTCAAAGTGGACGTTATCTTCCCCTCAAATGAAACACTTACTCCATGCTGGCAGACGACGAGTAACCTCCGAATCCGTCAAAATTGCGCATCCACATATCCCTCCATCCTCCCACCCACACATATTCCCTTTGTACAACCCCTCCGCAACAGATGTCGTCCTCTTCTGGGACATACCATCACTAAATCGTTCTGGTTTTCTACTCGTCACTGGACTCTTGTTAGGAGCTTCGCACGCAGCTTTGCGTGACGTCATCCAAGAAGTGGAACAACGAAAGGCCAAGCGTAGTATGTTCGCCGAGACGCAGCGCGAAAGAGAAGATATCCTGGAAGCCATAAGGAATAGTGAATGGAATATGGAGATGAACCCTCTGATAACGACCGTTCGTTGTGATGAGGTTGTGTATCACGACTTCTCCACTGGGTATGTTCTTATGTATTTATTTTATTTGAACAACTCTGACTGATGAACATTCCAAAAGACCGTGCACTGTTCCTATAACCTTTGACCTACGAAATTACTCTTGCACACATGACGTACGATTTGTGTTGAGGCTGGCATCTCAGGATACTGCATCCCAGGACGGCTTGCTACCTCCCTCTTTCTCTGGGCGCATGACACGAAGAGGCGCACTCGCGCACGGGCAGCAAACTAATGTTATCATGAAGATGTGGATTTCACAACCTGGAGCTTATTCACTTAGCGGGTGGAAAGTGGAGACAGAAGTGATGGAATCAGATAACCCGTCAGATCCTCATACCACCCCACTGTCAACTTCAATTCCATCACCGGAACGTCGAGTCCGGCATCGATATGTAGAAGAGTCACCTCTTCAGCCTGTCATTTCTGTAATTGTGATACATCGCACATAGACTTCGCATACTCATTTGATTAATATCTACCACCTAATCATCTCCCAGAGAGAGAGCATCACTCGAGGAACCCAGCGGAAGTATGAAAAACATCAGGGCAAAAGAACAAGATAAATAGCTAATCGGGTAAGTAACCGGAGGGATATCGCTCAGAAAACATGTCGATAACCTACAGCGAATCTCAAAGTATTAAGGATTAAAGCATCTTCACATTTTGGAATTGAGAAATATGAAATGAGCTCAGTCTTAATCGTCAAGTTTTGACTTCTTTTCCTTTAATTGCTCTCGCAAATCGTCCTCCGAGTATCTGCGCTTGACTGATCCAGTGCTTTCAGCGACCGAACTCGACGCAGCGGAATGATTTTGTCGGGCCCAGCTCGGTCTTCCACGTCGGGCACTAATACGTTCTCTTGTCTTCCTTGCCTTCTTCATATATCTTCTCGCAAGTGCATCAATTTCTATAGTATTGAACGATAATCAACGGTTAACAAGTGAAGGTTCATAAAATCGAGACAAACTCCCACCATCTTGTCTGCGACGATAAATTTCCCTCCACGATGCAGGAGTCCGTTGAGGATACTAAAGTGAAGCTCATCAAATCATCTATTCGAATGTAAAGAGTCAGATCAGAACTTACGGCTATAGTGAAAGGTTCCCAGTCTCGATAGCCATTAAACCAATCTGGGCAAATGGCAATGTGCTTCGCGAGCACCCGATACTCAGCCATTGTGAAAATTGAACCGGCTACACCGAGCTTCTCATTTTCATCCGTGTCTAATCTATCATTTTCATCCTCGTCATCGGAACTTTCCTCTTCCGATTCGGACGAAAATCCCGCCTTGGTATCCTCTTCGCCAGCCTCGCTGTCGGAACTTTCCTTGTAAGAGATTGTCCGAGGCCGCGAGTTTCCATTTACTACGTTTCCGCCACCCCTCCAAGACTGGATCGCTTTTTCCCGATCCTGATCGACTAACTGAGTGAGCAAGTACATCTTATCAGCGACATCCTGGAAGAAGTTTGTTAGCCCATTCGGGTAAACGGAGATAACATTGATAACCTACCTCATGTTTGTGCCAGTACGATCGCCAAGCGACTCCCGTGTGATGGGGTGCCTGGAAGCTTATACTTCAGTCTAAAATATATTGCATTAAGCGCCCATTAACGCACCTTCTCTCCTAGTATGTCGCAGAGGTTTGCTTTCGAAAGGTTAGGATTTCGAGCCAAGTCGTAGGCGATCCGCCTGTAAAAGTATATTGCATCTTGTTCAGTGTACCTTGAGTTGGGCGGAGCCGCAGGAGGCGACGGAGAGCGAGACGGAGCAGCAGGGAGTCCAGTATATGCGTCAATTGCAACAGCAGGTGGCACTTTTGCAAGTAGATCGTCAGATGGAGCACTGCTCATACTATTCAGAGTTCTTCTGGAGGCAGCATCGGCTTCAAACTGGACTGAAGTACTCCTTGATTTCCCATTGGCGTGTTTTTGTTGTTGTTTGGCCTCTTTGGCTAGTCGAGCAGAGCTTCCCTTAGGCCTTCCCCTAGGCCTTCCTTTCGCTGTAACACTCCTAGTCATGCTTGCAGAGCTCTCAACTGAGGATCTAGACTTGGTATCAGGACGAGATTGTGCGTGCTTGCGAGGCTGCGGCGCTTCATCGACGAGAGTATCACGGGCACTCTTATACAATAGTGGACTGGAAGACCTCTCTTTGATGGGAACCGTTGATGTTGACTGCGCCCGCCCTCTGAGCTGATCAACAAGAGCGTCTATGATTTCCTTGTTTTCAAGGAAATAATCCTTCCAAGAAAAGGCCATGATTCCGTTATGCTGTTAGAAAAAACGCGTATTAGAGCTAGTGACGCGTGATCGAAGCAAAGACACGTACGCCGTGTAAGCTTTCGAGAGCCGCCTTGTATGTAAGGCCTCTCTTAGTCTGCTCGTATATAATTTGCGCAAGTAACGCGTTGTCCGAAGGTTGTGGAGTGGGCAGCTTGGACTGATCGTACGCAGACGATATCTGCTGCTGCGGCTGCGGTTCTTGTTGGAAATTATTCTGTTGTTGAGAGTAACTGTGCTGCATTTGCTGCATCACAGAGGCCATGGCAGCATACATGGGGTGTTGATTCTGGGTGTTTTGGTAGGGAAGTGTGGTTGAAGGAAAACTGTTATGCCTTGGCACTATTTGCGGCTGGTCCCACTGCATGCCCGCAGAATTGGGCGGTGTATAGTGATGCGGAGTCATCATGGGCGAAAAATAGAGGGGGAGGAAGAGGCGAAAGAGACGAAGAGAGTGCGGTTGCGCCCCACAGAAGCGTTGAAGAGTCCCAGCAGGACAGCAAGGCGAAATTCATTTGTGGTTTTGATTACGCGATGCGAGCGTCGATCACCATGGGCGTCTACGGTCTCTGCGTCACTTCTCTGTTCAGTGTTCTCATACCACACTCTCTTCTTCTTGTGTACAGGCAACTGGCTCGCACGTCTGTGGTATATATCCTATATTCACGCCGTTCCGTCTACCCGCTTGCTCCGTTTGCCGTTTAGATCCCGTGTCAAATTAATCTCATAGCATCACGCGTGTACTCGGTTCCCGGATCTACTTAAGCAAGCACTCCCCGAGCACACCTCTGTTCTCATGTCCTTGCATCGAATTACTCATATCGCTCGCGTCGCTATGTCTCGTTCCTTTGCCTCTGCCTCAGAAATTAGAGTGAAGAGCCCTATCGTTGGCTTGAGTGCTATAGCCCGCGAGAAGGCGGAGCAGCTCTCAGTTTGGAAAGGAACTAGCGCTTCAGGTGAACCTACGAAGATTTATATTGGGGGCCAATTTGTGGACAGCAAGGCGCAGACTTTAATCGATGTTCTCGATCCGGTCTGTGCATTAATACCTCCTTTAATGTGATATTCTCTCCACTAACTCCGGTTCTAGTCAACCCAAACACTTCTGACACGAGTTCCGGAGACCACCAGCTCAGAGTTCGAGAGCGCGGTTGAAGCGGCTTCCCAAGCATTCAAGACATGGAGCCGCACAAGCCTTCTCACGAGACAGAGATTCGTATTCGAATTGCAACACCAGATCCGACAGAATGCGGATGCCATAGCGGCAAGTATTGTACTTGAACAGGGAAAGACTTTTGCCGGTAATGCATTGTTCGAAAATGTAGCTGCTGTTCTTACCTAACACACTCTTAGATGCGCATGGCGATGTATTGCGTGGTCTGCAAGTTGTGGAACATGCTTGTGGTATAACCTCAACGATGCTTGGTGACAAACTAGAAGTCAGCAAGGATATGGATACTGAAACGCGGCGACTACCTCTGGGAATCTGCGCTAGTATTGCCCCTTTCAACTTCCCGGCGTATGGCACTTTCATGTTGCATTACAGATTAATCCGTCTAACACATCCATCCACAGCATGATTCCGCTTTGGACAATTCCCATGGCGCTAGTGACTGGGAACACACTTATTGTGAAACCATCAGAACGAGACCCTGGTGCGGCAATGATCCTTGCAGAGTAAGTTTATTGCAAATCTAAATGATTGGTATCCTCCTCTTACATGGCGAAAGACTATGCGAACGAGCTGGACTACCACCTGGTGTCTTGAATATCGTCCATGTGAGTCTGCTACATACACGATGTCAACTTATCTTAATCCTTTCTTTCGCAGGGTACCGTACCAACGGTCAATGCTATCTGCGACCATCCAAAGATCAAAGCAGTTAGCTTCGTTGGAGGTTGGGATTTTTACTAGTCCAACTTACGATGATTAAATTAAATAATAATTCGTTCCAGGTGATCGAGCAGGGAAACATATTTACGACAGGTAACTCAATGTTCATACTAGTCAATTATCTTTCTTATAAGTCGCATTAGAGCAACAAGTAGTGGGAAACGAGTACAGGTCTGTCTTTCTTCCTCCTGGATCAGAGCTTACACTGAAAGGTGGATTAGGCGAATATGGGAGCGAAGAATCACGCCGTAATCATGCCCGATGGTATGTCTCGTTTTTAACTAACACGTTGTGCAGCCGTTGAACGAGTTTTAGCAAACAAGAACGCTTCAATAAACGCCATACTGGGAGCAGCTTTCGGTGCTGCTGGCCAACGATGCATGGCAATATCCGTTGGTAAGTCTGACCGCCAATGCTCGAGTCTGAGAAATATTCACACTTGTATTGTATCGTAGTCATTCTGGTCGGCCCTGCCCAATCCTTCTTGCCAGAACTAATTGAGCGCGCCAAAGCGCTAAAGGTCAATGGTGGTTTCGAAAAGGGTGCTGACTTGTGAGTGTACCTAAACGAAATCTGACTATGATCTACATACTCACATACCGGCTTTTCAGCGGACCCTTGACATCTCCTGCTGCAAAGCAGCGAGTAATTGGTCTCATATCATCCGTGGATGAAGAGGGTGGCAAAATCCTTCTGGACGGTCGACGAATCGATGTCCCAGGATACCCTGACGGGAACTTTGTCGGTGCAACGGTCATTGAAGTAACAGTCGATATGCGAGCCTATAAGTTCGTCTCCGATATATCTGCATCCTCAATGAACCTATACTGATGATCTCCGATTCTCCAGAGAGGAGATTTTCGGACCAGTCCTTTGCGTTATGACAGCTGAAACGTTAGACGATGCTATTGAAATTATCAACGCTAGCAAATACGGCAATGGCACAGGTTCGTCTTTTAACCCCAATCAAGGCCAACGTTCATGCATATTCATCTTTCCTTCTTTCTAGCCATATTCACGCAATCAGGTCCAACAGCGCGCAAGTTCGAGCGAGAAGTGGAGGTTGGTCAAGTCGGCATTAACGTGCCCATCCCAGTACCACTTCCCATGTTTGCGTGGAGCGGTAACAAGGCTAGCTTCCTTGGTGATATTGGGTACTATGGGAAGAGCGGTGTCAACTTCTACACCCAATTCAAGGCACGCTGTTTCAGTTACGCTGGGTGAATTCAAGGCTTATACTGTCCTTTACAGACTACAACGAGCTTATGGAGAGCGGAGGACGCGATTGGAAACAAGGCGTCTGTGGACATGCCTACGATGAAATAAAGGATAGTGTGGACGCAATCATGTACCAATAGTCATTGAAAATAGTCATTAAGAAATCTGCTGTCGTCGTCATTTGAATTTTCGCCTTCCTCTCCTCACCTATAATCACTGCCAATCAATAGCACACAAGCCCTCAAAGAAAGAAAGCATTTAGTTTTAGTTGCGAGAAATTAAAGATTGTATACATTGGCAATAGCAAAGACAGCAAGCAGATCTATGCATTATTGGTATGTGCAGCAGGTATCTGCGTAGGTGGTTTCTGCTTGAAGAACCGTCTCCTCCGCTCTTCCCAAGTTTCGGGTGATTCGTGGTCGCGTTTTTGGCCTGCGAGTTTTCCGGCGGAGTCGTATACGCCGACGGCTGCGCCGAGGAAGGCGCAGGAGGCGAAGGCTACTGGTAATGATCGGGCTGTTTTCAATTGTGTTTATCCACGAGGAAGAAAGACAGGAGAAGAGAGAGACAAAGGATGATTAGATGGTGAACAAGGAGGAGGAGGAGGAGGAGGAGGAGGAGGAGGAGGAGGAGGGGAAGGATAGAGACGGACCTCGAAGACCTGCGAGGAACCCAGCTGCACAACCTCCCGCCGCACCGTTCAACGCATCATCCTTCTCTCGCGTGTTCGCGACAACAGCCTCAGTCGCAGCGAACGTGAATCCCATAGCAGCTATTAACCATGTAAAATAAAACAGTTCTTCATAAGTAATGTGTCGACAGAACAGAAAGCTGATAGAAGTTGTTGAATTGATTCTCACCAAAGAACCCAATAGTCCCCCCAGACCTCGTAAACACCCCAAACGCACCCTTATTATGCTTCCCTAAAGCATTTTGCACAGTACTGACGAGTGTGCCGACGATACCGGCTTGAAGACCCACGAACGACGCGTATTTCAGCGTTGATTTCGGTTCGTAGAAGGCTAGTGAGTCGCCATTTGTTTGTGAGGCGCTGGTGTGGTCGTTGTCTGTACCCTCACTAGACATGGTGGGTGATATGCACTAGTGGGGTTGTTAGGTTGTTGAGTCTATGGATGAGAGAGGGCAAGGATCTACGGTTAACTGGTGCGTGAATTACAGTGAGTAATTTCGTCTTGTGCAAACGCCCATACGTTGACTGGGCCGGTAATTGCCGTATTATTGTTTACATGGCACAAACAGTTTATGAAGTGCAACAAGATTGTAATGTGCAGAACGTCTACTATACCACTATTAAGTATTAATATTATAATTTACGGCGTTTGCCTACGCCCTTCCCATCTGCATGAGAGCTCTTCCGTTTGACACTATCTACCAGACTTTGTAGGCTCTGCTGTATCTCAAGGCCATCTGATCTGGACGGTTCCCTTTCCGTAGGTCGCCCACCTTTGCCAGATTGCCTCTTAGCGCGTTCTTCAAGCAAAGCGGCCATGCTTTTCGTCTTTTTGAAACTACCAAGCAAAATTCATTATTTACCTAAAAGAAGGCGAGAGAAAAGCGTAAAACACGTACTGAGGATTACTCGGGTCAATAGCGAACGTATGGTCTTCATGCAAAGCCTTGAACCGGTCATCCTTAACGTCAATCTGGAAATCCTCTTGAACATCATCTTCGCCATCGCCAGCAGGTCCCTTCTTCCCACTTTTCTTGCTCTTCTTTTTCTTTTTTCCTTTTGCTTTCTCTGCTTTTAGGATGGACTTCATGTCAAAATGGTTGCGTGCTGTCGACGTGTCGTCTGGTGCGACTAGAAGTTCTAGTTCGGCTTCTGTAGCTGGGCGGGCTTCGGTGTGTTCTTCACTGTCTTTCTCCTCTTCGCGCCGGGATTTTGATTTGGAGGACTTTGATTTCTTGTTCTTGCTCTTGCCCAGATCCGCCTCGTCTTCTTCGCTCTCGCTCCCAGCAGCAAAGAACTCATCTCCAACAACCACTTTCGCAGTTTTCCCAGTAACCTGCTCCTTCTCACTCATCTTCTCTATCTTCTCTTTCTTTCGCGCCTGCCGCTTTTCTTTCTGTTTCCTCTTGTACGTCTCGATAGTCGTTTCGTCCTGGCTCTTTGCATTCGCCTCGCTCAAACCGGGCATGAAAGTAATCTCCATATCACCTTCCGCATCGTTATCTCCATCACTGAATGGGTTGGAATCGGGAAAGCCGCCTACTTCGCCGTCGCCGAGTAAGAGTTTTCTCAGTCTTTCGCGTTCGGTTTTACTCTTCTCGTTTTTACTACTATCTCCAATGTCATCTGAGTCCTCGGAACTGGAAGGCGCGATGTACGCTCTATAATCACCCTCCTCGATTTCTTTACGAGATAACGCGCGTCGGGTAACTTTACTCCGCTCGGGGTCGTCTTCGTCCCATTTGAGCGTGACTTTTGAGTGTCGGAGTGCGTCTGTGGAGAAGTCGAGGCCTTTGTAGGTTGTGTTGGTAGATTCTGTGGTAGGGGTTGCTTCGTCTCTAATAACTGAATGAGTAATGTGGTTGAATTGGGAACGGAATGATGTACGAACCTGAAGTCATCATCAAATGTCATGTCATCAGGGACGTAGCTCAAGTCGAAGACGTTGGCTGAACGTTCTAACTCTGTACCATCGAGTTCAGAGACGAGATGAGCAGCGGTGTCGAGGGTGTCGCAGATTACGATGGCATAGTAGTACCTGAATGAAAGAACAATTTAAAAGTATCCTATGTGTGAAGTGCTACGCACTTACCGCAGCCGTTCTAACTGGTATTTCCGTAAAGCCTTCTCGTCAAACTCGTCGCCTTCATCCTCTTGAATGAGGCTGCCCAAAGTGTCATCTTCGTCACGTCGTCGACTCTTCTTGAATATCTCCTTCGGCGGACCCTCGACCTCCTCTTTCTTCAACCTCTCCTTGCCGAATTCTGATAGATAAACACGGACACTGAGGATCTTTCCACGGACAATTTTAGCTGCAGACGAGGCCTTTTCGTTTCCCCTGACGGACATGGACGTGGCGCCATTGACAGCTACGGATGCCGATGGCGCAGTTGGTGAGACGAGGGACGAAAATATTTTGTAGAGGTGACTGGCACGGACGTGGTCCCAGTCGAGATTGACAACGGCGAGCCGGTTGGTTTTTACACCGCCTTGCTCCGGTTCGTCGTCTTTGGCATGCTCGTTTGCGTAAGAAGCGGCTTGAGCGTCTAGGTCTGCGTAGGCGTCTTCGTCCTCGTTGAGGTCAACTTCTAAATAGCCGTCATCTTCTGCAAAGACGGGGATGGGCTTTGAAGCGTGTTGGCCGAGAATAACATCGGCGTCGTCACCATCTTCGCTTTCGCCATCACTTTTGGCAGATTCTTCGCCATCTTCTTCATCGGACGACTCGAGTAAGACTTGACCTCGTGCATAATCTATTATTTGAGGAGCCTGGGCATCTTCGTGTTCCTCGTCGTCGTTCTGGCCCTCGAGTCGGTAAAAGCGTCTGAGGTTGTCCTTCTCATGGGTGTCAGCGACTTGTCTGCCGTACTTGTCTACACGACCGCCTGTCAGGATTGAGGTAAAATCATGGGATCAATCAGTACTGTTGGCGACTGAGCTGAGAGCAGTGCTGGTAAACACACGGACCTTTTGATTTTCTCTTGCCTGATTTTTTATTTGAGTCGTCGTCGAATACTGCTTTGAAGCGTTCGTCGACGACTACTTTTTGAGTATTCCTTTTTGGCCTGCGGAAGCGTGGGTCGGTGTGGAGGCGGGTGAAGCGTGGATCACTCATGACAGACAGCTAGACAGACCGAAAGATTTTAATTCGATGTATGCAACCGGAGTGGACGGGCGAGACCCACAGCCGGACGAATGGCCGCGTGGGAGAATGTAAATATAGCAGGGCGGTTGCCGTCGAATCAGCCACCTCGTTGACGCGGACAGTCCTTGCCATAGAGACCGTGATCGCGTCCTGGCACCCTCTTTCCCATATAACCACCGTGTCCCCCTACTTCCCCTCCTTTCCTTCCCCCAGTCAGTGCAATTGTCGCTGTTGAGCCGTGCTCTTCCTCCCCTTCGCTTTCTTCATCCCAACTTCAACAGGCCGCCGGGCGACCTTTCCTTTCGCTGTCCTTCATCCACCTTCAGAGTCCTTTCAAGTTTCGCTTTGACAGCATTACCTTCATTATGATTCGCATCACTGCCCTTGCTCTTCTTGCAGTCCTCGTCGCTCAGGTCCTCGCGAGCCCTATTGCGTCCCCGCAGCCTGTAGCCGTAAGTCCTACTAGTTCTACTCGAATTATTTCTTCTGCATCCTAATCCTATGTGCAAGGCTGTGGAGGGCCGCTCGCCTAATTTTGAGCTCCTCGTCGCATACGCCAAGCGCCAGGACAACATCAACACTATCCCCGCCGAAGCAGCCACCAAGGCACCTAACGGTGTCCTCGAACTTTACGGCAATGGCAACAAAGTCAAGCGCCAGGATAGCAATATCAACACTATTCCCGAAGAGTCTCCCACCAAGGCTCCGGAAGGTGTCATTGAGTTGTACGGTAACGGCAACAAAGTGAAGCGCCAGGACAGTAACATCAACACTATCCCAGCCGAGGCAGCCACTAAGGCTCCCGATGGCGTTCTCGAGTTGTACGGCAATGGCAACAAGAAGGCCAAGCGTCAGGACAGTAACATCAACACCATCCCCGCCGAGGCTGCCACGAAGGCGCCCGACGGCGTCCTCGAGCTTTACGGTAACGGCAACAAGGTCAAGCGCCAGGACAACAACATTAACACTATCCCCGCTGAGGCTGCCACCAAAGCCCCGAACGGTGTTTTGGAGTTATACGGCAACGGCAACAAGGTTAAGCGTCAGGACAGCAACATTAACACCATCCCTGCTGAGGCAGCCACCAAGGCTCCTGACGGTGTCCTCGAGCTCTACGGTAATGGCAACAAGAAAGTGAAGCGTCAAGACAGCAACATTAACACCATTCCCGCTGAGGCAGCCACGAAGGCACCTAACGGTGTCCTCGAGCTCTACGGCAACGGGAACTAATAATGTCCGTATGGTTATTTTTATTTTTTCCCACCAAATACTGAATATCTCCGCAGTGGTTGTTACCATTTTGATGCTCCCCCAAATTTTCGTTCCCTCGTTCCGGTACGACTGTCGACTTCATCGTGTGGAAAATGTTTCGATTTGACATGATTTTCTCAGTTGCATGGTGTTCGTTTAGAAGGTGTCTGTTTACGTTGTTGCTTCGATCATAATTGAAATGTGTGCTGGAGGGAGGACACTGGCTTGCGGTCCTGTACTTTCATTTCCTTCTTTTTTCTTTGTCATTTTGTAGCACGTATGCTTCATACCTCTTTTCTTCCAACCCGCTACCCATGCCGCTCTTCAGCACAACGTTGACACATTGACTGCATTTTTATTTCCGTTCTCTCAAGTGTGATTACGAATACTGGACAGTAAGATGCAAATCCAATTTTTAAAAAAAGAAAATACCCTCGATATATATGAATATATGGCGTCAAGGTGCATTGTTAGCCTTCCACTCAGCGTCCTCTTCTCGCTCTCCCTCGTAAAACTCCCTCTTCCAAATTTGAGCTTTTAGCTTGACTTCTTCGAGGATGAACTCGCATGCGCGGAAGGCTTCTTTGCGATGTGGTGAGGAGACTGCGATGACGATGGATGGTTCGCCGACGGGGACTGGTCCGAGTCTGTGGTGGACTACGCATCGGATGAGGCATGAGGCGTGTGAGTTATGCTCTGGTTGTTGAGAGGTAGAAGACGTTCGTGCGGCGTGAACGATGTCGGCCATTGTTTTAATCGCAAGTTTGCTGTACGCTTGGTACTCGAGTCGCGTTACGACTTTTCCTTTATACATATACATATTCAAACAAAATGAGCGATTCCGACACGTCTTACTGAGCGTGCATATATGTACAAGACCTTTAAACGAGTTTCGCGTCGTGCCGATGAAGATAGCTTTTGCTCCCGCTTCGTCGGAGCCGACTGAGTCGATGATGGCGAGTGGGTTGAGTGGGTTGTAGGTTAGCACGCAGGCGCCGTGTTCTGTTGTGAGGTGGGCTTCTGTTGATGCTGAGGGTGAAGTCATTTCTGTGTTTGCGAGGAGGAACTCAAGAAGCCAGTTACGGCTGCATATATTGAGCAGGTACTACTGACGTTGGCATCCCTGATCGTCAATCCCGGACCGGCTTCGGTCTTGGACGCACATTCCGCTTGCTTGAGTATTCTATTATTTCTAAACCAACTCGGCTTGAGAGGGGCTGCAAGCCTGCAACCATGGTCCTCCCGAGGGCCCTCTCCAAATCTCTACTCAAACACAGCTCATTAGTACTTTCAAAACCGTATTCAACTCACTCTCTCAAACTCTCGTCCTCTATACTCGACATCCACCCAGAAGTCCAACACGCCCTCTCCTCCCGCCAGCCAGTCGTAGCACTCGAAACAGCACTAGTCACAAACGGTATCTCCCCTCCAACCAACCTCGAAATCGCACGGAAGCTAGAAGGGATTATCCGGAAACAGGGTGCGGTACCTGCGACTATTGGGATTGTTGAGGGGAGAGTGAAAGTTGGGTTAAGGGATGAGGAGTTGGTGAGGCTTGCGGATACGGAAGGGAATAGGAAACTTGTTAAGGTGCGATTATTGTGATTAACTCGACTATTTCTGTAGTTGGGGTGCTAAAAGAAATGTGTTCTGCATAGGTATCTCGAAGGGATATTGGACCGATTATTAGTGAACGACTGGATGGCGGGACTACGATTTGTGCAACGCTTATTTTCGCTCATTTGGCTGGGATTAGAGTCTTCGCGACCGGAGGGTGCGTCACTCTAATCCCGTATACATGTAGTATTCGGCGATGGTGATGAAATCTGTTTTACAGGTTAGGTGGTGTGCACCGCGGAGCTCAAGATAGTCTGTAATTATCTTGACATGTTGCACAACGTTATTGACGATGCTACGATAGGTATGGACATTTCTGCGGATTTACATGAACTCACGAGGTGTCCGGTTGGCGTGGTATCGTGCGGTGTGAAATCTATCTTGGATATTGGAAGGTATAATCTGTCCTTCTCTTTAATTCATCCAGTTATGTCGCTCTGCTAACAACGCGATCTCACAGAACCTTGGAATACCTCGTAAGAAGCGCCTTCAATGTGACTTGGAGGTGAACCTCATGCCTCACAGGAAACACTAGGCGTACCGGTAGTGACTTATGGCGATACGTACAATTTTCCAGCATTCTTTTGCGGCAAGAGTGATTTCGAGGTGACTTCAGACCTTCTCCCTTTATAACGATCTTTACCCAACTTTACGTTCAGACGAATTGGAAAGTCAACAATGCTCGAGCAGCAGCAGAGATTCTCGGTAAATAATCCCATCTTCGAACAGCAGCACCTCCCTTCATGGTTAACATCTCTCCTTCAGATGCACAAGCACGTCTAGGACTACAAAACGGTACACTCTTCGCGGTTCCAATGCCGGAAGAATACGCAGCTCAAGGCGAGGAAGTGAAAAAGGCTGTTGACCAGGCTATACGTGAATCCGAGGAAAATGGGATGAGTAAGAAGGGGAAGGAGGTTACGCCTTGGTTGTTGGCGAGGGTTGTTGAGTTGACGGGAGGGAAGTCGTTGCAGAATAGTATGTTTTTAAATGTTCAATATGTTTGTATGAGTGCCTTGCTGAATGAGGGATTGGTCTTGGATAGACTTGGCACTTATTGAAAATACTGCTGTCATTGGTGGGTCGGTTCGCTTCGAGATTAAATGAATGACATGGCGTTTACAGAGAATTCCGTTGACTTGACTATTTTGTAGGCGGACAGGTCGCTGTGGAACTCGCTAAGTTGCAGGAACAGCAGCGGGAAACGTCAAGTCGATCAACTAGTGCATCATATTCAAGTACGACTTCCAACTCTACAGGGACGGTCCAGAATAAGCCTCCCAAACAAGATGCAACTTCTCAATCTTCGGGAAAGGTGAGCCCGATCCGGAGTATTGTTCTGTGGAAGAACCTCTCTCTGATTAATGAGAGAGAAGGCTCCTGCAAAACTCGTCGTAATAGGTGCCGCAGCCGTCGACATCACAGGCCGAGTCTCGCGTGGTCTTAAGCGCGTAATCTCTCACACGACAGCACCAGGGACAGTAGAGTTGACCGTTGGAGGTGTCGCTCGTAACATCGCCGAAGCAGCACATCGTGTACTCTCTTCTGGCTCAAACTCAGAAGACCGAGATGCCACATTACTCGTTTCTCCTATCGGGGAAGACGCGTTTGCACCTTTCCTCTTGGATGAACATCAGCTCTTGGGTATGAGGAGCGATGGGTTTATTCCGACTTCGGAGAGTAGGACTGCGGTTTGTGATATGGTGCTTGATGCTTCTGGTGCACTTGTGGGTGGTGTCGCGGACATGGACATCGTACCAATGGTGCCTGAACAAACGGTAAGATGGATTTCAAATATCAAGAATGTGTCTCGAATTGAGAAACGTATTTTTCGTAGGTTATCGACCGGCTTGGTGAAGAGAATCCATCGCTAGTTGTTGTGGACGGTAACCTATCACCGACCACTATGTCGTCGATTCTAAAGCACTGCTGGAGTCGCTCGGATCCGATTCCAAGTAAGTGTTCTTTTGCCTTTTGGATTCACTGGGCAAACTCATTTGATTAAACGACATTTCCAGCATTCTTGTGAGTAAAATACTAACTACACTACAAATTATACTATCCATGATTAACGAAAAGTTGACAATACAGCGAACCGACATCTATCTCTAAATCCACCTCGATCCTCCCCGGCATACTCGATCACCTAATGACAAGCAAGAAAGACGGGATACACCACTCTCCAGTGACCTACGCTGCGCCTAACACACTCGAACTCGCACACATGTACCGCGAAGCCAACTCTGAAACACGGGGAATGATCAACCACCGTGTCTGGTGGGAGGTCCTCAACAACTTCAATCTCGGCTCAGAGTGGCGAATGGACCTTGAACAACTGGCTCGACGACCCGCGTGCCCGATCAAAGACAAGGGCGACTTGTCCTTCCTCCTTAAGGACGGGATTGCACAAATGGCTGTTAACTTACTACCGTTCTTCCAGAACTTAGTGATTAAGTGTGGTGAACGAGGCGTAGTAGTCGTGATGCGGATTTGCGGAGAGGACGTTGATTCCTCTGCGTGGATGATGGAGAGGAGTAATCCACTAAGGGGATACATCGTCGCGAAGGGTCTTGAAGGGAGGGAAATAGTCATCCTTAAGCATTTCCCGGCTATTCCGATGGAAAATGACGAGATCGTGAGCGTCACTGGCGCAGGCGACTCACTCGTAGGCGCGCTCAGTGCCTCGTTGATCAAAGATCCAACGACGTTCCTCGACCCCGCCAAGCTAAACGCGGCTATGCAGCTTGCACAAAAAGCAGCTGTCCTTTCGTTGCACAGCATTAGGGCCGTTTCGCCTTTACTTGGAGAACAGGCAGAAGCGGCAGCGTCAGGGAGGACGTAATCTCGATCTTTTCTTCCGTTTTTGGTCCTAAATTATCATAATCGAGAGACACTTAGTGGAATGTCTTCAGTGCGAAGGGGTCCGACAGCGACATGCTCCCTGGCTTTTCGCAACTTCTCCTTCTCAGCCTCTCGGGCTTGTTTAAGTTCGAGACTGAGCTTCTGCTTCATCTTTTTCTCATAACGGCCCTATCACAACAATAACAATATCAATCAGATCTTTTTTTAAATTCATTTAACAATGGAAATGAACTTCTTGATTCCTTACCTGTGCACCATGTTTGAGTCTAGTAATCAAGTTCGCGGCTTGACCTTTCGTTAAGTTGTCAACGTCGATTGATTGACCGAGCTTATCACCACCCTTGGACGTGTTCAGGCGCTTTTTGAGCATCGTCGTCTGGCTTGATGATGCCGGTCCCTTTCGCCAGTTTGCTGTCCTGTGAAGTCTAGAAAGGAATCGTGATAATTTAGTGATATTTTTTTCTTCATAAGTGTGTCGACGAGACGAGAACAGCGTACCCTAAGGCAAGGTTTCCCCGTAATATTTTCGTAGTAGCGTATTTGTCACATCCGCGAACCGCTTCGTCCAAGGTCCTGGCTGTTAACACGAGTCTTGGTCTCCTAAATCGTGATCTTTGGAAGCGACCTTGCAACTCCCATTCGGGTATGGGTTCGACATAGTGAGCAGATAGCATTTCTTCCCCTACAAAATGTCAGCCCAGCCGCATATTTTCTATCAATCACAGTGGACCAACCATCTTCGTCGACGTCAGGTTGGATTTTGATATATCCCTTTCCCATGCACTCGAGGACGTAGACATCTCCACCACATCCTACCCATGCAAATCGTGAGATCTTCGTAATATGCGGGGCACCTGAGGCGTCCTGTACAAGGTCAAAAGGGTTATCGTAGTCGATGTATGTGATGGATCCCGGATCTGGTACGTCGTCACTGTCGAACTTGTCTGCCTCGCCGATTAGCGCCGCTGCGCGCTTTTCGAGTTCTTCTGGTGTTTGACCTGTTGGAAAATTTTATGAGAATCGTTGTTCCTCGAGCGTTGTTATTTGGGTGGTCTTACCGTCTATAATTTCATCTGGATTAAGACCGAAAAGCGTTGGTGTAGAAACGATTCCGGGGACTCGATTGGTGCTATCGACGAAATCTATGATGTGGCAGTCTTCTTTCCCTGTTGCAGGAGACAATCTCATGCCTCTCCCGATCTGTAATTATTTTATCCTAAATCTGGACTGCAGCATATTAATAGAATTTGGTAGTGTTCTCACCATTTGAGCAAAGACGTTCCTTGATCGCGTTGGTTTTGCGACGACAACACAGTCAATATTCGGTATATCAGCTCCTTCTGTCAGGATGGCTAAAAGGCTCGAATAAGTCGATTGACCTGGGGAAATGAACACACGAAGTACATACCCACATTGAGAAGCACCGGGAATTTGCCAGCCTTGAAAGCTTCGACCAATGCTTTCCGTTCATTCGCTGGAGTGTTGGCATAGACATATCTTGCGTCAATGCCAGCCTCACGGAAAGTGTTTGTGAGTTCCCGAAGGTGGGCAAGATTCACGCAGAACACGAGCGTCGAGCGTCGGGACGCTGTCAAATTTTGTTAACTGCTCTGGTACGTTGATAAAGTTAAAACGCGTGGACAAGCATACCCGCTAGGTCAAGCCAACTGTTGACCACTAGCTTGTTGACGGTTTCGGTGTTTACGACGTGTGCCAGACTCGTTGGATTGAATTCTCCGGAACGGGTGTTTATCGTGACTTCGCTCAGGTTCAGTTTGGCCTTGACTGAAGTGAAGCGGACGTTACACAGCCTATAAAGTTCCCTATTAATTCCATGTACGATCGCGAATAAATAGAAAGATCACCATTGCTCCTTGATCATCTCCAAGAAATCGCGGTGGTAAACGATACGCTGAAAGACCGAACCAAGCGCAAGACCATCATGTCGGCTAAATGTCGCTGAGAACCCAATTATTGGTATAGCATGTGGAAGTTTCGGAGCAACGAAGTCTACGTCCGGATTTCGGATGTTCGGGTCAAAGTGGGAGAGTATCTTGCGGTACCTAATAAAAATCAAGAATTATGATTGAAACACTGAATACAGAATCGATGCGTACGAAGGAGCCGCCGCATGATGTGCTTCGTCAACAATGATGCATTTCAGTCTATTGGGATCAAACTTTTCGAGCCTGGTATTCCTTAGAAGACTCTGGTATGTCGCGACAGTACTAGAAAGCAATTGTCAACGGGAGCAAAGATATTGCTTCAGCTCGCGATGCTTACACGTCAGCTAACCCAGATGCCTTATGTTTTGTGCCTTGGTCTATCTCCACGCTCAGCTCCGGGAACATCCTCCCAACCTGTTCAGCGGCCTGTCTCGCGAGTTCCACGCTGTTCACGATGATCAACGCTCGAACTGCATTTGGACTCGAAGGTGGTGGCTGGAGCATGGAAATAAGAGAGACAAAGACAGTTGTCTTCCCTGAACCTGTCGGAAGTGAAATACCAATACGAGTCGAGTCCTTGTCACGAAGTGTCTCGAGACATGCTTGCAGACACGTTTCTTGGTAGGGTCGAAGTTGCACCGCTCCTGGTAGCCGTGGTGCAACGAAGGTTGGGTTTGCCGAATATCGACGAACAAATAGACGTGCGCCCCGTGCTAGATAAAAGCATTTTGCAGCTTGAGCATGCCCAAGCAAGCGAAGCATACGATAGCAAGCGGCGCAACAAAGTATGGACTCGATACAAGTAGTATATCCAAAAATAGTCATTCACCATCCAGTACAAACAAATACAAAGCTCGTATGTGTAGGTAATTCAGAAGAAAAATACAATACGCCTAAGTACACAATTTGCTGCCCATCAACGTAACTTGTAGGGACCAAGCTGGCGCTTTATTACAATCAGAAATGATCAAATGTGTTGTTTAGACAAAAACGCGCGACTTACAGAACAAAGGCCCCTGTAATTACCTCATGAAATCTTTGCATTTGAGAAGTCCATCTCAGGATGAACAGCTTTGAATCTCTCCAAGGCCTGGAACAGTCGCTTGAATAAGTTTCGCATATGATATGGTATGCACTTACCTCCATCTTTTTCTGCTCGTCGGAAGTTGGAAGACCCATTTGCTGGATAAACGTCCCGTTGAGCATATCAAAGGAACAGTCAAATCGGGAAAATCCCGTACCTTGCGTTGGTTATCATACTTTTTTTGCCATCAGCCTAGAAGCTTCCACAGTTTACGATGAATTAATGCTTACCATCATCTTTTCTACAACTCCTCTGCAAGATCGATTAGATTAACGCAATTAATGTGGAATATCATAGTCGCTCACCTAGTCTCACCGTCCAAGTCGCTTAGCTTGCTGTTATCTGGCACGATCTTCTTTGTGTCAACCTTGGGGTGGTGCGTGAGCACGTTCTCCCACCACGTCATGTTGTTGATTTTCTCTAGATGAACGAAGACACTCTCCTGATCCTCTGGGGAGTCGATTGTGCATGATATTGACTATATGCTCTGGTGGAGAGGTACAATAGCTCATACCGAGAGTCCAGGTGCTATCCTCCACCTTAATCTCTTTGCATAGCTCACCGTCCATTATGGGTTCTTGGCCTTTGAGGCCAACTTTGAGACTCTTCTTTGCAATGACTACGTTGAGATCCCTTGCGCGTGTGCCCCTTGGCACTGGGACGAAAATGTCGACATCGCCCAGCTGCTGTTGCCACCTGTACGGTAGAGCTGGCATTATTTCCAGCGGAAGTAGATCAATAAAGAAGGTCCTTGGTTCCATGTGTTCATTGATCCTAACCTGCTTGCTCCTCCTGTTCCCTCTTCTTTTCATCCAACGCCTTGGCTTCTCTCTCCTCTTTAGAAAGGTTCTCTTCAGAGTCTGACATTTCGTAATAGAACTAGAGTTCGTGTAGAAAGCAGATGAGAATACACGACGAGCTGGTACCCTATGATCGGAGCAGAACTAGGGTATGAGTTAGGATTAGGAATAAGGATTTACTTATACATTTGTGAAGTACAGTGCTTAGTCAGCATACTTAAGCTACCTACGAAGGGAATCAGAAACGCGGTCACATCTCTTACGCCTTGCTCACTCTCCATGTCATCCTTGTCCTCATCCAGCCGGCCAGATGATATTCTATGGACTGATTTCGATGTCTGTAGCTTCTCGGCATGTAAACAATCATACCTTGCTGATTTACTTCTCGGTTGTACAGAACCTTCGACACAGCGTCAAATCGTATACCGTCGACAGACTCAAGCAAATCATCACCGGTATTAATGAAGAGAACAAAGTCAATTTGTCGAAGTCCGGCAAAAAGCAGGATCTCATAGACAAAATAACTGGAGAATTGGATCGGTATCGTTATTTGCGACAAACTGAATTATGGACGAACGCAAAGACTGTCCTTTACCAGGTTAAGAACTCCGGCACGTACGTTTAAATCCTGACTCTTCTGGTTGCCATAATCGACTGTAAACTGACAATATTTCGTTACTACTTCGTTGTTTCGACATTGTGGCCTTGGGTACTATTTTTGGTATCGTTACAATTGTAGGTATGCGAGCTCGGGCCCCACTCAGTCGTTCTCCGCCAACCACAACTTCACGTTCAATAACGCACACGGCTCTGCGTTTACCCCTCCTCGAGCACAATCAGGTGGCTTTCATAACATGGCTAGTGCTAGTAGCAGCTCTATAGGACGCTACGATCCGTATGCTCCTCCTCGCAGACCACTTCCAGGTCAGACAACGTCGTCCCCGGTTAAATCCGGTACGTTATTATATGTGATCGTACCATCGACTGGGCCAACAAATTTCTAGGTTTTGGAACTTCAGCTTCTATACGTTTCAAATCATCTCCATTCTTCAAAACCGAACAACCCGTCTCGAATGTCATTGAATGTCCAGGTACGTTTACTTTCACAGCCATATTTTCAACTAAATATTCAATTAATCTATCTTTTAGAGTCGTCAAGCAACGTAGACAGGAGAACCCAAAATCTCAATTTTACGCTTACTCAAGAACACATCAACAAACTGACTTCGCCTGGGTTTGTTACGGCGCGGGTGTGCTTTCAGAATATCTTGCTTACATCACTTATACGTATAGGTCCAAGTACCAACTTCGACTGTACTGCACTACGAATTCGTTTTATTCCTCTTCTCCATCTGGGTTTCGATCCAACACGACACTGTGTCCTATCGAGTTTCCTGCCACATGCGAAGTCCGCGTGAACAATACCCCTCTACAGGCTAACTTGAAGGGTATCAAGAAAAAGCCCGGGACGGCGCCCCCGGCAGATCTGAGCAAAGTAGTCCGGATGGTTGTCGGTCAACCAAATAGAGTTGAGATGATTTACGTGAATAGCCAACCGAACTCTCCACCCAAAGTATGCGTGACTTTTCTTTGATTAGAGGCCAAAGGTGGACTTACCTTCTACAGAAATTTTACTTGGTTGTCTTCCTTGTCGAAGTTTCCACTGTGGATGAGCTTGTAGATCGGCTGAGGAAGGGCAAGTTCAGGAGTTCGGAGGAGATTAAAGCTCAAAGTTCGTATTACGTGTCTTTGTGTGTATCGTTTTTCAACATGCTGAAAGTTCATTTCTAACCTTCCAGTGGCGAAGTCGGCGGTTGAAGATGACGACATTGTCGTGGGGAAACAGAAGATGACCCTAAAATGTCCAGTGCGTCATTTTAGACATTTCATCCTGCGTTCTTATTTAACAAGCTGTTAGTTGAGCTATACACGGATAATAATTCCCTGTCGCTCAAGTAAATGCGTTCACCCACAATGCTTTGATGCTGTTTCGTGGTATTCTGTCATGGAGCAGACGACAACGTGGCTATGCCCCGTTTGCGAGAAAACACTGAATCCAGAAGAACTGATCGTCGATGGGTAAGATATGCGTAATCTTCGTCGTATAGAACTCGTAACTGACAATGTGACAATGTTGCACAGTTATTTTGGAAGCATTCTTGAACAAACGCCGGACAGCGTCGAAGAGGTGGAGGTGGAAGCCGATGGCGAATGGCATACGATTGACAACAAGATCGGATCGAAGGGCTGGATGCAGACGCATCGTTCTAAGCCAGCGGACAGAAGCGCATCAACGTCAGGGGCGAACGCAAGCAATCAGCCTCGGTCATCGACGTCAGTGCCACCTCGAATTGGTGCACCTAACACAGACGCAGTTGCTCAGTCTCTCGAAGATGTGGTCGTTCTGGATTCTGACTCAGACAACGAGGATGAGAGGCGAGTTAAGAGGGAACTGTCGCCAACCACTTCTCCTATTTCTATGGACACAAATAAGAACGGATTCGGGCCTGCAACTACAAAAGCAGCGTCCTCCACCGTGATTGACTTGACGCTAGACTCCGAGGATGAAGATGCCCCGCAGACGGCGCCAGTAGCGGCTATAAAACGTAAAGCGTCGGATACTTTGGAGAGGGCCGAAGATGCGATATACAAGAAGAGTCGCTTGTCTGCTACACCCATGCCGGCTGCAGGAGGAGAAAGAATACACAATGGCTATTCCAATAGGGATTCGTCAGTATCTTCTGGCCCAGACGCTCATCCCCAGTCACCTTATTCTCGAATCACACTACCACTCCCCCGCCAAGTTTCCGGCTCTGCGAACAATCATCATCATCATTCGCCACCGATCGCGACTTCTCCACCCGCTTACTACCCGCCGCCGCCTCAGATACCAACGCCGAACGCGCGTCAATTTGTTCCTTACACGCCTTCTTATCACTCACAACCGCCCTCAATGAATGGTTCTAGTGTGCCGTATAATGGAGCAGCACCGGACACGGGTCGGCAGGGGGCACCGTCGTATTATCCATATGTTCCCCGTTCGACTGGGCCAGGGGGTCCACGTTGGACGTAGGTTGGAATCAGTCGACCGAGGTCGCATTTTAATATTTCTGGGGCTTGTTAGGCTTTAGATAGCACTCTACTGTTTTTGCGCATATTTGTTGTTGGACTACTGCTGACTTCCATGCAATTACCGCACATTTTTCCACTTTTGTTTCGTGACCTGTGTGCGCACTGAACGCGATTGGTGGAAACACACCGAGCCAGTGAGAGCAAGGCATCCCTTGCGGGCCGAGCGGAGTTTTGCCCATCCCCGGTTTTTTCCGTGTAGCGTACAAAAAGTTGGCATCACTGGCCTTTCGCTCTTAGTCTCCACCAACCTCCACTCAGTCTTCTCTTCTCCTTTTCCCGTCCATTACCATCGCAATGGCCGACGTAAAAAAAGCCAAGACTCCTAAGGAGTTCGCAAGTATGTACTATTTCATTCTCATAATTTCTGCGCGCCGTCTGTTCTTTTTTTGCGTGTTTTCGGTGCTGACCTGGCACTTTGGTTTTGTTCAGCCGACTTCCTCATGGGCGGTGTCTCTGCGGTAAGCAATTGCCCAGGCCATTCTGTGTGCATGGCATTGAAGGAAATGCGTTTAGGCCGTCGCAAAGACGTCTGCTGCGCCCATTGAGCGTATCAAGGTTTGAATTACGCGTATACAAATTTCTGTCTGATTCGCTAATAGCCTTCTGCCCTCTAGCTTCTCATTCAAAATCAGGTTTGTCCGCTCGATGATTTTCTCGTTTTGCCAGACTCAGTTTTGTACACGTTGCCACTGTAGGATGAGATGGTGAGAAGAACTCCGTTTCGTGTGGCGACGCTATTGCTCACGTTTCGTTCAGATCAAGCAAGGCCGTCTTGCGACCCCTTACAAGGGTATTGGTGAATGTTTCGTTCGCACTTACCGTGACGAGGGTCTCTTGTCTCTCTGGCGTGGTAACACGGCCAATGTCATTCGTTACTTCCCGACTCAGGCATTGAACTTCGCCTTCAGTCAGTCTTTTTTTCTTTCTCACCTTCCCGATTCGGCCATGTGCTGACGTCTTTCTCCAATCTGACAGAGGACTACTTCAAGTCGCTATTCGGCTTCAAGAAGGACGAGGGTTACTGGAAGTGGTTCGCTGGCAACGTCGCCTCCGGTGGTGCTGCTGGTGCAACGTCCCTTCTCTTTGTCTACTCGCTTGACTATGCTCGTACGCGTCTCGCAAACGATGCGAAGTCAGCGAAGGGTGGAGGTGCCCGCCAGTTTAACGGTCTCGTCGATGTATATAAGAAGACCCTCGCGTCGGACGGTATTGCCGGTCTCTACCGTGGTTTCGTCCCGTCGGTCGTTGGTATCATCGTCTACCGTGGTCTCTACTTCGGTGTCTACGACTCGCTCAGTAAGTTTTCACCAGTCAATAATTTCGTGGGAAATTTTTCTAAGCAAACCTTCGTCCCCAGAGCCGGTTGTTCTTGTTGGCCCTCTTCAAGGATCTTTCCTTGCATCCTTCGGTCTTGGTTGGGGTGTCACGATTGGTGCCGGTCTCGCTTCCTACCCGTTGGACACTATCCGGTAAGATAGTACTTCCTAATATAATCACATCCTTCTAATTTGATCTTTAGTCGTCGTATGATGATGACATCTGGTGGCGGTGTGCACTACAAGTCGATGTTCGACTGTGGCAGGCAAATCATCCAGAAGGAGGGTTCGAAATCACTCTTCAAGGGTGCTGGTGCCAACATTTTGCGTGGTATTGCCGGCGCTGGTGTACTGTCACTATACGACAAGATCCAGGAAGTTATGTTCGGCAAGGTCTACTCTGGAGGTGTGCCTGCATTTTCAGCACGACACAAATCAGGCTTTGTTCTAACCGTTATTCTTCCTAGGCTCTGGTTAATTTGGCTATACCTGTCGGGTGCATGCGTCTCAGTGCTTTGCTTAGATTCCTTACAATTACTACCCGTATTGTCGTTTATTCATTGTTCTTATTGCCTGTCCACTACAGTGGGGACTTCTTGCATGTTCATTTCGAACAACGAAAAGACATAGACTTAATATTGATTGTGTCATGACTGAGAAAGTTAGGATAACATGGCAAACATCCGCCTTTTGCACCAGTGAATACCCTTTTCTGGGGCAAAATAATTGATAAAACAGCAATATGTTAGGTATACGTGTTCCAGGCAAATTGAAAACTACCACTAGCGCTACGACGTTGCATTGGATGCCGCCCTTTCTGATGGCATGGTTAGTGCTTCGCGCAGTCGTTGGTTCACCACCTCCTGGTTTGACTCATAGAAATCTTGCCAGGTTGGGGCTGTATGACAGGTATACTAGTGGAATAGTTCCCTTGTATCAATGAAAAGTGCAGATAACATGTGATAAATAGGCAAAGACGCACCGAATCCGTAATTGCCGCCCATAAAGCGTCGTCATCGTCCATACCGTTTGGTGGACTAGCAAAGAAATCGACGATCGTCTTCAGGTCGACGTTGTGAAGTCTCGATCGTTCCTCTTCGGATAATTGTTCTGGTCTTCTTCCGTCTTCCACCTGCTCAGCTTTCTGCCCCTCCCTTTGCTTGGCATTATTGCCGTTCAACCGAGGCGCACTGTTTGCATCCTGCATCAATTGCTCCTCAACCTGATTTTCTTCCCGCTCGCTCCCGTTAAGAGTGACATTTGGGCTCGTGACTGTTTTAGGTACCTTCTCTCGTATACGTTCGATCTGTGATCGCAACTGCCCTTGTAACTTGCTGAACCAGGAAGCCTGCGGGTGCGTGGAAGTCTAGATGGACAGAATGTCAGCACACTACAATATTTTCTCGACAGCTTTCTACAGAGTTGCTCGACATGTACCTTTTTCGCCAACTGCGTCGCTATCTGATAGTTCGTAATGTCGGGATTCTTACGAATAAGATGCTCCGCGAACTTCGGAGCGTATGCAATTTCCTCAGCTGTGAAAGCATAACGTCCGCCCGATAGCATCATTGTCGGCGCGAGTGGAGGTGAAGGTGTTCGAAGGCCATCAGTACTGCTTTGTCGCCTATCGTGATTGTGGGAGATCGGGCTGGGGGAAGGAGAGTTTCTGTCTTCTGTTTCAACACTGTCCTCCCTTTTCTTTTTTCTTGACGGGTGGGATTTTCCAGATTTGTTCACGGGCTCAACGTAAAAGTCGTCCTCTTCGACCAAGCCACCTGAGTTAATACAGGCTTCGACGAATCCTGGGCGTAAAGCATATCGCTGATAATAAAATACATTAATCATCATAGAACACATGTGTTGCTGTATTGCTACTCACCTTTAGATCAACGACGGACTTCATCCACTGATCCCTGTCCTTTCCTGGCCGCGTGTCGAGTATAATGAACTCCGCGTCTCTCAACTCCGGCACTAATTTACCGCCATTTAACTTAAAATGATGAGCATCAGTTCTGAGCAATAAGAGAATACTTTTTCAATACACATACCCTAATTTTCCTCGCCATTTCAGCCCTATTCCTCAGTTGAATTTGTACAAAGAACGTCATCTGCTCTCCATTGTCAGAAGTGAAGATTCCCACTGGAGGAGGACGATCGCTTTTGATCGGATCGCGCTGTTCGGTAACGTCGTAAATTACAGAGGACCGCTTTTTGCGTTTCTTGTCAGTTAAACTCGGAGGTGATCGTGATCTCGAGCGCTTCCCTGAGTTAGAAGAGCGATTGCTGTGGGAGTCTCGAAAGCGCTTTTTCCCCCTTTGCGAAAGAATTGATAAATTTGGTGGAGGGCTGTCACTATCACTATCCTCGAACGTTGTAATGTCAGGTAATGGCGAGAAGGGTCGTGGCGGACTTCGGTTGTCTGCCTTCATGGCTGTGTCCTCGTCGTGTCTTGTCGTGGATGCGCTTCCATGGTGTCCATTCGTGTCTGGAGGAAGCATAGACGAAACGGGTTGAGACTGCGGAGGTTGCATCATTTGGAAGCCGGGTTGCGGTTGCATGAATGTAGGGGGAGGTGATTGCTGCCCTTGCCATCCTTGTGGGGCCATCTGTCCGCCACTGACCATGCCCATTACCATATTGTATGCCATCACTGCCATCTCTGGGTTGCTCATAATTAATGCCTGCATCGCTTGAGGGTTCATATGCCCTGGTGGAAATTGCGATTGAGGTACAAGTTGTCCAAACGGAGGTGCCATATTTTGAGGCATCCCTGGCTGCATGTGGTGTATATTCGCTGAAGATGGCTCAAATTGCGTAGACATGGACGTGGATGGCGGGGTAGGTAGCCTTTGCGAAGCGGAAAGATTATCGTGTCCTGCTGCGAGTGCATCAGCGTTTGTAGGACCATAATCGTTGGGAGTCGGACGTGGTTGGGTTAAAGCTGAAGAGCGGTCATTGTTCATGTTCGAAGGCCTCGAAGTTCGCGGCGCGGCACTCAATTTAGTCGGTTGTCGTGTGGCTTTGCCATTTAAGGCTGATGCCTTGCTTTCCGAGAATAGACCTTGTTCCTCCTCGTCGGCTGCATCGCCTTCGAGCGGACTACCGTCAAGATCACCACAACCGGCAAATGCATCATTTTCGAGTAGTGCACGGCCAGCCTCTAGACAGCGGCGGTGCCACGTAACATCGAGAATCACCTTTCCTGGATCCATGCCCCATTCGCGAACGAACTGGCGACCTGAGGATGAGTTCGGTTCAACGAGGATGATTCGCGCGAGAGAGACGTCGGGGCATATCTTTGCACCATGAGTCTGTTAAGATAACAGCGACGACGCGTAGAGTACGTAAGTTGATAGACATACTAAGGAGACAAAGTGAGAAGAGAGCATACACGCAAAGTTCTGATGAGCCAGGGCCGATTGTCAGTTATGCCATTCGAGTCGACGAATATTGGTAAGGGAGAGTCATCTGCGGCCACGAAGATTTTTATAGCATTCTGTGGCTGAGAGGCTGATGGCTGGGACATTGGGAAAGACGAATCCATGTCGTGGACTAGGTGTTGACGATGCCTGTCCAGAGCAAAACGCACAGAGGGGACACCACTGAGCAAACTAGAGGATCCAAGTGAACATGACGATCCCGCATGAGCGCTAGTACAAGAAAGGCAGGAAACTCTCACGATTGTTGATGATTGTACTTAATGTGATGTAATGAATCACTTCAATCAATGATTTTAACGGTCCAAGTCAGGCCCGCCGTCCTTCCGTACGGATTGCAACAACCGAACCCACGGACGACGAGGCAAGACGTGTACTAGCTAACTATGGCGGTGAACAAGAAGAGAAACTCAGGAAAGACTTGTCCGTCTATATACATACGGCTCGGGTACAATTCTTAGCATTCAGACTTGGACAGTGACCAACATGCTGGAGGCGTTGTTACCTCATCAAGAAAGGCTTGTTAACAATGACGGGTACAAACAAGGACAAAAGGTAGTCCAACCGGCACCTCAGTCAGAGATATCAAAGAAAATATCTCAGCCACCTAATCATTTTGCTAGCGTGTCCTTGTAGCTGCATCGCACTATTTTGTCACTTGTCTCTCAATTTTCATGTCAAAGCCATGTATGCATTGTTTTTGGCACGATAAGACCACGACGCATGGATGATACATGTACGCCATACAGCAGAAATAAAGAGCACAGACATCCACCCGCCACTTAACGGTAACTATAGACAAGCAAAATGAGTAACATGCAAGATACAAGGTATTTTCATTGAACAACTCACCTCTTTTGTCTGCGAGCACGAGCACCCTGTCCACCGAACTTCTTGGGCTCCATCCGACGCGGGTCTGCAATTAAGAGTGTTCGGTCGTATGCAACGAGCTTCTTTTTTAGTTCGAAAGCACTAGCGGCGTCGAAATACTTGGCGTAGTACGCAATGACGGCCTTTGCGATAGCCTGACGAATAGCGTATATTTGCGAAACGTGACCACCACCCTTTACGCGCACACGGATGTCGATTGGCGAGAAAGTCTCTTCACCGAGCACGAGAACCGCTTCATACACCTTGAAGCGCAGAATTTCGGGCTGTAGGAGGCTGATTGGGGAACCGTTGATTTTGATGAGGCCCTTGCCTTCACGAGCGTGAGCGACAGCGGTCGCGGTCTAAGTTGTTCAATCAGTTTGTGCCCGACACTTCCTCCGGAAACTTAGAGTAAAACGCACCTTCTTCTTGCCGAATGTTTGCACTGCGTTATACGAGGCCATGGTGGGTGTACCTTGAGGACTGCAATGCGAAATCGAAAAAAATTAGCATAAGTGCATGTGGAGTGCAAATCGGTTGGTCAAGCAGTCCATCTGGTCCATGTCATCTCCATCCATCCCTCTACGCCTCTCATTCCACACGTATGGCAATCCGACATGACTTGAAGACATCCTTTGTGACCAAATAACTAAAAAGTGAGATACTTACGCCTCTTGACTTGCAGGACGTCGTGAAAGTTGAAGGCGTTAACGTCCAGTGCGATCGATCTTCGAAATTGGTGTCGCGGGTCCCGGCATGGGGACTCGGGACACCCCTGTTTTGGATTATCGCTAACTTGGCTTGGACTTACCAGAATTTCTTCTCTTCACTTGCCTCGTCTTACTGCCATGCTCGCTGCCCTTAGGCGCGCTGTCTCGCAGCAGCCTGGAATACATGCGAGGCGTAACTTTGCAGCTCTTGAATCTCCTTCAAATTCCGTAAAGTGTAAGGTTCTGCTTTTTCTGTCAATGCTTTCCTTTCTGACATGTTCTGAAGCTCTGCTGTACCGCGATGACCCCGTCTGCATAGTTATGAGCAACCTCCTCGAAAGTGCTGAATCAAGCGAAGAACAAGTTGCAGTCTTGGATCCATCTGTCTTTGCCCATCCTATACGTCGTGACATTCTGTACCTATGTGTCAACTTCTATCGAGATGCTCTCCGCCAAGGTACTGCCAACACAAAGACGAGAGCTGAAGTGCGCGGGTCTGGACACAAAATTCGACCGCAGAAAGGTTCTGGAAGAGCTCGTCTGGGTGATGCCCAGTCACCAATGCTGCGTGGAGGAGGTGTAGCTTTTGGACCCAAGCCGCGTGATTTCGCGACTCAGTTGCCTCGAAAAGTCCGTCAGATGGGCCTGCGTGTTGCTCTATCCGCCAAGGTCCAAGAACGTGCAATGGCGATTGTCCCGACTCTCGACTGGCAGGGCGTAAAAACACGCGATTTTGCGAAAAGAATCGACGAGCTTGGCTGGACACGCACGCTATTCGTTGCTGGTGGTGAGAATGTCCCTGCTCAGATGGAGCGAGTCTGTCGTAATGTACCGGACGTCGACGTCGTGAGCGCCTCTGACTTGAACGTGTATGAGATGCTGCGTTGGCCGAAACTAGTACTCGACGTGGACGCAGTATCATATCTCGAGCGCCTGCTCAGCAAGAATGTAGCAGAGGAGGACCGGATACCTATGCCAAGTCCGCCCGTACTACGGTATTCCAGGATGGAAGCAGGGCGGAGGGGGAAGACGTCGGCGACCATCGAGGGAGTGGACAACGCAAAACCGAATGACATTAGCGAATCGCTTTTCGAATCGTCATAGGGCATCAGCATGGAGTTCTGTAGTGTATTTGGAGTTTCAATCTTATAACTAGTCCATCCAATGAAACATCTCTGCACTTTCATTTTACTTTGCACTTGTTTCGAGACTTATCGAATTTCGCTGACGAGATCTGGCTGAACGGCCACGTGACTCCGTCGCGTTTGGGGCACGCGTCCTTTGCAAGCACAACTCGTCTAAACGAACCATCAGCAAGCCACGCTCGTCGAACTTTTGTGTGGGTAGGAATGTCGCAGAATCCTCTGCAAGATGTCGAAGAAGGAGAGTCATTTGCTGCTGGTCCACTACTCGTATCAAAACTTCAGGTGCGTTCATTTGTCACCCTTCCCCTAAGTGTGTGTGCTTAAAGGAGATTACCCTTGCAGGAAGTGGGCATCACACCGCAGGATATCAAGAAGCTATCTGATTCTGGGCTAAATACCGTCGAATCCGTAGCGTATACACCAAAGAAAGTGTTGCTCGGCATCAAGGGCATTTCCGAGCAGAAAGCTGACAAGATTTTGGCTGAAGGTGTGCAACCGACCCTCTCTTCCCTCTTTCTGTCCCAAGTTCCTTCTTCTCCCACCACTCTTCTCCATTCAACTATACTGAGCATTTGTCCTGCTTTAGCTCTCAAAATCATCCCCCTAGGGTTTCAGAGTGCTACTGAGGTTCACGCTCGACGATCTGAGTTAGTGTGCATCACGACCGGTTCCAAGCAACTCGACACATTATTAGCTGGTATAAATTCCACTTGGACTCCATGAGACAGCTTGGTTGCTGACTGCCTCCTCCAGGTGGGGTTGAGACAGGAGCGATTACAGAATTATTCGGCGAGTTTCGTACCGGAAAGTCGCAACTATGCCACACGCTCGCAGTGACATGTCAGTTACCAGTAAGCATGGGAGGTGGTGAGGGCAAATGTCTGTACATTGATACAGAAGGCACATTCCGCCCTGTCCGGTTGCTTGCTGTCGCGGAGCGTTATGGCCTCAACGGCGAAGAGGTCCTTGACAACGTGGCTTACGCACGGGCATACAATGCGGATCACCAGCAACAGTTACTCGTCCATGCCAGCGCTCTCATGTCTGAATCAAGGTGAATAGCATCCTCATCGTTAGACTATAATTAGGGATCTGAGTCTGGCTGGCGAAGATTTTCACTCCTAATTGTTGACTCGTGTACGGCATTGTATCGCACGGATTACAACGGTCGAGGCGAGCTTTCTGCGCGACAAATGCACCTCGCTCGCTTCCTTCGTACCTTGCAGAGACTTGCCGATGAGGTAACGTCATAGTCATCCAGGCATAATCACACTTTGATATTAGATTTTCTCCTCAGTTCGGAATCGCTGTTGTGGTTACGAATCAAGTCATGTCCCAACCTGACGCTGCAGCTGGCCCCTACGCTGGTAACGATAAGAAACCAATTGGTGGTAACATCATGGCGCACGCCTCAACAACACGGTAAGAAGATTCGTGTTGCAATTTTCTTCCCAGGCATAACTCAAACTTCATGACAGCCTCCAACTGCGAAAGGGCCGAGGAAATACCCGTATATGCAAGATCTACGACTCCCCGTGCTTACCCGAAAGCGAAACACACTTCGCCATCCATGGAAATGGTATTGGTGATCCAGAGGAAGATGTTTGAGATCACAATAATGTTTCGTTGCGCGTGGAATTGCTCTGTTCGTACATTCTCGTTCAATGCCATACGGGTGGCACTAGGAGGACTGTATTCATTACATATGCATGTGTACAATATCATATAGCATTATTCGTAACACTTGGTCTCATGGCGTGTGAAAATTACTTAGGATTGTTTGTGGATTTCGGAGTCGGGAAGATTAGGCTTATTATAAAGGAAGAAATATTGTGATAGCTAAATACCATACGCAATCTTCCAGATGTATCTCAGTGGATACGCCACGATGTCCAGGAACTTCGACACAGTCGCAACAGGGTCAAATGCAGAGACACCTGTTGGGATGCGTCGTGCTACTTCCCGGACCTGCGTGTCAGGCTGCGCTTCCAACCAACTGTCGTTAACTTCTTCGCGTGGTTTGATGAAAGGACTATTCTCAACAATGACGTATTCTCGCAAGTCCTGGAACATCGACACATCCAGTGTTGGCCCGGGACAGATTTGCACGAACTCCGGAGCATTGGAATCCAGAGCAATTGCCTGCTCGTGTAGCGAAACAGACTCCAAAGCCGCTTTCGTAACGAGACTTTGTATTTCGCAGGCGTACAGTTTCAACGCGCTTGTAAACACTTCAGTAGTTTGCAGGAGCGTATAACCGCGAGACCTTGAGCATTCAGATAGAACTGCTCCAAGCATATTGATTCCTGATAGTTTCTCGAGCTTGCAAATGTCTATAATAACACCAAGCGTCTCTTGATTTAGACTGCCCCAGTAAATTGCAAGCATAGATAGAGCCACTGTTGGCTCGGGCTGACAACTGTCCGTTTGCGCTTTCCTAGGCGTCCTGTCACGATGGCGAATACGCTTGCTCCGTGCCGGTGCCGGTGACTCCAGACCGACTACATCATGCTTATTGTCTTTCAGAACATCGTATCTCGCAAGTAAATCCTTTACAAGAACTTTCTGTTCCAGGAGTTTTACCAAGCAATCATCCGTGAAGTCGGACACAGTTTTCAGTGTGGCAGAAACATTTCCCTTAGCCAGGCCGGCTTCCGGAGCCGGAGTTATGTATCGATCAAGCCCTCTGACAGAGTTCACATATTCCTGAGAAATTTTGGACGCTTTTGAAGCCATTTCGACGATAGCGATAGCGAGCTTGGATACATCCAGGCTTGGAACTGCTGTGGATAATACCGACGCTCCGGATTCCTCGGACGGCGCAAGGCCAAGTACATCATCTAGTGCAATCTGTGTATCCGAGCAAGTAGTGTACATAATCTCCTCGGTAGAGTTGTTCACGAGCTCTACACGTCCCTCAGCGCCTGTATTGGCAAGCTTGCCGGCCATTACGTCAACTGAAACCAGAGCTTTGCTTTCAAGAGCGGCAGAGGGATCGGCAGTAGAAATAACTATAGTATCAGGAATCTTGAGTAGATCGTCAATAAGATCAGAGAGTTCCTTTGAAATGCATGGCTGCAGATCCAGCGGTTCTGGCGACAAGCAAGGAAAACTAGATTTTGTCTTAGCTTTGACAGCAGTCTTGCGTTTTTTCTTCTTCAATAAAAGATTGGTGTTCCGGTTGATTATAGTCTGAAGAACGCCCATTTGTAAGTTGCATAGTTCATTCAGAGCATCTGCAGGTCCCGGAACTCTAGAGCAATGCAAAAAGACATGTGAAATGCTTAAGCAAGCGAAACTGTCGTATGGACAAAATGCACGTACTGCGTACGTGGCGTCAAGTCTTCAGCTATAGATATCTTCAAGTCTTCGTTAGTTCTACGCAGGCGCAACTTTTGTTTGGGATGAATTTCTCCGGAGCTTGAATCGCGTATGATAATTGGTTTGTTTCTACCTCCACGTTTGTGTGACCGGGGAAGGAGACGTTTGCGCTTTTTCGGTGAGGAAAGGGTTGAGGCCTTGAATACCCGTGCAGAGCGGGAGCAGACAGAGGATGCTGAAAAGCTACTTAAAGATGATCCAGAGGAGAACGAGTGGATGTAATGCAGCTTGTTGTCTTGTTGGGCTGACAATTGTGACTGGACGTCGGAGGAATCAGAATCAAGCTGAGAACCGTATGTGGATTCATCTGGAAGGCATCTACTGCCTTCAAGGCGTAGAAGTACTTCTATACCGGACTGGGTCATGGTTGAATAGAGGGTCGTGTGAGGGGCGCAAGCAATTTTTGGCGGCTAGAAGTAGTCTCGGCATCGCGTCGATCATCGACGATCACTATTACCAGCCACTTTAAGTCAGCCCTACGTCCGTGATTCGTGAAGGACATGTCAATTGAGTTCTTCAGAGCTACATAAATTCACATTCGTTTCAAGAACGGTCATAACATGAGGAATTCATTACGCATCCTTCCAGATTGACTTTGCAGTCTGTACGACAAGCGCGAGTTTTTTCTTCATGTCTTCTTCAGTCACTGGATTGCCTTCTGCGTGAGACGCGAAGCCGCATTGTGGGCTAATACAGATTCTTCAGAAGAGTGTGGATATTAGAAAACGATTATATGTTACAATTGGAATAGAGATGCTTACTGGTTCAAAGCTTCTTCGTAAGTTCGCTTTTGTGTACCGTCGGCAATGACTTTGGCAGCTTGGGCGACGCGGGCTTTCAAATCCTCTGGGTCCTCGAGCTACGCCAAGTAAGAGATCAGAAGAAATATATTCTAACCAAATGACCTTACCTTTGGTAGCTTTGAGGAAACCAGACCAAGAATAACAGTCTTGTTCTTCGGGAGGTGCTTCAGAGGCTCAAAGGTTCCTGCACGATCAGTGTCGTACTCAAGCTTAATGACGGTAGTAATCAGGAGAGTCGGTTAACTAAGATCCCAAATGAATAGTTGGGAACTCACGTAGAAGCAGTCCACGTTAGTTTCGTTGAAAAGTTTAATGGCTATCCTGTCGTAACCGCCTTCACTGAAATGTACACCATCCTTGAAGTTGCCTCGGCACAGGTGCAAGCCAGCAGTCATGTCTTTCGGACGAGTTGAAAGAATCGTATTATATGTCCTAAGATACGTGTCGAGGAGCGCCTCGTGGTCAACACCCTTCTCTTCCATGCTGCAAGTAAACCATGTCGTTAATCGGGATAATAGATAGTCGTTATATGTCGACTAACCCTTCGATCATAGACGTCGCACAGAAATAGGCAAGGAGAGGATCGTCGAATTGGATGTTCCGGCACCCAAGCGCATACAGTTCTGCAATCTCTTCCTGGTATGCTTTGGCAACGTCTGTGAAGAACTCATCTATACTGACCATCAGAACTACGGTTATATATCATATGACTTCTTGCCCACCGTCGTTCTTGTACACATCCTTAGGGTATGCATATTCGCCGTGTCGGAGATGATACCATTCTGGTGCACACATTGTGAGTTTCAAAGACTTGTGTTCTTCGGGCTTCGTCAATGCTTTAAGCGCCTTGAATTGCTCGATGTAGAATGGCTTCGTGCGCTTAATTTTACCCTGTTGCGTCCAATCAGAACCGCAGACTAGGCATTATTGGTAGCATTCTTACCACGCAGATATGGGAGTCACCTCCATGGAAATTCAGCTTTTTGAAAGCAGCGACATCGGGGCAGTAGTCCTAGCAAAACAATGAATGCCTGCACAATGGTATGCTTGTTGAAAGCTATACCATCAACATATGCAAGGGCACTTTATATCAGGGGGGTAAATCAAGCAGCCGGTTGTAAGGAGAGCGGGAAGACACACCTTCCGGGATATGTTTCATCCCCTCCAGGTTATCAAAGACTCCGTCGAAAAACATATGTCTAACTAAATGCATCTATTCCCTGTTCTCGTGAATCTCAGTAACGATTAAACTGACCTTCTAAACTCTCCGTCTGTCATGGCCTTAATGCCGATTTCCCGCTGCATCTCTATGATGGCCTTTATTGCCGAGTCCTCGATAGGCTTGAGGTCATCTTGTGTAACCTCGCCCTTCTCAAAAGCCGCACGCTTTTGGAGGAGCTCAGCGGGACGTTTAAGCGAACCGATGTGCTCGGCACGGTAAGGGGGAAAAAGCTTGGACGACATGTGGGTATGAGAGTTGCGAAGTGGAGATACCAAGACAAGGAATGAGTTCCATGGTTGTTAAATAGACGCCTTAAGTTCCTGGTAATCGTTCATCCTGTTGTTTATTTTTCCGTGCTCCATGTGACCGTATTTGTAGTGTAGCAGGGCTCCTAACATTTGTAGACTATTCATCCCATGTGTATCCGAGTCCGAGATCATCAAAGGAACGCGTCCCTTAGAATGTAGAAGCGCGATTGACTATCACGTGTAACCCGGCCCTAAATTACTTTCGTTCACACACACATAGATTGACTACACTTCGAACACCCTCGAGAATTGACCGGCCAACCTTCAAGGTGAGTTATCTGTCCGAATTGCTATCCCATCGACGTTCTATTCTGCCTGTGTAACGTTGGGCTGCCATTCTGACAGTTTTCATGGTTTTGAACGAACTTGCACGGATGGATTGGGTTGGATGGACTCTTTGACTTTTGGATGACATGCAACTGTGTATTCTTTGTAACTGACCTCGATTACTCTCTTCTTGTGCAGACATGGGTTATAGACACAACAACGTCCTCCACAACAACCATTTCCATAAGGACTGGCAGCGCCGCGTCCGCACATGGTTTGACCAGCCCGGCAGCAAACTCCGCCGTCGCCGCGCTCGTCAGACGAAGGCAACATCTCTCGGCGTGCGCCCTCTGAAGCCGCTTCGTCCCGCCGTCCGGGGCCAAACCGTACGATACAACACTAAAATCCGTGAGGGCCGTGGATTCACCCTGGCAGAGCTCAAGGAAGCTGGTATTGGCAAGAAGCAGGCACGCGGTATCGGAATTATCGTCGACCACCGCAGGCGAAACCTTAGTGAGGAGGGCAAGAAGCTGAACGTCGAAAGACTCAAGGCATACAAGTCCAAGCTTATTATCTTCCCCCGTAAGGCTGGTAAGCCCAAGAAGGGCGACTCGACTGTATGTTCTATTTTCATTATCTTTGATTCAAAATTGGATTTTAAAACTTGATGCTGTTCAGGGTGACGACCTTACTGCTCCAACCACCCGCCAACCATTACCTCTTGTACCTGCAGTTGAGCACGAGGCTCCTCGTAAAATTACTCAGGAAGAGCGTGACTTCGAGGCGTACCGTGTCCTTCGTGATCTTCGCGCTGAAGCGCGGTACGAGGGCAGGCGCAAGATCCGCCAAGCTAAGGTTTGTGTGGTCTTCATAGTACAGTTTATGACTTATGCTGACTGTTTTCTCCTTTCTGCAGAAAGAGGAGGAAGAGGCGAACAAGAAGAAGTAATCGTCGTTGTGTTCTTCTCTTTCTTTTCTGTATGTTTACAAAACTCCACCCGGTTACTTCGTGTACCCACTCTTGCCTGCATGCTATGCTTTACATACATTTACATGCAATGGATATGACCATGCTTTTCTTCATTTGTGAGATACACCCAAGTTGAGTGAAGATGAGATCAGATTGCATCGGGATATACTTTTATAATCCGTTATTCTACTGCGTTGAAAATGTCTATTGTGAAGCAACATTCAGTGCCTCCTTAATGTTCGCGTCCAGCACAGTATTCATAACCTTAACCTGCTGCGCAACGTTCCTCAATACTCCTCGAACCTCCTTATTCCCCTCTATAAATCCGAATTCGGCATATTCAAGACCCTGTTCTTTCGCGAACTCCTTGACGAGTTTGCTGGCAGCCTTGAGGTTGTGTCTAGGCAGACGTGGGAAGAGGTGATGCGTCACCTGTAGATGTAGCCCACCATGCACAAATGCCATGTATTCAGGGCAAATGACGTCTACCGTTGTACGCAACTGACGTGCCGCGAACGACTCGACAGGTCCCAAATCTGCGGACGAGCGGGAAAAATGTGACAGTACGATCTGTAGTTTGACGCCAAAGCAATAACAATTAAATAACAATATTAGGAGTGCAACGCAGATAAAGGGAGAGTAAATATGACTTCACCTGTACGTGAAGAGGCGACGTCATGACGTGGCTCACAAGCATGTATTTCAGCACATTTTGCCAGCTGCCAGTGCCACGGAGAACCGCGCCGTACCACGCCCAGAATACCAGAATACCGACGATCTCGCACCACCAGCTCCAGCGCCCTCCACGCGCCTTTACATTCGCATGTCGTGCGTTAAATAAGTAACTACACGACAGTCGGTAAAGGTTGAAACGCGCTAGCGACATGACAACATAGAAAAGCTTGTGTTGAATGCGAATGAAGAGCTTGCAGGCGAAGTCAAATGGGAGTACGCGCTTGTAGTACGAGGAATACAGGCTTGAGAGGAAATGCGGAGAAATAGCGAAGAAAGGAAGATGTTCTATATCCGGGTCACTAAACCAAATTTGATTTAGAGTGTTATCAAGGATGAGCATACATGAAAATGACGTACTGCGTAGGATGATTCGTGACGACTGCATGCATTCAAGCTACGTCAACATTCACTCTTGGCACACTAGAGTAGAACATGGGACTAACGATGATGCACGTTGTGATTCTATTCCAAATAACAGTACATGAGGACATATCCCAGTCTCAATTTCAGAGGTTACTCACGTTGACCCACCAACCAATACTTAGTCCCCCACAGAAATCAGCAATGAAAATAGAAATCAGGCGGTCAAGGGTCCAGTTATGAGTGACGCCCATATGACCCAAATCGTGCGCGAAAAACGTGAGCTGATGCCAGAAAATGCCCAAAAAGACTGCACTGAGGAAGAACCAGTGTTTCTGATAGAACCAAGCAGCAAGACCAGCAAACAGAATGTAACGGAGTATATCGGGTCCGATACCAGTCACGAATCGCGTTTTGTAGAGACCAGCGTTAATGACGCGTTGATGGAGTTCTTTGTATGCAACTGAGTGTTGTGCCTGCACTTTACGGGATAGCGTGCTGGGAGGAGGCGAAATTGTCTCCAGACTGGGCCTGTCAATCTTAACCTGCTGACCGATAGTTCCCTTTTCTACCAGAAGGATTTGGGATGACGGGCTTATTTCGTCATGGTTGTAGCCAGCAGCTTCTGCCCTCACCCCAGCGGGAGTGTTGTGTATTGGGTCGGCTTGACGGACCCATTGTCCATCCCGCCAGAGCCAGCCGTTCATGTACGGAGGCACAAGTGGTTCCCATCCGTTCAGACCATCTCTGACGCGTGCAACAATATAATGCTGCATTGTCCGAAGGACGTCGTCAACGTGGAAGGCGTCAACCTCGTCCGTAGCATCTCGACCGACGAAGTGGAGGATTGCAAGTTCACCACCTGGATGCCGCTTAAGCCAAGAGGGAGTTACACGTACGACGCGTGAACGATAGATGAAGAGTGCCTCGCCAGCGAGGATACGTGCTGCAATCTCTTCGCGAGTCCATTCCGCGAGAGCTTTGCTTGGTTGGCCGGCTTTCAAGACAGGCGGATTAGGAGACAGACCCATTGATAGACAGAGAACGCGACTGAATTGGAGTCTCGTCGAACGACTTTACAGACAGCGAGTTTATTTTCGGAGCCAGAAGCGTCTGCCGCATTAGTCAGCGTCGGCACCTCCTAAGTAGTCGTTGAGCAAAATTCAAATTCAAGGTGCGTATATATTCGGATTATCCGGTCTTGGAATATGGTTCTAGTTGTACGCATCAGGATAGTGCTGGCATGCCAAGCCCATCAAGATCAATATATGCCCGTTGGCTGTGATGATACATATAACAGCGCCTTAAGAATGCAGGCTTTAAGGAGCTATCAAAGCTACATGCTATACGGATCCAGGATCCCACCAGGGGAGATATCTTATAGCGAGTTGACTGTATCAATAGAGAGCAGGGCGGAGAGGGAAGAAAAAGACAGAAGTGCAAAGTAAGGGATTTCCCGTGGAATTTACGGGGGTAAATGGATGCAAATGCAGAAGTGAGGACTAGAGGCGTGAAGGCCACAGTGAAAAGCGCAGGGCGGGGGCGAGATATGCGCCACAGGAAATATTCAAATAAGGTTCACATTCGGACGCGTGTTGCCGAGTGGAGTTGGGTGTTCAATGACCGTCAGCTCACCCAACTGTTCCTCTCTCCTCTCTTCTTTCCTGCCATCTCCCTCCACGCCAACAGGTCAGCCTCATCCGTCGCTACTCTCGCCCACACCCGCCTACAAGTTCCTTCTGACACCGATCGTTGCCAGATCCCCCGTCGGTGGGCACGGAAGCGACAAGCCAAGACCCGACAGCGATCACCCCGGTTGCAATCAACCGCCCTATATCATTGTGTCCTCGTGCCCTTTCGATCAGCATACATGTACTCGTCCTCCGCCAAAGCATATCGCCCCCACCACTCCTCTCGTCCTTCCAACCATAGAGCCAGATCCAGCTCAGATCCATTCTCCGATCCTATATATCCCGCCCCTACCGTTGCCTATTCCAGATCAGACGCCCCGCCGCCTCCACCCAAACAACAACAGTACAAGAAGTCCACAAGGCAGTACACTGACTCTCGCGACCCGCGTATGCTCGAGTCAGCCGTGCGCGACACCGTGACGGTCCGTCCAGTCGATACCCCCTCCAGGACAAGGATGGGCAGAAGTCAAACAGGGTATGCTTAATTTCGCTTCTTTGCCCGTTGCCTGCTTCCTGATGCAACTTTTGTTATTATTATTAAAGTGGGGTTCCAACGAACGTCGGCGGCTCCAGACACGCTCCACCCCCAACTAGACGCTCCTATTCTCAGGACTCTGCAACTCGCGCCGCAGCCGCCATGGAAAAGTCTCGCAAGGCAGGCGCCAAGAACAAGAAAGGTTCTACTCATGCGGACGTCATTGACAGACTCGACTTCACAGGTGTTGGTCCGAGTGCGTAATTCTCACGCTGTTATCTTTTGTGCGCACTAACGCAACTCTCTCCCCTACAGTGTTCCATCACGATGGACCCTTTGATGCCTGCGCCCCATCTCGCAATCGCCATAAATCCAAGGCGCCGATGATGGCTTGGACTTCTCCAGAAGATGATGGGCCCATGTCTGCGGCTCAGCTACGTGCTGATCGTAAACGAGGCCTGCCCGATGTAGCTGGACTTCGCGAGTCTCCTTACCCCACCTTTGGAGCCGACACTGACCCTTACGGGACTCAGAAGAACGCAAAGCAAGTGGACCGCATCGCGGAAGCATGGGGTATGCATGAACCCGAGCCATATGAAGAGTTCTTCGGAAGCGGAGCCGGCCACGGCACAGGAGACAATTCCGCTGCAAGTTCAATCTACGGAGGGTACGAAAGCCACTATCATAACGCGAGGAACAGACCTCAAGGGCGCGAATTACGTGAAACATACGCTGAAGACGCGCAGCCAAGGAAGGCAAAGGTCCGCGTACCTCCACCACAGCCGTTGAACTTGCCTGGTACTGGCCGGTCAACCTCCTTGGATGCTCCATCTAACTCGTTGCCATCGCCTCCCCTCACTGGCTCGCCAGGTGCGCCAAAGAGGAGCAAGTCGCTTATGCAGAGAATCAAGAAGATGCGTGATCAACCGAATGTCCCAGTTGAAGCCGTGCAAGGCGATGGAAATCAGTCGCCACCTTCATCGAGCGAGAATTATCCGCCAGGCGGATACTCTGATGGAGGCCGGCCGAGTCGTCCGACACATCGTCAGCAGAATTCATTCTTTGGCCGTTTTGGTGGTCGAAATGCAAGTGCGAATGCTGGGGCGACATCGCCTTCACCGGACATGAATGAATCGTATGTTTATGTGGAGAGATCGACAAACAACAAGGCGCTGCCACCCCGTCCAGCTGAAACACCCATAACACCACTCAACGGACATGAAAAGGATGGTTATTTCGACGGCCCGCACTCGCCTGGCGGAACACCAATGAGCCCCGGAAATGGACTTGGACGGAAGACTAGCCTTCTCAAGAGAGTGAGAGGCGCGGTACGTGTTGGTGGTAAATAGACTATATTATCCGACCCTGCGTCATTCCTTGCACCCCCAATTTCCTGCTTTCTTACGTTTTATGGTTCTGAAGAATTACGCGGTAGGACGCTTCAATCGCGGGTTATGCGTATTTTCTGCGACTTTTCTGTTTATCTCTGAACTTTCTTCAACGGTGGTTTGTTTTTGGTTTTTCACCAATAGATGGCTCTTTCTCAGATTGTCATCACCTTGCCTTCCCTCTGGTCGATGTTAAATGTAAATCCACAACTCCTTTCACTTCTATATTCTATGTTCTGTATCTTCCTCCCCAGTACTCCTATTCTATTTCTTGTAGCGACATCTTGTTCGATTGGAGATCCAAATATGACTATTGTCCTTTGTACCCGAATTGTTAGTCTTCGTTTGCACAATGCCATGCGACTGTGACCTTGTATTGAATACATGAGATACGCACGTTATTTCCTCTACGATAGTACTTGAAAGCATCTTTATGTCCACGGAATAGATGAAGTAACTTCAAGGAAAATCCAGCAGAGGTTTTCAAAGAAATTCCGCCGCATTCAGTGCAGATATTTCTCTGCTTTGAATGCCCGCTCGCTTCAGGCTTTCCTTAACTTCTTCAATCTTCACCTGTAACCGGTGGAAGATCCCTGCAGCCAACGCGGCTTCAACACCTGTCTTCTCGAATACATCCGTGAAGTGCGCTACATTCCCCGCTCCGCTGCTAGCGACAACCGGGATTGTGACAGCGTCTCGAACGAGTCGAATAAGGTCGAGATCAAAGCCTCGGCCAGTTCCATCTCTGTCAATGCTGTTTAACAGAATCTCGCCCGCGCCGAGCATCTCTGCTCCTTTTGCGAGTTGGACGGCTGAAATATCTCGTGCTTGACGCCCACCAGAGACAGTACATTGATACCACCAGGCCTGGTCTTTCTCGTCACCCTCACCGAGGACAAGCTCGCCCTTATGAGACCCATCGTAGGTATTTGGATCGACATATACTCGCTTTGGGTCGATACTAACCACGACTGCTTGTCGTCCGTATGCGTCTGCAATCGTTTCGATGGCGCTAGTTCCGTCTATCTTTCCGTTCTTCAGTAAGTTCTCGACGGCATAGACAGCTTCCGAACCGATAGAGACTTTGTCTGCACCTGCACGGAAATATTCACCAGCAACCTCTAGTGCACTGCGAGGTGTGCCGTCTGGGTCAACAGTGTCTTTAATCCCTCCGCCAATTGTGAGAGGGACAAACACAGTCTCGGCGGCTGCACGAACAACAGCAAGCATCGGTTGGTCTTGCAATGGTGAATGGCGGAAAGAGGTAATATTCAACAGACAGATTTCGTCTGCGCCTTCCACGAAATAACGCGCTGCGAGTGCGACTGGCTTGCCGAGGTTCCGTACTGTGCCAGCTGTGCGGACCTGTACGGCAGAAGATGAAGACGCAGGTGCCGCCTTCTCGCGTACATCATACTGGTCTCCCTTCGTAACGACTAGGTCACCGTCGTCATTCGCACGAACGTCCATGCATGCAATTATACGCTTCGTGAGACCATCGCGCGGTTTGGGTGAACGTGCGACAACAGGACGGGGTGGTTCGCTGACAAGTTCTTCGTCGGACCTACTGAGCCAGGTACTCAAGATACGCAAGCCGGCTTCACCAGACTTCTCCGGGTGGAATTGCGTGCCGAAGACGTTGCCTCTGCGAACAGAAGCGACGAAAATCTCTTGACCGTACTGTGTTGTGCTGTGGACCCATTGTGCAGCTGCCACGTTCGACGGATCATAAGCAGCGCGGAACGAGTGGACAAAGTAGTAGTGTAGTTTCTCATCCATCCCTTCTTTGGCCCTTTCTTCTGGGTCGATGAAGTCGATGGAGTTCCAGCCCATATGAGGAACAGACTTGTCCGCATTGTCAAAGCTGGCAATAGTTGAAGGTATGATTCCGAGCCCCTGGACTCCAGGGTTCTCTGTAGACGAGTCGAATAGCACTTGTAGACCAATGCATATTCCAAAATACGGTCGACCAGAAGCAATATATTCTCTAAGAGGTTCTAAGAGACCACGAGATTTTAGGTGATTTATGGCGCTCTTGAAGGCACCTACACCAGGAAATATAAGTTTCTATTACAGAGCATGGTGTTTAGCAAAGAAAATAGCACGAGAGGATAAAGTGCGCGACAAACCGTTGCTTTTGCGAAATCGTCAGGAGATGCTATCCACTGAAAGTCATAACCGAGTCTTTTGAGAGAGTTGGCGAGACTCCTAACATTTCCCGCGCCATAATCGAGTAGGTAGAGAGTCATCTTGCTTTTTGTAAAGTATATGCATCAGGAAAGGCTTGTTTTCGGCCGATCGAACGATGATCCTGATCGATGAGTCACTTGATTGAGGACTGGCTATATGCGCGTTCTAAAACTTGCGAAATCTTTTGTCAGGTCCTGCCACTCGTCCTACCATTGTACTGCCAGCAGCCTGCATACGTTAACTCTCTACTCACATAGGTGCTGACCGCTGGACGCTAGTAACATTGCCTACTGCTGTGTCCTAATCTCTTCCGAATCCTGAGATCTATAAATCAGAACTCCGGCCATCCCCTTTGATTTTGTTCTATTACTTCAAAATGCCGTCTTCACACTCGTTCCCGGTCCCAATTAACTCAACTAACGTAAACACGAACGCCGTCTCGATCTCGAGGTCTCCCACTCAGCAATTGGCCAGCTTGTCCATGTCTGTCTCACCGACGCAAGTGACACTCCATGACAGATTCCGCAGCCACAAGGAATCCATCGGACCTATCCACCGTACCAGGGTCCTGAGGCCTGTTGACAAAGACGAGATTCGCCTTTTGCTGCTGGAGAACATTAGCCAGGAGGCTGTTGCGGCCTTTAAGCAGCAGGGTTTTCAGGTTGATCACTTTTCGAAGTCTTGGAGTGAGGATGAGCTTGTGGAGAAGATCGGGCAGTATCACGCCATTGGTATTCGCAGCAAGACGAAAATCACGCATCGGGTCCTGAAGGCAGCGTCCAAGGTATGCTTGTAGTGTTTCTCATTCATATTCAAATATCGACTTAATATACGGAAATAGTTGGTCGTTATTGGATGCTTCTGCATTGGCACCAATCAAGTCGATCTCAACAGTGCAGCTCATGCTGGCATACCTGTGTTCAATTCGCCTTTCTCCAACTCGAGATCAGTCGCGGAGCTCGTAATGTCTGAGCTCATAGCACTTTCACGACAACTATTTGATCGTGCGCGAGAAATGAAAGATGGACTTTGGAACAAGATGTCGAAAAACTGCTGGGAAGTGCGAGGCAAGACGCTCGGGATTGTCGGCTACGGGCATATCGGTTCTCAACTTTCCGTGCTGGCCGAATCATTTGGCATTCGTGTCCTCTTCTATGATGTGGTCAACATTATGCCTCTCGGATCTGCTCGGCAATTGCCCACGCTAGATGCTCTCCTCGCGGAGTCTGACTATGTTACGCTCCACGTTCCCGAACTTCCGGAGACCATAAATCTCATCGGTGCTCCTCAACTAGCGCAGATGAAGAAGGGCTCGTATTTGATTAACAACGCTCGTGGCAAGGTGGTCGATATTCCTGAGTTGGTAAAGGCGTTGAAAAAGGGTCATTTGGCTGGTGCAGCCATTGATGTGTACCCGTCCGAGCCGGGATCCAACGGTTCACCCTTTGATGACCAACTGAATTCGTGGGCCTCAGAGTTGCGCTCCATTCCGAATGTCATTTTGACGCCACACATCGGCGGCTCGACGGAAGAAGCCCAGCGCATGATCGGAGAGGAGGTTTCTACGGCATTGACTCGCTATTTGAACCTCGGAACGTCATTTGGTTCCGTCAATTTCCCAGAAGTGGACCTGCGCGCTATCGACATTGACCAGCCCAACCAAATTCGGTTATGTCATGTGCATAACAACCAGCCAGGTGTACTCAGGCAGGTCAACGAGATTCTCAGCCCGTACAACGTCGAGAAGCAATACTCGGACAGCAAGGGCGATATTGCCTACCTCATGGCCGATATTTCGGACGTCAGCCAGCAGGACGTCGAGCGGCTGCAAGAGAAGATCTCGGCCACGAGCGCGAATATTCTTACGAGAGTGCTGGCGTAAAATACTCGTATCCGTGCGGTTCGCGGGAGGATAGGATTGTAAAAGGTTATGAACGGTTCCACCCGACGCATATAGAGTGCGATATAGAGCAATTTATATTTGTCGCCCCATTCAACTGGCATCACCATTCAACTGGGCACTCTGTTGCCAAGCTTTGTCACTAAAATTGTATAGTAGTCGGTTTCATTAATAATTGACAATTATAACTCGTGTGTATAGCATTGCATGCTGTGCTAAATGCTGGTGGAAATAAGAACACGAGAATCACATTCTGCATAGAAACGTCGATCGCGGCTATAGGATGCGGACGGCTCATGAAGCGGTTTCTGCTCTTGTTCCATTCTCACCACCATGTCGAGCTTAGAGGTCAACAAGCTTTTCGACGTGCGCGGTAAAGTCGTGCTGGTGACAGGTGGTAGTAGGGGTATTGGCAAAATGGCAAGTTACACAAATTTTAAATATTTGTTGATTTAGTATTGCTTAGAGGTTGCACGGCTAACATTTTTATTGGCAGATTGCTAGTGGTTTCGTGAGGAATGGAGCGAGGGTACGTGGCCTTACGCGCATTTTTGAAGAGGAATTTGAAGTTGAAGTCAACTTTAGGTCTACATAAGTTCTCGGTCTGCAAAGGATTGTGAAGAGACTGCGAAAGAGTTAACAGAGATGGGTCCCGGAAAATGCTTCTCCATTCCCGCGGACATGCAGAAGCTTTCGGAAGTCGACAGATTGGTCAAAGAGCTCAATAGTAAAGAATCAAAGCTACACGTCCTTGTGAACAATGCTGGTGCTACTTGGGGAGAGACTTTCGAAGATTACCCGGTACGGATTTTAACATAAAGTTAGAGAGCCGAGAAGCTAACAAGGTTAATTGTTTATCAGGATTCTGCGTTCACAAAGGTTTTGACGCTCAATTTGCAACGCGTCTTTAACCTGACGCAAAAGTGTCTTCCTTTGCTTCGTGCAGCTGCCGACGAAGGTAGAGATGGTGACTCATGGAAAGATCCTGCTCGAATAATCAATGTAAGTATTCCATTCTGAACCGAAGTTAGCGAAGTAATTAAGCGCCCATCAGATTGGAAGTGTAGAAGCCCTTGAGGTGCCGAGCCATGAAACCTATGCTTACTCCGCCTCAAAGGTATAAATATAAATCAATCAAGTTTGAGCCTTATTGTGACGATGTTTTTCTCCCAAGGCGGGATTGCACCACTTGAGTAAAGCCTTTGCTGGCCGACTCGGGTTCCAAGGTATTACCAGCAATACGATTGCATGTGGTATGTGTCTATTTTAAGTTCTTGCGAAAGATCCTCCTTACGAAGAATTCACTACCTAGGACCATTCGAGAGCAAAAGTAAGTCCGGAGTTCATAAACTTCTGATCAATAGTATTGCTCACAAATACTCTCCATGCAGTGATGGCGCAGACCCTCCGGACATTGGGCGACCACATTGTTAGAGGAATTCCTTTATCCCGGATTGGCTCTCCCGAGGACGTAGTTGGGACTTTGCTCTTCCTGTCCGGACGCGCAGGAGCGTATGTGAATGGAGCAACAATTGCTCTTGACGGTGGAGGTTTGGTTTCGTCTGTCAAGAGTAAATTATAAACTGCTCGAGGGATATTATCTCAAATCTTCTCGAAGCGGGTTACTTCGAACCATTTTAACATCAGGTTTTCTGGATAATAATGACTTATTATGCATAATAATTTAAGTACAAGGTAGATACATGCTTCAATATTACGCAACTTTCTGTTGTTCCGGCACATCATCTTCCTTCTTTGAGTGTTCCTTGTCGGACTGCGAAGAAGCCGTCACTACATTTGGGTCGTCAGTCCCACCTACCGACTCTTTCGGTGATTTTTCTGCAGTTGAGCTTTCTGCGTCTTGCTTCTTTTCTGAAGGTGCTGTTTGTGGCTCAGATGCGGGTTCCTTACTAGAACTGAGGCCCTTCACAAGATCGCCAGCCTCATCTCCCTCCAAACCCAGTTCCTTCACAAGGTCAGCTAGCTCGTCATCCGTAACCGATACGCCATGCAGGCTATTATCCCCCAACAACGATCCGGCATCAAGTTCACTTGCTGCTTTTGTCTTGTCCTTCAACGGCGAATGCGAGCTCGCGAATGATGGCTTTTGGCTTGTCATCTGCGCCGGTGAAGATGCTCCAGGTACACCTATAGGCTTCGCATCCAGAGAAGGGGTATCTAGTTCATCTGCATCCCAAGACTCATCCAAGCGTAAGAATCTTTCCAACTCGTCATATTCTACGGCTTCTTCACTTTGAGATGAATATAGAATAAGAATTAGCCAATGAGTAATAGTAGTCACAAGGCGTACAAATCTTCAAATGTTCCAGGAAACATGCCTCCGACAAGGATACCCGGAAGTTGTTGCTTGGCTACAATAACACCTCAGTTCAGGTGCAAATAACCACAGTAGAGAACATAAACACTAGCCTAGGGGTGCCTTTCTTTTCCATAGTTTCTTTGCATCTTCGCTTGACGCTAAGTCTGGATTTCCAGTGAATAAGATACTATCTATAGGTGGCACCATCACAGACCGTAGGAAGTAAACGGGACCTTCTTAACTTGGAGGATACGAAGGATATATTCTGTTCCATGCTCAGACGCGTGATATGCTCTGTGATAGCGGTCAGCTAACCTTGCCGCTTTCTTAAAGCTGGTTGAGATGCAATAGTCGTTAAGAAGACCTCGACTGGTGGAGACGGCATTGTGTCGTCTGATTGTAGTAAAGACGAGAAGTGCACAAAGCTGTGCCGGATGTGTGTCCATAAGTCGTACTTTCAGTCACGTGCACAGGAAGTGATCATATCCGCCGCCTCAATGTCCCATACATTACAGCCGTTTGCAAATATAATGAGACTTTTTGATTTTCGGAGAAATGATGACATGTAAGAAATCATGTGACAGTTCGGACTTAGAGGAAATTTGTAGGCATGAGATATTGAATGAGACGTGTCGTGCCAGCAATGGCCCAGCATCTGTGGCTGGTTCTGTGCATGCATTTTGACAGTAGTAGAGGATAAGCAGCTTTGATAGAAGTAAGACATAATAGCACAATATTGAATAAAACAGTAATAGACAGGTTGATAAGTTAGTAATGAGTAGTAGGAGGTAGACTATATGCACAGATACTGCCCTATAGGCACGACGCGTCTCTGTCTTGTGTTTGCTATTTTCTTGCTAAGTCTAAAATATCACATGATTTCTTACATTACATCACTTTGCTCAAAATCAAAAAGTCTCATTATATATGCAAACGGGTGTAAATCACTTTCACTAGCACTCAAGTCGGCTGTTCAACTCTCGTTCACCACGACTACCTACTCAATGGCCACATCTGTGTTGATAGTCTGCCTTGGTATATACTTTGATATATTAGAGACTGCGTCTACGCCACAGACCTGATCTTTGATTTCAAGGGAACATCTGCCGTTCTCCCATGGGCGAAGCTGTTCTAAGGTCTCTATACTATTTGCTCCAAGGCTGTCTCAATCGGATAGTAATTATATTGCGTTATCCTCAGACATACAGCTCAGGAGCGAGGAATTGAGATGGTTGTCGACAGTGCAGGAACAGCCGCATACCATGTCGGAGAAGATCCAGATGATAGGTATCCTTGGTTCTGTTATTTTGTCCGTTCTGCAAGCTGAGAAAACTATTCGCTCACAAGAACAGTTGAGGTGTGCAGAAGAGTACGCCAACGTTACATATTTAATTTATGGATGATTGCTCAACATTGGTATTTCCAGCACAAAGTTCCAATAGAGCACTCAGCTCGTCAAGTCGTACAGAAAGGTACGAAATCCAGGCACACAGTGCATCCTTTTCTCGATCCCGGCTCAATTGGCACATACAGACTTCAGTGAATTCGATTATATCCTGGCGGCCGACGAGTCAAATCTCTACAACTTGCAGAGGAAAGCTCCAAAGGGTTGTAAAGCACAGGTCCGTTTATGGGGTTCCTACCTAGATGACAAGCCCATTGCAGATCCCTATTATGGCGGACTGGTGCGTTTCAATAAGGTATGTATTGCTAGACAATCTGTGTCTGACTGCTTGGTCTCTTTAGCACGGTTTTGAGCAAGTGTTTCGACAATGTCGTGACCTTTCGAATGCGTTCTTAGATGCTATCACCGAGAAGAAGTCGGAATCGTCGTAGTAATGTATATCCTACCAAGCTAACTTGGTCAATGTGTATTCTTGGGAAACGAGAGCTTGTCAATTCGATAGAGTCCTAGAGCTTGTCCCGTCAGTTGCAGGCATCACCTTTGTTTATTGTGATGGTAGTCTTCGTCTGCACCGAAAGCACCTGCCCACGCCCGGTTCTGGTCAATTCCAATGGCTGCAATAGCATTTCTTGCGGAAGTCGTCCCACTCCACTCATCTTACGAAAGTCTTAAAGTTGAAGGGATGTCGCACTTAAGCGAACATTCAATATACTGAAATATAATTGTCCTGCCTCACGACAAATGCGTGTTGCTGGTCATTGTTCCGTATTACAACTGACTCTCTTGCTGAGCTCCAAATTAATATGAACTGAGAAACTCAGCTCGCGTGGGCTGGGGCGAGTGAGGAATATGTGGCAGAAACTGAATATCAGGCACGATACCTTGTGTATCCTTCGTATTGTACGGATTTAAAGTGGACCTAAGCCGCGTAAGTAGGATTTAAAGCTTGGAGAGTTTAAGAAAACAGGGCTGCTACGTAAATGGTACAATGATTGCGTGCTGCACGAAACTGATTGTCCATCGTTTTCATTCAAATGGGGTATCCCTAAATGCAGGATGCGGAAACAGTCACGATCAATCAACTTTCCATTTCTCTCCCATGGGATCGGCTTCGTCCTCGGTGGTCACAACCAGCTCCACAGACCAAATGACAAGGGTGAGGAAGATGTTCATCCATCGCCACCACACCTGGGAAGACTGGTCCAACACTTAACAAAAAGTCGATCAGATATCGATGAAACATGCGGAGTTAAACACTTACGTAGAAGAGAGGAGTATACAGTCACTAGAATGGCTTGTCTATACGTGAGAAGAATATGTGTCAATCTGCTAGTCTGGTTAAAAAATAAAAAAAGTTGACGTCAAGCAACGCGATAAATGACGAAGTAAACATGCGTACTGGACGCCCATTCCATCCATCATCCACACCATCCTCACTATCCCAGCTATCGGCGCCAATCGTTGGAAGAATATATGATGCAAGATGCAATACGGTCAATCGATATGCCAAGGCAAACAGAACAGGCTTTGGAAGTGTATTGGTTACAAAGTTCATTAACGTTTGAATGTGGGGAAGGATGTTGGATAACAATGGTGCGCTGTGATGTGAATAGAAACACGGGAAGGAGCGGAGATAGGAATCAGCAACTCAATACAAGGAATGAAATCGTGGAGGGTGAACATACTATGAAGAGGAAGGTCCTGATATTGAACCGACATCAAACCCACAGAGCCAAAGATTGTATGCCAAGAATAGTGCTAAAGCAGATGATTCAATGACATTCGTGCGTCGCAAGCTGAACCCAATGAGAGTGAGGAAAATAAATGCGGTCAAAGCCGAGCCCAGTAGAGTTGAAGATAATGGAGACGTGGCTACGGAAGGATATGACTAAAAGACGCTGTCAGTGAGTTCATTTCCGCAGTACGAGAAAGGCTTCTTACTGCGCCAATACGCCATGCTGCACCAACATATGCCACTGCAGAAGCTACCAGAAGGCCGAACTGGTACCCCTCCCCTTCACCCGCGAGTTCACGTCCGATTCGCCCAAGCTTCTGTGCGACAAGCAAGCTACTTAAACCCTCCATGACGACAAAGCACGGACTGCTCCAACTAAGGAACTTGCCCCACCAATTTGCCGCCGTTATGAGGATCGGGGACACGCTTTGCGAGAAGATGTTGAAGCATACGAGAAGCAAGAAGGGGTGCATGGGGACCTGCAGGACGGATAGCGATGGCCATCTCCAGAAAAGTAGCATAGTTCCATGTATGAGCGAATGGATGAATAGCAGCAAGGATAGCAATAGAAATGCTTGTGTTGAAAGTGTCGCAAGTGTCAGCGGTAAGAAAAGCAGGATTTGTAGAACCGTCGATAATCTGAAGGGATAGGTAACGAAAGTTGTTAGAAAATCGAGACTATGCGTAGCCAATACAGTTCCAATTGCACACACTTTGCAGCACTCGACACGGTGCTCCATATAATCCACGGCGTAGCCATGTTCTTGGTCTTGGTTTGTACTTGTGGACGTGACGTACGTGGTACAAAATTCGGCGATGGTGCTCTCGATGTACAAGCTTCGGGAAGTCAGTAGAGGCACTCAGGCCTTGACGAATGCATGCGCCTTTGAGCTCATCGGGGACGGCACGAGAAGCTGCGACTGTGTTTCGCAGCAGTCTCTGACTCTGAGTCTTCACCACTGTGGCGCAGCGCGTGTATAACGTAATCAGACCATAAACAAACCACGCGTCTCGGCAAACGGCAATTATGTGGCGGTAGCATATGAAAAAGCAAAAACAAAAAAATCATAGTACTTATTTACACAAGGATTTAGAAAAGACAGTGTACGCTAGTGTTGAACAAGACAGTAACTATCAGCAAGGGGGAATTAAATAGTCGGACTGGGTAGAACCGTACATCAGGTTGCAGTATCTGCAAGCAGGACAGATGTCTCAGTCAAGCAGTGAACTGAAAATACGCATAACTTACAATAATAATAGTCCTCAATTAACGGTATCCAATCCTGGATGAAGGCGCTCAGGAGACCCAAGACAGGTTTATCCGCCGTCTTGTTGGCAAATGCCTCTAGCTTCGGTCTGCAAAAAAAGGACATTTCAATCTGATGTACTCCAGCTATTAAGTTGTTCTCGTCACCTCGTATATGACTGCCATATAGATCCACGCAGCAAATACCACAAGAAATCACGGTCACGTCGTGCGTATTCACTACGCTCAAGTGCTGAAGACGGTCGTGGAACTCGCCTCAGGTAGCGAGAGAAAAGTTCAAGCGACAACGAAACAATCAATGGATTTGTCGACTTCGGATTCCGGCTAATAACCCCGACTAAGATTGCTCGTCAGTAAGCTTCCACGAGACTTATCACGGAGAGTACGAACCATAGATCAGAGGTCTTAAAATATAAATAATCTCTGCGACCCAGTCTGCTGGAGAGCTGAGTTCGCGGATGAGAGTTGTCGGCTCCTTAACCGATGATGTAGATAGCGCTTTCGGTAATAAGTATTCTTCAACAGGAGCATCACTTGACAATGCAGCAGGCTTGTTCAAGAACGAGTTAGGGTTGTCCAAAGAGATGTGGTTATTCTTTAAGTGCTCTGGTGTCATCAACGGTGAGTCAGGATGAGAAGAGGGCGCAAGGGTCGGTGATGACGACGCTGATTGGAGTTCAATGGTTGTTGGATCGAAGTCGCGCTCAGGCAGAGGGGGCGAGAGCAATGGTCGTCGGGTAATCTTGAGGATGATAAGCCGGAGCACCGCTCTGTATGGATTGAGCAACGTCTTTCAATATCACGCGTAAACTTTGGTGTACATACTTGATCACTTCCAGCAAAACAATCCCCCTCCATTTCGTCTTGTTAGACACTTTTCTCCTCATACCCATTTCTAGAACTAGTTCCGTGAAGCGTATCACTTCCAATGTCCGAGCGGCCCATTTGTACCGAGCAGATTTGTCCGACCAGGCGCGGGTGTAACGTGAATGTGCAGACGGCGGCAGTAATGGTTTGAAATTCGGGTCGGCATGAGCAATGCGAGACAGAAGCGCATCGTGATACATGCTCATGAGGTTGAGAAATGCGGACACTGGTTGTGTTAATCAGTTTGACGATAGACCACAAACGCACAGGGGTACTTACATGCCTCAGAAGCTAACTCCGCATCCTTGAAACGACCGGGAAGAAACCAGGTCATCGACCTGAGGGATGATTCGAGAGTTGAGATTACGGATGCATTGTTGAGCAGGAAATTCTCATAGTGCGCCAGAGCCGACGACATTTGACCGTCGAAGCGACTGGTCTCTCCCAGCGGCTATGCGGTGAAGGCAAAAGAAAGACGACGAGTTGTGTGAGGAGGAATAACACGCGACTTCCTTTTTCAGCAGGTGAAATGTTCAATGTCCGTGTTCAGCATATTTTGCCGGCCCCGAATTAATATTTGTACTCCCACAGGATCCACACAGCCCTCAAGGCTAACTCTGTGTAAAGCATCATCTAAGAATAATTTTGCTCTTTGTGGCCATTTCTGCGGCATCAATCAGCGGACATGAGGCAAACGCATTGCAGTGTGTTTTATGGGGCAGAAGTTTCGAATGTCGCTCCCAGAGTGGGTCACTTTATCGACCGAGGATAGGATTGGAAGAAAAAATTGTCGAATGAACTCCTGGTTATCCGCGAAAGAAACAAAGGCACTATATTACTATGCATATCCTAAAGACATAGAGCATGAATAATATTCGCCCGAACGCTGTGCTACCTGTGTGAATCACAGGATTGAATCAGAGGACCAAGATGCATTGACGGACAGGTTAGCGGAGTACCCGTAGGCATCGGAAGGGAGTGGCAGGTGACGATGGAAAGTACTTTTCTGGGCTCATGGTGGAATCACTGGATGATGAATGCCGCAATGCGTGCGAGATGGGATCGCATATAGAAGTCGGCTAAATATTGATTGTTGACTGCTGGCCTGAGCTCCTTGCCTCGAGGCTTTCCAGTTCCCTTTACAGATACTCCTCCTCTACTTGGCCTCCACCGCGCCCTCCTGCTCTGCGCGCGCACAAACGTGGGTGTGTACGCACGAGCCGCAGGTCCGTAATATCTTATACTCGTCTCTTCTTTCTCCAATCCCACGACCTTGTCCAGATGAACGCTCATCCAACCGACAGAACTGCTGCCAACAACCCTGGTGCTCTGTCGTCTCTTTCTAGCGCTGGTGTATGCGGTTCTCTCGATCCGCCCATCCCTTCGAAGAGTACCTCCAAACGCGGATGGCGCTACATCCAATGCACAAATGTCCAAGATGAACTTCGCGTGTGTTCCGTTCTTGCTCTGGTTAATGGTATATGGGCTCTGGTTGACTCTTCTTTTGCGTCCTTTCAGGTCTTGTTACCCCCGCGGCCTGCTGCAATCTATGCAAATCTGCTCAAAGTTGAAACCCACGCCATAGCGAAGAACGACGCTGATTCTCTACGCGAGGTTCAGCATATCCGTTATCTCAAAGATGCTATGGTTAAACGGTGCCAAAAGTTGGTAAAAGATGCGATCGAGAATCGTGGTGTCAGGAATGTTTCAGTGGTCGAAGCGCCGCTCGACTTTAAGCTTAAACGGCTTGAGCAATGGTGGGAATCTATAGAAGCTCAAGGAAAGACAAAGAGTCACTCCAAGAGCAACCAAGGTAAGGTACGACGTTTTTTATGAATGGGTAATCTAACAGGGCAACTTCGCCTTAGACGGTGCGGAACGATCAAGCAGAATGCAAGTCAGCGCATCGACAGCTACGGTCTCTCCCAACAATGGCCGTGCCTATAACACGACTGTCGTCCAGGCGAATACCTCGTCTAGTGGTGCAGTTACCCAATCACGGCATGTCGCAGATGTACAATCATCGCCAGCAGCGTACAAGAAACGTCCAGCACCATTAGCAGTACCTGTCGCTGGGTCTACTGTTTCCGCACAATCTTCTCCGTTGATACCCCAGACGCCCCACTCCCCCAATACCTCAACTCGTCGCGGCCCCGCACAAATTGCAACCTCGCTGTCACCTCAGGTGCAGTCTCCACGTGAGCGTTCCGTTAGGCCGCAACTGAAGCATGCTACTGCATACAAGTCAGTATATGCAAACAACCAGATGACATCACCGCTGGAAACACCCTATGACCCTTCTTTCGATCCTAATCAACCGCTTGCTGCTCAAGAGTACCTCGCCAGCCCTGCTGTTAATAGAAATGGTATACCTCCCGAAGCGCATTCACCAATGGCCTCCGTCAGGTATGACGGAGTCCCTCCGCCGACCAACGACCCCCGTATGTCAAGACAGCACGTCTACAGTGCAGCGGACGCACTAGCCGAACCGACAACTGTCCAGACGGATCCGTCGCATCTTAAAAGCAGGTTCCATGCAACTTACGCAATATCTCCAGCCAATTCCTCTTCCTCTCCATCTTCGAATGGCAGCAAGCCTTCCACTTATATCCAGCAGAATGCCTCATACATTCGAGATGGAACCAGTGCACATCTGCAAGCCGAAACAATCCATTCAGGTCATTTCCGGACCCATGGTTCGCTCTCCATGCCTCTGCCTAACAGACCTCACGGTTCTTCTGAGAATGACCACAGGAGACGTGCGACAGTCGACGGCGATGATACCGACAGGAGCGTCCCTCGGCCCAAGACTTACATGTATCGCGGTGGTGCCGCTTATCAAAACGCGCCTGACGGTTCACCGGAGGTGTATTATGCTGAACATGCTTACGACGCACAAGGACTTCGACACAATGAAGGCGGTCATAGTCCCTCAGCAGTAAAGCGTATTGCTCGAGCTCTTAACCAGAGTCTTGCTCCAGGTGGCTCTCCATTAAGTTCGACTGGTTCTCAAGGTTCACCTCGCCTGCATGGATCGCCTGGATCACGCCCCACCGCGGATGCTTCTCCTCACTCGCAAAGTAGCCCTGCGAAAAATTCACAACAGACTCGAGGTTATGGCTCAACTCTCACTACAGAACAAGCATATAACTACCCAACGACAGCGGTCCATGGCAGCTCTCCCACCTTATTGCCACCTGACCCCGGTCTTTCTCGCTCGAGGAGAGGTTCCAATGAGACGGAAATCGCTGCTGGTGGGGCCGTGCCCAGCGCTCAGGGCACCGTGAATATGCATATACACCCTAAGCAACAGCTTCGCCGCACGACTTCTCGTCGCGGCCTGCGTAATCGAAGTCCAGCCGGCGGCGATCCTTCGGGCACTACGGCGCAACCAGTCGTACCCCCAACAGATTATTACTCGTCACGACCGAAGTCTTCTCGCAGGACGTCTGGTCGTTTACCAGATGCGCAACAGCCGGTTGAGGGTGACATCTATCAACGTGGTCGAACACGACGTGGAGAGCGATCTCCTCATCGCCGGTATGATACTTCTCCGCGGCGTAGTGACGCTGTCATCCCCGACAGGGCAATCCTTACACCAATGAACAGTAATCGGAACAGTCGGTACACATCGGGCGGATCAAGTGTTTCCGAGCCTGTGATTCCAGACGTGGAGCTCATAATGGAGGCCGAACTCACCAGGAGTAAGGGCGATCGCATTCGTCGGAGACTCGTCCCTCTCCAGAGTTCATCAGAAGAGGGCGGCAGCCGATATGTGTCCGACTTCGAGGATGACGACTCTACGTCTGACGATGATGGTAGGGCCAACGAAGGCTATGACCACTACAAACCTCCGTACCGAACTCGAGATGGTTATGGCTCAGGTTATACATCAGAAGCCGAGGGAGCGAAACCCCGTGCGCCGTCTCGTGCACCTTCTCGATCCCCATCTCGTGGTATTTTGAAGCGGTCGAGTAGCGTGTGCAGTGCACGCTCTAACAAGAGCGTGAGGCTCGAGATTCCAAGGGATCGAAGAGCTCTCGAAGAAGTACGCGATGCAGAAGAGAAGGTTGAGCAAGCCCGTATGTTATTTCAAGCGTATCACCAATGGTGGACGTACTGACTGACCGACGTGCTGGATACAGATAAGCGTCTGGAAGACTTACAGAGAAAGAAAGGGGATAAAACAAAGTCTGCGGATCCGCAAATCATGAAAGCAGCAGAGACGCTCAACCAGGCTCAGCGAAGCCTGAACGAGAGGGAAAACGAATACCAAACGATCCGTAAGTCCTCGAAGGATGTTTTGACAGCGATTGCCTGACTCGTGCCCCACAGTCAAAGCTATGAAGATTAAGCAGTCTGATCAGGATGGGGTTGAACCCCGTTATGTTTAATATTCCATCTTTTTATCGAACTGTTGTATACCAGTCAACCCCTGTAGTGTTACAAGTAATGTCTAATCTACTATCTAATCATCCTGTACGGAAAAGGTATAATAATTATGGTGACCAAGAAATCCGGAAGAAACTCATGAGTACCAAAAGCAAGAAGGGACAGCATAAATATCCGAATAAGAAAGATCAATAAACTTTGCGCGAATATCTCTTCTTCGCTCTGACACGCCAGTACAGGACGAGGGAAACAATGCTAGTTCCGACGAAAACACAAAAGCCCATAACAGAGAAGAAGATGGCGAATGGATGATCAGTGGAGCCTTTATTGTTTGGTATCTTTCCTAAATTCATAGAAAACAGCCCTATCGAAGATAGAAGGCGGTTAGACATTCAATCGAATTGAGGGCTACACAGCTCACGCACCGAGAGGTACCTGTATAGAGACAACCGTAATGGAAACCGTTGTCAAAATGAGAATTGATTTGTCTGTGCTGCCTTTCGTCAGGGATTGTGATACGCGAAGCTGAGACAGGTAAGCCGGATGTGAGTGGCTCAGCATACGCTCGTAGTGACTGAGGGACTGCTGCAAGGTTATTATATGGTCTATGTAAAGGTGTCAGATAGGCAAGTCTAGGAGGTGAAACAATTCCATCCAACCTTGGATATCACCCATGTAAATCGCTACATCATTGTCGGAAGGGGAATGTGATCCGGGACCTTTGTTGCTGATCTCCCTAGATGCAAGTATCAGCCTCTTGCGTATTTGGGCGATAACTTCGCCCTTAGTGCCAAGCAGGCGTCCTAATGACTAAGCCTAAAGTAAGAATAAGGGCCAAAGGAATGCAGATATCTCATACCGTTACAATCCTCCGTACTGCCGCCATCTTAAGCAGAGTTTTGGTTGTTGATGACACAGATTCTTCGTGTTTCGTAGCCTTCTTGGCCTTCCGCCTCCGAAGTATTCTTCTGATTGCACGCCCAATATTACGAAGGAATGAGACGTGCGCTTCAGATATTCGGATGTTCAGGGGCGCGAAACTCGGTCCCTCCTTTCCCGGGTAATCAACCTTTTCGTTGGACGAAGTGCTGAGTGGTTCAGAGGTCTTTGTGGTGCTATCCATTGATGATGATGTGGAATTCGTTGATTCAATAGTTGTCATTTCTGCTTTCGTCGGTTCCGGTTTGTTCGGCGGAGATGAACCCTCCAGGACAAGGGAATCGACGTCCTTTATCTCTTTCTCTATTGATGCGAGAATGGGGAAGAACTGAGAAATTTCAGGTAGAGGGTAATTAACGTTGAGACGAAGATAATCAGTAGAAACTAGATATAGCTCACCGAATCTACAATTGAGTCCATGAGCCCGTGAGCAATCCAGTCTATTCATTATCGTGAATAACTACGCTTTCACAACGTTATTACACATACCTGAAGTCATGTCGAAGGTGTTATCCAATTTCAGAACTTTATTGCGGAGCTTGTCCGTATGTTCTGATATGTCTTCGAAGTGAAACTACGAAATATAAGGCACATCGCAAAACGGGCAGAATAGATTACTGGCTCACCGAGCATATCCCTTCAGCAAAAACGACCATGTACACATTAACGGCACCAACGACTCCTTCATCCGCTGAGCTAGAGGGCAAGATCGTTGATCCTTCACCGTTTTGAATCCTGAATTTGCGGAGACGTTCTCTGGAACGTTCGCTTTCAAGTGCCCGGAAAACGATAAAATAATAACCTAATCCAGGGAATGATTCAAGCTTTTCCCGCGGATCCCTGTGAAGAATATCTTCCAGAGTTAGGGGGTGAAGGTGGAGAAGCTAGAGAAAATGTATTGAAAAGACCGATTAATGGTTTGTTCAAGTACTACAGCACACACTCACCCTTCCGATAGAACTCAGGTCATCCCAGGATGGACTGGCTACATCCAGCCACCAGCTTTTCTGGCGATCGGTTCCTCCCTTCATAGAGGCTGGTGCGGACGACGTTTTGGGCATACGCGATGCTTCACCAACAACAGTCTTCTTTCCTTTCCCTTTATTTCCTATGTGTGAAGAGCGCGAAGAGGGTACTTCTGAGGCAGCCGACCGTTCTCGAGCCCTTCTCGATTTCGCCGCTTGCTTCAATGCAGCATCTAACTGAGCCAAAATCAGCTGCAAGGATGATGTTCTAATTGTCCGGCGCTCCCTCTCCTGCTCCCGCGTCTTATCGGTAGGGGGACGGTGCCCTGGAATGGAGTCGTATGGTAAGAGTAATGTAAATTCGCGCGGCACGATCCTAAATTCCTCCTGAGCTTTCTTGCGAGCTAGAATTTCCCGTTCACGAGCGGCATTGTATACGGATGCGGAGCTCGAATAACGTTTACCTTTCTTTCGACGTGTCGTTTGTGTGCGATTGGTAGTTGAAACCGACGACACCGACGAAGAGGAAGAAGATGTGTTACTAGCAGCAGAAGAGTGTGCCCTAGCCCAGCGCGATACTGCGGCTTCAACCGCGCTTGCCAAGGCTCCGAATCGTCGACCCACATTCAAGGATGAGCTTGACGAGCTCGAAGAAGAAGAAGAAGACGCCACGGATGCTCCATCCAGGTCTGGAACTCTGTTGACAGGAGAAGGAGGACGTTCTCCTCGGTATATATCAGAATCGTCGTGTTCGGCGCCACCCTCCGCTTTGGAGAACGTTGTGTCTGCATCTATGTGCGGCGCATTCTGGGTGCCTGCTGCAGCGAGGAACAGGTCATCTGCCCGTTCTGTCGGTGGCACACCCACTTGCAAAGGTAAAGGAGAGGAGACACCAGACTGCTGAGAGGATGATTGACCGTTGGCAAGATCCAGAGTTGAGTTGGAAATAGCATCAACCATCTTGACGGACAGACAAGGGAGATGAGAGCATAGGGAGCGAGCGGAAAGAGCTGCGATAAGTGTGCGGCAATTGAGATTCCATGGAGCGAAGGCGAAAACGGTGCTTCGGACACTCTCAAATTATTATTAGCGCTGATGTCACGTGCTCAGATCGGGACAAGAACATCAAGACCAAAGAAAAAAATATTGCAGCGCCGCATCCAATGGGTACAGTTGTATTATGACTTATAAGTTATAACTATGACACCGAGACTTTCCGCCTTTTACTGGACCTTTGATTTTCAGCATTCCCTCTCTGTGGAGGTCGACCAGCAAAGGACGGCCGTTGCCTCTTTTCCTTCTGACTGATTTTCTTCTGTCGTTTCTCAATAGCTTTCCGTACTGCAAGCCGACCACCGCTTTCCGCCAATGCATCGTGACGAGCTTTAAGTAGTAACTCCTTCTTCGCAGCTGGGTGGAGTTGCACAGAATTGAGCATTTATCGCAGAAATATATAGATCGGCTTACACTTCTTCATGTGCCACTCGCCCTTCCCAGATTTTCTCCGTTCCTTCTCTTCCTTGTGTGCTTTCTCGAGGGCCTGTCGTTCCACGGCCTCACGTCTATCTCGATTGATCGCGCTTTCAGCCCTTTTAAATGCCCGCTCAAGCCTATCCAATTCCTCTTCACGCGCTTCTCGTTGATCTCTGGGTGAAGATCGAAGCAATTTACGTGCCCGTTTGACATTTTCTTTTAGTGCGTCGTACTCATTTTTGTGTATGTCTTCCAGGAACGAATAATTTTTTCGAAATGATTCTTGCACGTCATCGTTGGTTACAGACGAGAACCTTGGGTCGCGGTAGTTCTGAACGACGAGTAATCAATCAAACACATAAGTAAAGAGGATTATACAGTACGAACCACTTTCTTTACTTCGACTACTTGTCTTCTTCGAGTGACTGCTCGCTTGGATGTCATCTCGACGGGACTGTAATAAAGAGAACGTTCAATTGTGTGGTAAATAGAACAAGGTAATGAGCAACTTACGCATGTTTATGAGCTCGCTTCTCAGGTTTCGCTGGTTTCTGCTTCAAAACAGTACGACTTTGCTCTTCTTTAATATTCCCCTCTGATACATAAGAGTCGTCGTCGCTTTCTGCTCCGTCCGAGTTATCTAAGTCGCTCTCAACACGAGCTTGGTCGAGTACTCGTCGCGCCTTCAAGAGACTACCATATGGTAGCGAAGAAATGTCATTGTCTGGAACCTTGATATTGAATAAAGCGGACATGATTAGACACAGAAAGCATATTAAGTTATAAAGAGGAGCACCTGCGTGGGCTTCGAGGGACCCTCTCCCTTGTCATATTCAAGTTCGAGGTTAGAAACATTTCCATCGTCTTCATCTCCACCCCATTGAGCCACTCGCGGTCCGTCAATATCGATGTCCGTCCCGCTTTCTTCCTCGCTGGGACCTGAGCCTTCTTCGCTACCATATTCGTTCATTTCGCTTTCAGAGCTGGAATCTGGCATATCACTGGTTTGCTCGTATTTAGAGACATGCTGGTGTTTCTGCGCTCGGTCAGGCTTCGCTGATTCGCGAATGGAAGACTTAGTTGAGGCCCCAGCTTTCCTTTTCATGCTGAAATTTGTACGATGAGGATCTAAGGTGCCGAGTACAGTGTGGAGTATACACAACGCTGAGCCTGAAGAAATTCAAAGAAAGCTGAAACTCTGTTTTCAGAGGATCTGCATGGGATCGTCTCCATCCCATTTGGGCGGCCAAACCACATCAAGTCATGTCTTTCTTTCTTTTCAACACTGCGAAAGCACTACCTCGGCTGTCTTGCTCGGGGCAATGAGACTTAGAAAATGTGCCGTCAAGTTTCATAATTCATCGTGTATATTATGTTTACATATCATACATTATCCTTTGAAATCAAGACATATCTCCCGTTCTCAAGCTTCACATCCAAAGCAAGCCCTCGAGTCATCATACCAGATCTCCAAAGAGGCGTCACACCTAACCACACACCAAGCTTCGCAAGCCATCCCGACCTTCTCCGCCGACTCCGTATGGGATCCTCTAAGAGACCTTCCCATCGATAATTAGGTCTGGCGCGGATATATGAATCATCATAGTCGGTCCCGCCGCCGGTACCGAGTGACGACGACCGAGCATGGGAAGGTGTGTCTATGGCAGAGATATTGATCTCCGAAGGGCCTTCACCGAGATGAAGTAACACCGCCTGATTATTCAAGTTACTAAAGACAGTCAGCGTGAAAGGAAAAACAGGTACGCACGCGACTGGAGTTAGGAAACACAATCTGGCTTAGCCAAAAATATATCTTGTTAAGAAGCCCAGGGTGAAAGAATGCGTTGAATGTTGATTTTCCGTATAGTCCTCTTTGGCGAAGGAAAGCTTCTAATGCAGGACGAGGTAATGGCGTGTAGGCGATCGAAGTCGGATAAAATGGGTTGAAATCTTGTTCGTGCAAACTCATGTTTCCGATAGTATCATGATTCCGTCTCCAAACGTCATCCTAGCACAAATACATGGGGTTTGACCAAGGAGAAAATTTTCATCCCAGCGGGTACTCACCCAAAATACGTACCACCATGCTGCAGCCGGCGAAGAAACTGCCCGTTCAAACCGTTCGTGGCCTGCCAAAAAAGCATCCGTTGCTCCAAGTATCAGTTGACGAACCCTCAAGTCCGCTTCTTGTTCTGCGACGTGCCGCACAAACTCTTCGTGCCCTTGCGGCGTGTCATGCACAGTCGTCAGAAATTCATAGCTTAGGACCTGTGCCTTGTATCGGCATTCTCTTCGGTAGTGTTTGCGGAAGTCTCCCATTGTCCATTCGATAATCGGTAAACGCTCCACAACGAGCGCTTGGTTCAAAGTAAGGAAGCGAGCTAGTGATGGCGTAAGGTCGCAATCGTTGCTGTAGCCCAGTGCGTCTCCGGACATCTGGATGTCCTTACTATATGCTAGTTCGATGTCAAACCCGCTGCCCAAATCGATACCTTTCCACATCAATCGGCCTTTACGTTGTATACGGAAGACGCCTCTGTGCAGATCCATAATACCTCGTGCTCGATACCTACGACCGAAGCAGCAAAGTTGATTGTGATTCCCAACAGGCTGTGTGATTCATCAGCTCGCAAGTTATGGAATTCATAAATGGTAATGACCGCCTTACCTCGCGATATTGGTATGGCCACCGAACTATCTGACCATCTAGCGCTCGAAGTGCAAGCCGCAGTTGGCGTTTCCTCTGCGCATCTTTGCTTTGGTTCAAGCTTAAATATACATCGAACTGCTCCTTTAGGTTCAAAACGGCAGTTCCGCCATCATCATAGCGAAATACCTATTGCGCTTATTGATTGAGGACACGAGACTCAATAAAGACTAGACGTACTAGAGTAGGAGGGAATGGAATCCACCAGGACGTTCCAAACCGTGCTTGCGGCTGCTCAGTTTTGTCGGGTGCTAACCAAAGCATGTCAGGACCAGTGAATTCGCGTTGAATCCATTCTTGTAAGGAGTGTAGTAGAGCATGATCTTTAAGGTCTTTGCATCCTCTCAAGTAGCCCTTCAAGCCAACTTCGCGCAGAATCTAGACGACTTGTAAGACAGTTCGTGTATCAAGGTTAGAGCAAGTTGTACCTTCAAATTTTCCACGTGTCGTTCAGCTGGAGACCCTTCAAATCCTAATAGATAGGGAGGATATTCTATTTCCCTTGCACTTGCATATCGCATAGCCTGGTCCTTGGGAATCTGGCATTCGGGTGACGTCAGAAAGAGGGTCGTTATCGTTTCTTGCCATGTCCTCCGCTTGACGTGCGGTGATGAAGGGCTCAAGTCGAGTCTAATCCCAGCCATCAGCATGTGGTCTGCATATAAACAAGCAACTTCACCTCGGGGAGAAAACATCGATACCTAATCCACAAAAAATGAATCATTAAAAATAAAAACGAGCGAACCATACAACAAATTGCATACTAAAATCCATCCGCCCGGTAATACCTAGCTCTAAAGTAAGTAAGTGATGAACAGAGATCGATAAAATCCTCACGTTTGACGATACGCTGCATCCAGTTGAAGTCAATAATAGTGAAATCTGCAAAACAACAGTCAGCCCACACCTGCAGATGTGTAGTTGGGGATATCGAAAGTACTCACAAACAGCGAATCCATAAGTAAGAATATAAATTCTAACGAATACCGAGGATCAGCTGAGACAACAATCAAGGCTGTGTGATTGCTCACATATAAAGCACTGGGCCATTCAAAATATCGGCCTCTGACTCATCGATGGCAATAGCGAGCCCGACGAGTGAAGTAAGAAGATAGCTTAATCTGGACGTCCATTCGCTAGCGTTGTTGACTGGATCGATGAATGGAGCTCGGAAACATTGGATCAAGAAAAAGATAAGCATCACTGCAGATAGAACAGCTTGACGAGTTATGGAAACGTAAATCCGAGATAAAGTACGAAATAAACAATTATCCGGAGAGATGACGGAGATGATGATAAGAGCACTGAGTTTCGCAAGCAGATAAATCGACTTGTAGGTTCCCCAACCCCGACGAAAGTCTAGAGTAACTCAGCGAGTCAATAATTATTAACTGAAATGGATCAAAATTTACCCGAGTAAAGAAAGGTCATTGGATGCTGGTCCCGTTGAATAAGCCGTTGGTAGGCCCGATCGAGTTCACTGGAGCTCCTGGGTGTCCCCCTCTCAGTAAATCGGTCTACTTTGGGTACAGCTTGCATTATGACCCTGCGAAGCTGCAGCGGGTACCATATAGTCATCTGCGGAGGAATTATGATCAAGCATGTGGCAGTAGGGAGCTCACGTACAGTCAGAAATGCCACACCCGAAACGATGACAATGATCGGAGCAAGGTTGACTTCATTGCGTTTCATAGTTGTGGTATAACAGAAGTCGAGAGGGTCGCGGAACTCGTCGGATGGTCCAAGAGGCGGAAGAGATGGAGGATTTGTCGTTGCATTTATATAGGGGTTAGCGACAACCCAGAAGTCGTCGGACCAGACGAGCGCATGAGTCACGATTGTACTCAGAGGCAAATACAGGACAGTCAACATGAAGCAAACTAGTATCAAACCCCATCCACTGCCTTTCGGCTGTACAGTCGGAAAACCTTCTTGCGCATCTAGGTCCTCAAGTCTATTCGTCATCGACCAAAAGAAATATAGCAGGACCATCGTTGCTGAGATGATAATTCCGAGGACGATCGAAGATTGTACAACTGTTGCACCAAAATTTAGAGCCAGAATGTTTGGACTAGAAGGCAGGAGTTATCAAGAAACTGAAGAATACAGTAGGCAAATTTACGAACATTACACCTAGGAACAGTTTCTTCCAGTCATCCTTTATTTGATCCATGCTAGAGAGAGGAACTTGGTAGTAATGTCAGAAGCACGGTAGATAGGTAAGGTCTAGCACTCACTTATGGAGCTACAAATTAACGCGAATATTTGTGCCACGTCGATAAGACTGTGTAGGCTGTAGAAAGATGCTACCACGCTTGAGCCCTTAGGATAGTGTTAGCAAGTCAACGAAATATGTTATGCGAGTAAGTTCCTAAGGTAGAACTATACTCACCGTTATTGAAATAGCCGTATTACTTATTCCGCCTAGAATGGACGTCCGGTTTTCCCATGTAGGAGGAATAGAGCTATTCGTTTCAAGATCCACCAAGCTCCTGCTAATAGCGGTTAACCGGTCCATAGGAGGAAACATTCCTGCACCTATGATTTTCTTCCCAACTTTTACTCCAGTCGAGAAATGAGAGAATAACGGAGGTGGCAGGTTAGAAAGGTATGAATCTAGGTCGGGGAGAAAAAGAGGTGCAGCATCCCGCGCGAAGACGGTTGTAGCAGGGACAGGGGTATGTGGTATGGTGTCCACAGCTTGGCTCTGCTTTGTATCTACACGCGCATAGTTCAAGTACGTTACTTCCTGGTACACTAAAATAAACATGAGCTTGGAGGCGCACATGCGGTCCTCTGGAGATCTTCCATCTCCAATACTTCGACTCTGTCATCATGACCAGAGTCTGACAGCTTTCCCAAGAGCCGAGCTGTTTCGTGCATTTCCTCACGGATTATCGAGCTACGAAGAGTGTTACTCTCAGCTATTGCAGAGCTGACCGCGTCTGTCTGTTGTTTTGGACATGGTTCAGCGCGAGAACGCAGTTGTGGATGTATGCCAATTAAGCGCCCCGCCGCCCCGTTCGCATCGTTTGTAGTCGACTCCTCGGGAACAGTAAAATGGGCGGCAAGATCCCTTACCGATGGCATACTGCGAGGTGAACGGCCGGGGATGGACTGGAGTGAGAATGGCTACTAGTAGGTGTGAACAACTCAAGAAGCAGTAGAGGTAGAACACGCGTGAGGTTGCTTCGCGTCGATCAATTTACTCGACTATGACGCACCAAAGAGCTTATTATACGATAATATAAATTAGAGTACAGTATTAATGTTCTACACGTCTACGTTTATTTTCCAAGACGCATCTCAGCAAAAGTATAAGAGTCCAGGGCTCTTCTAAAGTCCTCTTCAGTGAGAGCTACAAAATTCCGTTTATTACCTCGGCTCTGCCACGCTCGAGACAGTGACGGACGTTCATCATGGCTGTAACTCAATGGTTAGAGATATTTCGTCCTGTACCCAATAGGCAACACTCACTAGATCTCTGTAAGCCTTATTACCCATGGCGGAAACCCGTATAGCTCCAGGGGAGGGCAAGAGAAGGAATATTGGTCTATGGAATGAACGATCATGAGATCTGGCGGAGGGAGTCGAAGGGATTCTACATAAACCATCAGGTTTATATCCAGTAGATATGATGACCTGGACAAACCTTCAACAATTTTATCGACACTCTGAACACTGATCCCGAAGTCCTCAGATTTTCTTACAGAAGTTTTGACCGCAGTTTTCCGCGAAGCAGTGAACGTCCGGGCAACACCCGCTAAAAAGGGTTTTGATGCTTCATATGACACCAGAGACAGTGTCATAGATGCTGGCTTTCTGCTTGATTGGCGACTCCGCAAGCCTTTTGCACCTATGAGCAAGGAACAACTTAAACTCCAAGCACGTTGAAACAAAAGAAACCACGAACCTCGTTTGCTTTTAAATGGAGAAATAAGCGTGCGGGATGCATCAGAATCTAAATTAATTGTAATGGTGGAGGGCGGGGAAAACAATTGTTCTGGAGTGATAGGTCTAGAGTCCGTGAAGTCCGTAAGTGGCGGAGTAGGTGGGTATTCCACGTCAGTGTCGTCAGAAGAGCAATCAGAGTCTATATGTTCGTGGCCAGCGTCATAGTATAAAGCAGCCTTAATTTGCGTTGCATACTTGGCGACAAGACCTTCCGGCAGAGTAAGAAAGAGGAGCCACCAAAATCCTTTGACTGCACAAACTCACCGTGACGATCGTAAACACTAAAACTTTTAATACCCACAATTTTACACCAGCGGACAGCAGAAACGACACTATCGATAATTGCACCTTTCTCTTCTTCCGAAGGCTCTTCCTGAGTGGACGCTAGGACGAGAGCCAGGTTTGTTGGGACTTTTGAACGATGCGTTTGCAGCTGCTGCGGATTTGCGGCGAAGGGATAGTACAGAAGTGCCATCAAGCACGTCCATACAATATGTAAAGCATGCAGAACGGCAAGCCCGCTCGGGGCAAGCCAGTTCATTGCTTAGGTAGAAGTGCAGTTGGTGCTTGGTTGCTGCTGAAGAGAAAAAGTAAAGTTGACCACGACCACGTATGCTGGAGACGCGCCTTTTGGACGCGACACGTCGATCCGGATGCTGTTACTTTATTCGATTATTTACTCCACTCCAAACATCGCAACCGTAATTATTAATACAATATATCATTATGTGGCTATTGTCTCCACAGAGTCCACACAGTGTGACGAATGTTCATTCGTCATAAAAAAAGCTTCTCTTGTATTAAATCCGTATCTACGTAAGACCAGGCTCCTCATCTATGGTCTTCTTGACCTTGAGCAGAATCGCCGTCTTCCACGCATCCAGCTTCATGACCTCATCATAATCCTTACAGGCCGTTGAAAAAGCTTGCACATCGGCAGATTCGACGGCCTCTATTAGCTTTCTTAAGAACTTCCCTTCCAATCTTGTCGAGAAGCCCGGGTCCAATGATTCGTATCTGTCCAAGTTGCGCTTTGCGGTCACCGAATCCTACGTATTAACAGTCAGGAGGCACGTTTCATATCAACTGAGATGACTGCTACGAACCATGTTAGCGAGTGCGCACAGGCCTGAGCGCAGCCAATATTCCTTGACGCTATACTTTGTCAAGTTGGATTGCAGTGATTGATCTGCTACCTGCTCGTAGCGAGCGATGGCTTGAGCGAATTCGTCGATCTGTGCATGCAAATCGGCAGCATCTTTGAAGCAGCCGTTGGCCATTCTAAAGCAGCGAGGTGAAAAAAAGTGATGAGTTAATCTGATAAGCCACCTACGCATTAGCATCTTCTTGCTGGTACCATTCTCCTGCGCGCTCATAGCTTTGGCATGCGCGTGCAAGATCACCCCGTTGGAGGTGAATTTGAGCAATGTCCTTCTCCCGGTCGGCAGCCTGTCGGAAACGGCCTGACTTCGTTAAGTATGTGACTGTCTGTCCGAGAGCATCGATTGCAACTGCGTAATAAGAAAGCCATGATTAAGCTCCACTACAATCGAATCAGGTGAGAGACGACATACGATCTGGTCGGTCACCCTGCTTATAAGCCTTAGCTGCATTCCACCAGGCATTTGCTGCGTCATTATTCTCCCCGGACTTTTCCCTGCACTCAGCTTCCTTAGCGAAAGCATCACCAGCATCGACGAAGGATCTCTCAAGCTTAAATGCGTTGGCCGCCTGCTGGAAGTAATCGCCAGCCTCCTCGTACTTGGTGCTCGCTGAGCTAAACCAGCCAGCAGAAGAGTTGAATTTCTTCTCCGCCTTCTGAAGCAGATTCTGTGCCTCTGACTTTTGCGGTGCCATGATAGATGTGGAAGTCGTTAGATGGGATGGTAATCATAATCATTGTGAGCAGCTGCCCAGACAGTGCTCGACTGCGCACGTGCTTTCGTGTGGCTGTGTCGTTTCACGGCTGTATTTATTCATCACGGCGATTCACGGTGGCATAAACAACTTCAGTACCACCGGATAACGACCTGTCCTTGCTCCCAACCATGTCGACCATAGAGACTTTGAATGAGGGTATCAGGGCCTACGCAGATCTACACCCTAAGCCATCTAATATTCAGTTCCAGTATGGAACGGCTGGTTTCAGGACGTTGTAAGTCGACAATCCTGTGATGCCACTCGTTAGTTAAATTATCGTCGCCTTTTAGGGGTGTCCTTCTCGAATCTGTACTTTTCAGAGTTGGCATCCTCGCTGCTCTAAGAAGCAAAAAGTTGGATGGCAAGACGATCGGTGTCATGATCACCGCTTCACATAATCCCGAGCAGGTTCGCGATCTCTGAACATGTCAACCACACAGAATGCTTAACTATTTGTAGGATAACGGTGTCAAATTGGTCGATCCCAGGGGTGAGATGCTCGAAGCTGCTTGGGAAAACCACGCGACAACCTTCGCGAACGCTCCCACCACAGACGCCTTCATAGAGGCTGTTGAGAGTTTGATCAAAGTAGCTAAAATCGACGTGACCAAGCCAGCGCATGTCGTATATGCGCGTGATACACGCCCGACTGGTCCCGCACTTGTCGCTGCATTTGAAGATGGACTCAAAGCTTCTAAAGCAGATGGGAGAGACGAAGGTGTGAGGACTACACCCGTGTTACACTACCTTGTGAGGTGCATCAATTGTAAGGGAACAGCTGAGGCATATGGTGAGGACTCCGAAGATGGATACATGAGGAAACTCAGCGAATCCTTCAAAAAGCTCGTTGTCAGTAATCGATGGCTATGGCAAACGTTACGCCCGTTGTAGCTAATTAAACCTTTTTTCCAGACAGGAAAGGGGACAAAAGGAACGTTGATTGTGGATTGCGCTAATGGAGTCGGAGCACCAACCGCTGAACGGCTTGCTCAATACCTGGGAGACTCTTTGACCCTCGAGCTAGTGAACACTGCAGTCAATACTGAAGGCGCTCTGAACAACGCTTGCGGAGCAGATTATGTAAAGACCTCACAAAAACTACCGCCATCTTTGAATGGTGTCCTGCGAGCTGGACAGCGTGCCTGCAGTCTCGACGGCGATGCCGACCGTCTCATCTATTACTACTTAGACGAGCGCAATCAGTTCCACATGTTAGATGGTGACAAAATTGCCGCGCTAGTCGCTGCTTTTATTGTAGAGCTCGTCAAATTGGCTGGGCTGGATGATAAGATTGAAGTTGGCGTTGTGCAGACAGCGTACGCCAACGGTGCTTCAACAAAGTATCTTGCAGAGGTCAGTTCAGCCATAATCCAACAATATCCTTTCTCACGTTTATTAATCCTTAGAGACTTCCTGTAACGTGCGTACCAACTGGAGTGAAGCACCTGCACCATGCCGCCGAACATTTTTCCGTTGGGGTCTACTTTGAGGCGAACGGTCATGGAACAGTCCTTTTTTCTCCCACTGCTTGCGCAGCTCTGGTGGAACGAAAGCCAAGCACGCCGGCACAACAGACAGCATTGAACCATTTGAGGAACTTGGTCGACTTGATTAACCAAACCGTCGGAGATGCCCTTTCGGACATGCTGCTTGTTGAGACCGTGCTTGCACATAAATCATTCTCGGGTATTGAATGGGACGCACTTTACACAGATCTGCCGAATCGTCTCGTAAAGGTTGTCGTAAAAGATCGGAACATCTTCAAGACGGAAGATGCGGAGCGCCGTCTTGTTGCTCCCGCTGGCTTGCAGCAGAAGCTCGATGAACTGGTGAGGAAGTATGATGGGGGCCGTGCGTTCGTGAGACCAAGCGGGACTGAAGATGTTGTCCGTGTCTATGCGGAAGCAATCTTGCGGCCCCAAGCTGACGGTGAGTGACCACATTCTCTTCTCGGTGATCTAATGCTTAGAGTCATCGCATTCAGAACTGGCTTTCAAAGTTGCTGGTTTGGTGTACGACTTCACAGGAGGCGATCCTGTAGCCAGACCCAGAGAATTCTTGTGAAATATACTTTCTTAGAGGGTCTCGTGTGCTGCTGTACTATAGCTGCTGTTAGATGTGTAATACCATGGAATTGTATGGGCGGAACGCTCTGAATTGATAATATTAATAACGGACAAACTCAATTGTGATAATTTTGGTTAAATAGTGCGTTGATCATTGCGTAACCGGAACTTAAGATCGCCTTGAGTCATCGCGTGCTCCGCACGAGCTATCACGATCATGTTACATGTAGCGTGCAATTGTCCAGTTTCCGTGCTGCAGACTTTGTTGCTTGCTGACACGTAGATAACTTGCTGCGCTCGCCGAGAGCCCTGAATGATGTGCCGCTTCGTTATTTACAAGGGTACCGAGCCAGTGCAACTTTCTCATGTACGGAGACTTCCCTTGTGTGCGGCGCACATTTACTGAATTGATCTCATTTAGCTCCTCACGAAACCTTGTCACTCGATTATCAACCAGGCATTCAACTCACGCCTCAGAGTCGACCGTCGGAACCCTATCAACGGCGACGGCTTCGGCGTCGGTGAGCTTTTTCTTCTTTCCCCTTCTAGCGTCAAACGGCTTTTGCTGAGGGACAGTAGGCTGGTATGACTCGGTATACGACGAAGAGCTGGGAAATCAGCCGTGCATCTTCACTTCTGTGACCCCTGTTAGTTTCCACCAGCGATAAGCTTGTTCGCCTGCTGACGCTGTCACCAGGCCTGGAATAACGTCAACCTTCAGCGTCTTGCCGAAAAGATCAAGTCTCCTCTTGTATTGTATGTGCCCTTTGCGCCCTTAGCCGCTTCGACTCATGTTCTTTCCTGAGAAGTGCACATGTTCGCGCTACTACTGCCGGCTCACTTTCACTGGACAACTGTCACCCTTTCGTACATGGCAAGCTAATGGTAAGCACCTTAACGCCGCAAGGGTTTCTACGAATTGACAAATTTCAAGTTTATGCACAACGGCGGCATTACCGAATTCTCAAGGATCAAACGGCGCCTACAGTCGACACTTTCCGATGAGATTTTCAACGTCCCAAACGGCAATACTGGTTCGTAGCCTTCTAACCGTCTAAAGCCGACTCTAACAATTTCTGTGTGTAGATTCCGAGTGGGCATTTGCATTGTTCCTGTCAAAGGTATAGTTAGAACGTAAACTTGGCTCTTTTTTCAGTTTCGAAGTTTCTTTTTAGCTTCCGGACGCCAATGCAAAGTCCTTTACCCCTTCCGTGCTAAGGCAGGCGATGCTTGAGACGATTGCTACTTTGAACGGCTTTGCACGGGAATATAGCATCACTGAGGCAAGCAACATTCGGTTAAGGTCACACGGTCCTTCGATTGACTTTCTTCACATCAGCCAAGCCTCATGAATTTTTGTGTAACAGATGGGGAAACAGTCGTAGCAACGCGATATATATCATCCAAAGTAGACGAAGCGGCGTCACTGGTAGGTAACTATGACGCAGAGTCATCATTTGTCTATACCAATCGTTTCCTAGTGGTTTTCCTCGGGGACAACCTTTTCCGAGTATGCAAAGGGTGGACACTACAAGATGTCGAAGGCTGATAAGCGGGAAAATATAATCATGGTGAGCCATCTTCTCGCTATATAACTAAGAAACGAGAATCTCATTCAGTCGGAAGATTGCGAGCGAGCCTCTCACATTTGAAAAAGGTGAGACCCCGTATTCTAAAACTATGTTGGAGTGAGACTAAACCTTCGCCTCCCTTAGCCGATTGGATGGAAATTCGTACGAACAACATGATTGTGGTCACGCCGAAGATGAATCTGCTGCAAATACCCATTGTTGATGAGTTCTACGTTCCCCCTTCGGACCCTGCATCCCTTAACCGGACAACGAGTTTTGCCGAGGGTAAAGGTTTGCTTAACCCACGGCGACCCCTCTGACAGGTTTGCTGGTCGATGAATAGATGGATGGATTAACGATAACCTGACGTGCGTCATTTATCTTTATATGCTTGGATCATGTTCCATTTGCTTCGGTATCGTCTGTGAACCAAGCTAGAGCCACCAATCAATTTGTCTTTGCTTCGACTTATTCTTTGCGGTGAATTCGATCTCCAAGCAGTGACGCAAACTTATGACAGTTATGGCCCCATCCGCTCAACAAACAAGCGAGAGCCTTCCTTGAGCGTCCCGGCATCGTGCATTCCAGGCTCTTCCGCGTGGACGGGCGGACGGCCCGCACGGTTGCAAATCATGCGGCATCTTCTTTACCCAATCGCGTGCATCAAATGGAGAGGTTGGCGAATGTTCGATAACCCCTCGTCCTACATGCGTCATATGGGCATGCTCCTCCAACGCAACAATAAAATCTGAGATCCAAGACGAAGAGACGTCCATCAACACCGATTATCAAGTCAAGTTCCAGCGTTCATCATGGCCAGTTTGCTGCAATCGCTGGGTCGCCAGATTATTGCGTTCGTCTCTAAGATGACTGGAGCAGGCGTCATAGCATTCTCTAGTCTTCCCCCCATTCGTCGCATCGTGACAGGACACGATGAGAAAGGGAACGGCACTGTTAAGAATGATTCTGCGATTCCCTCACGAGTAAGAGCATTCCGAGTGAGCATGAACATTCTGTGATTATTCATTTGGACTCCAGCCAGCTATCGGACCAGGGAGCGAAGGGCTGGCAGGAGGAAGTCTGTGGACGACTGTGTCCGTACCTTCACAGGATACAAACAACGATAGGCTTGTCTTATGCTTCTTATTATTCATACGTGCCTGGATGTGCTCATCGGGTGCACAGCGTCGATGGAGCTTTGCGTCCCATTGGAGGACAAGGTTTCGTTATGCGAAACGGAACTAATTTGAGATTCACGGATCTCGCTCCCGGGGCGTCTTCTCCCATGGTGAGTGATAGACACGTCTTCTAGAAGTTAATACCAGAGCCACCGACGCCTTCTCTTTCATCTGAACCAGCATAGGACGAGCTCAGTTGACTACAACATTTTGAGTAAGTGAATACTGCAATACAAGAGCTGAGATACTCACGGAATTCGAACACCTGTACATGTAAAGTCTTTGGGAAGCTTATTCTGGTTTTAGACGACGGTACCGAGGCATTGATTGAAAACCCCGGCGATACGGTGGTGCAGAGAGGCAATATGCATGCTTGGAGAAACCCTGGTCCAGGAGTCGCTAGATGGGCGAGCGTACTTGTTGATGCGGAACCGGCGGTGGTCAACGGAGCGACACTGGATGATGCCTGGTTGGCATAGCTATATTTAAGAAGCTCTTAAGTTGCCCTTCATGATACCCTCATTCATTAAAACAAGCATTTATGCAATATGTAACAGTGTCAAAACAATACATGAATTTGCTCTCGTTCTGCTTTACTGAAGATTAACAAACAGGCCACCGTCGACTAGAACCGATGCGCCGGTGACATATCGAGCAAGATCGCTCGCGAGAAATACGATGGGACCAGCTACATCCTCGGGTACTGAAGGGCTTGATTTAGTGGAAGCTCGTACAGATCACAGAGCGCCAACTCACCGCCTAAACGTCCGAGTACCGTCCTTTTGATCATATTCTCGCGCTTGACTGGGTCAGATAAGTCAACCGCGTTAATATCGGTCGCAATCGTTCCAGGGAGTACAGCATTGCACCGAATGTTATATTTACCAAGCGCAACAGCGCAGCTCTGCATAAGCGACAGTAAAGCAGCCTTTGTTGGAGTGTAATGGCTGAGATACATTAGCGAATCGAGCTAATAGAACGACAAAGAACAACAAAGTACCATTGCTGCTCTCCACCGACTAAAGCCGAAATTGACGAGACGCAAATAATGGCACCTCCCTGGGGTTCCTGTTGCTTCATCTGCTTTGCAACACCTGCACAGAAAGGTGGGTACATATGTTTGAAAATTTGCGCGACGAATGTAATATACCTTGCACGATATAGAAAGAGCCATCCAGATTCACTTGTCTCGTCCGATCCCATGTTTCAATTGGCATGGTCAGGAAGTCAGAGAATGGACATATTCCAACGTTGCTAACGAGAACATCTACGCCAGAGATATTAGTGTACGTTGCTCATATGAAGGGGTCGTCGTACAAACCTATTCTGCCGAATTTTTGAATGCCCTCCTGAACAATCTGCACGGGTGTCTATGTGAATGTGGACCGAATCAGATTGATGCATAACGGACCTTCAGAGAGGTTTCGCGATTTGCTATATCCCCGGGTACAGCTACGGACCTACAGGCATCAGATATTGATTTTATCTCTTCTTCGAGTGTAAGGACTTCTTTTCTTGTTGCTTCATCGCCATAATAGTGCAAAACGAAGCCAGTCGCGCCGTGCTTCGCAAATTCGAGAGCAGTTGCGCGACCTATACCTCTAGACGCACCCGTAATGCACACTACTTTCCCGAGGACCAGAGACATTGGTGGTATAAATCAAGGCCAGGAAGGAGTTTCTCGCCAACCAGTTCATTTTCAATTCCTACTTATCGAACTGCGGGATGGAAGTGCAAAGTATTGTCACGAGCATGCTAAGTGTTAAAGAGATTGACCCTGGCGGAGTAGCCGGCCCGTACATTCCGGAGCCTATTCTTGCTGCTGGAGTTTCTGCAACTCTTTCATTGTGGTATTCCCGTTGGTTCTGCAAGACGCCAGAAAGTTTAGCTCTGTATCAAAGAAAATTTAATCAGCCCGGCTATATTCAACATGTCTAGAACCAGATATCTAGACCGCTCGAAGTGAAAGTAAGGCGTACAAATGCCATGATCACCTGGTTGTATTTGTGCTGAGAAGACGGAACGGCGGATATATCGTTATCACGGTTCAGGCCGGATCGGTGCTTAATGCCGCAGTTGGTCGGCCACTATATAATCTCAAGGTTTGAGAGGACATATGAATTACCGTTCACGAGATAACCATGCCAGCTGCAAAGATGTTTGTACCTCTCCGAAACAATGCACGACCATTTTTAAATGCTCACCCGCCTGTTGCAGATACCATGACTCGGATGCCGATCTGGCATACATAAAGGACAAGACTATTGTCTTCCTGGGGTGAGTTAAAAGACGACCGGAAGAATGACAAATATAACTGCTGTTCGACTATTAGTTTCGGTAATCAAGGTGCTGCACAAGCTCAGAACCTGCGCGACTCCGGCATCCCGAACGACAAGATTCTCATAGCAAACCGCGAGGATAGCTATGCTGAGGATGCCAAGGCAAAGCGCTTCAATGTTACTCCTGACTTCGCGAAAGCGGCGGAAGTTGCAGATGGTATGTTATCCGAGAAAATACTAATGCTAGCTACTGGACTTTGAATTTCTCCAGTGCTGTTCCTCTTAGTACCAGATCAGGTTCAGCCTCGTATTTTCAATAACCAACTTGTACCGAGTTTGAAGAAGGGTTGTACAATCGTCGTTGCCAGCGGTTATAATGTATTTTTCAAGTTCTTGAACATCCCATCGACCAGCAACGTCGTTATGGTAGCACCCAGGTGAGTTAGGCCTTGTCATGCAGTGTCAGGGCTAACTCTCTGTTCATGTATAGGATGATTGGTGAGCAACGCAGTGTGAAGATGACACTGAAAGAAAACCTCACGGTACTAAATCAGGCTCATCTGTCCGGTCCCTCTATGAAAAGGGTAAAGGTTTCCCTTGCTTCGTTTCAGTTGAGCAGGACGGCGCTGGCAAGGCTCAAGAAATCGCTCTCGCAATCTCTCGCGGGATCGGAGCGACAAAGGCTGGAGCGATCGAGTCTTCCGTAAGAGAGGAAACAGCTATGTGAGTGTCTTAACAAAGCATCAAGCATTACAGACTGAAGTATTTGGAAGGGATCTATTAGCAGAACAAGCACTTTGGCCGAATATTATTTCGCTTTTCCAGTAAGTGCAAATGTCAGCCTGAGATCCATGCCTAACTGAGAACCGTACCATTCTAGGCAAGCCTTCAGCGTTCTGAAGGATGCCGGATGTTCTGATGAAGCTTTATGCTACGAAATGTTAGTGCCGACGTCTCTCTAGAATATCGTCTAACTTGCCCTACAGGTGGATGTCGAAGGAGCCTGCGGAAATTTTTGAGCGAGCCGCTGAAGACGGATTTATCCAACAGGTAGACTCGTCTCATTTCCTCCTGAAAAAATCGGGCTGTAGATTGACAATCCTTTAGTTAAAGCACCATTCAACGGTCTCGCAATATGGCCAATTAAGCGGTGCTCAAGCTCTTGATGGTACCAGTACGCGAGAACACTTTGAGAACATCTTGCATAACCAAGTGGGTTTCTATGCGGTAGCCATGAGTGTCCATGTGTTTACTAATTGCATCCATTCTAGATTTTGAGTGGAAAGTTCGCCAAGGAGTTCAGTAAGATAGAGGATGCATTGGATAAGGAAGGCAGCGAGAATCCTCTTAACGAGCTGTACCGTCGGGCCGAGGAGACTGAGCTCGGACAAGCAGAGAAGAGAGTGCGAGCTCGCCTTGGATGATGTATTGTTATACTTAGGTAGTTTGTCAAATTCAAACTCGCTCGAAAGCGTTATGTCGTCGTTATATTTGTGAGTGTCAGTCACGGAACCGACTCGAAGGGCTCGCCTTGTAAAGAAGTACTTTCGCACGATCCTAAAACGACGCCGCATTCCACTATGCGAGTCACCTTGTGTTCCTGCACCCAATAACGACCCTTAGCCAGAGAGTTCTCACCATTGACAACAGGCAATAGAAATGGCAATCGACGCCAGTCCAGCTCCCATGTCGTAAGTATAGACCTATTCATCGACTGGGTCCTTTTAACAAATAATTTTGATAGTTCTCGTGATCGTTCTGCCGAGACTCACAAGAGTCGCTCACACAGGTCTCGCTCGAGGACTCCTCATAGACATGGTTCAAGGCATGAAAGGGACGAAAGACGTCGTCGGAGCAGAAGCCATGGACGCTCGGAGAAAAGCCGTCGTGAAAGGGCCAGACATAGCCGGTCCCGAGACCGTTCTCACAGAAAGGATGGTGGAGGAGACCGTGACAGGGATCGAGCCCGGGAGCGCCGTCACGGCGACGAACGCCATCGGTATTCAGAAAGGAACGGTCATCGTGACCATGGAGAACGGGACAGAGATATAGACCGTGATGATATAGATCGCAGAGAACGTCGTCGCCGACGTGTGGAAGACCGAGACGACGAGAAGCCAGCAAAGCGTCTTCGTGAGGATGAAATTGATGGACCCATAACACCAATGAGTGCAGATTCGCAACATAGAGGGGATGGACGTCGCCCTCGTTCCAGAGACTCTGACCGTAGGTCTGTTCGTTCTGGCAGAGGCATTCGGGAACCTAGGGAAGACTATGATGACGCGGTGAGGGGCTCTCCTCGGCGTGATCGTGGTAGGCAGGATGTTCGTGATCGCGATGAACGCCCCGTGGTGCCGCGAGATGAATCGCCTTTGGGCGATGAGGAACGCATTGCTAATTCTCGCGGTCGTTCAGCGTCGATTCCTCCGAAGTTTGTCATCTACAAGAGTGTTTATTGCGAGTGTTATCTTACTTACGCTTTCATATCTAGGCGGGAATCTCCTTCGTACGATGAAGCACCCTCGGATCCTTACATGGATGAGCCGAAAGAAGATGACTCTGAAGCTCGGTCTGTTTTCGTTTCTCAACTCGCCGCTCGTATGACAGCTCGCGATTTGGGTTATTTCTTTGAAGATAAACTTGGGGACAACAGTGTTCTGGATGTGCGCATTGTCACTGATCGTATATCGCGGCGGTCAAAAGGGTACGTGTATCCTCAATGTACAGTTAGCACAGCCGTGGTTGACTTGCAGATTCCTTCAACAGAATCGCTTATGTGGAATTCGGTTCCATCGAACTCGTCGATAAAGCAATTAGTTTAACAGGAACAATAGTTATGGGTCTTCCTATTATGATTCAGCATACTGAAGCGGAAAGAAATAAGACACATGCAGGTGACGGGTACGCTACAACTCCGACTTTTGTATCCTTGATAGGATTTTCACGTTTCTTTCCCAGGAGTATCAATCTTCCTCCCGGGGCTAGTGGACGTGGAGCGACGTGAGACCATCCAAATACCTGTAAAAAAATACTTATCTGACTGAATTGTGTTGTGTAGGCTTTATGTTGGCTCGCTGCATTTTAATCTGACGGAATCAGATATAAAGCAGGTGTTTGAGCCTTTCGGTGAATTAGACTTCGTCGATCTCCACAAGGATTCCGCAACGGGTCGCAGCAAGGGTTATGCTTTTATTCAGTACGGCTGTCTGCCTCTGTTGAGGCGCATATACTTATTCATACACCGAACAGCTATAAGCGTGCGGAAGACGCGAAGATGGCCTTAGAGCAGATGGAAGGCTTTGAACTTGCCGGACGCACTGTACGTTGTTTGAAGCAACAACTGTTCGGTCTCTGATGCATTAATTATAGCTCCGAGTCAATACTGTACACGAAAAGGGACAGACAAGGATTTCGACACAAGACTCCCTAGACGAGAGCGGCGGTTAGCATTGACATTATTCTCTTCTTAATTAGCTTGCTTATTGATTATTATGTGAATCTTAGGTGGTAACTTGAACGCAGCCTCCCGACAAGCACTAATGCAAAAACTTGCTAGGATTGATTCTGCTCCCGTAACACAGCAACCCATGTACGTATTTTCGCCTTAAGCGATTCTTTACCTTACTGATGTGTATTTAAGTATGAAGCCAACTGTAGCGCAACCGATGACATCGAAGTCAGTCCTTATGAGGAATATGTTTGATCCGGAAGAGTCAGTAGTATTTTTCTCCACTTGACAACGTGACATTTTCTTATCGCATCGCTTGCAGGGAGACCGAGCCTGCCTGGGACAAAGACTTGGCCGAAGATGTCAAAACGGAATGTCAGGCTAAATATGGCCGAGTACAACATATCAAAGTCGAGAAAGATTCCGAAGTGAGCTTCTCTTCGCCTTTGTTCAACTTTCTCGGTCTCTGATATCCGTATGTTCAGGGCGAAATTTACGTTCAATTTGACACCGTTGACGCAGCTAAGGCAGCAATCAATGGTTTGAATGGCCGTTGGTTCGGCGGCAAACAGATCAGCGCTACTTTCATTTCAGATGCTATTATGCAGGCGCACCGGTGATGGCGCACGCTGTGTTTCGATGCTTGATGGTTCCACTCACCATACTAGGTTTTATGAGTTTTCTTTAGGGCTACCGAATATACAAGCTAGGTCTTACTTTGATGCCTGCGATTGTTATGTTCCTCCTTCCCTCCATTTAACAAATAAAAATTCGAATTCTTAGTGTGTTCTTGCAGATCTTGATACGTACGTCTTCACCTGATCGTGCAGGGAAGACCCTTTTCTAGGCATGTAACCCACTTGACGCTAGACCATTGATCCTGTTCTATCCTCAGGTCGTGCTCCGATAAATATAACCAATGTAAAGAGAAGTAACTCATTATTATTGTGGTCCGTGTTTTGTCGTTATGACCATCGCAGATAGTTGCAACAGGTTCAAATACAAGCGATCAAGCGGTTATATCGACCTTACTACTCAACTACCTAGCGTACATGTTCCCACTAGTTCGTACGTGTAAGTACTGTGCATAACTGATGCATGATACCAATAAAATTTAGGGCTGTGAGACGAGACGACAAGACTGGATTCTGATTAACACAGGGGACCAGACAGCCTCGTTCGCTACTTTACGAGCACGGCAAACATCTAACAGACTTCTATTAACATGATGGCAAGTACAGGTCCTTCTGAGCTAGCATAGTTTGTCCAATCTTTCCAAGTTCATGATTTACTTACATCTCATGCTTAGAAACGTTTCCCTTTCAAACATGAATACAGAACTAACCTCGCATCTCAATTTCGAGTGATTTAACTAGTTTCTAGGTCAAGGCAAATTTCCTAGGACTCGTCCTTCAACTTGCCTTTCTGTATTTTATATCCTAGTTGATGACTATAGACTAGGTCACCCTTTTATGACTCTTATAGTTGATGTAACAGCTTCATTAAATCCTGATGAAAATATATGTTCAAGATGCAACACTCGATATCTAACATGCCTGACACAAGTACGAATTAAACCTGGATAGGTACAGTATATTGTCGTGTCATGGAAATATGAAGAGGCAGTATAGTTCTATCACAACTTCGCCTTTGTTTCCCGAGGACGTTCGGGACCCGTTATTCCTGAGCGTATGACACCCTCTTGGGTGGTGATCGCGACCAGTGTCCCGTCAGAAGCGTACATCTGACGCAAGTACAGGAATCAAGTTTTCAGCCACGATGTAAGTAGATAATACTTACCTGGCCCTGGACAACTCCCCTTCCCGATCCCGTGCGCGGCGATTTAATCTGGAGAAAGGAAGATTAAAGAGGGACGAACACATGCTTCAGTGGATAGGTCTACTTACAACGTGAAGAATCCAGTCGGAGCAATCAAAATCATCGCTTTGAGTTGAAATAAAAATCAGTAATGGATACACACAAACAACGTTACCCTCATTACCTATAGTAAAATATGGAATGATCAAGCGAAGACTACGGAAAAGTTAATCACAAAATGAATCGAAATTCGATGCCCAAGTACTTACCGACATGCCCAGAGCTGAGGCGCCCGAAGCGCCCTCGCCAAACCTTCTAAGGCCTAATGTCTTAGCTCCGACGCCAATGCTTAAAAGGCGACGTGAATATCGGAAAGGAGTAGATACTTAAGCGATACCCACAAAGCTAGATCAGACATGTAACCAAGTATGCATTTTTGGTACGCAGGTTCGTATTTTGGAATTCCTCGTGCTCTCATGTAATGCATGAACATGGTCGTCCCGTCTCCTACTTCGCGTTCAATCTGAACAGTGCATTGTATTGAACTCTTTTTCCGCTCCTTTTTGCCATGTGTTTAGTTAGTAGTGCTAATGGCAGCAGTAAAAGATGATTAAAACGAACTTGGATGATTCCGTCAAGAATTTTCTTTGCTCGCTCGCTCGTTTCACTCAGTTGCCGCATTCGAATATAAAAGTCGTAATCAATTTCAACTTCGCTGGGTTTCGGTACATTCGACGGTATCTGCCACTGATGGAACGGATGTTCTGGCTCGGGTTTGTGGAAGGAACACATCATTATGAAAACAGCTCGTCCTTTTTGTACCGCTCGGACAAAACGCGTCGCATATGAACGACCATTACGAAGTCGATCGACGTAGTAGAGAACGGGTAGAGACGGAGATGCACTCAGAAGGAAGTAGCACTGCAGCATAATCATTAAAAAGCAGAATTTGTTCGTAAGAAATTTCTCACATGAAGGGACTTCGAAACGGCAATGTCAGTGACAATCGTACAACTAACATGACAGAACTCGAAAGGCGTACATGTAAGCCATATGCGGGATCGACACAGTTAGTAGCAGACACTATAGCTTGTGAGATAACCTGGCCGCCGAAAACACCTCTTGCACGCATTGGAAGCCATAGAGACTTTGAGCGGAAGAGGTTCGTGTCCAACTGTTCGACATCGAGAGAAGTCGAGATGAGTTCGTGCTCAACTTGGTCAGTCGTCGTCGAGTCTGCCATTAGCGGTCAGGTAGAGTGCAGATTATTTTCGGATGTGAAGGTAGGCGAGAGGGGTAAGGAAACAAGAGTGAAAATGTTCAGAGCATTCCGTTATGGTAATTGAGAGTGTCAGCGTTTGAGCGCCGGAACCGGATATCCTGTTCCTCTAAAGTCCCACGTGCGCAAGACGACATGTGATTCTCTTAATTCCGCTTTTGCACAAACGGATTCTACTACATGTACTCATTACTAAAACAACAGGCTGAGGCGCAAAGCTGAATTTTACGACTCTATGCTATCGCCATGAAATGCTCGCTTAAGTGCATTGGCTGCATCAGCAATTAGATCTCTCCCGGACTGAAGCACACTGTAAGTTGGAAGGTTAAAAATTCAAGGTTTAGTCATTGTCAAGTGTGGTCATATGGAAGCGTGCGCCACTTACCCTGTCAGAAAAGTTGGGCGACAAAGTTTTGGTTAGTGATTACAGTCGCACATAACCCCTGCGCTGGCACTCACCGTCCATAGCCATGATCGGGTGCGGCGAGCCCTTGTACACCTTAAGCTCTACTTTGTGGCCTGCCTTCTCGAGCTTCTCCGCATATGCAATCCCCTCGTCTCTAAGGATATCAAGCTCACATACCCCAACCCATGCATCAGGAACTTTAGAAAACGACTCTTCGGGAGCGAAAATGGGAGAATTGTCCCATTTCTTCCAATCATCTGGGTTCGGACTGTAATTGTTCCTAAACCAATGCATTTTCTCAGGTGTCAAGGCCGGAGTATCGCGGTTCTCCTGCCATGAGGCGTAGGGACCTGATACAGAGGCTGTGTTGTCCGTAACAGGAACTACGAGCACCTGGAAAGCCAGAGGTATCGGAGGTTTACTGAGGGAGGCTTTATGAGTAATGATGGCGGCAAGATTAGCACCACTGCATGTCAGATGTCAGAGACATCCTATGCATTGTTTTGTGAAAGCCTTACCTCGAAGAGCCTCCAACGGCGAATCGTGCAGTATTCACTTTGAGGTCCGACCAGCCATGTTCGAGGACCCATTGGAAAGCCTCCTTGGCGTCTTCAACTGCGGCGGGGTACGGTTCCTCTGGCCCAAGGCGATAGTCCACGGAAACAACTACGCAATTGGCCTCTAATGAATATACTTAAGACCGGTACGTTATCATGCATGAGCATGGAGACGGACTTAAGCACATATGGCTTGAGAAATGATTCTCCGTATCAATACTTCCAAGAGTCCACCCGCCTTTGATGCCATGATCAGTTTATTTGCAGTACTGTAGTACTGTCCAAAATGCTTACCGCCATGGAAGAAGAGAAAAACCGGCCATCCGTCCTCTGGCGCCTTAGATGGGTTCTCTGGCCAGCATACCCGAATGAAGAACTTTGACAAACGGATGTCTTTCGTGAGGCCAACTTTTAACGGCTCCGATGCTCCAACAACGGGAGGATTCTTGCGAATGGCCGGGTCCCAAGGGACTTGATGAGGACCAAGCTGATACTGCGAATTAGCATTCCAGTAAGCAGCAAACTCTGGATCGAGTTTCGGGATTATACTGGGGTGCAAGGGGTTGACCGCCGTCATAATAATTTCGTTTACTAGACAATCCGATGTACGATGAACAAGCAGGAATCTGATAGCAATATTGTCCTACACGATTGCTGTAAACATAACGGAACATGTAAAGGCGGTCCGACGGCCCGCTGCTCAAAGCAAGTGATCCGTGATGGCAGATAATACTTACTTGGACCTGATTACTCAAACGCATACAACCATGTTGCCTCCGCAGTCAAGGACACCCGTAGACCTGCTCAGTTTACCATCAAAGAAAGCGTTATGTGAAGAATTTGTTGGAAAGCCTTTGAGTGACCTCCGAACGCCAGCACTTGTTGTTGACCGAGCTGTATTTACGAGAAACTGTGCTCGGATGCTTGGAACGGCTCACGAATGGGGTGCTGATTTCAGAGCACACTTGAAATCACACAAGGCTAGTCTAAACTTGAAATCTTCTAACAGCCGCTTGTTGACTATGCGTATAGACGGCGGAAGGGGCGAGACTGCAACTGGTCACCTCGGTCGGCCAGACACATGCGGTCATTGTATCAACTTTAATGGAGGCATGGCAAGTCCTACGATCGGGCTTAGTCGCTGAAGGAGTAGTCAAGGATGTAAGTAGAGAATATCCGCCCCTGATAGTCGATCTGACGCAAAGAATAATACCAGATTCTATACGGCATGCCAATCAGTGTAAACAAAATCGCAGACATTTCAGCCTTGTCCGACGAGCTTTCAAAGCACGGCGCAGTATTGAGGCTTCACGTGGACCATCCCGACCAAATCGCTGCTCTGGAGGCCTTTGAAAGCCAAAGAACAGAACCTCGCAGAAGGTCGGTATTCGTGAAGGTCGACTGCGGTGATAAGTGAATAAATTCAAAGCCCTGTGAAGCAACTACTGACAGAAATGACAGGAGAGCTGGTATCCCCGTAACTTCAATACTCTTCGAGGCCTTTCTAAGTAGGCTCATATCATCGCCTGTCGTATCCATTCATGGATTCTACAGTCACCAAGGCGGTTCATACGCCTCCGCTTCGCTAGACGAAGCCGCCGGGTTCCTTTCTCGTGAGCTGGAAGCTGTCAACACAGCTGCAGGGTTAGCCCTTGCGCTTCTAGCTGGCGCTCCTGAGGTTACTAGCCATTCAACGCCTTTCGTCTTATCGGTTGGATCGACTCCAACAATGCACGCGGCGACCGCCGATACGAAGTTGAAACTAAAGCAACAACTGAACGGCCTGCTTGAGCTTCATGCGGGGAATTATCCTCTCCTGGACCTACAGCAGCTCGGTACAAGTCTTATCTCACCTAACAGAATTTCCCAGAGTGTACTTGCTACCGTTGTTTCGTACTACCCCGGTCGTGGAGCGAATGGCGAAGATGAGGCTATGGTCGATGCTGGTGCCATAGCGATGTCGAAAGACAAAGGGCCAATAGAAGGTTTTGGAGAGGTAGTTGGGAAGAAGTGGAGACTCAGTCGAATTTCACAGGAACATGGTATATTAACCAGAACGAGTGCATCTGTTTTCGAGAGTAGCGGTGAGGACAGCGAGACGTTGACTATTGGTGAACAGGTTCAGATTGTTGGACAGCATGCTTGCCTTATTTTCGCAGCGTATCCCTGGATTTATGTATGTGACTCCGATAGCGGGAAACCGGATACTGTTGTAGATGTCTGGGTTACATGGAAAGGTTGGTGATGCCGGAGGACAAGTAAATTTGGGAAATGTATTCCAGATGCCATTTCTCATAATATTTTAAGATCCTAATAGCAGCAAAGCTTTTTGTCGTCGTGGCTAGGTACTGAGTCCAAGAGCAGTGAGAGCTACGTAGTGAATAAAAGTAGAGGATAATTTCATGTGCAATGCGGCGCGTGGCGGAGTGAACGGTGACGCGCTCGGAAGTCGCACGAGATTGACTAAGACGCTAGTCTGTCAATGCAGTGGCCTCCATATGGAACCCTGTCTCTCTATCTTCATCCACCATACCAGCACTCAGGATGGCATATGTCGATGAGGACGATGCCAATGCGACCGAACTCGTAGAGACCTACGGTGTGTGGCGGGTCTGATGTTCGTTGACGTGTTCGTACTTTTTGCTGACCCTTGACCACGCGGCAGATTTCTTACTCAAGTTCATAATCATCGGTGTGTTCAACTCTTTATATTTTACAATATACAGTCTTATATTTTGGTTGCACTAGGTGAAGCAGGCACTGGGAAATCATGTTTGTTGCATCATTTCACTCAGAACTGCTGTGAGTGTTTCAGTTCAATACCATCATCGTGTGACACGAGGCATATACCGACGCTGTTCTCGTTCAAGTCAAGCCGCACTCTCAACATACTATTGGAGTCGAATTCTCGAGTCGTACTATCAACGTAGGAGATAAAAAGATAAAATTACAGGTGTGTAATCACTTCCGTTAAGAAGCTGCGTCAAGTACTAATCAGTTGTCGATAAGCTATGGGATACGGCGGGACAAGAAAGATTCCGGTATGAATTGGTTCGTTGATGACGAGGAAGCCTTGGCTCATAAGCAATTGTGTAGATCAGTAACACGGAGTTATTACAGGGGTGCAGCTGGGGCTATTCTCGTATACGATATAACGGAGTAAGTCTCCATTCGTCTCCAATCACAACGAGGCTAATGAGCTTGCGCGGGTAGTCGAAACTCATATGTGAATTTATCTCGGTGGCTTGATGACGCCCGGGCATTAGGCAGTACGAACCTGGTTACGGTACTAGTGGGCAACAAATCTGACAGGGATGATGAACGGGAGGTAGAGTGGGCAGAAGCGAGTAGATGGGCATCTCAGCATGGTGAGTACACAGTTATCGACTTGTTTAGATAGTGCGGCACTGCTGACTGTAACTTAACTTCAGGGGTACATATCATAGAAACGTCTTCATTAACAGGCGAAAATGTCGAGGCGCCCTTTATGCTCGTCGCCCGTCAGATCTTGCTCCTAATTGAGTCTGGAGAGCTGAACCCAGAGAAAGCTGGCAGTGGCGTCAGCTACGGAGATCGCGCACTCCGGCGAATAAATAGCTCGAGTCGATTTAGCTTTGGCAGTGGCAGTTCCAGTAGCGGAAGGAGACGTGGTTCGATCAAATTGAAGATGAAGAGCTGGATTCCAGGCACGGGAGGAAGGTGCTGTTAGGTGTCGAGGTTTGGCTCGTCGGGGCTAGCGAGGGAGTACGTCTGGATTATGGATGATCCTGTTTCCTTGCTCGACGAGTCTGGCCTAGGCCTGGGTAAGCCTTGTCTTGTCCACCCCTGACATCTGAAGCAACTTTGCATTGACAGTTGTTTCGCTCAGGCAGCGCCAAGTGTTCCCAGGTGTCCATATGTTGTTGAATGTTTTCGCTCTCATAGGCTCATACCATGCTAAAGACTATACCCAGCAAGACTTGTTTCACCCACTCCGTATTCATTAGCAGTGATTGATTTCCCAGGATATATTGGTTTTGTTCACGCGAGTAAACCGGGCCCGCAGCACGGATTCCGTTCATTCCGATCGTTAGAATATTGCTATCTTTCTCATTTGTACCTTATTGCAGAGGATCTATATCGGATAATAATATGCATGTTTGTTTTTGAAAATGAGAAACGAGATGCACATGATAACATTACCGAGAAAGAGGCAGAACGCGCGATGAAGGAGACGCGTGACGATAAGTTTGTGTATTCTGCCAGCTGGCGGGGTGTCTAATCGGACTACTCAGGCTTAACGGCGCACTGTTCACGAGGAACACACAGAATGTATGGCTTCTCAGGATATACATCGCATGTAGTGGGGCCCCTGAGAGGGAGGACACGTATGGGCGGGAAAGATACAGCCTCTGACTGCATGATCTGCTCTCCCGCGAGGTCCGGATTCTGTCCTGCCAGCTCAGACTCCGTCCCTTCTATCCATATTTTCGTTAGTATATGCAGCACTGAAAATGTCCTTGTCGTCGTGGCATCTCCGCAGCTTTCCTCCCACTCTTGCTGGTACTCCCTCTCCGTCTCTCGGTCCATGTAGTTGCACTCCGTGCTGCTATGTCTCGTCCCGTTGCTAATGCTAATCCTGTCCTCCGAGGACGTGCCCGCTTGGATTCTCCTCCGTCTTTAGGGGATGCATTTGAGCTCGCTGCAGAAAAGTTCTTGGTCTCGGACAGTGCTATTTCGGCCATTCCGTCTATGACAAACTCGCAGTCGGCTTCAGAATCAGCAATCTTGTCCAAGCCCATAGCAAGCGCTGCTGAACCATCGGCCAGTGTCATACCCGGGTCGTTCACACCGTCTGCCACCTCCGCCCCTGCTGAAGAAACCTCTGCCACGTATGTCTGCTTAATGTTCAGCAGTGCATTATTTTCGACTCATGTCTTCACAGGTCATCTTCAGATAGAGTCTTCACTACTGTGCCCAAGAACGTTGCAGCCTCTTCAGCATTGTCCTCTGTAGCTTCTGCCGCCGACACCGGTTCAGCAAAGAGTCAGGTACCTAAGTCCAATGAGCAATCACCCTCAACATCATCTGCTTCCTCGTCTTCCGCTCCTTCCCGTCCTGACAATAATACGCCTGCGCAGCCAAGCCCAACGCCGTCGACTTCATCGAAAGAAGCAACGACTTCAGTGGCAGCTACGACTCCTACAAGTGTCTCTACACAAAACGCCCAGACCACGCCTTCCGATAGTCCGAGTCAGACAGGCACGACTAACCAGGTATTTGCATTTTTCTCATCAAACTTTACAGTAGGTCTTATCTACTTCTACTAGGCACCTGTTCCGACTACCTCGGGCACTACAGAGCAGAAGTCAACTACTACGGCAGCAGGATCTCCTCAACCAAGCGGGTCTTCTTCATCTGGTGTTGTGCGGCAAGATTCTCCGTCAAACGGAGATACTGGAGGTACCCAAACAACGGCATCAGATTCAACTGGTACAAATCTGGGAAATAGCTTAATTGGCGTAGCTTCGTCGGCCACTAGTGGTACGTCGACTACCACAAACACAACCCACTTCTTATGATAACGTTTTTTTTCTGCAGTGCATGTCGACTCGACTCTCGCAACAGCAAGGGCTGTCACGATTACATCCGGAAGCTCAACTTTTACCACTACTCCTGCGTTTATCACGAGTATCTCTGTTGAAAGTGGCAAGAATGGATCTCCTCCCCAGACTTTCACCAGTGTCTTCGCCAATCCTACATCTATTCCTAGTGTGTCAACCTTGAATGATTCGACGTAAGTCTTTCTGGTCCGGAATCATACATGCATAATAGAACTAAAGTGATCCATTTAGATTCTTTGATAACAAAGGCGCCGTAGCTGGCGTGTTCACTGTTGTTGCACTGGCAATTCTGGCTTTCGCAGGTGGCATTGTCTGGTGCTGTCGCCGCAGACGCCAGAGGCTTGCTCGCGGATCCCTGGCCAATGCCCAGTTCCGACGATTCTCTGGGCCTCCAGAGATGTCTCAGCAGCCAACAACTTATCAAGCTGTCGGCGGGCGTAGTCTTCCACCTGGGTTATATGGGGACGATCCTCAGCGTTACTTGATGGCTCCTAGCCTTCGAAGCGGTCCCAGCGCTGGACACGATGGCACCATGCAGCGCGCTGGTTCTCAAAATTCTTATTCTGGTGACTCGCACAGAGGCGCTTTAGGTTTGACTGGCATTGTCAGAAAACCACCTGGAAATGTTGAGACATACAACGGTCCGTTCAGCGACTATTATCGGTATAACCCGACGGGTGAAGCACGGCTTAATACTCCGCCTGGAGAAGGAGTAAGCATAGCGGTTACTAGTGACTTCACGGAGGCTAAGCCTGTGCGCGAGTCGTCGGAACCCGCTTCCGCACCCGAGCGCCGTTCTCCTTCTCCTACACCTTCCAGTCCTTCGATTTATCCGCCTTCGCTTCCTGCTGTGCCGGAGAAGGATGAAGATGATTATAAGATTTATGAACGGGAGACGAAGCGTAGTCCCGAGTCACAGTTCCCTTCGCTTCCACCGAGAGCTGTGGTCAATGATGGTGACCCGCGCAATCCATTCTCAAGTCCACTAGATACTGCGGCGGACGCCGCGACCAAGCAACCCGTTCAACCCATTCGGATTCAGACAAATCAAGCTTATCGTCCATTGACGCCTCCTGATTCTTCCGCTGGTCATTCACCAACGACTCCACAATTCTCCGCTGCGGAAGACTCGACGAAGTCTCTCAACGCCAATCCGTTCTCAAATACATTCCTTGGGCGATCTGTATCAACGAGGACCGAACCTTTGCCGCGACCGAAGCGGAATCCACTTCGATTGTCAGCTACTAGTGCTACAATACAACGTTCGGAAGAATCTTGATAACGTCAGTCGAACTGTGTATCAAGACATTAGAGAACGGAAGTATAGGATCCCACTTGTGGGAGGTGTATCATATCGTAAAACACGATCTCATGTATGCCATGACTATATGTATATATAAAACATGTTTTGTACAATACTCTCTTTCGGAATGTATGCTTAAATTCGTTCCAAATAGAATTTCTCATTGAGGATAACAAGACAGGAATACAGAGGAATACATAGAGCATACACTCAGACACTCATGATTCCCATTTCTTCATAATCGAACCCTCAGGAGCCTTCCCCTCAACTTTCCCCTTACTTACTTCAGCCCAATTCGTGCTAAGAGTAGTTCCATTACTCTCAACGTAACTCTTCATCATCGCCCGTCTGGTCTCCTCGTCGGCGTTGCTATACAGTTTTTGGAAGAAGTTATTAACAGCGGCGTCGCCACCAGCGTTGGGGTCGTCGTTAATGGATACTTCTTTGTCGGTTGATAAGATGGCGGTTGTGATGCTGTCCCAGTTCTTTCGAGGTTTGGGTTTGACGGAAGGTTCTTCGGGGACGGGTGGTGATACGGGAGCTGGGAGGGGTGTCGTTGCAAGGACTTTATGTCATAGGATAATAAATTGTGAGTAATTTGAGGAGGAAAGGCGCAAGAGGGAGCATACTTACCATCTGGCGTATCACCAACAAGAGCACCCCATCGTCCTTGTGCACGCTTCACGAATCGGACTTCGACTTTGACTTTCCCAACAGAGAAGTTACTCGCCTCTATGTCGATTTCGCCTTTCAGAGGCTGGAGAATAAGTCTTTTCGTTGAGCCATTTTGGTATGTGAACTACATCGAATTGGCTTTAGTAACAAGAGCAACAAACGAAAGTAGAGAGGAAGGATGGGGTTATTAGATGGGACTTGACTTACTGTACGAGGCTCGAACTTGATTGCTACTTCATCCGGGTTTGCGCCTTTGTCAAATATCTCGAGTGTGAGTTTCTCATCTGTTTCGTAGAATGAGTGACTGGAATATGTGGCGTTTCAGTCAATTGCACGCATGTAGCGGCTCGGACGCGACTTACCGTGGCTCAGTTATTTCCTGAACTGGTTCCGCTGGTTTCTCTTCTGCGGGAGGAGCTTCGTTTGATACAACGGCGGGGTCAGTTGCTTCGGACATCGTGAAGTGAGATAGAGAGAAAGAAAGAAATGCAGAAGATGAAGGCGACCTTTTGTGAGGCGTTGAAACAAGGTGGCAGAGAAAGTTCGAGATTGCTTTAGACTAAGACAGGCGCGTGGCGGACGCGTCGATCACTCAGGTGCCGCCGCTCCGATATGACACAAGACGCGTCCTTTTATTAGTTTTAACGCTTCTGCTATTTACCTCCACCATGTCTGAAACCTCGCATATACCCAAGGCCATTCTCTACTACAACCCATCGTCAATATGGTCTGCATGCGGTGTGTAATTACGATTACAGTGGAAAGTCTCCAGGCTAATCGCACAAACGAAACACAGCTCTCCTTGCCTTGTCAGTTGTCTATAAGCCGTGTCTCCTTTAACCGTCTGAAATTTCGTTCTAGAGAGGAGAAGGGCTATGGAGAAGACGAACTAGAGCGCAAGATTGTTGATCTCGGTGAGCATCATCGTGAACTATGCAAGACAACCGCCAATAATATTGATAACAAATAGGCAAGGCCGAAAACCTGTCTTTAAGTTTCCTCAGAATCAATCCACAGGGTAATGCAATGGCCATCGCTCATTGACGATAATACATGCTAAATGTACGTTTAAAGGAACTGTACCAACGCTTGTCGTGCCACTCGAAAAGACCCTCGCTCCCGACGACGACCATCGATACAAGGCGGTCACGGATACGAAGGTAGTCTACCTGCCTTGGCTCCACGCATCATTCGCTCATCCTATCTCCTTACGTAGTCTGTGCTGGAGTTCCTGGACAAATCGCGCTCCGCAATTTCTCGTACGCATACAGTCTCCTCTGCTCCAGCTCCAGCGTTGGCACCTGCCACGATTGCACTTTCCTCAACTGCATCGGTGATCATCGACCTGCTGCATTCGGACGATGCGAGTCCTAAAATCAGAGTCTTTAATTACGCTTCTCAGTCAACATTGAAGCGGACAGCGGAGACGCTCTTGCCTTTCTTCTCTGGAAGACGCGATGCTATCAGCTCTTACATCACTGCGAGCCAGAACGCGCAGATTCAGGCATCGGAAAGGACACGAAAGCTTTGGGACAGCAAGAAAGTGGAGGCTGACTTCCTCGTGACGGTCTTCGGTGCTGCTGATAAGGAGGACGCCGCACTTTCTCCAGAAGAGAAGGCTGCGCGTGATGAATACCGCGCGACTGCAAACGATCGTTGGTCAGTCAAACTCAAGAAGGCGCTCGTAAGTCTGAACAAGGAGATTACTGGCCCGTTCTCCTTGGGTACGTCATAGAGTGCACGCGTGTTTCTGGTGTCGACTTCGCGGTCATCTGACTTCCCGTGCACTTATCCAGGTGATCAAGTATCCATAGTGGATCTACACCTTGCCCCATGGCTGGCACGCATTGCGTTCCTCTGCGATGGCCTCACAAGTGATGATGGTGATACCATTGTCGCGAAGATCGAGACCCGTATTGGAGGAGGTTTCACTTTACCTAAGGACTTCCAATCCGTTGCATCGCCCACACCTAACCAGGTTCCAGACCCGTCATTAGAGATAACGCCTGGCGCGAAGAGGGTGAAGCTTGCAGCATTTTGGGATGAGATGAAGCAACGGTCGAGTTGGAAGAAAGTGTATGGGGAAAGTCTGTTCTGAATGAAAGGGAGAAATGAAGTAAAATGAATCTTGTAATAGTACGCATCTCAAAGCAGCGCGTCGATCACTTCAACTTCCTCTGATGACGTGAGAAGCGTCTCCTTTCCTGAATCCTGATGTCTTCGATCTTTGGCTGAGTTACTCTGCATTTTACTTCCACAATGCCTGAAGATGCTCATACGCCCAAAGCTGTTCTTTATTACTACCCGACATCAATCTGGTCTTCATCAGGTGTGAAAAGCACAGTAGTCATCCTACGGATCTGGTTGTGATTTGGATTCTGAACACCTTATAAGCTCTGCTTGCATTGTTAGTTGTACTAGCTAGACAATATATCTTTTACAAGACACTTAATCTTCACTATAGTGAAGACAAAGGTTACAGTGAAGATGAGATAGAACTCAGGATTGTTGACCTTGGTAAGCATTGTTGTAGTTTCGATCAAGCTGCCACTGATGATTCTGAAACTAGGTAGGGCCAAAAACTTGACCCTACATTTCCTCAAAAATCAATTGTGCCACCCAGGAATGCATACTGTCTGTTCACTTCCGGCTCCAGAACTGCTAGCGTCTATCACACCTGCTCTCTCCTCAGCTGCTCCGTCATTTATCAAGCTTCTACACTATGAAGACGCCAACCTAAATTGTCTGAAATACTACAACTATGTCTCGCAAAAACTAGCACATAAAGCAGAGACTCTCTTACCTTTCTTCACCGGTCAACACAACACTGTTGCTTCTTTCCTCTCTTCAGGCTAACATGTTCAGATTCAGGTATTAGAACAAACAAGAAAGCTCTGAGAAAGTAAGGAGGTGGAAGCTGAGTTCTTAGTGGCTGTCTTTAGCACTGTCAATAAAGAAGATAAAGTACTCTTACAGGAACAGAAGACTGTACATGATGAATACTACAAGATTGCAGACAACTTGTGGTCCATGAAACTCAAGAAGGTACTCATTACTCTGAATAAGGAGATTATTGGACCACTTTTCTTAAGTGTGTTAATTGTCCATGACATCGAGTTCGCAGTCGTCTAACTTCCGAATAATTCCATTCATCTGTTTTCTAGGCAATTAAGTCTCCGTCATGATAGCAGACCAACACGTTGCTCCATGGCTTACATACATCGCATTCCTCTGCGATGGACTTGCAAGCGACAATGGTGATATCATCGTCACGAAGATTGAGACCCGTATCGGAGGAAGCTTCACTCTACCTGAAGACGGCCAATCCGGTACATCTCCGAAGCTCGGAGCGAAGAGAGTAAAGCTTGCAGTATTCTGGGATGAAATGAAGCAACGGTCGAGTCGGAAGAAAGTATACGGAAAAGGTCTGCACTAACTGAAGTAGGAGGACCAGAGCGAGCAGTTATTGTCATGTATCAACACTGTACGCACCTCGATGCAAAGGAGAATGGAAGATAAAGACCATCCGTCGAATACTCATCCAACCACTGATTGATCGGAAAGAAAAGAAATCCATTGAAGAGCTGTGGTATAGAATAAACAAAGAAAAAAGCTGGCTAACTAACTAACAGTCCAGATAATATTTTACTTCGCAGAAGGTAGGGAAGGAGAAAACGAATGGTTTTGCAAGTCTATACGTGCATAGAAATAAAAAAAAGGGGGGGTCAGGTCAATATGAAAGGAGTTGTGTGTAATGGTAGCTGCTGCCGCTCACATGAAGCAGGAGGTGAAAAAAAGAATGAACAATAATCGAGGGAGCGCAGCGATGAAGGAAGGTATGCGTGTGTGGGCAGTTGTACATGCTTTTTGGAATTTTGAATTTTGAGGGTATTAATATTATGGTACACTTAGCAAAAAAAGTGGTGTTGTTGTTAACGGAGATTCAAGCACAAATCCCTCCGAGTAGACTCCTCTCACAAAGCAATACGAGAGATAAAATGGCAGAAAACTGACCGAGCAGCTCCTGCTGACGCTATCGTCCACCACGATTTAGTTGTACTGCCACTCTGTCCGACAAGGTAGAATCCAAATAATTGACGGCATTCGCACCCATTGTCTTGCTTTCAGGCGGACTGAGCACTCGCTCCCTCGAAGTCATCTCCTCGCCCTCAAGAAGCGCAAGCGCAGTCTCCAAAAACCATGGGTTCTTTTTAATGAAGTGCACCACGATGGTCCCACCAACACGCTTGTCCTCGTAACGTTTTCGTCGCCCTTCGCGTACCATCCAAGCGTCTTTGGCAGTAAAGTCACCACCTTCCTTTAGCATTGACATATCTGAGCCCTCCACAAGCGCTTCTATGCCTTGTAAAGTGGTGAGGTTTGATAGTGGTGGATCATACCGTACGCCAAAGGTTGATACGCTCGAGTAAGCCCACGATGTCGGAGACGCGGAGTCGTCACCGCCTACAGGCGCTGCAGCCGTTGGTGTGGAGGGTGATGGATCGCCGAAGAGAGTCGGCACAGAACCGAGGTATGAAAGAATGTTTTTGCGTATCCTTGTTGCTTCTGATGGGAACAAATAGCCATGCGAGTACCTGTCATAATCCAATATTTTAATATGAATTATTAAAGGAAGAGGGAAAATACATACACTGTGCCCGCTCGGGGATGGTCATAAATCCAACATCTCTCACTCTTCCATCGCACCTCGGAAGCCCGAGGATGAACTCTCATCCACTTGGCCACCTGTTTGTCTTCCTTCCCCTTCGTCATACCCTTCACTACCGGATCCCGCGACACCCATTCCGATAGGCTCCAACTCAATGCATACAATTCGCCTGCCATAAACTGATTTTTGACCAAGTAACCCCAATAAATAAGTGGGTCGTCATGCGGAGACGGGGTCGAAAATACGTGAGGCACCGGAGCCCGGGGCTCCTGGTGCACAACAGCGGTAGAGTTGATGAGATGTGCACTCGTGGAGCTGGACTTGTGCACGTCCGGCTCCGGCATCTCACTATGTGGAAGTTCCGTGTCTGGATCAGGATGGCGCGACACCAGCGTGTCACCATTGAGTGAATTGCGTGTTTTCGTGTGCAGCTCAACACGCAAGCGGGCTTCCAATTCAGCAAGCATGACAAACGAGTCGTCGTCCACTTTCACAACGAAGTCGGGCCGTACCCATGGTTTCTGTTGGCCAGTCATGGCTAATTCTCTACGAACATGAACAGGGTCATGTTTGGCAAGAGGAATCGTGTGGTTCGCCGTAACATTCGTGTAAGAAAAATTGGGCGAGAGAGTACGATTATAGTTATCCGGTAAAGGAGGGACCCATGCTTCAGTCGAAGCCCAGGTGAAGAAGGCATGCGTTTTTCCGGAATTCATGTTTTCAGGAATGGGTAGCACAATCATGTCGTTATATGCTAGCAAAGAGTCCCATGTAAGACAGCACACGAAGAGCAACAAATCGTGCAACTCACTTTCAGCCTCTAACTGAATTCGCCTTTCCCAGCTACTTCTTGGCTTGCCTACGACGAACCGTACAATGGATCGACTGGTCCCTAAACCACCGTCGCCAGCGCCAGCGCCATTTCGACTGCGCTCATGGCTCGCCCACGTGCTTCTCACAAGCATACGCCGTTCAACAGCAGAATCCATCGTGAAAATTCCCAAAAATACACCGGCCGGAGGAAAATCATCAAAGTGAGGTGGCGGGAACGTGTTGCTAATAAATGATGAAAGGGACGAGACATCCGAGGGAGAGAGAGAATTGAACGGAAATCCAGGAGAATACGCTGTGGCACTCAGCGAAGGGGGCGACGTAGAGCTGGAGGGTATCGAACAGTAAGCGCGCCACGGCAAAGGCTCCTTGTCGGGATTCAAGACGTGAATTAAGAAGAGTGTAAGTAAAATGCCGAAAATGGTGAGAACTAGTAAGGTTAAGAGCTAGAAAAGTAAATCAGTATTTTAAAATCATTAGCCGACACTAAACACCGCCGGAGGCCGAGTACTCACAATCGAGGTGGGCTGCGTTGGGAAAAGCGGGTGACGAAGAATCACCCTTATGATTCTCTTGATGGATCTTGGACTGCACCAGCCTCCTCTTCGACGCCGTCTTCTCCGGCTTTCACGGGATGCCACCCACCAACGCCGCCCGTCATCGTTCCACCACCGGTTTCGTCGGTTGCGAGGCAGCAAAGGGCTGGTCGGTTCGCTATCCGCGTCCGAAGTGCACGACGAACTTTGCGCGGACGAGTAGAACTGAGGAAGCGGCGACCCACTACGGGAAGGAATTGGCGTCGGGACTGTGGATGAGGAGGCGGACAGTCTGCCGGGTTCGTGCGAATGGGTCGGGTGGAGGAGAAATTCGGACGACCCACGGTAGGACGCGCCGGCCGGGAGAGAGGTGGAGGACGACGCGACATACACATTGTGGTCGCGCGCCTCGGGGGCGGAGTGAAAGCAAGAGCGTGCCGTCTCTGTTGAATCTGTGCTGTCTGAGCTGTCGTAGTCGTCCTCTCTTGCAGCAGAGATGGAGACTCGTGGGTTTGTTGGATTGCGAGTATTGCGCGGAGAGAGAAGATTGAGACGAAAAGGCATATTTAAAAATAGCGGGGCTGGTGGAGAGAGGGAGAGAAGAGCAAAGGAGTGTGTATGTGTCGGATGATAAATAGAGAAGCGGCTGGTCCCCGCAGTCGTTTTGACGAGGCAAGCAGAACTGGTCTGTGTAAGAGAGACAATCGCTATGTAAAGTACAGCCTTTCTCAGTCTGCTATCATTTCCCACGCACAACTCCCGTCCATCTTACTTATATTTCATTTCTCTCTGCTCTGCATCTCTCGCATTTTTCACTGCATATTCCTACTTCCAGCCACTTTGCTTTGCACAGTCCACATTTCCACTAGCATTGCTGCAAGGCACCGACATGCCCCTTCGCATACGGATCCGCGTCTGTTTCACTTATCAGCGCTGCTGCTTTCTCCTCAACGTGCGTGATCCCCCTTATATATTTCTTTCTTCTTGCCAAGAAATAGTCACGGGAATGAATCCGTTTCCATCCACCCTCAGGTGGTCAAAGTTTACAGTCTCCGAAAGGCATTAAATTGTGGGTCATCAGTGAACTTCTTTGACTATCATGTTCTCGCACAGATTCGTTGTCCGCGGCATCATATAGAAGCAAACTCTCGGGCGAGGTATAGCTGTGTGCACAACATGATTGCAACATCACTAGCGCATCCTCGGGTATCACTCACGTATCCAAACCGCTATCCAGCAAGATATATCCTGTGTGGCGCTCGCAAAGATGTGTTGGTCTCATCCGTTACGGCCAAACAACCGACACAGCGCTCTCCATCCATCAATCCCGCTCTGTACCATTTATAGAAAGCCAAGCAACAACGCTCTATTACGAGCACTTTCCCTGGATTTATTAATGATGGCGTATTGGACAATTTGTAGAAGAAATAAACCGTGGAAGCATCATGCCAAGTTTATAGAGGCGCTCAGACCTAAGCGTAAATATATATCCTTGGATGCATGAGGTTGATCATGATTGTAGTTAGAAAATCAGGATCACCTCAGTACTTAAATATGCCTGCGTGGATGCTCCGACGGAAGAATAGCGACCCACATCCTTGTGCTCGTGCCCGCATGAAGCCGTGTAATTTCGTACACTCAACTGCGGTCTGAGAGAATATTTTAAAGATATATGTGAGTTTCGTGAGCGGTAGTTTTCTCATGGTAAAAGATGATCACATACAGGGACTTGGATCACTAATTAGGCCCGCATGTAAATTGCGGCTCGTTCTTCTGGGTGAACCTGCACTCCCATGCATTCGACTCAAGGGCCATTTATACGTCTCGAATCCCCGTCTTGTACGTACACGGAGAACAACTAGCGCTTGGAGCGTGCATGCCCGGATATCAAGGGCTTAATCAATGTTCTTTCGGCCAATTCAAGGATAAATATGGTCACTTGACGTAGTCTCTCCATATGAGGGACATATATTTATAGCAAGGTAGCACTTGTCGTTAAGAGATACGATTAAGTCATCGCATAAGCGACCTCCTGTCTGGAAGAGAGCCAGCAGCCGCGAAGAGATTAGAGAACGCTACTTTACAAATGTTTTCAACCACGTGGAGTGGATGATGCCTTGCTTTTGGAGAAACGGTAGCACTTGTCGGCAAAAAAGGTGGGGAGAATCTGTTGTTCCTCCATCAAGTTGTTGCAGTCGATGATGTCGATGACAGCGAGCGCATTTCACCGCATCGGAACCGCCACTCGGGGATGCGAGAGGTCTGGAAGGAGGGATATTCGCATTCAGCCAATACTTCTCATCCCTGATGCCCGTCCCTTCGGTCTCAAGCAAGATAGAACATGAGCAAATTTTATCTTCACCGAACACAGAAGTAGATGCAAGCAAGAAGAGAACCTTTGTAAGAGCCGGTTTTAGAAGCTCGAACTTGTATGTGAAAACGTCCTGAAAGCGAGTAAACGAGGCAATAGGAAAGCAGGACATGCTTCGCGTTGACCGCAAGGATTCGAGGCAGTCGGGATTCGCCAGTATTAAGTATAGTTCGATGCCGCTCGTTACATTCGATATTAACAAGTGGAAGGCCAGTGTTGTCAGGTTGGATAGTTGAGTCAGAATTCTCTTCGGGACAGTATTTATACTGAGGATGCGGAAGTTAAGAAATTTCCGTTATTGACAATGCTGTACGTCGCGGGAAGTGAAGAATTGCAACACGGTCATTGAGATGGGAAGTGAGAAGACGGCCACGCGGCGTGATAAGCAAATGAGCGACTCCTTCTGTAATTGGAGCGGGAAAGCAGAATCTGTTTGAACTGAGTGCAGGCCGCGATGCCGGTTGTAAAATGGAGCATTGATTGAATTGGGAAGGAATGCAACCTGAGCTGTTCCACGGCGGCGATCAGAGTCCATGCGCGTAGACGGGCATTGCCCAGAAACGTGGGCAGGCCGAACAAACCCTGCGAAAATGGCAATACGACGGTACCGCAGTAAAGGATATGTGCTCTGCCATATGCATGCGCAGTGCTTGGCCCAATGGCGAAGATGAGAGGGCGCGGCAAGCAGGTTGAGCAGAGAGCAGGGAGCAGAGAGAACATGGTGAATGAGAGTCAGGCACGGATTTGCTAAGAATGGAAGGAGCTGTGCCGCGCCACACGTCAAACGTCATTATTTCGGACGGAAGCACCGCAGCGGGTCTTCTGTAATCGACAATGTCCGACAACAACAGTCAACAAAGTTCCGTATCCCTTCACGCCCTCACACTCAACTCACGTTCACCACCACCACAGCTCTCGTCGACGACACCGGCGACAACAATGATCAAGAGATGGTAGGCCCTCTCGTAGCTCGTCAGGATCAGTCAGGTAAGTTGCCATCGTACACAGTGTTCTCCTTCCGCAACGAGCCAGTCCCAAAATCGGGATGAGGAGCGGCTCCTCTCTTATCCATTCTCATTCCGTTCAATTGCCCTCCTGCCCCTCATCTCTCCTGTTCCAATCCAATCTCATACCTGTGCACTGACTTGTCTCTCTTCCACGTTCTGCTTATGTCGTCTACGCATCTTCCCGACAACTCCCTCTGCCGTTCACTCTGAACCGCCCCTCCATCCGGTGCTTCACCACTTTCACTCAACGCACGCACTCTCTCTTGCCCTCTCTGTATGTCTTCGACATCCTCTGCGCCTACGACTGGGTCTCGTTCGCTCTCGACGTCTTCAACTCAAATAACTCAAACATCGGCCGGCGGCCCGACATCGACCGACTCTCGCGTTCCCACATCCTCTTCTCAATCCTCCGATAATACCTCGTCTACGGTCACGTCCACGCCCTCTTTCTCTAATACGGACACTCGACAATCCATGTCCACGTCTTCCTCCCTCTCTTCAATCGCAACCTCCGCGTCCTCCCTTACGTCGGCCTCTACGTCGTCTTCCCCTCCTCTAACAACAGCCTCTTCAACCTCCGGTATCACCCAGTATGTATCAGGCAAATATTGAATTTTCGAGGACTTGCGCTGATCTTTGCCAAGGACTGCCACGACCACTGCCACCACTGCCACCATTGCTACAACGGCCTCTCAGACGACCTCGGCTTCCACAAGTGAGAGCACGAGTTCTGCATCCTCTTCCAGTCCTCCGTCGTCCACTACCCAATCACAAACAACAACTATGTCGACATCATCTGACTCGTCATCTGGTACTACAGTGTCATCGTCCAGTCAGTCTACGGTCTCTTCTAATACCGATCCCATTACGTCAGACACAACGACAACCACGACGACTAGTGATCCTGGTACGACTACTACAACTTCGACATCGCCAACTACAACCACTTCGGACCCGACAACGACAACGACAACTACTTCCAACCCGCCAACCACGACTACAACAAGCCCCACAACGACTTCAGAAACTCCCACGACGACTACCACTTCTACATCGAGTAGTGAGACACCGACTTCCACTCGGTCCTCTTTGTCGAGTACAACGCTGGTCCAGGGCAATACCACCGTAGTAGCCCAAGAGTAAGTGTCTATGCTCCTGTCAAGAAATTGTGCTAACAAATTCTTGCATAGGACAACACTTTCCAGCACTCTGCTCTTCACAGTAACCTCTGACGGCCAGACAATAACAAGCACTCCGTCGCAGTTTACTTCTACTCTTACATCTACGAACTCGGATGGCCAACTGTCTACTATCACTCAGATCGTGGTGAATCCCACGCTAAGTTCAGACGGTGGTGGAGGGGGTTCTCAGTACGTCATAATGTCGTATCCGCTCGCTATGTATAACTCAGTTCCTTGTTTGTATGCAGGTTCTTCAAAAACAAAGGGGCAGTTGCGGGAGTATTCCTGATCGTTGGCCTCGCAGCAGCATCTGTATGCATATGGATCATCTTTTCGATACATCGCCGGCGCAGAAAGCGATTACTTGAGCGAGAGGCTGCGATTGCTGCACCCGCCGGTCATCGTTCGCCATTGGAAGATGAAGACGACGATACGGAACATAGTATGATGCAGAATGCTGCACCACCGGTAACTGCTCGTCCACCTTCCGCATACATGGATGACGGTGGCGGTCTTCGCCCAGTTGACGGAGTCATGTTTGATCCGTACGTGGGATACCCACATGCACAAGGAGGTGCATACACGGGACGAGACGGATACATTGCCGCTCGTACATCCAGCCCTCCTCCGGGGAGTCCCTCCTCGGCCGAATACAGGCTCGGTGGCCACCATCGACAGCCTAGCGGGACTAGTAACAGCAATACAAGCGGTGAAAATGGAGCAGGGACACACAGTCGCTCATATAGCTTCAGTTCCTATGAACCACTCCTTGCTGCTGCGGGAATCTCGAGCCGAACGCCTCCAGAAAGTCCTGGACCTGCGCAAATGGTTGCCGGGCCACCACCGACTCCACCTCCACGCAATCCACTGAGGCCATCATCTGCAAAGAAAGAGGAAGCTGACGGACGTGCTGATGACAGACTCGATCCCGCTCTAGCATCGCGACTTACTCGGGCGGACACAACTGCGTCGGGCCTACGAGATGACGAAGACTATTCGAGGCCTGTGCTTGGGGTAAGTGAACGCTGCTTTCTTAACCTCTGGATTCACCTGACTTGGACATCCCAAGGTACGGAACCTGCCCAGCAACGCCAGCATCAGTGAATATTCTGACGACGAAAAGCATTCATAATGTACCATCCATTTACGCTCTCGCATTGCTTGGACATTCAGATTTCTATTTTCTTACCTTACCTTCGCAAAGACGACGGTCTCAACTCGTCTGCATATTTTTTTGCATCGTTTTCTTTTTGCCTTGGTCTCCTGTGATGTCTTATTTTTTAACTCGCACTCCTTACGATATATCGCATCATACCGCATTGACCACCCTTCCCCTCCACCGCATTACCACTCATGACCTCATCCATAATACAGATACACAGACATAACGGACTGGCATACTCATACAAGACTTGTAAGCCTCCTATTCTTTTGCAGCACTCCTCTGTATATATGGACACTCGTAGGTAGCCGCTCATTCGTTCGATCTTTCCTTTTGACATCTCTTTCGATGAGCTTTTCGACTGTAATTCTTTTATTTAGACGTTCGTAGTTAGCTTTGCCGATGCTGCAACTTTCGAACCTAAGTGTTATTTTATATTTTGAACGAGTGAAAATTAGTACATGGATGACAAATGTGTGTAACATTGCATGCCTAGAAAGGAAATTATATTAGGAACCGATTACCTGTTTATCCAGGACTCCCATGAACTATATTAGAACTGGCATGCGTTCGCAATATCTCCCAAGCTATGTATACATACGCGTTCTCAAGTTGTCGAGCGCTCCTGCCACCCTTCAACAGACCAACGAATATCCCTGATTCCTGAGGCTTGTCCTCTGGACGAGCAAAGTTTAAATGACAGACGTATCCACAGTGGAAGCGCCATTGCCCATTCACGACACACCTATCATGGCTATGGCGACACGTCCGCACGTAGAAGTGCCAACTGAGTATGGGAACGCCGCGAGTTGGTGGGTGGAGTACCCTGATGGACTCGTCGACCTGTCGCGCTCGGTGCATCTATACAGTGGTTCAAAGATAGAGAAAGATGAGGCACTAGCGGATAGCAAAGAAGTACCAAAAATAGCACCCGCAAAGCCGAAAGGATTATTGGATATTGCTGTTGACAAGGAGCGGATGATACGGGTGGACCCGAGGAAGAGTGCGTTGGTAGTTATTGATATGCAGAAGTAAGCCTTCCAAGTACTAGCAACGTGCGGAACTGCGCTGATGATGAATGCGGGTAAAGCTTCTTTTTGCATCCCGACCTACGTGATCATCCGAAGGGTCTGAAATGTGTCGATCCGCTGTTGAAGATGATCCCGCCACTGCGTGCTGCGGGAGTTAAGATCGTCTGGGTGTATGCTCTTACTTTTATCTTCATTCCTTCGTGCTTGATCTAACACTGCTTTAGCAACTGGGGATTAACTCAATATGAGTTGCATACAATACCTCCGAGCCTTGTGCGTGGGTTCATGAAGAGCGGGAGCGGAGGCTTCGGAGCCGAGCTTCCTGGTAACTTTGGTCCGCTACTTATGCGCGGAGCTCAGAACTCTGAGTTGTATGGACCATTGCAAGAGGAATATGAAAGGGGTAAGAGGGAAGGGACAGATGTCTGGATTCATAAGAATAGGTTGGTATCCGCACCCTGGATTTCATGTTGTTCGTGCTGATTGCAATGTAGGATGAGTGGACTATGGGGACCACAAAGTTCCCTCGACCTTTATCTCCAAGAAGAGGGTATCGAAACGTTATTTATGAGTGGCGTTAACGCCGACCAGGTGAAACGTACTACAAAATTAGTGCCTTACGTAGTCTTACTTGAGTTGCATCATAGTGTGTTCTAGGTACATTGATTGATGCATATTATCGCGGTTATGACATTGTCCTCGTGCAAGACGCAACGGCGACGACTTCGCCGGAAGGAGGATTTGAGAACGTTTGTTACAACGCTGGGAATGTACGCCATGTATCTTACATAAAGCTTAAGAAAAACTTTATCTGACTGGTGGTCTTGTCTGCAGAGCTATGGATTCATCACAGATAGTAAACGTGTTGCCGAAGCTGCCCTGAGGAACTAAGAGTGTCGTTCATTCAGATAATACGAAGAAATGCGGTGTACGCTTAGTAACTGCGGAATCCAGTATCTTTGTCTCTATCAAGCTGCGGTTTTCTCATTTTCAGCGCAAGATCTGTAGCCGAAGTATTGAAATTCAGAAAGCTGTGCTTGAAACTTGCGATGATTACGACCGCAGCGTAATGTCGTTAGCACTCGGACAACAGTCCGGCTTACATGGCTTCCTAATTAGGTAGTCCCGCCCACTAGACTACACTGCATAAGCTGCTTACTGACATGCATCATGTCTACGCAGCAGGGGAACCACGAATGATATCTCTTTACCGCCCGCGCTGGTGGCTGTTGTATCCCACGCCTTCTCGCATTTTGGTCCGCTATATGCTTTATTTGCTAATTGTCCCTGTCAGGCATGAGCGGCGTGGAATATTATATATAACACGATGTTTCCTTCAGGATGAACGTCAAAAATAATCTGACTCGACTCCCCTCATTTCCCCCGATTCCCCTTGACCGTAGACTTTCACCATGGTACGTCCTCGCCTCCACCTTTATGAAATAGTATTTCCTAACATTCTTTTGATTAGACAATCCCTGCTGGTGTTGATAAAGACGACCTGCAGTATGGGTACATCCCGACTCTGTGGATCTGTGCTCTTTTTGTCGCTCTGTATTCACTCTCAACCAGTAAGTTGTTTCCCTCCTTACCATTGGATAAACTCATCTGACTCATTTTTATCGTCAAGTAATTCACCTTGGACAGGCTATCCGCTTCAGATTATGGTGGCTACTTCCAACCGTTGTACTCGCTGGAATAGGCGAGATCATTGGATGGGCAGGACGCCTGTGGTCGAGCAAGACATTCCTTGGGAACGCACAGGATCCGTTCTTAATGCAGTCAGTCATCTTCGTCATCAACGGAATCATATTCGATGCTGATCCAGAGCGATGACTAAACCTTTGTAGAATATGCGCGACCATCATTTCTCCGACGCCACTTCTAGCAGCGAACTTTGTCATACTCGGAATACTTATCGGCTATCTGGGAGCGCAGTACAGTCGTTTGACTCCGAAGTGGTGTAAGTACTTGATGTTTTCGTCTAAGCCTGGACGATGTTTGATAAATAATCCCTTGTTAGATACTATCATTTTTTGCTCGGCTGTACGTATCATCTGCATAGTTTTATGTGCTGTAGGTATTGATAGATGGGTTTAGGACGTTGTCGCACTTGTTATACAAGCAGTCGGAGGAGCAACTGCATCATCAGCGGCGGACGGAAGTGGAGACGCCACAACGTAAGTTTTTAGTTCCTACACGCTTTTCGGTCCACTGAGCTCAAGTGAACTATAGAGGCGGTAACATCATGCTTGGAGGAATTGTCTTCCAGTTGAGTGAGTCACCTATCAGTGCCGGACTGAAGACATAACAATGACTCATGTGTCATGCCTATTCTGTTTCTAGTCGCAATCACAATCTACATTATCCTCGGTATTGAATTCTTCTATCGCTACCTTTCGGACAAGCCCAGGCGCCAAGAGGCTATTGCAACACGTGGATCTTTCGACCGCCGAATTCAACTTATGGTTATCGGGCTTTCATTCAGCACGTCGTGTTTATTGATTCGGTATGTTTGTTCAGGTACTGCAGTTTCATTTTGATGGCAGAGTTTGACAGTTTGTTTTCCCCCCCTATCTAGTGCTATTTATCGGACGATTGAACTCGCGGATGGATGGAATGGCCGGATTATCGAGACCGAAGTGTACTTCAGTAAGTCCCCCTCTCCCCTCCTTCCATCGTCGGACTTTGGAGCTGATGCATGTGAACGTAGATGTATTGGATGGAGGCATGATCGTGCTTGCCATCTACACTATGAACTTCTTCCACCCTGGCTTCTTACTAGCACATATTAATGACCGCAGGCCACCTGCTAAAGGCAGCCAAAGGAGTTCGGAGGACGATTTGGCACAGACGGAGTATGCAACTCGTGCTTGGGAGAAGCAGAAAAATGGAAGCAATGCTGTGTAGATTTTCTAGTAGTATATTTATTTTCGCTCCTTTTTTTTCTTTTCGTGCGATTTCTGTTGTTCAATGCTTTGAAACGACCTTGATGTGTTCCCTTTCTTATTTTCGGACTATTCGAACGGACTAATTTGTTTAAAATACTTCTCAAATTCTAGATAGTGTATGGCACACATGTTGTCTTGTCTACAAGTAGATGGAATTATTAATGTCAGTGGAGACATTCGAGGGGAAAGCGTATTTAAACGCCTAACTGCATATACCCGGTTGTAACTGCTTTGATTTTATCCGTATTCTGCTCAAGCATCAGGGTATTTCAAGTGTCAAAGAAACAACAGGCAGGTAACAGACGTTATTTGAAGGAGCAGAGACCGAATAAATATTTTATATTTTTACGATTAAACACCTTCTCAATGGTGTAACCCTCTGGCTGAGTCCTTTTTACAGTCTTATTTATTAGTGACTCACAGTTCTACTGTGCATTATTGTAAAGAAAGTTTACGCGCCAAAAATGGAATGGAACAAACTAATTACAAACAAATGCGTCGCGTTTATTTGACATTTTTGACCAGACGTTCTCCTTCTCGTCCTCCAGCAGCTAGCAGACTGTATAAATACCTGGCAAAGGTGTGGAGCCTGCGGCCGCCCCACGTCCCCATATCTACCCCCTCTTTCCTAAGCACCACCATGCCCTCGCTCACCCTCATTGTTGCCGCTACTCTTGCAAATGGCATAGGCCAAGGAGGTCAATTACCCTGGCGTCTTTCCCGTGACATGGCGTACTTTGCTCGAGTCACAACGCATGCACCTGAAGGTGGCATCAATGCGGTCATCATGGGCAGAAATACTTGGGAGAGTATCCCTCTGAGGAACAGGCCGCTCAAGCAACGCCGGAATATTATTATTACTAGCGATTCCAATTATCTCAAGTGTGTATAGTTTGCTTGTTATATTTAAAGCATCTTGGTGTTAAGCTGGTGAATAATTAAGGGAACAGACCGACAGCCAGGTGAACGCCGGACAACCTACAGTCGGTGTCTCCGTGCAAACGAGTTTCCAAGATGCTATTGCAAGTGTGGCGAATCCTGCGGATAACTTACACCGAGCATTCATTATTGGAGGAGCATCCATTTACAAAACAGCCCTTGAACTTTCCGCACTTTCCGGCCAGGAGAAGCAGGTTACAATAGCAGACCGAATCTTGATGACTCGCATTCTTTCACCGGAATTCGAGGATTGCGACGTGTTTTTCCCGGAGTTTCGAAATGCTAAGGCACAGGATGGTACTCCTCTCTGGACACAGGCGACACATGATGAACTCGAGGCGTGGATTGGCGGTGAAGTACCACAGGGCACGCAGCGAGAGAAGGGCATCGAATATGAGTTTCAGATGTGGACACGCAAGTGATGAAGCAGAGTGAAGGAGTGAAGTGAAATAAGTGTTTGCGGTGAAATACATGCACTCCGTGAACAACACCCCCACCCTCCCTCCTTCTTGGTCTGACTACCACGACCTTGGTGTAATGATATATCTTGTTGTAAAAACTCTATCGAGGCTCTAGCCTTGACGCTGAAAGCGAGGATGAAAATGCCGATTTTAATTCAAGGAACGCAAAATTGAGGGATAGAATATGACTCACCTGCTTGTGTTTTGGATTTCGAGAACAGATAACGTATACCCTCCCCTTCCTTTTTACAATAGCGCATCCATCGCACATGAGTTTGACCGAAGAACGTACTTTCATGCCACGGGCGAGAGGAGGCACGGAATGCGTTTTTGACTGTCGGAGGTTGTTGAGTGCAAGTGAATGAGGTAGAGATGGCCGCGGAAGGCTCTGGCGACCGAGTAATGACGATAACTGCGTGCTTCGTGGCATCGCAAAGCGTCGAAGCAGCAGCGAGCGCAGCATGGTTGCGTGCACGATGCAGAGTTGAGTGAAGGCCATTAGCTCTGTCCAAAAGTGTCAGCTCCGTGTCACGTGCATATTTTCCCGCTTAACATCCACACCACTGATTCTTCTATTTCTTCGCCTTCGCCCACATAGGGGAAACTCTGAACACCTCGGACGCTCGTAGCTATCATCCCATTTCTCTTATGCCAAGCTAGCACGCGGAAGAAAGTTCTCGCATCTGTTTCTATTACGCTTTCGACGACATTTCTTGGGCGCATCACGAGTATTTTACGTCCGCGGAATCTATGCCTGGAACTCAAGAAGCTCGAGTGGCGGCCGGAGGATCTAGTACGCTCGACGGAAAGTGTGCTACCATTATCTTCATATTAATGCTCCTAGGCTTTGTCGCGGAGAGTCAATTAACAGAGGTGCGTCAGGTGCTCATTCGACCTGAAATGGCTAGTTAGAAATCATGTCCATGCAGTATGTTGAATCAAGCCGGAACTATAGACAACCTTACTTCTTATTGTAAGCACCCTCTGTCCATACACATTTACCAAGTCAGCTTAGCGACAAACCATATAGTTATATTGCCCATTCTGCGATGACGCTTATTTTCCCACTACATCTCCTCTATCTTCGCTGCACTACACCGTTCCCAGTAAAGTCATATCTACTCGGTCTTTCCAAGTCTTTCAAGGAGAACTTTACAACTGCCTTCTCACCAGCAGCGTCGGAGCTTGGCCATAATGGTATCTTGGACTTTCCGATACATAGACTCCTTGCAGTCATTACGTGGTGTACTGTTGGAATAACAACTCCAGCCTTGCTCTGGTTTGTTGCTCTTAACTATGCTTCGTTAGTCCAGTCCCTCTTTCATGTCGTGGCATCTCTTATGTATATGCAGAGTGAGCGATGTCACCGCTATTTGGAATTCGAATGCCTTTTGGGCGTACGTCATGTCAGTCAAATTGAAACATACTTCATGGGAGCCAAGGCGGCTCGCGGCGGTAGTCATCGCTAGCATAGGTGTCATGGTAGTTATTTACGGGGGTAATCATCCGACGGGTTCCTCAGACTCCGAGGACATCAAGGCGCCATTTTTCGGGAATATGCTCGCGCTAGCCGCTTCAGTGACCTATGCGCTTTACCAGGTCTTGTACAACATGTATGCTGTACCGCCCTCCGAAGCAGAGGATGAAGACCGAGGTGCCTGGCGTAGGCTGTCGGTCTCGTCAGATAGCGTGGATGAAGCTTTAGTTAACGATGACGACATTGAAGGACTAAACCTTGCGGACGACGTTGTCTATCCACTGCCTTTCGGTCTCTACACGAATGCTTTGACCAGTGGCATCGGGATTATGACCTTGATCGCTTTATGGATACCCATGCCGATTTTGCATCTGACGTCCATTGAACCTTTTGTCTGGCCAAGCGACACGAAAACTCTGCTAGCGATCTGCGGGATTGGCGTATCCGCCTTAACATTCCTCGCGACGTTCATGGTCAGGCGCAATTTATACTTTGTTATCATTTATTCAGCGTCGACTCATAACCCATTCTGTTTATAGATAATGCTAGCCACTTGGGGGCCTATCGTTACGTCCGTTGGTGGCCTACTTACTACCGTTCTGGTCATTATTTCCGACCTAATCTTCGGGAACGCCGCTAGCACTTTAACGTTGTGGACTGTGATAGGAGCGGGCATGATAGTGTTCGCTTTCGCCGCACTGGCGTACGAATCGCTCAATGCCCACAAGGCTGGTAGTTGAATTGTCACAGAAGCGTCGTAATTCCGTCCATGCATTCGTCATTGCATATATACATTTCATGCCGAGAAATTTGATACATACAGCATAGAGAGCAAGGAAGAAAGAAAGAAGGAAAGAAAGGAGTCAATAGGAACGTCAAATGAAACCCCTGCACACTTCACCCCCACAAACGCATGGCGTTCCACTTAACTTCATCTTACCTTTACCCTTGCCCTTTTTCTTCTCCATCGCAGTAATGATACCCTTAGGGTTATAATCAATCGTAATCTCCTTCCCCGCAGGAATGTCTTCACATGCAACGAATGCTAAGTATGGCATATTATCCTAATTATTCAACATGTAACTTTTGATTATTAAATTATTATTGTCATAGTAGAGTCGAAACGTACGCGGAGGGATGTGTCTATTACGACTGAGTATACTATTGCTGAGGGTCCACAGGAGTGACTTGAGGAGCACAATCATTGTTAAGAATGTGGATAGATGTGAGTATATACCATGGAAGCGCACGCACTTTATGAATCTTGACCAGTTCCCTGCGTCAAAGTTTAGGTATGCAAAGAGAAAATTGATCGACACTGAACACACCTGAAGCGTGAGCGGCAATGGTATATTTAGGAGCGTCTTGGTACTCTGGATCGTCATCTCGAGTATCAAGGTCGAAACTGAATTGCCTGTCTTCCGGACCTAATGTGGCTGCATCACCTCTTTTCCTGCAACAACTCCAAGTTTAGCAGAGGTTGTGTACTGCCTTCCGTAAACTTACATCAGCGTACTGCGGAGAGATCATACAGTCTCCACTGTGAGTGAAGTGGACGGAATAGAACGAAAAGACAATAGCCCACCCAGTAAACAGACCGAGCACTGTTCCACGCGGAACGAAAACGCTCGGCCGCACGCCCCAGCCGTTCTTTCGCGCCTTGAATACTTCCAGAGGTACTTTCCTTGCTCTTTGCGACACATTGTTGTTGCAACTTCGGCATGAGCAGTTCTGCTGCACTCTTAGAATTGGTTTCAATCACCGGAGAAAGGACTAGTTACCTGATTGCATTCGACTACCTCCCGCGTGTGGTTGAACAGAAAAAGGCCCTTGTTGCGCAGGTCAGTAATGCTACTTATGAGGTTTATTGAACGGGAAACGAACCTTTCTATCGTAAGCTGGAGAGGGTTTGCCATTATCGTCTATGCATTGCGATTTTGCTACGCATGGACACAGAAGAGGGTCTTTGCATCCATCTTTGCAATCGCAACTAGGGAGAAAATCTGGCTTTGACTGACAGATTCCTTCTGCGCTGTGTTTAAGTCGTGAGCGGATGACTCAGGTTTGAGATGAGTAAACTCACTAATTGCGCGAGGCCTCCAAATAAATGAAGTCTGGTCCGACTGGAGATACGTCATCGATTTTGTTTATTATACGAATGCTAGCCGCTTTTTTGTTTACTGCTTCGTCATTCCAGCGAGATTCTACATCCCAAATAGTTTCCGAGGCTTCTTAGGAAATGCTCTTAGACTGACATCACCCAAGGTACCACGGAACGTACTGGATGACTGCCCGGAAGTTGATGCAACCTACATGGTGTTTAGCACCCATGGACGAAAGAGAAGAATATACTCACGCTCGAGGGATCCTCATATTCATCAGAATCGGGAATGATTTCTTCTACGAAGCTGGATGGAGAGCTACGTCATGAAGGTTCATCCCGCTTGCGTTTACAACCAGCGTGTGATTTGTTCCAGTTTTTCAATTTATCATCCGTGTTTACATCTCTGACGTTCCAATCATCAGGTTTAGAGGTCCATTTCTTTTTCTTCTCCAGAAATGCACACGCATTTTCTGCAGTATGAATATTGTGGGGCATATAAGAATCCAAAACTTCCAGATCAATTGCAGGTCCCTCCAAAGCCTTTTAGCATCTTTTCTTAGTTTGTATTCCTTTCCAACTCGGAATGATTGTTAAGAAAGGGGAAAGAGAGGTTATGTGAGAGGCTTAGAGAGATCACACAAAGAGGGGGGATAGTGGACTCGGCTCGCTCTCTCGCGGCTTGCTTCATTGTCCATTGATTAGTTAGTCTATATATACTATGTAGGTATGTCTCAGATGTAGAATGTATGATGGAAGGTATTCCATCATCGTTCGTCATTGCTTGTAATGTAGTTTATATCATCTGAGACTATGGCAACCGTTATCGTGATTTATTTGACTGATCAACATTGTATAACCGAGTCATTATGTAAAACATGCAATTCTGAACTTACAACTTTGAATATCAAACTTCACATGATATTTACACTGGGGTCACACGGTCTCCTTCACAACATCAACAATCTACTGGTGCATTTCACACGCCAGACACATGCAACACGACGATTGTTGCCAACGAACGTAGGATGCCATCGACGACACACTCAAGCTTATTCTAACGGTTCATCACATCTCAATCTCAACCTTTTCCGTTTGCCACTGAGGCACCTTCTATGGAACTCCTTTTGATTTCTTTCTCATCCAAAATTATCAGTTCATAACCATCACACTTTCATTTTGGCTTTCTTCTACAATTTACCCAATTCCCTGGCCCTCAACTTCACTCCACTCTCAGATTCATTTCATTTTTTGTCTTCCCTTTCATGTACTCAGGTCTCACTCCTGGCTTGTTCCTTTCTTCGACTTCCTTATTGTAACTTCCTTGCCTTTTCCATTGCCTTGCCAATTTTTTCTGTTTGATTCTTCTCACTTACAGCTGTTTTCAAAAAGGTTAGCAATTCCCATGATCATGTGATTTTTAGCACATGCTGTGTTCTAAAATGTTTTCAAAATGAAAGAAACACAAAATTCTCTATTAATTTCTATCCTATTCACTTAGAATAAAAGGTGTAAAATTAGATTAATACTATAAAAACTTAGATGTATTAAAATTTTTATAATAAAATAAGTATTAGGCTACAAAAATGAATAGAATGCTAGGCTAGTGTAACATTCTCAATATTTTTCAAAGACAACAATTATCTAAAACACAGTCTCAACAGCTTATAAACTTCTAGTTATACTTATATAATAGTATTATAGACTATAACTACACTGTGTATAAGTTTTATAGTCTGATAAGTAACAGTTATTCCTTAATTCCATTATTGAGAAAGAAAGTGTTAGACTCAAATAAATACTTATCCTTTTGACACACTCTGTAACATGTTAATCTAACTATTATTTTAGTTGTATACTGTATAACAAGCATTTTGAGTTGTTAATGTATGTTAAATATTACTATATTTTCTAATTTAGCTTTCTGAGTAAGTCTATTTCCTCAAGTAGCTATGTGTTCTTACTACCCAAGAGCATTAAATAGGACTGATCAATGACAGAATTGACCCTCTACCCTCCTCCTTGTAGTGTCACTACTATGCCTTATAATCCACCTACAAAGGTACTAGAGAATCAACCTGAGACACTAACAACCAAACATATTCTAAAACCTTCAGCAAAAGTGAAGAGTATGGCAGATGATATGACAAAGAAGAGTCATCCTTCTCCTACTGAGAGTAAGAAGCTGGAGACAGAGAAGAGAAAGTGAGGGTGTCCAAAGAAGGATCTAGTGTCTAATAATGTGTCTGAGAATTCAGTATGTATTTCAAGCTTGGTTTATATTGGTTTTTTAGACTGAGTATTCTACTCTATCAGGTAGAGGATACTGGCTCAGAAACACTGTCAAGTAATGTCCTTTCTAGTGGACAAGAGGCAGTATGGTCTTTATAGAAGGATTTACATACATTACTTACAGTTACTTTGTAGCAAACTAAGGAGGCATTTGTAGAATATGGAGAGGAACTGTCAGAACTGGATGTAGTCCATTTGCTTGCTACTAAAGTTACTAAGGGCTTGCTTTCCTTCAAGAGTATTGAGCTGGATAGTGAAACATTTGAAGAAGGTATGTTTCATTTTATTGTGAATACAAAGTCTGATTGATTTGTAGAAGACACTATTATGTCTACTCCTGTGGTACTCAGGCATCAATTAGTAAACAACACTGTCAAAACTGATAGTGAAAGACTAGTCAAAGTCAGTGTTCACAATGGGACAGGCTTACAAATCATTCACCTCAAGAAGTTGTATAAATACTTATATGTCCTTAAGCTAGTGTCTGCCTTAATGAAGTTGATACCAACAAGTGTAGAGCTTGGCTACAAAGCAAGCTGGTCATCAAAGACAGGTAGCAAGCAAAATATTATGTTTATCATGTCTTTGGAGGAGCTTGCTGATTTCTGGGAGGAATACAAAAGGTATAATGCAAAACCAGGCAAGAAATGTGAGATTGTATTTTGAAACATGTGAGAACCTGTTACTTCAGTAAGTAATTGTTACATGCTAGATAAATAGAGAACTGACTCACATCTCCTATAGACAGTAAAAAGGCCTGTAGGACATGGATCAGGGCAGACTCAGGAGGGTGTAAGAGACTTTAGTATAGTTGAAACAAGTCTAGCATCCTTAGCAGCTCAGGACTCAATTGAGGAGTTGCTTCAGACAGTAATTCAGTAGGTGACAGAGGGAATGCACTGTCTAAGGCACTAACATCCCTATTATCAACTTGTTAATAGAGAACACAAAGTATACACACATGTAAATATAAAGGACCATACTCAACACCTTGTAAGTATAAGATAGTCTATACTTAGAGTAGACTCAGAGTGAACCTGGAGTTGTGCCAAATCAGGTACCTGCTAGTATGAGCTCCAGGCTTTTGGATGTTAGTATGAGATGTTGCAAAACACAGTATCCAGGTGTAACTCAACTAAATACAGAAGTTTCAAGCATTTCTACCCTTTCTGAAGCTGGTGACAGTATCTCTGAGACTCTAAAGGACAACCTACTAAATCTAACACATTCTGGTCCCTTGAATTACCCTACTATAGATGTCTGGCATTGTTACTGCCAGCAGTACATTGAACAAGACTGTAATGTAGTACACACCTACACATCCCTCATTTTTGTCTTGTAGAAAAATGACTACACTTGCTTGGACAACATTGTAAGGCTCACTACTAAAGAATTGTACTCACTTACTATAGAGTGTGAAGTCAAAGCATCAATTGGTCTTGTCAAGTGTGTGGTTGCATATGCTCATAAGGATGTAGCCAAAGTGAAGAATAATGGTTACCTAAAGTTTCATACATCAGACATTCAACTGTCACTGTCTTTGCTCTAATTTGTCACTGTCAACCAGTAGAGTTTCATACATTAGACGTTCAACTGTCACTGTCTTTGCTCTAATTCATTACTGTCAACCAGTAGAGTTTCATACATCAGACATTCAACTGTCACTGTCTTTGCTCTAATTCATCACTGTCAACTGGTGGAGTTTCATACATTAGACATTCAACTGTTACTGTCTTACTAATACTATTGCCCCAATTCATCATTGTCAACCAGTGAATTTCTTGTAAAGCAATCAGAGTAATACAAATAACACAAACATGGATTGATGTACATACAGCTTCTTGTGAACAATACTATGAGGCCTACCATTAAGAATACATACTAAGAATATCCACAGTGATAAAAGAACAATTGACAGTCAGCAGCACTTATTGTAAACACTTGCCAATACAGCTCCTCATAAATAGAATATTTGTCCCTGAGGCTATTGAGATGTTCATCAATCTGACAAAGCCTTGACTTGAGAAGCAAAAACACTAATTTGATAGGATTTAGGTCAGGCAAATATGGAGGAAGATATTCCAACTGTACTCTACTACAACCATGTTAGAAAAAAAGAATGTGACAAGCTATTTGTAATGCACCAGCTAGTGATTAACTGTTCAATCTCTAGGGCCTTGTGAATGGGACAATTGTCCATCAAAATGATGGAGCACAGTCTAGGCTAAGGCTGCATTTGCTTGAGGAGATGTTTAATAAATGTATAAAACTTTACTGTATTATATAACCCCTCAATGATCATACAATTGAGCATACTGTCTACATGAATTGTAGGGAGAATTGAATACCTACATATTTGCCTATTACTTCAGATCTTCAACTCAGCAAAGCTATGTTACATACCTTTTTCCTCTAGCAAAATGTTGTTTCCTACAGGCCTGAAGTCCTGAAAGTGCCCAGGCTCTCTTATACAGCCAAACATTTTGTTCACATGAACCTTTCATTAACAGCAACAATTTTGTCAACATCATAATCAGTGATGTGTTCTAAAAATGCAGCCCTCAGTACTTCATTATGTTTTAGTACTGATGCAGAAATCTGTAGGATAAAAAAAATCAAAAAATCAACATTTTCAAGTGGACATGTGAGGACAAATTACACACCTCCTTGAGTGTGTACCCAACCCTTGTTAGAGTCCTCCATATTGTTGTATCAGAAACCTTGAAACCCAGCTAACTTCTCAAAGTAATCTGTAGCTCAGAGATGTATTAATCATTTTTTTGTTCTGTAAGATGAACTAATACCTTTACATGTCCTGTTAGGCCCTCTTAGACCAGATAAAACATTAATCGAATGAAACAGTACTCATGTGGGTATCTGTAAAATCTAGCAGTCATGGCTGACCTACACTCAAACACTTTGTTGGACAAACTGAACCTGTTACACACTACAATACAAGAATGTTGTAGACAGTACACACAGGAATGTGCAACACACGTGTAATCTCAGCTGCATTCTTTCTATCTTTGTTGAATAACACTAGAATGAGCTTACAGAGGTTGTTTGATGTTGTAACACTATGTGTCATGTTGTGGTCTGTGGCCAAAGTCAACTTGGCAATGTGACAGCCACTTTACATTTGTGACTGTATGAGTCACATCCTTGTAAGTTGTGCACTTGCTGACTTGCTCACCATCTATCACTATCTCTGCTATATCCTATGAGTCAAACAATGTCTAATACTATCATTGAAGAGGGTGACCCATCCCTAATGTTTACCCAAGGTGTGTCATACAGTGTGGTGCATTCCCTCACACATTTTGATGTACTCTAGGCTCATTGCCTGCTGAAGACTCTCAGTTCTCCTATGGCACTAGAGAGGACTTGTCTACTGTACCCCTTTCTCTACAATATGACACTTATACTTACAAGCCTAGATTGCCCTACAGATCCCTGGACTCTGTCAGTGTGTAAATTGCATTGTTTTACTATTCCAAACCTACTAACTGATACATTGAATTAATTTGTGTTTAAATTTAAAGCACTAGAGGGACAGGCAAAGAAGGAAGTTGTTGTGTGTTCAGAGTTGCTTATCAAAGATGCTGTAGCCAACATGAACAATTCCAAGGCACTGTTGGCAGCTTCAAAAGCATTGTTTGAGGCTTTCAAGGAAAGCACTTATAAAGTAAAGCACTAGAGGGAGACAAACAGGCAGATGTCTAAGGCTATCAAGGAAAGTGCTTATGAAGCAGAGTGCCAGAGGGAGAAGCTGGATGTGCTTTTATCAGAATTGGATACAGTGAAACTTCATGTTGAGTATGTGAGTAATATTTGGTAGCATTGTTACACATCCAAGTATTTATACATACTTCAGCCCCAGGCTTTTATGGATATCCAAAACCTCTGTAATGTTTCTGACACACCTCATAATCTGCTTACTCAAGGCTTTAGGGCAATCTGGGGACCTTGTGTTTATCTGTCTAGTTGCTTCTATCCTGATTGTATGGACTGTAAGAGCAGGACATACTACTTTACTCCCTTTGTCAAGACTGTTTATATACATTACAAGAGGCTGTTCAACAAACTGGCCCCCCTCAAATTGTATTACAAGAGCTGTAATGAGGAGACAAAATCCATTTAGTCCATCAGCTTGTTGAAGCCAGAGAGGTCAGACTTCCTTAACATTGACTTTGACAAGGTCAAGAGGGACAAGGCTTTGAATCTTGAGATGGTCCTAAAGAAGAAAAGTATTGTAGTCAAGGGGAACCAGGAGGAAGTCAATACTACAAAACTTACATTCTCAGAGTTCACAAGCTGCTTCCTCCAGGCTTATGATTGTACAAAGGACCTGTTCAAAGTCACTAAAGAGGAATTTGTTCCACACAAGCTTCTTCCTAATATGACAGTGGAAGAGTGTAGTACTGGCCTGGAAGGCATGATTAGGGCCCACAAACAGTTCATTATAGAGTTCTGTGAAGAAGTTGTGAGGTCCAAGAAGCAAAAGGGCCTAGATGAAGGCTATACACACAGGGAAGGCTCTAATACATCCAGCAATAATATGAGTAAAAGGTATTGTCTGTTCAGCCCCTTGAAGAAAGCCTGGAATAGACTTAAAGTAACAGAAAAGAAGAAGGATGTAAAGACCAAGTTCAGTAAACAGACAGTAATACAGTTCTTAGTGGACAAGCTAAAGGCTTTTAAGGAAGCACAAGTGAGATACATAACAATTGGTTGTGCTACTACAGTCCTTCTAAACAACAACTTGCTCAAACTCTGTGTCAATACTGATAGAGAATTCTGTGTGATAATGAATCAATACATTCATAGCAAAAAGTCCATCAATGCTGATATCAAAAAAGCTGTTAAGAATGTAAGGAATGTTCTCCCTTAGCTAAGTGCTGAAACAGTAGAGAGTTTCAAGTTACTGTACAACATAGGCTTTAAGACATGCCCTGCTGAACGTTTCAATCCAGGGAGAGACTTTGAAACCATCATCAACAATGCTAAATAGCCTAACACTCAGTACAAGCACAATGACTCTTGTTTCAAGAGGGCACCAATCACAATAAGGGATGACAGAACAATGTCAGCCCAGCCCAATCCCAGCTGTATGTCTTTACCAAGCTCTGGACAATCACAGGCTATTTCTGCAGGAAATCAATATTCCCAGCCATCTGCCCATTTGCTACAAACAATACAACAGCCTGTAGTAGGAGGAAACCAATACTGTTCTGAGACAATTCAAGTTTCAGCAATGTACAATTTGCCCACCTGTGGCTCATATGCTTCCCAAGTTGGTTTAAGTAGCAGGCTGAGTAGCAAGGCCTTGCAAGGCAGTGGTAAGTTTCACATTGTGTTCTCCAGTACTATTTGACCACTAATTACTGAACCTGGTTCTAAAGCAACTTGCAGTTCAAGGTAAGAAGTTCATTTGAATTGATGTCTTGTTGCCTTCATATGATAGTTTGCCATACATGTATCTTGAATATGTTTTGTTATACTTTGTAAACCAACAATTGTCTGTATACAATAAGCCCAGAATAAAGTGCCTGTAAAGTTGCATAATAACAACTTAATTGTTTTTTTGTGTGTTACACATATACTAGTTTGAAAGGAAATTTGTAAGTGGAACTAATGAACTCAAATCACTTTGAATGAGGGATGAGATAGTATTATTACTGAGGTGGTTCAAAGAATTCCTACTACTGTTTGCCAAGAGTGGCATTTGAAAAGTCTAACCTGGTTAAGAACAAGTAACCAAGAACTGTAGTATTTTGAGGTTGCCAAAGTATAAGTCAAAGATCAGGTAGGACCTACACAAGTAACTCTCTGTTACATCCACATATCCATCCATCTTCATCTATTGTCCAGTCAAAGACAGGATCTATATTGAGAACAAGGTCAAAGGCAAGATGTCAGACATTGACTACTAAGTAACTTGAAGAAGGAAGTTGTTATTACACCTTCTATATTCTACAGTCTAATTGTACAAATTATATAGTTTAAGAACTAAAAAATATAATTTAATAATTAATGAGATTCTTTAATTACACAATAACAAGCCCCTCATTTTCTACAGAATTTGGCTAGAAGACAAAGGTTTATGTAGAGATTTTTTTAAGACCAATCTGAAGGTATTGTACTTTGTGGATCAGGAGATATGTTTTTTCCAATTCTGTAAAATAATAGATTAGAAGAGAAGGAATTTGCTTCTTTTTTTGTGTGTGTGTTATTTCTCATGTTATTGTCAAATATGAGAGCATAATTAGATTCTTATAGTATTAAAATGTTTTTTACATGTATTACTTAGTATAATTAAAGTATCTACTTCCTACAATTCTTAATTCTTCTCATTTTTGAGAAGAAAGTACAAAGTATGTTACAAATCACATGATTGTGGGAATTGCCAACCTTTTTGAAAACAGCTGTAAGTTCATATTGTATTTCAACTCAGCAATTGTAGTATTTTTACACCTCATCCTCAATTTTCTATTGTTAGTCTCCTTCCTACACTGTTATAACAACTTAATTGTACAATTGTCTCTTAAATACTTGTACACATATGTTAGTACCTAGGAGGGAGAAGTTAGTAAGGTGTTTTACTAAAGTATTCACCTATTAAGAATGTTGGCTCAACTTTCATAAATAAAGAAAGTGTACAATGTCTGAATCTCAACTTTGTTAGTAAGGAATGTTGGTTCACACAGAAGGAACCAATTGGTACAATCTAAAGTCTGTACCTTAAGAAGGTTAGTAGTAACATACACATCCTAAGAAGTAGTAATCTTTGTCAGCAAAAATTATAATGTTTTGTAAGAAGTAAAGACTTAGATCTTAGTTAATACTCTAGAAGACAGTAGTAGCAATTGTATTCAGATTATCTACTAGTTTATTAGGAGTTATTTCTTCTAATATAAGTATATAAATACTAAAGTTATAAATGTTGTGATTAGAGACTTGTCCTTAAACTGGAATACTAATAATTGTAGTTGTATAGTTTGCTCTACAAACATATTATTACTAGATATGTTAACTTTATAGTAATACTATAACATTCAAATTTTAAAGTTATAAAATACAAGTATAGAAATTATAATAAAAAGATCTTGTTTAATCACAAACATTATAGTAGAGATCTACACACTATACAGTTATAGAGATATGTTCAAGTACTATAATGTGAATTTTTTTCTAATCAATTATATGTGTACAATCCTGAGTCTACTTCTAAACCAGACATTCATTAATGTTAACTTATAAAACTAAGGACAACTTACTTTACAAAAGGTTTTTATTTTATTAGCTACTTTCTTTACAAAAAATGATTTAGTAGTAAAGATATTTTCTAGTATAATTATACCAAATTTCTTAAGCTTGTAACTAGGTAACTTAGAAACTATTAGTTAATTATATTAATTAATAAAGTAATATAAATAAAACATACTAGAAGACAGAGGTTTATTCTATTATATAAATAGTCTTCTGAATTAAAAATGTTATCCTCTACACCTTTAAGGTTCTCTATATCTGTAGTAGTAGTAAGCTTTACAGAGTATCCTACCTGTTCTTAAGAACCTTTTGTTACAAAAAAGATATTAATTTTATTCTACACTCTAACTACTTACTTATTACCTTGTATAGTAAACAGTAGAAGGAAAATGCCTTTTAGTAGTAATACACCTTTAATATAGTCACCTCTATCCAACTCAAGAGTATTACTCTATACATTAAGGTTCAGACTACTATACAAACAAACAAAATGAGTTTAGGTGCTAACAGTTGAATACTACTTTTATAGTATAATAAGTGTAGTTAATACTTTAGCTATATTAGCCTTAGTTAAAGTTCAAAGTATTATAATAAAGCCTTACTTATAATAGTAGTAGTATTATTATTTGTTTTAGAACTTGCTATTTCCTGTTAGCTTGAATGCTAGTAGTAGTTAGTAATACTAGATGTAAATAATAAAGGACTAAGTATAACTTACAACATTATAGGGTTGTACTTAACTATACAAGCTCTAGTTATCTACTAATATTGTATTAAGAGAACTAGATAATACTAACAGTATCTACTATAATGTAACTGTTAGTGACAGTGTAGAGAGGACCTAAAGGCTTAGTAAGAGGACTCAGACTATAACTATTCTACATAATAGAAATACAGAATATAAGTACTAGAACATAGTCAGAACTTGTAGAACAGACATAGAGAGAGAGAGAGAGAGAGAGAGACAAGAGTAGAGTATATAGAGTAAGTCTAAGAGTATAGGACTACCTAGAGTAGACAAGATCAAGACTACAGGACTAGTCTGATCTTATATACTTATATATACTAAACTATACAAGAGTACTCAGAGAGTATAAGTTACTAAGAATGATAAGTCTTGAAGAATGAAAGAAAGGAGGGTTAAAGATAAAGGTATAAAGAATAAAGGGATAGACAAAGGGTGAGAGACTATAGAATGAACAAGGAATAAAAGGGTGGTCAAAGGAATGGAATGATAAAGTAAGGAGGGGTAGTAGTAAGAGTTAGTACACATATAGTTTATAAATAGTACTCTCAAGAGACAGAAGTCCTGAGTTCTAGTACAGAAGGGTGTAGAACCCTTAGGACTAAAGGTGTAAAAGTAGAGAACTATAACATTACCCCCCCTCTAAAACTAATTGTTCTGATTAGTAAACATTAGGTTTGGTTAGTAGTTTGAGTATAAGTTAGAACAGTAGGGTTTGGAAATCTGTAAGGCTGAGTTTGTGTAGAGTACTAGGATAAAGCTGATAGAAGTCTTAGATTGTCTTAAGAGTATGGGTAAGGTTCTTAGTAGGTTCTTAAGTACATTCTTTAACTAAGTACCCTTTCTAGTAAACAAGGAATTTGAGTTTTCTGTACAGTAGCTTAGTATCTACTATGTACTCTACTTTGTATTCTAGTTCAGAACTAATGAGTTCTAGTAGAGGTAGTAGGAGTCTTTATTATAAAGGAAAACTTGGATTATAGTACTAAGACAATAGAACCTTGTTAAACACTAAGTGTATACACTTTTATATTGTTAGAAGTTAGAGTTTGTAGACAGAGGTACTAACCTTCTTTTTAATAATGAAGGGTCTGAAGCACTTGTTGTCCAACTTCTTTATTAAGTAATCTAAGGTCAGATTAGTAGCTTCTAGTATAACTTTGTTACTAGGCTAGTAATTCTTAACTGTAGATCTCTTCTAATTATAGTTTTACTTTATGACTTACACTACCTTTTCTAAAAGAGCTTGTGTATCCTCTCTAGTCTTGTACATCTGTTCTACAAAGTCTGTTGTGAATTCAGAACTACTGTTCTAGTTCAGAACTGTCCTCTAGTACAAATGTCTCTCATAGTTAAGAAAGAATAGAGACTGTCCTGTTATAGAGTGTTGTTAGTTATTGTGTACAAATTCTGTTAAAGCTAACTATTTAGACTAGTCTGACTACTAATAATTAATAAACATTTAAAGGTAGAGCTTAATCTTCTGATTAACTTACTTAGTTTAACTATTAGTTTATAAGTAATATGTAGTAAAAGAGTTCTCTTAAATTCTAAAAAGTGTATACAAGTCTTATATGAATTTCAACTCAAATTATAGTCTACAATTATGAATAAGCTTCTGAGAGAGTCTGTACAACTAGAAGACATGATTCTAATAGATACACACTATACTTTCAGAAGTAAGTTCTGTTTAGGTTAGAACTATATAGACTTGTTTAAAGAATTAGTTGACAATCATACAGATAGTATTATAACTCTAAGACTTAGGTAGCTTACTAATCAGGTCTACTAAGACTTCTTTCTAAGAGTGATCTAGAATCTAATACAGATGTAAGAGAGTCCAAACCTTTGTCTAGTAAGCCTTAGTCTGTTAGTATATATTGTAACTAGTTACATACTTTAGGATTTCCCTCTACATTCCTAGCTACTAGTAGTTCTAAGTAATGAGTTTCTGTGTTTTGTGTTAGTCTAAATGTTCTATAGTCAGATTGTTGTAATAAGCTCAAACAATGTTCTCTTACAGTTTCTAATCCTTTAGAATGTATAGTTAGCCTTTCTAATAAACTTGTCTATCCTTATCCTTTTTCTAGTCTCTAACCTACTTCTCTAACTATTTTACTACAACCTAGTCTTGTGTGTATTTTAGAGCTTACTATATATAAGTAACAAAGTTAACATTCTTAGATTTGAGTTAGATCTCTTAGATTGTCTTAGATGTAAAACAGGAATTGTTTAGGAGAACAAGATTTTTGTTATTATTCTCCTCCCTTTTATAACCTACTTGTCTTAAAAGTAAATCAGCTTTTATTATTTGTATTCTAGGTTTGTGAGTCAGTACAAAGTTATAGTTTTACAGTTCTAACATCTAGTAAGCCTAATAGTAGTTAAGCTTCTAAGGCACCTAGAAGTACTAGAGATTAAAGTAATTACTCTAAATCTTAAACTTTTACATAATACTAAGAAGATATTAACACTACTCTTCTAAGGAACAGACAATTATAAGGAGTTCCTTATTATAGATAGGATAGTTTTGTTCTGTTACAGAGAGGGATTCTGATTAGAATACTATTAGGTACTACTTTCTGTCAATAAACTAGGACAGTACTACTCTATTTGTAAAGTTAGAAAAGTTGACTTTAACTCAGAACTTGTTTATAACTATTAGAACTACTAATACAAGCTTACTAGTAATAGCTTACTTAAGGGACTCAAATACAGACTACTACTAATTACTCTATTACTAAAGAACATCTTTGTTAGTAAGATTAAGACAATAATAATTCTAAACCAGGTAGAGCTTCCTATCTTTCTTTTTAACAAAAAAGAAAGAGGAGGCTATAAAGGACTTTTAGGGACAGATCCAGCTGTTCTAAAGGTCTTCCTAAAGGAACTTATTAAGTACCTCCTGTTTATCTCTATTAAGTAGGTAGACCTTACAATCCTTAGGTTGGAAACCCTTAGTCAATTTAATTGTATAGTCTTAGAGACAGTGTTTAAGAAGCTAGTTAAATTCCTCTTTACTAAAGACTTTAAGAAACTCTTAGACAAAATCTAGTAGGTTAGGTTTACATATGTTCTAGAGTAGAGTTGTTCTAAGAGGGTTCTAGACTGGTTCTATCTTAGACATCCTTTGAATCAACTCTGTTCTACCTTAACTAGAATATGTGTTTACATATTTATTCTAGTTAAAGAAGAACAACTAGTTACCTTTATTAGAACTGTTAGTAACATTAGAAGTGTCTGTATCTACTTGAGACAGTAGTATAAAATAGTTGTAAGACTTAGAACACTAATTAAACACAAGTGTCTACTCTAACTAGTTAATAGTAAGGTTGTAAGTCTTAAGCCATTTAAATCTAATAAAGATATCTGTCTTTCTAAGGTTAGTAACTCTAAACTTAATACTTTCCTTATAATCCTAAATAGTTATCTATAGTTAGACAAACTTAGTAATCTAACTATTCTAGTTTAGAGTTCTGTCCACATTGTATACTAGGATTAGAAGTAGAACACATTAAGTAGAAAGGTAGTGTTCCTACACAAAGACCTTATTAATGTATAAACTAGTATATTTACTATTTACTAAAACTATTGTTTAGATCTGAGAGGATTCTAAGAAAGGAGCTAAGAGGATAAAGACTTAGAGCTAGTGTTTAGAACATTCTCTAATAAATTACTACTTGTTCTAAAGGGAATGTACAGCTTACATAACCTTATTGTTTAAGAGAGTAAGTATATACACTAATATTTTCTTATTAATCTCTTTCTTTTAACAAGAACAGACTTATGTTCTTAGTTGTAAACTTAGTTAAAACTATCCCTACTTAATACTATAGACAAACTACTAAAGGGTAAATAAGGCTAGATAGTATTCTAAACATTCTAAGTTTTTAGAACACAAAAGTAGTAGGTTAGATTGTATAGATTTAGACTTAGATAAAGTGTAAAGAGAAGGATTAACTGTTGAGCTTGAATTACTTGACAGGTCTAGGCAATCTCTCCAGTCATACAGAGCATGTATGGTAAAGGAGAATGTAAGGCTTAGAGAGCTATTGAACAATAAGGTTCAAGCCTACTGTGCAAGTGAAGCAAACCATCTAGATGGTCTGTAGAGTATGTAGGACAAGTTCCAGAGTACTATGTCTGAAGAGTAAGGACTATAATTGGCTGGAAGAGGCTTGCCATACTTTAGTATGTACTTATGGCTGCTCAAATTGATTATTACTATTTACACTTGCTTGCTCACAGATTGTTCAACAAAGGAACACTCAGACAGAACTGGAAGCACAGTACTGTCAGAATCAAGAGCTCACTCAGATGAAGATGAAGCTACAGTCTGAACTTACCAATCTTCAGGATAAAGTTGAACATGAGAAGTTGGTAAGGAGTGAAGAAGCTAGTAGGTTAAAGTGTTTTCTATTTGTGTCTGTCATGCTCAAATGATTTGGCAGATACAAAACACAGGTTACAGGGCAAATTACTAGATGTAAAGGTGTCTTCAGCTGTAGCATTCATAAAGCACTCCAAGTTGGCCAAAGCTGTCAAAGCTTAATGTGTGAAGGCTAAAAACTATCTAACATAGCTGAAGCAAAATGAAATAGAGTGGGCTAAGGCCTTGAATGGTAATACTTTTAGTAGGTTGGCTTCTCCAACCTGTAATACACATTCCTGATATAATTCCTGTAGCCTGTAAAGCACTTGAGGATTTAGAGACAGCTCATGTGCAAGCTCTCAAAGAATGCTAGGCAGCTGAAGAGTGTGCCACCAAGGCAGAACAGAACCTTCATGATCTGTCTGCTAAGCTTAAACACAGTAATCACCAGCCTTCAGATATTAAGCTGGGTTGACAACATTTTGAGGAGGAGCTTCAAGAAGAGTGTAACTGTCATACAGCTGATCTTGCTGAATGTAATTTTGTAATGAGTCAAACACAGATAACATATCAAAGTAAACTGTTTTCATATTCATAGTGTTGTTTTGAAGCCTATGACAACTTGCACTGTAAGCTAAGCTTGTGGAACTCAGTAATGGTGAGAGTAGGTATGATCTATAGTAATGAGCACTTTATTCAGGTCCTATCAGAGCTTCAATCTCAGTGTGAAAGTATGAGTCAGTTACATGAGGAGGATTGTAAGCTACACAGTGACTATAATGAATTGTAACTATAATACAACAATGAGGTGTACAGTAGCAGAGTGTGAAAGAATGAGAAAGAGAGGTTGGAGACAAAGATAACTGACCTAACAAATACCTACAGGTCATCTACTACAGCTCAGACTGAGTAGTAGTTGCAGATTGTAGCATTGTATTTGCAAGTCTGCAAACTTTAGAGAGTACCTGAAGATGTAGAAGCTGAGCACATTATGCTCCAGAAAGTATAGTGTACACTCTAGGCTCAGCTTAATAAAGAAAGTTGAATCATATTGACTCAGATAAAATGTTGGCTGAATCTAAGCTCCAGGATCTTTAACTAAAGAAACAGGATTTGGAATGTGTACTGGAGGAGCATTAAGACTGTAGGGGTTCTGCCTCTTGAGCAATATTACTAACAAATGAAATCCTCTCAGTATAGACAAGACTATTACAATACAGGTAGACACACACTGTAGCATAATCAGTGTTGTAAGGACACTAGGCTTGACATGTTTATGTTGCCAGATCTGTCAGAGTGTAGTACAAAGACAGAGATTTTGAAGGCAGATATGGTCATGCCTCTTCTGGAAATTACAATGGAGGACTTTCTTAAGGACAAATAAGTATGTAATCACTCACCTGAAATGCTTTCTCAAGTTCATCAGAGGCTCTGATAGTCAGGGTATGTGCTTTCTACTGAATACAGATTAGAGAGGTGGCTAAACCCAACAATTAGGCCTAGATGGCAAGCTGAAACTGTAAGTATTTGAACAGTCTCTTTGAAACATTAATTGAAATTTATCTCAACTGTCAGTGTACACAGGGCTGCTTGTGTGTACTGTAAATATTTGAAGGTGTAATACAAGTTTTAAACTGATCCTAACACATACTGTTACTGTCTCAATAGTAGTCATAAATACACTATACTAGGCAGAAAAAAGAGAAGGCATCCTCTGATAGTTTTAATCTTAGTCATTATAATGAGTTAAAACTTGATAGTATGTATTGTATAGGAAACATGAACAATCTCTGAACTAGATAAGGGACTAGAAACAGTAAATAGACAAACTTGAGGAACATTAACATACTTGTCTCAATAGTATATTATTTCTAGTATTTGTCAATGTTACATGTCTTACTGTCTATTTCAGAACCACACCTGTCACTATCTAATACTCTGCTTAGAGTGTCTAGTGTAGCACCAGGACTGGCCAAGCAGTGTTGTCTTTTGTTCCTGGATGTGTGCCTAGACCAGATCAGATGTACAGACATGTTTTGAGTACTCTCAGGACTCTATTCAATTAATTAGTACCCTTGTTGAGGGTGAGGAGGACATTGAGGAAGAAAGGGAAGATAACAATAGTAATAATACTTAGAAGGTTAATGAGGAACAAAGTAAAGAGTAACAATAGAGAGAACCTGCTAGTAAGTACAACACAGGTACAGACAGTGTTTGTCTGCAACATTGTACTTGTTGTCCTTAAGCTTACTATCACATAAAACACTCACACATTGTTAATGCCATAATGTGCTTACTACACTACTGTCATTAACATTAATTAACATACTATTGAGATGTGTATGTGTGACCTCTTTCCCTATCCTTCAATTTGGACACATAGTATCCACCTTCTCCTTCCTCCTGTCATTGTCAGTGTCTCTTGACATGTTGAACCTTATGCCCCTACAACCACCTCTAACATGACAACACAAGCCTGATGAGGTGCTTGAGCTATTAAAGAAGACAATTGACCATACTAAGAAGGTATATAATAGGGTAGTACTCTAGACACTAAAGATTGTACATTTGATTTGGTGAGGCAAGTGTAGTGTATGTACATAGTACATATGCTAATAGGATACTTGATAATTAGGTGTATGGTGAACTTGCTACAGTAGAGGCTGAAATCCAGGTCCTTAATCCAGTTCACTTCTACTAGAGTGTCTCAACATCTAAGGAGCTCTGTAATACATTAAATCAGACAGATACCCTCATCAGAAACTTCCTTGTAGAGTGTAAGATGTGTGTGGATGTATTTATTATAAAGAAGAATGTAGACACTAATATTGAATCCTAGGGTGTGAACCTTAGTGCAGAGGAATGTAGGCTTGGGGAGAAGATGAAACTAGATGGCAAACATACAGGTCTTGATCTCCTAGAAGGCAAACAGAAGGTTTTAGAGTTGAACTGACTTTGTGTAGGATTCAGTGTATGCCTGTCTTAATTTCTTCTACTATTATATCTTAAACTCACTTCTATGTATGAATGGTTAATCATTAAAGAGAGGGGCATTTATTGATTTGATCTATTTTACAGTTGGTGTATACAGAACTGGTCCCTTCTAGAGATGTATTGTTGACTATCAAGGACCTAGACTGTAAGCACTTCCTAACTTGCACTTTTTACAAACAATGCTAACACTTCTCAAGTCTTCTTACTTGTTGGATACTCTAGAATATACTATTTCTACAATAATCCAGACTACATGAGAGCTAATACAGATACTGAGAGGATCTCAAATTTTGTGTTTGTAGTCATGACTCTCTACTTATTCTTTGTAGGGGCAGGTGGAAACAGTGGATTTACTAGCACTGTTTATGCAAGTGTAAAGTCATGCCCTAATATGATGGTACATATTCCTGATTCTTTACATGTATCTTTACATGTATCTTTTCATATTCTAATCATTCTTCTAGAGGGCATCTGTAATAAGGCTAGTCATATCTGGTTTCAGTCTCTTAGTGTTCTTTTTCTCTAGCCTTGTGAGGATTCTATACTCAGATGATACATTGTTGTTCCTATTAGTACTTGCTTTTGGCACACCTTGTCTAATGATTCTGGGCCTTTTCTTTGTGTAGACAATACCCCTACCCTCTGACAGTGACAACTCTCCCAATTCTACTCCAACTCTGGTCCCCTAGTGACTGAGCATTAATAGAGTCTTCTATAATAGGTTTGTACACTCTGTTAGCATTCACAGCATATTTGCAGGGGACATTCTTGTTTTGAGCACTACAAAGACAGCCAAACAATGCTGCCTGCAACACATTGTCATACTTACTATCATTAGCACTGTTCAAATCAGGACAACAAATATGTGTACTAGAACCTTAGTTCACCTGCCCCACATCAGTATTCTGTTGAGTATACCATACCTTTACTGCCTGGTGGACAATGTCACCACTTATTACTACTCATATTCTTTCTTTGTCTCAAGCACTTTTTGATACAGTGGCAGGAGTCTAAATTTCTGTCAAGATTGATGATGTGCTGGACAGTAGAGACATTGTACAGCAAATCACAGTCATTTTCCAACACATTCTCCCAGCCATCCACATTGTATCTAAGTGACTGTTCTAAGTGACTGTTGACAAATGCTCTTCAGTTGACTAAAGCAACAGTAGCTTTTTTGTCCTACAACTATTATAAAAACTCTATCAGGGCATTTTAGAATGAGTGTGTATCTTTCCTAACATTACTGAATGTCTTGTTTCCTCATACAAGGTTGTCTGAGTTGAAGAGCCTGCTTGATGAGAATGTGGAACTGAGTGGTTTCTTGTTAATTCAACAGAATTTGTTTGTTTGTCTGCCCTTGAAAGCTAATAAGCTGGCTTCTGAGGCTTGTGTAGCTCACTCTAATAAAGAATATCTTATACAAATATCAGATATCCTAAGAAAGGCAGAACAGATTGCTACAATTGAGGTGAATTCTTTTCTGTTGAATATACACTGGATTTACTCTTACTGATCTGATAGTGTAAAATTTGCTAATCTCATTCTCTAACAGTAAGTTCACACTGTCTGGGCAACCTTCTACTGCTAATGAACCTGTATGAGTTGCAACACCTATTATTACTGTGCCCAAGTCTCTATCAGAACCAATTCAGCCTACTCAGGATGATCCTGAGAATGGTGAGGATAATGATAATATAACACAGACATTGTGTACAGATGATAAGGTGCTCTATAACACGTTTGATAAGGCTCTCAAGAGTGTAGTAAATGTTGGCAGTAACTTTAATGAAGAGGAAGTTGAGAAAATAGCTGCTACTTTCTAGTCAGACTTTGCTGTACTTGTTGATAGTCAATGGTCATATATTTTGCATTGCTTTATGTATTACTTTTTGTCAATCACATGTCTTACCTGTGTAGGTAGGACTTTGCTTGTTTCCTTTCTGTAACAGGAAGTGAGGTAGACACAACACACAGTAGGAGTGTGAACCTGTATACCTGAAGTAGTAAGTTGCTTACTTATACTATTATCTATGTTGCACACTGTGCCACCTATCTACTTTAACATCTACTATCACACTATGGCTGACAATGACAGATTTCAGACAGTAACCTCTAAGAAATACTATAGTGGTGGCAGAGGTAGCTACAGTTTACTGGCAGAATGCTTGGTCAATACTTGCACCCCTAATCTCTTTGTTGTTCTAGAGGGTCTTACAGGCTTGGTCTGTAATAATTGTACAGAGATTAAGAGTAAGCTTAGAGATTTGGGTGATGATCTTATTCTAGCATCTACTACTTACCAAGTCATGGTTCTGCTTGAGGCAATTGCAAGTTTGTCTGTCTCTCAGAGGGAGAGGGAGATTGTATACATAGTATTGTCAGTTCCCAACCCAGACTACTACATTATCTGAGTGACAGTAAATGGACCAAATAGCAAAATTACTCCAATCATAGATCATCTGGACAGTCTGTTTGGATTGCTGAGGAACATCTGTAAACATATTGTCTCTAAAGGCCAACTGTACAATATGACTCTAGAGGAGACAGACACTAAGGATTTTTTGGTAGGGCATATCTATCAACTCTGCTATACATTCTCATGTGAGCATTTGAAGAAACATATGGACAAGTTAAGAGCCAGGAAGATGCTTGTGGCTATCTGGAATCTAATTGCTTTCCTGAAGAACTATAGTCTTTCTGAGAATCAGCTTCAGTTTCTGAAGGGTCTGAATGATCTATTTTGCAAATACAAAGTCTATGAAAAGGGCTACAATGACCCACAGATGGTCCAGCTTTATACTTTCACAATAATAAAGTAATGTGCTATAGTCAATGCCTCTCAAAAGAGGTTGCCAAGACAGGATGTCTCCTAGCTAGACAACCTTTGTAAGTACCTGTCCCTTTCATCCTTTTCTTCTCTTCTCCTCCTATTCATTCTTATTGACTAACTACTGTTTTATTTAAGTTGAACTAGCTGGCAGTACAGATTCTGATAGAAAAATGTATCAACAGATGCTAGATAAGATGCTGACATTAGACTCAAGCATTGAACACCTTCTGCTTCTGCCTTTGTCAGGCTCATTTGGAAGGATACTCAATGAAGGTGTTACTCTCAAATTCTGGCCTGTTCTACAGGTTACTACAAACCTGAATTACAACTTCAAAACAGACTACAAGCTTCAAAAGTTGATGAGTAATAGGAAACTAATACAGTTTTCAGACTTTGTTGTAAAGATAAAGACACTCAAGTTAAAGCCAAGTAACCTGCCTGTCATAAGCAAGAGCAATCCTTGTATTAATGTCCATACAGAGTGTGTCATAGTCTCACATATTGATCAGTTAGAGGGTATGTGTATGTTTGGTTTTATATGCCCTTCAAAGTTATGTTGCCTTGAGTGTGCTATGGTTGTCAAAATGCACAACTCACTTGAAGGGGTTCCTGACTCAAAGAAGGTTTATGTACAAGGTATACATTTCAAACAATATATGTGGGTAGCACCACTAGTTGGTATGCCTTGTCAGGACAAACTGTTGTCTCTCATAGAGGCAGAGATGAAGAATGTCTTCTATAACCTCTGTCCTCATACAAAACAGTGTAGGACTTCTGAGAGCAGCACTGTGTCACTCTCTGATTATAAGGTTAAAAAGAATTGGGACATTATCATTAACAAAATTAAGAAACTGTAAGTTGTTTCCTCTTTTCTAATGACCTGTATTGACTGTACTCTTAACAGGCCTCCTGTTCCTCCTCCAAATGTTTAAAACACAATATTACTAGCTTCTCTGTTTTGTTTAGTCTATGTTTTCTTTTGTAGTTGCTCTGATATGATCCTGTACTACTAGCTATGCCAAATCATATACATTGAATTTGATTGTACAATACTTAGTCTTAGTGTAAGTCTAATAACATTCTGTTGTAGAGTAATTTGCAGATTATTGTAGGTTTTTGTATGTTAAACATGATGTATCACAAAAATCATGTGATTTGTGTATTAAGTAAGCAGTTGCGAGTTGCAAGTTACAAGTTGTAAGTTACATGTTAAAAGTTACATGTTAACTAATCAAATAAATCACGAAAACAGTGCCCATATGAGACATACTCTTGTGTAGTCTTGTCTTAACACTCCCCTTCAAACTCTTACTAGATCTAGTAGACTTGTAAGATGTTTGCTTACAGTATGTATAGATAGTTTAATCATTATAACTGCATTGTACAATTGTTTGTTTGTGTAATGCATTTATAACTTAATGTAGTTAATAATAATATTATTAGCATTATAGTAATACATTGTCTGTTCTGTGTAGCATCTGTTCTGAATGTCATCCACTTTGTGTTAAGTTTGTCTAATGTTATATTAATTAAGTATATTTAATTAGTTTGTTTGTTCATAGTATACTGTTGAATAACAGCATTGTTATCACAATAGATTGTTTGTAAATGTTATTAAATAATTTGTAAATGCTTCAGAGACCTGCAGAATCTTGTTAGCATGTGTAAGTATGTATATGTGCATATTTAAATCATAAATGTAATTGCTTGTTTCATTTTATTGTTTGTTATTCAGACATATTGTTTGTTATTAAGTCATATTGTTTGTTATTCAGTTTGTTTGAGTACTCTAGTAATTTCTTTTTACTTCACTGTGAAACTAATGAATCATGCTAGTAAAATGTATATTCAATGTTGCAATAATATCCTTCTTTAATCATTGCTGTCCACGTTTGTCTACATTCATATATACATTAAGCATTCAGTAATAGCTGATTTATGTCTTCAGATTGAAGCATTGCATCAATTGTATATTATAATATTAATAATAATATTTGTTTTTGCCAGATTGCTTCATTCTAAGATCAATAAGGTTTTATACTAATGTATATTTGTTGCATAGATGTTATGTCTGGCTACAGGCATCTCACTATGTGTCTAGGTGCATTGTATATGTATTATATCATGAATGTACTGTTTGTTCGTTTGCTTTACATTATTGTTTATAGTTATGTATTAATTTATTAACATTATATTTGTTAATTGATTGTTTCTAATACATCCTGAGTAACTATACAATCTGTTGTATTGTTTCTTTAATAGCTAACATAGTTATCTGTTGTAAATCATTACTAACATGTGTTTGTATTATTTATCATTAACAATGTTGTTGTGAATTGTTGCAATCATAGTATTATATATATATGTGTATGTTATGGTTATTGTTCTTTACTTTTTCTTTTACAAAGAATGATGTATTGTAACACAATCTGTATATAAGTAATATATTGGATTATGTTTACTATAATTGTCTCCTAGCGTTCTTTAGTTAATCTAGTACTATGTACAATTGTAGTATTTGTTCAACATTTTATTTGTTAATTGGTTTGCTAGGTAAAACGTTTTATATATTAGTTTTATTTATTTTATTTGAATCATTGTATAGATATACCTATTAGTATCTGTCTAATGTATTTCATAGTATTATAATACTGTTCACACTTGTATTAATTGTACAGTAAGGGCAAATTAATTGTTCATACAAGAATCAATTTAATAGTATTATTTAATTATATGTATGTACTCCATACTTGTTTATATAGTTATTATCTGTGTATTGTTCATTGTAGTTACAAATTATATTGCAATTATATTTGTATTATCCTATGGATATATTATTTATTGTTTTATGTATGTTCCAAAGTATTATTTTCATTATTCATTACTTTTATCCATGAACTATAGTCTGAATTGATGAATTATTTCGTTATATAATGTGATAATTGTCTGTATATTATTTATTTTTGTATTAAACACTGTTAAGTTAATTATATTATCATATTAATATTATTTGCTAAGTATGAGCATTTGTTTCATAGTAGAATCATTATTTATTTAACATTGAAGTTCAATTACACATTGTGTTGACTTCCATTATTTAGTTCTGATCAACATAGTTTTGCTTTGTACTGAATGATTTACCTTTATGATCCATTATGTCTGTCCATAACTTCTATTACTTAGTCAGTGCTTAGTCTGTACATTTTGTTATTCTATTTTTTGTAGCATCTGTAGTGTTATACTTTCTGTTCTGTTGTTTATATTTAGTTATTAATTTTTTGTGTATATTATCCATTTTCTCCCCTTCAATTCAAGAAAGTATTTCTTCAAAGAATTGGATATTTCTTTAATGTTTATTAATCATTGTTATAATATAATATTTATATATAATAATTGTAATTGCTTTCATAGTTTGATTTCTAATTATTAGTATTTTAAAGCAGTGTGTAACATTTGTTATATTCTATAATAAGTAATTTAAATGTTATTACTATTATATCTTTGTTACTGTTAATGTTTGTCAACTTATATAATGTGTATTTTGTTTGTTATAGTAGATAAGTACACATTATGTATAATATACAAGTTTTGTTTGTGCTCATTATCTTTTATTAATAATTGTTCATAACTATGAATGAATATTTTGTTTTTGTGTTAAAAACATATAGTAATTTGTTTGTTTCTGTATAATATTCGTTTAATAACATTATAATTATTATTTATGTAGTGCTTTTAGTAAATGTGCTGAGTTCTATTAAGTACACTTACATCTGTTATTACTTATTTTATATTATACTGTCCAAGATAATGACTTAAACATTTTATTAATTTATTTAATCATATTATATTATGATTGTTTTTGATTGTAATTATTATAATAATGTGTTTGTAATAATAATATATGTATTATTTGTTGTAATAGCCTTATTAGCTTAATACTTTGCTCCTATGAGCTATATTGTCACAATGTAAATTTAATAATTGTTTGTTAAGGTATATACACTGTACAGTTAATATTACTGTTACAACTTCGAAATTTATTATATAATCAGCTGCTGTGATAACACGTTTTGTATAATTAAGTTGTATTGATGTGTCATTTTGAGTATATTAGAGATATAATTCTTTCATTCATTGTTAGTATACATTTACACAATTGTATTAATGTGTAAAATAGTATTATTTGTTTAATAATTATAATTTTTGCACTTGTTTTGTGCTGTAGTTAGTATTTACATGTTATAACATTATTCTTTTGTGTGTAGTTAGTTTATACACTCTATAGTGTTGTTTTTTGATTTGTAGTTATTAATTATACTTTTGTATATCTGTACTTGTCTGTATATCTTAGATATGTGAATTATATTTGGTATCTGATAAGTAATTGCAATATCTGACATGTAACTGCTGAATCTGATATGTTACATATAATTGCTCAACTATAATATGTGTTAGTTATTATATTGTTCTGTATTTGTTCTGTTAGTTCTATCCATGTTATTATTATTATTATTGTTATTATTATTGTTATTATAGTGTCTGCAATTGTATTATTGTTTATAATACATGTTAAATGTTTTATTTATTTGATTTAATATGCTGTTTACATATATGTACTTGTTTTGAGCATTAATTGTTTAGCTGTGATATTACTACATGTGTTATTATTTGATTTATGCTATAACATATGTGTGCTTGTTGACAGTGTCAATCATTTGTACTATTGTAATGTTAATAGCAGAAGAGTAGCATTTGCTTTATTAATCTTTTTAACA